CTGAGCTCTTTGTGCCGAGCGAACCGGGGCAGTTCGCGCTAGCAGGGGAAAGTGGTGACAGCTGTCAGCTACTTTTGCCTAAGATGGAGAAGGCGCAATAGCGTTTTGATTGTGGTTGGGAAAAGATGCTTTAGCCAACATGTGTGTTCGCTTGTTTTGCTTTTGCAAACATGTTTGTTACTTATCCTGCTTAATGTTTTGTATGCGTTTTATAGCTTTGCGGCCTACTTTAGAGGGTTTGACCCGAGGGTCGGTCGTTAGGCCTCCGAAACCCTGTACGGGAAACTGTACGAAGGTGTCGGCGCGGCCTCTGGAAGGTTCCAAATTACGTTGGCAGCTTCTGGCAGCTGCCGTAGTAGGATCTGGCAGGCCAATAGTAGGTTTCCGTACAAATGTCGTACTTTTCCCATTAGTATAAAAGGCTGAGTTTTGTGGTATTTTAGTTAACCAGTCCAACCAGTCCAAGACCCTAACCCAGGGCGGGTAGGCAGACGGTTCCGGCAAAGGCCCGATAGCCCTTATCCCCTTTCTGGTAACAAGTCAATCAAGGCCAAGTAAGACTCTTTCTCTCCTGTCAACAAGGGTCGCACCACCAGGGCCCTTCATGCTCGCACGTCTGGAAGGTCAGCAACAGCCCCTTCCCCCTTCTGTAACCTGTACCCCTGCCTGCCACTGCAACCAAGTGCTTGCCACGGCAACAACAACCTACGGTCCCTAACTGCCGATAAGTCTTAGGTGGACATACGTGGCTGGATATTACCCCGTTACATAACTTCCGCACGCATAGCAAGCCTCGATATATAGCCCCCACTAGTAGTCTTAGGTACACATACGTTGGCAGGGGTAGTGAGGTCAAAGTATAGTGTGTCGGCACCTTACGGCACTATACGGCAGCAGTAGTGACAACTAGGGTCCTTGGGCAGCTTTAGGCTTAGAGTGACTCTGCCCCTGAGTCGCGAAAAAAATGCTCTCAGGGTGGGGTCGCTCGGCGCGCCTAGTGGTGACAGAGCCATTCCCCAGACGTTCGTGACGCATGCAAACTATACCTAACGCAAACATATCCGCCTCCTCCTCCTTTAATAGTTGTTGTTGTCGTAATGTTTTTACGAAACCGGCGAACCAGCTTTACAGCCCAAAATAATTAATTGTTTTGTAAAACAAATTAATGCAACTACGGTAACTGCTGCATCCAGCCCCAGTCCTAAAATCCCCAAACTGTCCTACCTCCCCACCTCCAAACCCAACAAAATGTGCCATAGTGACCCCTGGGTCGTTTTATGCGCGAAAAGACCACATTTTGTTGCGTCCAATTCCGTCGCTCTCGCCGCCGCCGCACATTGATTCTTATTAACCTTTGTCTACGCGTACAAGTAAGCACATTAAAATGCGTTAAAAGCACAGCAGACGAACACTAACCTATGTTGGGCTTTGCGTTGTGCTGCATGATATTTCCTGAGCGGCGCTAGATAGGTCGCTTACACGCTTTGGAGTCCCAAGCTGCCTCAAGCAGGTTGAGGATCTCTCCAAGCTGGCTGGCATTTAAGCAATCAGCAGCAGCAGAATCCTAGGTCAACTGCTTCCAAGGTGTGGCAATGGTTCTTCATTTATTTCTTATTGCGAGCGATAAAGCATTTAACCTGCTCTTTCCCAAATCACTCACCCTAGTAATCACTGGCGCCGCACGCATCTTCGGCGCCCGTTCCTTCCGCCCTTCCGTCTCTATCAGCAGTAGATGCAGTCTCCAGCCGCCGCCGGGGCGGCGGCGGCTGCGGCTGCGGTGGTGTGCCAGTGTATAAGGCGGCGGAGGTGCTGGCGGTGCAAATGGACGGTTGGCAGGATGCCGCCGCTGTCGGAGGGGCTGGCAGCGGCGACCCCACCGGCGCCGACGGTGGCAGCCTAGCAGTAGTGCGGGTGGAAGGCGGCAGCAGCTGCTCTACTGGAGGCGGAGGAGGTGGTGCGGGATGTGGCCCTTACTGCCCTCCCACCCTTTTCACCGGTATCTGGCGGGTCGTGAAGCAGTATTTGGCGGGTAGTGAAGCAGTTTTGTTCGTGGTTGCCTAGCCTTCTATCGACACATACTCACCCGCCCGCCCCCTACCTACCCGTGCCCCTACCTATCCATCCTCTACCGTGGTAACCCCTTTCAATAACCCCGCCCACCTTGACCTTCTCCTTCTGCGCCGCCCGCGCGGCCGCCCTGCTGCCCTCCGCGCGGCCCCGATACAGCTCGTCGATCAGCAGCAGCAGCGGCTCCCAGTGGCGCCAGGGCAGCGGCAGGGAGTAGCTGCGGCGGAAGGCCTGGAGGGGGGGAGGGACAGGGAGAACAAGGAAAACCATGCGAGGAGGATGAGGGAGGGAGGGATAGGGATTGGAGTGGAAGGGGAGAGAGAGGGGAGGGGTAAACGTCGCACTCATGACTCTGCTTGTGAATACAACAGCCGAAACCCGCCCCTCCTCCCTGCTCCCCGCTCCCTCACCTGCACCAGCCGCACCACGTCCCGGGGCACCCAGCCGCTGGCCCGGGGCAGGGGGGTGGTGGGCTGCTGGGGGTCCTGGGGTGGGGGTGGGGTGGAGGGTGGGGTGGAGTGTGGGGTGATGGAGGTCAAAGGTCATACCGAACCATAGGGAACCGCATTATGAGGCAAAACAAGTGTGAGGTAGAGGGTTGGCTCAGAGAAGAAGCAAAAAGAGGGTGCCGCAAAAGGGGTTATACAAACCCCACGTCCTAGCAAGCGAGAGTTCCGGCGTGGAAAAATGCGAAGGGCTTATAACGCGGCCTAACAAGCAAGAGGCGCGGGGACGTAAGATGCGAAGGGGTCGTCACCTCCAAGGCACATCGGGCGAGAGTTGCAGCGGAAGGGATAGGGGAGCGGGCGCGGCTGGATACCAAGGGAATCCGCGGTGGCATGCTGAGGCGGCGAAGGAGGAGGAGAATGAGCAGGCGGAGAAGGACAAGCCGCACGGGGCTTCTTGGTCTTCCTGAGAGGTGCTCCCCATCAAACCATGGCGTTCGTTCTCCAATCTCCACTCCATCCTCACCCCCCACCCCACCCACCAGCCTGGGCGAGTAGCCTCCCCCCACCGGTGGAACACGTAGTTCTCCGGGTCGGGCGGGTAGGCGGAGGAGGGCGGACCCAGGAACAGCAGGTCCTCCAGCGGCACCCCCTCGCCCTCCTCGCCTGCTGGGGGCTGCCTCTCCTCCCGACTGGTGCCGCTGCCGCTGTTGGCGCCGCTGTTGTGGCTGGCGGCAGTAGTAGCAGTGGCGCCGGCACGGGCAGAGCGGACACGGGAGGGAGACGAGGATGCGAAGGCGACACGAGGAGAAGCGGGGCCTGCCGGGTAGGGAACGAGGGAGATGGTGGGATAGGGGGTCCCCAAGGGGGGGGAGAGAATTAGATACAGGGGAGAAGGGGTGTACCGGTATGTGGCGCGGATGAGGCGGCTATGTGGCAAACTGACAGTCCAACTGCGCACCAATAACCGATGCGACCACTGCTACAATGCGAACCGAACTCCTCTGCTGCTGCACACCCCCAGCAAAGCACTAGACGCGTCAAGCATACAAGCCTACTTTCGACTTGACCTGCACCACTCCCAAACTCCATGACCACGAAGGCCCACCCGCTCCAGGCCCGGCGGTGCCCTACCCATTGGTACCCCTGCCATCCCTGGCTTACCCGGCGGCGATGCCGATGTCACCCCCACTGCGGACGCCCTCCTCCTGCTGCGAGGTGCGCTGCGGCTCCTTCCGCCACCCCCACCCCCACCCCCACCCGAAGCAGTAGCACCAGCAGGGGTGGAGGCAGCGCTGTCGCCTGCGGCCCCCTGCCCCGAGCGGCCGAAGAGGGCGTCCGCCATCGTCGAGCGAGCCCAGGGCCTCAAGAATCCTAATGGGGTAGGGACGGCGGGGATTAGGCTACAAAACGTGTAGGGCCAAAGGGAAGAAGGCCGGACGAAAGGAGGGAATGGCGAGGGGAGGCTGAGACGCAGATCTAGTAGGCTCATCGCCGAACCCAGCACCCTTCTCCTCCACCCCCTCCCCCCTCACCTGCTCCTTCCCAGCTGCTGCCCCCCCCCGCCTCCAGCATGTCCCGCAGCTCCGCGTTCTCGCCCTCCAGCCGGCCCAGCTCCTCCCGCGCCGCGCCGTACAGCGCCCCCAGCCCGCACATGCCGGCCAGCCGCTCCTTGGTGGCGACCAGCTCGCCTGGGGGTGGGGGTGGCAAGGGGGGGGGTGCAAGAGGTGTCGGAGGAAGAGAGGAGGCGCAGGCTGGAGGGAGAGGGGAACCCCTCTTCTTGGGCCCAGGTTGGGCGCGGGGGCTCCAGGTTGGGTGGGCACTGTACCTTACCGCAGGGCACCCCGACACCCAGATCCCCAGCCCCCCCCCCAAGCCCTACCGCCGCACTTCGTAACCGTTTCTGACTCTCCCCTCCCATGTCGGCAACCCCGCTGCACCTCGCCTCCTTCAATCCATGCCCAAGCTGCCCCTCCCATCGCCACCACCTCCCACCTCCTCACCCACCCACCCACCCAGCAGGCCGCTCTGCTCCGCCTGCGCCTGCGCAATGCGGCTCTCCGACTCCTGGCGGGATTGGTGAGGCGCGCAGGAGGTGAGCCAGGGAGTAGGGTTGGGGGAATTGATCACCCCTTCATTCTGGCGTCCGCAGCCGCCCCGGACCCGGTTAGCGGCGACAAGAGGACCCTATAGGGGTACAGGATGCATGGCTGCACATGCGCACGCCGTCATCCATCGATAGCTCCATGGTCCACAAACCACACGACTTTGCAGTACAGCAGCAAGCTACTGCGGCTGCATGCTCGCTCTCGTGAAGCAAGGCACAACCCCCACCCGCCCCGCAAACGGGGCCTGTCCGAGCGCATCAAAGCCTCCCCATCTGCCCTCCAGCGCACGCCCCTGACACACAGCTTGAAATTAACCCCGCCCGTCACCCCCATGTCAGTGGTAACACAGCTGTCTCTCACACCGTAGCTCAGATGCTGCCCTGGACTTCCGTGGGGCTGCAACTTTGGCCAGCGCATCTCCCGTTGTGATGAAAGCCGTACGAGATCTTGCTTCCATTGTGCTCTCATTAGCACTTTAGCAGGTCTTACACGTTCGCCAGATGATAGAACACGTGAGGGTTGGTTCCGGGAAGTTTACTCTGCATGCCTGCAATATAAATAACGGTGTAACGGCTGTTCAAGACTTCATGCCGGAGTGATCGAGAAGGATGGTGTACCGTTCTTGGAACCTCCGCATGGCAGTGGCGTGTTTTTGGCTTTACGCGGAGCCCTGGGAATCCAGTGCCATTCCATCATGTGCCTTAAGAACTATGAAGATGGGAGCGACAAGACCTGCAAGACACGCAACAAACCAGCATTACACTTGCGGTCAGGGCAGCAGCCCACCTCAGAACCCCTCCTAGCACCACCCGGTACGGGACCCAGGGGCGGGGGACAACACGGTGCTGAGGAAGTGCCACCCTCTCGCCCAACACGGAGCAGCCAACCGCCGCTCGCGGCTCTCGATCGCTCCTCGCCCTGCCCAGCTCTCCTCGGGTCGTAGGTCCTCAGTGCGTGCGAGCTTTCCTGACCTACCCCACTTGGTCACCAGTGCACCGTTCCGAGTCGCAACCGCCATGCCACCAAACCCCCGCACCCTTGCATCCATCCCTACAAGCAGCTAGTCACCCGCCGTTACTTCCCTGCAGTGCATCATGATAAACCCCACATTGTAGTACAACCCCGTCCACCCACCCAACCCAACCCAAACGCCGCAACACCTCTCTCGAGGTGTGGCCACCGCGCGCCTCGCGGCCCCTGTCACACCACCCCCTTCTCCACACTCCTCCTCCGTCCTTCGCCCGCGCCTTCCCCTACAATCCCTGCACTTGCGCCATGGCCATCGCCACCGTCTGCTGGGGTGTGAGGTTGGCGACCCGCAGCTCGTCCTCCAACGCATCGTAGCGGAAGGTGAAGTTCTCCTTGCGCCGGTAGCACCAGCCGGTCTGGGGGCGGAGGGGTGAGGAGGGGGCGAGGAGGGGAGGATGAGGGAGCGGGATCAGAAAGGGCCAGAAAGGGGAGCAAAAGGAGAGGGTGAAGGAGACGGGGGGGGGGCGGGGTAAACACGCTCCCACAAGAACCACCAAACATCCACAGCCCCGCCCTCTCATTCCATGCACACGCAGCCCCTCCCCGCTCCCCTCCACTCCCTCCCTCCCATCCGCCACCTCCCCCTCACACATACACACACACCTTCCGCTCAACTACACACACACACCTGCATGTCATCGTGCACGATGTTGTAGTCGAAGTACACGTAGGCGCCCTGCTCGTACTCCTCCGAGGTGACTGCGGGCTCCGTGAAGCGCTGGAACCAGGCGTTGTGGTGCCGGTGGAAGCGCCACGACTGCCGCTTCAGCTCGTGAGCTGCCAGGAACTGGACGGGGAGGAAGAGCAGGGGGAAACGGCAACAGGGGGCCGCAGGGGAAAATGTAAGTATACCGGTAACAAGATACTAAAAGGCCACGCATCAGCCCTCTCATTTTCCACCGCGGGGGTATAGGGGCTCAAGGCAGCCCGTCCGCGCAACCTCTGCTGTCACCGCTACCCCCCCCCGCCTCTCTCAGCTCACCTGCTGGTATGTGTTGGGTTGGAAGTAAAAAGCGAAGAAGAGGCACTCGGGGTCCATCTTGCGGAAGAGCGCCGGGTTGTCCACCACCTCGGGGGCGGACTGGGGGAACGGCGGAGGGGCGAGGAGGAGTGAGGGAGGGCGGAAGGGGGCGGGAGGGGGCGTAAGGGCAGAGGGAGGCAGACTCGCTCGCACCAGCTGCTCCCCACAGGCCTGCGGCCCTAATGGTACCAGCATTACTGCCACAACCGACGCGCCCCTGACCATCTCTAGCCGGATGAGCTGTTCTCACCATTACCCCTTCCACCACACCTCAACCCCCCACCCGCGACCTCACTCGCTAGCCTTCACTGCCACAGTTAGTTCTTCCACCCTCGCAGCCCCTGCGCGCATGCAACCGGGCACGCCCCGCAGCCCCTGCGTATACCCCCCCCCCGCCCCCCACTCTCCCTCCGCAGCGCACCTTGGGGTAGGACGCGGGCACCGCCACGGGGTGTCGCGGCCTCGTGTGCTTCCACTCCGTGTCGGACAGCTGAGGCATCACTCCGCGGCTGGGGGCGGGGAGGGGAGGGGAGGGGAACGAAGGGGGAGAGGGGTAAGCAACATGCAGAAGCCAACGGTCATCAACCGACACACAGGCTTCAAACCTCCACCTCCTTAATCGGTTTACGATACACAACACCTTGGTCCTCAAACACGCCTCCCACTGCGGCTTGCTGCTGGAGACCTTTCTATGCCTTCCGGCGTCGGAACCCGCCTACAAACAGTATCCCCCACACACCCCAAGCCCTGCTTCATCACACGCCCCACCCCCTCTTACGCGTAGCACGCCTCCAGTATTTGCTTGGCCGCCGCAACCGAGTACGCCGATGCTACCGGCGGCAGGTCCCCCGGCAGCAGCCCCCCGCCGTTGCTGGCGCCCGACCCGCCGGCAGCGCCCGCCGCCGAGGGGGCCGCATGGGAGGACAGAGCCATGGCTGATGCGGCACCCGAGCCGGGACCCGGGCCCGCAGCCCCGCCCAGCCCCACACCCGCCATCCGTGCTGCGAGGGCGTCCAGCGGGCCCATGCCACCCGGCCCCGGACCTGGGAGAGGGAGAGGAGGGAAGAAGGCGCTCATTGGGTCCCGAGAGGTAATGTAGTGAGGAACAGGACTAGGGCTTTTCGCCAGGGGCAATACCAATGGACTAGCGCCCAGTCGGTGACCTGAGCCCAAGAGCCAGCACAGCCGGGCACCTAGCATTACAAGCACCTGCAGTACCTGCAGCACCACAGGCTTATAACCGCCCCACTACCAGTGGACAAACCCTGGGATATCCCATTTCCAGTGCCCCAGACCTCCTCGCCCTCTTTCAGCAGCCAAACCCCTACCTGCAGGACCCACTGCCCCGCGATCCGCCGGCCCGCCAACTGACTGCCGTACAGGTCCCGCGCCACCCGCCGCGAACTGACCCGTGGGTCCGTCCGCTGAGGGTCCCACCGTGCCACTTGCGGAGGGCACTCCTGGATAGGCTCCTCCCGCCACTGCAGAGGCAGGCCCTGACCCCGGCCCTGGTGCCGGCCCCACGCCTCCCTGCGTTGATACCAGTGAAAGAACCGGACGGACTCAAAAGGGTGCGTGTTGGGAGGGTATGCCGATCCTTTGCGCATACCCTCCCAACTTAACGTTACGCAGTTGCGGTAAACCATGTGTAAACCAACCTCCTTGTTGGCCCTTTAACTTCAGGGTCACGAGCATGCGAGTGCTCAGCGGCCTCCCTCATCCCCCCCCCACACACACACACCTGCAACGCGCCCGCGGGCCCCTCCGGCACCGCAGCTCCGCGCCCGTCCACCACGGCATCCTGCTGCCCCCCGGCGCCCGCTGCAGGCCCCCCCGCATGACCGCCCGGCGCAGCAGCCGCAAGCCACCGTGGCATGCCGCCGTCCATGTTGCTGCCCATGCTACCGTTGGCGGTGGCGGCAGCAGCCGCAGCCGCCGCAGCGGAGGGCGTCCGCGGTCCCCCACCAGGCATGACTCCCGGCGGAGGCGGCGGCTGGCTGGCGCCGGCAGGGCCCGCCAGGGGCCCGGGGGTCCCCGCCATGGCCCCCCCTGCGGCTGAGGGCCGTGATGGCAGCGGGGACGCGGCTTCTGAGGGCGGCATGCCGCCTGGGGAAGCCGCGGAGAGGGGTTGCACCGCGTTGCGCGGCGTTACGGAGCCTGCGGGGGCAGCCAAGGGTGAGGGTCAACGGGTCAGTCGACTGAACGCATGGCTACACTGCGGCTGCCCCCGGCAGACTGTGGCATCAAGGAATGACACCCCCTTCTTTCACAGCAACGACTTGTACCTCCTATGGTGTATCCCCCTCCCCCCGCGGCCCCTGCTATGCGGCCCGCTCTCACCCGACTCCGGCTCCTTGACGGGTGTCGAGGGCGCCGTCTGGCGGGCCCCCGCGGGTGGAGGCGCCGCCAGCGAGGGTACGGACATGGGCAGTCCGCCTGCCGTACCGCCCGGCGTCGCCGCCCCGGATGTAGCGGACTTGCCGGAGCTGCCGATAAGGCCCGCTGAGCCGCTGCCGCCAACGCCTGCTGCAGAGGGCTTCCGTACCTCGTCGTCATCATGCAGCTTGAGGTTGGTGTTGCCCTGCGGAGATGCGGGGTGTTGTGCATGTCAACATGGGCGCGATAAAGGCGGGTGCGTAGTACGGCGCTCGGAAAGTGTTACGTAAGCGTGAGCGTTCTTGCTAGGGACGCTCCGACTATTTTGGACGGTGGAGGGCGTAGCGCCAAAAGCCTTGAAAGGACAGCCGGCGAACAACACTCTACTTCGATGCAGCAATCCTGTCCCCTTTGCTCAGCTTCTCTCCCCCCACACCCTGTAACCCCGCCTGCTTGCCTGCGCTATGAGTTGCGCCTTGGCTGCTGCTGCCGCCGCCCTCTCCCGCTCGCGCTCCTTCTCCCGCGCCTCCTCCGCCTCCTTCTCCCGCCCGCTCTTGCCGTGCTTCACGCTGTGCAGCGGGGCAGCGGGCGCCGCGTTGTCTACCGCATCCAACCGGTCCTGTGTGCGTCGGGGCACGGAGGGGGGGCAGGGGCGCGGGGAATGGGGTGATGCGCGAGGGTTGATGGGTTGACGCGGGAAAGCAGAGGGGACGGTCTAGTACTGCACATGCCACAGGGTGCTGCGCAAGGCATACACCCATGCTGGCTACTGGTACTCATGGGTCCGCAGGCAGGGGGACCCCCAAGCAAAGCAGCTGATGCATGCGCGCATTGGCGACATGGGTGGTCACGTCACACGTGACGTGCCGTACCTGGAAGAGGCCGTACATGTCGTCCACGTTGGAGAGGTCCATGCCGTTGTCCTCACCGTCCTCGGTGCCCTGCAGGATGAACGGTAAAGGAGCACCCATGGGGGTGTGGGCAGGGGTGGGTTAGGGAGTGGTTGTACGATGTAGCTGCGGCGCTGGTGTGTCGGATACAACACCTTGTCAACTCCCATCCATGTTAGTCCACAACTTCCGCAGCCGCTTAGCTCGAGACAGCCCGGGGCGACTCACACCCCAGCCATGGTGGAGGCCCACATACATATGCCCCCAGACCCCAGCAGCTCCCCAAAAGCATCCCAGGACTCCTATGAACCCCCGTCCACATCTGCTTTAACCCCCAGCCCAACAACCCCGGCGCCTGCTCTGCTTACAGAGCGTTTGGCATGGCCATTTGGTGGCCTTCAATCGCCCCACTCTAAGCACCTCCCCCCTCCACCTCACCACCACCACGCGCCTTCCCTCCCTGCGCACTCCACCTCCGCCCTCCCCCTCCCGCTGAGGGAGGCATGTTGACGCCTTATCCCTCAGTCAGTTGTTTCTTCTTTTCCCCCCTCCCGCCGCTCACCAGGTAGCAGTCCATGTCCTCCTTGAGGTCCCCCAGCTCGTCCGGCTGGATGGTCTCGTTGTCGATGCAGCGCAGCACCTTCTCCAGCCGCTCGATGTGGTCCTTGTGCCGGCCCACGGTCTCCTCCAACGCGGTCAGCCGGGCGGGCGGCTTCTGCCGCTTCTTCACGGTCACCTGAGAGGGAAACAGGGGCGGGTTGGGGGCAAGCGGCGGTGCGGGAGGCCGAGTGTGGGTGGCCCAAGGGTCGTGAATGTGACATGTTGCTAAATGTGGGTCGGAAACAGCAGCTGTTCAGCTGACTGCCTGGCCCAGCTGTCAAAGTGAGCCCTCTCCCTCGCCCTGTAAACACCGGCGCCGAACCATAGTTAGGCGCTTGCCCCGTGCAGCCGCACCTGCAGCTCCTCCATCTCCGCCTCCATAGTCTCCACCTGCGGGCAGCACGACAGCGTGAGTTAAGGCGGCGTGCAACCAAGATCCAGGAATGCACCCCGACCGCAAGCGCTCAAGTCCAGAGGAGGAGCGCGTAATATTGCCCATGAGTAAGGTGTTCATAGTGGTGTCTTGGTAGGCATCTGTCTCATTAGCTGCTATTCGGCTTGTATCCGCCATCCATGCCAGAAACCCCTGCTGAATTCCCCAACCCCGCCACCCCCTGGGTGCAACCTGCCTTTTCCGTTAGCTGATCCACAACGGTATTGATCCAGTCCCTGGCCTCATCCTTGGCGCGCTGCTTAGGGTCTCGGTCCGACCCGCCTGCTGCGCTGCCCTTAGCTTTGGCCTCCTTCTCGCATGCCTTAAACCTCTCCATGTCGCGCTCTATTGACTTGCGCGCATCAATCAGAGGCTGCTTGTCCTTGATATCTGCTCCAGCAATCCTACAGCCATAGTAGTGCCGCATGCATGAGCGGGGGGACCCAAAGCTGGCCCTTTCAGTCGGTCCGATCCCTCCTCAACGCACCATCCCTTAATTTGCTCCCGCAATCGCTGAAGCTTCTTGATTTCCTTCTTAAGCTCTCCTTCAAGCTTCTCCCGCTGGTTCTGGTTATCCTGGTCATGAGCCTGCTTGTGTGCCGAGTACTGCGCCATGCCGAGTTGTTGTCAGGCCCCCTTGGAGAACAGTGAGCCAACCATGCCGCAATCACAGTAATCCTTGCCTGATTCCATATGTCGTCAAAAATTTCCTGACCCTCCTGCACTTTCTTCAGGGTGCGGTCTATCTCCGCCTTCAGCTTCCTTTCTGCTGCCATTTTCCTAACTCAACAACAGCGTGCGTAAAAGAGGTTAACTCCTGAACGATAGCATCCTGTTCGCAAGGTGGGTTAAGTTGCAAACGAAAAAGAGCAGCGCAAAGCCAATGTTGCAGCGTAAGACACCCGCAGTAAAGTAGGCACAGTAAGAATGAAATGGCTAGTGTAAGCTACTGTCTAAAAATTGCAACGTTACGTGTGCGCGCAATCGTGCTGCACGGCGACTTCGCTAGGTACGAGCCATTCCATGATCAGAATTTTGGCACCATCCAGAGTGGAGAGACTTGGGTTTCAGGGGGTGGTAGTAGGTAGGAGTCAGAGGCCGTCTGGGAATTTGTTATGCCTTAGTGGCAGGCCCTAACCGCAACCCGGAACTGGCAAGTTCAGCAACTCCAGATGGCGATTCCTGTAAATCCACCACCACTTGCAGTGTCCCCGGCTTTGGCGTATACTTTACAGTCAGCAAGGCATTCTGCAGGGTTAGTACCCTGGCCCGCATGCATACAGTTATCTGGCCATCACTTGTTACGGACGAACCCAAAACCGACTCAGCAACGAAAATTGGAAGTGCCCCACCTTTGGCAGACGCGTTCGTCACCGTACTCCTGCCGTTCCGCTGCTAAGCCTTGCTCCCCTACATATCAGGTCACAGTCCACGCCGTGCACGCGATAGACAGGGTACAGCATGGCGCCTGGCTCGTACGCACGCCGCCACACGCACAACTACCGTTGGTATGCGGTAGCAGCATTTTCAGCGCGCATGCAGCACCACACGCGGCGCAATAATACAGCTTCATCGCAGATCTGTGCTCACACTCCTCCTGCTACAGCATCCCCGCCAAGTACCCCCCCCTTGGCACCGCTGCCCCATGCGCAGCGTAGTCCATGACACCGCGTGAAGCGACCTGCCTACCGCCTACCGCCCATGTCCGCGGCTCTCTACACCTTACTCTACCGTAGGCTTTCCCTCACACGCAAGCCACAAGCCCCAGCAGCGCACCAAACAGAGAAAGTTTTATACACTAACCGCACCAGCGCACAGACCCATGGCCAATGCATTAGCGCACGAACCAGAACCTGCTAGGCCCGGTTGCGACAGGCTAGCAACGCAAGCTCATCCGCAAACCCACATGACTTGATGCCATCCATCCGCCTTTACTGCCCGGCACCGAACGCTCCCGGCTGCCTTCCTTGTAGGACAGGCTCGGTCTGCGGGCAAACCTCGGCAAGCCCGGGCCCCTCTCCGACAGGTAGGTCACGCCCACAGTCGGAAGGTGTTGTCGGAGCCGCATGAGATGAGGTAGTGGCCGGCGGGGTCGAACACCACCGCTTGCACCGCGTCCTCGTGGCCGGACAGCTCCACCTGGAGACGTAAGAGGAGGGAGGGGGAGGTGGAGCCGTAGGAGGAGGAGGGGGACTGGTTGGTACGTTGTGATACCGGTAGGTAGGTGGAGGGGCACTAGGGCGGAGGGCAGCACTGGGTAGAATGCAAAGCACTATGATCAGGCATATACAGCTACACGTAAGCTCGAATGCACACATTGCCCTCTTTTTACAGCCTTAACGCAATGGGACGTACGCATAATGGCGCTTTGCTTAGCTGCTTCTCGCCAACCAAGCCCTCTTCTACCGCCATTCCACCCACTGCTCCCCAACCCCGCAGCCCACCTGCATAACTCCATCGTTGGTGCTGTACGCCTTGACCTTGCCGTCGTCGCACGCCACCGCCAGCATCTGCCCCGATCGGTCGAACGCGGCCTTGTTGGCGGGGTGCTTGCCTGCGTGGTGAGGAGCAGCCACGGGGGCTTATAAAGAGGCCAGACGGGTGAGAGGTCCGGCTGCTGGCTGGCGAAAGCAAACCAAAGCAACAGCCCGGCCGTGAACACACGTGTGCCATTCACACAAGGGTTCCACCCAGACGTTAAGTGCCTTCCATTTCACCAAACCCCTTGATGTCCGCACGCACGCACGCAATACGATGGGCGCCGCGCATCTGAACTGCCCGAGATGCATGTGCACGCACCCGTGTTGATGGTGCACAGCTCGGCGGTCATGCGCGTGTCCCACAGCTTGGCTACTCCGTCCGCATCCGTGGAGGCCAGCGTGGTGCCCAGGATGTTGAAGGCCACCGCGTTGCAGCTGTTCTGGTGGCCGTAGTAGGTCTGGGGGGAAAGAAGGATACCCACTGTGTTGAATGAGAATGAATAACAAGACGACAGGTCTGAGGGTGGAGGGCCAGGGAGAGCCCCAAGGCGGAAAGGAAGGGGGTAATGTGGATAGGATTATCCGCATGCAGGGTGGGGTATTGGGGGGTGGAGCCGGTGAGGGATGAGCGAGGGGGGGCTAGGATAAGCGGCGGCAAGAGACAAGGTCAGCGACCCACATGTCGCTGTAAACGGCTATGCGACACCGGCTTGGGAAGAATGAGGTAATGGTTGCACGTGGGGAATGTGGATGCCACCCAGCGACGGAATATGGCAGGTTAACAGCGGAGAGGACAGTTATTACCGTTATATGGTAAGAGCAACTGGATTTCCGTACAGCGGCTTGGCGACACCGCCGCAACCAGCAGCGCCTGACGCACACCGCCCCCCCCCCCGCACCTGCGTGCACAGCCCCGCGCGCGCGTCCCACACGGACACCGTCTTGTCGGAGGAGGCGGTTGCGAGCGAGGAGGTGAAGGGCATCCAGGCCACATCGTTGACGCTGTCCACGTGGCCGCGCAGCGCCATGCGGCACTTGGACGCCGGCAGGTCCCACAACCGGACCTACGGAGGCGAGAGGGGGGGAGAGGGGATGTTGAGAGGGTTCAAGGGATGGTAAGGAAGAGGCCTGCGCTGGGAGAAGCCGGATGAGAGGGCGTCGTGGGGATGTGCTCGGGATGCAATCGGGATGTGATGAAGGGGTCGCCATCGTTGGTATGCACCGCCAGGCTTGCTTCCTCGAGGTGTGGAAGCATCCGTGCAGCTCACATCCGTGTCGTTGCCATTGCGCATGGCGCCGCTGCCGTCTAGGAACGGCAAGCTATGGACAGCAGCCCAGGCAGGCCCCCGCCAAGCGGCTGGTTGCCAAGCGCCATGTTCCGCCGCGAACCCTGCCGGCCTTTACCCTTGGTGCCTCATGCGGTCATGCTCTCACCGTGTGGTCCAGGCTGCCTGACGCCACCACCTCTCCAAGGTGGTGGAACCGCACCGACCAGATGGCCTGCGGAGGACGGAGGAGCGCGCGCGGTGTCGTGAACGGCGGGCTGGTCAAGATAGCAGGCAGGTGCAATGGGATAAGGGTGTACCAGAGAGAGAACATGAATTGATATGTGTCAAGACCCAGCCATTGCGGCATGTCGCCATCGCCCCCACGCTCCGCCCCACATACACCGCAACCAGCTGAGCAACACAACACACCTGCTTGTGGTCAGTAAACGTGGCGGTGCAGCGCTGCTTCTCAAAGTCCCAGATCTTGACGGTGGAGTCGCCGCTGCCGGACGCCAGGCAGGTGCCGGCGGGGTGGAAGTCCACACCCGCCACCCAGTCCTTGTGGCCCTCGCCACACATGATCAGGTCGCCGCCTGGGGTGCAGGGGTGGCGTGGGGTGCAGCGAAGAGGGAGGGGTTGGACTCAGGACGGCGTGTAGGGACGTGCGACGTGAGGTGGGTGTGAGGTGGCAAACAGGGCCAGACATGATGGCACATGGACCCACCAAGGCCCGATATGCACCCCATCAACCCAACCCAGCTGGATCCCCGACCCACCCTACCCTACCCAGCCTGTCGCCCCGAGCGCCCACCCTCACCGACTCACCGACTCACCCTTACCCTAACCCTCACCCCCACCCACCTGGCATGTGCCACATCTTCCACGTCTTGTCGTCCGATGCAGTCACCAGGATGGGCTTGGTGGGGTGCAGCGCCAGGTTGGCAACCGACAGCAGGTGCCCCTTGAACGTCTTGCTCAGCGACAGCATCTTCACAGGCGCCGCGGGGAACTCCAGGTCAGCGTAGGGGTTGCGCCGCGCAGGCGCGTTCAGCGACGCCCAGCCGCTGCGAGGGCCCGAGGTGCCGGCAGCGGCGGCGGCAGCGCCGGAGCGGCCGGAAGCAGCGGTGGCGTCGGCCCCGGCGGCGCCGCGAAGGGGGCTGGCGGTGGCGCCGGCGGTGGCGGATGCGGCGCCGAAGCTGCGTTCGGTGGCGGCTGCAGCGGCTGAAGCGGCGTTGATGGCCTCCAGAGCCTCCACCTAGGGGAGTGTGAAGCACCCAAGGTGTGTGTCAAACAACATGGGCGACTTCCTGATGGTAGGCGGCTTCCTAAGCACCTCCGCAGCAGACTCTCACGCGCATGGTATAGTAGCACATTAGAGCACCCCCCTCCGCCCCCTGGCATGAGCCGTGTACCGTTCTACCGTACCTTTCCTGCCAGCCTGTCCCGCTCCAGCGTAGCCATCATCTTCTCCTTCATCAGCGTCTCGTACTTCTTTTTGAGCTCCAGGATGGTGGGCTCGTACTTGGCGTAGTGCTCCTTCAGCCGCCGCAGGTCCGTCAGCAGCTTATTCTTCTCCTGCGGGCGGGGAAGGGATGGGGAGGGAGAGGGGGTTTGCGGGTAAGATGTGAAGGCGTCATGGTGTTGGAAGCAATGGCAACCCGTTGGGGAGGACTGGGAAGGGGGTGAAAGGAAGACTGCGGGGACGGGAGGACCACGTTGCCGTGCCAAACGTCCTGCATTGCTTGGGGAGGTGGACAGGGCACCCAGTACTCTTCGCCTGCCCAGAAACGTTGCGCCATTCCGGAGCGGTCCTCCCGGGCGCTCTGGCTCTGGAGCCCGGCGCGCTGTCCATCGAGCTGTCCGGCTGCGGTCCTCTCATCCCATACCTCCACTGAACCCCTCCGGTCAGAGGCCACCTGCATGCCACGTCGAAGGCCGCCTGCGCCACCCCTAGCTACGGCCCTTGTCCCCACTCCTTCCCATCCGCAACTACCACACCCATCTCATCCACCATCAGCTGTCCGCCAGCTGCTTACCCTGCTAAGTTTCATGTTTCAACAAGAGACATCTCCCTCCCGCCGCTCTTTTACTCCTCTGCCTTTACCCTACTTGTCTTTAGCCTCAGGGTAAAGACCTATCTCCCTCCCCCCCACCCCAGTTTCCTCCTCCTCCCCACCTGCGCCACCCGCTTGTGATGCATGCGGTGGAAGTCGCGCTCCTTGCGGAATTTGTCCCACGTGGAGCTGGCGCGGGAGGCGATGGAGCGCGCCTCCGCCAGCTCGCGACGCAGACCCGCAACCTCGTCCTCCAGCTCCTGGGGTGGGGGGAGGAGGAGGGGGCAGCGAGGGCGACCATGTGCAGCGGGTGCATGTGCAGGGTACCGTAGCAACTGAGTAGTAGTGCCGGTAGGTAAGGGAGAAGGAAGGAAGGAGCTAAGGTTGGAGGATGGTGGTTGCCTGTTGTGTAGTGAGCCCGGTGCTGCTGGCACTGCCACACGCTCCGTGTGTGGCAGCGAGCCCAGGGGCTATGAGGACTCTAATGGAGGCCCAGGCACATGCTCGGCTACCCAAGGCAGCGTGCCAGGCGTGGCGGGCAGTAGCGCGTGGGCGGGAAGCTTGGGCTTAGAGTGGCGATGCGAGAAGCGTGCACAAGTTCCGTAGGTTACGCACTTCTGCGCCTTGTTCCGTCCCTGAACAAGTGCGTGAGGTGATGTGGGTTTGCCGCCATCTAGGTCCCATCGAGCGTGTGTCAGCGGCAGCGTGCAACCCAAATCGCCCCAGCAAGGGCCTGCGAATACGCTGGCCATGACCCAAGGCCCAAGCGAGAAGCTTCCCAGCTGCGAAGAGACATCCCCACCACCCCCCTGGTCCCTTCTCCAGGATCTCGTCTGCCCCGCCCCTTCGCTTCCACTTTGGCCCCCCTGGCTTAGCAGCAGAAGCCAACCAGCGCGTTGCGACCCCACATACCCTTTTGAGCTTACCGCGTTGCGGAGGTAGACGTCAGGTACGGTCGTGTTGTTGTCTAGGCGGCCAATCGCTTTAAGCTCGTACCATTCCGCCTCAAAGCATTCACAGGTTCGCGACAGGCCCATTTTGATGAAGAAGTTGCGCAGGAAGTCATCTATGACCTCCGGCTTCTTCACGACTTGCCCTGGTTGCACCTCAGGCAACCGCGTACGCGCTGCCGGTGGTTCTTGCTGTGGCACAGGAGGCAATTATGGGTTCGAGCGTGTCAGCGCCCTGGCGTGCATGCGACAGCCACGACGATCGGCAGAGTCGTAGCCACCTCACCTTTGCTGTGAACGCTTGTAACTTTCGTAGAGCAGCGTCAAGGTCTTCGCTCGCGTCATCTTCCCCATCACTGTAACGTGTCCACAACCACCAAGCCATCGACATGCGTGCTAAGTTTCCAGCCTTTCCAATGACAAAGGGCAACGCACCTCATAACATCGACCTCCTCATACTTGAAGTCATCATCGGAATCCTCTAGTCGCAATGTTTCAAGGCCAGGCTCCGCCATTTTGCTATTGGGCCGCGCTCCGAGTTACGCAGGCCCCGGTTTCTAACAGTCAAGCCAACTAAGCTTAACGATAACTTGTTATCATCATAATACACAGCCCACAGCTCAGCGGTAGTTGGTACTACGTGTTATCAAAGCGGTAGTGCAACTTGCCGTTTGCAATTTATTAACGGTACGCTGAGAATGCGAAGCCCAAATGCAACGTCGGGTTTGGCCCGAGAGAAAGGAACTAACATGCCGTACGTTTTGCTCCGAACCCCAGTGCATGGTCGATAGGAAGGAGCTAAGGACTAAGCGTCCAGGTAGGTTTCCTGGTCAGCGTTAGCGCCATCTTATAGGCGTTCTGGTGCAGGGGACGTAAGCTTAATTTCACGCCCATGCCGTTGAATGGTTACATCGGTAAGCCGGAACACGGCGGACATGTCCGAATCCGCTAACCCGCGCCACCCTGTACCATGGCCGAACAGATTCGCGAGCAGGGCCTGTTCGTGGGGTTGTGCGGTAGGTAAGGGGTGCCGTACGCTGTAACTTGCATACCGGGAATGACGCATGCCGAGCCACCAGGCCCACCTTTCGCCAAAGCAACATTCTACCACGCCATCCAAGGCAGCTTCTACCATCCATAACTCCACTATCTACGGTTGCCGTCCTTCCCACCGACCCAGAAGCGACCTTCAAGCTCCCTAGGCGTCATGGAAGTCCAAACCCTACGCCCTAGGCTGCCCAAGGGCATCCTATGCCGCCCTATACCTTGCAAACTGAAACCCGCCAGCAAATTCCCTTATTGTCCTCAACTCCGATCGCCATGCTCCGATAGCACTGCATCTCAACAGCGGTGTAACTTTAAACAACTGACGTCCATCGTGCTGTGCATTCCCGTCTGGATCTGTACCGTCGTCAACTACCCTGCATCACCGCTGCATGGCCGGCATCTACCGGTCCGTACAACGAGCAGAAAACGCTGGTGCCATTGTCGGTCGCTTCCCAACACCAACGCCCGTCCAGCATTGCTGCAGCAAGCATCCCGCATGTCCTCCCACCGTCCCACGTCAGCAGCAGCCGCAGCAACAGCAGCAGCAGCGGCGACAGGCGCTACTTGCTGTCCAGGCGCTGGATGTCCACCGCGCGGGGGGGAACCGCCTTCAACACGTGCCGTACACTGGTGTGCCGCTCCTGAGCCGCCGCACGGGCGAACTTGAACAGCGCGCCTGGGTGCGGCACGATGGCAGGCGCGGATCAGGAATGGGCCAATTAGGGAGAAGACAATAGAGAGAAAGCAGGGGAGCTGGTGATTGGTACACAGGAGCTATTTTGGGTTGCATGTGTAGGCTATGCGTGCGCACTAGTTGCGTGTGTCTGCTGCATGTATTGACGACATGGTTTCCCTGTCCCGCAGGAACGGAAGGGCTCTCAAAAGGGGCTGTGCCGTAGTGATTTACGCTTCTTCACAACATGATCCTTGGGTCGACCTCCACCGGGTCGACCAGGCAGCCCGCCCCTAGCATCCTCCCCAAAGTGACACCCCCGCTATCTATATCCAGTACGCACCTTCAGCTCCGTGGCTGCGACGGTGCTCCCCCCGCACCTCAGCCGGCTCCCCGCGCTGCTGCCCCTCGCCGGAGGCACCCCGCTGCAGCGCCTGCGCAGTGAGGGAATCGGGTGTCCCGTCGCTGTGCGTCTGTTGGGTTTGTTGTAGCTGACTCCGGCTGGCGGGGATGAATGGACCGCACAAGCATAGCAAGTTAGCATGCCCCCTCTCACGACAGGGTCCTTGGACAGGGCCTTCTGAGGGCATCCATTACGCAGCCACCAACAGCTTCTGTTGTACGACCATGCATGTCCACTCCCGCTCCCCACACACGCCGCCCGCGCACCTCCCCCTTCAGCTCCGCCAGCACCTCATCCTGCGCCTCCCGCCGCAGCCTCTCCACCTCCTCCTCGCTCAGACCCGCACCCGCGGCAACCGCAGCCATGTCCAGAGCGCCAGCGTCCTGCGGTGCAGGAGACCGGTGTGGTATCAGCGCATCGCATGGGACTGCCTGTCAGTGACCCATGGGTCGCCATGATGCACAGTCTAGCTCCCCTTGTGTGACGAGCCTCCTTAATTAACTTATGTGACGAGTCTCCTTAACCAACTGAAAATTGGTTAACCAACTATAAAACGCGGCTTGACCACCGTATGAAGACTGAGAGGGTGTACTAGGTCGCTGCATCGTATTACCGGCAGCCCAACGATTGCTTTTCGTGCCCCAGCAGAAAGCCCCGCACACCTCGAGGCCTAGCGACGGCACAGGTCGCGGAACGTGACGTTCGGCAGCTAGTCTGTCATGCAAGCTGGGCGGATGCGGTTGGTTTACATTATCCTGTGTCTGCTCCTCCTCTTGGCCCGCGGCCTCCATGTCCTGCTTGGCTGCATCCTCAGCGCGAACAGACAGGCTAGTGCGGGCCTCGGACTCCTCGGGCTGCTCCTGGGTCACCGGCATTGACGAATGGATGCAGTTTGCTTTGTTTACATCAAAAGACTTAAGCAAGCAGTGGCAGAAACAGGCCACCAGAAAAGGCTTGCCAGGTGCTCAGGTTTTTTCGTCTACTCGTTCGGAGTGCTTCCTTTCCTGAAACATAGGTTAATGAGGGTTGACTAAAAATGGGGCCTGCACACATGTCTTACGTTATGGAGAAGGAAATGGGAATGAGGCGAGCGAAACGCTGTACTACACGGTTGCAGGAGAATAGGTTGCGGAGGGGTAGACGGGACGACTCTTCCGCCCAATCCTGGGCTTCCCACATCTGCCTTCTTATCAGCCACTACCGTTCCCTGCACCCCTCGCACTTCTGCCGGTGTCCCCGGCTTACATGGCTCCCAGTACTCCTATGTACCCATGCACTGCCAGGGCCCCTAAAGGAGTCTCCACACGCAACTCACTTCTCCTGCCAGTCTGAATGCCCCCATTGCCTCACTAGCATGTTGGATCCGAGCTGGAGCATGGGGCTGTGTCAGCGTCTCAGGTGTCTGAAAAAGGTACCTCGACTACGTGCAGCTACGAGGTGTGTGCGTAGGCGTCCACGATGAGGGGAACTGTGTATGGATGACGAGGGGCTGTAAGGTCCAGGTACAGTCGGTGAGGATGTTTGCGGAGGGACGGACGGGTATTGTGATGTTACATATGGAGGATATGGTGCAAGAAAGGTTGACTGGCTGTTAGCCATTCGCGGCCATGTATTGGGAATTTAGGAAAATGTGGGAAAGGCTGAGCGGCTTACCAGGCTAGGTGGTGGAGTTATGCGCGGCGTGGTGTTGGGAGAACCCAGACGCACGAATTCCCGCGGTTATGTACGACGATGTCAACAGCCAGCGAATGAGCACTGACAACGGGCCGATTGACTATCTTGCGCAAAGAGCTTACTGACCTAACACCAAGTCAAGTCATGCAATTGGAAGGACACCCTACCCGCTCGTTGACCCTTTTTAATACTCGGGTTTGCTAACCGACCGCATGTTTTCGCTCCTATATGGACTGTACGAGTACATCTTTCGCAAAGATGAATTCCACGTGCTAATCCTTGGCGTGGATAAGGCTGGGAAGACGAATGTGGGTTTGCGAACCTAAACCCATGAACCGTTACTTGCAGCCTGCTGAGATAATGACGTTGCTATTCAGGTGCTGGAGAGATTAAAGACAATATTTACACAATCGATTGGCCTTGACCCTGGCAAAATCCTTCCAACTGTCGGCCTGAACGTGGGGCGCATCGAGGCGCATAAGCATAACCTAATATTCTGGGACCTTGGAGGGCAAAGCGGCCTGCAGTCGATCTGGGACAAGTACTACAGCGAGGCGCATGCGATCGTGTACGTTGTCGATGCGGCCAACCGCGCTCGCTTCGATGAGAGCAGAGCCGCCTTCGATCGCATGCTGGAGCACCGGGAGCTCGCTGGTGCGCCGTTGCTGATCATGGCAAATAAGCAGGACCTAGATGGCGCAACCAGTGCCCTGGACGTGGGCCAGGTATTTGGCATTGAACGCCTGGAGGGACGGCAATTCAAAGTGCTCCCAGTCAGCGCTTACACCGGCCAGGGCCTGAAGGACGGGGTGGAGTGGCTGGTTGAGACAATCAAGCGGAGCCACAGAGCAATGCGGTTACGTGTCCGCAGCGGGGGAAGCTGAGGGTTGTTAGATCGGATGCTAGGCCGCGGGAGTGTGTGGGCGTGCTTGAGAGGTTGGTCCTGGCTATGTACGATAACGGAATGTGGGTGGCGGTTGCGGTGTGAATGCACAGGGTTTGACCAAGTCAATTAAGAGGGCAGGCCGGCAGCCTGTGCCGGGCAGGGCAGGGCAGTAGAAATGCAGGTGCAGAGCAAGCATGCCGCATTGAGGGCTGAGGTGCTGGCATTGCGGCATGGCAGGGTGATAGTGGCATGGGTGCTTGCGCTTCTCTTGCGCAGGACGGTAAAGGCACGGGTCTTCACCTCACACGAATGCAGTACACAAATGGACCCTTCTTAATTACCCGTACTTTGCGTGATTCCCGGCGACTTTGTTTGGTATGGAAACCAGTGCATGGTGGCAAGGGGTGGAAAGGCATTGGCTTGCGTTATAAATCCCCGTTGGGAGTAGTGCATGCAGCCACCTCTTCCGCAACATAGGCTTTTGCTGAGCTCTGTGCAAAGCCTTTCCCGAGTGGGGTGCAATGGCTTGGCTGCTGGCTGGGTGCAAATGTTGCGTGCCGGAGCCGGAGACAGAGGCCGAGCGTCTATGACGGTTGTCGTGTTCATGCGAGTAGTATGGCTGTACAAGGGCACTGAACGGCAAAGCTGCACCGAGAGCTAGTTGACACTGAGTTCGGTGGCAACCCCGGGACGACGACTGAGCGGTGTGGCAAAGTGGGTGGAGGTAATCTAGAGCGAGTGCATGGGGAGAGGTGGACGCGTGACGGTGTGTCCGAACGACCTTGCTACAGGCACGCAATCTGCTGCAATGTGGTTTGTCGCAAGCGTCCGTATCACGGGCTCAAAGCTTCGAAGTTCGTGTCGGGAGATGGACCGCCACATGGGTTCATGGCCCGGAAGTGGGGCTGCGTTCTTGCTGTTGCCGCGCTTCATCGCACACCAGCATCTGGACGTGGACTCGCACACAAGCTGTGTGTCGGCCTCGTCAAGTCCAGGGAGCCAAAGAAGCTCGTGGATCGCGCCCAGTACCGGTACTATCAGCCTGAACCCGCAGACTACAACAGCTTCCGAGAGCCAAACCCAACTGTCGTCGTACATGCACGTGCGCCACGTGGTAGACCCGCCGCCGCCCCCACCAGGCACAAGCAACCGAAAATCTATATTTGATGGAGCCAAAAGGTCCAAAAGCACCTAAATGTCATGCCAGCCGGCGTTATATCACATCCTACGCACGTCATAAGCACATCCGAACGTCCTTGTTTCCAAGAGCCAAGAGTGTTCGCACACCCTTCACCTGCCCGCCCAGACATCCGGTCGCCCTGGTTAGCCCCAACCACCCCACACCAGAGCGCTCTTCAAGGCGCTCTGGTGCCAAGCGAAAGAGCCCCCTCCTCCCTGGAACTGCGTTGCTGCTCACTTATTTCCACCCCTCCCTGATAGCCCCCCTCCTCCGCCCCTGCAGCCCTCTGCCCTCCCTCTCCCATCCCTCTTTACCCCTCTCCCACATTGTCTACCCCCCTCTCATCCCCGCGCCATATCCAGCTCGCTGGCCGCCCCGGGTGCCGCCGCGTAGGAGCTGCTCTTATGCTTGGGCGCAAAGGAGATGGGCGCGGGGGGCGGACCCAGCAGCATCTCGCTGATGCGCACCCAGTCCTGCAGGTGGGGGGAGGGTGGGGAGGCGGGAGGTGGTGAACAGGAAGCAACTAACGAACCGTATGATAAGGCGGGAGCTGGTGGAGTGGGGTTGAGGTGGTAGGAGGCGGGAGCGCATACGGGGAGTGGTGGGACAGGCGGATGACGTGTACGGTGCGGGGTCACGACGCTGGCGAGGTGACGGCTGGCAACCGCGCTGCAGGACCCCACGTGACTCCCGCAGGTAACTTGACCGCCGGGCAACTCCACACATGTGCTGCCCAGCTGCAAAGCCACATCACAAGCATAACATCTTCCCTGCAAGCGGCCTTACAAGTCTACGGCCTCTCGTTGCTGGCCTACACCACCCCCCCTGACACCCCCCTGTGCCCGCTGGCCCCCTTGCCCCCCACTCCCTACCCGCCACCCCCCACCTGCGGCTCCTCGCTTGCCAGCAGTGTCTCCAGGTCTGAGCGGCCGCGGTAGGCGGGCGGGCGGTGGTTCATCTGCTGGGGCAGCACCTCGAGCAGCCCCACCGGCACGTACCTGGGCGGCCAGGCGGGGGGGGGAGGGGACGAGGCAAGGCGGGGGATACATAGGGATAGGCGTATATTTGTATCTGTTGTATAGCGGGGAGGGGAAAGCGTTGGGACTGTAGACGGCTGTTGAGGAGGGTGTCGACTAGAATAGCTGTGGTGGTTTCCCCACCTGCAGCTGAACGACAGCCACTCCAGCAGGAAGCGCCGAGTGGTCTCCACCCCGCGTCCGTCACTGCCCCAGTGCTCCAGACCCGCTGCGCAGAAGGAGCGGTACAGGTCCAGCCGCTCGCCGGCGGAGATGTCCCAGTGCCGCTGCTCCTTGATCTCTGCGGATGGGGGGGGGGACAAGAAGAATACCCAACGATGGGAGGGAAGGGAGGAGATGGCCGGAGGGGATAAAAGAAAATCAAACTACGAGTGAGCGCAAGCGGTCAGGCCGCACTACCCCTGCACCCCCGACACCCTCCCAGCAACCCCCCACCCCACACACACACATCCACTGGCTGCCGGATGCTTTCGTTCCTGCCTGCAGTACGTTCTTACTCGCGGCCAGTTTTCTTAACACATCCACCCACCTGTGAAGATCCAGGGTTTGATGAGCGCCCCACGCCCCACCATCAGCGCCGCCAAGCCGCCTGCTGCTCCACCGCCCTCTCCGTCTGCCGCTGCCTCCGCCGCCTGCTGCATGTGCGCGTTCCAGTCCGTGAAGGAGAAGACGTCGCCGTTGCCGATCAGCTGCAGGCCCGCAGCCGCGCAGGAGGAGGCGCAACTGGGCGAGGTGGGGGTGGATGGGTGGGGGATAACGTGAGGAAGGGGCAAAGCAGCAACCCAAGCCAGGGAACCAACACAAGCAAGCAGCCAGCTTCCCTCCCTATGTATGACCAGCACAACAACGCATTCCTGGTTTGGATATGTAGGTTACAACACTACTGGCTACAACAAGAGCATGGCATTGTGTGTGCCCCACAGCCAGGGTAACCCGCCCCAGTCGGGCCCCGGAATTGGGAATCCAGTGCTTCACTTCTTCCCCTTCCTCTTGCCCCACCTCCGGGCCGTATCCTCCTCCTGCGCACCCACCCTCCTTCCTCCACCGCACCCATGTCCCTTCCTTCCCGCACCCACCCCCCTTCCCCCTTCCCCCTCCCCCGCACCCACCCACCTCCGGATGTACCCCCAGTCCGCCAGCTTGCTGTAGCGCTGCTGCCGGGTGCGCCCGTGCAGCGTCACCGCGGCGGCGCCCCACTCGCGAGCCCGGTGCAGGAAGGTGTGCGCGACCTGCGGGGAGGGCGGGCGGGCGGGTGGGGTAGTGGGGAGAAATCGAGCCATGTCACAGAGCGTGCGGGTGGGCTAATGGGGAGTAAAGGAACCATGTGCCAGGGCTCCACCACCATGGGAAACCACCATGGGTTGCATCATGGGATGGGTAAGGAGGAAAAGGGGTGGCGGCAGGCGGTGGTGGTGGTAAACCGGTAAGCTGAACGCAAGGGTACGGTAGACAGGGCCGCAGCGGTAGGGACAAACCAAGGAAGGCTCGCGCCCTTCCCAAGTTACCGTAACCACTCCACATGGCACCTTTCTTGCGTTCTCGCTTCTCCCCACTACGGTACCCCATGTACCACACCCCATGCACCCCTCCCCCCCGCGCATGCCCCTGCTGCTCCCGCACTCACGTCCTCTCCGTCGTTGTAGCCCTTGCGCGTCTTGAAGGTGAGTGCCGTACGCTCCCCCAGTGCGGCGGAGGCGGAGCGCACGATCTGCTCGATGCGGCGGGGCTGCCGCAGCAGCGCGCTGCCCGCACTCTTGTCGCACACCTGGATGCGTGGGTGGGTGCAGGATGGAAAGGGTGGGGGTGGTGGGTACAGAGGAAGGATTGAACCGACCTCATGGGTGGGAGGTCCTCGACCCCTGCCAGCTCCTCCCAACCTCCTAACCCTGCAGCTCCAGCCCACGACGTCAGCCCACCACATCCCAGCAAGCACACCCCCTAACACACACCCTCCCCCCATCCCATCAAGCCTCGTCATGCAGTTCGTCAGTTTCCTCAGTTTCGCCCCCTCCCGCCCTCCCCCCGATCTCCCACCAGGTCGATGGGGCAGCCCATGTTGATGTCCACAAAGTCCGCCTGCAGGTGCTCCCCCAGCAGCTGGCAGCAGCGGGACACGGCGTCGGGGTAGCCGCCGCAGATCTGGGGGAGGGGGCGGGTGGGGTGCAGGGGAGTGGGTGGGGGTGGGTGGAGAGGCAGGAAGGAAGCAGTACCGGCAGCACTTACGTGCGTTAATGTCACATGCATGCACCGGGCGGCCAAGGGAAGCCGCAAGGAGGCATGCGGAGATCCCGCATACACAGACAATTTCTTTAACACACAGCCATGTCAGCATCAGATTTGCGGCCAGTTGATTCGAGCGCATGCATGCGGCCGGTCATGTTGACGCAACCCCCCCACCCCACCCCCATCAGTGTTTCTTTATTTTTACCCCACCCCCATACCTGCACTCCGAAGAAGTCCTCGCTGGGGTGCCTCTTGAGCAGCGCCCACTCGCTGGCCTGCCCCTGCAGCAGGTTGGTGGCCAGAGCCATCTCGCCGCACGTCACATCAACACCCAGAGACTTGCAGATGCGCCTGTTGGCGGGGGGAGGGGAGAGTGAGGGGGCGGAGGTCAAAGACCATACCGAACCATAAGAAACACAGGTTAGGGCAAAGCAATGGGGGAAAAAATTAAATATGTGAAACAACGAGTCCCAAAGCAATGGGGGGGGTGAAGCAGAGTGGGGCCAGCCTCTATCTAAGCAGGACAAAATGTTGTGGTGGTAGAGGAAAAACGAAAAGCATGCAGGTGCACGAGGAGTCCACGCAGGCTGCATGCAAGCGACCAACTGCGCAGCCTGCAACCCCACCCTACCCCACCCACCACCCTTACGGTTCTTCACCCCCATCACCCCCACCACCCCGCACCTGAAGGGCAGGTTCCCCACCGTTGTCAGCGGCGCCAGGTAGGTCTTCCCCCGGAAGTCCGGCACCCGCCGCTCCACCGGGCGCAGCGGCACCTCCACGTGCTGGCTGCGAGCCTCCTGAGCAGCGGCAGCAGCAGCAGAGGCGGTGGCCGGGGCAGCGGTAGCAGCTGCGGCGGGGGCGTCTTGCTCCGCTACCAGCGTTGCTACCGCAGCGGCGTCGCTGTCTAACCGCTGACGCTTGGCAGCGGGGGCCTCTTCGGGGGCTTCCCCAGCGGCTGCGACGGACGGAACGCCGTCAGGGGCTGTTGCTTCTGCTCCCGTCGAAGTCTGCACAGCGCCGTCCGTCTGCATGGCGTCAGGAGCCCCGGCAGCAGCAACAGCCGGCTCCGCAACCTGCTGTAGCGGCTCTTGCCCCGGCTGTGCCGCTGCCACCGCCGCCTCCGGAGCAGCAGCAGCAGTAGCAGCGGAGGCCGCCGGACCGTCCTTCTGCTCTCCGTCGCCCTTGCCGTCACCGCCGGGGCGCCCCCCTGACAGCGGCTTGGGCTCATGCTTGAAGGAGATGCGCAGACCCATGGAGCGCAGGATGCCGTCCGCACGACTGAAGTCGTACCTGCAAACACAGCACAGCACAGTATGTGTGTTCCACTCGCGGCCAGTTTTCTTAACACACAGCACGGTGGCGAGGAGGGAGTGGCGGTGGAGGGCAGCATGACGCCGTGGGGAGGAACGCTGTACGACACCCCTCGTACTACAAAGCCATGTACTGAATTGTTATCATGCCGTAAGGCGAATGGAAGGGAGGAGGGAGGACATGCTTCCTGCTTGGGAAGCACCTTTGCACCCACACCTCGCTACACTCATTGTGCGCCATGAGGATACCGGTAACCGGAGTGCACGCGTGTGGTGCGGTGTGTACTGCACGCGCCGATTTCAGAGGTGACCTTCGCTTCACGCCGTAACACACCATCCGCACCCCGCCCCAACCCACCTGTTCTTCCAAAGCTGCGTCTGCACCTCGCGGCTCAACGAGTTCACCTCCTTCTCGATCGACGTGGGCAGCGGCAACGGCAGCGGCAACTGCGCTGGAATGCCGCTCCCAGCCGGCGCCTCAGCCGCCTCCGTCGCGGCGGCTGCGGCAGCAACAGCCGGGGTGCCCTCGGCGCCCGCCGCCGGTGCCGCCGCGCCCTCGGCGGCGGGCTGCGGCTCTAGCGATGGCGGTTGTGGCGGTTGCTGCGCCGGAGTGGCCGCTAGCAGCTTGTGTGCCTCGTCGTCCACCCCGTGGCTGAGGGCGTAGCGGCAGGTGATGCCTGGAGGGGGGAATGGAGTCAGGGGTTGAGCGTCGTGAGTTGTCTTGAACGTATGCGCCTGTTATATGTGCTGGGCAGGAGATTCATTAAATGGGACCTTAGGCCATGCAGGGCCCCGCTGGCTCCGTTCCAGCCCTCACCGTACGGGCACGTGGCTTGTACGGCAGTCCAGGGGCAGGTCCCCGGCAGGTCCGCTGGCTTCGAGCGCACGTACTCCGACAGGTCGTGGCCGAATTTGCAGCGCTCGCCAAAGTTGCAGCGACCCAACACGAAGTTGCTACAGAGCTCGGTTTTGCGCGAAGAACGGAAGTCCTGAAGGCGGGCATGCAACCGAGGGCACAGTAGTGAGGACAAGGGAGAAAGCATGGCGACTATGGAGGGAAACTAGCAGGCAGTAGAAAGGGAGGCGGGTGCAATGGGAGGCTTAGGGCGGGGCTAGGGCGCAGGGACAAGGACGCATTGGACTGGTGAGTGAGTGCCAGGCGCCCGAACACCAGGGGACGTGAGGAGAGGTGGGAAGAGGTTTTGGATCTCCCACCAGGACGCCACCGCTGCATACTGTGACATGGAGCCCTCCGCCAATCCCCGCCGTGCTATCGGCGCTACCCTAGCGCTGCGTGCCAACTAACCTTGCGCATTTGCTTGCGCGATTTGTTTTTGCTCTGCTCATTTGTGGGCGCTGGCGGTGCCGCAGCCGCTTCACCATCCAACCCAGAAGGTGCCGACTCTACTTGCTTACGTTGCGCGACCTGCGACACCGGTAGCTATTGAAGCCAGCTTCGCGCCGCCGAGCCAACCGACAACTTGCATAGTCATCCAACAGTAGCTGCTCCTCAGCTCTTGCTGCACAAGTACCTTGCGAATTAAGTACTCAGCCTTGACTGGTACAATATTCCTTTCTAGCATTTGCTGTGCAGTCAGGATGGGCGGTGCGCCCGCAGCTTCTTGAGCCGTATCCTCCATTAAAAATAGAGGTTTGGGTAGGTGGTGATGCAATAACAAGGCTTGTTAAATGGGTAACTTCCAGGTGGAGGCCGTTGATTGCCGCAGAGTCAGCCGCAACTACATCCAATCGCCTATACGGTAAGAAATGTCAAACATGTGCTCTTCTTATAATTCTGGATGGTCAGGGCCTACTTTCTCATGCAAATCTTGCACGATCTATCGTGCGGTGCATGCTGGGCGCGGTATGAGGTAGACTGTCATGTCACTGCGATACCCCAACGAGGGACAAGCCTAGTTATGATTATGCCGTTCTATTGTGCTCGTATGCCCTGAGACACACCTGCCGTTACCTGCCAACATCTAAAGTTACGGTGTAACTCGGCGGCATCCACACGAACTGTCTGTCTGGCACGAGCTTGCGCCCGCAAGCGGCACCAGGCACCGCATGGCTCCATCGGGCTAACTCATTTGGCGCCCTTCAACACCGCTCAAAGCAGAGCCAATCAAGGAGGACGCCCAACCTGTATCCCAATGCTATCGGTGCGAACATACTTTCACGCGATCCCACTCAGCCCCTACATGAGGTTTTCCCTCTCTTCATTCCTGGCCAAGCTAACCCCGGGACCAAGTCCCGGAGTTGCATCCACTACCGGTACTCAGCCCTGCAACGGCTTGTTCACGTGAAGGCCTGCCTCCTGCTCTTTGCAGCTGCGCCTTGCCCTCAAGAGGCCATTGAAGCATTGGTAAGCGTCACGTCTAGGAACATTTCACCTCCCTGATAACACACATGAAGCGGGTGGAATGGTCTGACTCCGCGGCAGGGATCATGGGCCAAGACTGCATGTCCCTCCCGGTTGCCCCTACTTTTGGGTTTGGCTATGCCGGCAATTTGTTTAGCGTTTTCAAGCATAGCCATTAAGTCGCAGGTTGGGATTGTGATGCGTCCTATCCAGTTATAGTAAGGTCAGTAACCGTTCGAGCCAAAATGACAGCCGACTGCAATTGGTCCCAGCAGTTACAGCCACCATATAAGAATGAACATTGTCTATAAGCGCTGTTGTCCCTGATTCGCAACGAAGCCCAAGTTGGGAGCTGGGATCCAGCTGCTTTTAGTGCTCGTACATCCACCCACAACAGGGTCTTAAGACAACACACGCTTCGCCTCGCAAGACCAACAAAGCCCCGAAAATAGACTGCACAATGATGTTGCGCAATAACTGTGACTTTAGCTAGGCATATGCGTCCCCTTCATTGTTAATTGATTTGTACTATCGGCTGGATATAGACACTGTTTAAGGAATGGGCTGCTGCTGGAGTGATCCCCTCAGCGTAGAGGCTGTCCTCCTACGGCGTCAGGTTGGCTGAGTTTGCGTGTGCGACCCAAGAACCAAATGAAATGTCCGCAGTAGTGTTACTGGCTTTCCGTAATCACAGGGACCCGCTGCCGTCAAAGACAACTGTTATCCTGACAAGCTAGGACCTGGTGGTGTGAAGGTAAAGCTGTTGCGTGCTTTCCTCCACAGTTCATGCTTGCAAACGCCCTTTCCAGGCTTGGCCGTCGACCTTCAAGTTATCAAGTTTTGCTGCCAGATGGTTATATGTTGCTATCTAACATGCTGTGAAATAAGGCTGCTTACCTCAACAGCAACATCCATGCTTGCAGATTCTTACTTCGAGCTCCGCAACAGATGGCAGCAACCGCTCAGGCGGGCGTTCTTACAGTAGACTGGTTGTTGGCTCGGACTGGATTCTGGCAGCACTCTTTGAAGCTCATGGCCCTGGTGGCACGGACAGCAGTAACCCCACTACCACCGGCGCCTACTGCGATGCCGCAGCGCAATTCTGCGCGCAACACTGCTATACTGAGTTTTTGCAGGCACAGAAGCAGTTCGCCCCAACGGGTGGCGACCTGCAGCGTGTCCTAACAGAGACGTTGCGTTCACTGGACCAGCGCTTCTTGGCAGAGGATGCCATTCCGCAACAGGTGGGTTTCTTGGTGTCCTAGTGAGCTCTGTGCCTTACTTGGATTAACAGTTGCTGCCAAGATTCAATCTAGAAGGCAAGGGGAAACGGGTATTTCTGGGCATAGGCGATGGTGCGAAGGAAGCTGAGTTCGGGTTGATTGCAGACACCATGATTGCAGACACCCTATGGCATTTTAACATCCAATCACGGCCTCTCCCACGAAACCCGGACTTATTTGATTGCAATGACTTGCTGCTTTGCACTCTGCCGTTTTCAGGACCGGCTAGCCTCCGGCTGCACCGCTGTGCTGCTGCATCTAGCACTTGGGCCGAACCAGCCTGCTTCACAGTTTCAGCGCCGCAGTGGCGACCGCTCCATCATCGCCACTGCAGCGTCCCTGGGGCCCTGCGCAGCAGTCGTCGGGCAGCGCCAGGGCGGGTTTGCCAGCACGACGAGCGCCCCGTTGGTCTTATGTGGTGGAACTGCGGCCAGGTATGAAAGCAAGGACGGGGTTACGGCTTGTCGAATGAATGAATGATGCCAAGAAACCCGATGCACATGGGTTGGCATGCAGACTGCGACCCCGATTTATCTGTTCCCCCTAAATTTGCAGTCACGACGCCCTCCATGCGTTCCTGGCATCGTTTGCGGACGAATGGCAGCAGCAATGGCCGCAATACTCGAGAGTGGCAGACACCAAGGGGTCGACAAGCGCAAAAGCTGGCAGCAAGGCCAAGACCAAGTCCGGCAAGAACAAGTCAAACGCCGAGGGCGGTACAACCGCTGCGGGCGCACCAGCACCGCTTCCGGCGCAGCAGGTGCCAACCTTTGCCTTTGCGCCACAGTACTGCAAGGACGTAGCGGCTCCACAGGCGCTGGGATTCGGTGCTGCCAAGGGCCTAGGCTTACATGGCGGTAGCTTCGGAAGGGCCGGGACTGGTACGGCTGTGCCGTGCAGGTACCTGGAGCCTCGACTGGGTTTCAGTGTCCAGGTAGGTTAGAAAGATGGCGGTGCTTAGCGCACACGAGGGCGGCCTTTTGCTAAAGTGCAAGTCGCACGTCCGTAGTGATACAGCCCAGAGCACGGCTGGGTGCTGAAGACACTTGGGTTGAATCTTGAATGTCTTGGGCATTTGGGTCGTACTGCTTTCCAGCCTGGACTACATCCAAGGGGCACACACTGCTTCTACTACCGGTATGTTTCTGAGCCTGTCAACCTTCAATACCCCGCCAATGCCATATCCAGACGGCCCAGATGGCCCTTGGTCCTGCGGACGAGAGCGTGGTGCTGCTCAGCGGCGGCGCAGCAGCCACCATCAGCCCTGGCGATGCGGCCCTGCTGATGCACCGCATGGGCAAGGTAGGAGATCATCAGATGGAGTACTGCTTAAAGAATGAGGGTGCTTGCGGCGGAGGCGGAGAAGATGCTTAATCGTTATGATCTGGGGTGTAGCATTCGAGGTCGATGCAACTAAACTCAGTTAGTTGTTGAAATGGACTACTAAACACCCCTCCTTACCCGTTCGGCTCTTCGTGGCCTCTTCTCGACATCAACAATGTGGCTCCTGGAAACCCATGCTATGGCGCTACTGCGTCACCGTGCTGCTTCGACAGCTTTCGAGCATCCCTTTCAAGGCCAAACCCACAGCGCTGGTAAGGTTTGCAACCCATTTAGGAATTCCATTTGTCTGCGTTGCCCCCCATTGCTACCTTGGCCGTTGCAAGTCCTGTCAACATGTGTTAACCCGATGTGTGCATACGATGCCTGCAGGCGGAAGGGTCACCGGGAAGCGGTGCCGTACAACTCGACAGCCTTGGAGTCGCTGGTCCGGCACCGGGTGCGCCACCAGCCGCCGACACCGGCGGCAGTACAGAGCCCTATGGGATGCCACCCTTTAACGCTGCACGCATGTTGGTGCGTCATGCGGCCACTGGCGCAGGAGGCCGTCGGCAACAGGCTTCAGGTTCGTGAGACCTGGCAGGATACGGCGAGGAATGACGGTGTTATCTTTGCTAATAGCCCCCGTTGCACCCCGTACTACGTCGCGTTTCCCATCATAGAAGCTCATGTTGCCATGTAACCCTTTGACGTTGCTGTGCAGGGCTGAGCGGCGCCCCACCCGCTGCAGTGCTGGCCCTGTCCCTGGACTGGGAGCCGAATGCGGCCGGCGGTGCCGCATCGGTCATGGCGACCAGCGGCACTTCAATCGCCGCAGTAGCTGCGCAAGCGGCGGCAGCTGCACGCGAGGGCCAGCGTGCACTGTACCGATGGCAGCTGTTGCGCTTGTACTACAAGTTCCCGCATAAGCACCGGACGGTCCTCGTCGACAGGTATGTAGCCGGCATTATCCTACAGGCTTTGGCCCTTATACCGATAGTACTCGTGGTCGTGGTGCCCATGGCGACGCAACGCGCTGGCTTCTTGCTGACTTGTTCTCTGGCTTTTCTACGCGTTTACCGCAGGTGGCACGAGATCTTTGACAAGGTGGTTGGGGAGGCAACTCGCGGGGCGCGGGCCAAGGAGGTTATGGCATGGAAGCGTCTGGGGGCCGCCGTGCAGGTACGTGTCGCTCTCCGGGTAACTGAAGAAGGCCTGGTTTCGATAGGCGCCAGAATCTTGTACACGAACTGACAACGTTGGATGTGAACAGCAGCGTGATCGAGTGGATGCTACGCAATTTCTATGCCCCTCGATGCAACATGGCTTGTCGCCGGTGTCCACATGGCATAAACTCATACATTTGTGCGTCGCAGGTTAGCGCCGGGGGCGCTGTAAGGAACTTGGCTGCAAGCCCCGCGCCCAATTCCGCACGGAAGACCTCTGCCCCTGGCGCTTCTCATAGCCCTGCAGCCTCCTGGCGGAGCCAGGGTGGCTCACCGCCAAAGTCTAACGCCGGCTCCCGACACACCACCCCAAGCCGTCTGACGGCTGCAGCAGCAGCCGCTGCGTCCGTGCTAATGTCACCGGGCTCCTCGCAGCGCCTGTTTCGCAGCGCAGGCGGCGGAAGCAACAACGTAAGCGGCCGTGCCGGTGGCAGCGGCGTTAGCAACGGCAGCCGAAGCCATCCTGGCGGCGCCCCTACACCCCCGCCAGTAGGGATGGACTCTAGGGTGGAGATTGTCATGGCTGCCGAGGACGTCAAGCCCGCCAAGAGCCGCAGCCAGGCTGGTGGCCTCCTCAAGGGGTCTAGCTTTGGCATTCGTCAAGCAGCTGCCGCCGCCCCTGCTGCTAGCCAGGGCCCCGTTGCGTCCACCGCAGCGGAAATCCCCGAACCAGCACCTGCGGCAGCACCTCCTGCGGTAGCAGCACCTCCTGCGGCAGCTATGAACACAGGAGCCCCAGCTGCCAAGGCAGCATCCTCACGCCGTCTTTTTGCAGGCCCTGTGGCAACAGAACCACCCGCTACCGCTGCCGCCGCCACAGCCGCACCTTCTCGCGGCAGCAGCTTCAAGACTGACAAGGTCGGAGCCCCTCAATCGGGTTCTGGGACCGAGAACAAGCCCACCGCTAGCGACGCCACTGGTGCCAGCAAGGGCTCGACCGCTGGCATCTGCGACCGCACCACACCCCCTAAGCCACTATTCAACGTCCAGGTCAACACCTCCATTCCCGCGCCGCCCCTCTATCATAGCCCCAGTCCACGCAGCCCTGCAAGCAACATACCCCGAACCTCTGCAGGCGGCCCCAACCGCTCCTCCATTCCCTCGCTACGATCCCAGCCATGTACACCGGGCTCCATCGCTCAGGTTGCTGGCGCCCCTGCCAAGACGCCGACTCCTGCGACAGCCCCTTCCCAGCCGCCCAGTTCCGCACGAAACCCGCTGCGGCTGTCGACACAGCCAGGAGGCAGCGGCATTCCGACGCCGCAGGCGGCCACCTCGCCTGTCGCGCGCCAAAGCAAGAACGGCAGCGGCATTCCCGCTGCCGCAGGAGCCCTGGCGTCTTCTTCTGTGGCACGTAATAGTGCGGCCAGCCGGCTCCCGCGTCCCTCTCTCAGTGGCAACACAACGCCGCTTACCACCCCGCAAATCACCCCGCAAGCCACCCCCGCAGCTAGTCCCTTTACTACGAAAGTAGCCACGGCGGCGCTCGCCCCTGTCGTCACAGCAGCTGCAGATGCGGCTCCTGGCGCGGCAGCCGATGCAGCCGCTACCGCAGCCGTCATTCGCACATCCTCTACAAACCCAACGTCGGGAGTTGCACGCTCGCTTTTCCCCGGCGGCGATGGTGGTGTCGCAACCGGAAGGCCCTCCATTCTGCGGCCGCCCATGCTGAGCAGCATTCCGGACCCAGCCGACCCAGTTGCACCCGTTCGCCTCAAGGAGTCCTGCTCGGTTCCAGACTCTGCCGGTGACGGTTTCGTTACAATAGCCTCCGTCACCACTGACGCTGTTGCTGGTACGGCAACGGCGTTAGCTGCCGTCCCCAGCACTGGTAGCGCCATGGAGGTGGATGCGGCTGCCGTCATCTCTGCTGCTGGCGTCGCTGCTGCCGGCGCCGATGCCGCCATTGCGGACATGGGGTCCATGGATCTGCTTTCCCCGGATGCCGATCAGCTGGCCGCTTGGGCCTCGCAGGCTGCAGCAGCAATGGCTGGCGGGTCGCCACGCAAGTCAGAGCCCCAGCTGGAGGAAGGAAAGTACCTGGAAGGCCGCCAGACGTCGCAAGGGCAGCTGAAGAAGGTGCGGAAGCCGTGGGACGAGGCGCCAGTCACCGCCGGCGAGGATGGCGTGTCCGTGAAATCCATGGCAGCGGAGACGGGAGCAGGAACGGCTGCGGAGGAGCCGTCCAGCAAGCGAATGCGTATGCCGCTTAGCCCAAGGTACGGATGAGGAGATGTTGTGTTGTCGGAGTCTGACGTACCTGTATGTGCATGGACTAAGATCATGCTTTTGAGGCCTTCATGCACATGCAAGTACCTTCACTCCTCTGTTGTGTTTTGGGAAGTTCCTCCAGATGCCATGACATGCCATCCATTAATCCATCCTCTCTGTTGGCATTGCCCCCGTAGGGACGTGGACAACAACTCCCCGAAACGCGCGGTCTCGGCGGGAGGTCTCCTCGCCGCCAAGGTTGCCGCTGCCAGTATGGCGGCTGGCACCGTCAGCGCTGGCGGGGTAGAAGTGTCGCCGTCAATGCGCGCGTCGTCAGTCCGCACAAGGCGCTAGTGACGAGGCGCTGCGAGCATATGCAATGCTGCAGGCGCTATGCTTGTACTCGACGTCCTTCACCTTTATCGTGGGACTCGCCACCTCGCATGCAGGTCGCATGTGCTACCCCATGGAATGTTTCGAAGGGACCAACCTTAGTGAACATTGGTGACCGTGCACGGAAGACTGTCCTTATTCTTATAACGCGTGGTACCAACCTAGGCACACGCCGTATTTGTAGGGCGTTAGAGCAGGTGATAGGCTATTGGTCATCGGCTATGCAAGCAGTGATTAATTCTCTTTGAGCCGCTTGTGTCCATTGTTCCTTGTGGTTGGGAAATTAGGAGGTTTTAGGAGGTGCTAGTCGATAGACGCAGGTATAGCTTCTGTTAATTCATAGGTGTTTCGGGGTGTCAATGTACAGCGTATGATGCACCGTTATAGCGAACGCCCAACGTCTGACAAGTAGGTGGCTTGCACGTGTGCATTGGGTACGGCAGGCTTGTGCTGAACTGCATGCGCTCTGTTAGCAGCATGCGTGCGAGGCGCAAGTGCTCATCTTGCCGTACACTATACATGACAGGCGTAGCAAGTCCTACTCTTCCATGGGATGCCTTGATGGCCCAAATAGCCACGTGTTTTGTTTTGTTTACTGAACGTGATGCGAACGATGCGTATTTTGTTTGCTGTACCTGGTAGATATAGACATATAGTATGGTACGGGGTTGGGTAATGCAGTAGACAGTACAGTAGGAGCCTTAGATCTAGATATCATTACAGGACACGGTGAGAGGCCTTCGGATTTCCTTCGGAATGAATTACAATATGTTCACGTATGCTATGTTACAGTTAGAATGTAGGGCTCTGTCGCTAGAGGGTAGGAGGTTGTCGCGCGCGTAGGTGTATTCGGAAGATATGTGTTCACTTCTAGCCGTGTACTGCTCTTCTTGGACTCACTGACCCAGTGAAGGCGCTGACACGCAGCTCTCCGTCGGAAGCTGACGCACCCTTGCCTTGCAACCTGCGCTTATTATCAGTCCGTCAGCGTGCCGAATCGCCACACGGTATAATTAAACGAGTTCTTGTAGGAAATTGAGGCTGCTACCGTCAGTAAGGAGCTGTATGCGAATGAACAGGAAGGATGTTGCGTTGTACGAACAAGATCACTGCCGAGGCCTGCAGTCTCCCAGCAATGCAAAGATGAAAAAACTATGTCCCTATCGTGTGCGGTTTGCTGCCTATGGCGCAACGGAAAGTTACGAATCCTTTGTGACTTGCCATGGTCAAGTGGGCCCATAAGTATTACCTATAAGTACCACAATTCTGTTCACGTGTGAATGAACGTTAATGAAGTTAGGCCCTGGCCGGGTCTGCCGAAAGAATGTCTGGAGGGCATCGCGCGTTTTGGCGGTCCGCAAGCAGCGGCGACGCTTTCTTCTACATGCAAATCTTGGCGCGACGATATAGCGGATGACTTGTTGTGGCGAACTTGGCACGGCAAGTAGCTATGGCGAATTCCTGTCCATTACATCACCACGGCCTCAAATGTCGTGAGGCTCCTCCCATAATATCGGGACCCCCCCCATCCAGTCTGTTCAACTGAGCTAAACCCCTTGCTTCCCACAATCTTCAACTTCGGCCTCCTCAACCCTACAGGCCTTCCCCTGCTCCGCTACCACTCCTGGCGCAGCAGCTATGGTTTGTATGCGCGCAGTATTCGCTCCTGGCTGGGCGGCCGAGAGACGGCATCTGAGGTGCTTCCCTCCGCCCACGAGCGCTGGATGACCTCCCTGGATCTTAGCCGTACACACGTTCTGTCCGGATCAATGGATTCCAACGTGAAGGTACGGGCACCGAGGTCTTTCAGATGTCCGGTATACTTGTACTGGAAATCTGGAATGCATGCATGTTGAAGTGGGCACAGCAATGCTACCGGACATACCACAGCTGGACATAAACCGTAGCCGGTATGCGGCGCCTACCCATCATCGTACTTGAAAGCGGCCTTACCTGTTATATACACCCCCCCTTTACGCCGTAACACCCCACGGATGCCGTACACCGCTCTGCATACAGCTCTGGGACCGCAGCCGGCCCGGGGCCTGGCTGCATTACCTACGTGGCCATACGGGCCCTGTGACCTCCGTACGACTGGCGTACGACAGCGGAGGCGGCGCTGCTCCTGGCGGCGGCGCCAGCGCGTTTTCAGGGTCACGTGATGGCACTCTGCGTTGCTGGGACCTGGCTACTGGCACCTGCATGCGCACGTACACGATGGAAGGTGGGTTGGTGTTGGGGACTAGGGGGGGTACAATTGAGTAGCAGCAGCAGCGGCAGTCCAGTGCCTTCGTAAGTCCGAACCTGCAGAACCTACCGAATGCACCTGATCCTGACCCCTTACCCTACCGCTGCTGTACATGTACTGTTCAGGTGACAGGCAATGGGTCAACACAGTAGCTGTGTGGCGCCCGCATCACTGCCGCTTGGACGCCGTGCCATCTCAAAGCCCGTACTCCTGCAATACCGACAGCACCAGCGCTAGCAGCAGCAGTGATTACAGCGGCCAGAACCTAGGTGCTAACTTGGATAGGGTTTCCCACCGCAGCTCCCAGGGATTCCCAGTTGCCTCTTCCGTGAATCCAGCAACAACTGTCGTATGCGGTACGTCAGCCGGCGAGTTATGCTTGTACGACGTACGACAAGCAAGTCGCGCTGCACGTTTGGTGGATGAGCAGCCTCCCCATCTTGGTCAGCGTCAAGGTGCCGTGTACGGCACTGCGGTTTACGGCAATGCGCTTGCAGTTGCTAGCGCCGCTGGCAGTGTTTGCGTGTGGGACTTACGAGCAGCTGCCGTACGGGTACGGCATAATACGGACGAGGAAGCTGGTGGCATTGGTCTTTGCGCATGTACGTCGGTGGCGATGTACGGCCCCACGCTGGTAGTCGGAGACATCGAGGTGCGTCGCAGTTCACCAAACACTGGTAATGCTGGTCTGATGCTTGCATCAGTACGGTAACAAGAGCGCATGTGCTTGCTGCTTTGCACCGGTGGTTTTTTCCGCCCTTACCAAACTGTTACGCCCCTTTCGGTTGACTGTAGGGTCGTGTTTATTACTGGAGTACTGAGGAGGAGATTGAGGAGCAGAAGAGCTCGGGAAGGTGTACTGTCCTAGGCAAGGGAGCCGCCAAGGCGGCGCGCAGCAACCTCAGTAGCAGCAGCGGCCTCGCAGCTGCTGCCAGTTCTCCAGGCGCCGCCGTAAGGAGGCCGCCGCCGCTGGCAGCAGCGACATCGGAGTTTAGCAGGTTCAGCCTCCGTCTGCGCGGTCCTGGTAGCAAGAGCACTGCTGCTGCTACGGGTGCCGGTACCATTGAAGGTTTATTGCCCTCTAGCAGCAGTGCTTGCGGCCGCGTTTCCGCTGCCCGTTTGCCGTGGTGGATACGACAGCCGCCAGGAGCGCACCGCGGCTCCCCATCCTCCTCCAGACGTGGAAGATGTGGTGTCCAGGGGGCCTTTCGCGGTTGCAGCGACGGTGGTGGTGACGGTGACAGCGACAGCGACGACGGCGGTGGCGTTGCTGGTGGCAGCGGGGCCTGCCGCGGCAATGCCTCCATGGTTGGCATAGACGGCGCCGTGACCGTATCTACCCTGGACGCGTTGACGTGGTCAAACAACCGCCACCACAACCGTCTCGACCAACTGCTCGTCACAAACCAGCACAGCCGGCATGAAAGCAACCGCTACTTTCAGGATTGCTTCCCGCCTCCAAGTGGTTCTCCCCTCCCGCAGCGATGCGCAGCGGAATCCCCTTGGTTGTCGGCATGTGCCGAGACATGTCCGGAGGAGGCAGCAGCAGCGGCAGCAGCGGCGGGTACGGTAGCAGCCGGCGCGCCTTCTACCCATGCAGCGGCCGTTCCTGGAAGGACTGCCGCTGCTGGCGGTGCCCCTCCGCAGCTGCGCGGCGTGCTGCGTCATTCGGAATGGGTTCGCGACGTGGCGCTGCTGGGACCCTGGCTGCTGCTTAGCTGCAGCAAGGAGGGGCGGGTGTGCCTGTCGCGGCTGGGGGCGGGGGCGTCCGGCATGCAGGTGGGTTGGTCCGTATGGATCGGGGAGGATAGGGGTAGTTGGGTGAGGTGCGGAAGGGCCTTGCATGCAGCACAACAAAAGGCAGGCAATGGGGCGAGGGATCGGCGAGGGCCATGGCAGCAAGGCCGTTCCTTGGACGGTATGAAATTGTAGGATGGCTGGATGAACTGCTGCGCTAGGCCCAGGACTTGGGGCAATGGTCGTGGATCGGGCTTCACCAGGACAAGTCTGGCCCGCATCTCCGCTTCCAGTCCTCCGTCGGGGTCTTTTGGTAAAGTTGCTGTGACAACACATGACGAGGCCCAGACAGTATTGCTCTGGTAATACTGTGTAAGTGTGTTGTCTTTCCTCCTAACCACCAGGTGATTGCAACTTGGGATGTTGACGGCAACGGAGTAGCTGGAGATGGCTGCGGCGCTGGTTCTAGCACTGGCGGAGAAAATCGGGCAGAAAAGAACGTTTCTGGAGCTGGCTCTTTACCTAACCAGGCGTATGCGCTAGCGGCTGATGAGTGGGGCTTTGTGGCGGGATGCCAGGATGCATCCATGCGCATGTGGACTTTCGTTCCCGGGGGAGCGCTGCCAGAAGTGTTCAGCGGAAGTCGTTGAGTTGAATGTGTATGTCCACATGAGGAGGTGCAAGAGCGCTAATATATAGGTTTTGCTGATACTGCGGTTCTCGGCAGCAGGCAAGGGAGTTCGAAGCAAGGAGTGCTCAAATATACATACACTTGTTATTTAAGTTACTGCCATTCAGAGTCAGCACAATAAAGATTGAAACCGCCAAACGGTCCTGCAAAGATTCGCAACGGTCACGTGGACTCTTTGTCACGTGTAATCGCCATCGAGCCTTATGCTGCGTAATTATCCAGTTTTGGAAACCAAATATTCCCTTGTGGGTTTGTAGGTTACACTAGTCGCAGACTTAGCAACAATCGTTGCACCAGGTTATGCTCACGGTGGCTTTTAGAGCTTGCAAGCGCGGAACGCTATTACTCCGCCTAAATTCTGGGTGCACATGACTGGACTTCACTTAACAACTTTGACCTGTATACGCGAGCGTGGTGCACTGCCTGTGGCCTGTCCATTGAAGCGAAGGAATTCCGGTGGAACTAGTTGTTAGAGCGCAGCACGACTTCCAAGGCCGTATCTCCAGACTTCTTTCTCCCAGAGAAGAGGACTTGGTTAACAGTGGAAAATAGCAGAGGTGCCGGTGGACGCTTTTGCACAGCGAGGTGCCGACGGCTTTTAGCCAGCGCGTTAAAGCACCACCTTCCGTGCCGACAAAATGAGTGCTCCTAGGAGCAGAAAGGATGAAGTTGCAGCCGTAACGGCTGATGAGTTGCGTAGTCAGCTCATTATTAAGAAAATGGTCGGCAGAGGCGGCTTTGCAGCGGTCTTCCTTGGCACATACAAAGGACAAGAGGTAAGCGTTTCACTCCGAAACGTAGTTAACAGGTAGGCAAACCGTTGTCTGAGGCGGCATGCCACGTGACATATGCGTAATTCGCTGTAGGTTGCGGTAAAAGTGATTCTGGCGGAACATGTGACCACTAAGGATAGCGTCCAAGTAAAATGTTTTCTGCGCGAAGGACAGTACATGGCTCGGTGTACGCACAGGTGCGTTCAAAGGGTACGGTCTATACCGCGAGACACAGCTCGACAGAGCACTCGAAAGCTCATACCTCATGTTTCCCTCCGCCCCTATCCAACCCATTTCCCTTGCCCCGATGAGCCCACCAGCCACCGTCCCACCTCCTCCCAACCCTGTTGAGCTAGCACCTTGGCATATCCCTACACCGCACTCGAAACCCCCGACTCCGAACATTCTTCTTTCCCACAAACTCCATGTGGGGCTAGTGAGCTCTATTTGTACTGCTAATCACCGTACCACAACCACCCATCGTACCTCATTGCCATACCCCAGGAGCATCGTCAAGTGCCATGCGGTGTGCCAGCTGCCCGCGGACTTCCCGGGCATTGAGAAGCTGGGCCACACCAGCAGCACCTGGGCCCTGGTGCTCGAGTACATCGAGGTAGGGGGTGGGGGGCCTGGGAAGGTGTGCTGGTAGGGGGTGGGGGTGGGATGGGAGGGGGGAGAGGACAGGGGAAGAGCCGGGATTACAACTATGTTTGCTAACCGTTTTGCGCGCCCTAATGCTGTATACCTTTTCCTCCTGCGTCTCAAACCCTTTCCCCACTTTACCCTTAAAAAGAGTCGGGATATGGGATTGGGACTCGTTGTTTTACTTCATAATATTTCCCTCCACTCCCCACCAGGGCGGCTCGCTGGCCAACCTGCTGAAGCAGCAGATGTCTCAGACCAGCCGCGTGTACAACGACTACCAAGTGGGTTTAGGGGGAGGGGAACGGGAGGGGAACGGGAGGGGGAGCGGCGGTAGGGGGGAGGTTGCCGGTGGGGTTCAGAGGAGGGAACAGGGCCTAGGGTCTTCACATCCATCCCCTATCCACTCTGTTCTTCCTTCCCCCCCACGCAAGGGTCTTCGCCCTTTCCCTAGCTAGTTTACAACTATCACACCACACCTCGTGTGTTTCTTAACACACATTGGGATTTCATTTATCCCCCGCCAGGCCTACTGCTGGGCCCTCGATGTGGCGGAGGCGCTCAGCTACCTGCACAACGCACCCAGACCGGTAGGGCAGGAGGGAAGAAGAGTGCCGTACAGGAGGGGAGAGGCGTGTCGTACAGGCACCGTTGGGCGGCCCTGCGTTGGCCTTCGCAACGGCCCTGAGCTGCTCCTTCGCAACTTCGACTCACCCCTTTCCCTGGCCCCCGCCTCCCCTGCCTCCCGGCACCCCTGCCCTCCCCTCCTGCCTTCTCCACTCCCCCTCCCCCTCTCCCCCCCAAAGGTGATGCACCGCGACGTGAAGGCTGACAACGTGCTGCTGACGGTGGACGAGGAGAGCGGCAGGCCCTCCGCCAGGCTCATGGACTTTGGGCTCATGTCGGTGAGCCGGGAAGGGGAGCGGGAGGGAGGGGTGGGGGTGGGGGTGGGTGTGTAGAGGAAAAGGACGGAGGGGACGGGCATGATGACAGGGGATCTTGAAGATAGGTCTCCTTGGGCCCGGCGATAGGCCGGTAGGGTAGTAGCGAGGACCTTTATGAACCCTCCCCTTGCTGCCCTCCCCTCCCCTGTCCTCCCCGGCCACCCACCCTCCCCCTCATCAAGGCTCTTGACGGCAACAAGAACCCCATGCTGCGGCGGCGGAGCGTCAGCATGGGCACCGGGGATGGTGCCGGGCGCGGCGGCGGCCTGGGTCGGGTGTCGGTGGGGGCGGGCGGCGGGGGCGGTCGCAGCCTGGCAGCACCCAGCGTGGCCACCTACTATGCGGATACCACACATGAAGGAGGTGGGAGGGGGAAGAGGGGACGGGGAGGGGGCAGGGAGGGGTTGAGCCACGAGGAGACATGTAGGCATGGGGCGTGTGGTAACTGGGGTACTAAACCACTTCCACCTCGCCCCCGCTTCCTCCTGACGTGTCTGCTGCCCCCCGCCGGTGCAGGCAAGATCTTCTACCTCATGGAGGAGCTCCCCGCCACCGCCGCAGCAGCACTGGCGGGCGGCCCCGGCGCCACCCGCCGCACCTCCATGGACATGGGCGCACTCAACGCCAGCGCCACGGCGGCCGCCAACGCAGCCATCGCCAGCGCCGCCGCGGCCGCAGCTGCCGGCGGCGGCGGCAGCATGAGCGCAGCCACCAACGGTAGCCTGGCTAGCCGCGGGAACAGCTTTGACACGGCGGGGGGTACGGCAGGGGGAGCCAAGGGAGGCCGAGGTGGGGGAGCTGGCGCCGGCGCAGCGGGCATGCTGGTTCCGTTGAATGAGGAGGCGTCGTACCACGGCAACACGGCGGGCTATGTGGCCATGCTGCAGCACCAACAGGAGGAGCGGCAGAAGCAGCGGGCGGCGGCGGCAGCGGCAGCCGCGGCGGCAGCCCGGGAGGGTGTGTTGGGGGGTGGTGGCAGCGCCAACACCAGCCTGAGCGGGGGGCTGGGTGGCGGCAGCGGCAGCATGACGGGCGGCCGCAACAGTGCGCGCTCCACGGGAGCTGGGGACCGCAACTCGCCGGGAGGGGTCAGCCCGGGGGACAGCGGGAGGTGGCCGGTGCGTGCGTGGTGGTGGTGGTGGGGGGGCGGAGTGTTAAACCAACAGGCCGCAAAACTGGTGGGGTCGTGCATGTGAGGTTTAACTAGGCTAGCTAGCTGTACTCACCATAGCTGCCAACCGAGGGCACTGGCGCCCGCATGCACGAAGAACGCTGGCCGCGAGGTGGAACGTACTGTTGGGAGGGCCTGGGTAACCCTAACAGGACTTTCTGCAGCAGCACCACCCTCCCCATACGAACGCACCCCTCCCCCCGGGGCGCCCCCTTACAGGCCGACACTGTTACCGCGGCGGCGGTACGACTGAGCATGGTGACCGAGGAGGCCCCTAACGCCCCGCCAACCAACCCACCAACCGCCAACGGTGGCGGCGACGCCGCCATTGCCCTGGCTGTCGCAGCGGCGGCGGCGTCCCCCGGATCGGGTCCCAGCAGCGGCCGGCCTCCCTCGCTGCTGCCGCCCATTCGGATGCGCTCGTTGTCGGGTCAGGACGGTTCCCTGGTGCGGCTGTCGGCGCCCGTGCAGGCGGCCGCGCTGCAAGGTGGGAGCCGCGGAGAGCGCTGTGGCGTGGATGTGTTTTTGGGAGTGCTTTGGGTCCTCCTTCTCGGGATTAGAGTCGGGAGACCCGCACCCGCACCTGCCTTCTCCGGCGCCGGCCTGCCGGTTTTATCATCCCTTGTATGCATGCCGCTCTTGCTAACTCCCCGCCCTTCGCCTGCCGCCCCTCCTCCCCTCTTCTCTCGTCCTCGTCCAGAGCCTCTGCAAGCCTCCGGCTCCGATATCATGCCGCTAGACACCCCCACACAGTCCGAACAACAACAACAATCCCAACCACAGACGGCTGCAGCCGCCACCCCGCTCGCAGCAACCTCAGCACCCATCATCGCAGTCGCCAAGACCCCGGATGCTGTCGCCGCCGTCGCCGATACCAGCAACGGCATGTTGGCATCGACGTCAGCGGCGCCGGCGCCACTGACGCCGTCTCGTCGTACCAGCAGCGACGCGGTACCCATTGTAGACGTGGTGGGAGGGCGCCCGGGCTCCGCCGGCGCTGGGGACCCGGCGGCGGTTGCGTTGGGTCGCCGGAGTCGTCTGATTGCCGCCGGCGCCGCCGCGTCATCCTCGTCAGCACCCTCCAGCAGTGCACAGGTGCCTCCCATGACGCCGCTGACGGGAGGTCTGTCGGCGCCGCTGGGTAATGGCGGCGGCGGCGCTGACGGAGGCCTCGGCGGTACGACACCCCCTGACGGCGGCTCCTCCGCCGCTGCGTTGATGATGACTGAGCGGCAAAAGTCGGCGGGGTTGGTTCGCATTGGTGCGGTTGGGGGTGTCGCGAATGGCAGTATGACCGGAGGCGCGGTGGGGGCCAGCCGCGGCGGTGGCGGTGGCGGCAAGGGTCTTGGTACGACGTCAATTACGACGTTGTTGCAGGTACGTCGAATGTCGCGTGTACATGTGTTTCCTAGGAACAGAATTCATCATGTGCCCTTCCTGCGAACACCCTGACCTTGCTAATCACCGATATATGCTGCTGACGCGTGCGTGCCCCTCTCGTGCGGCTCAATGCACACTGTCGTACGGCGGGGTTGTTGTACGGCACACCAGGGTCGGTACGAGCAGGACTTCCAATGGGTGTGGCGACTCACCGGGCAGACCGGCTCCTGCATGTACATGGTGAGGTGGCGGGGGGGGGCGCTGCTGGGGGGCGGCAGTGGGGACTGCGAGGAATGGTGGAGGTAAAGGGGCATGGAAAGATTGGCATCGGCAAAGGATCATGTCGAAGGATCATGGCTCGTGGGGGCAGATGGATGGCGGCCGACTTGTCTGCACCAGCAGGCTGCTGCAAACGATACCCTGCCCCCGCACTGACCAATCACCGCCCCCTCCCCCTCCTATCCCGCGGTATGCCTACTGCTTTCTCATCGTACAGGCTCCCGAGGTGTACCGCAATCTGCCGTACAACGAGAAGGTTGACGTCTTCAGCTTCGGAGTGCTGCTGTACGAGATCTTCTCACGGCAGCTCACTCTCATCTTTGGGGTAGGTCGTGCGCCGTACATGGCAACCTTGGGACTCTACATGTGTTGTTGTGTGGTTAAGAGTGTCGACTGGATGGCGTGTTCTCGTACGACAGGCGCGTCCTCCGTAGCTGCGAATACTTCTGGTGTTGCCTGCCAGTGATTCTACGACTGGCCGCTTTGCTCTTCCTCTTTTGGTTGGTGCCTTCGAGGCACCTTTCGTTTGTTGCTCCCCCCGCCGTTTATGTCCTCCTGGGCATTACCGGTACAGCCGAGCACCCCTGCTGTCTACGGCTGACCCCGGCCTTCCTTCCATTCTCAACCTGCCTCCCGTGTTGCAGCTCAATCTGCGGGAGCTGCGGCTGCAGGGCCAAGACACCCCTGAGGTAGGTCGCATGCCGTACTCGGCACCAACGGTCTGGTACGGCCGCCGCGGCCAGCAACATCAGCATGTGTCACATGTCACATGTCCTGCGTGCAGCTATCTTGGCCGCACACACTCCACTCGGTGTTTTGGGGAAGACGTGCCGAGCATGCAGCATGGCCACGCAGCTGTACACACATGTCGGGGGGGGGGAGGGTGATGCCGGTAGCTGCCTGTCTCTGCCTGCCTCGACGTCACGCCCTTTCTGCTCCTCTCCCTGCCTGCCTGCCTGCCTGCCTCCCCCACCCGCAGGGCTACGCCTCCCATGTGGCGAACGGCTACCGCCCGCCCCGACCGCAAGCCATGCCCGAGCCGCTGTACGAGCTGATCAGCGCCTGCTGGGCGGAGGACCCCTGCGCGCGACCCAACATGACGGACGTGGTGGAGAGCCTGCGACTGCTGCAGGACCAGTTTGCGGCCGAGCCGCCCAAACCCGTGGCGGCGTGCGGCTGCGTGATGAGCTGAAAGGAGGAGGAGAAACGGGGAGAGGCGAAGAGAGGAAGGGGAGGGGGAGATGGTGGTGGAGGAAGGTTTGTTTGGAAGACTTGGGAAGGAGGTGAGGCGTGGAAGGTACCTGGGATGTCAAACTGCGGCTTGAGGTGGGGAACAAAAATTAGCTAACTGTATGGCTTCACCATGGGTTGCTACTTGAACCCGGTCAGGCCGGGTGCTTAGGAGGAGGAGTTATGATCTCCGGATTGGGGTTCAGCAAGTGCAGGGCACGATAGTAACGAGCGTTGAGGGAATTGCGAGTTTGCCGATTGCATACATAAACATGCAGCAAACAAGTAATAGGGGAGGAGACTGATGGGCCGGGCTGGGTTGGGCGCGCTGTTGCTGATATCGTATGGCTTTATTATGGCGGCGTGTTATTCGTTCATGCGGTGCCTAAGCGACGTACTTATGCCGCCCGGTGAGATGCACCATAACATGACACTTCAGTCCGTGCTAGCTGCCTCCGCTGCTGCTGCTGCTAGCTGCTGCTAGCTGCCTCCGCTGCTCCAGTGGGAGGCGCCTTTCATTACAGCGTTCATGCGTGTTCACACGGGCAGGTGCGCGGTGTTGTGTTTGCCGCAACCGGACAACGAGGCAGTAATGTCGCCCGGGCGGCTAGAAGGTAGTAGCCAAATGTCGCCACCAACCCCGCTGCTAGCACACATGTGATGACACCACCAGGCGTCGTACGATTGCATCATATATTCTGACCTTTTGTACGACATGTCATGACATCGCCGTACATTTTGCGTGATGCCGTGCAACTATTATTCGATGGTGGCTATCATACACATTGCCGAGAGGTGTTTTTTATTGCTTGCCAGCGTGCGGCGCGCGGCCTGACCGTCCGACGGTATATTCGGCTCTGTCGTGCTGTTGGTTGGTGCGCGAGCTGTGACCAGAGGGCAATTGCGAGCATGACAGGCCGACGTATCGATGCCTTGACTTTACAGGCTTTCAGTGCTAGTTTATGGTTCTTACGTGTCATCTGCTGCGCCCTCTACTAAATCGCGTCGTGTCGCGCTCCCGTACAAGCTGTTAAGCTTATCTGGGGCATCATCTGTGTCGGGTTGGAGTTGTTTGCGACCTGACATCCAAAGATCCAAAGATTTGTGGTCCTGTTGCTTCCCGTTGTTTTTGCTGCGTGTGGCTCCTGTTGCGTCGTTCGCGCCGCAACTGTGCTGTTACAAAACCTGACTGTCTTCCCCCTTCATTAATAAAGGAAGCGACGAAAGCGATTTGTCACCATGCTGTAATCGGAGGTGCACGGGAGCGGTGTGATGGATGTAATGGATGTAATGGATGTGTGTCACAGCCCCGCATGTACCCACCTCTGCTTGGCTTGACGTTTGGCTGTGACAATCCGGGCAACCCCCCGCGCCATCCACCCGACGGCCCCACGGAGAAACGTCTTGGGGCCACAGAAGGGCGTAAATGAAGGATATTGGAGTCAAAATGGGCTCAAACAACGAAGGAAAGAAAGCGATGAAGGGGGGCCCTATGTGCTCTTGTGCGTATATCAGTTAAAACTTTGCTTATATTAGCAACTAAGGGGTGAATCAAAATCTTACTACTTGTAGGGTTGCAGGTTCGATCCCTACGCCGGGGGGTGTCGCGGCCCCCTGTCACCCGAGCGGGGGCTGATGGCTGGAAGTGTCGCATGATTCTGCCGGTCTAGATCACCTGCGTCGATGGTGTGTCCTCTCTGAGCCCACAGTCGACAGCGGCACCTTCCTGATGGGAGGTTGTCGTGGTTGATGATTAGCCCGGTACAGCGTGAGGCAGGAAACTGAGCAGCGAAAACGGGCAGCTGCGGGCGGCAGAAGGATAGCATACCTGAGTGGGCGGCTAGGCCACCCGGCAGGTCCTCTGCGGAGCGACCAGCTGTTTTGCATTTTTTGCATGCGTCCTGACTTCCATATGGTGTTCAGACGTAACACTGCAGGGGTATATGCCACGGTCGACCCACATCAGGACATCGGCCCATGGTACCGGTATCACTAAGCACGTCGCCCGCCTCCCTGGAGCTGATTCGCATGGTTGCACTCTCTTCATATGAGCATAGCGTTTAGTGACAATGTCCTGTGTTATCCTTCATCCAGCATGGTCATGGCCTTACGGTTGAGCAGATTGCAGCAAAGGATTAGGACATGCCTAGTGAACACAATAGGCCTTGCACGCGCGGCATTAATGGAGGGGAGGAATGGGAAAGGGTGCAGCACGTCTGACAAGCCCGCATCATTGTGTATGGAGCCGGCACAAACTAGGGAGGATTTAGAAGTGTCACGGCATTGTCGCCACGAGGTGCTTAACATAAATGGTGGTTCGTCGTACCAACCACCTGTTTGTACGACATGCATAACTTTACTAAGGCAGGTATGCAGGCGTGCCAAAAGGGTTGTAGTCAGGGACTGTAGCATTGTACATTTCCGTTACATATATGATCTACGTTCAACGTATAATCACAAGTCCGAGGGAAGCCTTTCCCTTCGAGACGGTCATGCAACCCCCAAGCTCACTAACGTCCTGCATGCCTGATCCATGCAAGGGAAAGTGACAATCCACCTTAGTCACCAAATACAAACCGTATCATTACGAAAAACATGTCTTTTGGCCAAACCCGGAGTCACCGCGTTTGACCCAATAAACCTGGACATTTCTCTCGAGACAAAACTGCGACCGAGCTTTCACCACCAAAACTGAACTCTACACCAACGCAAATTGTACAACATAGCTGCGGTACCCCTCATCATCCGTAACATCGGATAACAAGCAGCCGGAATATCTTAAACAACCATACAGGTTGCCCTGCAGGATGTGCATACAATCCAGATCCTGTTGAATCCAGATCTCCTACTCCATAATTTATGCCGAGGCCTCTCCCTCCCTCTCGCCAGCCAGCGCTCTCCTCCTCACGCACCAACGATCCGCCCGCTTCACACCAACACGCTCGCAACAAGCCTAAGCCTCTCCTCTGCTTATTGGGCTCTACCCGAAAATTTGGACATCGACTTGAGCACGTCAGGCAGGAAGGAAGGTAGCGCAGATGTGGAAAGCGGCAGCTCTCCCTCCGCCACCGGCAGCTTTGCCCACTGCCACTGCCGCCCCGCCCACAGCCCCGCTCCGCTCGCTCCCAGCCGCACGACTGCCGCCTCTTACCGGCTGGAGTAGTTCTCGGGCAGCGAGGAGCCGCTGAGACCCGCCAGCTCGGCACCTGGGGGGAAGGGGGAGGCGGGGAGGGGGAGATTAAGATTCGGGTTCGGGTTTTGGGGGCACATATGGCAACAACGCCAACAATCCGTGCAATTCACCATCACCATCATCAAGACCTCAGTATGAGTCAGCAGCCTAATGCCCCGACGAATAACTCAACCAACGACTACCGTAGCTACACCCCCCTTGCCCCCTCCCCCTCCCCACTCCTCCCCTCCCATCTCCCTCCCTTACCCGACAGGTATGCATCCGCCAGCTGCACTCGCTTCACGTTCTCCTGCTCCTCCACCAGCGCCTTGCCGTACTTGAGCAGCACCTCCAGCGTCATGGAGGCCTTGGGGAAGCTCACCTTCTGCCGCGTGTTGACCAGGCGGCTGCCGATGCCCTCAATACCCACCTCGGCAATCCACTTGCGGACCTGCGGGGTGAGAGCACGGAGGCGTGAAGGGAGCGGGCAAGGGACACGTGGGGACATGGAGCGAGGAGGGTGGCAACACGGGCGCTCTGTACAAGGACGTAGTAGAAACAACCCCACCCGCAGCTCCCGCCTGCCCGCCTACCATGTCGTCGTACACTCGCGCCCTCAGAGCGCCGAAGAAGTCGATGGACTGCCCGGGGAAGGTGTCCACCAGTCGCTCGATGTCGCCGCGATTCACGGCGTCCTCTTGGAAGATGCCCATGCACACGCCGATGCGGTCCTCGCGAGTGGGGTTCCAATAGTACCTTTGGGGGGGGGGCCGGGGGGAGGGGGGAGGGGAGGCGAAGATGTGTACAGGGTTAATGAGGGGAGGGCAAGTAGAGGTGGGGAAGAGAGATAAGCTTAACCGAGCATGCGCCAGAGCGCAAGGGGAGCGCCTGTTGGGGCCAGGTACGTCACGACGCGGGGCGCCAAGGGACACGTGTGAGGCGCAGGAATGGCTTGTTGCGGTCGGGAAGGCCAGGCACATCCCCCTCCCTCTTCCCGCCCGCCCCCCCACCACCCCCGCCGCCACTCACTTCTCCATGCGCCCATCGCGAATGAGCGGCGCATACAGGGTGCTGAAGTCGTTGCCGGTGCACACAACGGGTACACGCGGGATCTCCTCGTTCTTGTACACGCCGGGCAGCTGCACGTTGGTGGGGTTGTCGGCGATGTTCATTAGCGTGGCGTTCACCATCTGGTTGTTCACGGTGTACTGCGTGGTGTCGCCCATGCGACCCGCGCCCGCGTCCAGGTCGTTAATGAACAGCGAGCACATCTTGCCCTTCTTGATAGTGTCGGAGGCCTGGGTAGGGCGGGGAAGGGGGGGGCGGGTGTGAGGTGGACGTCCAGTATTTCTAAAAGACGCTTTTTAGGACTACCAACCTCCAGAGGTGAAAGTGGGAGGTAGAAGGGGAGGGATGGAGGGGCGTTCAGATGGATATGAGCAACAGCGGAGGGAGGTCCACCCCGCCTCCTCAGGACGTTACCACGTCGCCGGTGGCTGGTACTGCACCCTCCCATCCATTGTTGCGTTAGCTGCTATGCTCGCCTGTGCCCTGGTTGCCCCCAGCAACAGCGGCAACCCCTATCCCCATTCCGACATAGCCTTCCTAATTCAACACATTGGGTATTCTTCTTTTCCCCATTCCGCACCTCCCCCTTCCCTTCCCCCCCTGCCGCCACACCTCTCGGTAGCGCGTGCGGATCAGCTTGGCGGGCTCTCCCGCATTACCGCTCTCCAGCTCTCCAGCCGACATGACGATGGGGCTGATGCCCAGCTTCTTGTAGGCCAGCGCGCACTGCAGGTGAAGTGGGGTTCGGGGTGGGGAGGCAGCAGAGGTGGGGCGGGTGACGAACAGGTCGCATCCGGGCCGTGAATCCCTGCCCTTGTGCACCCCTTCTCCCAATCCCAAGCATCTTTTTGCAGCTCCCTCCCTAGCAGTCAACCTCTCGCCTTGAGCCTTGCACAGCCCCTTGCCGCCCCCTTCCCCTTTCGCTCCCACCCACCCACTCGCTCCTAGCTCCTCCCCACGTATGGTTTGCATTCTCACTGAACACAATGGAAATTCTTCTTTTTCCCCCGCGTCCGCCCGCCCCCTTCGTCCCCTCACCTGGAACGTCTTGCCCTGTCCCTTGCCGCCCCAGATGCCCAAGATGAGCGGCACCTTGATCTTGGGCAGGTCCATGAAGTTCTTAGCAATGTGGATGGTCATCTTGTCCAGGAAGGCGGGACTGATGTAGAAGCCGTCCTCGATGTTGTTGAAGGAGGCGCGCGCCTGGCTGAGGTACTCGGTGGAGGAGAGCACGGCGTTGTGGGTGCCGCCGGCGCCGAAACCGCCCTGGAACAGGTCGTCTACCATGGCGCGACCGCGGGTGATGTCTTGCTGCGGGGTGAAGGGGGAGGAGAATGGGAGGGGAGATCTTGAGGAAGAAAGAGGGGGGAGAAGGAAAGGAGGTGAGGAAGTGAAAGGAGCAGAGAGGAGGAGGGTGGGGTAAGGAGGAACAGGGATGATGAGAAAGGAGGAGACCTGGTCAGGTGGGTTGTAGGGTAGGTTGCACAGCAACAGGGGCTGGGGCGCATGGAGAAGCATCTGGTCACCGCTATGGCATTGAGACATTGTAATGTTTGTGCCTGCTAGCTGCAACCGGTGGTAGCTTCAGGAATGGGCCTGGAAGGAGATGTTTACACAATGGCATGCCCGGGAACAAGCTGCGTCTGTCAGAACTGACTTTGCATCCGAACCAGGGTTCATACGCTAAATGCACATATACAAACATGTCTATATTCGTAAACTGAATCTTTTAGTATCGCAGCGAGATATGTCGAGGCGTGTAGGTAAGTCATCAGAGCGACTATCGCCTTTTGCAGAACAACAAGCTGTGAGCACCCTGGACAAGCCCCGCGACGCTGCAACCCAGCAGCCCCGGCTGTGCCACCACCAGCTGAGCGGCGCGGGTGCGAGCACGAGTGTAGGTGTCATCACCCGTGGCGGCGGGGGCGGCGGTGTGCCTCTCTGGTGGGCCCAGCTGCCTTATGATACAGCTGATGCAGCTGCTGCAGGGGCGACGGCGGTGCTGCGAAGAGGCTCCGGCGGCTGCCGGCTGCTGACCCCGGGGTGCGCAGGGGGCTGGGGGGCCAAGGGAGCAGAGGAGGCGGGGAGGAGCCCCAGGGAAGTGGAGGAGGTGGGGAGGTGGCGCAGGACACATTTCAGTTACATAACATCTATAGCTTGCACGTATAATCACAAGTCCGAGAGGACCCACACTCTTAGTCAATGCACCCAGCATGGGCTCCCTTTCGAGACGGTCATGCGGCCCCCGAGCTCACAAACGTCTTGCATGCCTGATCCATGCAAGGGAAAGTGACAATCCACCTTAGTCAACAAATACAAACCGACGAAAACCATGTCTCTTGGCCAAACCCGGAGTCACCGCGTTTGGCCCAATAAACCTGGACACTCCTCTCGAGACAAAACTGCGACCGAGCTTTCACCACCAAAACTGAACTCTACACCAACGCGAATTGTACAACATAGCTGCGGTACCCCTCATCATCCCGCATCCGTAAACATCGGATAACAAGCAGCCGGAATATTTTAAACAACCATACAGGTTGCCCTGCAGGATGTGCATACAATCCAGATCCTGTTGAATCCAGATCCCGTACTCCATAATCTATGCCGAGGCCTCTCCCTCCCTCTCGCCAGCCAGCGCTCTCCTCCTCACGCGCCAACGATCCGCCCGCTTCACACCAACACGCTCGCAACAAGCCTCTCCTCTGCTTATTGGGCTCTAGCCGAAAATTCGGGCTTCGACTTGAGCACGTCAGGCAGGAAGGAAGGTAGCGCAGATGTGGAAAGCGGCAGCTCTCCCTCCGCCACCGGCAGCTTTGCCCACTGCCACTGCCGCCCCGCCCACAGCCCCGCTCCGCTCGATCCCAGCCGCACTGCAGCCGCCTCTTACCGGCTGGAGTAGTTCTCGGGCAGCGAGGAGCCGCTGAGACCCGCCAGCTCGGCACCTGGGGGGAGGGGGCAGGCGGGGAGGGGGGATTAAGATTCGGGTTAGGGTTAGGCACACACGGCAACAACGCCAACAATTCGTGCAGTTTACCATCACTGCCATCAAGACCTCAGTATGAGTCAGCAGCCCAATGCCCAGACGAATAACTCAACCAACGACTACCGTAACCACACCCCCCTTTCCCCCTCCCCCTTCCCTCCCTCCCTCCCATCTCCCTCCCTTACCCGACAGGTATGCATCCGCCAGCTGCACGCGCTTCACGTTCTCCTGCTCCTCCACCAGCGCCTTGCCGTACTTGAGCAGCACCTCCAGCGTCATGGAGGCCTTGGGGAAGCTCACCTTCTGCCGCGTGTTGACCAGGCGGCTGCCGATGCCCTCAATACCCACCTCGGCAATCCACTTGCGGACCTGCGGGGTGAGAGCACGGAGGCGTGAAGGGAGCGGGCAAGGGACACGTGGGGACATGGAGCGAGGAGGGTGGCAACACGGGCGCTCTGTACAAGGACGTAGTAGAAACAACCCCACCCGCAGCTCCCGCCTGCCCGCCTACCATGTCGTCGTACACTCGCGCCCTCAGAGCGCCGAAGAAGTCGATGGACTGCCCGGGGAAGGTGTCCACCAGTCGCTCGATGTCGCCGCGATTCACGGCGTCCTCTTGGAAGATGCCCATGCACACGCCGATGCGGTCCTCGCGAGTGGGGTTCCAATAGTACCTTTGGGGGGGGGGCCGGGGGGAGGGGGGAGGGGAGGCGAAGATGTGTACAGGGTTAATGAGGGGAGGGCAAGTAGAGGTGGGGAAGAGAGATAAGCTTAACCGAGCATGCGCCAGAGCGCAAGGGGAGCGCCTGTTGGGGCCAGGTACGTCATGACGAGGGGCGCCAAGGAACACGTGTGAGACGCAGGGATGGCTTGTTGCGGTGGGGAAGGCACATCCCCCTCCCCCTTCCCTCCCGCCCCCCCCCCCACCCCCGCTGCCACTCACTTCTCCATGCGCCCATCGCGAATGAGCGGCGCATACAGGGTGCTGAAGTCGTTGCCGGTGCACACAACGGGTACACGCGGGATCTCCTCGTTCTTGTACACGCCGGGCAGCTGCACGTTGGTGGGGTTGTCGGCGATGTTCATTAGCGTGGCGTTCACCATCTGGTTGTTCACGGTGTACTGCGTGGTGTCGCCCATGCGACCCGCGCCCGCGTCCAGGTCGTTAATGAAGAGGGAGCACATCTTGCCCTTCTTGATGGTGTCGGAGGCCTGGGGAGGGCGGGGAGGGGGGGGGGCGCGGGTGAGAATTGCGAAAACGTGAATACATGAGGTGGAGGTGGGAGGTGGAATGGGAGGGATGGAGGGGTGTTGTGGTGGACATATTAGCTACAGCATTGCTGCGGGCAGAGGGAGGTCCACTCTGCCTCTTAAGGCCGTGACCATTTCGCCGGGGGATGATGCAGCACCCCACCCACACGCTCATGCATTGTCACGATAGCTTCTATGCTCGCCTGTGCCCTCGTGGCCCCGCAGCAACAACGGCAACCCCTTCCCCCTGCCGCAGCCTCCACACATGCCCAAGACTATGGTAAGGTTGCTCCATAATTGGTAAGTTCGGTAAGTTTAGCTCGCATTGCTTTAACCACCATTTCGGCTCGACTCACGGGACTTGTATCACACACTTTGGATTTCTTTTTTCCCCATTCCGCACCTCCCCACCCCTTCCCCCCCTGCCGCCACACCTCTCGGTAGCGCGTGCGGATCAGCTTGGCGGGCTCCCCCGCATTGCCGCTCTCCAGCTCTCCAGCCGACATGACGATGGGGCTGATGCCCAGCTTCTTGTAGGCCAGCGCGCACTGCAGGGTGGGGGGGAGGGGGGGTAAAAAACCATACCAAACCATAGGGGACCACAAGTTAGGGCAAAGCAATGGGGGTAGGGGGGGCAGCAGAGGTGGGGCGGGTGACGAACAGGTCGCATCCGGGCCGTGCCTTCTCCCGACCTTGTGCACCCCTTCTCCCAATCCCAAGCATCTTTCTGCAGCTCCCTCCCTAGCAGTCAACCTCTCGCCTTGAGCCTTGCACAGCCCCTTGCCGCCCCCTTCCCCTTTCCCTCCCACCCACGATCCCGCCCCGCTCCTAGCTCCTCCCCAACCCCGTCCCACCCACCCCCACCCAGCCGTACTGCCCCATGGTGAAGCCTTGTCACACAGCTCGTTAGTTACATCGTCAGGTTTCCTTATTTATGCCCCCACCCCGCCCCCTCACCTGGAACGTCTTGCCCTGTCCCTTGCCGCCCCAGATGCCCAGGATGAGCGGCACCTTGATCTTGGGCAGGTCCATGAAGTTCTTGGCGATGTGGATGGTCATCTTGTCCAGGAAGGCGGGACTGATGTAGAAGCCGTCCTCGATGTTGTTGAAGGAGGCGCGCGCCTGGCTCAGGTACTCGGTGGAGGAGAGCACGGCGTTGTGGGTGCCGCCGGCGCCGAAACCGCCCTGGAACAGGTCGTCTACCATGGCGCGACCGCGGGTGATGTCTTGCTGTGGGGTGGAGGGGGAGGAGAAGGGGAGGGGAGGGAAGGTCTTGAGGAAGGAAGGGGGGGGGAGAAGGAAAGGAGGTGAGGAAGTGAAAGGAGCAGAGAGGAGGAGGGTGAGGTAGGGAGGAACAGGGATGATGAGAAAGGAGGAGACCTGGTCAGGAGGGTTGTAGGGTAGGGGGCATAGCAACAGGGGCTGGGGCGCATGGAGAAGCATCTGGTCGCCGCCATGGCATTGGGACATTGTAATGTTTGTGCCTGCTAGCTGCAACCGGTGGTAGCTTCAGGAGTGGGCCTGGAAGGAGATGTTTACACATAGGCATGCCCGGGAACAAGCTGCGTCTGTCAGAACTGACTGTGCATCAGAACCAGGGTTCATACGCTAAATGCACATATACAAACATGTCTATATTCGTAAACTGATTCTTTTAGTATCGCGGCTAGATATGTCGAGGCGTGTAGGTAAGTCATCATAGCGACTATCGCCTTTTGCAGAACAACAAGCTGTGAGCACCCTGGACAAGCCATGCATTCAAGCACAACAATTGTGTTGAAGGCGACCACTTGACATTGCTTTGCGCCAGCACACCTGGTCGTCAGAATTATCCACATCGGCGTCAATGGAGCGCCAACGGCCCATTTGCGAGCGGCTAGCGGCCACGACGTGCAGCTGAGCCTGCGCAAAGGTGGCAGAGCGCACGCTCAGGTGGCGGGCAGCTTAACACATGTTCCCAAACCACATGCAAGCCCATTCCTCACCCTGCGCACGCTGCGGGGCGCCACGCGAGCGCTGCTCACGCGCTGACCCTTGACGGCACTGCATTTTTGCAAATGGGAAAGGAGTATTCAGCGCTCCTTGTCGATGACCGTTGGCGAAAAGCCAGCGCTTGTTTTCTATGATGATCTGAACATACCTGCTCTTCATCGTGGTCTGCATGCAGCAAGGAAAGGTGCTGTGTTAACGGAGCAGTCCAGAGAGCGAGTGTAGAGCGTAACTGGCAAGTCTTACCTGCATCTTCGCTGCTGCTTGGCTTAAAATTTGCTACTTCTCAACGTGACCTGTAACACTTATCCATGAAAAATAGCGGCAGTGCATAGTAGAATTCCACTATGCCGTACGTAGCCATGTGCCGCTCGTTACGACCTTATCCTGACCCTCTGTGGTGGAAAAGCTGTTGCTGTCTTCTTCCCGACTCACTCGTAATTTTCATACAGATATTGCAAGGTAGGATGCTCGACCAGACCCAAATGAGCTTTTGGACGTCATGCACCAGACGACCAGTGCCTACCGGGATCACTTTCCTCGCATCCTAACCATCTATTTGATATGCAAGTTCCGCGCATGTTAATCACCTTGTTTAAGCGCCTATGTAATGGCGGTTAAGATAGCTAGTGCTAAAGGGTTGCTGGGGCTTGGAAGGCTGGAGCCACGTAACAGTGCAAATGGAAACGGAGACAAGTGCAGTCCTTTTAGGATAGACGGACCATTGCGGTAGCAACAGTTCCTCTGTCGCCTTGTCCCATGGGACCGGTGTGGTATAAAACCTTGCATCGTTGCATGCCGCACTCAAGTTCCACGGCCAGTCAGTTGACAGCTGTTGACTCAGGAAGCCTGACCGCTCGAATCTGTCATCGCTGGGAAAGGGACCCATATCCATAACACGACTCCGGCGGTCAGGAAGCGACATCCTGAGTTACTTTTTACCTATCGAAGCTGCTCTCCCCGCCATTCTATAACCCATTGCCTCTCTGCATGCATGAAGTCCGGGCTACCGGGCAGCGCCCCAAATAATGTCGACTGCTGTCGTACATGGCAACTTCAAAAATGCCATACACGCCGTACATGCCAAAATTCAGGAATTAGTCCATTGCGCGTCGCAGCGCCATCATATAAATCTAGGCTTCATGATGTGACGCCCAAGCTGTTAAGCCTGTAAGATGAAAGGCACGGACAACCCTCAAAAAATTCAAATAGCGGAACTCCTGTCATCCGGAAATACCAAAGAAACTAACCTAGCATCCAAGTAGTTGTTCCTAACCCCAGCAGGCCATACTCCCTCCAGGGCTCAAAAAAGTATGTCTCCCGTAACTCCTGCGCAGGAGGTACCTGCGTCCCCTGTGTTCCCTGTGATTGTAGGGAATACCCTACAAACCTACTGCAAAGAATACACTACAAGAATATGGGCAGAATAAGTACTACCGCTTGATAAGGCCTTTATTAGCAATGGACGTAACGACGCATGCGGCCACGCCGATTAGGAAAGGATCTTAGAGGGGGCTAGAGGGGAAATCGAGGAAGGTTCTCCAAAACCCCAGATTACCTACTATAAAGAAAATATACAAACGGAAAGGAGAAAGTGCTACAATAGACACTGCTGATGAATGCCAGAGTAAGTCACAAGCCATGGAATAATCCCCTGTATGGCCCCACCTATTACCGGTTGATGGCCCCTAGTTCTGTTTCTGCGGCCCAGCTGCGATCATGTGGCTAGCTGGCTACCCAGTGAGCGGTCCGGCAGCGGCTGCCGGGGCCACCTCCCTAGCAGCAGACCTGCTAAGCAGCCTGCCACAGCAACTACCATCCACCCTGCTGCGGCTCAGTTGACTACCCCCCCCCCTGCTGCCTGCCGCTGGGAAATGGGAAATAGGAAATAGCCACACCTGCTGCCTATTATACAATGGATCAATACATTAAGCCAAGAACACCAAAAGCACAAGTGTGTTAAAAAAATCAATTGACAAGTCAACCGAACACATCGTTGACGCTACAGCAAATGCTACAACACCCATTCATGCACGTCATGCACGCCGTTCCCACAAGATGAGGGCTCTTCCACTCAAGCGCTGGTGGCCGCCACCACACACGCCACCCAGGCAGCAGCGCGGCAGGGAGTCGCATCCACCGACGTCTCCGCACGCCACAGCGCGCACTGCTCCAGCCTGCTCTCGGTGCCCCGGCAACGCACAGCCGCAGCGGTACCTACAAAGCTGCCGTGGGCATCCACCTTACGATCCCCTTGTACGGCATACACGTCCGGACTGAGTGCCGCCGTACCGTTGTCATACACTGACCCGCCGGCGGCGAAACCCATGGAGCGACAGGCGACGGCGGCAGCTCGGTCGTCAAAGCCGCTGTCACGACAGACGGCACCGTACGTGTAACCGTTACCGGCGAGAGCCTCCAACCTCGCTGTGAAGATCGTTGTTGTCGTTGTGGACCCGTTGATACCAACGGAAACACCGGTGCTAGCAACAGCCGTGTCGTTAACGACGGTCGCTGCCGCTGATGTTGTGGCAGTGCCCGATGGCGCCGGCGAGGAAGCAGCCCGCAGTCCCACTGTCTGGGTGCTGTATGCACGGCACCTCACGGCGGCAAGCATGTTGCATACACCCGCCGTTTCCCAGGCAGGTGCGTCCATGTGCCACAGCTCAACCCTTCCTGACACGTTCCCCGTCATGGCGCAGCCAGACAGCGAGGTCTCGCTTCCCTGGCAGTTGAGTTTCCCGAGCAGCATGAGCGGCAGGTCGCCACTGCGCCACACGCGCAGGGCCTCACCGCCCGCAGGGTAGCCGGCCTGGCGGCAAGCGGCGTTGGCGGCGGCAGAGTCCCAACCGGCCCATGGGTCGCCGCAAAGGTAGTTCCATTGAGCTCCCGAGGCGCCAGAGGTGCGGATCTGGGTTGTGGTCAGGGCGCGAGGGGAGTGGAACCGGTAAGAGGGCTCGCGGGGATAGGGTATTTCTTTAATTGTAACAAACAGTGTTATAAAACAGTGAATGCTGGCGAAGGAGCATGGTTTTGGCTACGCATAGCTAAAGGTATGACGCGTTATCACCGGTGGCGTTATAACATCGTTTCCCACATGAACTAGCTCATGTAACGGGTGACACTTACCCGCACAAAGCCCACGCCAAAGACCGTTGTGACATCCGCAGCCGCCGAATCAGGCGACATGACTGTAAGCTGCGCGTCCGTTGGCGGCAGTTGGGCAACACTGGGTGAAGGCGGTACGGGGCTAGGCGGTACGGGGCTAGGCAATACGGGGCCAGGATAGGACGGAGGCAGAGCCGAGGGCGGTGGACCGCCACTGGGAGGACGTGTTGGCACGAGTGGCGGTGGGTAGCTGTTGGCGGTAGAGTACGGGTAGGAGGGTGGAGCAGGAGAGGAAGACCACAGAGAGGGATCCGGCGGGGAATCCGAGGGCGGTACTTGAGTGGGGCTGGGGAGGGGTGGAAGATCCCCAACGGCCAGACTTCCCATCAGGGCGCGAGTCGGCAGCAGGTCTGGTGACTGCGATGGTGCCGGCGGTGCTGGGGGCGGTAGCGAGGGCTCGGGGAGGGGGTGTCCCACAAAGGGGCTTGCGGGCGGGGATGTGCTGGGCTGCGGGGAGCTCGGCGGCAGTACTGAAGGAGGAGCGGGAGATGAAGAGGAGGAGGGTGTGCTTGAGGGAGGCTGCGGCTCATACACGACACCGGTGACAGTCGGTGGTAGCGGCGGTGACGGTCTGGGTGTAGACGAAGGTGAAGGTGAAGGGACTTGCGCTGGAGCAGGTGGAACGGGGCTAGGCGGCGGAGCTTGAGAGGCTGGCGGCAGCGGGCTGGGTGACGCAACTGTGGCGGGTCGGGCAGGGGTCATGGAAACATAGGGAGAGCGCTTAGGGCACGTTGGATTGCTGCATGCAACCATGCAGGCAGCAATGCCATCAGTACCGTTGCGAGTACGGGTTCAGCTCACCCCTCAACCTAGACCCCCTGGCCCTCTGTCCCTCCTGTACATCCCCGCTTCGGGTCTTCCCATGGTGCCGGACAGTGTTTCCTCACGGCTCAGTTTACCTAATCCTCGCCTCTTCCGAACCCCACCCCTATTACCCCCACCCCTTAAGGCCGCACAACAACGCCCCTCCTCCCACCCCCACGCCCCCTCCAGCCCTACCTCCGCTGCACGTCACACCCGCCACCTGGCCTGCCGCCGTCACACACGCGCCCGCGTCGCCCCAGCCGCCGTTCCCGCACTCGAGCAGCGAGCTCTCATTGCCCGCGCACATCAGGCCCGACAGCACCACCGCCGGAGCCCCCACACTGGCGTTACCGCCAACGGTAGGCACCCCAGTCGCATACCCCAGCTGCCGACACACCACGGTAGCAGCCAGGGCGCCCCATGCGCCCTGACCCTCGCTCTCCGCCTGCAGGCTGATGTTGCTGTTCAGGGTTCCGTTAAACAGCCGACTTACAAGCACTGAAGTGTTGGTGGTCGAGGTAAGCTGGGTGGTTAGGTTGGAGGAGGTTGCGCTGAGGAGGAGCTGGCTGAGGAGGCTGCCGGTGCCGTTGAGCAGCTGGCCGGCAAAGGCGTTCAGGAGGCTCGACCAGAGGCCGGTGCTTGCCGCCCCGCAGACGGAGCCCCACGTGCCATCTCCCAGGGATACCTCCACTCGACCGGACGCGGGACTGCTGCCGCCCACCAGGCGAACTGCAGCAGATGCCACAGGTTGGGTCGCAAGATGTTGGGGTTAGGAAAGGTCAAGGGACAATGGAAGCAGGGGGTTAACTTCGGTGCGTGGTTTCTCGTACAAGGTGCAGCAGCAGCAGTGTGCATGCGCCGCAGGAGGCCGCGTCCCGCACACCACGAATGCTCTTCTCTCCTTTCCGGGACACCTCCCATGCATGCAAATGCCCTCACGTCCGCCTCCGCACCCACATCCATACCCCACACTACTCCGTCGTACCTGTCGGCGTTGCTGAATTGGTTGTGTTGCTCGTGGTGTTGCTGTTGCTGCTGTTGCCCCCCGTCGCCTGCATGCACACCACCCCCGCCATGCCGTAGGGGCTGATGCAGTCCTGGTGGCCCCAGGGCAATCGTACGCAGTCCGACAGGCTGGTCTCAGAGCCGCCGCAGTGCTGCACAGGGGAGGCAGGAGGGGCAGGAGGCAGCAGGGGCGATCAGGGTGGGTTATGATTTAAGCTACGGCTAAGGGTTTAGCAAAGTGCGGTTTGAGGCCTTCTTTTCACAGGTGCACGTTAGGCAGGTTGCGCAACCAGCAAGAAAGGGAAGAGGAAAAGCCCATGCAGGAACATTACATATATGCGACCTTGTTTCAAACAAAGCTTTCCCCACTCCCAACCCATCCATTTCCCATTAGGCCTGTCAGTCCAGAAAACCCCGACCCCCAGGTTGCCATGTCCTCCTACCTGAACGTTTAGCAGTGTGGGCATCTCACTCAGAGAGGGCTGGGGGACAGATGACATGAAGCCACTAGACAGCGCCGTACGGGGCATGCCGAGCTGCCCCAGGCCCAGTTGCCTGCAAGCCACGTTCGCCTCCATCGCTCCGAACCGCTTAACACAGGCCGAGCCCCATGTACGACCCCCGTCCGCAGAGACCTGCAGCCAGCCCGATCGCGCTGTTCCGGTGGTGCTTCCACCGCCCGCCAGGCGGATAGTAAAAGGAGGCATGGGACCGCCCACACTGTATCCCGCAGTGCTGTTGCTGCTGCTGATACTAGAGCTGTTTGTGGTGCTACTGCTGGTAGCATTGGTGCTGGTGCCACCGCTCGCGCTGCTACTGCTACTGCTGGTGTTGCTGGTGCTGGTCGAGTTGGTCACGAGGCCCAACAAGCCGCTGCTGTCACCTAAGCGGCGCCGCCCCCCTTAGCCGGAACCGGGAAAAGGGTGGAGAGCGGGCGTTAAGCACAGCAATGTTGAAAAGCGGTGGATGCAACTGACAAGGCAGGAAGACGCACCTCCTGCCATTGACCGACATGCGACAGCGAGAGCCTTGGGCAATCCTGCACATTCGCTGAAACCGGCTCTGTGGCAAGGAGGAGAAAAAAGGTCGAGGTTGAGTGTAAGGAGGGGCGGCAAAGGGATATATCCCCCGGACGGGTTGTCGGCATGTGCTTCTGGAATGGCGGGTCTGCTCCGTTGTGCTGAAACACACACCCCAATCCCACCAGGACAGTGCCAAATTCCTGGTGTGGCCTCAACCTAACTATATCAACAACAACCAAGTACTACTTCATCCTAGAAAGGCATTCACTGTAGAACGTTCTTACCCTTTCGCAGCACCGCTTTTGCTGTTAGTCGATGCTCCGTGGACGCTTCTGGCACCGAAAACCACTAGGAGTAGAATACAGAAACGAATTCCGTATTGTCTTGGCACTTCTTGCGGGAAACGAGTCTGAACTGCTCTCAAGCTTGACTCCATGACCGTGTCATGGGCTAAACTTCTCAGACAGCGATGATCTCTAGCAATATCAGGGCTATTGGAAGAAGCAATTATTGTCTGCTGGTAAACTTGGAAAGCTTGGCAGGCTTTCAGTTTGCAATGTAGAAGTAGCCCGGGCTATGGGTGGAATCGGCAAAGAATCGGCATGAGGTAAGAGCGATAAGGATTGGGAGACACATACATGGTTATAGTAAAAGTTCTTACTGATAATGGGCGTGCAGGTTTATGGCTGAAGGGCATTGTACGATTTAATGACGCTACGTCCTCATTAAAGTTTAGGCGCCAATTGCTGACTTGTCATTATGCCAATGGCGGGCTCTCGTCTTACAGGCTGTGTTAGGTAGAGGCAAAACCTCGTGGACGTCTTATTGTGCCATTGGGATGCAGGTACTGCATTGGTGCTGCTTCTCTAGGAATGGCGGATGCCTCAAGTGCTCACAATACCTGGTGTTTGCAACCTTTCCTGTTCGCCCATGGACCCGTACATCTTTCCTAAGACCTGGTGAGGGGTGTCCTATACTTTGCGGGCATTCGCAGTGCCATTTCCTCACATGCTGGCGGCTAGCTCAGAGCCGCCTTTTCCTCTGCCTTTAGGTCAACCACCATTCCCCTGCGGACCCATGTACATAGAACCTGCGCAGTTCGATTCTCCGTTGACAGTTTCAGGCGAGAGGCAGGGTAACTAGGCCACGCTAACAGATAAATTCCAAGCAAGAACGTTTCGTTACCACGGTTAAGAGACGTGCGGGACAGCATCACAGTGTTTCCCGACACGTTTGTCTGCTTCGCCTCATAGTACACAGGGGGTACACTGATGATGGTCTCAGCCGGACGTCCCATGGGGCATCCGAGCCCTAAAACGCTCAGTGCAACTGGCAAAGCACCAGCCCAACCAACTTGCATGCGCAACCGTCAACCCCTGGCATCGCCGAAGCAAGTCTTCTTGCAGAGGCCTGCAAATATCCAAGCAATTGAACTCAATTAGAAGAAAACGCAGTCTTACTGTCTAACAAGTAACCAGTGTAAGTACGAAGCAGGCAATAAGGCACTCAATTTAACGTCCTCGCCACATTGTAGTGCCTACAAAGCTCCTCCCGTTCAGCGAACAATCCCGCGTACTAATTTTTAAGCACTGCACACAAGTGTCCAATAAACACACGCACAGTACCGGTACGTACACATAAACGGGGAACAAGCACACCTCTAAACTCCATTAATGACCACTATGGCAAGATTGTGGGCAGGAATGCGAGTATTACGCCAATGCTGGCGTGTCAAGAAGACGAATGACACGTATGTATAGGTGGTACTCATGAGCTGAGCCGCTAGCGGTGTGGTGTCGCGTCTACACGCAAAAAGAAACACAACGCAGAAGGAAGCGGTTAAGAGTATCACGCATCCCTGCATCACGCTTCGATGCAAACCTGCCGGCAACAATCTAAATAACCCTCCGTCCTCGATGCCCACAAGCAAGGGCAAACTGGCACCATGACAACAACCGAGCGAAGGGTTAGGTCCTGGACAGCAGGCGTCGTCTCTGAAAATCTGCACACAACTGGAAACCCATCCCGCACCAACCTCACAGGATGTGGCTTCGCATGCGCAACTCCCCTGCCAGCTACCGGTACAGCTTCCACTCGTCACCAGGGTCGCACACCAGTTTCGAGAGACGTGTACTAAACATTTCAAAACAGATCACATCACTGGGTGATGTAGCATCTTTGCTCAAAGCCTGACATCACAGCACGTATCAGTAGTCCCCAGGCGCCAAATACCCGCATGTGTCACGGCCATACAAACACATGCCAACACAAACGCGCACACAAGCAGAGGTAACCCAGCGCAATCCGCAGTCCTAAACTCGTTGCAGCAGACGCATCCCTGCGCCCTCCTTACCAGCCACAGCCACAGAGGAGCCCGCAAGGCGCACTAAAAGGCGCCTTGGAAGTTGCTCTCATCCCCCAAACCCCAGGTAGGCATCTCAGATCCTCCACGACATACGGCCTTGCTTAACACATTAAACCCCCTCACAGGCATACCATCATCAGCAAATGCAGCAAAATGGACAGCACAGCTGCGCAACTCCTTGGGCCTGCTTCTGTCCCTATGTACGCGGACGCCCCGGGCAACAATGTGCCAACGTCTGGCCCATATGGGTCAATAAACCTTACTGTACCTCAGCATCTCACTACTGAGCTCACCAACCAAAGCTCTCTTCACGTAGCCAGATGCTGGCCTTCCGAAACCATGAGATGACGTCATCCGACCGCAACGCCTTTCCTTTGTCACCCCTCCCTCGGCTGCTGCACCCGCACCCCAACCCAAGCAGCGAAGCAATGGGTTAAAAACTCTCACCCCTTGGGGCTTCAGCCCCCACCAGCAGCGACAGGTGCACGAAGGATACCCCCACACACACGAGCATGCACCCCATGCAACGCACGTGCAGGCCCTGTCGATGACAACAACATCCTTGCAATTACCAAACATCATTCATCACACCACACCAACATTCAACATTCCTAGGCCATGTGCCTCCTCCTCCTCAGATCTATCTCTAGGCTACGGATCGCGCGCAAGCCACCCAAGCCGCTGCCCGACAAGGCACCACATCCGCGCTGGTAGCGGCGCGCCACGAGGCGCAGTCACTGAGGCTGCTCTCCGACCCGCTGCACCGCACCCCCATCATGGTACCCAGGAAGCTGCCCTCCGCATCAATGGCGGCATCCGCAGAGTTCGGGGCCAGCCGAGTCGTGCCGGAAGTATACACCGAGCCGCCGGCGGTGTAGCCCAGCGACCGGCAAGCCACACTGGCCGCCGCGTTATTGAAACCGCTGTCCAGGCACACCGCACCGAACTTGGCGGAATTGCTGCTGAGCGAAGACTCGATGCGGGCGAGGTAGTATGATGCACCGTTGATGGTGGTTACGGTAGCCGAGGGCGAGGGGGAGGAAGCAGCCCGCAGAGCCGTGCTCGCCCCGGATCCGCCTGAACGGCACTTTACGGCGGCTACCATCGTACACACGTCGGACGACGTGTAAGTGTCCACGTCAAAGTTCCAGGCGTCGACTTTGTTGACCACAGCCGCCATAGGGCATGCAGACAGCGAGGTTTCGCTTCCCTGGCAGTTGAGTTTCCCGAGCAGCATGAGCGGCAGGTCGCCACTGCGCCACACGCGCAGGGCCTCACCGCCCGCAGAGTAGCCGGCCTGGCGGCAGGCGGCGTTGGCGGCGGCAGAGTCCCAACCGGCCCATGGGTCGCCGCAAAGGTAGTTCCACTCGGCAGCGTTGGCGCCCGCTGGGCGAACCTGCACCGGGGAAGGGTACGGAAGAAGATAAAACATGGCGGCAGCATTGATGACATGGCCTGATATGGATCCAAGCCAAGGAGCTACACAGCTTCGCAAGGGCCCCTGCGCTCCCACAGCTTGTGCTCCACGCTCCCCCCGGCTCACCCGCACGAGGCCCTGTCCTGATACGGCCGTTGTGTCGTCGCTAGTATTGGTGGAGATCATGACGAGGCTAGAGTCCAGAGGGGGAAGCTGCGTGACGCCCGGGGGAGGTGGAGAGGCGGGTGGATAAGCCGGTGGGGCCGGGGATGTAGGCGGAGCAGGTGGTGAGGGCGGAGGAGCAGGTGTCGAGGGTGGAGCAGTCAAGGACGGATAGACCGGGGGAGCCGGTGTAGCAGACGGAGTATCAGGAGGACCACCATAAGAAGGCGGCGGGGTAGAATATGAAGGCACAAGAGGTGGAGGAGCCGGTGGGGAAGGTGGAAGAGGTGTAGTTGGTGGCTGGGGCGGAGGTAATGTAGGCTGGTTATTGACCTCTGCAGCAGCAAGAAGATGGCGACTAAGGAATAGAACTCGCAAACAAAGACTTCAGCTAATTATGAACTTCAATTATATAAGACCTGAAAACTATGTAAACCTGCCATGCGCGTTTGGCGCCCAAGTCTTGCATGCGCCATGGTACAAGGCAGTGGTTTCACCAGATAGTCCAAGTAGGTTGCATTATGGAGCTCCAAATCCAAAATTCCAAAAACCGTATACCCGCTCACTGAGGATGTAAAAGGAGGGAAAGGGAAAAATGTCAGTTGAATGCACTGTTACAGTACACGCTGCCCTGTCGACTTCAAATACGCTCTCCACATCGTCTCGCAATGCTTACCCTGCCACTTGCCGATGACTCTGCCGCGCAGCTGGCTTAGCAGAAACGTCAGTTGTGAACGCAATGTCCATAAGACGCGCGTTGGCAGAAGCCAGGCCCAGACATAGCAAAACGGCCATTCTCAACTTCAACGTGCCGCTTGATGCCATTACATGCACTTCCTGGCGTGGTTGAACCGGGGACGGTGCCCTTCGTCTCGACTTCACGGCGGTGACCATGCGTGTGCAATCCTGAACCGCTAACTGGTAACAATCTACACTAGAGGCAAATGTAAAAGTAGAACGGATGTGCCCACCTTGCGACGGCAAACGGGCAACTAGTTACAAAGCGAGTACCGGTATTGCAATTGTTTCTTCGTTTATGCAAGTAAGTCTGAAGCAAGATATAATAGTCCACTGCACTCAAACATCTTTCCCTGTGCATCGTGATGCGGAGCAACCTTCTCCACTCCTACCATCCGTACAGCGTACACTAGGGGTTATTACCGGTTACGTAAACAACATGAACGCCAAGCCTTGACCTTCCATACATGTTGCTATTACTGTGGCTTATAGAGTTCCCTGTACCAATGCACATGATCCTCCAGGAGGTGACGGGAAGGTGCAGTGAGGTTAAGCCAAGCTTACCGGTAGCGTGCACTTGGAAGCTTTCCCCAGACCCCGGAGCCACCCGGGGTCCTGAACCACATCGCTACTTAGGCACGATTGAACTTCGGTACCTTGATGCTTAAGGCTAGTTGCTATATGCCGTTCCACCATCCGTGCTGGCGACGTCCGCCCGTCGTTAAACCCTTTTGGACCGAGCAATAAAGCGAGTAGCATAGGTCTATCCCAGCAAGGAGTTATTCGTAACTTCCTTCCATCCAATTAAAAGACTGAGCCCGTGGCTACGTACATCGGTGACCAGGTTTGACCAAACGGTTGAGGCTCATCAAACATCCGCTTACTGCCAGGCGAACGAGTTAGCGTGCAAAGCTAGCCTGCACTGGCATTATCTTTGCCATAATGCTCGCCAGAACCGCGTGCCAGGAGCTGCGCCTTGGTTATATGAGGACAAGTCCTCGGCCGCTCGGCGCCCGTTCCGCAGATTGCACACCCACGCCTGCCACCATTGCAGTACGTCAGCCTCACAGGAATCAATTATGCGCAAGGATGGTTAACCTTGTAGGAGCCATCCACCGTTCGCTCCCCTGTCCTAAACCCAGTGCGGACGGGTCTAACCATGCAGTCCATGCACACACACGCGGCCAGTTTTCTTAACACACACAAAGTTATGTTCCCTGGTAGCATACATCAACCCCGAAGCCCCGCAGATGCCATAGCCCTGAAACCATGATTACCCAGCAGTTAACATACCGGTTTCCGCAGACCTCGCCATATCCTCATGGCTAGAAACACGGCAGAGCAGACATCCCTTACTCCACCACAAACTGTTGTTCCCAAGGAGCCCCGCGCGCGACCACCTAGCTAAAGAGGCGCGAACACAAGAGAACTACGCAGCTATTGGCAAGCACACTGCCAGCGCATCAATCAGCCACCTCGGGAAGGTTGGGGTTAAGAAAGCTGCGACCCTGTAGCCGCTAATCCCCGGCCCAAACCTCCCATGCCTAACCCCCAGGACTTCCCATGTTGCAGGGTTCCCCTTCCCCCGCAGGCTCAGTCCGGCAACCTACCTCCCCCTTCCACCCTGTCAAGCCTCCTTCCCTCACCCCTACCGGGCATTGCAATTCGTGTGCTTGGCTTACCAATCAACCCCCAGCCCCCCACCTGCCCCTACCCCTTTCTACCCGCCTCTCAGTGCGGAGGTCGGCTCGCGTACAGCAGGCATCATGGCTGGTTGCTTGTTGCTCATTCAGCCTCCCCCGCCCCAGCTCGTCAGTTTCCTCCTTCTTACCCCCCTCACTTGTGGTTACCGGTAAGCACTTCCTTGACCCCTCCCCCACCCTCTCAGTGCTGGTGCGGCTGCCCCAGCTCCAGCTCCAACCGCACCACGTTCATCTTCACGTCGGGCGCCCCCCGCAGCCCGGCCACGTACTGCAGCTTGCGGGGCATGCTCTGGCCCTTGGACACACGCGTCTGGACGGTGGCGTCACGCGGCCGCCACACCTGCGAGCATTCGGGGGGGTTATGCCGGGTTGAGGTTGACGCACCGGGTGGTAGTGTACGAGCATCTGGAGGGGGTAGACGACTTGGGGTTAACGTACGGGGGTTTTACCGATAGGCGTAGGAGCATGGGAGACGGAGTTTTGGGGTGAGGGTCAAGTAGCAGCGGAGAGCAACATACGGCATGGAGTACGGCACCCCGCGGTAGGTGTGAGGGTGCGAGGGGCAGAGAGGTGTATGGGATCCGGGGCATGTGGTGTGGCACACGTGCATAGTGGCCCAGAAACCCCCCCCACACACACATCGCTTCCCCGTCTCCCTTTTCGTCTCGGCGGTTCCTCCCGATGCCTCCTCCGTTCTGCCCTGTCCTGCCCCCCTCCTCCGCGCACCTGCGTCTCGTTCTCGCGCTTGAAGTGGCTCTCCGCTGTCTGCGCGCTGTGGGTGGCCTTGTCGCGCAGGTTGGCCAGCGCCAGCGCGCGCCGCCGCAGCGCCCACACGTTCCACTCGTAGTCCTTGTCCATATTGCGCTCCAGGAAGTGCACGGGAGTCTGGCAGCCAAAGTCCACCTTGAGCGTGCCGGACATGGCCTGGGGAGGAAGGGTGGTCGGGGTGGGAATGGAGGGGGGTTGAAGATGTGAGGGGAGGGGGCAGGATGCCGGTGGGTGGAAGGTACTGTTCCAATGCGTGCCGTGGTAGGCCACCACCCATGCGTCAGCCCCCGGCCATTGCTACCGGTACCCAATCTGCTACTCAAATCCAACCGCGCGCCCCAATCGCGCCCACCTGCAGCACCGCGTGCACGTCCGCGGTGGTTCGCGGCGGCGGCAGCCCCAGCGGCCGGGCCAGCAGCGGCTCCCGCCGCACCGCGCCGTCCACCTCCGCCAGGCAGCCCGCCGGGTCGGCCAGGAAGGCCTGCATGTCCGCGTTGGTGGCGAAGCCGTACACCTTGTCCTGCACCGGGGGAAAAGGGAGGTTGGGGGGAAAGAAGGGGAGGACGAGTTTGTGGTTGGGATGGCAGCTGGTCCTAGGTTCTGACCGGGGGCGCATAGGAAGGTCGACATGTTTTGCCATTCACTGCTACTGGCTACCCTTGGGAAGGCGCGGGTGACACAATCCCGCGCATTTACCTGGTACGCCAGGTAGCCCAGGCGAGGGTTGGCGCGCCGCAGCAGCGGGTAGCGACCCGTGGGTCGTCGCGCCAGCGTGCCCGCGCAGAACCCCGCCAGCGCCAGCCCTGGCTGCAGCTGCGAGGGCGAGGTGGGGCGGATGTACTCTAGGCCGCCGCTGCCGCCGGCGTCTGCGGCACCATCGCCTGATGCGGCTCGCGAGCCGTTCTCTAATGCGTCTAGTCCGGCTAGGGTGGTTTCGGAGAGCTGCTCCGCTAGGGCGTCAGCAGCGGTGGAGGTGCCTGTTCAGCAGCAGCGGAGGGAGGAGGGGGCAGGGGAGCTTGTCGGGAGTGGTAGAGGGCCAGGAGAAGGGTCCGACATAGCAGACTACGCTGGGGAGATTCTCTGCAGAAAAGGTCCAGCAAGCACGCCGACAAAGCCGTGCTTGCACACGAAACAGGCACGCACAATAATAATAGGCACGTTGCGCCGCGACTCCCACACATGTGCAATAGCCGTGCAACACCCAGAATGTCTCCCTCCCTCTCTCTCTCTCTCTCACCTACGGCCGTGGAGCGCTTGCTGGCTCCCGACTCGGTGGACGAGGGCGTGGAGGGCAGCAGCACGCTGTTGGGCGGCAGGGCGGACAGCCCGCTCAGCTCGTCGTACAGCCGCTGCCGTACCACCAGCATGCGCAGCTCCTGGTGCAGGCCGGTGTGCAGCGCGCCCAGCCGGTCGAACAGGGGGTACACCACCTCCTTGCCCACCGCGCTGGAGCCGCCCACGGCGTCATGGACCTGCACGGGGGAGGGAGAGCAGCGTGGTGGGTGATGTGTATGGGGTTACACGGTAACCGGTCCCCTCCATTCACAATTCCGTAACATCCCTGGACCAGGTGGAAATGACCGCAAGCGCCATGCAGCATCCGACCTCCCATCCCGCTGCACCCCGCCCCCCCCACACCTGCAGGATGGTGTGCTCCAGCTCCGTATCCAGCTGCTGGGCGGCGTCAAGACCCTCCTGAAGGTCCGCCTGTACGACAGATACATGATTGCGGTACGGCAGAGCAGAGGGGATTGTATGCACCGGTACATGCTGTACGACAACCGTACGGACACAACAGTTACCCGCCATCCTTACAGATGACCATTAAAAGAAGATAGCCCAGCTGCTATACGCTATACAATTGTCACCCGCAAGTACCGTGCATGGTGTATCGTACAGATGTCGTACCTTTAGGGACTCGTACAGCTGCAGCGCCTGCCCCCTATTGAGCACCTCCGCATGGAGCAGCGCCCGCCGCCGCTCCTCCTCCCCAGCGGCGGCGGAGGCGGCGGCAGTCTCCTTGTCGTCCGCAGCGGGCGGGGGCGGCAGCTGCGACACCATGGCATGCAGCCGTACTAGCTGCTCGCTCACATCCGAGCAGCACCTGAGGGAGGGGGGATGCACGGATCCGGCCTTGGGCCCACCCCTCAACCCCCCGTAGCGCGTGTCCCTGCCCCGTATGCATACCCACTGGGTGCCGCTTTCACCCCACAACTTACCCCTTGCCGCGCTCCTGAAACCACAGTACCCTTTGCCTTGACCCACGGTGAGAACGTTCTCCTCCCCAACCACATACCTCCTAGCACCCAACAATGGGTGGGAAGCGGACTCCACCCTGTTCTCCACCCAACGTCTCCATGCGCGCGCGGCGGCGCCCCAAACCCACTCCACCCTTAGCCCCCCCTCCCTCCCAGTCCTATCCACCTGTTGATGTCCCGCAGCAAGCGGTGCGCCTGCGGCAGGTAGGAGGCCGCCGCCGCCGGCAGCGCCGCGCCGCCCTGCCCCAGCGAGCGGTTGTAGAGGCAGATGCCGGTGGCGATGCGCGCTAGCTCCGACAGCTGAGCCAGCCGCTCGGCCTCGGACAGGGTGAGGAAGCGGGCCACGCCGGAGACCGGGAAGACGGATTCGAGGGCGGCGCGGACCTGCAGGGAAGGGGAGGGTGGTTAAGGTGGGGTGATGGTACGGGAGCGGGTATGTTGGCGGGGTGGTTTAGGATGCGGGTTGGGTAGGGTGTGGGTAGTGTCTATTGTGTGTTTCAGTGGCGATGTGGGTCAGTAAGAGGGGTATGAGTGATGGTGAGGGATGATGGGTTGCGGTTGTGGTGGTGGTGGTGGTGTGAAGACGCGGGTTGCAGCGCCCAGGCGGGTGTGGGTTGAAAAGATTGAGGCGCGGTTTGGATTGTGGTTGTGTGAAGCTGCTGGCACACGTTGTGGTCGGTGGCGGCGGTGTAGGTTAGGCCAACTGAGGCCTGGATGGCGATGTGGGTCGGTCACGCGGTACGCGGGTTCCTCCGCCTCCGACACCATGAAGCGCCCCCACCACAGCTTCCCGCAGGACTCCCAGCACCCGCTTCCCTAACCTACCCCACCTACCCCACCCTTACCCACCCACCGGGCGTGGGCCCTATCCCGATGCGCCACCCCACCCGGCCCCACCCACCTCTGCGTTTGCTGCCTGGTCTTGCACCGCCGCCTCCATGCCCGCCTCCACACACACCGCCTCCAGCACCAGCTTGTAGAAGCGGTCGTACGCGTCCGCGGAGTTGCCCTTGAGCGCACGTGGGCCGGTGATAGCTGCGTGGGGAGTGGGAAAGGGGGAAGAAGATGGTGAGGACAAGAAGCAGGAGAAGAGGGGCGAGGGTAGTGGTGAAGGATCGTAAAGCTGAGGACGGGCTTGGAGGTTTCCTGCAGCTGCCAAAGGAGCAGACTCGCATGAACGGTACTGGTTTGGCGATGTGTCGTGGTTACATGCTAAACCCAGATGGGAGTTTGGATAACCAATGCGATGGAGTGCAGCTCAAGTGTACGACACCTGTACACGGCAGGCCTGTACCGGTGTCTCTCCAACACCAGCACCAGCACCTTTGCTGCATACGACTGTGTACGACAGCTGGTGGTATTGCTCGCACTCCAGCTACCCATATGGCCGCGTACCTCGTTGTAGCATGCCTGCACGCTCTTGCTGCTCGGTTGTCTCCTTCTCTACGAGCTCGCGTTGTTGCTTGTAGGCAGCCTCCATCAGGACCTGTTGGGACCGGTTGGCGGGTGTTGTGGACACGATTATAGTCCAAATGGCATTACCCTAATGTGGTATAGAAGACAAGTGAATGCCGGTTAATGCCGCGGGTGCGTTTGGTCCCTAGGAACCCCGTGTCAGGGGTTGCCAGTGTTACGATGATGGGTGTGGCACGAGAGTCCCACCTGCATCATTGCTGTTTTAAGACGTGGATCGGCGCCACGTAGCAGAATACCAGCTATTTGCTTTCCGATGGCTGCCACAGACTCCGCTGATAGCTTGGAATCCAGGCGCACTCCGGGCACATCCAAACTGCCGCGCGCATCCTCCAAGCTTGCCACGTACGCTGCGACAAATGGGTCCACCTGTCGTGCAAAAGCCGCATCCGTATTAGGATAGCACTGCATGTTATTGACTCGAAACACGCTAAGCCGCGTAACGAGGGGTCGCGGCATGCGGGGCAAATGGGAAGTACCTTCTGGCCACGTTCTCTACACAAGCGAGTTGTCTCAGCGACTATACGCTTCAAGTTATCCTCCATAGTGTCCTTATAGGTATATTTAACTTAACACCCTACTTCCAAGTCACTTCTGCCTATCTTTACTTTTGCTACCGTATCCCCTTACAACGTCATCGAATGTTGAGATCGAGTAAGAGTTTATATATATCTTACATGTATAACCCAGCCCGAGCAAATACGGAAACACCTTATAACAGTTAATCGTATCGTTGGCCATGGGCACAACCCAGTTCTTTCGAATCTCTTTCTATATTGCCATTTAGAGCATACAGATCATTTGTGCAGATTGGCGTATTAATCTGAGGAACAACAATCAACGTCCGACCCATCCGTCCGTTCGCCAAGAGACCCTCATAGCAGCATAGTCACCTAGACTAAGAGGGAATATAGCATGGAGGGTGAACGTGACTCCCCGGCTGGCACATCGTCAGGAGTCTTGGAGAACGCATGGAAGCAATTTGGCCGGTATGTCCGCAGGCCGCTGATGCTAGGCCTGTACCCAACGAGCAGTCAATCCTCCGATATGGGTCACAAGCATAAACTAATGTTGAGCTTGCCCCCATGATTAGCCCGGGTTAGGTTTTCCCCACGCCCTTTTGCAACCCTCCCTGCGCCCCTTTCACGACGCTAAATCCCCTGTTCGCTTCGTTCGTACCCTAGCAACCGCTCCCATATCTGCCCTTGCTGCTACCACAGCGACAACCCAGCTGGCAAGGCGCTCTTCAAGTTATACAACAAGGATGTCACGAAGCAGATTGGGAACGCTTACCACAGCAAAAACAAGCAGGCGCACGACAAGAAGCTAGCGACGGGCTGGACGCCCCCGCCAGTGGCAGGTGGGGCTGGCTCTGGCACCAGCAGCCGTAACCCTAAAGGGCTTTCATGCCTCCTAAAAGGTCTCCTAGCCGCCATAGCGAGCCGGGGGTTGTGGGCTGGAAGGGCTAAGGCTGGCCCGGCTGGGGAAGGCTTGGGCTATTTGGATGGCAAATTGCAGCGGTGGAAGGCAGGGCCGGAGGGTGCTGCTGACTGCGGGCTTTCGGGGCGAGTCATAAGTTGTGGGCCTGCTTGTGCATCCCCGTTGGCACCTGCTGCAGAGGCAAGCGTTTGTGTAGTACCGTATGTGGTTCGCCTTAACATGGCCCTCCGTGTCGCCCGCATACGCGCCCTATCTTCCCCGCGAAACAGAACCGCCGAAGCCCAAACTGGAGCGGCCACAGGTGAGAGAAACTGCTGCTGTAGCAGTGGCAACAGTAGCGGCAGCAGCAGCAACCATTGCAAACGAGGGCAGTTGCAACAGCACCAGGAGCAGCAGTAGCAACAGTTGCAGTTGTCCTGAGGATTGCACCTCACAGGGTGTTTGGGCGGTTCCTCATGGGTCAGGGTTTGCTGGGGCTTGCCGAGCGACTTTAGGCGCGATGCGGGATGCGGGATGTGCCCATACCAATGGCTGAACCTATCCAACCACACCCCTCCCCACCCTCGCCAGGTGGAGGTGCCCAAGTTCCCCCTCAAGCGGATAGAGTACGACAACCTGGGGGCGGCACGCGTCGACCTCATCCCGCGGCGGCGCCCCCTGGAGGTGATCCGGCGGGAAATCGATGCCGAGTACGAACGCATGCGTGCCGCGCCCCAACCGCCACCCAACCGTAAGTAGTACGGTACATGCGGGGGCAGCTGGCGTTGCATTGCTATGCTGGGAGGGCGCCAACGCCGCCTTCACGACCTCCTCGTGCATGCGTCTCATGCGTCCACGTTCCTACCGGTGCGCTTGGAATTCCTGCCTACGCCTCCCTCTTCCTGCAGGTCCGCTCCTGGACGAGCGTGAGAAGGCCCGGCTGGCTGAGCTGATGCGCTTCCGCGGCAAGCTGCCCGCCATCACGCCCGAGCAGCAGGCGGAGATGAGCAAAGCAGGTGGGTGGCTGGGGGTGGTGGTGCCAAGGAAACGAGGCCTCTTCCGCCTCCTCCTAGAGTTGCTTTTTGACGTTCGCACCTACCGTGCCTTCGTTCCCTGCGGCCCCCTTCCTTGCCCTCCCTGCCCCCTCCCTGCCTGCCCTCACATGCTTTGCTTCTTCTTTGAATTCTTTCCCTGCCCCCTCCCAGTTCCCCGCAAGTCGCAGCGCCAGCAGCTGGAGGAGCTCTTCTCCGCCATCATGGGTGAGATAGAGGAGCGGCGCCAGTTCCTGAGGGACCTGGAGGCGGCGGGCAGGCTGCCGCTGGAGACGGTGTACATGGTGGGTGGGCTGGGAGGGGGGTGCGTGGGTGGGTGGGTTAAGGAAACTGGCCGCGAGTCGGAACGTACTGTGATTGCCGGCTGGGTTGGGAGGGTGCGCGGGTGGGTGGGGGTCAGAAAGAAACCAACATTTTGAAGGGGAAACCATGAGCGAGGACGGGAGACTAGGGTTGGGTGGGTTGGGGGATGAAGGAGTATGGGAGGCCGGACGTGCGAGGCCGGACGTGCGAAGAGGCGGGAGATGGGAAGGTGTGTAGGAAGGGAGAGTGCTGGGTTGGGGGCACCTTGCCGGTACCCCCAACCCCCTTGCCGGCAAGGGCATAAGTCAGAAGTCACATATGTTCTGCCGTTTTGCCGCACCCCCCGCACTACCATGAGGGTTAATCCCTTTCCCGCTTTCCCTCCCTCTTTCCTGAACGGCATTCACCACAGATTCGATCCGAGATCCAGGACCGAGTGACGGAGCTTCAGCGAGTAGATGTGCTGCTGAAGCAGCAAGCAGGGGAGCTATAGCGGAGCGAGCCGGACGTGTGGCACTGTAGCATTTTGTATGACCAGTATTGTTGTACGACACGGCATGGCGTTAGTTACACCCTGGTTACACGGCAGATTTAGCTTGTGATAAGCGGCAGAATGGTGACTTTGGACTTAAGGATGTGCTCAGTACATGTAGCGTGCAAGATAAATTTTAGACACCGGTAGAATGGTGCTCGGGGTGTACTGTGAGAGGGTTGTGAAGAGGACGTGTCATGGTTGCTCTCCATTCCGCAGATTCCTAGGATAGTGCTACTTGGCTAGTACGGTTCGTTATCCAAAGGGCAGGGTAGACGTGGCTACAACGCGTATTTAGGCATCGCCTCCTCCTTATTGATAACACACCTAGCCCAAGGCTGTGCAGGCGTGTCAGCCACTGTGATAAGCGGCTGTAACAATAGGAGGCAGGGAACTGCCTCCTATAGGGGGTGTTTATGCGCGACTGCACCGGACCATCGCAAGACCAATGCTGGGCAACTGGTGGCCGGGACGGGACCGGTTGGCCCGGTTTTACAGGTGCTGTGTGGGTTGCGTGTCACGAGTGATACGTAATTGTCCAAACACTTGTTTTTGTTCTAGTACACATGTGTATATACGTTGTCATGTTTGTCTCGTCTTATTTGTCTGCGAAGTGAAAAGCAGATCACAAAAGCGGTGTGAGGGGATGTACCGGTATGCATGGATGTGGGTGTTGACATGGGGGGCTTGAAGTTTTGCGGTTGCGCCTACTTGCCTAACCTGCCGTTACAGCGTTTCAATCTAGCTGCAGGCCGTTTGCGGCATACTCCATGGCCTGCGACAAGCGGCCCATGCGGCCCAGTGGGTCACCTGTTTCGTTTTTAGCATACAAGACACGGATAAGATAAAATCCACAAGCTGTAATGTCTAGGTACGTCCAATGTTGTCGTGGCATAGTTGCATATGAAACGTGCCTGGCGAGGCCCCATGCAAAGTCATACATCTGCTAACGGCAAGCGAGCCCCAGCTCCTAATAGATTTCGATAACATGGTTTTGATCTATAGAGCTGCACCTTTGGAAAACCGGTCATGATGTCAGCAAATTTGCATGATGACTTCCGTACGCCAACGCATTTACGCGCAGGTCCTGTGCTAGCTGTCAGATGATAATATGAAATTGTTGTCTCACAGCTTAGGCGACATATGGTCCGATCTGAGAAGTACCTCTTTTGTATTTTGTGACACTCGACTAACTCATAGGGCACTCGGCGGCCACTGGCCGCTTAGCTAGCGGCCATGTCTAGCGAAGACTGCATTGCACCACCTTTCTTCTCCATTATCTCTGCATTATTTATGTAAGGCTTGCTGGAGTTGGCCTTTCCCATTTGGGGCGCGGGAAGCGCAAGCGCTGACCGGTGCTGCTGCCTCTTGCAGTTTATCAGCAGCGACGATCTTTGGGAGGATTCGTGATGCGTGGTACTTCCTAAGGCATCCCTTTTCGAGCAAGAGCAAGGATGTAAGTGTTGCCAATCGAGATTGAAACCTTGAAATTCGAAGAACTTTGATTGAACGTCATGCCGCTGCAGGGATATGCGCCTATTCGCGATAAGACCGAGGATTTCTACATGCGGCGAATGTATGGACGCATCGTGGTGGGTACTAATTCAAGCATCAGTCGCTGTTATGGGACAGTCACTCTATTTGAGCATCGTGGATTTTCATTACCGCAGGACTGCTGGAATAGACCTATTAGTAGCGCACCCGATGCTTGGGTGGACGTAATGGAGCGGTATCGCGCCAAGGACACCACGTAAGATAGCATGGAAGCAAGTTGTTGGGCCTGAACCGGCGGCATTCAGATGAGCCAGAACCGCTTGCAAACGGCAGATTACGACCTAAAACCCCCACGGCGCATGCACAATAGCCAGAGAAAGCCACATGCGGTGCAGGAGGTGCATGCACCACCTCTTAGGAAATCCCACCCCGAAACAACCCTCCCCTTGTGCTTTCATTAATTATGTCGATTTGCAATGCACTTAAAGGCCTCATGGTTTTGCCGCACCTGCAGGGGCGTTGACATTGCGGAGATTGTGCCCACAGGGAACACACGCCACTGCCTCAACCTCTCGTCGTACAACTACCTTGGATTTGCGGCCTCGGATCCGTACTGCACTCCCCGGGTAATCGACACCATCCATGAGCTCGGAGTCAGCAACTGCAGCTCGAGGGTGCACTCGGGTACGTGGCTTCCGTACCTTTTCTGTTGTGTCGTTGGTCTTGAGCCTGTCCCGGACTTGCTACCCTGCGTAAACTTGTTACCCATGCGTGTGTGATATGCTGCATGCATCCCCGTACGCACAATTGAAGTAAACCCAACCAAGGTGCCGCCTGAGCGTCAGGGTAGCGCCTTTGCCCACCAGGCAGGCATCTCGGGTTGCATCACCTTCACATCCCCATGCATGGCTTGACCTCACTTGTGGTTTCCTTGGGAACGGCTTGGCTTCCCTCCCTAACTCCCTGTGTGCATGCATGCCTTCCGCCCCCCCCTCCACCAACACAGGCACCACCTCGGTGCACGTGGAGCTCGAGGAGCTGGTGGCTCGCTTCCTGGGCGTGGAAGCGGCCATCACGTACGGCATGGGGTTCGCAACCAACTCCTCAACCATCCCCTCACTGGTACGGCGCCTGTTGCCCCTTTGCGACGCCTGGGCTTCATCCGACTAGTCCTCCGGCTACGTGCACTTCTCACCACACCCACAAGTGCCTACCCCACTCCTTCCTGTTTTCGCATCGCTACTGTCCGCGTCCCTTCCTCTTCCTACATATTCCTACAGCGGCCCCTCTAAATCCCTGCAGTCCTGTGTACCTTCTTGCTCCTCTTACCCCCTCCTACCCTGCTGCTCCCCTATCAGGTGGGCAAGGGCTGCCTGGTGCTGTCGGACGCGCTCAACCACTCGTCCATCGTTGCGGGCTCGAGGCTGAGCGGGGCCAAGATCAAGGTGAGCGGCATGGAATAGGCGGACGCGAGGGGGCCTCTTTAACCGCGTCTCGTCCGAAGCACTGATGTGCTTCCCCAACAACCCTGATATTCCTTGCTGAGCTGCAAAGTGGCTCATGACCTCTTTCCGCTTGCAATCCTAAACGTGCTACCGGCAGTTGCAGGGTCCCTAACCCACCTCGCTTTCGCCCCTTCCAAGCTTTACCTGGTCCCTCTCTACCCTCCATCCCCCAACTACCATTCAATGTGTCTTCTTCTTACACCCTCCGCACCCAAAGGTGTTCCGCCACAACGACGCCCGGCACCTGGATGCGCTGCTGCGTCAGAGCATTGCGGAGGGGCAGCCGCGCTCGCACAGGCCCTGGAAGAAGGTGGGGGCGGGTTTGCGGACTTCTGGGTCAGAGATATACTGAGACATGTTGGGTGGGGGATAAAGAGGAAGCAACTAACTGACCATGTGGGTGGGGGAAGGGCAGGGCTAGCGGCCCTCCAACAGCGCCGTTGCTAAAATGAGAAAAGTGTGGGCGGCCAATGGGGGGTTTGCAGGGCGGGAGAGGCAAGGCTGGCTTATGATGCGCACTTCACCTCCTTTCCTGCACGGTGCAGGTGCTGGTTATCGTGGAGGGCATCTACAGCATGGAGGGAGAGACGTGCAACCTCAAGGAGATTGTGCAGGTGGGTGGTGCGGGAGGGGAAACAAGCGGCTGCTTGACAGTTTGGAGGACAGGCGTCAGCCTTTACCGGCAGGAGGGGTAGGGAAAGAGGAAGGCTCATACAGTTTCCTATGGCTCATCCTTTATCCTTCCATTTTGCCCCCTACCTCCATACTTGTGTCCCAAGCCCACATGCTGTCGCACCTCTTCACCCAGGTTGCCAAGAAGCACAAGGCTTACATTTACCTCGACGAGGCGCACAGCATTGGCGCGCTCGGACCCACGGGTCGTGGCTGCTGCGAGCACTGGGGCGTGGACCCGCGCGATATTGACGTCATGATGGGTACGTGGTTTGAATATGGGCACAGTGGCATCCATCTTCGCAGATGACTGAGCATCCCTCCGTTCCTTCTTGACTTATGCACCCAGCCAGTGCCACCTGGTGCAGAATCTACTTTTTCGTGCTTCCATTGGGCCTCACCATGCTTCCATGCCATGTGCCTCAGTAACACGCGCACGCATGCCCATTCCCATTCCCCAACCCACGTCACGTCACAGGCACGTTCACCAAGTCGTTTGGCTCTTGCGGCGGCTACATTGCGGGCCGGCGGGAGGTGGTGGAGCACCTGCGCCGCCACTCGCCCGCACACCTGTACGCCTGCTCCATGGCGCCGGGATGCGTGCAGCAGGTGGGGGCAGGGGGGAGGTGGGGGAGGGATGGTTTTGCTTGGGGTGGGGACATGCCTGCGCTGTAGTATGGTAGGATGGTGGGGTTGTGGAGCTTGGGTGCTTGGCTTGAAGTAATAACGAGTGTGGCGTTGTGGGAGCTGGACAGGGGTGCGTATGTGCATGCTCCATGGCGCCGAGGGGGCAGTTGATGCAGAGGACATCACACAAAGACGGAAGGTCCTTACGGCACCTTTGGGGAGTCGTTGTCTCGCAGCTCATTGGCAGCACTAGGACTCACTCCCTTTCACCTGCCTCCCTGTTGACACCCCTGCGCACCACAGGTTATCTCCGCCCTGCATGTGATTATGGGGCTGGACGGCTCGGACCGGGGCGCTCGCAAGGTCGCCCAACTGCACGACAACGCCAACTATGTGCGCAGGTGGGCTGGATCTGGTCAGCTTTGACAACTGTATACAATTACCCCATATATACGGCGCGTCCTTTCTCTTTTCCTACGCCGCACCCCAACCTGCTCCTAAACTTATCTCTTTCCTATTGACATCCCCCCCCTCCTTCCCCTTCCGCCCTTTCCCTCCACCTCCATTCCCTCAGCCGCCTGCTGACCATGGGCATGGACGTGCTGGGCAGCTGGGACTCCCCCGTCATGCCCATCATGACCTACAGCGCCTCCAAGATGGTGGCCCTCTCGCGCGAGTGCCTCCGCCACCACCTGGCCATGGTCATTGTGGGCTTCCCCGCCACCCCCGCGCTGCTCACCCGCGCCCGCATCTGCATCAGCGCGGCGCACACGCGGGAGGACCTGGACTGGGCGCTGGAGCAGCTTGGGGACGTGAGTGGGGGGGACTGGGGGCGGGGGTGGGGGTTTGAAGGAGAAGGATCCCAAGTTCCGAATACGCCAGAAACCCTTGCTCACTGTCTCCTCGCCCATAACCTGCTTCACTGGCCCCCTCCCGACCCCCTACCAGGTTTCTGCGCTGTGCATGCTGCTCTACCGCACTCGCGCCTTGTACGAGCGCATAGAGGCGGACCTGAAGGAGCACGTGGCCAGGCACGTGGGACCCGAGGCGGCAGCCCGCGCCACCATTGCCGACATTGCAGCAGGGCGCTTCAGCATCCGGCCGGTACGGTCGCAGCAGCAACAGTCATCCCGCGCACTGCCGGCACCAGCGACTGTCGCTGTGGAATCCTCGGCAGCGGAGGAGAGGCAGCAGCAGGAGGAGGGACAGGGGCACGTGCAGCCAGCGCGGTCGAAGCGCTCGCGCGCCAAGAGCTCTTCCCAGGAGGGGGCGGCGGAGAAGGAGGTCGTGGTGACGGCTTCGCCGGCGGCGTCGCCTGCGTCCCCGGCGGCGGGTGCGGCTGCGACGGTGGCGTTGCGGACGCGCAGTGCGGTGAAGGCGCACGCGAAGGCGTACGTGCAGACCAAGGCGGCAGCCTCTGTGGTGAAGAAGTGAAGGGGGAGTGTGGGTGGTGGGTTGCGGTCGGTGATGTTGGAGGAGGGGAGAGCGGATAAGGGTAGAAGCTGAGGAGTGAGAGGAAAGGGTTGGTTGTTACGGCGACAGAGAACCAAACGGGGGATGTGGTGTTAGGTACGCAGTGAATTTCGGAATAGGGATAACGGCCGTCTTGGTGTTTTCTTTTTCCAGTGTCGCAGGGGCGGGACGCTGTCAGGATGCACTAGGTTTTGGAGAAGGCTAGTGCAGTGGACTATCGGACAACGGGAAGGGCGCTCTTTCGGACGCAGGCATGGTGGCTCGGGTTATGGGGTTTGAGGGTTCGTACGTTTTGCTAGGCGGGGGCGGGTGGCGGATACCGACGTGAGTTCCACGAAGGGAAATTTATCTTCTCATTGTGGTGTACAGGTTGTTTGTACGGTAGTGCGCATCCAGACAACAGTACCTTGTCTCTCGAGTTCCAATAGTTCTCTCGGACAAGTATGGCAAACGCGCGTGCTGATTAAGACGAAGCACGGGGCACGATACGGCTAAAAAGGATAGGCGGTGCAGGGACGTGCGATGCATGGGAAATGTTACAGGTGTTTCTGCACGGAATAGGGGTAGAATTGGAATGGTACTGTTATGGAGGCGGCCTAGGGCACACAGGTTGTGGTTTGGCACCACCTCTTTAGTGATCTGGTCTCAACAAGGTGTAGCGTGCGTGCCTTCTTGACATAGTATGTTTGCATGCATGCGCGCGTGCATGTTGCGTTTTGTTCCGTAGGCCTTGCTGGGGTCCCAGTTGGGCGACTGAGGGTGCTGCGTTTGCAATCGAGAGCAACTACCGGCTGCTTTGAGCTCGTTTAGCGACGTGTAACCAGGGTGTGGCCCGTAGATGTCGTGCCTGATGCCACTTGCAGACAAATACAGACCCCCGTCAATGCACAGCCCTTTTGATTCCCTACAATCCTGTGCGGTGCATCAGCCGGGCGGCCCTTTAGGTGCTGTGCGCCCCAGTCGTCAGCAGCCGCAGCGGCCCCGAGGGGCTCCTGTTTGGGGGGCTTTAGGACGCCGCAGTCACTGCAGTAATTCGATCTAGCTGACCCTCAACCTGCTTTGTTGACATTCAGGCGAACTCGAAAGCCCCCATGATTTACAATGCCATGCGGCGCTTGCCTGGTACGGCCTATGCGGTAGCCTAATGCGGGTTTAAACCAAGTCGAAGTGGACCGGCAAAGCCAAGTACGTAACTGTTTCACAACACATTGATGGACGTCCGCAAAGGTAATAAGCAGCCTTTAAGCACGTGGTAGGCAGGCCTAGAATTTACCGCGGGTGTACACACAAGGAGCAGAGCCCCCTGGAATCACGTAAAAGGAACGAGCGTTATACCGCATGTAAGCTTGGGCGACGGTATGATCCTCAATGACTGGGGAAGATTGGGGGCCTGGGCCATGGGGTTGCAAACCAACGGTAACCTACCGTACACACAGACGACCCAATACTCTGGTTTCTTACGACTTCCTTAGTGCCCTTCAATTATGTATTTTGGCATGCTCTGGACACAATGGAATAGCACTGGACGTGTTTTTTTGGTTGACTAGGAAATGGCAGTGCGAATGATTATCGGCACTGACGTTGTTCACTAAAAACTGCTTGTCTAAAGGTTATGCGAAATGCTTGCAATTGATACACCACTCACTGGAGTTTTTGCCCCAGACGACCGCATGACATTGCACGAACCCCGGTTAATTAGGTTGCGGTAAATGACAAACACAGCGTACGTACTGCTAATCGGATAATTACCGCTCCTGGCAAATTTGGGTTTGTGAAGCTTGGGGCTGGCCAGGGCATCATGCTTGGACGCCACCAGACCGCCTGTTACTAAACCCAATGCTAAATATACGGACTACACCCATGAAGACAACGGCGTGACTCCTGGAAGCTTAGCGGAACTAGGTATGGCTAGGCAGGGTAGCGATGGTCGCTAACCGCTTTACACAACACCAGAAGGACTGTCGTTCTACCGTTTTGGCACTTCCAATCCCTCCACAAGTGTATAAACATGTATGCATACCCTCTCTTCCTCTCAGGATGTCGTCCGCTACTTCCTTCAGCAGACCTCCCGGACGATGGCCACTACGGATGTGGCCTGGCCCCGGGCGCCGTCTGCTGGACGCCACGCTCTACCTGCCCGCCGGGCTCTTCCGCAACTGCTTCTTCCGCCTGCGGCTGCGGCCCGCAGACCACTGCTGCAGCGGCTCCTGCTGCGGCTCCAGCGGAGAGGGCGGCCAGGGCGGCTGCCGGTGCTGCGACTGCTGCGACCTGCGCATGTCGGTGTGCGCTGCGGCCGGCTGGCAGACGCTGGTGGGTAAGGAAGCCGCTGGTGGGAGCGGCAGCGCGGGGCGGGGCGGTGGGACACAGCCTACCCATGCTCCTCCGTCCCTGCCTTTCCCCCTTTCTCTGCTCTTCCTGCCTTTCCCCGTATGAGAGACGAATCGTGGCCCCTCTGCCCTCATGCCCCGCATGCCCGGGCCCCCCGCAGATCGGAGGCATCCTAGGAGTGTTCTACACCGTCTTCACGGCGCTGCTGGTGCGGGTCGACAAGTCCCTGAAAACCATCCAGATGAGTGAGTATGGCAGCAGAGCTGGTGGGGCGCGTGGTGGCAGTGGAGGAGAGGGAGAGGGCAGGGGCTAGGGGCTAACCTTCCTGACCCTTCCCCTCCCTCCGCCTTCCCCTCCTCCTCGTGCTGCCCCCGGGCTGCTGCAGGCCTGATGATCTACCTGCTGGCCTACTGGTGGCTGTACTTCCTATCGGGCATCGTGGGGTGCTGCGTGGTGATCGACACGCAGGGCATCCTGACATACGAGCCCAGGTAGGGGGGGCAAAGAGGAAACAACTAACTGACTGAAGGATAAGGCGTCAACATGGGTTGCAACATGTGAGCCAGCCCGAAGCCAGGTAGGGGGGCAGAAGGGGGGGCAGACAGACGGCGATGTAGGCGGAGGAGGACGGGGTTTGGAAAGGGGAAGAGAGGAGGAGAGATGTAGGAGGACGACGCGGTTAGGAGAAGGAGAACCAGATTCATGCTCATGACCTGTGCTGGTAGTGAAAACCGGAAGTAGTGGGCGTCTGGTGGCAGGTTGGGTACTGGCTGGGCAGCCCTCCTCCCACCGGACTCTTCTTCCTCCCAAACCTCACAGCTCCCTGGAACTCCCCTGGAGCTCCATGCGCGGTCCCAACCCGCTCCCTCAAACGCACACCAAACCCCTCCCGCGCACCTGCCTGCCCTGCCCCGCCCCGCCCCACTAGGGTGATTGTGACGAGTCGCGCCTACGTGGCGCTCACGGTGCTGTGCACGCTGGGGCATCTCAACCTCATCGGGCTGGATCACCGGCTGTGGGAGAACAGCATGAGCCGGAGTGAGTGGAGGGAGGAGGGAGGCAGGAGGGAGGCAGCGGGCCGTTCGGTTGAGAAGGCAGAGGACATGGAAAGCGACATGGAAAGGCCGCCCGGGCAGCTCTGCTCAAACATGTAACGGTTTGTATCATGCATTGCGTTATCAAGCAGCTGTCCGAATGTGATAAGTGAGCCCAAGTTCGTTCATTTCCACAGCGCTTCCTCCACGCCTCCACGCCCCCTCCGTCCCTCTTCCCCCTTACGCAGGCAGCATCTTCCTGACGCTGCTGCCACTGCTGTGGGACTGGTACCTGGTCTACCTGGCCTGGTCGCTGCTGAGGAAGCTGCAGGAGCAGCGCAAGGTGCGGGCAGGGGGGGAGGGGAGCGGGAGGTGGAGGCGGAGGCACAGGAGGAGGGGAGCGGGAGGACGGGAAGCAAGGGGAGCGGACTTGCTTTCGTACCGGTATATTCGGAATACAAGCGTCCCGGGCTTGCATGTTGGGAGCCGCAAAGTTTGGCATATGTGCGGTCGCACTGGAAAACCCGCTTAGGCATGCACCTACTACCCACTGCCACACCCCTGTCGTACCGCAAATCCAAATACCCGCCTGTCGTACATCTGCCGTTCGCATCTGCCGCCACGCCCCGCCTCTTTTGCCGTACACACAGGGTGTCTTCCGCGGCAAGCCCGTCATGCTGAACCAGCGCAAGCCCGAGCACGTGCTTGAGCTGCATGCGGCGCACCACCTGGCGCTGCAGCCGCCGCACCCGCAGGGGCTGAGCATGCTGCGGGGGCTGCAGGGGCAGGGGCAGCACCAGCAGCACTATCCGGAGGGGGAGCAGCAGCAGCGGCAGCAGTACCTGGAGGGGGAGCAGCAGCAGATTGTGATAGAGCCTGGGGTAGTGACAGGGGCAGCAGCAGCGGCAGCAGATGGTGGTGGTGGTGGTAATGGTGATTCAGCGGTAGCGGCGGTGCACTACCTGCCTTACATGCAGCTCATGCGGGAGCAGGAGGGCGGCATGGGCCGCCCTCCTGCTGCGTCGTTCGTGCCGAGGATTCGTCGCGGGAGCGTTAGCAGCGGCGCTGGGTGTGGCTGGGTGTCGCCGTCGTCGGCGGGAGGAGAGGTGGATGCGGACCTACAGCAGCAGCAGCGGCAGCAACGCGAACGGGAGCAGGGTGTAGCGGGTGTGGATGCGGGGATGGCAGGCAGCGAGGCAGGCAGCAGCACGCTTTGGAACGTGCGTGACAGCAGCCTGGACGGCGACAGCAGCTTCGTGTCCTTGTCGTACAATGCGGCCTCGGAGGGCGAGGAGGAAGATGAGCGGAAGGCGGGTCGTGCGGAGACCGCATCTACTGCTGGCGGAAGCGGCGACGGCGGCGTGAGGAGGGAGGGTGACGTGACGGGGGCAGTGATACCGCCGCCGCTGTCGGTTCCGCTTCCTCCGCTGCCGCCGAACCCGCACGGCAGTACGGCAGGTGGAAGCGCAGGCGGAGGGCGGGGCTGGTCGCATGGCAGTCAATCCGCGGCGCCGACGTCTGCGATGACAGACGTGTTGTTGGCTATCCAGGTGGGGTGGGGAGCGACGACGTGTCTGTAGGCCAGCGGTGGCATGTTGTCGACATGGCAGTTTGAGCTCGAGACGCGTCCAAACAAGAGCGCTCGAAAGGAGGGGATCGCGTTGTTGCCGAGGTGTTTGCTGTCGTTTGTTTTGCCGAGCTGTTTGCTGTCGTTTGTTTTGCCTAGCGAACATGCAGCACTTGCTTCACCAGGGCAACGCCTCCGCTTTCTGTTCGTTAACCGCCGATTCGTTTTCGTCACGCTCCTCGACGCCTTCCTGTCTTTCCATCTCTGATAGTTGCCTTGACCCTTACCGCCGCTTCCATGACCGCAGGAGGAAGAGACCTCCTGGCAGTTCCCTCCCAGCACTGCCACCCAGCTGCGAAACGACGGTACCGGCGACTCACAGCGTGGTAACTCCCAGCACTCCCACCAGCAGCAGCAGCAGCAGCCCCACCACCACCACCACCACCACCAACCCTGGCTGGAGCAGCCCTTGCCCTCCCTGCAGCACTGGCTACACCACCCGCACAACCACCCCAACCACCAGCCCAACCACCATCACTCCAGCCACCATCAGCAGCAACAGCAGCAGCAGCACTACCACCACCAGTCTTCGGATCCGCACCCGCACCCGCACGCACAACAGGCCGCTGACGGCCCCTCCAGTCACTCCACACGCAACCTCGCCACGCTGTCGGCAACACCGCAGCGTACGACACCAAACGGCGGCGGAGGCAGAAAGGTACCGGCAGATGGCGGAGGTGACGGCGGCCCCGCCACTCGCAGCACTGCCGTGTTCGAGCTGCGTCTGCAATCCGTATCCGTGCCGCCCCCGGGGCTTCAGGCACCCGGCGGAGATGCCTCCGCAGGGGTAAGAACGACGACTCCGTCTTTCGGAACCGCTGGTGCTGGTACTGGTACTGCCGGTATTGGAATGGGTGCCGCTGCTACTGCTGCTGCTTCTGTTGGATCTCAGCCGCTGCCGGATGTCGAGCCTGTCGTACTGACGGTTCCGGCGCCAGCCATGTACGGCAGTGCGCTGTTTGCTCGCACGCCGAGAGGAGGAGGAGCTGCTCCGCCGCCGTCTCATGTTGCTGACGGGGGTGGTGGTGGCGTAGGCGGGAATGGGCGTGTGATGTCCGCTATGAGTCGCAAAGCGGCTTTCCTTCGGCAGGTGCGTCAGGGTTGGGCCTCGTGAGCGTAGCGTCTGAAGTGAGGGGCTGTACGCGTTTTACCGGTTGTTGATATACGCAGAATGCCACTTACCAAAGCGCACGGTCTGGCCGGAAACCCGTGATCCTACGCCATGTCCGCCGCTTGTTTCCCTAACCGACATGCGTCTTAATGCCACTCACTTAATGCTGGGCATGCATGCCCCATGAACGTGCGCGCCCAACAATCCACAAATTTATTGCATATCCGCAAACCAACCTCGTCCCTCTTGCAGGTCTGTCAACAACGCGCCCAGTCACTGCCGCGGGCGGCAGCCAACCCCGCCGAACCCAGTGAAACATCCGGAAAGGGGGCCGGCCAAGACTCAGCTCGGGGCCAGGCCGCCGCCGGACCCATGGGTCGTTCGTTGCTGCGCAGGAGCACCTTTGACGTGGCGGGCTCCAGTGCGTCCCGAGCCGCGGCTGAAGCAGCAGCCACCGCGGTTGCAGCAGCTGCAGCGGCGGCGGAGGCTGCTGTCCCGAGCAGGGTTGTGGATGGGCGGCCCTCGCCCCCTGGGCGCATGACGCCACCGCCGCTGCAGCAGCTTTCACCCCTGCGCGGCAAGCAGCGGCAACAACAGCTGTCACTGTCCTCGAACCCATCTCACCATCACCATCAACAACAAGATACAGACCCGCGCCACCTGGCAGCAGCCGGCAGCAGCAGCCAGCGGAGTCGCGTGTCGCCCCCCACACCACCCAACACAGTCGTCAACTCCTTCACCGGTAGCGTGGCTAGCGGCAGGGCAGCAGCGGCAGCGGCCCCGGGAAGCATCACAGCGCCTCCCTCGCCTCCCGCCTTCCACCGTCAATCCCAGCTCCAGCAACAGCAGCAGCAGCAGTCGCATGCGTCGCTGCAATCGCGGCAGCACCACAGCTTCCATGTGCGGGCAGACCAGGCGACCAGCCCCAATTGCCACCCTCGCAGCGCCAGCGCAGCGCCAACGCCGAAGCCTGGCGTCGTAGAGGCGTACAGCAATCACCATTACCAACAGCAACACCAGCAGACAGCATTACAAGCAGGTAATGGCGGAGTTGGAGGCTTGAGGCCTGGCGGGGGTGAGGGTCTGCTGACGCGCGCCATGAGCCTGGGCAGCGCGGGAGGCCTCGCTGGCAGGAGGGCATGGAGTGCGGCGATGTCGGCGGCGTCTGCCGCGATGTCGGGCGGGCTAGCAGCCCTGGGTATGGCGCCTCTGCGCGCTGGGGGAGGTGGTGGTGGTGGTAGTGGAGGTGGTAGTGGAGGTGGTAGTGGTGGTGGCAGTGGAGGTGGCATGCAGCCGTCACTGGAGGCGTCCCTTCGTGTCTTTACGGATACCCAGACGCAGCCAACCGACAAGCCGCACATGCAGCAGCAGCAACAGCAGGAGAAGGAAGAGGAGGAGCGGCAGCGGCTGTTCATGCTGCAGCAGCAGCTACAACAGTTGCGACATCAGCAGCAGCTTTTAGAATTGCAGTTACAACAGCAGCTCGAGCGACAACAGCAGCAGCAGCAGCACCAGCAGCAACAGGCGCGGCTGCCGTTGGCAACCCCGCAGCCCCAAACCCCACCCTTGGAGCCGCCCACATACACAGCTAGCACCAACACCAACCTCAACAGCCCAGGCGTGTCTTTATTCACGCCGTATGCGTATAACCCTCAGTTGATGCTTCAAGAGCGGCACGACTCGCAGCCCTTAACGGCCACACCTCCACAACGCCCGCCCACTTACTTTGAGCGGCAAAGTACTGGGGGTGGGAGCTACGCCGATGGAGGCAGCCCTCTGGACGGCGGCAACAGCGGCCGCGGCGGCGGCGGTGGCGAGGCGAGCAGCAGAGGCATAGCTGCGCTTCGAGAGCAGCACCCCCGTTACATGTTACCGCTGCCGCCAATGCCAATGCCAGTGCCAATGCCATCCCTGGACTTCGTATCTTCACCTGAGGCTTCAAAACACACAAAGCTGCTTCAGCATCCTCACCCCCACCCCCACCAAACTGCTGGCCCGAGGGAAACGCGACTGCCCCAGTCAGCCTCGTCCTCTTCTGCCTTCGTAGCGACCGCCGGTGTCGGCGCCCCGCCGTCTCCTCCGTACCGTCGCTCAGGAGCCGGGCAGACGCGCTTCGCGGCGCAAGCTTCTAGTACGGCAGGCAGCAGCGACAGGGGCTGTACGGCAGCAGCAGTAACCGGCGGTACGACAGTAAACGCCGTACCGCTCCATGCGGAGAGCAGTGGGCTAGTCCGCAGCAGGTCGGCTGCAGCGGTTGCGGCGATGACTGGTGTGGATGCGATTGCGGGTGCGCCGGGTGCCGAGGCGACGCAGTTCAGCGGTACCGGTAGGGGGGGACGCCAGGCGTTGCAACAGCCAGCTCAGCGCACCGGGTCGGCTCGCTCCGTGGGGCCTAGCATGTATGGCATGGTGCCCAGAGCTGCAGCGCCGGCGGTGGTGGGTGCTGTGGCGGATCCCGTGGCGCCACCCTCGCTGTCGCCGCCCCACTCACCACAGCTCCGTAGCGGGGCACATGCGCGGAGTCTCGGCAGCGGTGGTGGTGGCGGCGGCGGTGGCAGTACTCGCTCCCCGGCTTTTGTGTCGCTGTTGGCTCCGCTGCAGCTGCCCGCAGCACTGGCCTCCGCTGCCGTGGAGGGAGCCCAGGCGGTGTACGACAGACTTACTCATGCGCCGTACGGCACACGGTGGCGAGGCGGCGGGGGTGCTGGCGGGGGTCGTACTGTTGGCGGTCCCTTGGGGCTCCAGGATTGCGAGGGGGATGGGGCTGATGGTGTGGAACAGAGGGGGGGTATGGGAGGTGCTGATCCGGGATCCGACATACGGTACGGCGATCCGGAGATAACGATTACTTTGGATGACGAGTTTTGAGCTGAGAGATGCTCTCGCCATGCCTTCGGCATTCTTTGGTACCATTTAGCATGTTGTCCTGTTGTGGCGGGAGCTGGAGGATAGGATAGGCTGATGGTGACATTTTTGGACCTTGGGGCATGTTTCTTGGACAATTGCGTAGCATTACGAACTGTTAGCAGCTGCTTGCAATGAGGGGCAGCAGCATCATGAGCCTTGCCAGCTGCTCGTGCACCATAGCATGCTGCTGCAAATGCGCGGCGTTTCCTGGGTTTTAAGAGGTACACGGGCCTAATAAGCTGTAGTGCAGGGCATGCTGAATACTGCTGAATATAATGAGCGATGAATAGGGGGCAAGCTTTAAGAGATCGTGATGTGTCCAACTTGTTTCTGTCTGTTAATATGTCACCGTACGACACCAGCAGTTTGCAACGACAGAGGGCTAGTAGTCGAGCCCCAGAAGACGCCTGCGAATGGCATACCACATAAGCCATTGCCCAATCTCACATGTTGTTTGCTAGCATGTGCAGTTCTGCTGGGTGTCTGCCAATCATATGGATGGGGCGTAGGGGGCGTGAACGGGCTAGGGTTACGCTGGGACTAGGGTTCTGCCCTGCTGGCTCGGTTTTGCCTCGAGGCATCGGGTCAAGCTGCGTTGTGACTTATGCAATGTTGTTAGGCTGCATCTCGATAAGGATCTCGACTGCTACGCTTAAACCTAAAAGTCGTAGGCAACTCACAGCAGGTGGCAAACTGGTTCCCTGCACTAAAAGCAAGTTCAAGAATGCCAGCTCAGTTAGGGTTGCTTAGCAGCGGCTTGCGAACTAGTTTTTTGTAGGCTTTTCCAGTTCGCTAAGCATGCAACCAACCGCGCGTTTGACGTCTACACGAGCCCAGATATCTTGACTTGCACAGCGCAGGCATATAGGCACGAATCTTAGGCGAACAAATGGATGCAATGCCCTAGTTGTTGGCCTCACCAGTCGTTTTGCCATTTATCACGGTCTAGAACCCTATCTCTTCGTCAATGCACAAAATATCGCCAAGGATCATGGTTGAGGACATTACTGCTTCATTGCTTCGAGATGGATTGCATTGTACAAGCCTGAGTCACGAGCGCGCTCGCGTTGCAACATGTTTCGGAGCAGATAGACCACTTTTGCGCTTTTCCGAGGTTTATCCGTTATCAGGTAACCTCATTTTTGGCTTGTGGTTCCTGGACTTCTGATCGTAAGCGCGGCTTCGGTTGCCAGCAAGCGGTTGTAGTAATCTACGGTGTCCCGCGAGCAGTGGGTGACGGCAGTATAAAATGCACATCCTAAGAGCGTCTCGTGCACTCTCTATCTTACATCGCCATCTTCAGCCCACTACTAGGAGTTCCCTGGTGGCCGCCTATACAGGTACTAAAAATAATGCGTCTCGGAGGTTACCTCCGAGACATTGGCTGTGCCCAAAGGGCACGACCTGCTCTTGTTGCCTGCCAACCTGGCACCAGGCATAGAGTCTACAAACAGACACAGATATCACGGGCTGGTGGATCGGTTTTGCTTTCAGGAGCACGCACAATGGCGACCAAAATTACCGTGGCGAACCCGGTTGTGGACCTGGATGGCGATGAGATGACCCGTGTTATCTGGCAGCAGATTAAGGACAAGGTAGGGCTGTCGGGTTGTTGTATCACCTTCCAGCAGCTGCTGAATGTCGCCCTAATTCTGACGAGTTCCGATGTTTCGCATGTTTGCAGCTTGTCCTGCCTTACCTGGACCTGAAGATTGTCTACTTCGACCTAGGCCTGCCCAACCGTGACGCGACCGACGACAAGGTGACGGAGGAAGCGGCGCGTGCCATTCAGGTGAGGACAGCTGCAGAATTCCTGTCGGTTTTTCCGCAGGATTTAAGAAAAGCTGTCGAGGTTGGTAACGACACATATAGCGTTTGCTTAGGGCACGGGGATTACCGGTATTCCGAAGTTGGCATTCGGAGTTCTATAGAGCTAGGGTCAACGTCTGCCACGCTGTTGCTATTCATTTTGGAACGTATGCGCCAAGCAGAGTGTTGCTGTCTTTCGCTGAAGTTTTTGGGCTCAACCTCCCACTACCTGTGCCTCCAGCAATACAACGTGGGCATCAAGTGCGCCACCATCACCCCCGATGAGGCGCGCGTGAAGGAGTTCGGTCTGAAGAAGGTGCGGGGAGGACGCTTAGGGAGGGTATGTTGTCGGGCTCTGTATGATGGTATACCGCCAAAGCCCTAGAGGGCCCAGCGGCTGTCATTTGCAGTGGTAATGTTCCCGTAATGTTCCAACCGAGTTCCCGGCATTGCTGTATAAGGCGTAAGCTAACTTTTCCCAGCTCGGCTGACGCTGCCCAGGGAAGGGTTTGCTGTCCGTGCATGTGGACCCTCCCTGTAGGGAAGCATAATGTCAGCAATTATAAGGCACCTTAGTAGCAGGGCTAAAAGGAAAAGGGTTTTGGCAGGGATACTTGCTTGGTGTTCTAATAAACAAGCTCAGGGTGTTTGGGGAGGTAGCCTTAGTGCTGCAGGTTTATGGAGCATGGATGTTGCGTATCGTTACCTTCACACCATCCCGACATCCGCCTGCCTGCAGATGTGGAAGAGCCCCAACGGCACCATCCGCAACATCCTGAACGGCACCGTCTTCCGCGAGCCCATTGTCATCAACAACATCCCCCGCCTGGTGCCCGGCTGGACCAAGCCCATTGTCGTGGGCAGGTGAGCCGCTGCGCTATTCCAGCCGTGGGAGCATCTAGGGAACAGGAACCGTTGCCGCCAACTTAATATTTCAAGCTGCTTCTGACATGGGTGCGTGCGCCTCCCTTCCCCTCCAGGCACGCGTTCGGCGACCAGTACAAGGCCACCGACTTCAAGGTGGAGGGCCCCGGCAAGCTGGAGATGGTCTTCACCCCCGCCTCGGGCGGCCCGGCTAAGACCTACGAGGTGTTCAACTTCGAGGTACGACGACACATGGCGGCATGATGGTGCACGTGGCAGGACATGCGCTGGCCGGCTCGTTGACCACGGAAGGGGTCACTGCGTACTAATCGCATCCTTGACAATTATGCTCGTCCGTTCGCGTTGCTTAGACCTTTTCCATCCATCTAATGGCAATCATAGATTCTTCATGCACCACTCTTGCAACACTTCAATACGGTCATTCCCTTAAGGAAAACTCCTCTTTCATCATATGTTCCCATCCCTCAGGGCGCCGGTGTGTCCATGGGCATGTACAACACGGAGGAGTCGATCCGCGGCTTCGCGCTGGCGTGCTTCGAGTATGCGCTGCAGAAGAAGTGGCCCCTGTACCTGTCCACCAAGAACACCATCCTGAAGGCCTACGACGGCATGTGAGGCTTGGGAGATGAATCTGGGGGCTGGGTCTGAGAGCTGAGGTCTGGGCAAGATGCTTGTGTTTTTTCGGTTGGGCGCCAGCAAGGGCAAATTTGCAGCAAGGGAAGGCGAGTCCCCAACCCAGCCTTTCACAGTTCCACCTATCGTACAAAGACTTTCGATGGTGTTGCTAACCGCCCCCACTCCCGCGCCTATGCACACACAGGTTCATGCAGGTGTTCGCTGAGATCTACGAGTCGCAGTACAAGGAGCAGTACGAGGCGGCGGGCATCTGGTACGAGCACCGCCTGATTGACGACATGGTGGCGCAGGTGCGGCGGGGTGGGGTGTGTTGCGTGGGTGGGGAGCGAAAGGACAGACTGGCCGGGGTCGGCGCGGTTCCTAGTCCTGGAGTTCCATTACCAAGACTACAAACCGATTACCAAGACTACAAACCCGCACGTCTGTCAGAAACCACCTGCGCAGAGCCCCTAAGCGGAGGCCTGTAGGGGACCCTGACTTAGACTTGAGTTCGTTTCTTATAGTGTCCTTGGCCCCCCTGGCTCGTACGGACACACTGTACACGCGTACAGACTGTAACTGTAACAAATTTCATTGACAAAAGCTACAGTATCAACAATTGCCAGCGCAGATTACTGCATTGCCTCACATATTCATCCACCATGCTAACCATGTACATGTCTCCATTCTGCTCGCAGATGCTCAAGTCCAACGGCGGCTTCGTGTGGGCCACCAAGAACTACGACGGCGATGTGCAGTCGGACATTGTGGCGCAGGGCTACGGCTCGCTGGGCCTCATGACCAGTGTGCTGGTCACCCCCGACGGCAAGACGGTGGAGGCCGAGGCCGCCCACGGTACGACTGGGGGTTGCGGGGCTGCTACGAGGGTGTGGAAAGTACTGTTAGGGGGGACGTTACGGCTGCCGTATCTTTTGCGCATAGTCCCCGCATGCGCCTTAGACGTATGTCTTCGTCCGGCGTCTTACGCACCCTGTTGGCCCCCACCCTGCAAAACACAGGCACCGTGACCCGCCACTGGCGTGAGTACCAGAAGGGCCGCCCCACCAGCACCAACCCCGTGGCGTCCATCTTCGCCTGGACCCGCGGCCTGATGCACCGCGGCAAGCTGGACAGCAACGACGAGCTCGTGCAGTGGTGCCACGTGAGTAAATGGGGCTGCTGCTGTGATGGTGTTGCTGTGATGGTGCCGTTGGGCTCTCTTGACGCACTGCTGACGGCATCTGTCAAGCACTCTGAACGCTTCGCGGTTCGTTTCCTCTGCCTCTCCTTACCTTTTCTTCAGGACCTGGAGGCCGCTGTGATTGAGACCATCCAGGACGGCAAGATGACCAAGGATCTGGCCATTTGCGTGCACGGCACCACCAAGGTCACCCCCGACCAGTACCTCAACACGGAGCCCTTCATGGACGCCATTGCTGAGACCTTCGCCCGCAAGCGCGCCGGCAAGAACTAAACGCATGCATGCACCCATGCATGTAGGTTTGCAGGTGCGCTTGCAGCCGTGTGCTCATTGCAGCGGTGGCGGGCGTGCCCTTGGGGGGCACCGGCTTGTGGATTTCGGATGGTGCGGTTGACCTAACCTGTATCATTGATTGTGACAATATGTAGCGGTCGGCAGCGGCAGTTGCTCAGGTGGTTGTTGGCGTAGGATGCGCCGTTGCGGAATCGTCCGTTTCATGTCTTCAATGACTTCAATTCGCAATCTGGAAGAACCGCAGTCTTGCTGCGTGCGAAAGGTGTAGGACTGATTGAAATGTCAGAATGACCGGCTGGCATGCGGTCCCTACTCGCGCCTTAGTATGGCGGAGGCTTGGAAGCGGGCAAGGGGCAATGGGGGAAGGATGGTAATGAAGCGATTCGGACCTTCGAATTCTTTGACAGCACGTCTATTGTGCGTGTCGCTGGTGCAATAGGAACAGGCGCGGTATTCACCCGGACCCGCTGTTGTGGAACGCAGGTGCGTTACCGTAGCCGCGGCTTAACATTTTGGAACCGTATATTGCGGAAGCTGTTGCTGTACGGCATGTACCGTCTCGCTGAGTCGCTTTTTGCTGTGCGCGTCCATTTTTGCGCTGACTCGCCAATGTCAATTAATAATGGTGCTCTTGGTATCTTAAGGTGTATGGTGGTTTAGGGGCACCGAAGAATTTCCCCGGGTGATGTTCGTGTTGTGGTATCTGTACCTGTTAGGTCTTCTCTCCCTGCGATGCCTTCAGGGGGTGAATGTAGGAGTAGAATGTGGGCTCAGGCATGCCCCTCTGGAACGATCGCTTGTGACCCAACCCCGCCAATTGCCCGCGAGGCCGTGATGCTGATGTAAACCCAATGCTATTAGAACATCCTCCATTTCCGTAGTGCCTGCCCGGTCGGTTCGTTGTGTCTTGACACACCAGTAGCACACATTGAAGATAGGACCGCACTCCGTATGCCAGAAGGGGATGCTCAATAGCAGTGTCAGAAGTGCTTGACCCATGGGACAGTTCATTGTAATGATATTAGCAGGAAAAATAAATTTGTCAATTGATGCTACGACACTCGTTTGACAGGTAACGTCCAACAACGGGTCAAACCGTGACATATCAACGACCGACACCGTGACATATCAACGACCGAAACGTCACAGCTTGGCACCGGTTTATAGGGAACGATACACACACGGCTCTACACAAAATACTTCTTGCGAGAGTTTGTTATGCACCGAACAAACTCCTGGTAAAGCGCCACAGACGCCGCAATAGCACGTCCCGGAGGACTGCGGGGATGCCTCTTGTCAACATGTGTCGGCGTCCCCTGCTACTGCTGCTAGCGGCCTGCGCTCTCCTGACGGCAAGCGCAATCGTGGTGGCTGCGTCAGCCCCTGCTGCGGCCGGGGCAGACAAACAAGAAAACGGTAGGGGTTGATATAGTTCATGCCCTCGCCATTGCCGCCTGCCAGCCATCCTTGTCATGCAAGGAGGACATCAGAGATCGGACCCTTCGTCCTCCAACCAAACACACGCTAGAACCCCATGGCCTCCATGCCCCCCTTCTTGCATAAATGATCGTCACCGTGGTTGTTGGTTCATGACATCCACCTAACCGCGCATACTCCTTTGTCATCCTCCCCTCATGCATGCAGGCCCCGCTGCGGTAGGCGGTTTCGCCCGCCTCCGCCGCCTGCTGTCCCCTGGCGGGGTGCTAGGGCTTGGGAGCCGCCTATCGCCTCTCTGCGCATCACGAGTCGTCGCCTGCGCCGCTAACTACAAATTTGATGGCAGGTGCGATTAAGCTGTGGCGGGTGCAGTCACCCACGTGCCGTACAGGCATAAGTTATTGGATGCCGTACATAGACCATAGCCTCCTGCTGAAGCGTGACCATTCGCAATGCAGCTACGTTGCTTCAGCCTTGCATTAGCCCATGACAGTCGTGCATATAAAGCCAGCACCGTGCAATTTGTACGACGTGGTGACACGTTCTTGGCATGCATACACCACTTTCCCTTGTAGCGGGGTAATGGGAAACGCAGCATGTGCCGCTTGCCCTTAATGCTATGCCGCAGGGTCAAATGGTCGCTTGCAATTGCGGAGCAGGAGCCGGCCGCTGGCGGCGGCGGCGGCGGCGGCGGTGGTGGTGGCGGCGGTGGTGGTGGCACCGGGGGCGGCGGGGGTGGCGGTGAGGGTGGCGAGGGTGGTGAGGGCGGTGGCGGCGAGGGTGGGACCGGAGGCGCAGGCGGTGGAGGCAACGCTGCGCGTGGAATAGGCGGCGGCGCTGTCCCTACGGGTACTGGTGGCTAGAGGTACCGGTAGGTGGCAGTTAGGGGACTTCGGGTGAATGCTACATGAAACGTGGTTGGTTGGCTCGGCTTGGCTTGGCTGGCTGTCCCTTTGCGGGCCGACAGGGGAAATAAGTGCGTGCCCTCCACGCGCTGTGTGTATAGCCTTGGATCCCTTTGCATGGCTCCTTTCTCCATGTGTTCTTCATACTGGTTTATTTACACGTACTCGGAGCGGGCTTGTGTTCCACCAACGTTGACTCTGCGTGGCTACATGTGGTCTGTGAAGGCCCCGGGCCTCAACTTTTAGCATACCATAGTAATGTACCGGTATGCGCTTGCGAGGCCTCTCAAAGTGCACGGTGAATCAAATAGGGCGGGGCACGGACGAAATTCCTAAATCGGTTTGGTGGTGTGATGAGGTGTACTTGCGGCATAGTTTTCGGATGGTGCATACCTGCGTGCTAACAGTGAAGCATTTAAGCATGCCTGTTCGGAGCTATCGCTGTTAACAGATACCGGTAGACAGCGCCCAAACCCGCGATGCCCGCGATGCCGGTATGCCTGTGTAAACCCAAAATATAGCTGCTGGTTTCTACAGATTTCTACTAGTGCTATACAGATATTGCTGCTATCGATGCACAGACTGCAATCTCCAGGCCGCAACTGGAGCGCATGTGCAAGCATACTCAGCTGCGATCCGGCAGGCTTCCTCGCAATAATTGACCCGCGGGTCAATCAGTAGAAGAGCAATAGATTGGCACTATAACCATGGCAAATTGCGGCACGCATTAACAGCGGCATGAATCTAATATGATGTGAATTTAACAGGTTCGACAGAATTCGTCCAAGGACGAAAACCCGCATGCCCAATCAGCACTGACGCGCGCGCCTGCTTTGCAGCCCCTCTTCACGCGACCAGCTCTACACATACATGCGTAAAGGCGATGCTTTAATGACCACATGCCATCATCTCTGTCCTCCAACTAGCCATATATCTCAACCTTTCTAACCCACAAACAGCTGCAAAGGTACCCCCGCCCGTGTCAACATGGCGTCTCGCGGTGTGCTGGCTCTGATTGCGGTCTGCGCCATCCTGGCCGCCTCCATCCATGTGGTTGCGGCTGCCTCCAACGAAGGAACCGGTGAGGAGCGGGGCAGTTCATTCAAAAGCTAGCTCAGCAGCTCTGTTTGCACACATCCACATCCGCCGCATCACACAGAAACATCATCTCACCACGCCCGTGGCCCGTCCCTCCTTGCTTGCTGTTTCGACATGCTAGCTGCTTTCGTCCTGCAACGCGGTTGTCTTTTGCTTTTATATTTCTTCTTGCGCGCGGGGACCTTGCACGCGCAAACCACATCGCGAAAACCTCCGGAACCTAGTCCCAGGCTGTACCTGGGATTGGTTTCCTACGGTGGAGGCGCCATCTAAGTCAGCATGTACGGATGTGTTTGCGCTCCCTTGTACGTTATGTACAACGCCATCTCCTTGAAGCGCCCTTCTCACCATCTTTTTCATTTCGTCGCGTCACAAACCTCTGCACGCAGGTCTGAATGGCCTGCACCTCTGCCGCCGCCTGCTGCGGCAACTGGGAGGCCCCTTCGGTCTCAGCCGGGGCGTGTTTGGAGGCCACAGCAACACCGCTCAGGACATCGGCGGCAGCGCAGTCCCCACGGGAACTGGCGGCTAGGAGAACCTAGCCGCGGTTAGCGCTGGCATGTAGCCTAGGGGCTTTGTATGCTGACACCCCTGTTTTTCATTTCTTTGAAGGGCCACTGTATATGCTCATTCATCCATTCAGTTGGGGCGATATTGACATCAATAAATTAGATTTGAAATGCCTTGCTAATGGCAGGCGCGAGGGGAAGTGGGGGCATGCCGTACCGTGATATGTGATCTCGATTTTGACCCGTGTCACATGCTCCCACGGTCGGCAGCGGCCAGTTTTGTTTACTCTCGGTCATGGTCCCCTCGTGCATGGCTCTCTTGTTGCTGTATAAGTGTTGGAGGCCTCCTAACCGTTGCAACGGGTACTAGTTTCACTGTGAAGAGATTATGAAGAGCTTGAAAGGAAAGCGGTTTCTTCATTTTGTTTCTCAATACTATAATTGTTTTAATTTGTACCGCTTCTCCACACTCCTTTTCTGTCCATGGCTTTTAGCTTACGGAGCTTTACAATATGTTGTCGTACACGCACTTGCGAGGCCGTAAACACGGCCGCAACCATTGCTAGTCCTTTCGTTCGTTGGCACATGTTGACATGTAGCAGGTTGAGGATGGCGTCTACGAAAAGTTGTCGACTTTTGTTAGCCGTTGAACAGATTACAAACGGATTGCACGGCATCAGTAAATGTGGTCAGAGGCATTGCCTCTCGGCCCTGCCATACATGTAAATTAGCCACAAAGACATGTACGGCTACGTAACGTCATGTAAACCCGACCCATGGGTCACGTGGACAGTTGTCTAGGGTCACCGCATCCCGACGCCTCCTTACTAACCCAACTCACGCACCGGTTGACTACACAGCCCATGAGCGGCTCCCAGCCCCACACGGCTTGCATAGCGCTTACGAAGCCTACACAGTGCTGCCCTCTTCGCTCGACGGACCTACACCTATCTACACCTGTCATGCAGCGAGCAGATGCAGGGTGTGGCAATGACTGTTAGCGCAGCTCGCCGGACCTTTCCGGCTGGCAGGAACAGCTGACTAGGACGCACTGCCCCACGCCAACCCCTCCTCACCGTGCCCTCAACCGCCCATGGCCTCTACTCCCGAGCACCCAATCGCTGTCCCCTGCATCCGCCTCCGCCCAGCCTCATGCTGCATTGGCAGCTGCGACCCAGCCGCTCCACTGCTGCGGTAGTCGCGGTAACCTCCTGACAAGCCAACAGCATACACCTCCCCGTCCTTCCGGTGCCCCTCCCCTCCATGTTGACGCCTTATCCCTCAGTCAGCTAGTTGTTTCTCTTTATCCCCTCCTGTGCCACATCACCGCCATGCTCCCCCACCACACCTCACCTCACAGAATCTGTACACACCCCTGCGATAGGTGGCGATCCCATCACCCCTCCAACAACCCTCCACCGCCGTACCACCGTCGCAATGCCACCCCCACCTCCCGCCCCCCTACAGGTGCCCTCTGCCTGCCACCCAACATTTTCATGCAATCCACCAAGCATTCCAACAAGAAAGACGGCCCCTTCTCAACAAAACACCTCCGAAACCAACAAACGAGCCGGTCCCTTCCTCCCCCCTTCCAAAATCAAAGCTACCTGCGCATCCAAACCCTTTTCCTCTTACCTCCTCACGCCACCATTCCACGGACCGACCCAAAGTTGATCACGCCCGAAGCACCACCGCCCACTCCACCTGTCGCCACCGCAATCCCCTTCCCTTGCTGCTGCTGTTGCTGACCCTGCTGCTGCCCCTGCTGCGCGCCCCCTGCCCCCGCTGCCCCCTCCAGCCCTGCAAACAGCCGTCCCAGGTCCACCCAGTGCCAGTGGCTGCGGCGGCGGAGCGAGTCCAGCGCCTCCGCAGCGGAGTTGAGGGAGCGAGCCAGCCAGTCGGGGATCTGCATGGAGGGGGAGGGAGGGTGGAGGAGACGTAGGGGGGAAGACGTCGGGAACCTGGATTTTAGCAGGTTGTTCTGATACCGGTAGAGGGACTTGAGGGAGCGTGAGGGGAGCATGGGAGGAGGAGGAATAACCCTCATGGCGTTAACGCACAGACCGGCGTTGCCGCTTCCAATGCTGCTGCACGACTGCACTCCTTGACAGCCCCCACACCACACCACACCACACCGCCCTCTCTCCCATGTTGCAACCCATGTTGACGCCTTATCCCTCAGTCAGTTAGTTGTTTCCTCTTTGCCCTCTCTCCCAGGCACCGGGCCCACCATCGCCCGCACGTCCTCCAAGGTGGTTGTCGACTTGGGGTCGGTGGCCTTGAGGCGGCAGAAGTGCCGCCGCACCGCCCCATCCACATGGAGCAGCCGGTGGAAGTGGCACAACTGCGGGGGAGAGAGGGGGAGGTATAAGAATTAGGAAACCGACGAACTGTATGACAAGGCTTCACCGGGTTGCTGATTGGTTGCTAATTGAACCCGGCGGGTGGGGGCAGGCGGGGGTAGGGGTACTCAAACTGAGCCGCAATGAAACATACACTGACCCTGACCCCGCGGAATACTGCGAGCTTGCTGGAGGAGGAGCGCTGCGCGGTGATTGTACCGATGGGCAAACGCCCATGCACTGAACTGGTCTTGCCTTCTCTCCAAGGCTTTCCACTTCTCCACCCGCCACCCCTTACATCATCCGCAGGTCAGAGCTCCCTCCTATGCCATCCCGCCCTCCTTCCTCCTCCCCCCCCACACCTGCAGGTACAGTTCCCGCTCGCTCACAGCCCGCCGCAGCAGCACCCCCTGCCTGCCGGGGTCGGGGTGGGGGATGCGGTCGGGGCCCGCCGGCCCCTCCGCCTCCCCTCCCGCCCCCGCCGGCCGCAGTACGGCAGCTCGGCAGCCCCCAGCCGCCTCCGCCGTCTCGTCATCCGGGCGCAGCACACCGTCGTAGTAGCGCGAGATAGCCTCCCGGGCGCGGAGTAGAACCTGGGGGGAGGGGCGTGTGGGTGATGAGGGAAAGGGGGAGGGATGAGCGGGAACAAGCTTTTAAGGAACCGTAAAGGAGGGGGGGTGGTTGCAGGAGCCAAGGTTCGGTTGCTGAGGCACGTGCACACGCATGCAACGGGGAGAACCTGGGGGGGAGCGTGTGGGTGTTGATGTAGGTTGAAAAACGCCAGCAAGGCAAACAGCAATACCTGCATGTGGAGTGGAGGTCAAGGGCTTGGGTACGACGGCTGCTGCAGCACATACACACACGCATGCAGTGTCCCGCTCGCAGGCCCCACCTGGTTGACCAGCGCCGCCTGCCCCACCGCCGCCCCCTCATCCCCCAGCGCATCCGGCGGTGTGAGCAGCTGGTCCGGCATGAGCGCCCCCCGCAGCACCTCCGCCACCCCGCGCAGGGGGAAGGAGCTGCCGTTGGGGCTGAGCAGCAGCAGCGGCGAGCAGGACTGGGGGCGGGGGGGGGGAGGAGAGGGGCGGAGGGGCGGGGTGGGTATGGAGGGGGAGGCCGGGGGGGACGAGGGAAGGGCTCGCGGTCAGTTTCCTTAACGCACACGGGCATGCCCGCCGGTACACAGACAGACCGGACAACGCTCCCACTTGCGGACACAACCCCCCAACCTACCCCCACCCGCACACCCCTGCACCCCCCCTCCTCACCCTAAAGTTGTCCTCCTCGTCCATGAGAGTGCCCCCCGAGGCCCCCAGCAGCAGCGAGGACTCCTCCTCCTCGCCGCCGCCTCCGCCGCCACCCGCCGCACCGCGGTACCTGGGGGGTGGGTGGGCGGGAGGGGTGGGGGTGGTGGGGGAGAAGGAGGTGAGGTTGCATCTTAGGTAACGGTGGTGTGTATAGTAGTTGAGTAGAACAAGAGCAAGCAATTGGGAGAGGTTCGCATGTGAACCGCAAGTACAGGCAAAACAGAGGTAACCAAACCTGAAACGTAACTCAAAAACTGCTTAGATAGCTGTGGCTGGATGTAAGAAGAGCGGCGGGTGACGACGCATGTCGGTGATGCTGATGGTGTCGGTGGTGTGTACAGTGGCGCATGGGAACGACGTCCCTAACACCCTAACACCCCATGCACGACTCCAGCAGTCCCCCGGCGGGCAACACCGCGCAGTAGCTCCATACCCGTCCTATTGCGGCCCCTTTCCCCTACTTGCTACTCTTGTTCTTGCGACTCCCCTCCCTCCCTTCCCTCCCCCTCCCCCCTCCCCACCTAGCGGGGTCCAGCCCCAGGCAGTCCGCGATGTGGGCCGCATCCGTCCCCTCCAGCGGGCTAACCAGCCGGGACACCACGGGGTGGATCTGAGGGGGGGAAAATTATATAAGTGAGGAGAGGGGTTGGGGGAGGGGGGGAGGGGGTTGGGAATAGGGGTTCGGACTTGCAGCATATCGCAACGTAATGATTACTCCATAAGAGGACGAGAGGGGAAGAGGAAAGGAGGTGGGATCGGCGAGAGGATGCGGAGTTTGGAGCTCCCGGGGTCCACGCAAGCGAGGAGGAACGCCGACAAGCGCCATATACCCCAAAGTCCGCATTCCCCGCACATCCCTCCACCCACCTGCCTCCATTCGCCGGCGTTTGCTGCCTCATGAGTCATGACCTCGCATAGCCCCCCGCAACCTCTTCCCCACCCTCTACCGACTAAACCCCATTCACATTTCCCCACCCCACCCCCATTCGGGTTGGGCGGGTCGGGCTGGCTCACATGTTGCAAACCATGATGATGCCTTATCACACGGTCAGCTAGTTGTTTCCTCTTTACCCCACCTGCTGTGTCAGGTAGTACTCCACATCCACCGCCAGCCCCGCGTTCTCCCGCAGCTCCTCGGGGTGACGAGCGCGCTCAGCCAGACTGCCACTGGCAGCACCACTGCTGGGGGCAGCAGCTGCAGCACCCTCCGCATCAGCCCCAGCAGCAGCAGCGGGTGGTGGTGTTCGCTCCACACAAATGATGTACGGCACCGTCTCCCCGGGCAGCACTCCGTCCCGCTTGCCCGCCGCCCGCCGCCGCAGCGCCACCTGGCCACACACACAAAGGGGGGGAACACATGTCCGGCAATTACGGCACGTTCCGACTCGCGGCCAGTTTTCTCAACACATGTGGTGCTCAGGTGGGTTGCGGTGGGGGCACACACAAGGCGGCAGTCAACTCTCTCCCCACACACTAGTGCATCAGCACCCCCCCTGCTGCGACTCTAGCCCCCACTCCCCCCCGCCCCCCCCACCTGCACATGCGGCTGGTTGCGCGCATCCGGGTAGTCCTCGGGGCGCTTGGTGAGCTGCTTGGTGATGATGAACTTGCCTAGCGGGATCTGGAGGGGAGAGGGGGAGGGGGGAGGGGGGAGGAAGGTGAGGAGCACGCGGGGATTGGTGTTTAGGGGTTTTAGGGCGAGGACGCATCTGCTATCGCACAACCTTGACAGCTCGCCGTCAAAACCCTCAGCTCCCTTAGCCCAGCCCCCAAGCCTCCCTTCCCCTCCCCCCTCCGCCCCCTCTCACCTGCCCCTCTCCGCCCCCTCTCACCTGCCCCGCCCGCACCCTCTCCGCCACCTGCCGCAGGTGTGTGTGTATGTCCGCCACCACCTCCTCCCGCCCCCGACCCGACAGCACGGCGGACAGCGCAAAGTTGCCCACATCCTTGGACAGCGGGCACCAGTCGCGGCGAACAATGTCCAGACCCTTCTGCTCCATCACCTGTTGTTCATCATGGGGGTGGTGGGGGTTGCGGGGGGTGGGGGTGGGGGGGCGGGGAATAGATGGAAAGTGAAGCAACTGGAGTCCCGATCCCTTATTCCGACTCCCATGGGGTGGAGTGGAGGTTGACGCTGAGGAGACTCTCCCCTCATCCCGCCCCTCCCCGCCCTCCCCTCACCTCCACCAGCTTCCCCCCCCCATCCGGCTCCAGCTTCATTGCCGCGTACTTCTTCTTCTTGAGCAGCAGGATGGAGCGGAACACGCCGTCCAGCTCAATCTCCAGCAGCCTGGGAATGAGGGGGGAAAGAGGGGGATCCAGCCACATTTGGTGTGCCTCCTCTAACATGCAACCCATCTTCCCGTTTGCGGCATGATGCCCGCATTCCTCTCCCACCCCTCATGCTTTCTCCTTCCTTTCCCTTCCCTTTGGTCTACTTGTACTCGTGCTCGAACCCGAACCGGACCCAGTGTTACCTCCTCCCTGCTTCCTTCCCTCCCTGCTACCCCCCCTCCCCTCCCCCCTCACTTGTATCTCTTGTTGACCTCCCTCTTGATCCGCGCCCCCAGCGCCCGCGCCTCCTCCACCGAGTCGGACCGGGTGGCCACCATGATGGAGTCCGTGTCGCCGTAGATCACCTGAGGGGGGGAGGGGATTAGGGAGGGCGGGGGTGAAGGGCGCCTTTAGGGGCGAGTGGAAAGAGGCAAGGCCCAGTTCAGCGTCGGTGTCAGGAGGCTCCTCCCCCTCCCCGTGTCAGGAGGCTCCTTCCCCTCCCCCCATCTTTCCTATGGTTTGGTATGGCCTCCCCTTCCCCTCCCCCCCCCTTACCTCCGCCCCAATGCTCCCCTGCACCAGCTCCACCGTGCTGCCCAGGATGGCTCGCCCCTGCGCCGTGATCAGCTCCGCCAGCGGCTGCGCGTAAAACCTGCTGGCTCCGAAACCCAGGCAGCCGTACATGCTGTTGGCGGTCAGCTTGATGGCCTGCTGCCGAATCTGCAGCTGCTGCCGGGTGAGGGGGTTGCGCTCCGAGGACATGGCCTGCTTCACCTGTAGAGTGGGGAGGAGGCGGAGAGGGGGGAAGAGGAGTAAGGAGGAGGGGGGAAGGGGTAAGGAGGAGGGAAGGGGTAAGGAGGAGGGAAGGGGTAAGGAGGAGGGGGGGAGGGGTAAGGAGCAGGAAATACATTGTTGTAATTGATGGTGGCGGTTCTTCGAGAAAGCACCATTAAGAGGAGGGAGGGGGGTTGGGAGTCAGGGGAGTGTAGGGTGGAGGAGGGCAGGGGTTTGTAGGCGTGGTCTGCTGCAAGGGTGCGCGCACGGAGGAGAAAGATGCCCATTGGGAGGCAAGGCAAAGCGTGCCTGTGTGTATTACACGCCTCCCCCACCCCCTCACCTGCTTCCGCCGCTGTACGAGCGCCTGCAGTACGGCAGGCAGGGGCGCCAGACCGTTGGCGGCGGTTGCCGGGTCGGGCAGGGGGGGCAGGGAGCCGTCCTTTGGTCGTTGCACTGTGGTGAAGCAGATGTTGTATTCCTGTAGTGCAGGGGGGTTTAGGAATTTAGGATTTTTGCGTGCACAGGGCGTTGCAGGGGGTGGGAGGGACCGGAAGAGGAGGAGCAGGATAGAGTTCGAAAGTGGTAGACCCCTAAATAGCTGGTAACGCCAATTAACTATACGCTACACAAGGGGTATGTCCTTGAGGGTCCTCCGCTCATCTTCCCCACCCCACCTGGATGATGGAGGGGTACAGCGAGTTGAAATCCAGAATGATCACAATCTTGTCGTACAGTCCCTTCTTGGGCTCCAAAACCAGACCTCCGCTGTACTTGGGTCCGTTGCTCTTGGCAGCTGCAGCGCCCTTGCCCTTCTTGCCTCCGCGACCTCCCTCCTCGCCTCCGCCCTCCTCGTCCCCTCCCCCCATGTCCAGGTCCTCTGCGTCCGCCTCCGCCTGCTGCCGCCGCTGCTTGTCCTGCAGGGGGTGGGGTGGGTGGGGGTAGAAAGTGGGTAGGGGGACTGAGCCGCGCAAACACTAGGTAGGGGCGTATGTGAGAGTAGTAGGCCCTCCCTGTTCCGCTTACACCCTCTCTCATCCATGGAGGACAGGAGTTGGGAAAAGGAGCAGTCTTCGGGGAGTGGGAAGAAGGGGAATGCAGAGGAAAGGGGAAGGTAGATGGCGAAGTTGGTACTGTAATGCCACACGGCATACGGCACACGGCGAGCTTGAGGGCGTCTGACCAGGTAAGAGGTGGACGTCAGAGTAGGTAAAGAGGCGAACAGTTGGGGTCTTCGCAGTTGGGTAACATACCCGCATGCAAAACACAAGAGCACAGCAAGAGCACAGCAGTTGCACAGTTGCTGTGTATGCCGTACTACTCCCAATACTAATCATCCGCATACTACACCACTAACCCAACCCAGTCCCCAGCTCCCCACCTCTCCCCAGTCCCCAGCCCCCCCCCCACAACCATTCGGGCTGGGCGGGTTGGGCTGGCTCACATGTTTTGCAACCCATGTTGACGCCTTATCCCTCAGTCAGTTAGTTGTTTCCTCTTTAACCCCGCCATTTTACCCCCCACCTCTCCTCCCCTCTCCCCATATGGTGAAACCTCGCCACACAGCTCCTCCGTTTCCTCTCCTTCCCACCCCGCCCCCGCCCCCTCACCTTGTAGCTCTGCTTATCCGGCAGCAGGTACTTCCTGCCGTGGAACTCGTGCAGCAGCAGCATCTCGATGCGCTGCGCCCGCTGACCCGCCAGCGTGCGGCTCCACAGCTGACCCGACAGCGCGGAGAGCTGCTTGGTGAGGGGCAGGACTGCAGGGGGGAGGAGGGCGCGGGGGAGGAAAAATACTGAGTGAAGCAACGGATTGCCAATTTCAGATCCCGACTCGTGCAGTGAGCGCATACGGAGACACTATGGAGGGAATAGGGGGGAGGATTGGGTTTCGTTGGGGTAAGCGGCTCGCACCCAACTCGTGGTCCGAAACACATGCTTTGCCATAGCTGGCGAATGGTCGCCATAGCGCATGCTGCGTCTTTTCCGTGGGCCTACTCCCCGACAGTTGGAACATGCGCCCTTCCCGACAGTTGGAACATGCGCCCCAGTACCCCGAGTCAAAACTGCGCCGCCCCCCATCCTCCCCCTCACCTGACAGGTGAAACATGAGCCCCAGTGCCAGCCACGCATCGCTCTCCCCGTGCCGCAGCAGCTTCAGCACCCCCTCCGCAGAGGCAAACCAACCCGCCAGACCCCCTCCTGCTGCTCCTGCTGCCCCCCCTGCTGCTCCCGCCCCTCCTCCACCCCCAGCAGCGGACGCCACCGCCGCCATGGCCGCTGCGGGGTCGGTACGGCACTGCCCCAGCAGGTTCTGAGCCAGCGTGGCGAGGGTGAAGTCCACCGACTTGACGAGCTCCCGGGCCGAGAGGTAGGTGTCGCACAGGAGGCGTCCTGATAGGGGGGAAAGGGGAGACACATTCCGAGTTTGGCTGGATTATATACTTGCGTAAGGTTATACTGATGGGGGGAAATGATGCATGCCGCAGGGGCTGATGGTGGGCTCCTCGTGCGTGAAGGGGCGTTGTGCGGGACTTCGACCCCCTACCCCCCTTCCCCAGCCTTCCCTCCCCTGCCCTCCCCTCCCACCTGCCACTGTGGACAGGACCCCTGCCCCCGCCCCGCCTCCAAACGTGTGCCCCCCGCCCGTCAGACGAGGGAACTCGGTCTTCTTCACTCGGCCGATGCGGCTCCACAGGGGAACCTGCGAGGGCGAGGGGGGAGAGGAGGGGAGGGAAGAGATGAGCGGAGGAGGGAGATGCATCATCATGAGAAGTGAAGGCACAGTAGCACGAGGCATCGCAGTAGGATGGGAGGGGTAGCGCCCGCACAAAGCAAAGTTCACAGGACGTACCGGCAATGCTCTGCACATTGGGGTTGGAACAACCTGCGTTACCGCCGTTTTCCCTCCCCTTCCTCCCCTTCCCCCTTATTCGGTTTGGTTTCCCTCCGGACCTCTCCGGGCCCCTCACCTTGTGGTGCTGCATGCGGGTAAGGAGGGTGGTGAGGTCGAACGCGGAGATGTTGTGACCCACCAGCACGTCGGCATCCAGGGCCTTATAGGGGGGGGAGAGAGGAGAGGGAGGAAGGGAGGGTTGTTGGTGGCAAGTTTGAAGCGGACACGGCAAAAACGAGGCATACAACTCGTCAGTTTCCTCTTTTCACACCACTCTCCCCACACCCCACACCCCTACCTGCATCCTGGTCAACAGGCAGGTTTCTGGCACCTGCCCCAACGGTGATTTCCCCTCCCCAATGTCTTGCCCCAACCTGCGGTTTCCTATGCTTCGGTACTTGGTCTCCACCCCCCCCTACCTGCAGCCTGGCCAGCAGGCAGGTCAGCAGCGAGCGCTCCGACGCCACCAGCGACACCATGTTGCCCCCGTTGGCGCGGCCCCGGGGGGTGGCGTTCTCGGAGGCGGCGGCAGACTCCATGCCTGAAGAGAGGGGTTAGAAATAAGGAAAACTGACGAACTGGAAGAGAGGGGGGGATTGGTAAAAGAAGAATACCCAATGTGTTGTTTGACAATGGAAACTGGGTGACAAGCCCTGTGGGGAAAAACGAGCGAGTCGAGTCAAACTGGGGCGGGGGTGGCAGGGGGGTAACGGGGGTAAGCAGGGGAGGGGGCCAGCGTGCACTTCGGGGGATGAACCCGCGAAGGAAACTCCTTTATGCAGTGCTGCGCAATCGGAATCGCGTCAGTGCCTCTTCCTACTTTCCCGTCAGACTCCTCCTACTTCACCCTCCCATCTCACCCTTTGTCTCTCTCGCTCTCAACTCAGCCGCTCACCATCATCCCCCTTCCCCACCTCCGTTGCTTCACTTTTCATTTACTTTCCCCCTCCCACCTCCCCCACCCCCCTCCCCACCATGCGGCCACGCCTGCCCGTCCAGCCTCCTCACGATGCTGAAGTTCCGCAGCCGCTGCGGACTGCTCCAGTCGCGGGAGCTGAGCGGCGCGTCGGGGGACACCCCGCACAGGTGCACCACACTGGCCGCGACAACCTGCAGCAGGGGGGGGAGGGGGAGTGTGTTAAGGTAAACTGGCCGCGAGTCGGAACGTACTGTGATTGCCGGAGGATGTGTGTATGTATGTGCATGTGTGCAGGGTTAAAGGGAGGGGGTGTACCAAGAGGGTTATGTGGGGTTGAGTGCGGGGTTGTGGGGATCGGGCCAACCATACGGTCCCCCGGTACAGTGACACCCCCCCCCGACCCACTTATGGTTTCCTATGGCTTGGTATGACCCTTGACCCCCCCTCACCTCGTGTTGGTGTGTGCTGGGGTGTATGTTGGTCTTGAGGCTGAGCGAGGCCACCACGAGGGGGGGTGCGGGGCGACTCGCGGTGTCCACCGGGAGCCCCTTCTCGGCGCTGAGCAGCCGCTTGGGGCCGTCCAGGGACACCTCAACCTGGGAGGAGGGGGGAGAGGTGGGAGGAGGGGGAGGAAACAAGGAGGTGCCATTAGGGGATGGATATTTGCCTGGGCTGGAGAGAGGAAGGGAGCTAGAGAAAGGGAGGGAAGCAGTGAGGTAGGCAATAAGTAGTGACAGGCAGGGATCCCGCGGGAGGAGGCTGTGTCTGCGAGTGCTGACACCTCCCCTCCCCTATTCCCACCCCTACCCCTTCCAACCCCCTCCCCCCCACCTTGCACCAAGTGGACTGGTTGGCATACTCGACCCGCTGCGGCTGCTGCAGACCCAGCCAGCCGGGGCCCTTGATCCGCCGCTTCAGCATCAGAGCCTGGGGGGGGGGGAGGGAGAGGAGCCCGGGTAAGGAGGAGGAGCCGGGGTTATGGGGATTTTGGCTAGCAGCGTGCGGGTTGGGGCGGGGTGGTATAGGACATGGGTGCATCTCATCACCCAATGCGTGCAATAACCTTCTCCCCGCATGCGCCGCCCCCCTTCCAACCCCCCTCTCCTCCCCACCATTTCCACCCCCCTTTCCTCCTCCCTCCGGCCCCTCCTTCCCCCTCACCTCGAGGCAGCTCTGCTGCGTTCCAAAGATGGCCACGAACGTCTTGCCGCTGGGGGGCCCGCCGGAGGAGGAGCTGGGCAGCGTGGGCAGGTGCGCGGGGTAGCGGACCTGGGGGGGGTGAGGTGGCGGGGGTGAGGAGAGGGTTGAGGTGTGTGTATTGGAAAGCTAACGGGGAGCGGCAATGACCAGTGAGGGAGAGAGCGAGCAATGGGACGGACGCCATCGGTAAGCGGACGGACAAGGGACAACACATACTACATGCAAGTAGAGCGACAGGGGGCTCAACCACCGACCCACCACTCCCCATGTAGAGGCACCTTCCCCTCCACCCAACCCCCTACCCCTCTCCCTACCCCTCTTCCCTCCCTCCCTCCCCAGTCCCCACCCCCCGCCCCCTCCCATGCCCCCTACCTTGATGACCCACTGCTCCCCATGCGGCACCTCAGGGTGCTCGAACGCGTAGCTCCGCTTTACCGGCACCATGCGCAGGGAGGACACGCCGGCGCGGGAGAGAAGAGAGCGGACCTCCTCGCGAACTGCAGAGCAGCGCTCCTGGAGGGGGGATTTACAGGGATACATATTCCGCATTAGGCTGGATAGTTGGGTTAGCGCTTAATAGGAGGGGTCGGGAAGGGAGGGAGGGGTGAGGTGGGGAAGGTCAGAGGAGGGCCAGGAATATACTAGGGGAAACCAAGGGAACCCAAGCAAGGCGAGGAGGAGGACAAACCAAGAGAACCCGCAACAACCCGCTCCTCCTTCCCTCTTGCTCCTTCCCTCTTGCTCCTTCCCAACATACTACCACAGTACCCTTACTCTCCTCCCCCCTTCTCTCCAGCTTCATTACACAACCTTCTCCCTCCTTCTTCAACTGTCAAGCCAGCCCTTTGCAGAATACCATTCCCCTCCTCTCCTCTCCCCTCCCTTCCAGTCCCACCTGCAGCATCTTGAGCAGCTCCACCCTCCTGCCCGGCTGCTCCTTCACCGCCGCCTCCAGCCCCGCAATGGCCCCGTCCGGGTCGGCAAACACCTCGGGTCGCGGCACCACCAGCAGGCTCCGCTGCAGCCCCCGCACGCAAGCCGCGCAGCTCTGCCAGCGGCCCGCCTCGGCCTCGACCTTGCCGAACAGGAGAACCTCGCCTGCGGGCGGGGTCAAAGATCATACCGAACCATAGGAAACCACAGGTTGGGGCAAGACAATGGGGGCGGGGGGGGGAGGGTGGAGATGAAACGAATTATGAAGGGGCGGAAGGGCAACTGGAGAGGTATACATGTGTGGGGGTTTTCCGCAATGGATGGTGGTCCTAGTGGTTACCATGAGTACTCAGGTGGGGGGGATAGAAGGAAGGGGCCCTCGTCGCTCCGTAGGTTTCTTACTCCTACTCGTAAACGCGTTATTGGGTTAAGATACACCCATAAACATTACCTCGCACAGATTATGAACTGCCCTAGGACTACTAACTGTTCAACAAACTCAAGCAAGAAGCACTCGTCCAGCCCTCACCAGGTCGTGCATCCGGGTTCTCATACGCGTCCAGCAGGTAGAAGGGCAGCACGCCGGCAGCATCCAGCGGCAGCGGAGCAGCAGCCGAGGCACCGTGGGCGGACAAGGCGCCGTTGCCCTGTACGGCAGCGGCGCCGGGCGTCAGGCCGTCGGGCAGGGGGGAGGGTGCGGCGCCTGGGGCGCCATCATCGTTACCTGCAGCGGCAGCAGCAAGGGGTGGTGTCGAAGGATGCGGGTAAAGTGAGGGTTGAAGTGGGGAGCTGGCTTAGGGGAATCTGGTTCTTCACAAGACGCATCCAAACACCCGCCACTCCCTTCTTCCCGCTCGTGTGCTCCCGCACACCCATCCCACCTACCCGCCCCCTCGGCATACTTGAGGTCCTCCCACACATCCTCCACTCGCTGCAGCGCTGCCCCGTCGAGTGGCGTGGCGGGGGTCTCCACAAAGTTGCGGTTGTTGACCGCAGGGACGGGGGCAGCAGCTGGAGCTGTAGCAGCGGCGGAGGGCGCATGGGTCTTGACGTCCTCCTCTTGCTTGATGGAGGGCGCTGCAGCGGCCGCAGCGTCCTCCTCGACTTGCATGGCGTCTGCAACAGACAGTGTACGGGGATTTGCAGGGCGCAAGCTGCTGGAGAACCGCTAAAGACAGATGCCGCATGCGCCACATCAACCCAAATCGCTACGGCAAAGAATGACAACAGCCAGGTCAAGGGGAGCAACAACAGGTCCTAAAGCCAATGACATACCCTCACGCTACATCTCCCCTCCCCACCCATCGCTCCTCCTCACCTCCTCCCGCTCCAGCCTCCGTCATGACATCATCATCACCATCACCACCATCAGCACCCACAGCCTCCTCCTGGTACGCGTGGTGCTGCTGCTGCTGCTCCTGTTGCTGATACTGCTCCTCGCGCTTCACCACCACCCCACCCGCAGCTCCTACTCCTGCTGCAGCGGCTGCATGGTGCCCCATGGCTCCGCCGCTATAGAGGAGGGGCCGGGCTGCGACAGCGGCGGCACCGGAGGGCCGGGGCAGGGCGGCAGTTGCCATGGGCATGTGGGGCGGGCGGAGGGCGGCTACCGGCCTGCGGGTGGGATGAGAGGGGGGGAGGGGGGCAGAGGCATGACTTGGTAGATGGTAGTGATTTGGGTCGGGGGGAATACAGGAGCTCCTGCTCCTACTCTGGGTATACAAGCCATAGTGGGGTATTGTAAGGGTGGTGTGCGTCTCTCACCTGCCGAAGGCGCCACCCGCTGCTGCTGGACCCCTGACCGCCGCTGCTGCCGCCGGCAGCGGTGCGTCAGGCAGGATGTCTCCCAGGATGGAGTCCAGCACGTCATCGCTGGAGGCATCGGTGGCCTTGGAGCCGGCAGCAGCGGCGGAGCCGCGCTGCAGACCGGGGATGGCAACCCTGGTTTTGGTTTTCAGAGGGACGATCGGTTACAGCTAGCTGGTTGATATTTGGGTCGGGGCTGGGCCATGAAAGGGTGCTGACGAAGCTAGGGATGCGTGGTGTACCAGCATGGGAAGTGAGCAGCGAAGGTGGAGGCGAGGGATAGGAAAGGGTGCGGCGGCTTACCCCTTGGCTGCAGCCTTGCGGAAGAGAGAGGTGATATTGCCGCCCTCGGGCTTGGAGGGGCCCTCCTCGCCGTCGGCCTTGCCACCGCGCTTGGAACCGGCCTTGCCGTGGTCTGCGAGTTGCGAGGTTGGGGCGGGGTTGTAAGGCCCCGGGGCTAGAGTCAGGTGGAGGGGTGCAGCAGCTTTCGCGAATCTAACAACCAAACAAGGGGTCCTAAGCGACATGGAGTTGGCTTGGGCCCTTAATCAGGCGGTACAGATTGGGCACCACCTTCCTACCCTTCTTTCGCTTCTTATTTGCGTGCTTGCCGTCTGCGCCATCCTCGTCCTCATCTTCGTCTCCCTCATCGCCGTCGGGCCTGCAGGATGGTGGGAAGGGCAGCGGTAAGGGGTGAATGCGATACCACAGTGTGCCCTAGACAAAAACACTTCAGACCAATACCGGCATCCGGAGCATCTCCGCTTATAATGCTTGCGTCAGGTTTAGGCCTGACAGACTATTCGGTGGGAGGACCTCCTTGCTTGAAAATCAATGCCCATGTGCAAAGCCTGGTCGCTTTTGAACTCCCAAGCGCACCATCGGGGCCCTTCGTTGCTTCCCACCTTTCATTCCAATAGTCGTCTTCCCCGATATCAGCATAGCCGGCTCCATCGTCGTCAACTATGAAGTCCCCCGCGTCTCGGCGCTTTTTCACGATTTCTGCGTACTGGTGATCATCGACTACATCATATACTGCATCTTCTTCCTTCACTGCGTACGCAAGGGCACGTTTGCCGGAGCCTTCACGGGCTGCGCGCAATTGCTCTAAAGCCTTCGCCTTCGCAGCTGCAGCGCCACTTTGGGCGGGCTGCCGCCTGCTGCGCTCCATCTATCCAAGGCTTTCTTACGGTACTGAAGATAGTCTTTGCTTAAGCGTCGCTTTTCCTGGCAAGCGCAAGGAATCAGTCAAGTGCGAGGCATAGTTGTGAAGGACGGAACCGAACGTCAGGATGGTCAGCAGTGTAAATATGATGTGAACTATTCCGCTCTTCCGTAAAAAAGCAAACGCTGGCTGAATAGGATTGCTGTCCCGCCCTTGAAGCAGTGGTTCCGGAGCAAGTATCCTTGCTTTTGCAACTTAAGACCTTAGTGCTGATAAGCTAATGCAAATGTCCTAGCGCCTGGTATAAACACAGTAAGCAATACCAACGACGGCGGTCCCTGCTCCAAGTACTGTACATGATGTTAAGCACAGCCGCAAAGCTGTAAACCGTTTCAATATGGATACCAGAATGAGTAATGAATTATACAATAGATGACCATATAAGACATGCCGCAGGTATTTCTATTTGGGCAACACACCGTTCTATTGCTGTAGATGCACGCATGCGCCCCTCCTACCTCAGACCTGAGCTGCAGCGCCGAAACGTACCATAGGATTACTAAATCCTACAGAGTAATGCCCGCCTGATCTGAGGAGTTCCTCGCGATGAGCAAATTGGCATGCATGGCAACGATCAACCGCTCGTTCCCGGACCCCGAAACCATTCGCGGCAGCTTTCACCTTTCGACACCCAATTCATCCAAGTCGCACATACATAGCAGGGATGATACTGTGAGCTTTAGCGCGTATATATCCTGTATATGAGTTCAATCCTAACGTATTGTAGACGAATAAGTAGTCAGTCTTTGGGGAGGCCTGTCTTCACGCTTCCTTCTCCAGCTCCAGCCAGAATCAGCCAAACAAGGCTTCCTCATGCGACAGCTAAGCCTCACAGCATAACCAAGGCTCTGTCCAAGGGGCTGGCGGTCGCAAACGGTACGCGTGCGGTGCACTTCGTCGCCTGGCCACGTTAGCCACACGTAGCCACTTCAAGCTGTAGTCTTCACGCTCAGACGTGAGAGCGGGATGACTCGTTGCCCGTAGTTTGGAAGGTGTCCATTCAACTTGCGCTGTGCATTTCTGCCTGGAACCCGTATCAGGTCCCGCCAAGCCATTCCAAGCGCCTTGAAGCGTTCATTCTGAGTCAAAGTGTAAGAGAGCTGCAAGGTGTTGTGCCATGGACGATAAACACCGGCAACACCGACGACGACAACAACAACAACAACGACAAGGCGCCAGAGGCCACCAGACCATTTCGGGCTCGGTCCCCGAAATTACTCGTTCGACAGTGCACATCGTCGGACCCAGCCTCACAGCTCAGCTGCCTGCCTGGCTTCAATCACAAATTACACAACCTCCTGCTCCTTCAGCCCCCATAAACGACGAGGCGAGCGGTCGCGGCACCAGGCGCAACCGTGGCGGCTATGCCGGCACCCGGAGCCGTCCTAGCCGTTTCGAAAGCCGCCTCGAGGAGCCCGACCCACATGGCCAACCGCCAACATGGCAGCCTCCGGCTCCAAACGCTGCCCCAACCGCCCCAACTGCAACCGCAAGCCCCCGATCTCCACCTCCGCCCCCTCAACCCATGTGGGTCAAGCGCCATTCGTGTCTTAAGCTCGCCCTATCCACATGCACTGCTGGAGATGTCGTCCTGCTTCTCGAAGGTGACTACGATGTCACCACTGAAGAAGCGCCGCCGCCGCCGCCTCCACCGCCGCTGCCCCTGCCGCCGCCGCCACCCGCGATGCCGCCGCCGCCGCCGCTAGCCGATGTGGGTCAGCCGCCGCCGCTGCGAAGACGCGACGACAGGCGAACGGGCCGGTACGACAAGGAGGCAGCGGCGCCGTCGGCGTCACGGTACGGCAATAAGCGCAACGATTATGGCAGCGGCAGCGGCGGCGGCAGCTGCTCTACTCGTCGTGGAGGAAGAGATGTACGGCCGCCGTCACCTCCATCGAGACCCTCGCCGCCGCCGTCGGCGGTTGCGGTCGCGCCACCAATGCGGCCGCCAGGAGGGGTGGCCGCCGCGGCGGCGTGTACGGCAACACCGGCGGCATCGAGTACGGCGTCAGTTGCTTTTGCCTTATCGGCAAATGGGCCCATTGTCCTTCTCGGCGTGGATCCTGCGAACCCCGAAAAGGTAAGCGGTACAGTTGTGTATGACACCTCGTGGAATCCCAGGCGTACAGCCAGAGGCCATCGCGACCTAAATGGGCATATCGCACATGGCAATCGTGACAGCATCTGATATGCGTTTTTTGATCTGGGTCAGACCCATTTGGGTCAAACTCACCCCATATGACCCCGAAAAGGGATGCCCGCGCAACCAGCCCCTGCCCCTCCCCTTCCCTTTCCCACGCCTCCCATCGTCCTCCGCCCTACCCCTCCCTCCCTTTCCGCCCCCCACCATTTATCTATATTTTTCGCCCCCCACCCCCCCTCAGGTGCGCATCCGCCATTCCGGCCTCATCCTGCGCTCCCCCGACACCCTCACCCTGGCAGGACTCACGCTGGAGTACCTGCCTCCTCCCCACCACCACCACCCAGTAGCTCCCCAGCAAGCACCAACCCAACCAGTACCTATCCTACCGGTAACCAGCCAGCAAGCGGGCGGCACGCAGCGCCGCCGCCGGCCCAGCCGATGGGACCAGCCGCACCCCTACTCCTCAACCGCCCAGCCGCCCCAGCCTCCACCACCACCACCACCGCCAGATAAGCCCAAGCCGCCGCCGCCGCCACCGCCGCTGCCTCCGGCGCCTCCCCAGCCGCCACCCACGCACTACCACCCATACCGTCGAGAGCAGCCAGAAGCGACTGCTGCTGCTGCCAACCGCGACCGTCGATCGCGACCGTCGTACGGCAGATCCATTTCGTCCACTTCCCTCCGCGGCGGCGCTACATGTACGACAAGGGGCGCGACGGAGGCGGAGGCGGCATCAGGTGGCGTAACCGCCCCAGCGGCCGCTGTGGTGACGTCATCAGCGCCTGCGCTTCCCTCAGCGCCGCCGCAGGTTGCTGCAGCTGCGGCGACTGCTGCGATGCCTTGTCCGGCATCAATGGCTGCTGCTGCGACGGCGGGTGTGGTGGTGGCGGCAGGGCGGCTGCAGCTGGCTCACTGCAGGTTGCGGTTCGCAGCGCCCCCAACTGGTGGGCTGGCAGAGGCAGCTCCGGCGAATCCCGCAGCGACAGCTGCTGCGTTGGATGCCAACTCCAATACTAACCCCAACCCCAACCCCAGACCCAGCAACCCCCCGCCCCGCCCTGCTCCCCAGCAGCCCCCCCCTGGTGGGGTCAGCGCGGGTGTGTGGGTGGGTCCCGGCTGCGGGCTGCTGCTGCTCAAGTCGTCTCTGGAGGGCTGCGCGGCAGCAGGGCTGCAGGTGGGATAGGGTGGCAGGGTAGGGCGGGGCGTGGCAGGGTAGGGTGGGGCGCGGCAGGGTAGGTTGCAAAGATGAGGTGGGGTAGTCGGCGGCCTTGCGGGCTGTGCGCATGTTGCTGATGGGGAGGGCTTTCTTTTAAAAGCCCTGCGGCCTCTGCGGCCGCAACCCCGGCCCACCAGTCGGTATTACGGTGCTGGGGTGAGCTTTTGCGTAGCACACCGCGCTTGCTTTTACTACTCCGCCGTCGCCACCAAACCCGGCCCGCCTAACCCTTCTTTGCGCCCCGTTCCGCCTCTCTCGCCTACTTCCGCCTCCCTCACCTTTCTCTCCGCAGCTCGCTCGCGGCTCTTCCGCATACGTATCGAACAGCAGCCTCCTCACCAGCGGCGTCGCGCAGGTCTGCCTCCATGCAGCCGCCGCTGCTACCCCCGCACCCACCGTCGCTAACGCAGCGGTATCTGCCACCAACGGCAGCAACCCCAGCGCCTCTGCTGCCCGGCAAAACCTACCAGCCCGAGCCGAGCTGCAGCCGCCGACATTGCTGATTAGCAAGAACTGCGGCGGTGGCCAGCGGGCAACGCCGCCGCCGTCGGAGAGCCGGTGTACTGCGGGCGGCAGCATGGATGCGCAGTGCACGGGGGGGCCTCTCACGGTGGCGGACGGCGGCGGCGGCGGCGACGGAAAAGGAGGAAGCTCTTTTTTCCTATTGGTTGTTAGTCGTCGTCAGAACCAACCTGAGGACGCCGCCTCCGCGGCCGGTAACGCCTCCGCCTCCGCTGACGTCGCCACCGCCACCGCCGCCGCCGCTGCCAGCCTGCAAGGCGTGCGCTTGCTTGTCCACCCAAGCAACCGACCGCCTCCGCCACCGCCGGCTTCGAACCCAGCGCCGCTCCAATCCGTCACCAACTGCTTCGTCGCATGCGCAGACGTTCCAGAGCCTCTGCCGCTGCCTTTGCCGTACACATCGGCCGCTGCCGGCGGCGCCATCACCACTCCTGCACCACCGCGTCCCATGCACAACGCCTTCGCCGCCGCACCCGCCGCCGTCGCCAGCGTGCTGAACCTGTCGGGTCTCGTCAACCTGTTGCCCGTCTCCGTGGCTCCGCTGGGCAGCTCCACGAGCTGGCTGGCCGCCGGTCTGACGGGCGAGGAGGCCAAGGGGCTGGTGGGGGAGCTGCGTGCGCAGATGCGGGCGGGCGGGCTGCCGCTGGTGGAGGCGCTGGTGGAGAGCGCTGCGCCGCTGCAGGTGGCGGCGGCGGCGGCGGAGGCGGGGATGCCGCCGCCGCCGTTGATGGCTGCGGCAGCGGCGGCTGCGGCGGCACCGAAGGCGGAGGTGGTGGAGCGGTCTGGAGCATTGCAGCCGCCAACGGTACCTACCGTGGCGGTGGCGGCGGCAGGGGAGAAGGTACAGGCCACATTAGGGCCAGCTGCCGCCCCTGTTGCTGCAGTCTGCAACACTAACTCGGCTGCACAAGAGGACACAGCCGTGATTGCCGCCGCCGTTGTCACCGCTGCCGGCGGTGGCGGCGGTGTTAATGAAGCGAAGTCTTCTCTGGCGGGGGCAGCTGCTACGACACCCTTCACGGCACCCGCCGCTGCTGCCGCCGCCGCTGCTGCTGCTGCCACCGCCGCCGTCGCCACCGGCGACGGTTGCTCGAATCCCCCTGTCGCCCCGACTCCCGCCATGCCTCCCGCTCCTGCCGGTACCACACCTGCTCCCCCAGTCACTGCCTCAACAGCAGCCTTTATGCAGCAGCCTGCTGGCATCATCGCCGTCGGCGCAGCTCACAGGGAGCCACCGCCGCCTCAGCTGTCCCTCCTCCCGCTACACACCAGTCCCATGGGTCGCCGGCGTCCCACCACCCTCACCAACACCCCCGTGGCGGTTAACCCCATCGCAACCTCTCCTCCTCCTGCCGTACAACACCTCGCACGTGCCATGTCCACTGCCACCACCACCACCCTCAGCACGGAGGACTCCTGGGCCCTAGGGGAGCTTCCCGATGTCGTACTCACACCCGGAGTGAGCCCCGCCAAGACGGGAGCAGCAGCAGCGGCTGCTGCATGGCTGTCATCTGGGTCGACGACGCACGCACTATTGGATTCGGGGGGCTGTCTTCTAAGGCAAGGCACTCTTCGAGGGTTCGAACTCAGCCCCTTTCGTAGCCCATACGGTTTCCGCGGCTTCGCCGCCTCGTCAGCCGTGGGGACGGGCTGCAGGACGCATGAGCTGATGCCGCCTCCGCCGCTGCCGCTTTCGCGCCAGACGTCGCTGCCGTTTTCGCTGTCTCCGCTGCCGCTGGCGACGTCTCAGCAGCGGCACCCGCGCACGCCTCTGTCTGGCGCCGCCGCGGCGGCGCCGCCGCCGCCGCTGGCGTCTCCTAAACCTCGCTCAATGCCGCCAGCGCCGCCGCCGCCGCAGCAGCTCGAGGGACTTCAAACGCAGCAGCTGTCGACGCCCCGCTGCAGTAAGCAGGGCCCCAATGCCCAACATCCTCTCTCACCTGCGCAGCCTCATTCCCTTCCCCAGCAGCAGCAGCGCCCCCAACCGCAGCTGCCGCAGCAGCAGCCACACCAGCAGGATTCAGCCTTCAAATACATTCATTGGCTGGCGCAATGCTGGATGGCGGGTTCCCCCGCTGTCGGGGAGCCGCCGGAGGCGGCGGCGGCCAGTAGCTGTAAACGTGCGCTCAACGACGGGGCCGAGCGCTGCCGTACAAGCAATGGTGCAATGCCGAGTCAGGAGCGGCAGCAGCAGCCCCTGACGCTGGCTCGGACAGAACAGCCGCCGCCGCCGCCGGAGCAGCGACAGCTGTGGGATCAGCTTCTGCCGCCTCCAGCGCTGCCCGCGCTGCAGTTCTTGCAGCAGCAACAGCAGGCGCACGGCGTTACCGCTTCGGGTGTTACGGCTACCGCGGCGACTGCCGTACTGCCGCCTTCAGCCCTAGCACTGCTACAGCCTCAATGGCACTCTGTCGTACAACCGGCGCCCCTGGTTTCGCAGCCCCTGTCGCACCTGCAACCACCACTACCCACACTGCTTGCACAGCAGTCGTCTAACACGGCTCTACACGTGATGCAGTTGCAGCAGCCACCACAAGCAATGACCATGCAACCGCCACCGGCAGCACATCAGACGCTCAACCCCTTCGCCACTCTCGCTGGAAGTGCCTTCCTAGGCAGTCCCCCCGGCCTTCATCGGCCCTTGACAGCCGCCGTTGCCATGGACTCTCATTACCATCATCATCATCATCATCAGCAGCAGCAGCAGCAGCTACTTCAACTCTGGAGATCGCCTGACGTAAAGCACACGGGTGATGCACGCAGAGCCTCCCTCTCAGGCGCTGGGTTCAGCCTAGGCCGCTTGGGCAGTAGCTGCAACTCTGGGCTGAGCCTGGGCTGCTTGAGCGGGCTGGGCCTGGGATCGGCCTGCCTGAGCGGGCTGGGCTTGGAGGGTATCGTGGCTGACGGCATGAACGAAGGGAGTGAGGGGGACATCATGGCAGGGGGATTCGGCGGCGCGGTGGAGGTGGTTGTAGCGGTTTGTCCGGATGGGCAGCCGTTGACGGGCCAACCGTCGCTGCCCCGATCTCAACCGACAGATGCGCAACGGACAGGCAAGCAGCAGCAAGGAGCGGCGTCGGACGTGAGCCAGCTAGCCACCGCGTCACAAGGCCACGACAGTCATATTGCAGCCAAGTCGGTGTCAGGCAAAGGTGCTAACGCGGGCGACCGTACTCCTGTTGCTGATGTTGGTGATGAAGCCGTGCGAGGCGCTGGCGCCGGCGGTGCCAATGCTGATGCAGCAGCAGCAGGGTCGGGTTGGGTTCGGGACTTGGATGGCGAGCTGCGGCGCCCGAGCGCTGCATCACCCGCTGTGTTTGTACCACAGCGCCAGCTGCAAGCGACATTGCAGCAGCCGCCGCAGCAGCAGCAGCAGATGCCTCGGCAGCAGGAGACCCAAACACACCAGCAGGGCACCACAGGCCTGCTTGCAGCCATGCAAGCGACTGCGCGGGCTGCGGCAGCCCTGCACGGTGGCGACAGCAGCACCCTAACGCGCAGTACCCAACATCAGCAACATCACCCGCGCCTTCTACCACTACACGAGGGGCGTGACCCCGGCCCCGCGTCTGCTCCGCCGCTGCCGCTGCCGCCCTGGCAAGGCGGCTCCCTGGCGCCGTCCTCCGCAGCCGCGGTGACAGCGGCAGCGGCAGCCGCCGCGTCTATCTCCGCACGGGCATCGGCGGCAGCAGGAGCAGCAGGAGAGACGTTGCTTCCCGAGGGCATGTTGACACCCACGAAATGGTCCCTAACGCAAGGACCATCTTCCGAGCCGGCTTCAACGTTAACCTCACTGGCGGCGAGTCACCCCTGGTTGACTCAGCCGCATTTCCAGCAAGCGCTAGTCCAACAGCAGCAGCAACAGCAGTCTGGGAGTTACTCCAAAGCGCTTCGCAATAACCACATGACCCATGGGTCACTACCGGTACTTGGCGGCTGCACTTCAATGCCGTACCCAGCTTTAATGATGGTTTCGGTCACCGAGCTGCAGCCGCAGCCTGTGCCGCTAGCCGGGCCCGCTGCGGAGGGTGGGAATAAGCCTACCGCCAGCGCTGTCTCCGCCGGCGCAACAACCGCTGGCTTGGGTACGACAGACGCGGTCGCGGCTGGCGACGGCTGCTACAGCGGCACCGCCGCCAGCAACCGCCGTCGGCGCTCGGATGCCGTACTGACGGCGGCGGCGGAGGCGGCAGAGGCGGCGAGGGCGCATGTGGAGGTGGAGGCGGCGCATGTGGAAGCGCACGCGACCATGGAGACTGACGCTGATCTGACGGGACCTCTCTCATGTCTGCTGGGCGGCCCTCTGGCCGCATCTTCTTCCAGACGCAAGGGCACCGTCACCGCCGCCACCGCTAGCGCTGCGGCTGCGGCTGCTGCATCCAACAAACACGCCGACAGCCAGAAGCCAGCCGCTTGGGCTTTTCATGGTACGGCAGAGGCGGTCGGCGCGGTTGCGAAGCAGCTGGTGAAGGAGGAGTTGCGCAGTCCGCCTCGCAAGCTGGCACGACGTGGTGCCCAATCACGGTCCGCCGCCGCCGTCGTGGCGAGGGCCGGCGGCGGCGCAGCTGCCGCTGAGGAGCGTACGGCAGCGGCAGTGGCGGCGGCGGCAGCGGCGGCAGCCTACATCCGCCAGCGTCGACAGCCGCCACAGTACGCTGCTGCGACCCATGGGTCACTTGGAGGCCCTGAGCCGACTGCGGCGGCGGCGGCCGCTGCGGCGTCCAGCGCAGTCGGTCTTCATCCGCCGCCGCATGCGTCCGCGGCGTCTCCGTCTCTGGAGGCGATGGCATGCTGTGCTAGCAAGGATAGCCATGCGGGTGTTGCTACTGCCACGGCAGTGGCGGCGGCGGCGGCGCCGATTGCAACAGCAGCGCCGCGGCGTCCGCTGGGTGCGGTAGTGGGGGCCATGGACGCGACTGCTGCAGGGGAATCAGGTTCTGCGCAGTTGGGTCTCCAGCAGCTGTTGCCGGAGGTCCTGCAGCATCCCCAGCAGCAGCAGCAGGCCGCTAAGCGGCGACGGGGACAGCGGCAGCGGCAGCAAGAGGAGAAGCAAACTGAGCAGCAACCGCAGCCGCAGCAGCAACACGGGGGTTGGCAGGCGGAAGTGCAGCGGCTACAGCTCGAAATGCTCATGCGACAACAACAGCAGCAGCAACAGCAGCAGCAGCTACCAAAGCCACTGACGGGCTGTGCAGAGCCCAAGGAGCTGCAAGGCCGTGTGTGCAGTCTCCCTCCCGCGCTACCTGTGAACACCTCCACAGTGGACACTGCTGCCGAGCTACCGCCGACAGCAGCAGCAGCAACCGCCGCCGTCGCCGCCGGCGCCCCAGCGTGTGATGCCTCCGGCGCCACCGGAGGCTCTTGCGGAGGCTGCTCCCGCAATCCAAAGGCTGCTGCAGCCAGCCGGGGTGGCAGCAGCAGCGGCAGCAGTGGGGCCACAGCAGCAGCTCCTGCCCGGCAGCGGAGGCTGCTGCTGCCGGTACAGGTGGTTGACGGCGGTGGTGGCGTTCAGGATGAGGGTGGGGTCACGGAGGGCTTGCATGGGGCTCAGGTGGCCCGGGGTGCCGCCAAGGGAAGCAACGATGGCAGCAGTGGTGGTGGCCACGGTGGCGTTGCTGGCAGCGCTGGGGTGCCGCAAGGGGAAGCGGAAGTGGAGGAGGAGGACGAGGAGAGGGAGACGACGGGCGGCGGTAGGGGTGGATGGGGCAGGCGAGGTGGTAGGGGCGGAGGACGAGGAGGAGGAGGGCGCGGACGGAGGGGCGGTCGCCGCGGCGGCGGTAATAGATGATGTGTGATGCAAGGGTTTGGTGAAGAGTGAGAAACGCAACGTCCCCAATGCCAGAAACCCGATCCAGACAATGGGGTGGGGGTTGTTGAACGGCGATTTGGGTAATGTACGTATGTAGGAGTTGTGAGGTTAAGACGCGGTAGTAATACTCTGGCTTCGGGCGGGGAGCGAGAGCTGCAGGGTGTGGGAGGCCGGGCGGCGCATGCGATGTTGTACATGTGCTGTAGGCGTACGGCGGCGCGCGCGATGCATCCCTTGTTGTCGTACATTCCGTACCATGTACGACGTTCTTTGTCGTACATTCCGTACGGTAAATGTGATGGTAGACGTCCATGTGTGTCTTACGGCACTCACTTCGAAGGAAGAAAGCCCACATGCGAACACAGTTGAAGGGCGGGGAAAGACGAAGGGTGTGTTTTGCTCTGCGTGCATAAATGCCAATTGGGTGGTTAAGAAGTGGCCAATGTGTGTGCGTGCAGCTCACACCCTTTCCGCCAAATGAGGCCAGGTGAAGCAGGTGAACGGTATGCCTGGGGAAGGTAGAGCGCTGGCAGCAGCAGCGGCCTGCATGAGAGCTTCACTCACGCGTTGGTACCATGGGCTGTACCATGAAGATTTCTTTAGAAGACAGAAAGTTGCTGCATATACGGCTGTGGCTGTGTTGTGCTGTCCTACGCCAGGTAAAGGGTGTGCGTGAGTGAGGTCCTGCTAGCTGCTTTTACGAAGCAAAAAGGATGCGGAATTCCACATGTCAAAGCACCTGCAAAGTACAAGCCAGCGGCACGACAGCTACAGTTCCAGCACTGCACTCCACCAAGGGCGGAGCTACCGGTATCCATGCTCCTTGCCGCCCAGGGTGTCTGTGTCCACCGGGCCCCGGCTGGTCCGCCGGGGAGGACATCGCGGAGACTGAATGAATCACCCTTACACTGACTCTTACACTGGTTCCCTTAAAAGGAGCATGGGAGAGACCATTTGCCGTCGCGCGCATACAGCACTATATACGTGCCGAGGGCTTTTGGGGTTTAAAAACACGCAGCAGCAGCAGCAGCCTTGGGTTAGAAACCCCAAAACCAGATAGCCACGGTCGCCACAAAACCCGCTGGCCCCTCTTCTCCGCAACCCCTTACACGCCAGCCAAACCTCCGCCCCCAACAACCTCCCCACGCTTCTGTGTGTCAGCCCCACGCCATCAGCCCCGGCCTGCAGCTCCTCCGACGCACAACCCGTTGCTAGGCACCCGCTACGATTCCACATTGCCATCATCGTCGTCATCATCATCATCATAGGGACTTGCTAGGGTCACGGTTGGTGTTTCACAGCAGCTTCTTGTAGACAGTATGTTTTACTACCTCCTCCCTCCCTGCCTCCGCCGCTGCACACTCAGTACCGCCGGCTGCGGTCCGCTCCTCCCCGCCCGCCTCCCGCTCCCCGCCCCGCCCCTCTCCCGCCACCCATCGACCCATACCTCCCATTCCCACTGCTGCTGCTCCTTTCTCCTGCCCCTGCGGCTGCGCCCTCCCCTGCTGCCACCGGCGCCCTCCTGATGGGGTAGACCTCCCCGCGGTCGTGAGCCTCCACGCCGCGGCGGCTGAGAGATACCTGGGGAGGGGAGGAGGGGGCGGGTGAAGGGGGGGGCAGGAGGGGGGTGGGTGAGTTGGGGGGGAGGAGCAGGCGGGAGGTGTGCACAGCTGACCGCGGGTAGGCGTGGGTATGTGTGCATGGGGAGGAGGAGGAGGAGGAGGGTGACGCGCGCAGACGTGAGACGTGGCGCGCTTGCTGTTCCAAGCCATCTCCTTGCCTGTCTCCCCCACCTCCCTCCCACCTCTCCCTCCCCTCCCCCCCTCCCCTCCCCTCCAGCTCGTCAGTTTCCTTGCTTGTACCCACCCTTCCAGCCCGCCCCCTTCCAACCTCTCACCTTGCCCCCCTCGCTGTTAAGCACCATCACGTCCACCAGCTGCCCCACCCGCACCACCGCGCCCACGTCCGCCACCTGGCCCTCGCACAGCTCACTCAGGTGGACCAGACCCTGGGGGCGGAAGGGGGGGGAGGGGGGTTTAGGAGGAGCGTTGGAAGAGGGCGGGGTTGGGGCTGATTGGGGGCAATGGGACAGCAGGAGCGAAGCAGCAGCAGCAGGCAGTGTAGCAGTGACAGGAGCAGAAACAGCAGCAACAGCAGCAGCAGGGGTGCCTGCCGCGTCTGTCGGTGGAGCTCCAGAAGCCGAAGACTCCATCTCCAGGCCCCTTCGTTTCCTCCCTCCCTCTCCTTCTCCCTCCCTCTCCGTCTACCTCCCCCCTCCCTCCCCCCCGCACCTGTCTGCCCGGGCAGATCTCCACGAAGCACCCGAAGGCGGCCAGCGACACCACCGGCCGCTGCCTGCAGGGGGGGGATAGGGGGAAAGGAAGAGAAGAATACTCAATGTGTTGATTGGGTAGGGGGAGGAGGAGGGGAGGGTGTAAGGAGGAAACCAAGTACGGTTACCGTATGAGCGCACAACCCGCCACCACCACCACCACCGCCCCGCCACATCACATCACAAGGAACCAAGGGGAACCCCCCCTCCCTACCATTCAATAAGTTGTTTCCCCTTTACCCCCCTCCCCACCTCTAAATGTCACTGGTTCTATGGCCTGCCTTGCCCTCCCCCTCCCCCACACGGTACGTCGCACGGTTCGTTAGTCGTTTCCTCTTTATAAGTGCCCTCCCCCTCCCCCCCTCCCCCCCCCTACCTCAGCACAGTGCCCGGCTCCGGGTCCCCGGCCAGCAGCTGGATGAACTCCTGCGTGAGGGAGGCGGAGGCCTCGCTGGGGGCCAACACGTCAACCTGGGGGGGGGAGGGATATTGGAGGGGGATAGGGGAGGGAAGGAGGAGGGGCAGGTGGTAAGGACTGGGGTATGCTACGGAGGGGGGGAGAGCAGCCTGTGGAGCCCGAGTGCCGATCCCTCCTCCCCTCCTCTGCCAGACTCCTCCCCTCACCCCCACCACCACCACCATCACCACTAACAGCAGCAGCCCCTCCCAGGTCCCAGCCGCCCCCTCCCTTCCTCACCCGCAGGCCCCCCTCCCCCACCACCTCCCCCTCCGCCCACCAACGCATTGGGTATTCTTCTTTCCCCCCTCCCCCTCCCCCTCCCCCTTACCGTGCCCTCATCGTCCAGGTTGATCTCCAGCGCCCCGGTGCTCTCCCGCAGCTGCTTGATAGTGCGGCCGCCGCTGCCGATGACAGCTCCCACCTTGGAGGGGTCGATCTGGGGGAGGGGAGTGGGAGGGGGATTAGAGACATAGGGAGACTGGGGCAAATGAAACACTGGGACCGTGCTGTGACAACCCTGCTAGGCCGACGCATGCATGCATTCCCCCCCTCCTCCTTTCTCCCTCCCCTCCTTCCTCCAGTTGCTGCACTTCTCATTACTTCTCCCCCCGCCTCCCCCCTCCTTTACCTTCATGCGCACCACCCGGGGTGCATGCTGGCTGAGCTGCCCCGCGGGGGCCGGCTGGCAGGACGCCAGCATGCGGCTCAGGATGTGGCGACGGCCCTCGCGCGCCTGGGCCAGGGCGGCGGTCATGATGTCTAGGGTGATGCCCTCAACCTGGGGGTGGGGGGTGGGGGGTGGGGGGTGGGGGGGGATCAGGAAACGGACGAAGGGGGGTGCGGGGTCAGAGATGTACGGAAACCACAGGTTAGGGCAAAGCAATGGGGATAGAGGGAAGCAGTTGGGGGGGGAGTAGGAGGAGAGGGAGAGGAAAGGAGGGTTGCAGCGAAGCCGAGGCGGGCGGGGCGGAGCTGTATAGGGTGCTAGGACGCCCAAACAGCCCCCACTAATGCTTCCTTATGCTGCCTTGACAAGGCCTGGCTAGTCCGACTCCTCCCGTGTTGTAGCACCCCTGCACCCCACCCCCCTCCATGCACCTCCCCCTCCATGGTTTGGCTACCGGTACTAGTTCGGGTTGGGCGGGATAGGCCGGCCACCATATGACTGCACCCCTGGATGCGGCGTACATGTGCTACAGCTTGCCCTTTCCTCTCTTTCCTCTCTGTCCCACCCCACCCCCAGTCCCACCCCCTCCATCAGTTTTCATTGTTTTCGTTGCTTTCACCCCCACCTTGATGTCCATCTGGAATGCCGTGATGGCCTCCGCGTCGCCCGCCACCTTGAAGTCCATGTCACCCAGCGCATCCTCGCTGCCCAGGATGTCGGACAACACCACGTGACGTACGACAGGGGGGGAGGAGGGGGGGGGCGCAGCCTCATGCTGCTGCTGCTGTTCCAGGATAAGGCCCATGGCGATACCCGCGACGGGGCGAGAGATGGGCACACCTGGAGGGGGGAGGGAGACAAGGTGTAGGGGAAGAAAGGAGGTAGCAGGTAGGTAGGAGTGGGCGTGAGGTAGAGGTAGGTGGACACATGTGTTTCTTCCGGCTCCTTAGCTCCTCAGCTCTCCTAGGCCCTCATGCACATTCACCGTTCCCTCCCCACCTCCTCCCTTCCGCGGTGGTATCCCCAACCCGCGTCATGATGAGGGAAACAGCCTCCGCAGACGGACACCTCACCACGGCTCCCTGCACACGCCGTGTGTCACCAAAACACACACACGTTTCCCCCTGCCTTACCCCTCCCCCCTCCCTCCTCCCCCCCGCTCCCCCCTCACCCGCATCCATGAGTGCCAGGCAGCCCCCGCACACGGACGCCATGGAGGAGGATCCGTTGGATTCGGTGATGGTGCTCTCCAGCCGTACGGTATACGGGAAGGAGGCGAGGGGCGGCAGCACGGGAGCCAGAGCGCGCTGGGCTAGCTCACCGTGGCCCAGCTCGCGACGACCTGAGGGGGAAGGGGGAGGGGGAGGGGGGGGAGGGGTGTGCGAAGTGGGCTGTCACGACGGGGTTTCCCAGTGCTGGGGCCTCACACTGGTGCAAAACACACACACACACACACGTTATTTTAACACACACGTTTCGCCTCGCGGCCAGCTATTTTAACACGCACATCAACAGCACAACAGCTCTCCTCTCCTTCCCCTCTCCCTTGCTCGTCCTCCCGCTTACTACCGCACCCCCGCTCTCACCCGGCGCCCCCACACGTCCCGTCTCCCCCACGCAGGAGGGCGGGAAGTGGTACTGCAGATAGAAGCGACCCGAGTCAGCATCCTCCGCCTCAACCTGTAAGCGGGGGGGGGGAGGGAGGGGTAAATGAGGGTAAATGGGGGTAAGGAGGGGACGGGGTAGGGACGGAGAAAGGGCGCGGGATCACCGTGGAACGTACTGGTAAGCTCCCCACTCCTCCTACCACCACCCCTCCCACCACCACCACCCCTCCCCCCTCCCTTCCAACCCCCTCCCCCCCCACCTTCCGCATGCTGTCGGGTCGCAGCGCGTCACTGCCGCTGCCCAGCGTGGCAACACACAGCGCCTGAGGGGGGCGGGGGGGCGGGGGGGTGGGAGACGTGAGGAGGAGGGGTGGATGTGGAGAGGGTGAGGGTGGAAACTAGACAAGAAGGAGAAAGGAGGAGCAGGAAGCAAGGGGAGGAGGAGCAGCAAGCGAAGCAGCAGGAAGCAAGGGGAACAGCAGGAAGCAGCGAGGGGAGGAGTACCTCTTTTACCCCCCCCCCCACCCCACCCCCCAACCTGCGTCTCCCCGCGTGTGAACAGCGCGCTGCCGTGAGTCCGCGGCAGCAGCCCCGCCCTGCAGCTGATGGGGCGGATGTCCCCCACCCCGCGCCCGTCCGCGCGCACCCCCTCCTCCAGCACCAGAGACCGCATCACGCGGCTCTCGACGGACTAGGAGGGAAGGGGGAGGGAGAGGGGGAGGGGAGGATGAGGGGACAAAGGAGGAAGGAACTAAGGAAGCGTGTGACAGGTGTGTCAGTTCTGCGGCACGTACGGCGGCATAACCACACACAAACAGCCGCAGTTGCTGTAACCCCCCCACCCCCACCATCATATATATTTTTTTACCCACCCCCACCCACCCCACCTTGAGTGCCATGCTGAGCTGCAGGGGTGTGTACGACACCGCTGCTCCGTTCTCCCCCTCCGCCGCTGCTGCTAGTGCCTCCGTGGCCTTGGCTGTGGCAGCAGCCACCGCCGTCGCCCGGACCTCCTTGCTTAGGGAGGTCCTGGGTGTGGTGGTGGGAGGGAGGGGGGGGGAAAGAGGTGGGTGGTGGGGAAGTGCGGGGCTGGTTGTACGTTTCTCGGGGACTGGCATGGGCAGCGCTATCGTTACGGCACGAGGAGGAGGGCACGGAGGTGAGCTCAGCTGCCCGGGGCGGCACGCGCCTGCTGGCTCCCGGTCCATCGCCCGCCCTCCCGGCCCCCCCCACACCCCTTACCACCCCCCACCTGTTGACGCCTTATCCCTCAGTCAGTTAGTTGTTTCCTCTTTACCCCCCCACCTGTACGCCTCCCTCAGCTGCGCGCCCACCAGCCCCATCAGCCGCTCCTGCAGCTGCTCCGGCACCCCCACCACCGCGTCTCCCCGCTTGGGCCGCCCCACCCGCCCCGCCCACACCTCCATCTGGTCGCACAGGGAGGCGATGGCTCGGTGGCCGAGGGCTAGGGCCTGAGGGGGGGGAGAGGGGGAGGGGGAGGGGGAGGGGGAGGGGGAGGGGGAGGTGGAAAGGGGGTTGGGTATGTGTCAAGACCTACTGAGCCCCGCACCTGAACTAGCCTAGCGGTCGCGTTGCGTGTGGGTAGCGCAGGGCAGGGTTAAGGGTTTCCCCTCCCTCCTCCCCCCCTCTCCTCCCCCCACCCACCTCTATCAGCTGCTCCTCCGTGAGGAAGTCGCAAAAGCCCTCAATCATGAGTACGGCATCCCGCGTGCCGGCCATCATCAGGTCCAGCCGGCTGACCTGGGGGATGGGGGGGAGGGGGAGGAGGAGGAGGTGGTAAAGAGGGGTAAACGAGGGGAATGAGAGGGACAAAGCGAACAGAAACGCGAGAGCGCTGTGTGGATTAGATCTCGTCTGAAATCTCTTCTGATGCCATTCTCATTCGTACTGGGCTTCATGCCCTATGTAGACACGCTATGTGGCCATGTGTTGCTGCCGCGCCGTACAACAGCTATGTCACACAACAGCCGTATGCCGTACAGTAGCCGTACAGCCATGTCGTACCTCCATTTCCTGCACGGTGGGGTTGATCACCAGGCCCACCTCCGGCAGCAGCCCTACCCGCACCCCCGCAACGGCCTTCTTGAGGGGGATGTCTGCATGGAGAGGTGAGGCGGGGGGGGGGGTCAAAGGTATACGGTACCAGAACCACAGGTTCGGGCACGGCAATGGGGAACCGGACACCAGACAAGACATACGAGGCGGCTCTGCCTCCGCCCAGCCCCCACCTCCTGCCAGCCCCCACCTCCCCCAACCCCTTCTGCCTCTCCACCCCCCTCCCCCACCCACCCACCTGAGATGAGCAGCGCTGCCGCAGCCGCAGTGATGGCCAGTGGCTCGGGCTCGTTGACACCGTCGTACGACATAACCCACTCCAACACCTGCGGGGTGGGTGGGGGGGAGTGGGGGTTGGGGTGAGGTCATGCAGCGAGTGACCGTCCGAGGCACGCCGGTTAGGGAAACGCCCACCCACTACCCACCTTGGTCTTATGTACCTCCGCCCTAGCCCTCCCCCAAACGTTGTGGCTTCCTATGCTATGGTACCGCTATAGTCCTTGATCCCCCAAACACACGCACACCCCCACCCTCCCCTACATCGTCCGTGTCGCTTTATTATTCACCCTCCCCCACCTGCGTGTCGTTCACCCTCCCCCACCTGCGTGTCGTTCACCCTCCCCCACCTGCGTGTCGTTCGCCCAGCCCTTTGCGAACATGGGCCTCAGCGGGCGGTCCACCAGGCGGCTGACCAGCACCTCGCTGTCGCGCGGGCGGCCGTCGCGCTTCACGAAGCCGCCACTGGGGTGGGGTGGGGTGGCGTGCGGGAGGGAGGGAGAGAGAGGGAGAGAGAGGGAGAAGGAGAGGAGGGAGTTAACGAGGGAAGGAGCAGGAGAGCAAGAGGCATGCATCCCCCTAGATTCCCCTGAATCCATGCCTTCTGTGTACGGTATGTGGGTCTCGCATACCGGCACACCCCCACTTCCCAGCCCTCACCCTCCCTCACCCCCACCTAGTGTCTCCATATGCGCTCACTGCATGAGTCGAGACTATTGGATTAGGACTCCAATTGCTTCATCTCTCTCTCCTATGTTTTCCCCCACCTGGTCCTCCCCGCCGCGCTGAACCGCTCCGAGTAGTTGACGGTGAGGGGCACGAAGGAGCCGTCCCCCACGGGCGCAGCGGAGCAGCAGGCGGTGGCCAGCAGATGCGTCTCACCGCACACCGCCATCACCGCGCCGCCCGCCTGCCGGGCGATCTCGCCGGTCTCAAGCCGGATGGGCTGGATGGGGTGCGGGGAGTGGCGGGGGTGTTGGGAAGGGAAAGGGAGGGAGGCGGGAGGGGGTGTGCCTTTGACTGCGGGTGTACATGTGATGTAAACTACACGTGTTCCTCGAAAGGCCTCAGCCCGACAGATTACTGAACGTAGTACGTCATAATTGTAAGCGGCATTAGAGGGTTTCAGGTTTGATAAAGGGTGCCGGCTTAAAGCCCGCTAGAGTGCTGCGGTGGTCATGCGACCGTTGTGGTCGATAACCTAGCTGTCGGAAAACAGGGCAAACAAAGGCGAATTTTCCACGAATTTGTTCGTCGATACCTTCTGTATTACCTGCCTGCCTCCAAGCACCTCCAGCTCCACACATTCTGCCTTCGGGGGAGCATACGACGCGGGAGCAACCTGGGCGGCTGCGACCGCGACGTTTCCCGGCGATAACCGCTTTCGGCAAAGCAAATTGCTGGTTCTCGCGAAGGATGTCGACGCAAATTGACGATTAGCTAAGGCGTTCGGCCCAGCACGTCCGAAAAGCCCAATTGGCATGGCGTCCTGTGCAACTCCAAGCCGAGAAGCTTTGACATAACGGCCGCTACTAATGCTGCTTGATAACACCATATTTGACATTTCCTACTAGCCCGGGAGGCTGTTGCCGGGATACGGTATCCTGGGGAAATTACCGTCAATGCAAGTGCATAGTAACTCTGAATCACAGGCGCACGTCGAGATTACGTAACCACCTACTCCCCGGTGCAGGCTCCATACATAGCAGCTCGAAGTTAGCGACCGTCTGTCTATGCCGTAAATGTTATTTTGTACGGCGCATCTGGTGAGTACGGAAGGCGCGAACCGCGCACGGAAACACCGCCATAATACCCCATTACCAGCGCTCCAGTCCTTCTAGCCGTGCAGCTTACCCCGCCGTGCTTGCATTCGCCACTGGCTTCGATCTGCAGTAGCAGCTGCACTGCTCCATTGCAGCGCCCCAGCCGCTGTCATGTTCCCATGTTCTTATGTGTCTTCTGCGCTGTTATTGCGGTCCACGAGCCTCCTGGCCTCGTCTGGGCCTTACGAGCCTAAAGCTTTTAACATACATACCAAAAATTAAACGCATTTCACAGCAACGATATCCTCGTACGGCATTCACAACGGTTAATGTCCGGCGACCTGTGCTGCTTTGTCTTTTGCATGGTATCGAGCTACGTTGGCACCTCAGATGTTCTGAATGTACGAACCCCAGGTTGTTCCCCTGTGCATCTGCATCTTCATTAAAAGTCCCCCCGATGTAGGTGTAGGAATTGCGCGTGCGGCGCCCGGCAGTGGAGCACACCCATGTACAGAGTACTTACAATCGAGGCACGTCCAAGTCCAAGGCGACCAAGCGCCCATCCGTTACATACAACTACATACTTAACATACACACATTGCACCGCGGCCTGTCGCCCATTGGTTAGGTATCCACGCGAGCGCGCCGCTGTTCACTCAATAGTGCCGTACACGCCTTTCCTTATGTACAGCCCTCCGTCTCACCACCAATACGCGGCACACATGTCCTGCCACCGCCCACGACAGGACGCCATGACAGCGCGCCAACGCAGATGCTCCCCTACCTCGTCGCCTAATCACCTTCAAAGCCACATACTTTCATCCTCCACAGGACAGCCAGCTACCGTACTCGACAGCCACACCGTACACGCAGCTCCCTACCACCTCCCATGTGGACCACCTTCCTCAGGTTGCTCCTCCTCCTGCTGCATCTGCCTTACTCGGCGATGGGCGTCTCATAGCCCTGCGGGTACTTGGAGGCCCAGGCCCACTGGTGCACGCACATGTCGTCCACTCCGTACCTGCGGCCAGGGGGCAGGGAGCAGGCCAGCAATACACGTCCGTCAGGGGGGGAGGTCTCAGGAAAGGGGGAAGGCAGAACGGCGTAAAGCTTGGGAACGCGAGTGTGTGTTCTTGACGCGATAAAGAAGCTTAGGTCGAGGAGGCAAGGGCTAGCATGTCCCACTCCCTCCAGTGCTTTCCTCTCCTCCCTCAACTCTTCCTCGTTTCCTGTCCGGGCCCCCTCCTTTCTTTCCTCCTGTCCTTTCCCCTTGTATCCCTGCTCCTCCGCCGTCCACCTCCCTCGCCCCTCCCGCTCTGCCCATCCCAACTTCCTCCCTCCCCTGCATCCCCTAGTAAACCCCTCCCTACCCCCTACCCCTCTTTACCCTCCCCCACTCACTTTGCCTTCCAGCCCAGCTCCCGCTCCGCCGTCTCGGTGGCCGCCCACACCGCCACGCTGTCGCCCGGCCGCCGGTCCATGAGCTTGTGCTCCACCTTCTTGCCGCTGGCAGCCTCGAACGCACGAATCATCTCAAGCACAGAGGAGCCTGCGGCGGTGAAAGAGGGGGGGAGAAAGAGGAGGGAGGGAGGGGTTTGAGCTGGGGGGATGATCGGGGTTCAGGGCCTCGACAAGGGCACGAGCCCCAGGTTAGCCCCTGCGTCCCCTCTTGTAACGGTGTGCCCTCGTGCCCAGGGAGGGTGCAGAGACGCGAGGAGGCACGAGGCCCCACTACGGGCACCGGGAGGGGGGACGCAAGTTCTGACCCTCTCCTTTTGGCTACGGGTACCACTGCCCTTAGCATCATGGTGCTATTCTGTTCTACCCTGCTTCGCCCACATCTGGTACCACCAGCACCTCCCTCTCACCCTCCCAGCCTTCGCCCTACACCCCCACCCCTCCCCTCCCTCACCCTTGCCGGTGCCCAGGTTGATCGGCGTGCAGCCCAGCTCGGGCGACGCCAGCACCTTGGCCACCGCCGCCACGTGCCCCTCCGCCAGGTCCATCACGTGGATGTAGTCGCGGATGGCGGTGCCGTCGGGGGTGGGGTAGTCGGAGCCGAACACACGCAGGAACTCGCGCTGGCCCAGGGCAACCTAGTACCGGGTGAGGTGGAGGTGGAGGGGGAAGGGAAGGTGTGGAGGGTTGGGAGGTGGTCGAGGAAGTGGAGGTGGAGGAAGGTGAGGAGGATTAACCAAGCAACCATGTGCAAAGGCTTCGGGTTGACAGTGATGGGGAAGCGAGGGGAAAGCGCCGAAAGATGGGGCATCATAGGCTCCAACACAGAAGTCCCAAGGGGGTCAGGACCAGCCGTATAACACCCGCCTAGCCCCTCCCCGCTTCTCCTAGCCTGATTCATCCCCTACCCCACACCTCCTCCGCCTCTCCCCGCCCTTCCCCCCCGGCTCTTGTCATGTCGTACCGCACCTGCTGGATGTACGGCATGAGGTTGTTGGGGATGCCCACGGGGTGCTCCCCGAGCTCGCCCGAGGGGTGGGCGCCGATGGGGTTGAAGTACCTGCGCGTGTGTGTGTATGGAGGGGGCCGATGAGGTAGGGAGGAGGGCGCGGAGGGAGGGAGGAAAGAAGGGCGGCGGGGAGGCGGGTTGGCCACCAGCATAGCACAGCTAGCTAGTAAGGGGTTTGCGTCCGCTGCGGCTCCAGGCGGGCCCCTGCAGATGTACGTCGCTCCCCCAGGCTTCCCTCTTAGCTCAAAGACCCCCCCCAGCCCTGGTTTTCCCTCTCCAGGTAAGTATCCCATAACGCGTCTCGTTTACTTGTATGCTCGTATACCCCACATGCGTGTTGCCTTGCACTTCGTGACCGGCGGCGCGGCACATGTCTCCATAGTGTTATCACGAACGGCGGCTTCTTCCTCAAGCCCTCTCGGGTTACGGTAGGCAACGATTCGGTAAGTAATTTGAGATGCGCGTTCTTAGTGCCTCCGAATGCGCTCACAGCATGAGTCGGGATATGGGATTGGGATTCGTTGTTTCACTTATTTAATTTTCCCCCCCAGCCCCCCTTTTTCTTAACCCCCCTTCCCAGCCCCCCCCACATCTCCTCCCTCCCCGCCTACAGCGCCCCACCTGAGCAGTAGCACACGCCACTCCTTGTCGCCCACAGCAATGTCCCGGAACATGTCCTCCTGGGCGGGCAGGCAGGCAGGCAGGGGCGGGCGGGCGCGAGGAGTGCGACATGCGAGATCAAGGAAGGTTGTAGCAAACAGGAGGGGGTCAGCCAAAATATGATAGGATGATAGGAGCACCATCGCTCACACGCACCCGCTCGATGTGGTATGGTGTACGCTTGCTGTGCACTATGAAGCAGGCTGAGGCACCCTCTCCATGCACCCACACCGACCGACCCATGGGTCAGACCCCCTGCGCTCACTGCATGAGTCGGGATATGGATTGGGACTCCTGTTGCTTCACTTCTCAGTTAGTACTCCCCACCTGGAACAGCTTGGTCCTGCCGTACGGCGAGATTGCCTTGAGCGGCGCCGCCTCCGTGATGGGCACCTCCTCGGGCAGCCCGTACACCGTGCAGCTGCTGCTGAACACCATCTGGGGTTGGGAGGGTGAGGGAAGGGGCGGGGAGGGGCGGGGAGGTGGGTAAGTCCTGCAATACGGTAGTCATGCAGCCGGACCTTGCTTTCCTGCTTGCCGTTGCTGTCCAACGCCCGCCTGCCTACCTAGCGCTCTCCTCCTTGACAGGCTTTCGGAACCCTTTTTGGGCGGGCTACAGCTTGCACTTGCCCACGCATCCCTGCTGCCGTCCTCCCTGTGCACTCCCGCCTGCTCCTCTCCTGCCCTGCCCAGCCCCGTGTTCCCATCCCTCCCCAACACCGTGCCCTGCCCCTGCCCCTGTCTCTCCATCCTCCCCTCCTTCCAACCTCTATGAATCCCTCCGTCCTTCCCCGCCTCGGTTTTCTAAGGGTGGCTTTGGATCTTCTCCTCCCCACCCTCTCCCTCCAACTCTCGCCTCCCTCCCCTCTCACGTTCTTGCACTTGAACTGCCGCATCACCTCCAGCAGCACCACCGTGCCCACGAAGTTGTTGCGGTAGTACTCCAACGGCTTCTCAACCGATTCGCCGACCGCCTTGAAGCCCGCGAAGTGGATCACGCAGTCGAACCTGAGGGAGGGAGAAAGGGGGAGAGGGTTAGCGGGTTTGGGGGGGCTGGAGTACGATCAGCGCGGAGGAGTGAGGACTTGGTTGGTGAAAGCAGGAGGTCCCGGCTGAAAGGGTTTACTCGTAGAAGGTCGGCTGACTGGTTGTTTGCTTGCACTAAAGGAGAGGCTGCTTCCCCATGTGACCGCCACCTTCCCCAGGCCCACTGCCAGCACACTCACGTCTCCGCCTCAAAGATCTTTGTGAGGCCCTCCTTGTCGTTGATGTCGCACTGCAGTACGGCAATAACAGCAGCAGCAGTACGGCAGTTGTAAGTACGGTATAAAGCAGCGGCAGTATTCTTACGACGAAGTGCCATAAGGATGGGCAGCATGCTTATGGAGGCATGCGTGATGTAATCCTTTGGGCAGCTAGGCTTGTAGGCAAGTGGGTAACTGCGCTCGTAGGGCGTCGGGAGTGCCACTTGGGGCTGATGGGTCAAACTTTCAAAGGAACGTTTCCCCGACAAAAGGCAGAGGGTCTCACATGCTCCCCATCCAAACGTATTTGTTGGAGTTCCTAACATGTTACTTACGTAGAAAAATGCTAGGTCAAACGGGAACCCACGCCTGCCCGCATGTCCATGCGAAGAGCCCACAGCGTTAACCAAACGTCAAACCACCACACCTTTGTATACTTCATCTTATCAGCCTTATCCCCAGCCAGCTTCTTCATGTGGTCAAACACACGGGGGAAGCTGTTCGACAGGTTGTCGATAAGGTGAACCTTTGCGCCATGCTCAAGCAGAACCAGCACCGTGTGGCTGCCTGCGACCCAGCACGAAGGACGTTAACCATGTATGAGTTAGAATGCAAGCGAGAAAAGGAGCTAGGCCTGTTGCAGTTGCCCATCGATCACCAGAGATCGACAGAGAATGGTTTCCTTGCATTTTGCATAGTCAAGCCGATATGACTTACCAATAAATCCGAGGCCTCCGGTCACGAAGATGTTCTTGCCGTCCAGCGACATGATTACTTTCAACAAACAACACTCCGTGCTTGCAAGGAGAAAGGGAGCTTCTTGGGTCGAGCTAATGCAGGCTAGGTTCAACAGCGGTATACAGTGCTACCAATGTTTCCAAGCAAGCAGTGCCCACAAAGAGATACGCGATTAACTTGGGAATGACCCGACCAACATGTGCCGTACATAGCCCATCCTGTCTTAGCGGGCGTGACCCCCCTGTTCCTTCCTCTTGCTCTCCGGGGCTACCGTAACCATTTTTTCTGGTAAGAGCTTACAAATGTATTGAGTCCTCTTATTGTTAGCGCATTTTGGAAAGCCGGCGCTGCCGGCGGCTGTGTCATGCAAGCTGACCTCAATGCTTGGCCGCTGCCTTCGCAGAACCTCTAGGACAGAAGACTTGGGAGGCTTACTTAGCCGAGGACCAAAATGTCTGACGGGTGAGTCTTTTCCCTTAGGCCGCATTGCTCCGAGGGCGAAGCAAATAAACCACTGGTTGTTTATATCTGTTGTGATGGTGTACATATACCACCTTGAGCTGAAAGTATTGTTTTGGTATACGTGGTGCAGCGCAGCCAGACGCCCATCCGGGAAGTGACCAGTCCTAACTAGTTGTATCGCTATGCTGCATGCTCTTATCCTTTGCAGAGAGGCTGCCCCCGTTGTGGCTGAGGCCGCTGCCCCTGCCGAGCCGATGGACATCAACACGGCCGTGCAGATGGTCCTGAAGAAGGCTCTGGCTCACGATGGCCTTTGCCGCGGCCTGCACGAGGCCTGCAGGTGCGCTTGCAGCAGACTCCCCTTAACTCCTACTTCAAAACGTGTATAGCCCAAGCCCCTGCATGCACCTTTCTTCATGTCTTCCCCAGCCACTCACTGCTTTTGCCCCGCGATGGCTAATCCGCTGCGGTTCTTTCACACCCCAGCAAGCACACAGACAGCGTTCCCCACTCAAGGCCACCTGGCCCTCTCACGCTCCACGCCCCATCTACGTTTTTTGTTGCGTTCCGCAGGGCCATTGAGAAGGGCCAGGCCCAGCTGTGCATCCTTGCTGAGGACTGCAACCAGCCCGACTACAAGAAGCTCATTGAGGCCCTGTGCGCCGAGCACAACGTCAACCTGATCTCCGTGCCGGAGAACAAGCAGCTGGGCCAGTGGTGCGGCGTAAGTACCTGGGGGCGGGGTGGGTGACGACTACGAAGGGGAGAAGAGGACTGCTAGGGGTTACGGGGTACGGATACGGATACCCAAACATGTTAGGCTTCTCCTTGTTGTACCGTCGTATGGGCTGGGAGGCTTCTCCTTGTTGTATCGTCGTTTGGGCTGGGCGGTTATCGTCATGAGCATGTCGCACAGGATCGCCGCGCCTCACCGCTCCCCCTCCCACCCTCTTCTTCTTGCGCGCAGCTGTGCAAGATCGACCCCCAGGGCGAGGCCCGCAAGGTGGTCGGCTGCTCGTGCGCCGTCGTCACCGACTACGGTGAGGAGACCGCCGGCCTGTCCATGCTGCAGGAGTACCTCAAGAGCCGCTAAACGCTGCACAACAGCAGCAGCGGCGGAGCGCGTTTTGCAGAAGCAGCCTCAGTTGGGAGGATGCGCTGGCTAGCAGCAGCGTGTCCCTCTTACTACGAATGTAGGAGGGGTGTAGCTGCTGCTGGTTGCGCTGCTATCGCAGGCCATCTGTAACGCCGAAAACAACAGTTTGTCAGTCCCAATGTGTACCCAATAGGTTTCGTTTCCAGGCTTAGCAGGGCTCAGGCTCCTTATTAGGTAAAGAATAAACAAATATGAAAGATTATACCCCAAAGGGCTACTGGAAAGGTCTAGCTGAATCAGCGGTACTCTCTAGGAGCCTCCCCAGCTGTGCACAAATCGCAGCTACAGGCAGACTACAGGAGGGCGATACTTATGCCGAAGCCTTTGGTCGTACCTAGGTAGGGCTTACCCTGCGTGGGGGAAAAACAACCGATAGGATATTTCAAGAAAAGCAGTTGGGTTAATTCGGGCGCTACATGCTGGGCTCCCGGTTGCAAGCTGGACCCCAGGTAGGGGGAACGCATTCACCCAGCAATACACTTAGTACGGCAGCACTTAATCGACAGTCCAGGATTTTGTTTTACAAAAACTGGCAGTACGGTTATCGTCCAAAAGACGCAGGGCAACTCGTCGGATCCTAGCAGACAGCAATTTCACTCTTAACATGTATCGACATTAGGCATCTCCTCCCACGTGCAGAGGCAGGAACCCTCCACCTAGCATTGCTCAGTGCAGACTGCACACACTCGCACAGGCATGCGCTTCTCTGCGCTGCCATGCTGTGGCATGGGCTACCGCAACGCTGAGTTGGGCCCAAGTGGGAGATAGGCGCCTTTGCGAGGTGTCTAGGCCATAAGTAGTTGGGTTGGCCGAGTACTTGCCTTTGTGGGCGTCATGGGACTGTTCACTGACTGGCTGTGGTGCCGCAGGCCGAATGCGCATGCAGGTAGGCCTGCTGCTTCGGGCGAAGTCACGAGTAGCGGTCCCTCTTCTAGGATAGAATGTTGCCGGCTTCACGACGCCAGTCAGTACTGCAGGAATGGGAGCGTCTCCAGTGTTTCGTCTAAAGCGGTATCGACCTCCTGCTACGGTCGCTTGCTTCTCCTGTAGTTTTCAATGTTGGTTTACATTTTTACAAATTGTTTTTACAGTTTTATTGTCTCCCTCCTAACAGACTGTGAGGGATTGGAAAGGGAAACGCAGTTGAACTGGTGTACACCTTGTAGGTGTGTAGTAGCCTGTAAGCCACGCAAGCGACCGACCCACGGTTCGTTTATTACTTGTATATGTACGCAAAAAGGGATCCTATTAAGGCCAGCATCCTGCACCCAAAACACACCGTACACACCGTCTTATCAATGCCAACCGGCTACACGTAAAAGTACCCCCTTAAATGTTAGTTCATGGTTAGTAGGGAAAGACACACCCTGCCAGGAAAATTCAGCCAGCTACTGCATCAGTAAGCGTTGGTTGAGCAATACGCATTAGTATTGTGTCATTTTGACAAATGATACCCCGAGTATCACACATCACGCAGTGCATGGCATGTAGGATGTAGCAAGTGTGCCGTACCACCGCGGCACCACAACCGAGGCACACGCCGCGGCACCACAACCGAGGCACACGCCCCAACCAGCGACCCTTCTTGCAGTCATTAGCCCTTCATTTGCCCATCGCCCACCGGTAGCCAGCAACACAGAAAGGCTCCGCTGAAAAAGCACAATGGCAACACCAAGTACCTCCTACCTAGACCTAGACCTCCTGCAACGCCTACCGCTAACTATTTACTTGGCATGCAAAGAGAGAACGAGCCATCGGTAATGTAAAGCCGGCGACCCTCCTTTAACCTAGGGAAACCAAAAAGGGAAGTACTGGAGGTTGGCCAAACTAAGCAACATCCCGCACCATACGTGTACTGGCAGCATGCCCGTGCTGATTGTATGTGGCAGCAGGTAGCAGCTCACATAAAGAAGGACACATCACCGTGCATCTGTCATGTAAAGATAAGCGGTGATACACAGAAAGACGCAATCACAAAGCCCAATTCTCAGGGCTTACGAAGGACAAAAACGCAATGCTCAACGCCAATTCCCACATAGTTAGTAATAGGACATGGATCACACAACGAACGAATGTATAGACTATAGAGGCCCATGGACTGTGGAAAAGGCAAAGGCGTCCATTAGTACGGTACACAACAAACAACACCCTTTCGTGTTTCTGTCAGCGTGCAACCCACACCAGCCATGCCATACGAGGAAGAGACATCGGACACAAACAAGGATGTTAATTGTGCCGCAGGACGTCACACTGTAGCACACATGAACAATCTGGGTCAACACGGCAATGAATACCGGTACCGGTTCCGAGGTAAGCACCCCACACCAAACTTCCGCCCCAAATACCCCCAAGTGCTTCCATCCGAGTTCCATATTACTTAGCCACTACATGCCAATTGCCGGGTGGCCCAGCAGCTGTTCGCCTGCTGCCTGCCCGCCTGATCCCCTACAGACCTGCTGTATGCAAAAACTGAGAGACACCGTGACACGGACATCCTATAACGCAGCTTTCCCTAGTAGCTTACTCACAGCTCGCCAAAAGACTCTTCCTGCCAGGTATCCAGCATGCCCCGGTGCCCCGACGGGACACCGCCACCGCCACTGACTCGAACCCTGCCCGTTGCCGGTACCGCCGCCAACACCGCTGGCGGGACTGTCGTCCTGCTGCCAGCACTTGCACGTCCACTGCCGTCTTCACCACCACTGCACCATATGTCCGTACATGCACCCACTGCCTTTGCAGCTGAACCCATCTGCTGCTGCTGCGGCGGCGGCGGCTGCATTGGCTTCTGGCCCGGCATAGGGGTCGGTAACCGCTGCTGATGAGTCCCGTACGGCAGGGGCTCAGCAACCTCGATCTGGGGTTCCCGGCCCGTTCCCGCTGAGGAGTTCTGCATGGGATGCTGCAGCTGCGGCTGCTGCTGGCGCTGCATGGTAACGTCGACAGGCCCCTTCGGTGCTAGTAATGCTCGGTAGTTGGCAGATGGCACTAGCAGGTTGCTAGCTACCTCCTTCCCAGCCGCTCCACAAGCAACCGTTTGCGTTGCTGCCGCCGCCGTCGGCGAGAGCCATGCCGGATTGCTCGCCCCTTGGTGCCTCGACCCACCGCTGCAACGGGCAGTGGTGGCTGTAGCACCGACTGCTAACGGTAAACCGCCATTGCTGGGCCGGCCGTCGCGACTGGTTGTGGTCAACGCTGCATCCGCGGAGGCACGGAGCTGCGAGGTACGTTGCTGCTGCTGCTGCGGGCGACCGCACAGGTCAACGATGCGGCCGGGTGGCGCGACCGTCGGTGAGTAGAAGCCCTTTGCGACTGTGGCAGAGGCGGCGGAGGCGCCAAAGACGGGGCTGGGAGGTGATGCCAGCACCAGCGGCGGCACCTGTAATGGTCGGGGGCGGCCGCTGCTACCGAGTTGCTGTTGCGCTTGAGGCTGCGGTTGTGGCTGCTTGGGTTTCTGCGGCAGCAGCAAGGCACCCCCGCCGCTCACAGCGCCCGGTGAGCTGACGTGGTTGGGCGGATCTGCAGAGTACGGCAGGCCTGCAGGACCCTCAGACAACCTCGCATTGCGGCCGCGTCGGGTCTTCTCCTTTTGAGCTCCACCACTACCGCCGCCGCCGCCGCTGCTGCTACCACCTGCACTACCGTCAGCTTTACAACTGTCGGCAGCAGTGCAGTAGCTGTCTAGCCCGTCGCCGAATGCACCGCTGCCGTACGGTTCGCCCATGACTGCGGTTGCGGAGTGACGGTTGGCTCCGGGCTGCAAGGGTATCTGGAGCGCCGGCGGCCGAGGGGCCGTACGGAATCCTCCGATGCCATTACCCACGACGGCCTTGGTGGCAGTGCTGACGGGGTGATGAGGAGAGCCGCCGCCGCTCTTCGTGTACTTCCGGACGCCCGAGTCGCAACGCTGAGTCATAAAGGTATGCTTTGCCGCCGCCGCTGCCGCCGCCAGGCCCGCCGGCGGCGGCGGCGGCGTCGCGGTCTCCGACGGCTTGTACGGCCTGCCAGAGGCGCCGCTGGTACGGCCGCCGTCAGGGCTAATCGCCTTTGTCGTTGCGCAAATGATGGCAACAGGGGGCGACGGTGACGGTGTCGACGGCGATGGCCGCTGCGCCGCTGCGGCGACGGCGCAGCGCGATGTACGAGCACCGCCGCCGCCGCTACCGGTAACCATGACGGCGGCGGGGCTGCGCCCAACGGAATCGTCGTACTCCCAACCCATGTCACTGTCACCGCCGTCGCCGTCAATGCACACGTCAGCGATACCGCCGCCGCCGTCGTCGCCTCCGTACCCCTCCGCATCCTCCTCGTCGTCGCTTTCTCGGCACTCGTCGTACCACACAAGGGAATGTACGGCAGCCGTTGAGGCGAAACTCTTGCCGTCGCCGCCAGCAGCAGGACCCCCTACCGGCGAAACTCCGCCGTCCGCCCCCCGTTGACGACCCCCTCCGTTACGCGACTGAGTTGGACGGCCGCCGCCGACGCCGCCGCCACCCGCACCAGCCGCCCCCGTTGCTGCGGACGTCAGCGGAGGCGACTGTGGTACACCCCAGGCCGCTGTAGCAGGCCCTGCTCTAGCCCTGCCGCCGCCGCCGCTGACGTGTTGTCCTCCCGCATCCTCACCCTTCTGCCGCTGCTGCTGCTGCTGCCTGACCGTGGCATCCGCTCTTCTCCGTCCTGAATCCTCGACTCCACTGCCGCCGCCACTGCCTCCTCCTCCTCGACAGCGGTGCTGCTGCTGCCGTACGACCGACCCTCCACCTCGTCCTCCATTGCAATCACCTCTCCCGCCGCAACCAACCTCACCGTTATCACTCCTCCTGGGCTGCCGACTCGTCCCAGCCCCGACACCACCACCACCATCACTTCGTCCATCACGTGCTGTTCCCGCCGCTGTAGTGCTTCCTCGCCCGCCACTGCAGCCGGCGCCGCCGCCGCCACCTAATCGTACGGCAGTTGTTCCGGTTGCTGTCGTACAGCCGTACGGCTCCACCTCATCTTGCTCGTCCACTTCTTGAACCATCATGGCAACAAACTCTGGGTAGCTGATGCGCCCGTCTGCGTCGCGGTCGACGCAGGAGAGCAGCGCCTGATGGGGGACGAGGAGAAGGAGAAGGAGAGGAACGGGTGAGGCCAGGGAGGAGTAGAGAAGGCAGCAATCCTGAAGTGACGGGAACCAGAGCCAACCTGCGGGTCACGGGCATGAACGCCGCTCCACTACACACACACGCACATGCACACGCGCTTGACGCGTGCACCATCGGATCTTGAGCCAAGGCATTACAGCTTCACCAAGACCCACCCGTATGTCCGGTCCCTCCCGATCCGCATGGTGGTGCGTCGCGAGCGCTGTCCGCAGCTCATCTGCCGTGATGAACCCCGACCCGTCCGCGTCAAAGTGCCTAAACGCCGCAGCCAGCGGGTTGCTGCTCCGCGGCGGCGTCACGCAGCCACTGCCGCTGCAGCGGGCCCCGCCCGGGCAGCTGGTGCGAGGGCTGGGAGCAGCACTGGGTCTGCTGCCGGAGGTACTGACCCGTGGGTCGCATGCGGCGCCGCGCGCTGCCGCCGCCGCCGAGTTGGCGGCTGCTAGCGCGGCTTGCGCCTGCCGAGCGATGGCGGCGGCGGGCAGTGCGGCCCCCAGGAACTCCGATTGGTCCAGCATGCCGTCACCGTCCAGATCGGATCTGGGAGGGAGGGAGGGGCGAGAGGAGGAGGTGGGAGGCCAGGGGAGACGGCACGTTGGCTAAGGAGGTTCTTGGAGGATGGGAGAATGTGGAGATCTAAGCATGCGGCAAAGGGTAGGATTTCGTCACAAACCTCACTGTACTAAGCCTACTCATTATCCCCAGCCCCACCCCCACCCACCTCTCCACCAGCTCCCGCAGCTCCTCCTCCCCAAGCGGAGCCACCACGGACCGCCCGCCGGGACCCCCCAGCCCTCCTCCTCCTCCTCCACCCGACCCTCCACCCGCCCCTGCGCCCGCCCTGCCGGCCCCCATGGCGGTCATCGAGTGGTGCTCCTGCCGCTCCAGGCCCTCCTGTGGACGGTTAAACAGAAAGGCGCACAAGGGGCGGTGCTGGACTTACGGAGCCATGCAACGCTGATGGCGCGTATATCGGTACACCGGTGCGTACCCTACTGACCGCCTTAGGGGCTACACGGCTCCCACAGCTGAGTTACCCCCCCCCCTCCCTCCATCACACGTCATCTGGGTGTCATGCCGCAACGGCTCGAGCTGCATCAACACCATACCGGGACATATCCCAACCACCCACCCTCCTCCCCTTCCCTTCACCTCCCTTCCCCTTCCTTTACCCTCTAACCAGGGCCTAACCAGGGCCCCTACCTTGAGCTCCTGCACACTCAGCTTCCCGTCACCGTCCGCGTCCAGCCCCTTGAACTGCGCCACCAGCCCCGCCACCTCCTCCGCCCGCATCAGCCCCGCCACCACACGCCGAGCCTCCTTCTGGAAGCTGTTCAGGCGCGCAAACCGGCGCAGCCGCTCCGAAACCACTCCCGGGAGGGGGCCGGTGGGGGCGGTGCAGGCGTCCGGGGTGCTGCCGAGCCAGGGCATGGAGAGCAGCTGGTCCGCTGTGGCACTGGGAGGAGGAGGGAGGAGGGGAGGGAAGAGCAGGGAGAGGAGGGAAAGGAAGGAAGGAGGTGATTAGTCACCCAAGTAAGCCTGCCGAAGTCAAGTAAGCCTGCCGAAGTAAGCCTGTATTTACCGGCTACCAGCATGGGGGGAGGCGCTGAGAATGCAACCAAAGCTAACAAGGAAGGTCAAGGAACAAACCAACAGCAGCAACACCCGACATGCGTGCTTGGCATGCCTTCCCTCAGCTTCCCCTCCCCTGTCTCTCCCTCCCTCTCACCGTGTGGTGGGGTTGCGGTCCATCATGGCCCTCAGCACCGCCACCGCATCTCGACTCACAGAGGTCCAAACAGGGTCGGAACAAAAGTCAATTTGGCCCTGAGGGAGAGGTGGCGTGACCGGGTGGAAGGGCGGGGCGGGCGGTCGGCGGTGGGATGAAGAGGGGGGAATGACGAAAAGAGGCGACCCATGGGTCACTTGAAGCAGGGCGCATCCACATCGCACACCCTTTAGGCACGTGTCACCTAAATAAGGAAAACCGTCGCACACCCTTGCCTCTTACCGACTGCACGGCTCGCAATATTTCTTGGTCGTTCCGTCCGTCAAAGGGCGCATAACCCGTCTGCATGTCCGCAAAAGAGGGGCAGGAGAAAGAACACGAGGAAACAAAGAGAGCGAAACTCAGTAGCGGGCCAACAGCGCAGGCCCCATGATGAACAGGGCAGGTCGGGGCGCAGCGGCGGGTTATAGCCCTTCATCACCACCGTGCATCTCAGCTTCCCATGCAACAAACCCCCTCCACATCAATCGCCTCCAAATAGAGCCCCAGCGTTCCTCCCCTCGCTGGGCCTGCCCACACCTCCCATCCCTACAAAGCCCCCTCCTCCCCATTGCTTTGCCCTAACCTGTGGCTCTGGTACATCTCTGACCCCCTCCCTATCCCCCTCCTCTCCCCCTCCCCCTACCAGCAGGATGTGCAGTATGACCCCGGCCGACCACACGTCAGCCGAGCGGCCGTAGCAGCGGTTGAGCACCTCAGGGGCCACATAGTACGAGGTGCCCACCGTCTCCGACATGGGCACCGAGTCTGTGGGGCGGGAGAGAGGTGGGGGGAGATTAGATAGACTGAGCCGCGGAATGCCTGAATGAGGTGGGGTAAAAAGAGGTGAACAGGTGCACTGAGGGTGGATTGGGCGAGGTTGCTGACATCATGAGGTGTAAGGAGCCATCTCAAAACTGCATTGTAGGAAGGGCCAGGATTGGCTGCAACCATGCAGACATGGCTTCAACGCAGCTAATACCCTGCAACCCAGGGCCAAGCCCCAACACAGCCCTAACCCTCCAGCACTAACACGCCGGTAAACCGCCCCGGCTGTTCCCGTCCCGGCTGCTCTTTCTGCTCCACTCACCCACCCACCCACTCACCGTTGCAAAACACAGACAGTCCAAAGTCAATGAGCTTCAGCCTCGGACCCACCGCCTCCCGCCCACTGGCGGCAGTGGCAGCAGCAGATGCCCCTGCTGCTGCCCCTGCTGCTGCCCCTGCCGCAGCCCCGGGCGGTGGCGGTGCCGTGAGCATGAAGTTTTCCGGCTTGATGTCCTACACAGCCGGAGGTGAGGTGGCGGGAAGCGGATGTGGGTCAGAATTGGGTGTTGGGGCCAGAAGAGTACCGCGAGGGGAGGGAAGGGGGCGGGTGCGGAGGACACATGGGCCCAGCGGAGGACAACAGGGGTGCGAGAGAGGCAACCCCTACTCCACGCCCCGCCCTACCATCCTATCCGCTCCGCCCTAACCCACCCCTACCCGCCTACCCACCCCGCTCTACCACCCTCCATCCCCTCACCCGGTGTGCTACCCCCATGGCATGGCAGTAGGAGATGGCGGTGAGGACGGTGCGCATCACGTCCGCCGCCGCCCGCTCGCTGTGCCGCCCCACACTGATGATGGCGTCAAACAGGTCGCCACCCTGAGGCAGGGGGAGGGAAAGGATTGCACACGCTTGCAGTTGGAGAAACAGGACAGGACAGGTACCGGCATGGACGACCGTACATGGAAAGGGGAGGGAGGGGATTGCACACGCTTGCTGTGGAATGCGGTTGGGCGTCCCCCAGCGGCATCTTTGACCCCCACTCCACCCAACCTGGTACCGCAACGCATTGGCAATTCTCCTTTTCCCCCACCTGGTATAGCTCCATGACCAGGTGCAGCTGCCCCGGCTCCTCGTGCACCCCCAGCAGCTGCGATATGTGCGGGTGGCCGCTCAGGTGGTGCAGGATCTCCACCTCCCGCCGCAGCGAGCTCACCTCCTCAGTGCCCAGAAGGGACTTGCGGATGGTCTTCACGGCCACTCGGGCGCCCGAAGCCAGGTGCGTGGCGGCGCGGACCTGGCGAGAGAGGGAGAGAGGGAGAGGGAAAGGAGGGAAAGAGGTGTAAGTTTTACAAGGTTTAAGAACATTCGATATCGAAGAGGGGAGGGGGCGTGCTGGAGAGGAAAAGGAAGGAAGGCGAGGGGTTTCTGTTCAAGTTTTCCAGCCCCTTGTTGGAGATGGCAGGTTGGGAAAGTGAGTGTGACCCATACAGGTACATCCCTCAACAGCGGCACACAAACACATCCTTGAGCCTGCTTACCACTCCAAAGCTACCCTTGCCTAGAACCTTCCCAAGCGCGTACACGCTCTCCACGGGCGGAGTGGGTCGGATCACCCAGTGTGTCACGTCGGGAGACGAGCTGCCGCCGCCGGCCGCCACTGCGGCGGCAGCAGCCGCTGCATGCTGCTGTTGCTGTTGCGTCGGCGGCGCCGCTGCCAGTGGCGGTTGTTGCTGCAACGACGGAGGCGGAGTGGGTGGAGTAGGAGCCGAGGATCGCTGCTCCTCCGCCGCTGCGGCGACAGCGGCGGCCGTAGCCGCCGCTGCAGCGGTGGCAGACGCCGTGGCTGCTGTTGCAGCATTGGCGGCGGCCGCCGCTGCCGCCGCAGGTGTAGGCCTGTTGTTGCCAGTCCGGCTGCTGCTGCCACCTATGGATGTCCGATTGCGCCTGCCGCCGCCGCTGCCGCTGGCATCCCATGCCGCAATTGCAGTCCCCGCCCCGGCGCGCAGACTGCCGGCACGCGACGCGACTTCGGGGCCCCATGCGCTGGCGGCCCCGCCGGTAGGGCTGGAGAGGCCCGCGGCTTCGGCGGCCGAAGCCGTGACGGAGCAGCTGGTACGGACGGTGCATGCAGCGTCGTACAAGCTTTCCGACGTGGCCTGGCGACCCACATGGAAGCTCTGGACGCAGCTATCGGCGGTGCCCGGGATGGAATCCGCCCTGCTTATTGCGCCTGTCGTGTAGCGGTTGCCGGCAGGCTGTTGGGAGGCTGATGGGAGTTCAAGCCAAGCTGACAGTCCGTTGAGGTTTGGATGGGTAGCGGCGGCAGCACCAATGGTAACGCCAGGTTGTGAGGCACCGGTGGGACTTTGGCGGGCCCCGCGATTGACGTGACCGTTGTACGTTATGTTATCTGACGCGTCTGTGTCTGATCCTCCATTGTTATCTTGACTGCTGCGCAGACGGTAGCTCTCCTGTCGTCTGCGGCTCCGGCTTAGGCTCATACGGAGGTTACGAGCAGACGCCTGCCAAGCAGTCTTGGCCGCCGTGCGAAGTTGGGAGCCTGCCCGGGCAGTAACTGCTGAAGGACCGTGGTGCGGCTTGCATGTCAGTGAGGCCGCGGAGTCATTAGGAGCAGGCTCGTGGTCTTCGGATGCCATTACATGCTGTCCACCGACTGCGCTTTTAGTAACGCAGCCGCCCATGATCGCTTAGACCAGACAAGGACGTGGAAAGCAAATGGCGTCAGAGCAACGAAGTGGATAGCCAGACGTTTACGCCCTAAACGTTGAGTGGCGAGGACCTCCAATGCGCTAAGCAGACTAAACGATTTTGTATGGCACGCTAATTAATCCTAGCTCACAAATGTCTAGCAAAACGCATTGGAATAAGCAGGTCGACACCGCTCTACTGGCGGTGATATGACATTCTGACACCCAGGAAAGCGGTAACTTGCAATGCTCCCATGTAAGTTACACATCTAGTCTGAGGAAAACGTATAAGGGAGCGAACACTGCTGGGCACAAGAGATATTAGTATTTGTCGAAAACGGAAGTTGCGTTGTGTTGCAACGGTCTAAGCGGTTCAATACCTATGGCAAAAGAACGTACATAGCGGTCATAGGTTTTGTAGTGAGCAGTGCTACCGATGGCGCCTTCCGGTTCGCTTCATACAGTACGGTCACCCGCGTACGAGTGCACTGCAAACAAGTTACCGCCCCTGTTACAAACAATGGTTACTGTCGCTTTGCTCTAAATGATAGTTCCAAGCAATTGCGCATACCTGTGCAACCCGGGCCATCCTAATTTGAGGCTAGCCGTTTTAGCCTCGGTGGTGTTGCTGGAATATATCTTTCAAGATAACCGTGTCATCAATTCATGGGGAATAGCTCACTGAACTTTATTGCCTTGGGGAGGGGTTAAACGAAAACGTTTTCACTGTGTAGCAGTACTATCCGAGCCTACCGTTAAATACTAGCTGTATAATACCACTTCTGTCAACAAAACTTTTCAGTTGGTGTATTAATTGCTTTCTAATTTTGCGGCAGGCTTCAAAGCCGCATCCATTTCTGTGACGCATCCAAGCAAACCCGAAGCCCGGAAGAGACATGCCATCATGTAGCAGTTGGCTACCGAAACACATACAGAGTGCCTTACACGAGGCCAAGCCCAAGCAACATTGCCCGCAAGTGTGCCAGCTTTATTGCTGAGAGGCCAATTGCCCACCGCGTCGCCGAAGGTCAAGGAACATCACCACCACCACCTTTAAGAAGCAAGCCATGAATGCCCAGTAACCTCCAGCCAGCCAGAGTCCTTGCGGTGTAGGCGACCCTGCTCCGTAGTAGACGGCATACGCTTGCCTGATAATGGACACATGTTGTGGACCTGTCCTGCGTCTGCCCCTATTGTACCGGTGTTGACTGCCGCGCCATGCCACCACGCCCTCCGCCTGGCCCGATAGCCATTGCAGCTATCATACTAGCGGAGACCTTGTGGCGCACAACCTCACCGCGTGCTACTGCTACTCCACATGGAGCTACCCCGCATAATGGCGCCCCGTGGGCCCTTAAGTGTATGACGCACTGCACTGTGCGTGCAGAAACAGAGTGTACCCACACCCGATGCTTGAAGCACGCGGCACGCCGCGCGCATGTAAACGCATACCGAGGTAAAACCAGACGCACGTCAAGTCCTGTCGACAGAATGTTCGCAATGTTGGTAATAATGCTAGAGGTCGAGCTCGAAGCCAAACGTGCCTGAACACAGCTGCGACTGTTTGGACCTAGTCACTCGAAATTGAAAAAAAACTCGCCCAAACATGCACACCTAGACATTGCGGCGAGCATGCCAGCTTGCTCTCTAGCTCGCTCGCCCTATCCGTGTACCTCACCCTGTCTGCTATCATTTACATCGTGCTCCCAACACGGCTATGCCACCCCCTTTCAGCCACCAAGCGCATTGCATGCACTCGCTGTTCGGTGGCGCATGCGCGCGCCCTCCCATCCGACCGGAAAACGCACAAGGAGTGCTCAGTGTACGATCCCGAGCACACGCTCCAGCTTGGCCTTCACCTCGGCCACCATGAACCACGCCACGGTGGAGGCCCGGTAATACTCGTAGTCGTGCGCCGTTTGCGGGTAGATAAGCGTGAGGGCGGTCTTTACTTGCTCCATCTTGACACCGGCCTGTGGGAAGCGAGCAATTTGCATTTATACTAAGGTAGAGACAAGGGTCCATGGGTCAACGTCACAGTTTGTGAACCAAGAAATAGCAAGAGACAAAGCGTAGTGACGCTCGGCTGGCGGGCGATGCGGCTGACCGTCAATGCTGGTACGGTAGGCTGTTGGCTAACGAAAATAGTACGGATGTGAACGTAGAGCTTGTCCAACAAACCGCGGAAGACAGCACATGCACCATTGCCCCCCACTTCGCTATGCACCGCACCTGCATCCAGCGCTTGAGCAGCTGCGGGCGGGGCACGCAGAAGCCGCAGCGGATGCCGTTCTCGATGGCGTGGTTGCAGAGGGCGTACAGCAGACCGATGGACATGTTGAGGCGGTCAACGCTGCTCCACGTGATCGTGTTGTCCTTCGACGCCTCTGCAAACATGGCAACACACGGCGACCAGCAAGTTGTGTTTAGTGTGCGCCGCTGGTGATGCTGAGAGTGCGCCGACAAGGCACAGACATACAACAACAACTACATATCGCAAATAGAACGCAAGAACTAGCCCATGCATAAATGCGATCATGCTTACCCGCCGCCGCCAAAGCCTGCTCCTCCGTGAGGCCATCGGCCAGCATGGGCCGCACGCTGGTGTGCGGGATCTGCAGACCCCACAGCTCAATCCGCTCGTCCACACCGTAATACCTGTAACCGTGTTGCATTGGAAAAGAGTGAGCAAGTGCCGGTGGATTGCAAGGCCACCACTGCTGAAAGACTGGCCTCAGCCATCATCCCCGAAACGCCCGCTCAAGCTATTGGTCCCGCCCCTCCGGGTCTCCATCTCGTTACTCCTCCTCGAGTACTCACCGCAGCTCCTCTGGGTCCTCAAAGTCGAAGATGCAGGACGCAATCATGTTGGTGCCGAAGGTGGCCATGAGGCAGCCCACTGCAGGGCCAACTGCGTCCTTCATAGTCGCCTCGCCCGTCGCAACGTTCAGTAGCGCGGCGGCCATGTCACGGCCAGGGTTGACCTGCGATTGCATTTTGAAGAGGCGGCAAGGGTAAACAAAAGTGGCAACAGAGCCACACCAGATTCCGGTGTGCATGAGGACGTCCCGTCGGGTCCAGCCAATGGCCCTGTCGCACCTCAAGGCGAGCTAGTAGGTAGGTCATCTTGTCTGAGGCGGGTAGCGGCGTGTTCTCCGGGAGGAGGCTAATGACGTCCTTGAAGTCCTCCTTGGTGCACGCTTTGAACACCGCCAATGTGTCGTGTTGGTTAACCTGGGCAGGGAAGAAACGTGCCGTTAGCTTGCCAAGGGGCATCACCAGTACCCGCCATGCTATACCAAAAGTGCTCATGATTTACGCACTGAATGTAGAAAAATTAATAGAGATTTGCCTATGTAAGCAACTGGCTCGGCCGTACCTTGAAACGCGCCAGCAACTTGGGCACTTCACCCTCATCCAACAAATCGTAACCACCGGCGCCATCATCCGCGCCCACCCCGTCGTCGGCGCTCGCGGCTTCAGCGTTAACGCCAGCGTCACCCGTGCCCTCGCGTTCAAGCTCCGTAAGCGACGCCTCGCTGCCGCCAGCTGCTGCTCGCCCTGGTCCGCCGCCTACATAGTGAGCGACATGCACAACGGCCCAGGGCGAACTATGGGGTCACAGAGAGGCGTGCAACTACCAATGCCGTTGGCTGGTACAGCTGCATTCCTCGTAAGCAAAAAGCGCTGTTGGTATCCAGGTCACAACGCCTAAGCCGACGGGCTGGGGGTTTATAAACCCTACACTCCGCTGAGTTGGGCTACATGCCCCGACGCTCCAATACAAGCACGAGTTCTGCGCACCTGCTTTCTGAGCCCGTCGGAACTTAGACTTTGCAATCGCAGCTGCGGCCGCGCCTCCTTCACCGCTTGCGTCGTCGGCAAACATGGATTCGCCGCCGTCGTCTCTCCGGGCTTCCGACGTGCGCTCCTCGTCGGCGAACATGGACTCGTCTCCACCCTCTCCTCCCACGAAGTCCTCGGTGACCACGTCGCCCTCCCCGTCTTCCCCGCCCTGCGCAGCCAGCAGCAGCAGTATGTTATGCATAGTGCGTCATGAGTAAAGCAATCAAGAGGGGAGGCCAACAACCCCATGCGCCAAAAGGGCCCCTCCTACTAACGGCTGTTCGCTTCATCAGGCTACACCTACCACAAAGAAGTCGTCTGTGCCGCCGTACTCGCTTTCCGCATTTCCGGTAGCGCCCTCGGCCCCGGCGCCCGCCTCTTGCGAGGCAAGCCATGCTGCAAAGCTGGACTTCCCCACAGACTTGGCAGTAGATGCAGTTGGCCGCGGACCTGCGGATAATTAGGCACAAAACGGATGGCTAGTTCAGTGCTAAGGATAACGAAAAGCACCCGCAGGACTTAGGGCGGCAGGCATTCATTGAGTCGCCGACACATGCTGGGGGAACTTGGGCACTTACGTGAAGGCGTGCTCGGTCCGTCATCCGCGGTAACCGCAGTGCCGCGGCCGCGACTGCTGGATGGCCGGTGCGGTTGCCGCCGAGCGGAGCCGGGCCCTGCAGAGCTGGTTACTCCGGCAAGACCGTCTACCGAGGAGGCGACCGCGCTCAGGCGCAGCCGCGTACCGAACCCCTTCAACAGCTCGTCCCCAATGACCTGCGGAAGCGAAACACAGGTAGCACATCAACGTTGTAATGATGTGCACATGTGCCCCACTTGCGCTGACGGGTTGCAAGGCAATCCGTAACCTTGCTATGCACAGAATCCAATCCCATGGCAGGCTTTTCATATCGGAACGTCCGCCATTTCGCTTAATGGGTGTTGACCTATCAAGGCGATACCTCCAATCTCGTCGCCAACACAGAGACAGATTAATGAGTATTACATGCAGCCAACGCACCTGATCCGTCGGGATGCTAGCAGCCGCGCCACCCGCCAACCTCCGCCGAAGCTCGTCGTACTGCGTGGCACGTAACCGCTGGAAGCCCTTTGCTTTCATCTGCTCCTCGCGCAGCGCTGCTAGGGCCGCCGTGCGCTTGGCCTCCTTCTCGCGCCGCTCACGCTCACGCCGCTCCCGGACCTCCTTCAGGCGCTCGTGATCTTCCAACAACGCCTACACGCAGGACGCCGTCCAGATTTACGATATGTTACCAGAAGAGCATGATTGTAGCTTTCAAGGATTTGCGTCCCTATCTGCAAATCATCCAGCATTGAATGTCAGCAGGTCATCATGTCGAAAGCCTATACCGACCTGCAGCTGCATCATGCCAAGCGTGCAGCCCATGCCGGCCGTGGGGATCACAGGTAGCAAGTCCTCCTCCAGCGTCGTGAACCTGTCAGGAATGGCCACATCGTCGATAGCTGCGCGCTAGCGAGCTAATAGAAGCAATAAGGTCCCGCCGCAACCACACGGCTGCTTCGCAGTTAGGGGACATGCATGTCCTGCATTCCTGCTCACCTGTTCGGCAACGGCTGGTTCTTAATTTTGCAGGCTCGGTTTGCGTATTTAAGGGTGTTGTTGGTTTCCTCGAAGTCTGACTCCGAGGGGCTAATGCAGCTGATGAGGACCGTCAAGCTGTTGCCTCCGAGCGAGTCCTGTTGGGGACAATGGGAGAGTGCACAGGCAGGTTGAACAATCAGCCACCCAAGGCATCAGGGCGCATGCTACTGAACATGGCTACCCATGCAGAGAGTCCGGACCTCTTCCTTAAGCGGCTAATTTCACAACTTTTCCACGTCGATCCCCGCCCTTCCCAGCCAGCGGACCTGCAGCAGGCGCGTTAGCTTGGAGTCGCGGTACGGTACGTGTGTCGCCTTCTTCTTTTCCGCTTTCCCGTCCTTGCCGCCGCCGCTGGTGGTGTCGTCGCCCGCCAAAGCCACAATGACGTTGCCGAGAGCCAACAGTCCGCTGCAAGACAGGAAACGAACATCGTAAGTACGAGGTCTATGGTGCCGGAGGCCATACGGAACCGGCTAGGGGTGCTAAACTTCCTTAAAAGGCAGCCTCACATGGAGTTGGCAGAAGAGGCACCACGACCCACATGGGCACCTGGATTTATTATAACCCCTCGAGGAAGTGGGACAGGAAATCAACAGGACAAGGAACTTTCCTCTGACGACGCGCAACCCACCTGTTGATGTGTGTTGCCTCCTTCAGCTCCTTGCCGGTTACGCCCGAGCGCTTAACGCGCTCGCTACCCGCTAGATCTACAAGATGCAGCTTGCTGCTAAACTCGCTCGTGCGGACCTGCAGCAGGGCATAGCTCAACGTCAGCAGTGGCTCAGGCCTGTGTGGTACAACTTCATGCCATGCATCCATGCATGGCATCCCTGTGCGGCTTCGCAAAGTTATTCCTCGCTGGACCGTCCAATCCATTTAAGACGCACCTTGGCCTTGAGGTCCGAGCCCAGCTCGTTCAGCACCTCCACGACGGTGCGCTGGATGGTGATAGTGAAGATGGCATGCGAGCGTGACGACCTACATTGGCCGCAAGGGCAACGGTGTGCTGGGCTGGCGATGGAAAGGCAAGTCCAACGCGCTGATGCCACGGACAGCACCTAAGGCGCTGGCAGGGAAACTGCTAGAAGGGGCATGCCGATCTGGCAGTACGGACGTGGCCGTAAGGAGAGGCACCCGTTGCGTTGATCCAACAGCTCTTCCCCCCTCCCATCCCTTGCCTGTCGTTTAATTTCGTCGACGACGTGGATCGGTTGTCCATGCACAGGTTAAAGAAGTTCAGCAGCTCGTCCACGCCGCTAACCACCCGTTCCGTCACGCCAATTACCTGTTATGAAACCAGATGTCCCTTATGTCAGCAACGTGTGCTCATGGCTTGAATCCTTGAGGCCCATCTAAGGAACATTATAAGGAACATTATAATTACTTGAACATGATGAGATGGGCCTCAAGGATTCAAGCCATGAGCACACAGCAACGTGTGCTCATGGCTTGAATCCTTGAGGCCCATCTCATCATGTTCAAGTAATTATAATGTTCCTTAGCCCGTCACATACCGAAGCAAAGCCCAGGACGGCTGGTATCTACACGCTCTTACCTCCGGGACCACTCGCCCATCCTTGCCAACCGGCCGCTCCTGCAGCTTCAGCGTCGAGCCGCACCCACCCTTCCCATCCCAGCCTTTCGCCGTTTCATCCCGACCACCCGCTAAGGCAAGGTCACGCAAGTCCTCGTTATACAGCTCCAGGCCGTACGCCGATACCTGTCCAAGGGGCACGCCGACTGCAGTTAGCGCTGAACCCTGGGGTAGGGCTGGTGGTACACCAATATATACGGCCTTCCCTTGAGGAGCTACGATGCCACGGTCACATCCCCCCGCACCTGCGTCTTCTCGCCCGGCTTCTCCTTCTTCCGGATTGCCTCGGCGAGGGCAAAGATGTGGCGGATTACCCGCGGGGTAACACCTGGACAACGCATTAGAAGGGGCTATGAAACACACGATACATCAATCTCTCTAAAAACGAGTTAACCTACCCTCCTCTACAACGCCGTGAATGCCCTGACCTCCAGCCATCGTATGCGTCTTTCCAGAGCCCGTTTGGCCATATGCAAGCACGGTCGCGTTATAGCCCTGTGCGTATAAACAGAGAGTACAGTTTTTTTGCTGTTGTATTGAGGAAAGATCAAGGGTAGTTGCATTCTACGGCCACCTTGAATACTGCCTCGACCAGCTGGGCGACGCAGTCGTCATAAATGGCGTCAGATGTGATATCCTGGCCATATCGCCTGTCAAAAGCATAACCCTTTGCAGTCGCGCCTCTGAGCTGCAGTAGCGTGTTCTTGTCCACGGCCTGCAGCAGTGCATGCGGTCAAGCAAAGAGCTGGGGACCCAAACACAGCCCTCCTGCGTACCAATTCTTACCGAGAGGACGACTTGCTTGGTCTCCTCGTCAAAGCTCACGCAGGCGCGCAATCCCTCATCACGCTCTCGGGGGTTCAGGGGTCGCACCTAGAGTACAGACCAAATACAAAGTCTTTCAACCCACCCAGCTATTCCATGACCTCCTTCAGATATAAAGAAAAAGAATAGTCTGCTAGGAATTGCTGATACCTACGTACCCGCACACAGACTTGTATCGCCGAAGAGGGCTCGCTCCCATCCTGCTCTGCCATAGGCGCGCCGCCTAGCCAGCCCTAAGACAGCAGCACGCCTCTAAATATATATGCCGGGATAGTAGGTACCTCTACGCAACTAGGCCCCAGGTGTGTGAGCGATCAGCCGCTTAAGTCAAGTGTTTAATTTCTAAACAAGAACGGAACTAACAGTAACAGGCTAAAGTTTCAAGGTAAGATAGATGAGCAACATTAGCAGGTTCTGCACGTTGAGGCATGGTCTTGGGAAGAACTTTGCGTTGTACGGCATAGAAGAAATCACATTTAAGCACTTTGCCTCAGATCATGAAGCGAAAATGTTGTTACGTTATGTTGCTAACTTTTGCTGCATTATAGACTGAAAAGACGACAAGCCTGCTGACCCAAGGGCCTTCGCACATGAGCAGCCAAGTATCAGCAAAGCGTGGTATTGTGTTCAGGAAAAGTCCAGGCTTTAGGCTCTAAGCCCTGAGTAGCCGCTCCAGACACATGGTGTGCATTCCTGGTATACAGGCGGTAAGCCTGGAAAAGGGGAAGCCGAACAGCCGGAGCGCGAATTTTGTCTTGTCGCAGTTAAGCTTGCCTCAGTGTCAAACACTATTTCATCCTGGTATAGGTCATCGGGGCTATGCATCCAGGCAACATCAGGCGGGATTCACAGGCAGGGGCGTCGCGTGTACCTCAATGTGACATCCCCAGGGCCCATGCAAGGGGGCCTGACAAATACGTCATGCCCGGTGCCGTGATGCAGCAACATGCAACGTGGGTGCATCTATTGGTGCATCATACATGTCCTTATCGTGTATGGCGTACCCTTGCCAAGCATAGCAACAACCGGATTAAATTGACAGCTGTTGCCTCCCAAGGCCGGACGTAGTGTGTTATCCACCATCCAATACCATACAATCCCCCATTCAGCTGCACCGATTGCGCATTGGCTGTGCCCCTTGCGATACGCATGCTGCCTACTCCAGGAAGTCTACTGTTTGCTCTTTTAGGGCTGAGACATTGCCGTACCCAACACATTTCTGGCCGTAACTGGCATTCAGGTAGCTGGCATGGAACATCTCATGCTTCAGATTGCGCCGACGCCAAAGATCCCCAAAGCGAACCAACGTAATGTCGCTTTCCTGCCAAGGGCGTAATGATGCCCACATGTGCACTTACGGCCCAGAAGTTCCAGATGGTAGGCTTGCCAAGTACGTATGCTATGTATGGAAAGTGACCCATGGGGCTGTGCATACGGCTTTAAACTAGCAATCCCAGCGAAGCATGCAAAAGCACCATATTTCCCGCCCTGGCATGACCTGGAGCCTAGGATTCCTTTGTCTTGAATGTACGATATGTACTTTCCCATTCTATGGCCCATGAGTGACGGTACTTGCCTCAACAGTCAACACACATTACCCGGAACTCGGTGTAGTGGATGTCAGCTGGTGGCAGCTGAGGCGTCTATTTTCTTGCATAGAGATGCGTACATGCCCAGCACACCGTGCGCATACGTCTTACGTAACATATGTATACGTTCGTACGGCTGTTTGGAGGTGGAGGAGTGGGGCAGCGTTTGGAAAAAACAGAGGCCGCGGAAGTAGGGAGCTGGGAGCTCAAGTTCGGGGATGAGAGGGAACGAGGCCGATGGGCAACAGGTGGCTGGTGGAGGGTGGCTGGCGACAGGTAGGGAGAGGCTGGAAGCGGGGCGCCTGGAGGTTTGGCAAGCAGTGAAGCGACAACTGGGTATGGAAGGTGGAGGTGAAAAGGTGCAAGCACTTACGACTGCACATGCAACTGTCCATACCTTATGGCCTACAACGTAACGGACCATGCCGCGATACAACCTATCCCCGGACTTTACAAATACTCCCCGTGTGTAGATGTGATCACCACTCATACAAGACGTGTCCCACTCACATGCCGGGTTGTACTGCATGCTCCGCCATTATAACCTTCTTCCTCTACCGATACTCCATCCTATGGACACTGCCAATGTCTAATAGAACGAAACTATTATAGTCCGCTTCAAAATCGCGAGTTGTGCTTGACAGCTCCGTTGGTTCATTTGGGCCATGTTAACGACTGCTTCTGTATGTGCAATGAATTTCCTTGGCCTTGTTCGATTTAAGCATAAGGAGCAGGTATCACATGGGTACTTTTCTTCGCACACCAGTCACTTCTGAACAACACCCAAACGCCAAAGGGTCCGCGAGCTTGTCAAATCGATGGGACTCAGTACACGTACAAGCAGACAGGGCCTGACAGGGCAAGAATGCATACACCCAGACATGTGCATGGATAGGAAAGAAGGTGTCTCCAGCATCTAGGCGCTCATGTGCCGTACCAGCCAATTCTGGAGCTTTCGCCATAGCGCGCTTGCTGATTCCGATGGCAAAAACGATCATCACTGTTTACAAGTCTCACACCTGCTCCGTTTAAAGCAACCTTACCGTGAACTTTAGAAGTTTGCTAGGCAGGGCTGTCTCCAAAATGTTTGGACGTGGAGGGCCGTTTGGCGGCATGTTTGGTGGCGATCCCTTCATGTCAGACCCATTCTCGCAAATGGACCGTATGATTAACTCGATGTTCGCGGACCCATTGTTCGGGAATCCGCTCGGTGTTGGTCTCCGCCCACCTGGGACGCACATCCAGCAGCAATCCCATCAACAGAGGGTACATTACTTTGCTTAGCAGCAATTTTTGGGACTATTGGTGTTGGCTAAGCAGGCCTGAACTGTACAAAACGCAGGCGCGGCAGCCTGTTATAGAGGAAGTGGATGACGACGGGCAGCCTGTTAGGGCGACAGCAAATCAGGATGAGCCTATTGTCGAGGAGCCAGATGATGGTGGGTTTCAACTTTGGGTTGCCTGACAGGGCATGGGCTGTCGTGGGCTAGCTCGCAACATTGAGTGTAGGGCATGCATTACCTGGATGCCAATGCATATACTATCACATCAACACCTTGCTTTATGCGGTGCAACATCTGGCCTGTTTTATTCGTATCCCTACAAGCGTGTTGTTGCCCTCATTCGTGCCTTGCTTTCATGGAATCTTGCCGTGCTGCCGCTGCTGCTCCCTGCTTCAAGTCCCTGCTGCCGCCAAGGGTAAGCCTACCCGGCCCTGCGTAGATATACAAGGGTTGCTCATTGCTTATCCTAGCCCTGCGCATCTGTGCCCTCCGCTCTTCCTCACCTTTTTCTCCCTGCTGCCTGCCGTCTGTTCCCTACGTACGCGATTACACAGAGGGCTCACCGCCGCAAAGCCGCGCAGCTCAGCGACCTCGGCGACACAGTCCACCACGCGCCTCCTCAACCCACGTCCAGGGCTCCTTAGGTAGGTCCTGGGCTTTTGGAACCCCCCTACCGGCACGGGTCTGCTACCACAGGCCACGGGCTCCGCAGCGTGTAGAAACACAGTGCAAGCCCCGCCGCGGGTCCGCGTGCCCTCCCGCATCCTGCCGGCACCCCACAACCCGGGAGGGCTCCAGCTGTGACTGGATTCGGAATCCTGTGACCTGGTGCGTCAGCCGTGCCTCCATCCAGCCTCGCGATTATGCAGACGTGCTCGCGCCTCATTAGGCATCCTGGCTTTGTTGTTCCTTCCCCTCCTGTCCCTCCTGCTGCTGCCAGATCCCTTTGGACAGCTCTTCGGCGCTCTGACGGGTGGCGCGGCTGCCGGTGGCGGCAACTCCTCCTTCGTGTTCAGCAGCAGCAGTTTCAGCTCGCTGGGACCTGGCGGCGTGTCGTACCAGACAACCACCTCCACGCGAGTGGGGCCGGGCGGGGTGAGTTGGCGCCGCAGGGGGCTGCCCTTCACGGCACGTGGCGACGTGGGGGCAGGCGGCAAATGAGGGCACACTAGGTTGCGCAGGGGAGGGGCCCCGGTGAGCTAGTCGGCTTATGTGCCGGCTTGCGAGAAGCTGCTACGAAAAAAATGCAAACGCTCCCTGAAGCTCCGAACACGAAAGCTGTAAGCCTTGCAGGCAGCCCTTCCTTTCCCTTCCCTTTCTGATGCATCAGCAATCCTACCAATCCTACCAATAACGTCACCTACCGCCTCCCTGAACCTTGTGGGGCAGGTTCGCGAGACGCAGTCGGTGGTCCGCGACGGCCGCAGCGGCACGGAGGCGGTGACCATCAGCCGGGGCCTGGGGGACGGGCGGCAGCGCACGCTGGTGCGCACCCGGGACGCCATCACGGGCCGGGAGGAGCAGGTGGAGGACCTGCAGGGCATCACGGCGGTGAGCGGGGAGTGCAGGCGGAACATGGGGAGGGTTGGGGATGGGCGACAAGGGCGAGCAGGGGTGGGAAAAGGGGTTGGGAGTGAGAGGTTGGGAAAGGGGCGTTTGCGAGCTGGCGGCTTCAATCCATATCCGGATTGTCATTACAATCGGATGGTCATTACAGTCGGAGTTCGCTATATATGGATCGTCATTGTAGGAGGTCTTAACTCTGATCCATGACCGATGTATCATGTATGCCTACCGTTGTTGTGCCGTGCCGCTTTGTCGTACCGTGACAGGACGAGGCCGACGTGTTCGACGACCAGTGGCGTCAGCACGCGGAGCGCAACCTGCCGGGCAGCGGCGCGTTCGGAGCCGTGGCGGGCCGGCTTGGGGCTGGTCCTGGTGCCGGCGGCAGCCGCAGTCAGCGAACGCTTGCGCTGCCGAGCACCGCGGGCGGTGGCGGCATCAGCGGCCATCACAGCGCGGCGGCGATGCCGTCAGCTTCGCTGTACGACAGCGCACCAGCGGCGCCGTCGTCTCACCAGGCGCAACCTGGTGTTGGCTACGGCAGGCGACACAGCAGCAGCACGGGTGCTTATTTCCCGCCTTCTAGCGGCGGTCTAGGTAGTAGCGGGCCCGCGGGGGCGGGTGTGTACGGCGGCGGCACCGTGGCCACTGGAGGCGGCAGCGGAGGGCAGGGCTCGTACACGGGGCATGGCCCAGGGACGCCGCAGTATGGCAGTCGCCGGTTTAGCGGTGCTGGCCAGAATTCGGGCTACTACTCACCTAGGCAGCAGCAACAGCAGCAACATCAGCAGCAGCAACAGCAGCAGCAGCAGCAGCAGGGGGCGGGGGTTGGGTCGGGCAGGAGTGGCATGTATGGGGGCAGTAGCTACGCTGGTGGTGGCCAAACACAGCCGCGGTATCACTACTAAGGGTGTGCATCGAAGGTTACTGGGGCTGGTAGGGAGGCGGCGGTTTCGGGGCTGGGCGTTCGTCTAGGGGCATTCCGCATGACGGGTTTGTAACCATGGCTAGACGGCATTGGGTGTTGCCAGGAGTAGCGCGTGTGATGACCTATGTTGGCGTGGGTTTGTGTTATGCTTAATTTGGAATCCTATAACACGCGATTTAAGGTTTGGCAGTCCACTGCCTCTATTCACACGTTATTTCAGGCTAGGGCGAAGGTAGTAGTAGTCATTGTACCGGTGTGGGCTGAAAGCGCCTCAACGGCAAGCATGTGTTCCCGTTTTGGAACATTTCGTTAAAAGTGGCTTCCGCGCATCCTGTCTTCTTTAGTGTTTAGACCGATTGTTCGATTGAGGAGTTATCTATGCACGCAGGATGGCATGTCGTGACGCGGAAATGTATGAGGGTGGTACAGGGTGGTACGAACATTTCAAAAATGCGGGGCAGTGGCTTAAGAGCAGCCCAGTGCTCAATGTGCGAACGAACCTATGTAACATACCGGAGGGGATGGCTTAGCAGGTAGCGTGGACCCAAGGTTGTTCTGCAGCGCCGCATTAGGGACATGTGATGGACTGGCTATGTTGACACCATCCTTCCCTTCGCACCATACACGCCCATCCGTAATACCGACATGTCATGCACCTCATGCTTCTATGGCTCGATATCCATGCCGCCACTCCCTGCAGTTATTAGGACTTCGTATGAGATCGCTGATGATGATTGGGTACCACCACGGCACCCGCATGGCATTCCATGGCGTTCCTAAGTGTTTAGTGACAGTAGCACATCTCGTTACTCACATGCACCACTACACATGCACGCTCTCCACGACACCCTCCGGCGAGCCATTAACAGAAAGGGCCGCAACACCGCAAGGTATGAATGGCATGATCACATGCCGCCGAAAACCATAAACCCCTGCCTAAAACCATGCTAACCCTTTAACTCACTCCTCGTCTCAAAACTAGGTGCTTATTTGCAGTACACTATGTACGGTGCCACCCTGCTACATCCCGCCTGCCTCTTCCCCACGGGCGACCCTCAGCTCTCTCTCATTCCGGATACCTGGAAGCACAAGTACAGTACAGCCTCTGTCAGTGTAAACCACGGGAGCCGGCGAACCATCCGCAACATCCTGCAGCTGCCACTCGCGCCAGGCTGTTTAGGCAGCCACACCGCGTCCGAAGCGTCCGGTGGGGCTGCGACCCGTGTGGCCTTAGCTGGTGCCCGCCGCCAGAGCCTCGCGGTTACCGTCAGCACAACCTGCGACACCCAGATACCGTATTAGAGGATAGGGTCCTATGGAACGTGTGTTGCATTGCAAGCTGACAAGGGGAAGTACATCATGGAAGATCGACAGCGCGTCTCCGGAACCGTGCACGCACAGCGAAACCCCGTTGTCATACCCCACCATAGCGACCTGCACTCTTGTAGCACAGCGTGCAAGGGCACCCCTCATGCACATGCATCCGTTAGGTTCTGCTGGTACCCCGTACCCCAACCATCTACCCACCAAGAAGCTCTACCCTGGCCACCAAGTCGACTAGCGCGCTGGAGTCGCCGCTTGGTGGGCATGCAGCGGTGCACTCCTCCGGCTCCGTCGTCTGCGATGCCTTGACCCACTCCGCATACTTGACCCTGCCAGTGGGCGGCCTGGCAGCCTGGGGCAAAGGGCTCGGCAGCATTGCGAGGCCCTTGTCGTTGTCCTCAGCCCAACCACTGCCCGCCGTGTCCTGCGCAGGTGACTGGCGGGTGCAAATGCAGCGCATGTCAGGGCATCGCCGGTGTGTTGCGAAATCAAACCCAGGCCTGCGCTGCGGGCGGCCAGGAACCATGATAACACGCGACAGCTACCGGCACTGCTACGCCGCCTCAGTCAGTATCTCATGTCAACACCCAAGCGACCCATGGGTCATGCGTAACGCGCAGCCGCGTACACAGTGGCCTACCATCGCCCGACGCTTCGCTGCCCATGAACACGTGTGCACGCTGCCCATGAACACGTGTGCACGCACCTCGCCGCTCTCGCAGCTGGACACCGGCGACACATCTGGGCTGGCGCAGTCGCTTGCGACCTCGCCAGGCGCACACTTGGCGTCCTGCGGGGATGCACATACATGTTGCTGAAGCAGCTGCGGAGCTGAACATGCGGGGTGCTGCACAGCAGCATTATGGCTAAGCACTCAGCGTGGCGACGGCTCTGCAGCAGTACAGGAGCATGGCCGATGACTTCACACGTTCACAGCGCTGTGGCTTTACAGAGGGTTGTAACCTGTAAGCCCACGCGCAGCAAGGCTGTCGTCAAAGCATGCATGCACGCAGACTGTTGATGCTCTCTTGGCACGCCGGTAGTTGGGAGTACTCGTTTCCCATGCGCACCTGCTGCAGTGCTTCCCAGTCCGCAAACTTGATCTTGATCACTTCAGCATGCGGGGCGAGCTGTGGAGTGGGCAGCAGAGGGTATTCGGGTCAACACGATTCCACCCGGCAAGTCGACAGCGGCACAGGCAGCCGCGCATCACCGGGATCGCTTCAGTTTGCGTGGGATGCCAGCATGTCATGTCGGTGTTACCATGCAACCAGCAGTAGTATGGCTCGGCATTCCTCGGCTTCGCCGATGCGGCTGAGCCTATAGCTCAATGGGTCACATCACACCAACATGGGTGCCCGTCCACATACCGGAATACTTCCGCAGGATGAGGCAGGTGACACGGGTGCGCCCTCCTCACAGCCCTCCCCAGCGGCTTCTTTGGGGCCCGCCTTGACAGCGGCCTCCTTGCAAGGGCTGCCGGGGCCACCAGAACCCTCAGTCGCCTCCTCCGGCTGCGGCCTATCACCCAAGACCAAACCTCGCCGCGATGCTTTAGCATGGGCACATGAGCCTGAGGTGGCAGGTAACAGGGCCGCGGTGGGAGGGATGAGCCGTAGGGACAGCGAGGCGCCAACAGTGCACGACAGTGCAGAAGCTGCGCTCATCCTGTCAGGGCCTGCATGACGTCCCGACCATACCTTCGCTGGTGGTGGCGATGTCGGCCGTGGACGCGACGTTGGCACCGCTGCCACCGCAGACCCTTGCTGTGCAAGCGTCATCCTGCGTAACCGTGCACTGGCCACCGGCCTTGGTTCCGTCTGGGGACCCCGTACGCACTTCTTCGTCCTCTTCTCCCTGCGTGTGTACGTCAGAGTTACAAGGCCCAGGTAGCACGCGAATGCATGGCCGGAAACAAGCACGGCAAAAAGTGGGCTTCGCCCTTAACTGTTGCAGAATCTGTGTTGGGAAGCCAGGCACGTATATTGCAGCTGGCGGGGCAGGAATGACACAAGCCCAGCCTCTTGCACACTTGTTGTACTCCCGCAGATCTGTTATCGCATGGGAGATATACTCACGGTCTTGGACGCCCAGCAATCGTGATCAGGCGCGCGACCAGCGCTCTGAGGGGAGGCTTGGTTCAATACCATCCAATCGCTGAACTTGATCTTCCTTGCTTTCATGTTACCGGTATCAACCTGCGATGGGCATGGAAAGACATCGTACGGCGTTGAAAGCTTGGCGTTGTACCGGTATGACGGCAGCTCCACCATGCCGGCAGGTACCCATCATCGCGCAATGCTCCAATGCGCAGTGCTTTGCGGGCATCAAGTCTCCCACACCACCTTCCGGCAAGGCTGTTATCCGTATTGCGCTTGTCCCAAGCTAAGGGGCACTAAGCCGCGATCCATGCAACATACCACGGTAAGGTCTCCGTATGAAAAGGGGGTCACGGGAACACACTCTGTGCTGGCGGCATCGCAGCCCCATCCGCTGAAGCCCATGCGACGCATGGCGGGAGTCGCCTCCGCAACATCGTCGCCCGACGTAGCGATTGTGCCTTCGCGTTCAAGCACCGTGGATGACGCCTCGCTTCCCTCCCTTGATCCGTCACATTCGCCTGACGTTGCAAACCAGGGGGGAAGAACGTCCTCAGCAACCCAAATCCTGGAGGCCAAAGCCGTCGTGTGGACGCCGCTTGTATGGCGCAGGGTGTATGACCCATGTGATTTCGACGACGCACCTTCCTCTCCACCAGCCCATTCCGAGGGTATGGATGCACCGCTGCGGTAGCACAGGAGGGAGATCGCATCGTACGCAGAAAGCGAGGGCTCCTCGTCGTCAGCTCCTGCGTTGTCCCAGCCCACACCGTCCTGCACAAGCCGTTGGGCAAAGGCTAAGCGGCAGCCGACCACGGCACACCCTTGCTTTGCATGCATGCGACCATTGCGACCCACCAGAGACGCAGAGAGGAGTTTATCATCTGGGAAGCCGTTTTCGTCAAGGGAGCTGGCCTTTGGCAGCGACTCCAGCCACATCTCGACGGCCGTCACGCCCTCGGCTTCGGGCGCCGGACAGGACTGCGAAAGCGGGCAGAAGGGGGGCTGAGTCAGGGAGTGTCGCGTTACAGCCAGCCATTAGGCGAAGTTGTTGCGTGCGAATGCAAGGGGGGGCTTTCCATGCCATCGTGTAACCTCAAGGCCCAAATATGTGCACGCTGATGTCGGATGCAGGTAGGTACGTAGTTTTGCCTGTACCAAACTTTACCTCGTAGGTATAGGTGGTTAAGCCCCCAGCAACGGCCGCTTGCCAAGCCTCCCAAGCCTCCAAGCTCATCTTCATCCTTCTTCCAGGGGCTCTGAGGGAAGCAAAGGGAGGGCTGGCGTCGCTTATGGCTCCGATACGCCCCAAAGCAGGGTGGCCCCGGCTGTGCTTGCAAGTGGTCTGCTGCGTACAGCCAGCCACTAAAAAGGCACGTGCCCGTGTGTCGCGACAACATGTTTCCATGAGTGGACACCTCGACCTAGTGTTACCCCCTTGTGCGGATCCACGTGTCTTCGCATGGCCCTTTCGAATGTTAAGCGCTTCTGATGCGGGTAACTTACCGGTTCTGCAGTTGTAAGTATGTGTTCAGGTCCATGGCCTGCAAGCATGTGCAAGTCGTAAAGCAACCCAATAATTATCCTATGGCCTATCTTAAGATCCTTACCAACAGCTCGGAGCGCTTGCTGCCCTCGTTGAAGCTCAGTTAATTGCGTGGGCCCTGGGAAATCCTTTCCAACGTCCTGTAAGTAAGAGTTGCAGCTTGTGCACCTCCGTTCTGTATTTACAGCAGCCCTTTACGAGCGGCAACGGACTTTACGGTAAGGGCAACAGTTGGGCGCCCTCTTAATACTTTTTGGCCAATTGCAAGCACGGTAGGTACAACTGGGTATAGCCAAAGAAAGATCAAAAGAATTACCAAGGCTTATACTTTCAGTAGTTACATATGTTCTTTTTCCTATGTTTCTGTGGCTCGGCCTTGCTCAACTGTCGGATCCGCATTTTGTGTGACGAGCTGAAAATCCGACATGCATGTGCCATCGGCGCTTCTTAAAGATGTTATCATGTGCAGGCCTGTTTGCTTAAAGTTACTGTTTCTCTTATAAATCATTACAGTTAGTAGTATAACCATGTCCACCATGTGGTAGTGGCCATCAGCGCAGAGCCGCAGACCCTTAGTCCAGCCCACATTTTTCAGCCTTAATTTCCTCGCAATGAGGGCAACCCCTCCGCTATGTAGCCATCGTCCTGGCCAATCTTTCGCACTGCGGTCACCGCATGCACCCGTACATGTAGGTTCTCAGACCGCAGCCTGCGCCCGCGAACGAGGCAATCCATCCCATGCGACTATGACAGCGCCCGTAGCTTCTGGCCCCGCTTGAGTTTGCGTGCGTAGCATCTAGGACCTAGGAGGGCTATTTGTTGGCTTAGATACGACGGAGCGTAGCGATCTGGTTCTGTGCGACTGTCGTACGACCTAGATCGGGAGGCGAGATGTTTAGGCCTCCGCTCTCCTGTTTCAGGCATTCTGCCTTTCACTCAGTTGATCTTTCAGCCTAGTCGCATGCTGGTATATGGTGCATGCCAGCGAAACACTTGTCGTCTTGTCTCCCCTTCCCAGGCCACGGGAAGGACTACAAAAGCTTGCCCTGCTGGTATAACCTGGAGTTGGCACAGCCGGTGCCTGCCTTTGTATGCATCCAGCAGACATGGTTGGCTTCATGTCAGCTGCGCTTTCCCTTGCTGTGGGCCCTCACCTGCCACTGAACTTCAATCCCACCAGCCAGTGTTCAAATGTTTACTGTCCGCACGGTGGGCTGTGCTTTGTTGAAAGCACCAGCAACGCTCAACTGTCCTGCCTACGGCTTGACACACATAGGGCGTGCGGAATGGGCGGTCTTGACATGGCCAACTAAGCATCTTCCTTGACGACACGGCGGCATGGCTGTTCCAAATGACCTAACCCATCACGTGTACGGACTTGCCTTACCTTGCCACGGGGCTTGCTTGACATTACTTCAGTGCGTGCAGCTACTTCAGGAGGCACCTGGGTTTGGCCACAACTACTGGTGACCTGGGTCTAATGCCCTCTCACAAGGGTCACAACCGGTTTTCTAGTTGCTGCTACGGGCACACATCTGCTGGCAGCACGCAGGCCCAACGAGCCGAATTATGGAACGGCCCAATTCTTTGCTGTTACCCCCTCTGTAACCCACATCTCAGCCGTAAGATGCGGTGATGGTTTGGAGAAGCAGTGGAGTAAGCAAGGTTACCGTTAAGTGTACATGCATGGGTTCTTAGCGGAGTCTAGCTGACATGAACATACTTTACCCGCAAACCCAAGCAATGGAAACTGGGGGAAATTTCCGGTACATGGGGCAATAGCATGCCTCCTAGGTTATCAGACTTTGACACGGATTGCAGCAAAGGTTAGGGCAGCGCAGGTGTATGTGGCGGAGGCGGGATAAATAGGGGGTTGGCATGGTTGTTGGCGCACTTAGGTCCCTGGGTCCCTAGGCCTTTGACACGGCGTACCCAGTGGCGCAGAATTTTACCCAACAGTACAAGCAGTGCCAACGTTTGCTAGCAAGCTAGCATAGCACGCTGCATAGAGGAAGTTATCTGGATACCTACCTTGATGCATCCCGCGACGATGGCATCATAACAAGCTATAATCAGATATGCGACAATTAACGCATTGCTTATAAACACATCAAGCTAAGAATCGACGACGCATCTTAGCTTTCCTCAGCGTCGGGTTTGCGCATGAAGCGCATCCCAAGTCCATCGCCGTACAACGGGTCAAACAGGGTCAACCGCTGCCAACAGCTAAAGCCATGTTTAAAGCTAAAACTCACAACCAGTAGATCGCTTTGCTATACTCCTGGGTTGCACGTTGAGTGGAGGATGGTTCTGCGTCGCGGAGGAACTTAATTTGAATGCGCCTTTCTGGCGCATAAGCACGCCCCATATACCAGCTTCAATAATATACCCAAAGCTGTTATTATTTAGTGGGCTATATTGAGATGGCGCCGCCCGCGGGCGCGACAGGTAACAATGGCCATTGTGGAATTGCGCGAACGGGTTAAATTGTCGCTGAATGCTCACGGAGCGCCCCTCCCACCCACAGGCTCGCAACAGCAGCAACCGCAACAGCAGCAGCAACAGCAGTTTGTAGACGCCGCTCAATTCTATGGCCTGTACAAATCAGCTAAGACATTGGCCAAGTCCTTCCAAGCGGTGGCTGTGCAGAAAGACCATCAAGTGAAGACATTGAAGCATGAAAATGAGGAATTAAGGCAAAGGCTTCAGATGCTGGAGGCGCAGCAGCAACATCAGCAGCAAGGGCTGAAGCCAGGGGCACAAGGTAAGCACTTGCCCACGCGCGTTCCATTTGCAGTGCGTTTAGAGGACCTGTAACCTAAAATATATAACTAGCCTCAGGTCGCAAACAAAGGAATGCCTCCAGGGCGCTCTTACCCATCCTTTTCCTACTTGAACCCCTGTATGTCTGCCTCCTGCTGCCACCTCCTACCTACGCAGGGCCCCAATCAGGGTCAACCTCTAGCGGCAACCCGCCATCAGCGATTAACCAACGCAACTCCAACGGCGCCAACCAACCGATCACCAATGCAGCATTGGCCTCTGCCCCCAGCTCAAGCCGCTCACAGCCCGTTATCCCACCCTCGATGCGGCGCAGCGTCCCGCAAGGACTCCAGCCCGCCACCGCCAGAGCTGCTGCCGCCGCGCCTGCTCCTACTCGCCTCGCCGACAACTCCTCAGGCGCCGCCCCCGCCCACGGCCCGGCCTCAGCTCGAACCGGTGCAGTGCATGCCTCAATGGACATGCAGCAAGGCGTCTTCGCTCGCCATATGTTGCGGTACGGAAACGCGCCGCAAGCGCAAGCTCAGGCACAGGCCCTGCAACATGCGATGCTTCTACAGCAGCAGCAGCAACAACAGCTGCAGCAACCGCGTCACGTCCAGCAGCAGCCGCTGCAACAGCAACCGGCGCAACCCGAGGCGGCTAACGGCGCGGCTTCCAGGGTCGTGTTGTCCGCCAGGGGCCACGGCGACGTGTGGTTCGCCGGCTCCTCGCAATCCCGCTCTCGATCCAACAGCCAAGGCGCAAGCCAGTCTCACAGCCAGAGCCAAGTTCACAAACATGGTCTCCAGAGCCACCCGGTGCTGGGTCCCGAGGATGCGGAGCCTGAGGATTCGGAGGCTGTGGATGCGGCCGGCAAGAACAAGACGGCCAAGGGCAAGATTGTGAAGGCGTTCAAGAAGCTTCTGAAGGTCCAAGCCTGGCGTGGTGGTCGTGATGAAGAGAACAACAAGCAGGAGGCTGGCGGAGCGGCAGGGATGGAGGCCGGGAGGGGCGGTCAGCCGCAGCAGCCAGGCAAGGTCGACGCCTCTGGGCTGCTAACGCTGCCACAGCAGGTGCCACCGCAGGCGCCGTCGGCGGCAAGTGTTATTGCGGGTGCTGCGCCACCGTCGAGTCACCGCCACCAGCGGTGGTCTTCAGCGTCGCCAGACGCGCCTGGGCAGGACTCCCGTGCCGCGCGTCCGGCTGCACCGCAAGCTGCCACCGCAGCGGGGGTGTCAGCTGTACCGGCACCAGATCCCCTGCGCGCCTCCCAGGCGGCAGGATACGGCATGGGCCTTCTGGGTCTCTTTGACGCTCCACCGCTGCCCAACTCCGAGGGCTACGGCGGCCTTGCAGCGCCGCCCCTTCCGGTGGCGCCGGCAGCCTTGTCACGACCCTCCGCTGCTGCTGCCGCTTCTGGCCTCGGCAGGCCTGTTACCCTGCCGACGCAGTACTTGTTCGGTGGCAACGGGCAACAGACTGCATCGGCTGGCGTTGCAGATGCAGATGTCACTACGATAGCGCCAACGAACTTTCAACAGCAGCAACAACAGGGTGCCACTTCCATCGTTGGACAGTCCTCTGGGGGTCTGTATCCGCCGCCGCCGCAACTGCCAACGCAGCCGCCTTCGCAGGCACCTCCGCTGGTGCAGATCCAACGGAACCCTACGCTGCAGCACCAGGCCCTTCATCAGCAGCAGCTACTGCATCAAGACCCATCAACGGGAGGCAGTTGCATTGCCGTGGAGGCCATTGCGGTGTCTCTGCAAGGCTCGGACTTGGCGTACGGCAGGCATGGCAGCAGCGCCGTTGATCTGTTTGCGCCGACTGCCCTTAGCGCGCTCCGCCGGCAGCAGCAGCAAGCACAGTTGCCAGACCTTCTGGACCAGCAAACGCACCACCAGCAACATGTACCCTCCTCCTCGCCAGTGACGAGCGCCCGTGACAACGCTACGGCGACCTTGGCTGATGCACTCATGTCGCCTGCGTCGGCCGCCGGTCCAGGTGTGGCCGTGGCTGCTGCAGCCGCGGCTGCCAACGGGGGCACTACGTCTGCGACGCCGTCGCCTGGCGGCGCTGCCAGCAACAACGTGAAGAGTCCTGGCGGTGGCGCTAAGCAGGCGAGCGAGGGCGGCAACGTCTGGGCCATGTTGGTGCACCGGTCTGGCTTGGGACAGGTGGCTCAGCGCCTGACATCCAGTGCGCCTGGTTCACGGCGGTCTACTGACAGCTCTGGGACAGGTAGCGCCTGCGGCACCGCAACGGGTTTGGTGCCGAACCAAAGCCAGCCCATCGTCGCCCAGGCTAGCCAAAGCGGGGCGTCGCTGTCACGGCAGAGCTGGGGCTCTGAACTCTCCGGCACGCAGTCTGAGCACGTTGCAGCGGGATCCAACCGGCCTCCAATGGCGGCTTCCAACTCGTCTCTTACTTTCCGTGCAGCGGCACTGCAACTGGGTCAGCTGCCGCCCCGACCCGCGGGTCGCTCAAGCACTCCTGCCTCCGCCTCGGCCGGTAACGCAGGGTTGCCTCCTGCTACGCCCGCCACCACGCCCGTCGCGGCCGCGCATGGCTCGGGTGATGTTCATTCCGCCGCGCCTCCTTCCACGACTGCTATCGCCACTTCGCCGGCACCGGTGTCGACTTCAACCCATGAGCCTGCTGCGTTTGAGACCCCTCAAGAGTCGGCCTTGCGCGCATCGCAACGTACGCATGGCGCCCCTGCATCATCAACGCTGTCTCCCCCACCGACGGCTGCTACGGCTGTGGCGGCAACCACCCCTGCACCGCAGTCAGCGTCTACGACGCCACCAGACTCGACAATAACCGACACTTACCTGAACGGAATCCTCAGCCGGCTCAAGACTCCCGGCGTTCTGCGCCATACCAGCGGCGGCGGGGGCCTCGCCACCTGCACAACTCCTGTAACGGCGTCATGGCCGGCGCCGGCGCAGACAGACGGCATGGACGGTACGGATGCCGAGGATGAGACCAAGGCTGGCATGATGTCGCCAGGGGCCGCTGCTGCGGGCAGGGCCTCGATTGCCGTGGATGGCGCCTTGTTCCGGAGGGACTTTGGGCGCAGCGTGGGTGTCGCGTGGCGGCGCAAGTCGCTTGGCTACCAGAACGCCGCACCGACCGCGTCCTTCCACGAGCGGACGCTCCAATCGGTGAGTCCCTGGTCCGTCCTGGCAATGCGCTAAAGAGCTGAACGTGTTGGGGCCCCTAGTGCTCTGAGGGTTCTTTTGCTGCGTCATGCTATCTAGCCGTCAGGCATATGCTTTTTCACCTTTTTGTACCCTTCATGTCCGCACCGAACATGATTTGAGCCCGTTTTGGATTCGACAATCCTGTCATTTCCCTTGCCCGCAACAGTCGACTAGTGGGCGGGCGGCAAACATCTCCGTGGAGGGTCTTCTTGACAGCCACGAGCCGACGTCTCCGCACGGCGATAGCGCTTCCAAGCCAAGCAACGCCGCCGCGGCTGCTGAAGATGCTGGACCTCCGTCGCCTACGCGCCCGGGTGCCACCGCTCCGGCTTCCTCGCCATGCACCTCACCACAGAGACCGTCGCTGGCACATGCAGCGGCCGTGTGGACGTCGCGCAGCCCTAGGGGCTCGGGTTTGGCTTCACCACGGGGCGCGGCGTCGTCGCCGCGGGCTCCTGTCTCGGGATCGTCGCCAACTCAACAGGTGAGACAGGGAAACAGGGGTGACCTAGACGTGTTGGGTGGGACTCCATGTTGGTCGTAAGTGGTCAGACGACCGTAATGTGAAGAGGACTTGCTAGGTATTCAAGAGCATGCAGATTCCCTTATCTGCACCTAAGCAATCTTCTGATGCTACTCCTTTCTCTCAACATGCCTTCCTTATAGGTGCTTAACAACCCCTCACCCCGCCTCACCGGCAATCTTCTTGCCTGCAGGTAACCAAGACCGTCGTGCCAACAGTCACCACGGCGGTTACCGCCACGGCGATTGCAACCGCAGAAGCCAATGCGTCACCAGCAATGCAAGCTTCCCCGAGGGCGACGAAGCAGGCCATCAACGAGACCGCCACCGCGAGACAGCCTCATCTCATGGCGCCCCCCATCTCTACCTCTGTCGTCACCAAGGCATCTGCTGGCGACGCAAACAAGCCGCAGCAAGTACCACCTCCCCTGCGCTTGGGGGCGCTGGCGAATGGAGGTCCTGCTACGGACGCGGACACACCCGCGGCTGTGCGTACCCCTGGTTCGGCTAACCGCCCGCAGCCGGGTTCCGCTCGCTACGCCGCAGCCAACGCTGGTGCCAGTAGCAGCAGCGGTGGCGGCGGCAGCCCTGGTAGCGACTGGCTTACCGGCGGGGATGCCGACTCGGCTGCCTTCACTGCAGGAGGCGACGGCAACAGCACCGTTGTCATGCACGCTGTGATGCCGACGGGTGATACTGTAACGGCAGTCACGGGTCTCCGCGACGTTCGTGTTGGCTCCAACGTCGCCACCACCGCCGCTGTGGGTGCTCCGGCTCCTGCCGGAAAGGCTGCGGCCCCTTCCGGCGCCGCGTCCGTTCGCCAGGAGCCTGCCGCAACAACTCCCCAGGCGCCGCCCGCTCGCGGGTTCTCCTCTGCAGGACCCACACCTAGCAGCTGCAGCTCCGTTGGCAGCTGGGACCCCGAGCATGACGGCGAGCACCGCTCCAGCTCAGCGCAGCGCCGTCACCACTTCCACCACCACCTGCACCTGCACCTCCACCACCGCTCAAGCAGCGCACCACGCGCATTGTGGTCCTCTACTGATGGAGCTCTGCAGCAAACGAAGACCACCAAGGGCAGTACCGGCGCTGGTGGAGAGAGCATCACGGCTGCGGCCGCCACCGTACGGTCCCAGCCGGGAGTCGATGCCGCCAGTGCGACTGCGACACCCGTGACGCTCCACAAGCGGCCTGGCGTGACACCGCCGGTGAAGCTGCGTCCGCTTGACACGGCCGGCGCCAGATCGCTGAATGGCGGCCTGACGGGATCTCGCTCCGCGCGGGGACCCAGTCCAACAGCCGCCGCTGGCGGTGCCCCAGTTGCCATTCCGTCAAAGTCCGCAAGTCAAGGTGGCAAGGTGGAGCCACGCGGCTCTGCCGTTGCTGCTGCTCCTGCAGTGCCCTCGGGTGACGAGTATGGCGCGGTTGCTGCGGGCGGTGCGGAGTCTCCCTCCGTATCAAGCGGTGCTGCTTCAAGCGATTTCGCCTCTGCAGTCACGGCCGCGCCATCGCCGTCTCGGTCTCAGGCACGGCAGGATCAGCAGTCTGCACGCACGCCTGCCGCGCCCGAAACCGACCTCCAGTCCCCTCGGTCTGCGGCGTCGGCTGCATGGGACCGTGTACAGAATACAGCGGCTACTTCGATTCAGGCGGCCTGGCGGGGTGCCCGTGCTCGGGCTTCCGTGCGCGGGCGGCAGCTCATGGGTGACCTCCTGGACACCAGCGACACCGCCGCAGCAGCTGAAGCGGCTGCAGCGGAGGAAGCCGAGGCGCAGCTGCGCCATCAGGAGCTGGAGTGGGCTGCTGTACGTCTGCAAGCTGCTTGGCGTGGAGTTCGGGCTCGGCGGCAATTCAAGAAACTCCGCTTGCAGGCGGCAGAAACGCGACGCCGGAAGCAAATCACTGCAGCCGTCGCCATTCAAGCGGCTTGGCGCGGCTGCCGTGCGCGTGTGTTCGTCAAGGACCTCCGCGCTAAGCGGGCGGCCGCCGCGGAGCGACTGCGGCAGCTTGCTGAGGCCAAGGAGCGGCGGCGGCGTGCGGCGGCAGCGGTTACTATCCAGTCCGCATGGAGGGGCTTCGTCGCGCGTCAACGCGCAGCTGTGGAGCGTCAGAAGCTGCAGGAGCTAAGGCAACGGCAGCTGCAGGAGGCGGCGGCCACTCGGGTGCAGGCGGCATGGCGTGGCCGGAAGGCCCGCGTGCAGGTTGCGGCCATGCTGCAGGTGCTGGAGCAGCAGCGGCGGTACCAGCAAAGGGAGCTGGCGGCCACGGCCATCCAGCGGGTGTGGCGTGGACACAGGCAAGTGGGATTGCCGCTGCGAGACCGGGACCTTGCTTGTAGATGCTTGGATACCGCTGAACTTGTCCTGTCTCTTTCTAGCGGTACGTTGAGTCGCGCTGGCATTGCTTTCCCCACAGGTGCCGTGTCGCCCTGAAGGAGGAGCAACGTGTGCACGATGAGACACAGCGTCGGGAGCTGGCCGACCTCCTTGCCGCCGAGCTGCACCAACATCTGCTCATGCAGCAGCAGCAGCAACACCCCCACCCCATGGCGACGCTACCCCTCCACACCGAGCCCCGTAGCAGCGGTGGTGCCGACGATCCTTCTCTCCTCGAGGCTGCTGAGGAGACGCCCCTGCTGTTCCTGCGGCCCTTGTCTGGGCGGCAACCGGTCGTCCAGCTGCGACTGCCCCTGCTGACCCGTTCTCCTCGCGTTACGCTGGCGGGCGCTGACGGCAGCACCACAGCCAGGCTGCTCACGCCTCGGGAGCCGGCGGCGCCGGCCCAGGCCTCTGGTACGCCGCGATACTGTCAAGATGAGGCGGCGGACGGTGCGCCCTTGGTGCTACCGCCGTTGCCGCGGCGTAGCAGCGGTGGCAGTGATTGCGGAGGTGTTGCGCGGCGCAGCAGTGGCGGTGGCGGGGTTCTGGTCGGTGGTTGCAGTGTGAGCGACGGCGGTGCAGCTGGAGCCATGACTCCCAGGTACGGTTCGGATGATATGCCTCTCCGTATTTTGCACGGTTGGAGTGGTACTGTTTGCTAGCTTTTCAATGTCGGCACGAACTGCTACCCGTCAATGGACTTATTCTCGATTGCTGAGATACCTTACTCCCCTTTGTCCACAGGCACCCCGTTGTCCCCCGCCTGCGCCTGCCCTCCAACGGCTCCTCCGCTGCTGCGATCATCGAGACCTCGAGTCGTCCCTCTAGCGAGGGCAGCGCCGGCAACGTTAGCAACCGCAACCTCGTGCCAGGCGTCTATCAGTCCCTGGTAGCAGCGCCGCCACCGCCTCAGCCCCCGCTACCTCCACCGCAGCCCAAGTCTGCTCCCTGCAGCAGCCGGGACTACGACGGCGGCAGCGGAGGTGGCGGGCGTGTCGACGTAAGGGCCCCTTACAGCTACCGTGGCGGAAACCTCGTTACCGAGGACCTTGTCACCTCCGCCGCCTACATCGCCGCCGCCGCCACTGCTGCCGCCACCGCCATTCCGTTGGCACCCGCAACAGCGTCCGCTGCAACGAGTGAGGGTGCTGTCACAACCGGCGTGGAGGAGAGCGTAGGCGAGTGCGACGCAGTCAGCATGAGTCAGGGCCCCATCACACAGGATGGCGGCACCACCACGCGAGACTCTCGAGGCTCCGGCACCTACAACAACAGCGCTGTTGGCGGCGCTGCCGGTGACAAGGAGGAGGATGAGAGGGAGGACGAGGTCGGCAGCAAGGACCGCAGCGAGGGCGAGCCGGCAAAGACCGAGGATGATGGCGATGAGGAGGAAGGACGCGGGCCCTATCACCAGAACAGCGGCAGGAGCAGCAGGGCAAGCAGCCGCTGCGTGCGCGCTGAAGTGGCGTCCAGCGATGGCGTGTCGGACAGCCGGGTTGAGCTTGAGGTGTCTGCTGACGGCGCCGAGGAGGCTTCTCGAGCCAACAGCAGCAGCTGCAACAGCAACGACGTTGGCGGCGGCGGTCCGGAGGTATCCCGCTCCTGCGCCCTGACTGAGGAGGACGAGGTTCGCAGCAACATGAGCGGTGGCAGCGCGAGTGTCAGCGTCAGCAACAACCGCAATCACAGCCGGGGCGCGGCCAACAGCGTCAGTCGCAGCAACCGCAGCGGCCGAAGCAACCGCAGTACCCGCAGCGACCGCAGCACCCAGAGCACGCGCAGCAACCCCAGCACCTGCAGCCTGAACAGCGACAGCGAGTCCACAAAGACCCTGCTTGACAAGCTGGTGCAGCTGGCAGCGGCTGCTGTAGAGCGCCGCCTCGGACCTGACGACCCAGAGCTGGCGCAGCTGTCAACCGTTCTCGAGGACCCCAGCTCCCGGGGCGAGTGGCTGCGGCTACGGCTGGGTCGGCGGCTGGCGCAGGTGCAGCAGCTACCCTGGGACGAGCTTGACGAGGACGAGGAGGAGGATGAGGAAGATGGCGAGGAGGTGGAGGAAGAGGTTGACGGCAGTTTAGTCGAGAGGAGTGAAGGGCCCGCGGCGAGTGAGGAGGCAGTTAGTCGGGCCGTGGATGAATCGGAACGCGCGAGCGGCTGCACGGGCGCTACCACTGGCGCGGCTGAGGTGGCGGAGGCGGAGGGCGACGAGGAGGTTGAGGCTGCCCCTGCCAGCCGCAAAGTGTCCCAACTGCACCAGGAGCAGTCTTGGAGCGGTGGCAGCGGCTCCGTCAGCGATCGTGACGGTGGTGGCGGTGGCGGCAAGGACGTGGGCGCCCATGACGGCAACCGTGGCAAGGAAGCGGCTGCGGTCCGCGGCCAGGCACCAGGTCTGCATGTGAGCAGCCGGCGGGGCAGCCGCAGTGCCGGTGGCGCGGAAGAGGAGGAGCTGCTCAGCCCTGAAGCTCCCTCAGCAGGCACCAACATGCTGGCGCTGCTGAGCTCGTACGGTGCGGGTGACGGCGCCACCGTTGCTGATGGTGACGCCGCTGAGGGACCTTGTGAGGTTGTGGAACAAGCGCCGACTGCGAGCGCGGTTGTGGTCGATGAAGGTGACAAGAAGGACCAGGGGCACGGTGTTCCTGTGATGGCTGAGAGCGGTAGCGGCCGGCTCAGCGCCCGAGACCGGGAGCGCGCTGCCAACGCCGACACCGTCCAGACGCCTCCCAAGGAGTACCACAGCATGGAGGCATTGCCGCCGTCCCCTATTGCCGAGACGCCGGTGGCGGCAACGCCAATAGAAGCGGCCCGGGCCGCCGCAGCCACGCCTGGTGGAGGTGCGCCCAATAGCGTTTTCAGCTTTGGCTATCGCTCCTGGGGAGCCCCTGCCGCCCCGGCAACTCCTGCCTGGCCTGTGACGGCCGCTGCCGGTGGTGCAACTGAGGCTGAAGCTATGGGCGCCGCAGCGGGCGCTGGCCCCTCTTTTGGCGGGGAGCAGCATCAGTCCAGCCCAGCTATGACGCAGATCAGTTTTGGCGGTTTCGGAGGGTTTGGAGGCTTCACTGGCGGGGCTGCGCCTCGGCCCCGCGGCCACAGCGCTGGTTCAAGTGAGGCTGATACGCCGACGTCTCGCCCGCTTTGCCCAGCGCAGGTATGCTCCTTTCACCGGGGCACCACTTAGTCATTCGGGCATTCTGCTTTTGTTATTCTCATGTTAGGCCATTCATTATTGCCTGCTAAGGACCCCCCGCCCCAACCCAACTCCTTTCTGTCCCACAGCAACAAGAGGCGCCGCACCCTCCCCCGGGACGGGACTCCTTCCCCGGCTTTGCCCTTCCCGGCAACGCCTTCGCAGGCTTCGCACGCGGCGACCCTGCGGACCAGCAGCAACAGTGCCTCCTGCAGACCCCAACGCTACATGCAAACCCTCACTCGGCAATTGCGGAGGCTGTGGCATCAGAGCAACGGCTCGTGGACGAGCGCTACCTTGCGGCGCCGCAACTGTCGGTTGACAGCAGCCAAATGTACGGCAGCGCTAACGCCGCCACATCAGACTCGGCGTATGCCTCCGCCATGGCAGCCGGGTCCAGCCAGCGCACTGGCAACATGACGGAACGCGGCGGCGCTGGCCATCCATGGCGTCGCATGAACGGTGCCCTAGCAAATGCAGATGCTGGGAACAATACCGATAACGGTGGGGATGCTGCCATGAATGGCGCCGCTGCTACGCCTCAGTCACGGCGGCGGCCTCAGCCCGCCGACAGCACGGACTCAACCTATAACAGCACCGCTCCGTCGGCATTCCAGTCGTACGGCAGCTGTACGACGACCATGCAATACGCTGGGGGTGACTCATCTGCTCCTAGCCGTGGTGCTGGTACTGCGGCAACGGCTGCGGCTGCGGTAGCGGCGGCTGCAGCCTCTGGTGACGGGGACGACGGAGACGTCACGACGGTTACGGATTGCGGTCCAGCAGACTCGTATGCTTTTGGCAGTGCAGCGGGCATAGTTGGGGCTGGTGCCGGTGCTGCCTTGCCACACGTGGCACGCGGAGTTGTCAGGTTGCACCAGCAACTGACAGGCAGTCCCAGTGTCAACGGCGGTACGGCAACTGTTGACATGGAGGCCGATGCCGAGTCCATGCCCGCTGGTTCCCACCGAGCAACCTCCGCTGTTGCAATCTCTTCCCTCGGTGTGCTGCAGCAGCAGCAACGGACTGGGGCATCTGTCCAGCCGGCTGTTTCTCTGGAGGCTGACGCAGCACGGGGACTGCAACCTGGTAATCTGTTCCGGGACAACGCCGCCTATGAGGAGGAGGATGTGGAGGAAGAGGAGGAGGGAGAAGAGGAGGATGACGAGGAGGGGTACGAGTCTTACGGTGAGGAGGAAGAGGTGCAGCTGTCCTGCTCCAGTGGTGATGAGGGCGAGGAGGAGGAAGTTGAGGAGGAGGAAAGCGAAGAGGAAGAAGGGGAGGGTGTGTGGATGGGCCGAGCGGCGTCGGTGTAATAGTAGGAAGGGGTGTGCAAGCGCAGTTGCAACGCAGCGTGCGGAAGCCTCCTACCGTTGGGTTTCGGTCCTGTCGGCGGAGGTATGCACGTGGCTTTGGACGTTTTGCTAAGGTTCAAAGTTTTTTTAGGCAGGGTAGGCTGCGTGGTGTGGTGTCATGTCATGCTGTGTATGGCTGAAGCGTTGCCCGGACTGTTGATGTAGCAGCAGCAGCGGGAATGCCCGGGTTTGTCAGGAGGAATAGGTCTTGCTCGCAGGTTTAGTTGTGTTGTTTCTGTTGGGATGTAGGAAGCTTCGGAGGTAGCAGCAGGCAGGCGGGCGGCTTTTGTCGCTGGGTCCGTGCAGCAGTGGCTGCAGCTTGGAGTGCTTTTGCCACCGGGGTTGTAGTGCAGTTGGGCTAGTATCTGGCGATCTTTTGCGTGTGTGCGTGCGCAAAAGCTAGTGACCCATGGTTCACTGAACCAATAACCAACTATTAAAGGTATTGCTCCTATCTATTGGTTGCCCCCACCACGGTTGAAGTTGTGTATTGTCCTACTATGTTTTGCGTTGCTTGCTTGTACCGTCGTTGAGTTCCTGCTGGTGTGTTGGGGACATCTCTGCTGCATGTTGTGTAGCAGCAACGGAAGCAATACGGCTGTTCAGTGGTCTGCGCGCTGTACCTTTGCCGCTTACATCAGCGGCACAATAGCACTAACGCTTTCAGACCAACGTTTGGCATTTAATGGTGGGCTCCTTGAGACCGGCAGCTGATGACACATCCAACCAACACAGGCGCATCACCTGGTTAGCATTACTCCCCCCAGATGTGTACTCGCTAGCAGGTCGCTAGGGCAGTAATCAGCGGGGAAAGCTCGCCCATCTTAGTCGCACCGGATGCCCTCGAACGGCACATTTTGGCTTGGTGGAAAAATGCCAAAACTTACACGAAGTCTGCCGTACGTACGCAAGGGTAACAGCAACGTGCAGGAGCGCTTTACTCCTATAGAAGGTCGTAACGTACGTTCATCATGAGATTCATGCGCTCCGAACCCTATGGGAATCTACGGATTATCAGCGCTGGCGGTTGAGCGCAAGGATTGCCGTATAAGGCCGTAACTGTAATTGCTACCTTTACCTCCTTAGTGCGGCTTAGTGTAACCCTAACACCCCATAGACCCACAACTGACAGCAGTTCATATGGCTTTCACAAGGATAACTACTTGCACACGGCCTAGGAAGCCCATGAAGTTGAATGTTGCAGTTCTAGCCCTCACTCTCATCCTTGGTTGTATATCTACTTCAGCAGCCACGCCGTTTGACCACTCTAGTATCCATTTACGAAGGCTCCACCGTGCGCGGTTGGCAAAGGAAGGAGCAACAGCCAAGCGTCTATACTGTAAACAATCAGGCAGGATACTGGATGCTTCAGTAAAACGTCTTTACCGTTAGCTAATAGGTTTGCCCACGAACTGCAGGCGGCTGTTCTCAATGCAAAGAAGATGAGGAGATAGAGCGATATTGTGCGGACACAGGTTTCAAGGAGGAGCTGCTTTGTACCACAAGCAGCAAACTGGCCGAAGATATGCCGGTGAGCGGGGCTAGCTCAGTGTGTTTGCAAGTGTTAGCTGGATTCCAGGCAGGCATCCCTTGGCTGAAGAACAGCCTCAGGGGACGCTCACATCAGTACGGGCTGTAAACAATATGCTACCTGGTTGCAGAGTTGTACATACCGGTCACGCCTGCACCCTGCACCTAACCTCCTTTCCTAAAGCTACTTCACCGCCTTCCAGCTTCCGTTCGAACCGCTTACACATAACCCAGTCCGGCTTCTCGTCGCTTCTCCCCCTCTTTTCCTCACCCCCCCAGGTAGTCCTGACCTACCCCTATCCATCCGACGTCCACATTGACGATAACCGCAACGACGCCTCCTCCTCCTCCTCCTCCTCCGCGGCAGCCAGCATCCGGGTAGTGCGTGGCTGCTCCGAGAGCGATGGGACCCGAGCCGCCCATGCAGCCGTGGGGGCGCTGCTGGGAGAGGGCACGGCAGCCATGGCGTTAGGGCGCATGGGGCTGTTTCAGTTCGAGTTGGTGATGTGCTTGCTGCTGGGGATGTCCCTGCCGGTGGTGTATTGGCGCAAGATACGGATACGGCACCTGTGAGGGATGGGGGGATAAAGAGGAAGCTGGGGTGAGGGACGTGGGGAAGAATGAGGAATGGGAGCAGGGAATTTGGAGGGGTGCGCAAGAGTGTTGGTGCTGGGGGGATGGCTCTGGTAGGGGCTGTGGGGGAGAGCCAAGGGCGGGCAGACGTGGGGAACTGCCGTTCGGGAGGAGGAAGAGGGTTAACGCATGGGGAAGAGGTGTGGTATTGGGTGCGATGGATATCACAATCGAAATGAAAGGGTTCGACCGTCGGCACGCTGTCTTGGTCTCCTCCTGATAGGCCAACCAGGGCGTCGTCGACTCTGGGAGCGTCAGCACCAGCAAGAGGCTTCCAACCCCTGCCGGGCTCGATTGAGAGCTGCGTTTGTCGCTGCTACCCTAGCTCCTGCGAACGGTATGCATCTCTTTAAGGCCCGCCATGTTGGGCGTGCAGGCTGCTCATGTTGCATGCCAAACATGGCCTGCATCTTTGTAAGGCCCGCGGCATGTGACGTGACTACCCGTCTTGCCTTCTTCTTACCTTGGCCTTTAATCAGCAAGTGAACCTAAGTGGTCACAAGCGGCTGAGGCTGTATGCTCTGGTGCTAGGTACCGTACGCAGAGTCAATACTCGGGGTCGCATCGCAGCTCTGACAAGACGCCTTACACGTTCTCGGTGTGCGTTAGGACGGCAGCCACGCAGACGTCCCATGCGCACCCTATTTATACCGAGTGTACAATCCTGCACCAGGCCGCTACTTGCAAAGGCAAATGCGTAGGAATTTAGCCCGAGACACATCAGCGCGCCGCCTGCACCACGGTGCCTCTCCAGCTAGCAGCATCAGCGGCCCTGAGGGTGTGCCCCCCCCTAGGTACCGGTACTCCCAGTCTCCTCGAACCTTCCTAGCCCTACCACTTCCCTCCTCCTCATGCTTGCATGCATGCAATCCCGTACCAGCGCACGTTCAGTACGACGCTCGGTCAAGAGCCGAGAGCCCCCAATGCTGCCCCGCTTCAACCCATGCACCCCGTAAATCGGTTCCGACATCCCTTCGACACACACAGTCACGTCTTCCCAATTCATTTCAGTTTCACCCACACTTACCTACCAAGAAACGCTTTAAAGCCACAAAGAGCCAGGTTTGCAAGCTATAGCCCCAAACTCTCATGCCAACATGCCCCTTACCTACCGGTACAAGCTACTCCCCAACGCTCCAGCAACCCACGCCCGCTTCACCCCCGTTACAGCCTTCCCCAACCGCGCAATCCCACTTTCATGCCTAATCACAAGCTCTATGAAGTCAGTTGGTTGCAGTACAGCAGTTAGTTGCAGTACAGGAGGATCTTGGCATCCGCCCCCGCCGTGAACACCCAGGGCTGGGTGGGGTGGAAGGCGCAGTCCAGCACTCCGCCCAGGGTGGGGTGCGGCGTGTGGCCCCCGCGCAGGATCTTGACGGGCACGATGAGCGGGTTTGTGAGCAGGTCGCTGTACACCATGCCGTGGAACACCTGGGGGGGGGTTAGGGGGTAGGGGTTAGGGGGGGTGTAGAGGGGGGGGTGCAGGTGGAAGAAGAGGCGGGTTGGGTTTGACATATGGGCATCCATACGGAATACATGGGGTTAAGGGATTAGTGTAAACAGCAGCAGCAGCAACACGATCCGGGAAGAGGTGGCTTACATACACGCGGTTAGCAACGAACCGGCTAGTACGACGGGTACCGTGCTACGCCGCTGGGCCCTGGCTGGGCTGCAAAGCTGGGCCTCCTGAACGGCTCAATCGGTCCCATGCATCCCTCCCGTGGCTGTGCTAATGCGGCTCACCTGCACCGTTCCGTCGTCCGAGCTGCTCGCGAAGAGCGGGTAGGAGCGGTGGAAGGCCACTGCGCGAGGAGGCTGCTGGTGGTATCTGCGGGTCAGGGGGAGCAGGTGAGGTGAGGTGAGGGGGTGATGAGGGGTCCCAGTCCAGCTCTCTAGCCCCCTTCTCCTGCGACCCCTCCTTCACACACACCACCTTTGTCTCCTCTCCCTGGCTCCCCTTCCCCTCCACTCTGCCCCCCCTCCCACCTGAGCGCCTTGTACGGCTTGTTGCTGAGGTCCAGGTCGTACCATGCCACCCGCTTGTCGTCCGACCCCACCAGCACGTGGTCCCCGCTGGGGTGCACCGCCAGGCAGCTCAGACTGCCGCCGCCGCCCAGCAGCTTCTTGGCTAGCGCCTGCTTGGCCAGGTTGTACACGCGGACCTGGCGGGGGGTAAAAAATAAAGAGAGGGGAGGGGGAGAGAGGGAGAGAGGGGAGGGGGTCAGAGACCGAACCACAAGCGACGGGGAGAAGGGGGAGAGGGCGAAGAAGGGTGCCAGCCCCCTACCAGCAGGCCAGCTAACAGCACCCCCCCCCAGCAGCGACGGCCTCCGGCCAGCACGACTCACGTGGTTTTGCGTGGCCACGAAGAAGAAGGGTTTAGTGGGGTGGAAGGCCACTCGCACCACCCGGCCGCGGTTTTTGCGGAAGGGGTTCTGCGAGGCGGCCTTGCTCAGCTGGTGCACCACCACAGCCTGCAGGCAGAGGGAGGGAGGGGAGAGTTGGAGAGACGGAGAGTGGAAGGGGGTGGCAAGAGGGCTGGGGGCTAGTAGGCTGTGCAGGGAGGCAGGCAGGGCTGTGCAGGGAGGCAGGCAGGGTTGTGGCAAGTGAGGCTGTGCACCAGAGCCGCAACATAGCACACTCCGGCGGGGTACCCCGCGTCCACCTGCCGTCTCAGGCAGAGGCCCCCGAAGACCTCCCTCTCTCCTAGCACCCCAAGGCTTCCACCCCCCCCACCCCCACCCCTCCCACCCCAGCCCCCCCCCACCTGCGTGTTCCCCGTGGGCGCCACCGTGGCGAAGTAGTCCCCGCGCGCATGCCAGGAGAAGTGCCGTACAGGGAACCGCAACACCACCTGCAACCCCAGCACACGCCCCGAGGGCCCGGCTGCTGCCGACGTGCCCCCCCGCGCCTGCCCCCCATCCGCCGCTGCTGCTGCTTGGCCCTCTCCATCCGCCGCCGCTCCCGCTGCTGCTGCCCCAGCCTCCTCAGCTCCCGAGGGCGCCGCCTCAGGCCCGCTCCAAACCCGCCACACCGCCAGCTCCCCCGCCGCCTCCTCCCCCTCACGCCCGCTGCTACCAGTTCCCGCAGCCGCCTGCAGCGCCGCCTCCGCCGCCTGCTGTACCTCCTCCGGTCCCGTGCCCGAGGGCAGCAGCACCACTCGGTTGCCCACCACAGCGCTCACCAACCGCAAGTGACCCGCGGGACACCACGCCACGCACAGCACGGGGCCGCCCAGCTGCCACGTGCGCCAGCAGCGGCCGCTGCGCACCTCCCATATCCGCAGCGTGCCGTCCTGGCCGCCGCTGAGGAGCCACTGGCCGCCCCATGGGTCGGCGGCGATGGAGTGCACGGGTCCCTTGTGCCCCTCGTAGGTGAGGGCGAGGGTGGTGGGGAAGGGCTGCAGGTCGCGCGGCTTGGGCAGCTGGGGCACCAGCGCTTCGGGCTTGATGTCCAGACTGGCGTGGGGAGAGGGGGGAGGGTGGGGGGGTGGGGAGAGGAGAGGGGGGAGGTGAGCGGTGAGGAAGGGGTGTGTGAGGGCATGGCAAGGCAGGTGCTGTTCGTGAGGTGGAAGGATGCAAGGCAAGAGGCAACAAGAGATTGGACAGGCCTTTCCGCGCGGGACCAGCAATGCAAAACGCCCAGGGTTCGCAAGGCACGCATGCAGGACGTGTCCCTCCTCGCGCCGCCATACTGCCCCCAACCCCGCACCACCCCGCCCCCAACCCGCACCCCCCTCCCCCTCCTCCCCCTCACCGCTTCCTCCGCACACGCGGGCACAGGTACAGGTCCAGGCACCGCTCGAAGCGCTCCTTTATGAAGTCCGCGTACGCCGGCACCTGCCGCAGCGAGGGGAAGGCGGTGGGCAGGCTCTTGCGCTCTCGGTCCTCCGGGTCCTCCATCTGCCAGGCCGCCACCTCCTCCTCCGTCGGCAGGTACTCGGCAGGCGGGTTGTAGCTGTCCGCGTGTCCGGGCAGCTGGGGCTTGGGTGCGGGGATGTAGGTGAGGCCGCTGCCGCTCTTGCCGCCCGCCCCCAGGTCTGCGGTGCCGTCGTCCGCCCATAGCATGTAGACGGGCGGCTCCTGGGGGGCCTGCTCGGCGTCGGGGTCCTGTGGGGGGAGAGGGAGGGAGGGAGGGAGGAGGCGGGATTAAGAGACTGATAAGACTGATACGTACGGTAACTCACATACGATTACTTACGGCAACTTTTGTCACAGTACAGCACATGGGGGCGCCAGGCTCCCCCTCAGCACCCCTCGCACTGACCTGCTGGGTGCGCGGGGCGACGCGGATCCAGCCCTTGCGGATGGCGCGAACCAGCTTGACGATCCTGGAAGGGGGGTGGAGGTGTGGGGTTAGTGCGGGGTAAGTGGTTGCAGGTGGCGGCGTCATCCGCTTGTGCGGTGTATGACGGGGGCAGCACCCGGCGGCACCGTGGGGTCGCTGCATGCGCCCTTTCATGGCTCCCCTCACCTCAAGTGTCCTCGGTCCGCGGCTCTCGTCCTATCTACCCCACCCTCGCCCGCCTACCCCGCCCCCACCCCTCTCCTGCCCCCGCCCCCACCCCCCTCCCGCCACTCACTTCTTCTCCTCCCACTTGGAGGGCACGAAGCGGCTCTTGGGCTCGGGCCGGTCCACGATGGGCATCACCTCGCGCTCCCGGCTGAAGTAGTCGTTGTACGGCTCGAAGGGATTCACCTGAAAGGGTTACCGTAGTATTAGGGAAGGGTTACCGTAGTATTAGATAGGAGCCCTTTTAGTAGTAGATTGCCGCCCAACGGCCCGTCCCGCAACTACACCTCCCACCGGCATCACGTGCCCCGCCCTCGCCTCCTTCTCCCCTCTTCCTCTTTACCCCCGCCCCCTGCCCCCCCCCCCCCCCGCGCACCTCCACATGTGGGAACTGGCCGCCGCGAATGCGCATTACCATGGCCAGCTCCTCCCGCGTGAGGGTGATCTCCTCGTCGTTGTAGGGGTCGTAAATGGTGCGGAGCGCCTGGGGGGGGGGAGGCAGGGCAGAGCAGGGCAGGGCAGGGCAGGGAGGAGGAGGGGGAAGGAGAGGGCTGAGTGAGAGGCCAACTGAGGGTTGCATGTCCCAGGGTTGCATGTCACGTTGCAGGTGGTGGGCGGCGGCGGTCCTTCAGCCCCCCGAGCACGATCCCCGAGTATCCAACCCTCTACCAGCCCGCTGCCCGGGGGGGGAGAGGTCAGCTGCCCGGTGAGGGGTTCATCAGCAACCTGCAGCAGCACCATCAGCTGCAGCAGCCCGCCGTGCGCCCCCCGAAGCCTCGCAACAACAACCCACAACCCCAACCCGCATCAAGCGGCGGCTCCCCAGGCCCCCTCCTCCCCAGGCTCCCTCCTCAAGCCCTCGCAGTGCCCCCCCAGTCCCCACCTTCTTGGAGTCGTTCCGATCCAGCAGCTGCTGCAGGCGGTCCTTCCGCTCCGTACGGGCGATACGGCGCCCCTCGATGTCGTACCCCACGTGCTCCTCGTCCTTGTACCACTCCAGCGGCACTGCGCCCACCGTGTTGCGGTTGGGGCGCTCATCCTCGCTGGAGTCGCTGCCCGGGTCCACGGGGGGGACTGCTTCGGCTTCGGCTGCTTCCGTGTCGTCGTCGCCGTCAGCAGCGGCAGCGGCGGCGGGAGCGCCGTTGGGGCCGTTTTGATCGCCAGCTGGGCCAGCTGCTGTGATGTCCGCGTCTGGGTTATCATCTGAAACTGCTGCTGCTGCAGATGATTTTCGCGGCCTGGTTGGGGAAAGGGTGGGGAAGGGAAGGTTTGAGGAAGGGAAAGGTTTAGGTAGCAGCGGCTGGCACGCTTGAGCGGGTGTTGTGGATGGATGAGGCGTCGATGGGGAGATTCCCACCCCTGCCCTGGACTGGTTTACTACAGGAAACGCAGCGCTATGGCAGGTGGCAACTTCCCTCTGGCACCTCCCGCACACTGCAGGCGTTCCGCCCTGGTAACCGCCCTGTTCATGGCGTTGGTCGCACCGGCGCCATGCAAATAGAGCCTTGCCCTTACGAGCTACGGTAATCTCTTCCATGCGCCCTAACGCGGCATCCCAAAGGCTGATACATATTATACCTTGCGCTCTGCGCGTCTTTAGCCCCAGCCTTGTTCGCTGCTACCGTGGCGGCGGCCTTCTGTTGCGCCCGCTCCGCTTGCGCAGCCAGTAAGTCCAGCATAGCCTCCTCAATCTCATCCTCATCTACATCTGACGCTGTCCCTACATCATCGTCATCGCTGCCTGCTTCGTCCTCTCCGTCGCCGTCTACATCGACATCGGCGTCCTCTGAGCTAGCCTCTCCGTCCAATTCCAGATTATCAAGGTCATCTTCTTCACTTTCTGGTTCGGGCTCAACTACCTTGACGGGTTCACGCTTTGAGTTACGTTTAGCCATGGTAAAAGTGAGTAAAGATGCTCTTACGTATGTATAATTATCCTGTTTGTATAAGGTAGCACATTGAAAAAAGATCAATATTCGGCAACAAAAGACGCCAACGCCGCGTTGTATTAGTACTACATGCGCGATACTACAGGAAACGCCCCGCACCGTGACATGCTGTGACCATCTTAATACTCATTTGGACACTGGTGACGTAGCTTACAAGATATCGAGCATATTTCTACGGTATAGCGAGTTGGGGAAGTCGGTGAATGCTGCCCATTTCCTTCAGCTTAATCCTTTCCCTAAGCGGCGTTACCTGCACTTCACATATCCTATCTTTATCCTTATTCGGCGTACCGACTTAAGGCATCCAGCCGTAGCTCCAATCAACCGTTGATTGCTTGCTGCTGGAAGGCAGCGCGACGCCTGAACACGCTGGCGACAAACGTTAGCGCTCAAGAGGGCACTGGGGCCACGGCCGGCGCCTCTAGCGCAACCTACATTTGCACTAGCACCGCCGGCGCCGCTCGCAGCACGCGGGGCCGAGTAGGCACGCCTCTGCGGGACGCCGTGGAGGCGTGCCAGGCGGAATGGTTCGTTGAAGAGATGGAGGTAGGCCAGAGCTTCACTTACACCGCTTCTCCTTGCTCTGAGGCAACCGTTATGGCGTTTTCCCGTACGCGCCGTACACTTGCAGGAGGCCGCGGGCGGCAACCCGGTATCCATGGCGCTGGTGGGTCAGATGCTGATCCAGGGGTACGGCTGCAGTCGCGACTTGGAGGCGGGAAAGCAGTGGGTGGCGCGAGCACTGGTGACAGCGGAGGTGGGAGTCAGGGCGCCTCCTACTTGCTGCTCCCTAGCTGCATGCTGTGTGCAGTGTTGGGTCGGAACAACGTACATACCCACCGTTCCCTCACACACACCATCCCGCGTGACGCGACTTTTCATTGCTGGACCTGGTTGTCCTGTTTTAAGCCCCACCGCATGCCCAATCGCGCTTTGTTCCGCCTCCCGTTTACCCTGCCAATCATCCCGCGCAGGGCAAGTCCGATTACGCGCACTTGATGGCCGGCTGGCGGCTGCTGCATGCCAACGCGGAGCAGCAGCCCGTGGTGGGCGGGAAACCGCAGCCGCAGCAGTAGTAGTAGCCTCCATACATGTCCCCCACGGGTTGCATCTAGCTATGGAGGGACTTTAAGAGCAAAGAAAGGTGCATTTGGCGCCTTGCAGTTGCTGTGAGAACAGCAACAACAGTCATTGCCGCACTAGCACCAGTACACCGCCTAGCGATCGCAAAGTAAATCGTGCTGCTGGCGGTTGCCGTACGTGGACGTCGTACGCCAAGCGAATCACCTTGTTATTACGTGGTGCCGATCATGTTGGAGGTTTGGCGGATACGAGGACACTGGTAGCTAGGAGGATAGGGGGACACGCGCAATGCCGGTGTAGGTGGTCAGCAGGGCAGGTGAGCTCTTGAAGTAGCAGGTAGGGTTTTGGCTCCACGGTGGGCCTGGAGCCTGATGGGGGCTTCCCTAAGGACCACGACCCATCATGTTGGCGCCATGCATGTACGTATGTGGAGGCGGGCAGTCAAAGCCCCCCTGCCTTGAAACGATGGCTGCTGGAAATGCAAAGCCCCGCTCATGATGTCATGAACTGCCGTACAGAGCACCTTGCCGTACATACCCTGCATGGCAACGGGTTAGTTGCAGTGCAACCATAATTCACTTTGCCGTTCCGACCCGGCAGGGCGCTGCTCCGCCGCGAGTAGGGCGGGGCGGTGCGGGGCTGTTTCGGGCGGTGGGTGGTTACCGGACCTGGGCCGCATCATTCGTGGACGCGCTGTGCTGAGGACTGTGTAGCGGACTAGATGTGCGGGTTTCTGTCCCGCGGGGAGGCTGGTGGCGCTTAGGAGCGAGCGAGCGGGTTGGTTTGCAAGTGGTGGGGTGGGGAGCGTGCAGGTGGCTGCCTGGACGGGGCGCACCCACCAACGGCAGCAGTTGGCAGTTGCCGGGAGTTGGGGCCCTACTTAGCTAGATAGCTGTGTACGGCGGCCTCTTTGACCGGCTCACTTGCCGTGTGGAGGGACATCTTAGCATTCCTTCCTGCTGGAGTGGTACCGGTATGAGTGACTGTTACAATGGTCTCCCTTCTAAAAGAGGGAACACGGGAGTGGAAGGCGTTTACACTTGCTCGGGGCCCCCGCACCGAGTTTGTTTCCCGGTGCTAACGTGCAGGAGTCACTCCGGTGTGATTTAGTTGCTTCACGGTTGGTTACTTCTTGTGACTAAGGACATCATCGGCCCGTATATATCAACCAGAAGCCATGTTAACCCCTCGTCCATGCGATTGGTGCCCCGGTGAGCTGCTAGACGGCTTACTGTGCCGCGGGCTCGATCTGCGTGCCATGTGGCAGCGTTGGGTTTGCCGCCAGTAGTCGGCTATCCCAGCAGGGCCCTTCCGGGTGGGTGGGTGCGGTGTGTCCATCCAGCCCTCCGGGTGTTCTCATCCGCCTCGTCCGCCTGTACATTGCTTCTGGCTTCTGTATGCCTGTTGTGAGGGGGGTGCTGTGACTTGACGGGTTACTTGTTCACGGCCGCGGCCTCCCTTACGTGCAGAGGGTCGAGCTAGATAGGCAGGTGACGGTTCGAGTGTGTCGTACCGAACCTGGGCGGTGTGATGCGGCATGTGGGGACATGTGGGCAGGTGGCTGCCTCTGACTGCCCTTTACTTGCAAGGTGAGGCTATGCTGCCTGCATATACGAGCTTGACAGGTGGGGATTCCACATGTCCCTGGGAGACTGGAAACGTGCTGGGGTACGGTATAGATTAGCTGCTGTGATCCGTTCGCATTACAAGCTTTGTCGTGTTGCTTTGTTCCATGCATTCTCCATAAACCGGTAACCTCCACCGCCCACATCCTCTCATTCAAATAATCCAATCGAGCACATGCAAACATGTTCGTAGCACGCGAGCACAGCAGTCATGTACGCGTCTGGTATCAATCGTCCAAGGCGGCTAAGTCTCGTCGTACTGACCCATGGGTCGCCTAGCATTGCTAGCGAGCTCGCACCAAGTCTGACATACAAGGTCGGCCAGGTTCGCACAGTAACAACAAACAGATAAAGCATGCACACGTGTTAACGTCGAGCGATTGTAGCAGCAAGTAACACCCCAGTTAGGAACTGAAACGTGCCATGCACCCAGCGCTTCATTATCATATTCCTCCAAGCCATGCGGCTAGGGCGGGAACCCCCAGCAGTCCGAGTGCCCGGGAGCGGCTTCACACGCAGCCCCACACAAGCGTCGACGTCGTCACGTGAAACAGCAGCATGCGCATGCGGCAGCCTTACCGGTACTTAGACACACAGTAGGCCCGTTGGGAGACGCCCGTCGATCTGTGTCACACAAGATGCAATGCTAGACAGTCCGCCGATGCCAGCTGGTGTCAGCCCATCAAATACCGGTACGTAGAGGAGCATACGAGACACGTATAGAGGTTGGCGGAAGCTCTTTCCCCCCTCCCCGCCAGCTGTGCATGCGTCGCCTCCCCATCACCACTCCCCATGCCTGTACCGGCGGCAGCAACTAGACCCCATTCCCCCAAGCCCCGGTCCTCAGCAGCTCCGTCCTCCTCACCTCATGCCCGTGTAGCCCAGGTCCAAAAACGCACCCCGCGACAACCGCAAACCCGCTGCTGCCTCCCCCACACCCGCAGCAGCCCGCCCCGTCATCCCCGCCATCCCCTCCCCCCCTGCTGCCAGGCCGCTGCCAGATCCCACCCCCAACTCTACCTCCGCAGCAGTGCGGCTGCGGTAGCGGCTCAGAAGCGCTTCCAGGTCCTCATCTCCATCGCCCCCGATAACGCCCGTGTAAGAACCGACCGTATAAGGCCCTCCAAGCGCCCCTCCTCCCTCACCAACCACTAACGACCCGAACCCGCCACCCATGTCTAAACCACCACCTACAGAGGCCCTGGGGGCGTAGGCAGCGCCGGCCCCCGGGGCTGCGAACGCTGCAGCCGACCCGGCTGCTGCAGCTGCAGCCGCGCGGGGCAGCGGGGTGGAGGTGGAGGAGGCAAACGGTAGTGACGGCTGATCCTCGAGGAGGAAAGGCATGCTGCTCGAACGGATGTTCCTGGGCAGGCGCTTGTCCAGCGCAGCAGCGACGCCGCCCCCGCCGCTGCTGCCGCTGCCGCTACCGCCGGCGCTAGGCCCCTGCCGCCCAGTCAACTGCCTTTGCCGGGCAGCCAATGCAGACGCGGAGGGAGCAGCAACAAGGCCATCCGCCGCCATCCGCTGTGCGATAGCAGCTGCGGTGACCTTGGTGACTGCCTCTCTTCCTCCGCCACCGCCGCCACCACCGCTGCCGCCGCCGCTGCTGCTGCCCTGAGACCTCATCAGAGCCACCCCTCCGCCGCCGCCGCCGCCACCGGAGACACCGAACATGCCACCCGTCGCTGCTGCGGGGGCGGCGGCGGCTGTTGGTGGCGTGGAGCGACGCAGCTGCTGCGCCTGAGACTGGGCACCTAGCGGGCCCGCAGGGTGTGTTTGGGTATCCTCCTGCGCCGAAGCACCTCGGGCCCTATGGTTGCTGGCGGGGAAGGAGGCGGCTGCGGCTGAGGTGAGGTAGGGGGATGAGGGAGCTGCGGCGGAGTAGGGCCGCTGCTGCGGTGGCGGGATGCGCTCGGAAGCTGCCAGCGCCTCGAGCTTCTGCAGGAGCCGAGCATGCATGAGGAGGGCATGGAGGTGCATGGGTGAGTGCATGGGGGTGCATGGGTGGGGTGAGAGATGTACGGCATCAATTCAATTCCACCGGGGGCGCTAAGACGGTAGGACACGTTGCAGGCGGGACATCGCACCCACGCCTCCTGGTGCTCCCAGCGTCCTTCCACACTTTACGTCACACACCCGCACCCTCACCCGCACCCTCACCCGCACCGCACCCACCTTCAGGTCCGCCGGCTCCATCTCATTCCCCGCCAGCGCCAGCACCCTCAGGCTGGCGTTACGCCGCGTCAGCACCTCCTCCAACCGCCGGCACCCCACCAGCCCAACCGCATTGCGCCGCAGATCCAAACACGCCAGTACGGCATTACGACCCAGGGCCTCCGCTAGGGCCGCCACCCCTCTGTCTCCCAACTGATTGCCTGCAAGGTCCAGCCGGGTGAGTCGCGGCGGCGGCGGTTGGTAGGGAATGTGCGCGGAGGGCGGGGGCGGCTGCTTGCGCGGGTGCTGCTGCTGGGAGGGATGGGGAGCGGAGTGTTGGGGGAAGGGAGGAGGGCCCAGGGCTGCGGCGAGGTGGGTTGCGCCCTCGGCGCCGATCTTGCAGCTGTCCAGCGAGAGGTGGGCGAGGGAGGGCAGGGCGGAGAGCGCCTGAGGGAGCGGAGGGCGGGGAGCGGGAAGGTGGAGGAGCGGCAGTACGGGAAGAGTGGAGGAGGGCAGGAGCAGGAACATGCAGGTAGGAGCATGTGAGGAGGAGCAGGGAGGCATAGCAAGTACGGCGGTACATGCTGTTGAGGTTTTCAGGAGGATACAAGGACATATGCTCCACCAAGAAGATCTCCTGTGGAGGTACCGGCGTTCTGCGCTATGCCTCTCTCCCCTCGCATCCGCATTGCCCCCTCTCCGCGCCCCCCCGCACCCGCACCCGCACCCGCACCCGCACCCGCACCCGCACCCGCACCCGCACCCGCACCCGCACCCGCACCCGCACCCGCACCCGCACCCGCACCCGCACCCGCACCCGCACCCGCACCCGCACCCGCACCCGCACCCGCACCCGCACCCGCACCCGCACCCGCACCCGCACCCGCACCCGCACCCGCACCCGCACCTTGGCCAGGTGCCGCACCCCGCTGTCCCCCGTGTGGCTGTGCGACAGGTCCAGCTGCTGCAGCGCCGTCAGGTGCGGCAGCGCGGAGGACAGCGACGCGGCGCCGTCGGGGCCCAGACTGGGGTTCTGCTGCAGGTGCAGGATCTGAGGGGGAGAAGGAGGAGGAGGAGGAGGCAAGGGAGGCAGGGGTGGGGTAAAGGGTTTGCCCTGTCATACCGGACATGCTAACCGCTGCGCCCCTGCAACTGCCATGCCGCCTGCTGCCATGCCCTGGCACCCTCACCTCCCCACCTCCCCACCTGCCACCCAGCAACCCACCCACCCCCCAGTCGGGATTGGGACTCCGTTGATGCACTTATCTATATTTTACCCCCCCCCCCCCCAAAGCTACCTGCAGCTGCTGCATGCGCGGGAGTGCGGCTGCCGCCAGCTCCCGCAGCGCCGCATCGCCCAGCTGGTTGGCGTCCAGGAGCAGCTCCTGGTGGGCGCAGGGGGTAAGGCGGGGAGGGAGGGAGGCGGGAGGGAGGGGGGGAGAGGGGGAGGGAGGGAGAGGGATGGAAGAGAGGTGTAGGAAAAGGGAAACATCCGCGCTGCACAGTGAAAATCCTGGTAGGTAGCAAGTGCGATTGCGTGAAGGGTTGGGAAGAGGAGGGAAGGAGCTCATCGAAACCCCCATCCCCCTGCAGCCTCCCCGCCCGCCCCTGCCCCCCCGCTCCTCACCTTGAGCCCAGTGCACGCCCCCAGCGCCCCCTCCCCCGCCAGCGCCCGCGCCCCCTCCCAGCCGATGCCGTTGTGTGACAGCACCAGCACCTCCAGCCGGGGCGCTAGGAGCGGCAGGCAGCGGCAGAGCGCCTGAGAGGGAGAGGTGGGGGAAAACATAGATAAGTGCATCAACGGAGGTGGGGGAGGGGGAAGGAATGGAGGGAAGGGCGGAGCGTCGGATAACGATCTACTGATGACGTGGCATGGTGGAAGACGGGGGACGGGCGGCGCTACCTCCTCTACTACCCATCATGCGCCCCTTCATGCACCTGTCCTGTGCCCCCTCCCCCACCTTGCAGCCCGCGTCGCCCATGCCGTTGAGAGCCAGGTCCAGCACGCGACAGCGGGGGGCGCCAGCAGCGGCAGAGGCAGCAGCAGCAGCTGCTCCGGTCCCCATGCGGCTTCCACTGCTGCTGCTGCTGCTGCCAGTGGCCGCCGTCAGAGCTTCCAACACGTCCGCCACTCCCTGAGCAGCAGCAGCAGCAGCAGCAGCAGCAGCAGCAGCAGCACGGGGCAGCGCATGTGGGGTGGGGGCAGGGGAAGTCACCAACAGCAGCCATCATGACCAGCGGCACCCTACCCTCATCACGTCGACAGCCTCATCACCCTACCCCGCCGATCCCATCCCCCAAGTCCCCCGAGAGCCCCCACCGCCACTCCCTCCACCCTTCCCGCACCTTGGGTCCAAAGCCGTTATCCGCCAGACAGGCCATCTCAAGCGCCGCTAAACCCCTCCGGACACCACCAACACCACCGCTGTTACGGCCCCCAGCAGTAGTAGCAGCAGCAGTAGTAGCAGGGCCGCCGGCCGCCGAGGGGTGCTCCTCCTCCGCGCCCGCCGCCTCGCGCGCTGCCGACAGCAGGCATGCCGCCCCCACCGGCCCCACCTCGCTGCCCGTGAGATTGAGTGCGAGCAGGGAGGGCAGGTGCGGCTGCGGGGGGGCAGGGAGAGCAGGGAGGGAAGGGATTGCTGGATGCGTGGATTCGGGTGTCTGCGAGGGGTGTCTGCTCATTAGCCCGGGATCCCCTGTTACTCGGCTAAGCTGTTCTGGCTAAGACCCTAACCCTAAAGCACTCCACAACCCGACCGGCCATGGATTTCCCACAGCCATGGTTGCCCCCTTCGCCGAACCCCCCTTACACCCTGTCGTCAAGCGTTTTACATGCTCAACAAGCCCCCCTGCTTTCCCCCGCGACCCTCGCTCGCCTCCTCCTTCCTGTGTTTCCCTCCTTCAGCACGCCCTTTGCCACGCTTACCTTCACCCGCCGCAGCAGCAGCGCCAGCACCAGCGGTCCGCAGCGTGAGTCACTCAAGTCCAACACCCCTCCGCCGCCGCCACAGCTGCTGCCCTCCTCGCTTCCCTCCTGCTGCGCCCCGGCCCTGCCGCCGGCCCCCGCTGCTGCCGCCGCAGCCTGCGCATGACAGCAAGAGTGACACGGGGGCTTAGGGGTCCGGGCTTCGTGTCATGCATTCGGCCAATCCGTCTGCTGCCCAGACTCCTTATAACGAAGCATGAACAATAACGAAGCATGAACTCAACTTCCCCGGCCTCACTCTGTTCTCATAGCTGATGGCCTCCGTCTTTCCTGTTCCTCCCCACCCTCCTCAACCCCCCTCGGCTACATGTTGCAATCCATGGCAACGCCTTGTCACACCCACGTGCTGTTACTTTCTTCCTCTTTACCCCCACATAGTTGCTCAACACACGCACACACGCCCGCCCAGTACGCTCAGACTCGCGGCCAGTTTCCTCAAGCCGCCCGCACCTGCAGGTCCACCCCATTGAGCTCCCGCAGCCCCGGCAGCCCCTCCAACGCCGCCACCAGCACCGCCACCGCGCCCGCACCCAGACGCCGGTTGCAGGCGGCAGGGAACCAAAGCGCCTCCAGCGGCGGCGGCGGCGGAGCTCCTGCCGCCCCTGCCCCTGCCCCTGCTCCTGCCGCCCCTGCCCCTGCATCTGCCCCTGCTGCGGTTGCGGTTGCTGCGGTTGCCAGTGCCGCTGCTCGCGCCCGCAACGCCGCCGCCACTACCTCGGCATCCTCGTCCGACAGCGGCGTATCCTCAACGGAGGCACCGGCCCTGCCACCGGCACCCCCACCCCCACCTCCTCCTCCACCTGCTGCTGCTGTGCCGCCGCCTGGTGCCCCCAAATAGATGACAGAGGGAGGCTGCGGCTGCTGCTGCTGCGGCCGATAGCCGCTCTGCTGCTGCTGCTGCGCGGCGGAGGTGGAGGTCGTGGAAGCCGTGGAGGCTGCAGCAAGGGAGGAGGCTGGACGGCCGGCGAGTGCGGCGATGGGTATGCGGGAGGAGACGGTGATGGCTGCCAGGCGGCAGGCGGGGCTGCTGAGGGCGGCCTCCGTGATGCGGCGAGCGGCGGGGGCGGGGCAGCCCTGCAGTGTCAGTGCCGTGAGGGAGGTGTTGCCTCGCAACACCGCACACAGCACCTCCGCAAGCGCCTCCCACCCGCCTCCACCTCCGCCCCCTCCTCCGCCTGCTGCTGCTGCTGAACCCCCCAGCTTCAGGTGCTGCAACCCCACCACCGCACCACCACCCGCACCCAGACCTCCCGCACCACCACTACCGCCAACGCTGCTACCGAACGCGACGCCGCTTCCTCCCGCCGCCGCGTTGGGTTGTGACAGAGGCATCAGCAACTGCTGCGGCTGCGGCGCGTTGAGGAAGCGTAGGTCAGGCATGACGCGCGTCCTGGACAGCGCGAGCGGCTGTAACGCCCGCGGCGGCAGGAGCGCCAGTTGGGGGTCTGTGAGGCCCAGGCGGGCGGCGACTGCTGCCACGGTGGCGGTGGATGTGGAGGCGGCGGAGGAGGAGGGGGGTGGCGAGGAGGAGGAGGAGGCGGGGACGGAGGGCAGGGGCAGTCGGGTGGGCCAGGCGGAGCGAAGAGCCTCGCGGGCCTTGCGAGAGGGACGGGGGGCAGAGAGGAGGGGAGGGGTAAGGAGAGGGGGTGATAGGAGGTTAGAGGAGAAGACAAGAGTTAAAGTCCCAAGGCTGCACCTCTTACGTGTGGAGTCTTCACAGGCTTTTCAGCCCCCGCCGGCTCTTCTAACAACAGCAGCAGCGCCAGTCCCCTCTGCACCGCCGCTCCTACCTTCCCCTAACATTGGCCCTCACGATTGGGGTATAGCACCGGCATGCATCCCCTCCCTGCCGCGCACGTCACCCCACATCATCACTCCCACCCCCACTACTCACCATCTCAAGCTGCTGCTGTACGGTGGGGTCGGCAGCGGCAGCCCCCACCTCCCCCGCTGCCGCTGCTTCCTCGCAGCTGAGCCCCGGGGGCGCCAGCAGCACCAGCTGGCAGCCGTGGCGGGCGGCGGCAGCTAGCTCGGCCCTGGGGGAGAGAGGAGGGAGGGAGGAAGGGAGGGAGGGAGGAAGGAAGGAGGAAGGTGGGGAGGTTCTGGCGTTCAGGATGAAAGGGACCTTTGCGTTTGGGCCACGGTCAGTGTATGTTCCTGCACGGCTCAGTCGATTTGCCCACCGCCCCACCCTCACCCCACCGCCCCGTCACCCTCACCCTCTCACCTGGCCATGCGGCTGCGCAGGAGTCCGGGCCGTGCCAGCACCACCACCGCCGCGGACAGCCCCGCCAGCGGGGCGGAGGGGGGGGACTCGTAGGGCTGGTCGTAGCGGGGCTGCGGAGGTAGCGGGGGGGACGAGGGGTGGGTTAAAATAACTGGCCGCGAGGCGAAACGTACTGTGATTGCCGAAAGATGGAGTCCTCCCACCGAAAACGCCACAGGTGAAGTGAAGTCCGTTGGCTATGTTGTAATAGAGCTATCGAGTAGTATCGGAATCAGTGTAAAGCAGTAATAGCAATGTCGTAACGCGACCGGACCTAAGGACCGGAGTAGTAAGTAGGTAGGTATAAGTAACCGTCACTGTCGTGTGTAAACTGGATGTAGAGAAGCTGTAGCTGTCGCTGAACAGGGGTAAAAGCAGGGGTGATGCCAAGACGTCGCAGTGCATGCTCGAGCAAAGCAGGACAGGAAAAACAAGTGCAGGACCACTATGTGCGTATGCGAATATTACTGTAGACTGACCTGCAAGGCAGGGAGAACCAGCAGCCAGCAGCGAACACACCAGTAGTCAGTACCGAAGAATGTTGTCGGAAGGACATGCGAGGGCAAATGGGAAAACAGGGACACACGTGAGCGCGGCCGGAAGCTACCTAGTAAACTAATGACTGGGGTGGGTGTGCATGCGGGATTTGCATGCGGGGATCAGGGAATATGTGATGGAGAAGGCAAAAGTGCTACGGTGCAGGAACCAATGTAAGCAGATGCACCACCCCCCGGCTCCTGCTCTTCCCCCCTCCACCCCCACCCCCACCTCCCCAACCCCTCCTCACCTGCGCGCCCGCCGGGTCCAAGTACACCCGGTACCCCGCCCGGCTGAGCCCCGCAGCCAGGGCCCCCGCCACCTCCGCCACCGCGGCAGCACTGACCCCTGCCGCCCCCGCCGCCTTGCCCTTCTGCACTGGCCTCCTGTTCACCCCTCCCTGACGCAGCGCCCCGCCCTCCTGCTGCTGCTGCTCCTCCTGCTCCTCCGCCGCCTCCCAGTCGCCCCCCGCGCCGGTGACGAGGTAGGCGCGGAAGGCCAGCCCCAGCACCCGCAGGTGCTCCGGAGCCGCAGCTAGGGCCGCCTCGGCAACCCTGCGCAGGGGCCGGTGCAGCCGGTGCAAAACACACGGTGCGGTGCGTGTCAAGGCGGAGGAGTCGTGGCGAGGGGTGCATGCGTGCATCCCTCCATCCGCATTGCCCATGCACCCCCCCTCCCTGCCTGCCGTTCCCTTCCCTCCCTCTCCTTTCCCCAGCTCCACCCCGCACAGCACAGCCCTCCCCTCCCCGCCTCCCCACCTAGCATCCGCCAGCTCCGCTGCTGCCGCGTTGCGCCGCTGCTGCTGCAGCAGCTCCCCCAGCTGCGCCCGCTCAGCAGCCACGACACGGGAGAGCGCGCGGTGGCCGTCGGCGCGAGCGGCGGCGGCAGCGGCGGCAGCAGCGGCAGCGGCTGTAGCAGTGGCGGTGCTGGCAGCAGCAGCGGCGGCGCCGGGCTCAGCTCCCTGCTGTGGCGGCTGCTTGTGTGGCTGTCCTGGTGATCCCCCACCTGCGGGGATGAGGTTGGGAAGGGGGGGCGGCGGCGGCAGGTTGCGGCAGGTGAGGGGGGAGGCTTGAAGTAAAGAGAGCACGAGTCCACAAGCGCTGCGATTGTATGGGTGCCGGTGTGATGGAGTAGTGCCACAAGCAAAGTCAGGTAGACGCCCAGCCACCCCCAGCCACCCCCTGCTCACCCGAACCCACACACCCAGCCACCCAGCCAACCCTACCTGGCAGTGCCTTGCCTCCTGCTGACGTGGGCCGGGCGGCGGGTGAGCCGTGGACAGCACCGGGTGACCTGCGAATGATGATGAGGAAGACACATGCATGCAGCACAGCGTCAACCAGGGAGTTTTGCCAGGGTACCGTATTAGATAAACGGAGCCGCGGAAACACTGACCCTGACTGTAGTTTACCGGGAATATGCCACCGGGTATGTAGGTACCGGTGTCCACACATGAGGAAATAGCGCCACGCAGCAGCAGCACCAGCAGCAGGAGCAACGATAGGTGACAAGAAAACGGTAACCACGGTGCCAACCCTGCCGTCCAACCGTTTCCTGCTGCATGCACGGCCCACGCCGCCTCACCACGCCGCCTCACCACGCCGCCTCAGGCCACAGCCCCACATGAACACCTGCTAGCTGCAATAACAAGGAAAGAAGCCCCCATGCATGCAAATCCCTGAACCCAGGTCACCTATGCCAACCCCTGAACCCAGGCCATGCATGCCAACCCCTGAACCTAGATCAGGCATGCCAACCTGAACCCAGGTCAGGCATGCCCCCTACGCATGCGCCCCATCACTCAACAACCCGCCCACCAACCCACCCGGCTGCCACTCCCGGTCCGCCAGCGCCCCCAGCTGCAGCCCCCGCCGCCAGCGCCTCCAGCGCCGCCGCCGCCGGGTCGGCCGCCCGCACCGCCGCCACTCGCTGCGCTGCCGCCGCCAGCCGCTGCTTGGCTGCCTGCGCGGCGGCCGCCGTGGCCTGACAAGCCTCCTGGATCTCAGCCTGGAGCAGGTGGGGGCAACAGGCGTAATGGGTTAATGGCAGGGGGGCATAAGGGGTACCGGCACCGTAGCGTTGTAGAGAAAGGCATGCTTGGGGGGAGGGTGTGGGGGCAGAGGCTGAAGGCCGCCTGCAGGGTATGATCCGTTGCCTGCAGGGTACATGATTGTGCCTATGGGAGCATGCAAGGGAAGACCGCGGCGCCGGTAACAGAGGAGAAGCTGGGCCGCATGCACATGACAAACACGCACACGCACACTCGCACACACCCGACTCACGGCCAGTTTTCCCAGCACACGCATACCTGCTTTGCTGCCGCCCGCAGCGCCTTCCGCTCGGACTCCTCCGCCGCCTTGCGGGCTGCCACCTCGGCCTTTGGGGTGGTACGGGCGGCGGGAATGTGCGGTGGGATGGGGCGGGATTATTCCAGTCCATAGCAGTCATCCCTATGCCGTACACATTACCCCACCGGCCCCCCCAAACCACCGCACCTGCAACGCCGCCGCCGCCTTGTCCCGCTCCGCCCTGGCTGCCGCCGCCGCCCGCCGCTCCTCCTCCAGGGAGGCCTGCAGCGAGGCAGCCTGCGGGGACGGAACGGCGGGAGGGGGAGAGAGGGGCGCAGGAGTCTTTTGCAAAACGTTTTGTGGGATTGCGAAAGGTGACGCAGGGGAGTAATGAGTGGAAGGAAGGAAGGCGACACACCGGCAGGCCCACACCTTTCCGCGCACGAAGATACCTTGGGCATGATACCCGGGGAAATTCTTATTGCATGCATGCATGCATGCAGGTCTGCATCACTGGAAGAGGGATGGTCTACAATGTGTTTGTCAACCCGCACGCACGCACACAAGCGACCCATGGGTCATACAGCTCCTCGGACCCCCACCCCTAGAAGAAGCACACAGCACAGCACAGCACAGCTCCTCCCCCCACCCCGACTCCTCCTGCTGCGCCCCACCTTGGCCTCCAATCGCACTCGGTCCTGCTCGTGCTGCCTGCGCGCCAGTGCGAGCTCCCGCTGCAGGGAGGCGGCAGCAGCGCGGGCAGCGGCGGTTTCGGAGGCAGCAGCGTCGATCTCCTGGAGGGGGCGGGGGGGGGGAGGAAGGGAGCGGGGTTAGAGACATACCAAAAGCACAGGTTAGGGCAAAGCGGAGCGGGGGTGGGCGGTTAAAGAGGGCATTAGGGAGGTCAGTGTATTGGCGCCCCGTGGCCAGACTGGCGCTGGGGTAGGGAAGGGCAGGGGAGGCATGAGGAGGTAGTGGTGGCAGTGCGGGATGCCTGGGTGGAGGTGCTGCCAGGGTGCGGTAGTAGCGGTATCGTCCCGGTACCGTACCCTACCGGCATCACAACCCCACCATCACCTCATCGCAAGTGCCTCCATCAATCCGCCACTGCCCTCAACCCTCCACACCCGCCCTCCGCACCCGTCCTTTGACTTGTGGTTCCATTCGTGAGACGTTAGCAGTCTCTCTGACCCCCCGCCAATACCCTCCCACCCCTGCCCGCCCGTGCGTTCATTCCTAGCATGTCAGGGTTTTCCCCTCATGTTCCTTGTTACCCACCCGTGCCGCCCGCGCCGCCTGCTCCCGCAGCTGCGCCGTCGCCGCCGCCAGCTCCGCCTGCGCTGCCGCCAGCTGCTGGTCGCGTTCCTCAGCGCCCTCCTCCAACTCCAGCTATGTGTGTAGGGGTGGGGGTGGGATAGTTGGGTTAGCGTATTATGGTAGTTGGCAGGGAGCCCACACCCTTCCCCCTGCGCTCACTGCATGAGTCGGGATATGGGATTGGGACTCGTTGTTTCACTTATATTATTTTCCCCCCTCCCCCCGCACGCGCCTTCAGCCTCCTGGCCTCCTGCTGGGCTGCCAGCGCCTCCGCCCTCGCCCGACCTAGCTCCGCCTCCGCAGCAGCCGCACGCTGCAGGGCAGCCTGTTGCGGGCGGGGGAAGGGGAGGGGGGCAGCCGGGGTAAGGGAGGACGGAAGGGGGGGCAGAGGGCGAGAAGGACCGGTGGGGCCAAACAGGATGGGCAGGGGGACAGGCACATGGCTGGCTGCACGTCGCGTTGATGATGTGCGTTAGCGGCGTCATGTGCGAAGGTAAGAGCATTAGTACCATGCAGGCGGCGCCTGGAGGAGGAGCACGACAGCGTGGCGAACCCCAATCCACCTCCTCCTCGCGATCTGTCCGCCCCTGAATCCTGCTTTTGTTGCCGAGCCACGGTAGCCGATGCGGCGAGACCCCACCCCTAACCTCCTTCCTCACTCCCTCCCAGTCCCTCTCCCCGCCCTCACCTGCTGCTCCTCCTGCGCCTGCTGCAGAGCTCGACGGTGCTTCTCCTGGGGGGGGGTGAGCGGGATATACCAGAACCACAGGTTAGGGCAAAGTAATGGGGAGGGAGGGCTCCTGGGGTGGAGCGGGGAGCGGGAGGGATAGCGGAGGTGGAGGCAGTACCTTTCGTGCCCGCCCCCTCCCCCCCTGCGTCGCTCCCCGGGCCCCCGAGCTCACACACGTCCGGCGGCCTGGCCCCCAGCTGGCCGCACCTGGCCGGACACATCAGCCATGGCCCCCAACGCCCCCATGCACCCACCCACCCACCCACATGCCCCCCCATGCACGCACATCGGCCATGCACCCAGAGACCCCACAGCGCTGCAGCGCTTCCGCCCCATGCAGCAGCGCGTCCGCCCGCCGAGTGCCTTCCCGCCGCTCCCCTTGTACAAACTCAAAAACACGGCACGCTACGGCGTCCACATCCGATGCGAAGGGGTCCTGACCCGATCCTTCACCCCTCCCCCGTCTTCCCCGTTCTCCCCACTCTGCTCGCCCTCACCCCGCAACCCTGGAACCCCACCCCACCTCTGCTTTGCGCGCACTCGGCGACGCTGCCAGCTGCTGCTGCTGCAGCCTCTCCTCCTCCTCCTCCAGCCACCCAAAGATCCTATTCACCTCCCGGCTGGTCCCCATCACAGGGGCTGTGCCACCTGCTGCCAGCCCGGCTGCGCCTGCTCCTCGCAAGGGCGCTCCAGCTGCTGCTGCCGCCGCTGTTGCTGCTGCTGCCCCGGCCGGTACCCCTACAGGAGAGACACCTACCCCTGCTGCTCCCTGTCCCTCCACCGCTCCATTTCCAGTAGCCGCCGCGGATCCGGTATTGTTCCGACCGCTGCCATTGCCGGCACCGGCACCGCCTGCTGCTGAGGCTCGTAGAGGGGCTGCCGCGGCGGCTGCGGCAGCAGCCGCTGTAGCAGTAATAGTAACGGACCTGGCTGTGGCTGCAGGCTGGGTGGCGTTGGAGGCTGCTGCTGCTGCTGCTGCTGCTCCAGACTGTGCACTGGCACCGCCAGTGGCAGTAGCAGTAGCAGTAGCAGCACCTCCCCCCTGCACCGGGGGTTGCTGGGAATGTGGTTGCAGCTGGGTACTGCTGGCTGCTGCTGCAGCTGCGGGCGCTGGCAGCACCGCTGGTGTCGACGATGTGCCTGGGTGCGCCGCACCCGCAGCAGGACCTGTCGCAGCTGCTGCTGCTGCTGCTGCCGCAGGTGTTGCTGCGGCAGACGCTGCTGCGGTGGTGGTAGCCCCAGCAGCAGCAGCATGGCTGGCGGCTTTTATGGGGCTGGAGTTGGGGCTTGGTGCGGGCAACGGTAGGGAGGAGGCGAGGGGCTGCCTGGGTCCGGGCGGTGGTGGCTGCTGCTGCTGCTGCTGGCTTTGGCGGGCAGCGCTGGGGCCCTGCGTCTGTGCCGGCACCTGGGTGCGGTCCTGGCTTTGCCGGGCTGGCGGCTGCTCGGCGGCCGCCGGGGCTGAGGGAGGCTGTGGCGCCGACTGCTGCTGCTGCTGCGGGGCAGAAGGGGCCAGGGAGGCAGGGGAGGAAGGACGGCATGGAGCAGCGGAGGGAAGCCCTAAAGGACACGTCAGGGGGTAGACTGCAGCGGGTTGCAGCCATTCGAGGGCAAACGAGGCAGTTTTCGGACCGCATCGCACCGCAGGCATCAGCGGTATGCCTTCAGCGGTAGGGGTGCAGGTCAGCGGCATGGGTCAACGGCAGCACGTGTGGCCTGTCCAGTAGTAAACACCTGTCTTACAGCGCCAATGCCATGCTGGAATCCACCCATCCACGCAGCTTTACAGGCAGCAAACGGTCCCACCTTGCTTGTGGCGATTACTCGGGCGCCACTACCCGCCGGCTGCTGCTGCTGCTGGGCCGGCGTAACCCCAACCACAGCCCTCGGCGGCTCTGCAGCAAGCATGCACAGCCATGAAAGATGAAACAGGTTTAGCTGGATCAGCACGAGTTGATCACCAAGAATGGTATAGCGCACTCCAGGGCGCCCCTGGTGGCCCTAACGGCGGTAAGGGGTTGCAGACCTGCTAGGTAAGGGGTAGCGCAGGCGCACCTGGGAGGGCGGGTGGGACCCGGGCGCTGGTTGGGCGGGCGGGAGCGGGGGGCACAGGCCCGTAGCCATCCGTGCTGTCACGTAGGCTGCGGTACAGGTCCTCCCGGGAAGCATCAACCTACACAAAGGGTGTTTGCGTTCGAGGGCACCAAGGGCAAGGGCCGCAGAATGGGTCGTGGGGAGGGTACATGCACCGGCAGGGTAGCGTGAATGCGGGTAGGCTGCATGGCAGCGGTCAGTTGTACAGCAGTGGCTGTGGTTTAGGCCGCCCCTAAGTTACAGCGTTGGTCCCTGCTGCTTGACGCTTAACAGGAAAGACATGGACCCGTATTCCGGTTTATGTATCTATTGCCGCTTAGGCACAGGGGAGGGCTTAGGGAATCGCACCTCGGCGAGGGTCGCCACGGATGCGACCTCTGGTAGCTCCCATTCGTCCGCAGAAGGTAGGCCCGAAATCCACTGCTTAACCTGCTGCTCCTTAACCTTTCCATAGCCTTCTGGTGGACCTGTTAATTTGCGGCCAGCTAATGCCAATGGCACTGCCTTCGGAGGCATGCTAGGGTCCGACTATAGTTCGCGGCGTGCATGTGCAAAAACGGACGTAAACATGCTAAATCTTAGATCATTTGTAAGAACCATACAGCCTTAGAGCATGCGAAATAGGTTGTCGTGTCTGGACGAAATAAGGCCATGTTTATGGGGAATGTGGCAACACCTACTCCCCGTATTGTAAGCCATGCGAGAGAAGGTGCTCCATAGGAACGATTGACCGCTGCAGCTGTTGTTACTGGATCCTGTGCTAACCGTCCGTACATTTGGGGACGCTGCCCTGGATATACTTTAGCCCCGCGCAAAGTGTTAGTTGTCATGAAGTCCTCGACATCTTGCCATAATTTCGCTGAACTGCATGCGGACATGGGACATCGGTAGCAATATGCGCAGCCGCATACTCCATCGGCTTTCCACTGCCGCCCTGTACTGGCTATACAGTCACCGCTTAGTAGGTCCTCTACCGTGGCTGGTAGCTTTGCAAGGGTCAAGGAATGCAATCCTTGCTTTCCTTGGTCTATTTCGCTTGCACGTACCTGAGTATCTACTGGAAAAGGCCACCGTCGGCCGGATGACAATCTGAGGTTTCCTGAGTAAGCCCCTTGGGCCTCAAAAAAAGCAGATGAAACTCGTTGCCAGCTAGCTGTCTCGCCGCTGGCTATAGGCACTACTGAACATAGTACCAGGTTGTGCCAGCGGCTCAGGTAACGTTCACCCCTCGGTACCCCTTTCACTGCCTCAAACCGCCGACCTTCGCAGGGCGACAGCTTTTCCTGCAATCAAACAGGCCTGAACAACTGCGGTGTTTCCATTGACTAGGCTTGATCTTTCATGGACCTGCTAGGTAGAGGATACATTATGCAAATTTGAGGTCGGACAGATGTGTTATTCTGGCTGTCAGGCCTATGCCCACGAACCGACGTGCCCTTGTTAATGGGTGTGCACGTTGCGGGTCGGCAAGCATAGAGCCTGAAGCACTGTTCCAGATATCCTTCAAACGCTTGGTGTGCTGCCTAAATGCCAGCGGCAAGCCCGCAAACTGCAGTGCTACCTCGGGCCGGCATCCTCTCGCATCCGGTTAGCGCAGTTCCAGCCGGATAGACTTCAGGACAACGACCAGCAGGCCCTGAGCTTTGCGGGTGTTCTTCGCGGGCTCACAGCGGGGCCAGCGCTCAAGTGAGGGCCTCCAATCATTTTCCCGTATCTGTTGTTGCCCAGAGCGCACGTCTAGCGTGAATTCGCGCACGCAGGCGTCCATTTCGTTGCGCAGCGCGTGGCACGCCAGGCGTGCATTGCCCACGCTGCTTTGGTTTTCGATTGTTTTTTGCTGAGGGTTTTAGCACAGGCATGCTGAGCTTGCGAAAAACGCCCACAAAGCTCAGCGCCTGCTGGTCTTTGTCCTGAAGTAAAAGGCTCTCCATTTTGCTTTGTTACTGTGAAACAGGCAACGCAGTCTTTAGGGCTATTTAACTGCATGGAACCTCCGAGGTTATCCTTGCCCGCACGAACCTATTCGATCACTTTCCTTCGAACATGGAAGCTCCGAAACTCCAGTCTTCATCGAAAACTGAACGTGTGGAAGAACTCGGCCTGGCACATCTCCTTGTATCTCTTTGGATGACCAAGGCATTATTGTGACGCTCCCACAACCCATACACTCGCTGTTTCCGGTAGACTTGCAGTCGCAGACGTTTCCAGCGCCTTCGCTTGCAACCTTTTTTTCCTGTATTCTGACGCATAGCTTTGTAATAGATATAGCAACTAAACCTGTGACACTATAGTCGCTTGAGTTGGTGCGCGTGTAGCGCGATGCAAGCGCAAACGCCACAGCAAGCGCCGCGTATTCCGCGTTGCCGGTCGGCTTTGTTAAGAAGACCCTGTAGTTTATCCGGGTCGAGCTCTAGGCGGCATCGGGCACCTGCAACGGTTGCAGTGAGCGCGTTGACAACGCAGACAGGGGAGCGGACGGCAGGTAGGCCGCAACTCGCGTAATAATAAGCATGGCCATCCCTCATTCTACGTTTTGGTAGGGCTGTCGTGATGCGAAACTACACGGGGAGTAGCCCTGGGCAGGTGGCGCCAAGGGGCGATCGAAAGCTACACGTCGTCAACTTTTCTGTAAGACGTGTGCTGTCTTAAGAGTATTTCGAAATATGTACTTGCAGGCCATACTTCAGATGCGTGCGACCTTGTGCTTTCAAGCGGCTTCTTAGCATTTGCAGGGCACGCGGGCTTTTTACAGGCAGTAGAGGAGGTGAGCGACGATTTTTTCACAGGTTATACGACCCTCTTTATATAGAGGACAAATTAACTTGCCCTGCGCTGCTGACAGGTCAACCCTTTTTCCCTGATGTCTAACGGAATCTTGGACAGACCCCCCACTGCGATACGCAGCCCCTATTCCAATTACACTTTCCACTAAGCATGAAATGATACCCTATGGTAACGCCTCGTTTCGGCAGGCCGGCCTTCCTGTGCGGGGTGTTATGGGCACCAGCGCTGGGGCGCTTGTGGGTAGCCTCTACTGCGCTGGGTACACCCCGCGACAGGTGAGCAAACACACACGCGGGGTCACCTGGGAGAGGAGGGTATGGCCTGTCTTGCTCCTTGCCAACGCTAATGGGAACGCAACGATTACGAACGATTTAGTGACTGGGGTTGGCCTAGCTTGCATGGTGAGAGGGGAGCACTCCTTGGCTTACCGAGCACCTTCGGCGAGTCTCTCCACGCAAAAAGCATCTGCCAACTCTTCCTCCTTCTTCACTCCTTCACCCCTGCTTTATGACGCAAAGTCCTCATGCTGACCGCTCGCTTCTCCCAACCACGCAGGTTGCCAAGTACCTGTCAGACCAGACGCCCGCGTCCCTCCTGCGCCCCTCTATAGCCCCCTGGCGCGGCGGGGCGCTCAGCCTGGAGGGCGTCATTGAGCGGCTGCGGGACCTGCTGCCACCCAGGTGGGTGGGTGGGGCCATGGCGCGGAGAGGGAGGGAAGACAGAAAGGGAGAGTGCAAAAAGGGAATGTCCGGATGTGGGGCCACGTTGTAACGCGGACCAGCGGCGCTTTCCTTGTTACCGGGATACACGCCTCCACATGCTCCGCTGTCCCAAACCTGTTACTGGTATCCCAACCTGCATCCCCTATCTTCTTCCTCTCGGTACACCTCAGGTTCGAGGACCTGCGGCGGGAGTTCGCGGTGGGCGTGGTGACGGCGGACGGCCGACACCTGCTGCTAGACAGCGGGCCGCTGCCGGAGGCGGTGGCGGCGTCCGCAGCCATCCCCTTTGTCTTCCAAGCAGTGGACGTGCCGGGTGAGGCGGTAGTGGGGTAGAGGCGGTAGTGGGGTAGAGGGCCGAGGGTGGGAGGTCGAAAAGGGGGACAGCTGCTGACAGGGGACAGCGCTAGGGAGAAGAGGGTTGGTATCCGCATTGGTGGATGCCGGTACCCCGCAAGAGCCTCTGCGTGGCGCTGTGAAGGAGAGGGGGAGGGATGGTGTAACTGGGCGGGTGTTGTTTCGCTGCTGAGTGGGTGGGGTAAAGGTGTGGTTGGGATGTAGGAGCATGGGAGTTGTGGTCCACAAGCTCCACGGGAGCAATCCGTGAGGCTTGCAACGGGATTGTGCTGCATGTGACTAACGGCGTGGGCCCTGGACCCCCTACAGTCATGCCCTACCTTTTTACCGAGTCGTCTGAGCGTCATCCTGGTACCGCCTGTCCCCCCCCTCCACCGCTGCAGGCCACTCACGGCACGGTCCCTTCAAGGACGGTGGCGTGGTGGATCGACTGGGGCTGAAGGCGTGGCGGGACCGGCGGCGGTCGCAGCTGCAGCGGCAGGTGAGGGCGGCAGCGGCGGGTTGCGGTGCTGGCTGGGAGGCACGAACCGCAGCGACAAGGACACTTCGCTGGGAACCAGCAGCAAATACCGGGAATGCGTGCACACATGTTCCTACTCGCGGCCAGTTTTCTTAACACATGTTTGAAGTTGCGCTTGCCGCATGCCTTCACCTTCGCAGACACAGCACCCTCTCCCGTGATCGCAAAAGAACTGCCCCGACACCTGCTCTCACGTTGTGTACGATCCAACCCAACAGGCCACTCATGGCTCGGGGCCGCTGCGACCGCCGCCCTGCCTGGTGCACGTCATCGACCGCAGCTCCCCTTTCAGCGGCTTTGATGACACCAGCGCCACGGGTGAGCGGGGGGCACTGTGTGACCCGTTGGAGCGCCCGGCTCGTCGGTACAGGAAACTAAGGGCCATGCGCATGACTCAAACACGCCTGCCCATGGCACACCTCCGCCAGCCCTTAAATTCAATGGACTCCTGCCCATCAGCTCCCCCTACCACCACTGCCCCGTCGCGTCAACTCCCTGTTGACGGCCCTCACTGTCCCGTGTCCCCCCCTCCCTGTTGCCCCGACAGGCGAATCCCACATCCTGGTGGTGCGCTCCCCTCGCTCCTCCGCCAACTTCTTCGATCTGGGCTCTTTCGATGACCACATGTCTGCAGCGCGGGAGCGAGCTCGACCATACCTCGTGCGATTGCGGCAACAGCAGCTGCGGGGAGGCGGCGGCGGCGGTGGTGGTGGTGGGAGCAACGGCAACGGTCACAACGGTAATGGCCACAACGGTAACGGTCACAATGGGAATGGGCACAACGGTAACGGTCACAATGGGAATGGCTACAATGGCAACGGCCACAGCGTGAGCAGTGGGAATGGGAACGGCGCCAGCGGGGTTAGCGCTAGCGGAGCGGAATCGCAGTCGCCTGCAGAGCCCATGGCTCGCGCAACTATCGTATGAGGAGGGAAAGGAGGGGCACTGGTAGGAGGGTAGAGGCGCGGAAACAGGATAGGTGTTGCGGAGGGCGAGGTTGGTGGTGTTATGACGAGGGGGTAGGTGATGGGTTAGGTTGCGTTTTTGACATTAGGAATTTGAAGGTGAAGAATTCTACGCGACTAGCCACGAGGTATACATATCCGTTCGTAAGGAATGCGCGTGTGGGCGGTTGACGTTATGGATTTGGGTGCGAACTTGGGCACGACCGTGAAAGAACACATATATTCGTCTGCAGAAGAGGAGAGTAAAGCGAAATATACCACTCAAGATACTGTATTCCCGGCGCCGTTTTTGAAAGTTGTTTATGCGGGGCGGGACACACACACATAGGTTGTGATGGTTGCGCTCGTGCCTACAGTTCATTTATCCTGTCTGCCTACGCCGCAGGACAGCACAGCACATTTAGTGATGTCGGTTGGTGACAGGGGGCCCTCTAGAAGGCCGCGTCCAAGGCCGCTGTATTTTTCATTTTGGGTGTCATCGGAGCTACGGTTTGTCTGTCGCGATGCATGTTTGTTTTGCGATTGCGGAGGAGGAGGAGGTATGTGTAGTCAGCTATAGACGCATGATGATGGTTCGGAGAGGCCTGCTGCGTGTTCTGCTCGTTATGGTCCCCGGGCGGCTGCTGGGTTTAGCTTCACTTGTTTGAAACGCCTGTTCCTCATTGTACCACCTCCTGCATGGAGAGCCCCCTCCTCCACAGGTAGCACAGTTTTGGGATTGCGGCGGCCTAGTCTTGAGTCCAGGGCTTATGCGGCATGTGGCCTTTGCAGGACATGCAGTCGGGGGCGGTGCGTGTGCGCGTGCGCCACTCGCGTAACAGGGAAGCCAGCAGCAGCAGCTGAAGTGGTGTTGAGAGGGGCGGTGGTATTGCTGGGCCAATGAAGATGCAGGAGTGTGGGCCCTATGAACAAACTTGCTGGTCCCCTTGGTTATTAGGGCAGTCCGAGGGTTGTTTGCTGGCGGCATTATCGGCAATGCCGCGCGCCACACAAGCGGTGACGGGTTCTGCGCTGCTGTGAGCGAGTACTTGGATAGCCGTCTCAGCGGTCGGCCGCTAGCATAAGACGGGGAAGGCGGTGTGGTGTGGTGTGCTGCAGTAAGTCGGTTCGCACGCGCAATAGTTTTCCAGATTGGAGGAGTGAATCCCGTGCCGAGGATGGATGGGCGTTTGCAGGGGTTTGCTGGGGTTAAAACACAGATAGCCCGATCCCCTTGTCCGGCGGTCACTCATGGTAAGGTCATGATGTGTGTTTGTGTGAGTTGCAACGTGCATCTTTGGCATGCAGCTTAGAGCAAGAGCCGTGAGCCGCGTGCAACGCCGGGGGGTTCAACGGCTCGATCGGTCGCAGATATGTAGACCGGCGGGCTCGAGGAGCCGGCGTTTTTGGTGCAACTATGTCTCAATTGCTGCTCTCTTCCCTTTTATATCATTTTGAGCGACCTCTGAACCTTTGGACACTGTTGTTGTTGTTGCCATCCGGTCCTATAACGGACGGTGCATGAGATTTCGTGTGTGCTTGTTACATTGGGGTTAATGGCGGTGCAGGAAGTAAGAGAGGGAACGGTCAGGTAGGGCAGCATGCCGTTTGCTGCGACTGTGCTGCTTCCCGTCGTCTGGGAAACTGCATATAATACACACACTGGTAAGACTGGGAAGCACTGCGCGATGCGGGAGAGGATGCGCCATGTAAAGATACATACTTGTCATGGAAGAGCGCCTGAAATAATCAAATAGTTCACACGTCCACGAAGGTGGTGCGGTGACGCTGGGCACGGCATGGCCATCCAATATACCGCCGCAACAGCAACGCCACACACCCAGCGGCCCCACCTACTACCGTACACCCGCAGGGTGTTGTCGTACTGGCGGAACTGCAGGGTATGAGCGACGCTGCCCCGCCACTGGAAGTAAAGCGTGAATGTTACTGTGTTACAATCGCTACAATCGCGTTGGCTGCTAAATGTGTCGCGCGACCAAGCCAGGACACGTCAACGCCCTGGTCAAGCAGCAGCGCGGGCCTCCTACGCGGAGTGGGGCGTTGCAGTTGGTTGGCTGTGGGGTTGTATGGGGAAAGGCCATGGCATGACGTAATGCGTGAATGAATGGATGTAAAGTGCCCTGTACGCCTGCTCCTTCGTGGCTGTGACGAAATGTTGGAGCTCTCAGGAGGTAGCGGCCGGAGTGGCGCCCGCCCAAGAGCCATGCAAGTGCCGTGCACGTTACAGCAGTACCCAACCGTTTAACTCTTGACGTGCACTTTGCACGGGCATTACGGTATACCAGGAATTGCCTCCCGGGGAGGGAAGAGACGAAGAGTGGTTGGGTGTAAATGTACAAGTGTATAAACGGAGCGTCACGTAAAACCCGTAAACGCTGTTACGTAGGTCCCAATTATCCATAAACTAACGCCCAGCGCCGTCAAAGTGCACAAGGAATTGCAGACTTGGCCAGGAAGACTCGACTGCAACAAACTCCCTGAACCCCGCCACACAGCCTCCCGCACCGTAACTATGGCCACATCGTGGCGTATGTGGTACGGTACCGGTATATCGTACATGTGCCGTACAGCCAGCTCCTCACGTAAGGCCAATCGGGGGTGCTGTATTCAAAGTGATCACAGAGAACGTCCTGTTCGGCAACCTATCTAGACCTACACCTAACAAGCCACCATAGCCACAGAGCTCAGCGGCCCTTCCATGCGCGGCATGGCACAGCGCCTGACAAGCCGGGTGCCTCTCAAACCCTACCTTGGCCGGTCTCCACCCCTCCACAGCAAGTCCTACATCCTACCTATATATCACTAAATCCTACCCACACACATCCTACTAACTCTGCATGCCGTGTTTACAACGGCCCCATTGCCTGGTGGACGAGACCGCACGCACCCCACCGCACCCCACCCCACCCTCATGCCCAGGCCGGCCTGTAAAGCCCCACCAGCTAACAGCCCCGCCACCACCATGCGCCTCTCCATCATCCCTCGTAACCCCTCCTCCTGCTCCTCAACCCCCTCCTCCTCCTCCTGCACTTCCGACTCCAGGTGTCTAGGAGGTGCCGGTGGACGCCGCCGCCAGCCTCTTCCGCAGCGCCAGTGCGTCCCCCGCCAGCTGCTGCGTGGTGACCTGACCGAACTCCAGGTTCTGACTCGCCTTGACCTGCGAGGGAGGCAGCAGCGCGGCAGGGGTCCAACTGGGTTGATGAGTAACCATAGAACCATTTATAAATGCTACTAGTTTTGCCGGGGCGGAGGGCGGGGGGCGAGGGAGTGGGTTGGGGACTGGCAGGGGGCTGCGTAGTGAGGGGCGCTGAGGGGAGCCAGGGGACATAAGGTATGGCCGGGTGGGATGTGGGCGAAGGGCGAAAGGCAACGCGGATGAGGACGGCTACATGGAGGTGTACTGTCGGACTAGACACGGTCCGCAGTTTGGAGTCCGCAGCCCGCATGCCGCCACACACCGGGCCACAGGGCCGATGCGGGCCACGAAGTGCTGCGTACGTGGAGGGAGGGCTGCTTGGGGGGAGCCTTGGAATCGAGACCCCATCCGGAGAACCAACGCAATCAAAGGAATGTCCCTTCCCATCCCGCTGACCTGCGAGGAGATGAGTCGCGCTCCGTCCGCCACCCCGGGGCCGCCCGCACCGCCCCGCGCTGCTGCTGCAGCCGCCGCTGCGGCCGCCGCGTCTGGGACCTTGAGGCGGGGAACCCTGGGGCAAGAGGTCCGGCAGATGGGGTGGGGGGCGGCGGGTTATCGACTTGTCTTTATTTCGGTACATGGCGGCAGCGCTCTTCAGGCATGCCGTACACAAAGCCAGCAGTCTAGCGCTTCTGGTGCCGCCAGATGCACCGTGAGCAGCAGTCCAGCAACGTGTGCCGCCTGCTTGGCACCCAAGCTGCTGCCGCCACCGCACCCCGGGGAGGGCTGCAGAGGGGCGTGCGGCCCTTCACCGAGCCCCCTCACCACGCCCTCTGTAACCCGCACAGCCCGCCAGCAGCTTTCCACTGGCCCGGATTCCCTGTCAGCTCTTCTATCCACATTCCCTTCCCCCTGAACCACCCTCCAGACGCATGCTCTCACTTTTTGCCGGTGAAGTTTTCATACAGGTGTTCTAGCAGCGCAACCGCCGCCCCATGCACGCCCTGCAGTGCGCCCTCCACCAGGTCACCGGGCAGGTTGATGCCCTGCTTGGAGCAGAAGACCTGCAGCTGCGTCCAGTTGTCGCGCTTGTAGTGCGAGGAGGTGGCGTTGGCGAAGCTGTGCATTTGTATGTCGGACTGTTGGGAGACGGGAGATGGGAATTGTGTGTAAGCAACCAACGGTTGGTTGAGGTCTGTGGATAGCGACCATGCACGCATACCGTTAAGTAACCTACCGGAAAGTAACGGGAAAAAATTTCTGCAACTAAGAACCCGTTTGCGACGTCCCTGCACAAGCACACGGGCGAGTAGTGTTGCGTCTAGAAACTCCAGCCTGGATGCCAGGTAGGTCAGTAACCATGTCCAGAAAGCGTATTTACCTCCTGCAGTTTTTGAGCGACTGCGATAGGTCCAAGCCCTGCACCCACTTAAGGACATCTCTGTGCAATGCTGGTGTGTCTGGCGGGGACTCGTAGCCAAACACAGTTTGGTCTTCAGGGCGCTGTCTACGCCCTGACGTGCTTGCTAGAGATGTTGCTGTTTGGTTGGTCATTGTCCGGTTCGTCATGGTTCCAGGGCGGTTTGTTAGAGCTATGGATTGAGCCTAAGTGTACCGAATAATTGATAAGTTGTGTTACTAACTGCATATAGTTGCGTGGCCAAGGACATGGACCTACAAGCCTTTGCGTTTGTTGTTGTCGTGCAACCTACCCGGCTTCCAGATAGATCAGGACGCAACTGCTTAATACACAAAGCGTTACAGCATTTTGACGAGGTCTTCTGCAAATCCAAGCAGACCGCACAGTGGTTGAAAGTCGCGGGCATGCTTCCACATGGCATAACTTTGAAGCGAAGGCTTGCATGGGATTCGACTCAAAGTCGGTTACTTGGGTACAGAGGTTGCTAGAAGTCAGTAGTCCCGGCGTTCTCCGTAACCTTGCTGCTGGCTGGATGGCTAAGGATGCATGGCGATAGACCAATACACAAGCGCATACTGCGTACGCTGTTCAAAATTGTTTAACCTTTGTTTCAGCCTCGTATCACTGTGTTGGAATTCAATGAACTGGAGCACATTACGCGGTTCTGACCACGCGGACCCACAGACCGTGTACAAACCGTAACAGCGTCCAATGCTCTTTCAATAAGGTGCATCATGCATATGACAATCCCCCGTATGCTGGGCTCGGGGCATGGCTCATCTACGGCATCCAATACCCTAACCAAACCCTTCATGCCCTGCTGTACCTTGCCTGTCTTAAGGTGGACAGTGTAACCTCCAATCATTGCGAACCCCCACTGAGCCACGATGATTGCACCGGTCCTTCCAGTAAGGGTGTACACCTCAACTGAGGTACGGGGGCATGGGAAATGTTACCCAAGTCGTTCGCCGTTCGTTCATCCAACGCACATATTGTGCACACACGGTCTTCGGTAAAGCGGGGGATTCATGGCATTCACATGGAGGCCGTTAGAGTCCAGTGGCTGCGCAATTTGGTTACCCTGGGTTGTCCAATGCGCACTGCCAAGCTGCGCAGGGATGTTGCAGAGTTAGGCCAGGCCTGGTATCACAATGTGAATGACTTGGTATGATGTTCTTTGTTGTAACCGGGCCTCCCACACAACGAAAGAAGTAAAAATGCGATGCCTCGGCTCCTCGCTCCGCGACCTCCTCTCGTCATACCGCGTAGCCGCGTTCTCCTAACGACATACCCATAGCTCTTCCTGTCTACTGTGATATTGCTCTTGTCCTTTGTTTGTATTATAGTGATAGGAGCACGTATTGCAATTGCTGAAGATCTTCTACAATAAACGCTTTCAAGGAGCAGGGCACGACCGAAACTTTGACATCAGCATAGCATAGAAGAAAGGTCTATAAGCACTAACAACAATGGCGCGGCGCTATGATTCGCGCACAACCATTTTCAGCCCGGAGGGGCGTCTCTACCAAGTGGAGTATGCTATGGAGGCTATCTCTAATGCTGGCGCTTCGATCGGGCTGTTAGCAAAGGATGGCGTTGTTTTGATCGCGGAGAAGAAGATCACCTCAAAGGTGACCACATGGGTGATCTAACACTCTTGCACCAACTGTACACAGCTAAGCCTGTTACTCCACACAATTTACACAGCTCCTAGACACGCATGCTGTGGGTGTTCGCCGCGAGAAAATGTACCGGATAGACAACCACATTGCCTGCTCGGTTGCCGGGATTACAGGTAAGCAACATGCGCTGTGGGGACCCCAGAATATCCAAATCCCAGTCTCACAATGCTCTTCCTACCGCAGCTGATGCAAACATCCTGATCAACATCTGCCGGCTGGCTGCTCAGCGCTACCTGTACGCGTACCAGGAGCCGATGCCGGTGGAGCAGCTCGTGCGCTACGTGTGTGACACCAAGCAGGTGAGAGCCGCAGCTGCATGCAACCACACGCAATGCTGTGAGGGCCCGGAGAAGGTCCGCAAGCATTGCCCTGCTAGGGCTCCACGGGAGGTTTGTATGTAAGACCTACTTAACCCTTGTCTTCAGCCGCCCTTCATTAGCCATCTTTTGCTATCCCGGTCCTTTCGCTTTCACGGCCCTCTCACGCCCTTCTTGCCTCGCTTTCCCTCGCCTTCCCTTCCCTCCTCCTAACCTCTCCCACCCCACCCCCCCACACGAGATGCGTGTCTTTAGAATAGTGTCTCCGAATGCGCTCACTGCATGAGTCGGGATATGGGATTGGGACTCGTTGTTTCACATATTTAATTTTTCACCCCCCCACACGCAGGGCTACACCCAGTTCGGAGGGCAGCGGCCGTTCGGAGTGTCCATCCTGTACGCGGGCTGGTGGGTGCTGAGGGGGGAGAGGGGGGAGGGGGCGGGTCGCGGATGGTTGGACGAGGAGCGGGTGGGCTAGCTGTGCCCGGCCCCCACGCCGCCCTGTCACCCTGAGCACCCAGCTAGCACTCAGGGCCGTGAGAGGGCCGCATGGGGGCTGTGTGTGTTGTGTGTTGTGGGGGTGCTCTCACTGCCGCCGGGGGGGGGGTGAGGCGGGGGGGGGGATGATCAGCCCGCAGGCAGGAGTGGCGGGTGCGTGGGGTTGGAGGGCTGGGGGGGCGGCAGGGGGCTGGGGAGTGGGTGGGTGGCTGGTTGGGTGGGGCGGGCACAACGGTCTTGCGCTGCATGTGGCGTGGTGGGCCGTGAAGCGAGGTGAGGGAGTTGTGAGGGCGTCCGCAGGAGAGGGCAGGCATGGGGGCGGAGGCGTGGGGCCCAGGGGGGGCGGCTGAGGGCTGGAGCAAGGAGGATGGTCCCCCCTCGTCTGATTGGGATCCCCCCGGTACTGTTGAAGCACCGGCAGGATGCGGTCCATGTGAAGAATCCACCCACCGGCTGTGTGACCGCCTTAGCCGTACGTTACCCCTCCTGGAACCCTACTCCCAGTTATTTTAACACCCGCCTTACACCCCGCCCCGCCCCTCTACCACGCCCCCCCCCTGCACCCTGTGGTGAAGCCTACATGTCACATACACAGCTCATCGCCAGCTTCTTCCTCTTCCCCTACCTCCCCCACGCCTCCTAACGGCGTCTGGATTCCCTTTGACCCTCATATCGGTCGTATGGGAGCCATGCACTTGTCCTCCTTACGCCATAATGAAATTGTAACTCTTAACCTTCCTTACAGTAGGATGTAACGACTGTAACGATAACTCCTGCCTCTCCCCTCCCCTCCCCCCCCTGCGCAGGGACGAGCACTACGGCTTCCAGCTCTACCAGTCCGACCCCAGTGGCAACTACGGCGGCTGGAAGGCGGTGGCCATCGGCGCAGGGCACCAGGCGGCCAACAACCAGCTCAAGAGCGACTTCAAGGTGGGAAAAAAAGAGATTCCAGTGTGCGGTGTGATAGTGGTACATGTAGCTGGCAAGCCCTCAAGGGGGGGGGAACAGGAAACTGACGAGGCAACGAGTTGGGGGGAGGTTGGGAAGCAACTGAGAGCCGAATGTGTATGTCGGGGGGGTGGGGGCCCTGGGGGGCCCCTGACAGCAGCGCGGGGTGGGGGTGAAGGGAGGTACGGCAAAGTAAGCTAGTCTTACGATCCGTCGTTTCCTTCCTCGCGGCCCCGGTAGGGCAACCCCTCTCTTCCTCCTCCAATCATCGCCCTGCCCTCACCCTTCCTCCTCCCGCCCCTCTTTCCCTCCCCCCCTCCCCCTCCCCCCCCAGGAGGACATGCCTCTCTCCGAGGCCATCCCCTTCCTCATCCGCGTGCTGTCCAAGTCCATGGACACCTCGCTGGCGCCCGACAAGGTGGAGCTGGCCACCATCAGCAGGCACCCGGACAGCGGACAGGTGGGGGGGGGCGGGAAGAGGGGGGAGGCGGGAGGCGGGAAAGGAAAAGAAGAAAGGCTCATTGCCTAGCGGCAAGGGGGGTGGTGTAAAGGGGTGGAAATGCGCCTCATGTGGCATGTAGGCTCCACCCTGGTTGCAGCATGGGGGCCACCATTGCACCACCACCGACCAGCGAGGAGCCCTCAAGGGGGGAGGCGGGCGGGCTTCCCCAGCTCAGCTCAGGTCCCCAGCCCTCCTGATGCTGCCGGGGAACCATGTTGCACAGCTGTCCAATCCCTGGCTGCCACCTCTCGCCACCCAGCTCCCCCTCCCCTCCCCGCCTTTTCTCCCCTCCTTCCTCCTCCCTCCTCCTTCAGGTCGTCTACAAGATCTACGAGGCAGCTGAGCTGCAGCCGCTGCTGGATGTGGCAAACAAGGAGAAGGAGGCGGCGGCGCAGAGCTAGAGGTGCTGGGGCAGGGGAGGGAGGAGGGAGATTGTGGGGGGGGGGATGGCGGGAGGTAGAGAAAAGGCGGGTGTGGAGGGAAGGAGGAGCAGGAGGCGGAACGGCGCAGAGCTAGGATGGAGAACTCGAGGTCTGCTTTGGGTGTGAGCGCACGTCGTGTGGTGTGGTGTGGGGGGTAAGAGATATATTCAAACCATAGGTTAGGGCGAAGCCATGGGGATAGAGGGAAGCAGTGCTGCTGAAATCCGGGCAGTTGGGGACTCACTGCGGGACACACGGGGTGTTGTTGTTGTTGTGGCCTGGGAGGGGGCAGGGACGTGGAGCTGCTGGTTGCTGGGGGTTTAGCGAGGGGGTGGATGTGTGCACATGCCCACCACTGTGTTCGTTTCGCACCCTGAGAAAAGCATGTGGGGTATGCACGTGCTTGGGGGGGGGGGCTTGGCAGCAGACGAGGAGGTGCGTGATGTTGATGATGTGTGGTGACGGAGACCCTTACTTGAAGAGGTTTGTGGCATGGTCTATAAGGCCCATAGGGTTGTGCGTCGCACTTGAGTCGTTCGGACTCCCCTGTATAAATCGCATACCAACAGTCGCCCAACCCAAATCAGGCAGCCCAGAAGGGATTCGCAGCGCCCCATAACACAATCTAAAAGCGGCAACAAGTTACAGCTCTACGCAGCACCGTATGACGTGCCCAGTTTTCTTAACACAGAACAATATTGACCGAAGTCCGCATGACCTTTTACCCACCCAGTCCTACCATTACAAACATGGAACTGCAAAGCATATACCGGTAGTAGTTGCAGCGATGGAACGGCCTTTATGTAGTGCGCCCAACAAATACTAGCTGTGTAATAATCCAAATACCCCCGTCCTTAATATTAACAAGACTTCGGAATCCGGTCGAGGAAAACAACCCATGTCAGCCTTTGGGGAACGGAATGGTCCAGTTGTACGGAATCCCCTCTCATCACTTTTGTGCGGCAGTCAAGTGCTCGGGTTCCGGATCCGGAAACGACTACTCGGGCGCACACATTGCGCAATGCATTACCCAACATCAACTGGGTGGAACAAACATCCTGCTCTTCGTGTTTCTCACGTTTAAGTGCTTCAGATCACGCACGTTGGCTTTAGACCTGCAGGGTGCTCAGCCTAGCCACGTTTAAAACGAAAGCGCCTCCAGACAAACAAATACATAAACCTGTGACAAGCCGAGCTAAGTGCGTGGAGGTAATATTGGCACGATTATTATTTGCTGAGCCGCGATTGCTTTCGCTCGGATGCGTCACGCATCGTGACTTCCTCCTGACATCATCGCTGGTCTTACAAGGCATTGCGCACTGCGGCGCTTATTACAGGTTCGCGGCCATTCAGGAGGACAAGATGCGAGCAGTCGCAGCGACCCTGGCCCGGCGGTGGAGCAGCAGCAGCGTCTCTGCGGGCGCGACGGCCTCGCGACGACCCATGGGTCATCTTAGGGCCATTGCTGTCTCTGGAGGTAAGGGAGCCGTGAGGTCCTGGGATCTTTGCCAAGAGAAGCTCCAAAACCTGCCGCAAGTGGGCTTCCATTGAGCAACGACATGCTCACGACAAAGAGTGCTTCCTTGGGCATAGTACCGCACCTTCAACGGCGGCTGGGTGGGACCATCCTGCCGTTCCTGCGACCACTATACCCTCACCCGCTTGCTCCTTAACCCCACCTTCATTCCCTCACGCCCTCTCTGACCACTACCCTCCTCCTCCAAACACAGGCTGGCTTCCCTCCCTCCGGGCCCCCTCCACCCCCTCTTCTTCCCTGCTGGTCCAGTGCCGGCGGACCCGGAGCACCTCCCACACCTCCGACCACGAATACCCCGGACCGCACCACCCCACCCACCGCTTCGGACCCCTCGCCGACCCGGACTCCCTGCCGCCGCCACTGCCGCAGCAGCAGCAGCAAGCTCTCAAGCCCCCCAAACCCGCACGCACCCAATCCCAGACCCACCCACCCCACCCGCCCCATGCGCCCCAACACCACGGTCACCACATGCACCTAGGCCGCCGCAACACCGGCCCCCCGGCTGTCGTACCTCCCCTTGTCGTATCTCCCTCCCCGCGGGATATCTCTCCTGAGATGCTGTCGGCCAGTGCGCCTGTGTACCCGGGGGGCCGCGGGCATGCGGCTGCAGCGGGGGCGGGTACAGGCAGGGGTGGTGCCGTACGTGCTTACAGGAGCGGGGGGGAGCAGGGGCAGGGAGGGAGGGAGGGGGAGCCGGACAGCAGCAGCAGTAGCAGCGGCGGCGGCGGTGGAAGCCGCATTCCAGCTGGTGGTGGTGACCAGGGTGGTGATGGAGGCAGCGGTGGCAGTGCGAAGCGGTCTTCTTACCCGCGTGAGGGGCTGGAGGAAGACTCCAACTCGCCACAGGTGGGTGGCGGTGGGGGGGCTGCAGGGGTTGATGATGGTGGTGGTGGGATGACAGGGAAGAGGCTGGTTCCTCTCAAAAAGATGCATTCGTACATTCGTAAGGATTGTGTCAATTGACGATCTTCTTCGCAACTGCCTCTCATGTTCTACTTCCCTCCTCGACTTTCGACTCCCAACACCACCCCACGCCAGGTCCTCCGAGATGCTGGCATGCCCCCCGGCGCCCAAGTGACCCATGGGCCACCCAGCAACCCGAATCGCAGCGGCAGTGGTGAGCGGGAGGAGGAGGAGGGTGACTCGGAGGCGACACCGCCGCTGGCTTCCTGAGCTGGGCCGCTCGTCTTAGTCGGGGTTGAGAGTGCTGCGGTTGGGGTGTTTCAAGGGCGTGGTGCCCTGTGACGGTGCGGCAACACACAATGCAGGGGGAAGCCGCTGGCAGACGTCACATACGGCATACCGGTATGCGCCGTAGGGGTGGCCTATGCGGGGGCCGCATGGGGTCTGTTCCCGCCCCTGTTGCTCGTAAACTGATCAAAGCTGATGGGCGGCGCTGGGCAATGCGATGCGGGGAGTGATGCTAGTTGAGGCTTTGGAGGTCCGAAGCATTGTGACGAGCTGGTCGGCGGGTCGGCTCACGACATGAGGAAGTATAGCGTGCATAGGAGTCTAGTGGCTATAGGTAGTTCATGATGCCTTTCATTGCGGCGGGCTGTCAACAATTGAATGAGTTGTCGCCGTACGCCGTACATCTGTTAACGCGGGGAATGAGCCACAAAGCGGGCTGTGGGGCTTCATCACATCCTGGTTTGCTTCCCGGTGCCAGCCCCTCCCTGCAGTCGTCACACTTGTGTCTGTCTCTAAAATGTGTAGCATAATGTGTAAATAGTAGTGCATATAACCAGAGCTGTAGACCAGATTTGTAATAAAAAAAGCATATAGCTCTTGCACTTGTGGGATACCGGTACACGCTGCCGTCCCTCGGGGATGTCCTGAGTTCCTGACAACGCCGCAAGGGACGCGCGCGTCCTTTTGCTGAAAGGTTACGCCGCCACAAAAAGGGATATACCGGTATCTAACAAAGGCCGCAGTTCCTTTCGCTTCCTACGACCCTGTGAGGGACCTGCCGGCTTCCCTCACCACCACAGTGTCAGCGGCACCCCCCCCCCTTGCTTAGCCCTAACCTGTGGTCTCCTATGGTTTAGTATGGTCTTTGACCCCCCCTCAACAACAGCGAGCTGTGTGCGGGAGCAGGCGGTGTTTCCGGGATGCCCGTGCCGGGTAGCGGGTGGCGACCCAGGGGGCGCCTGATACCGTAGGCTGGGGCCATGCAGTCCCGGGCGGAGACGCTGGGAGGTCAAAGAGCTGCGACCAAAACAACAGGAATCCACAGGTCAGGGCAACGCAATGGGGATGGGGGCGGCAGGGTGCCACAAAAGGCGTGTTAGCGGCTTCTACCGATACCGAATCGAGAAGTGGAGGGGTCAGCAGCAGGACTTGAGGGGCAGCGGATGGAGCCGGCGGGTTGAGGTGGGGTTGATGGGTGGAAACCCCCGACTGGAAACCACAGCACCCTGCAGCGCAGACTTGACATGGGTACTTGGGTAGTGGCTCTAAACCGTTGTTGCCCCGTTTCGATGTTAGGCATTAAGTTTCTTCGGGGATAAGGTACATTCATCGTGTGAGCAGCTTTGGAGCCACCTTTAGGAAGCGGATCGTTGCATCGGCAGGACCAGGACGGTGCACGCGCACGGGCACGTGCAGGCGTGTGCGCATTTCCTACTACTGGTAACCAAAGGCAATCCCTGCTTAAGGAAAGGGGCCTATCATCTTCGAGCAAAGGTCCTTCATCGTTCCAGCATTGTGCTCCAGCAGTACAATGCCTCGCTGAAAGCACAAAAAATGACACATGTTCGTACGTCATCTGATCGCGGAATTGTGATTCTTGTCAACTCCTTGCAAGATATTTTGTAACAGCACTGTGCAACTTATTGATGTCCATCGTATGTTACAGTACTTCTGCACTTGTTACCATGTATCGTCAGCGTGCACGGACAGCGTGCGCCACCGTCACGAGCGCTTCGTGGAATACCCATCAGGATACCATATGGTGACCTTGCAGTTGAAATAGCGTAGCCTTGTTCTCCTTTTATGCTTGTTTCTCCCGAACGGCTTGCAAGTGATAGCCGCTGCAGCCGGTTTCCTCGCAGTCTTAAGAACTAACTAAGCGCTAGTAGCACGCGTATGTTGTTATCGAACGCGGTGTGCCTCCATGAGTGGTGGTAGGATGCGTTAAGACGGGTCATGCAAAACTTTGGTTAGTCTACCCACCGCGCTTGTTATCTGGACTATGAATTGAGAGTACTAGCAGCGTACCTATGAACCAGCCCTCGACGACCTTTGGCGGAGGACAGCGGCAAGGAACGTGATGGAACCAGTCGATGGGTGCAGGACGCAAAATGTGGTCACTGACTCAGGACCATTTGGAAGTGAGCTAAGCGGTGCTTGTAATGCGGCCCTGGCGACGATGGATTCGGCAACTACACCGGAGGATTGCTACCTAAACTTGCAGTATGCAAGGCATCAGCCGCAGCAGCCCGCCAATGTACCGCTCAACATCACGCTCTCATACCTGCCTGTGGCAAGCAAAGGTTGCCCACTCTCCTGCGGCAACCTTGTCTGGACGAGCCATCCATCGCCATCCCAGCCCCCACCCCTGCGCGTTCCGCGTGGCTTCATATGCCCTATCGAGGGAACCGTCATGCGCGATCCGGTCAACCTTATCGCCCTTTCGGCGTCGGCCGCCACACCAACAGCCTTAGAAGCCGGGGGCCCTGAAGCTGCCCTAACGGGGCCTGCAGGCCTGCCATGGGGGCTGTCGTACGAGAGAGCCGCTGTAAGCAGGTGGCTGTCGAGTCGACCAACGATAGCAGGTAAATCGCTGAAGAATGGCTCCGCCAGAGGTCAAAGGCTTGAACGGTTTGCATCTTTCATGTGTGCTTTTGAAGGAGGCCCCGGGCTGTGCATGTTAAACCCTGCCTACCCGCTCTTCGCCGGTTGATGCAGCCTACACTTCCTGCCACTCCTTTGGGGCCCTCCAACCCCGCCTCACCTCACTCAGCCTGCTCCTCCATGGCTTCTTTTCATCTTCCCCCCACCGCACAGGACCCCCTCACCAGCTCCCTCTCCCTAAGCGCCCGCAGCAGCAGCTGCTACAACAGCCGCGGGAGCTGTCCCAGCCCCCAGCTCCCGCACAGCCCGGGTTCAAAGTCGTCCCAAACGTGCCGCTGCGGCTCGCCATTCAGGAGTGGCTGCGACTGCAGGAGCTAGATCACAGCGCCGCAGACCAGCTGCTGCTGCTGGAGGCGGAGGCCGAAGCTGAGGCGGACGCGGAGGCCGAAGCTGAGGCGGAGGCGAAGGCTAAGGAAGAACGAGGTAACTTGGACGCAGCTTCAGCTGACATTGCTGACAAGGGCGGAAGGGACGCTGGTGCCGAAGCGATGCACGACCAGGCGAGGGAGCGTGTCAGAGCGGGGACGGGAGCCGCAACCGCGGTAAGGAAAACGGGACTGCATGCAACAGCAGCAGCAGTGCCCTTAGCGGAAGCGCGATGTCCAGCAGCAGTAGCAGCAGCAACAACAACATCGGCGATGGCAACAACGAGCAGTGGCATGACGGCGCCTGTCGGGAGCTCCCCCTTGTACGTCTCCCACAGTAGCAGCAGCGCACCGCTTGTAGCTGCCTTCCCCCCCTCACCTCCTGCTGCTCAGCCTTCCCCCTCAGCCTATCAGCGTCCCTACCCGCGCTGCTCAGCCGCCGGCTCGCAAGGGAGCATCCGACCCGCGGGAGCACCCTGGCCCTGGCCGTGGGCCCTATCCGCCACGGCAGCGGCGGCGGTGGCGACACCCGTCCCCCCTCGCACTCAGCCGCTGTTGTACGTCAGGTCCGGGGCCGCTGCTGCTGCTGCGGCGGCGGCGGCGGCGACGGCTCCTTGCGGCGGCGCCAGTGTTGGCGGCGAGGGCAACTCGAGCCAGCATGAGGTCGTTGGGGCCGTGTGTGGTCTGGCGGCGGCGCCACCGCTCGGGAGTACTTCATCGTGTCCGTTACACTGGCCGCGGACTGTCGCCGCCCCGCTGCAAACGTCGGCTCCGCCGCCGTCGGCTCCGTCTTTGTCGCCATGGCAGTCGCCGCCGCTGCCGTTGGGAAGTCTCGGTACGGCATCTGGAACCTGGTCGCCACCGCCGCCGCCGACGCTGCCACGACCATGGGTGCCGCCGCCGACGTCAGGCTTCAAGTCGACGCCACTACCGCGTCCAGCCCTGACGATCGGGGCGCCGCTGGCCTCCGCTGGCCTCCCGGCCCCGCCTGCGCCCGCCTCCCCTCCCTCGCTACTATCACCACCTCCCAGCCTACCCACGTCAGAATTCAGCTCGGGTATCCGACTCTCATGTGGCGTCGCGGGCAGCTGCGGAAAAGCAGTAGGAGGCGGCCTTGCGGGGAGCGCCGGCACGGGAGGCCCCGGCCTCACCCCCAACTGCAGGGAAGCACAGCCATCAGTCTTAGTGGAGGAGCGTAACAGCTGCTCAGCCCAAACCATGCAGGCTACATCAGGCGCAGGAGGGGAGGAGCAGGAGACGAGTGCGGCAGGAAAGTGCGGGGAACAGCAGATTGAGCCCCCCGGGCGCTGCCAAAAGGTGGAAGCCAGAGCAGAGGCCATGGCTCAGGTGCCAGGTGTTTGCAATCAAGGGGAAACGCAACGACAGCAGCGGGCACGGCGGAAGGCGCTGCAAGAGCACAGGAGGCCGCTGCCGCAGTGGCCGCCCGACCGCCGGCCAGTGCCGCCGCCGCCGCAGCAGCAGCAATCGCAGCGACAGGAGAGGGAGCAGCAGGAGGAGGAGGACGGGGGTGAGCAGGAAGAGCAGGGGTCGCGAGGCTGGTTGGGTTCCGGGGTGTTGAAGGATTGGCTGGGCCGCTTGCGACGGACCGCCAGCGGGCTTATGTCCGGCGGCGGCAGCAGCAGCGAAGGCGCTGGCGGTAGGGCCGGCGCTGACGGCGGCCACGACGGGGATGGTCGTCGACTGCGGCGTGTTAGTTCCGCATTAAGCGTCGGCGGCGCCGCGGCGGCGGCGGCGTCAGCAGTGGCGGCGCTGGGGGTAGCGGCTCGGCTGGGAATAAAGACTGTGACAGCGGCGGCAGCAGCGGTTGCCACGATGGACTCAACGGAAGAGGAGGGTCGTGGGGACGGCACTTGGATTGCCAATGCCTTGCAAGGGGGGGTAGCGACGAACAACGAATACGATGGCGTTGTTGCTGCCGCGGCGGCGGCGGCAACGGTACGGCAACCCGACGGCTGCTACGGTGCCGCCGGTAGTAACTGCGAAGGTTACTTTGAGCTAGACAGCCGCCGTCGCCGGAAAGGTAACCTTCGACCGCCGCCGCCGCCACCGCTGGGAGAGCTGCCGCTGGGGACTCCGCTGCCGCTGCAATGGGTGACGGCGACGCAGCTGGCGGCGTCAGGCCTGGCGCCGCAGTACGACATTCGTACGGCGGCGGAGCTGCGCAGTCAGAGGATATGGGCGTGGCTTGCGGCGGCGCCGCCGGCAGCATGCCATGACCTGTTTACTTGGCAGCGCTGCATGCCGTCGCCGCTGCCGCCGCCGGCAGTAGGAACAGCAGCAGCGGGTGCGGTGGAGGTGAGCATTGAGGACGCGCCGCTGCGGCTCCGTCCTTTGAAGACCGCAGTTGCCTGCCCCAACATAACGGCACTCGCCGTACTGCCACCGCCGCCGAATACGACATACAAACTGCCATCCCTACACAACCATGACGCAGCCTATAGCGGGGGCGTATGCATTGGCAGTCCGACAGCGTATGAAGACGCGGCAAGACAAGGCATCGCAGTGCAAGCGCTCTTATCACCACACGGCCAGTCCCTTGAAGAACTGCATGGGGCCTTCCAACTGCTACGACAGCCCGGCCCGCCGCCGACCCGTGGGTCAGTGGCGGTAATGCTTACCCGGGACCGCCCGTACCACGTCGTACTGCAGGAGCTGCCGTACTCCTGCGATGACGGCCAGCAGCAGCAGCAGCAGCGGTGGAACACCCCGGCAGAGACCCCGGCAGGCGCTGCTGGGTTGGGCCGCACAAGCCACAGCTGGATGATTCCTGCGGTTCATGGACGCGTCACCGCAGTCGCCGCCTGCCCCCGAGGCCAGTCTCTGGCCATCGGGACCTCCGCTGGCCTCGTTTTCCTCTGGCGGCGCTTTCCGTCTGCACCCAGCGCAGATCCCGACTTGCCGGCAGCCTGCACGCCGCCGCCAGACCTGCATGCTGGGCAGACCTCTGCCGCCGCCGCCGCCGCTGCTGCTGCGAATGCGCAGGCGGAAGCCCCCGCAGCCGAAGACGCGTTACCTCGAAGCGGTAGAGGTTCGACCAGCACACAGCCTCCCCGCGCAACCGCAGCGCATGGGGTCGGCGTGGGGCCGGCAGCGGATTGGCAGCTGTGCGGCAGGCTGGGCTGGCCGGAGCCGCTGATGAGGCAGCTGGGGGCGGCGGCGGGGTGTATGGGGGCAGCAGGGGCCGATGGAGCTGCACCCGGTGGCGGAGGCGGCGAAGACGACGGTGCTTGTGGTGGTGGTGGTGGTGGTGGTGGTGGTGGTGGTGAGGGGTTGTCAGCCCCGCTAGCAAATGGCGGCGGTGAAGTCCCGCCGACCTGCCTCAAGCCACGCTCTCGGTCATGGACCGAGCAACAGCAAGCGCGGTGGCGGCACATGACCCGCGACTTGAGCGGCAGCGGCGGCGGCAGCAGCGGCGGTAGCAGCGGCGACTGTTGGTATAGCCTCGACGGACATTCCGCCAGCAGCAGCGCGGGCGGGTACTGCTGCGATGGACCTAGCGGCAGCTGCGGCGGCGGCGGCCATGCGAGGTTGGTGGACCGCAGCGTGACGGCGCTCGTGTACGACGGCAGCGGGTCGCGGCTGTTCGCTGCGAGCTGCGGAGCAGTGGCGGGCTGGGCGCTGAGGCAGCTGGAGCAGCCTGAGCGTGAGTTGGTTACATTCGGTTGGCCGGTTGCTTGGTTGGGTACGATGGATAGGACATGGGTGGCTTTTAGGTTGGAGCAGGCTGTGGCTGTTGTGCCTGTGTCGTACTTGTGTGGTACGGAGATTGTACGACACCAGCCGGTGAGTAGATGCCACAGTCCTAACGGCATCCTAACCGCACCGGGTTGCTGGCACCAGGTTCCTTCTCCATTCCGCCACTTCTCAACCCCGCCACCGCAGGCGTTCCGACCTTACATCCCCCCACCTGCCTGCTCATCGCTCCGGAGGACTACGGCCACCGCAGCGGCAGCGGAGGTGGCAGCTGCACCAGAAGTAGCAGCAGCAGCGGCAGCCCTGTTAGAGGCAGTAGCGGCTGCGGCTGCATGCTTTCCGCCGATCCCGCCACCCATGCAAGCTGCTCTTCCTCGCGCAGCACGAGTACTGCTGTCGACGGCGCCGGTAGCAACAAAAACAGGGTCGCCGCCAACACCAAGCACACTACTATCGCCTACGCCGTTGATAACGCCAGCGGCGGCATGCGGGATGCCAATCCCAACAACCCCGCTGCCGCTGTTGGTGCAATCGACACCTCCACCGGTTTCGCGTCCTGTCGCCCCCGCCGCCACTTCCGTCGCTCCTCCGCCGCCCCCCACCCACCCACCGTGAGCTCACTGGCAATCTCCCACAGCGGCACTCACCTCGCATTCGCGTTGGCAGATGGCGCCGTACATCTCACCATGTACGCCACCTCCGCCGCCACCGCAACCGCCGTCGCCGTCGCCGCCGCCGCCGCCTCCATTGGCAGCGGTGCCTTGCCGGGTGGTTGCCATCTCGTCCCGCGCGCAGCCTGCGTGCGATTGTTGCCGCCGGGTCCGCAGCCGTCGCTGCAGGCGGCCGGGCACACGCAGCCCGGTACGGCAACGCAGCTGGCGTTTACTCGGGACGAGCGGCGGTTGATGGTCTTGGGCTTGGGGCTTAGACCCGGCGTTGAGTCGGACGTTGAGGTTGGTGACGGGAGGCGACAAAGGAGGAGCCCTGTTGCGAGTAGGCTAGCGGAGGTGGAAGCAGTGGAAGAGGAGGGCGGCTGTACCGGTGGCGGCGGCGAACGGCATGTCTCTGGCGCCAGCGGTGGCACTCGAGGTGTCCTTGAGGTGGAAGCGGAGGCAGCAGTGGGCGGGGTGGTGCGGTACGTGCTGCACTGCTTTCCGCTGACTGGGGAAGAGGGCGCTGGGGAGGAGCTTTGGGGCGGCGAGGAGGGGGGAGAAGGCGGCGAGGGGGGCGGGGCGGGTAATAATCAGGCTGGCAGCGCCGGTCGTGAGGAGGTGGTCAGCATGGGAAAGGAGGAGGAGCAGAAGGACGAGGAGGAGGAGCGGCTCATGGGGCTCATGTTGGAAGGGTTGCATGCTGACGTGGCAGGCGGCGGCGGTAATGACGTCCGCACCCGGCACCCGGCGCTGCTGGCTACAGCCGGGGTGGCAGCGCCGACTGGGGGGCTCTCCGGCGGCGGGGACCGCAGTGGTAGTGGTTGTGGAGGAGATGGTGGCGGGTGCGAGGGCGGCGGGGAGTGGTGGCTGGAGTCCCTGGCGGTGCGGCCCAGGAGCGGTCGAGGAGCCATGTGGGTCGTGGGTATGGGGTTGAACGAGCAACCCACCTCCTTGGAAAGGAAGCGGGTGTGGTGAAACGCGTTGCTGTGGTACGGGAGAAGGTGTTTTGGGTGGCATGCAACCTCCGAGTGTGGCATCCTGCTTCCTGGACTTACCACTAGCAGAGTCCTGACTCGTACCTCTTCCTCCACTTCCGTACATTTATTCCATTCCTTAACCCGCGCCCACCCGCAATGCAGGCTTACGAGTCTCACGCTGAGCCCCGACGGCAGCTCCTTGCTGTTGCTGGACACAGCAAACCGCCAACTGCTACATCTGGATCTCAACCGACATCCCAACCACCCATGGACGAGCACCTATCCTGGTCGCCAGCGGAACGGCCGCCTCGGCAGCCCTTGTGCTATCCGGGTCCTGCCTTTGGCAGTGGAACAATCCCAATTAAAGCGGCGCCCGCGCCAACCTAAGCAGGATAGCCATTATCATCAACAGCAGCAGCAGCAAGTGCAGCAGCAGGACAGCAATGAATGGGAGCACAAGGACGGGACGGGGCCGAAGGAGCTGGGTGACCGGGCAGCCTGCTTGCCAGCGGTGCATGGAGCTGGAGGAGGCAGCGCGAGGTGCAGCAGCAGTGGTGGCAACAGCGGCAGCAGCGGCGGTGGAGGAGGAGGAGCCAGTGCATGTGTGGAGGGGAGCAGCTCTTATACCGTTAGCAGCGGAGGCGGTTGTCGCGAGAATGGCGGTGTTGATGGTGCTGCTGCTGGAGGCCTGCGACGGCTGCGGCGGGGGTGGTGTTGCTGCCTGGCGGTGTTGGGAGGCGGGCGGGAGGTGCTGGTAGCGGGGGAGTGCGGGCTGCTGGGCTGGAGGTTTGGGGACTGATGATAGTGAAGGAGAAGAAGGAGGTGACGAGCAGGGAAACGCAGCGCAGTCTTAGGTATGCTGTGCGCAGGTGTGATGGTTGAAAAAGGAGGTGCGGTTGCTGGAGCCTGCTTTTGGAACAATTCAAAACTTGATCTTTTTCCTTGGTTGAATATAATGAATAAAACATACGGCGTGCACCCTTTTGTGTACACTGGAAAAGATGTATCCCGGCCGGAGTCGAAGAAAGGTAGCTGTATTAGACGTGTCAATAGCAGGTCTTGTGCTCGGATGCCCTGTGGCCCCTTTCACTAGCCCACCAAGAACCGGTATTTCGATGAAACACGCCAGCCATGCTTGCCATATGGAGGAGAAGCGAGCGGTGTACGGCGGTGGGTATTCCGTTTTATTTTTATTGAAATTTGTACGGTAGGCATACAGGGGTTAATTCCTTCCTTGGGCTCGCAATCGTGCTCATGCAATTGCTGTTGCTACGGCAGAGTTCTGGCGTCGGGACAGATAACTAACGGTTTCGGCAACGTTTACAGGTTGAACGACCGCTTCTCTTGTACGGCGGAGTGCGTGGTTTAGTGGGTCCGGGGACCCTCCGGGAAATCGGGTTAAATGACAGGTCTCTCCCAACTCCCGCCCAACCATGCTTCGGGCTCGAAATCACTGTGACAGACATAAACTAATGTAAATGGCAAAGCGCCCTGTGCAGGGGACGCTTCTTTATTGGGTCAGGGGTAAACAAACAGCTCGCCTAGTACTTGTCCGTTGTACGGACCTTGTAAGTAAAGTACGGCGAACGCAGCATCAAAGGTCGCAGCACACCAATACCGGTACCCGCTGACAGCTTCGAACCCAGGCAAATCTGGTATCTCTTGTTCGTCTAAGTCTTCAGCATCGGCAGCTCAACATGCTTGCATGCATTCGTAGCGCATCACCCAACGCACCCATGCAGCCACACTCGCTCCTAATGGGCAGTGTCGAAACCCCCGCAGTGTATACACAGGCCACTGGGCAGGTCGCTGACGTCTCAAAACTACCTAGTGTGACGCATCTTGCGTTGACCATAGGGTTTCGCACGCGCAGCGAGCCGCTCTCGCCAACCTCTTCCCCACCACATGCCACCGCCACGTGGCAGGCTCATTCAACCTCCAGATCAAGGCCCTCTCCCTTGGCCCATCCTCCGCACCGTTTGCTGACCGAACGCTGCCCCAAAGCCCGTCTGCTGCGCCATCCCAGCCGCCGACGAAGCCCCCATACCACCCTGCAGCGAGTTCTGCTGCGGCGGCGCCTGCTGCGACGCCGCCGCTCTCCCCGGACCCGTCGCAGCTTGCCCCACCCCAGCCCCTGCAGCCTGTCCTGACCCCAGGCTCCCCATCCCGCCCCCTGCCTGCCCCGCTCCCCCCGCCAGCGCCGTTATGCTGGAAAGCGCGGCGGTGGCGCTGTCGTACTCCGCCTGGATGCCCGCCATCTCGGCACTCATGGCGGCCAGGGTGGCTCGGGCGCGGGAGGTGGTCTCCTCCAGCCCCGCCTTCTCAGCCTCCAACGCATCCACTTGGGCCTGCGAGAGAAGTCGGAGCGGGAAGGAAGAAAGCACGACGAGTCGGTGGCGTGCGTGCGGGCGAGTGAACGTAATGAGGGTACGGTAGAGGATAGGGGAAATAAAGAGTCCTTGCGTGCCCGGCTGACGTACCAGCGGCCGTACAAACTACCAACACTTGCCTGTAGCTCCCGCAGGCGGTTGCTGGCGACTGCCGCCGCGCTCTCCCCGTGCTGCAACGCCGCCGCTGCTGCCGCCTGGTCCCCCTCCGCCCCCTCAATGCTCGACAGCAGCTCCAGGAAATCACGCTCCGCTTGGCGCCGCCGGCATTGCTCGTCCTACGAATAGGAAGCAGAAATAAAGTGATGAAAGATGAAGATGAGCTAGGTACCCGCCTGCCAAGGCGCCAACCCAGTGACTGGGATAAGCATAGCCAGTGCTACGAGGACCGCCGCCAAGCACACAGTTCCCGCCTACCTTGAGTTGGCCCTGCAGTCGTGCCACGTTGGCGGCCGCCTCCTGCTCAGCGGCCGCCTGGCGGCGGGAGGCGTTGGCCACGTGTTGCCGCGCAGCTGTGACCTGGCGAGGATGCGGGAGCGGGGGGAGCACGGATTGAGCAGCGGTCATGGGTCCGGCCTGTTGACGGAATTGGCAGTGATCGCATGTTGCACTAGGACGCTGGCTGGAGGTTGCGTGTAGAGGTCGAAACGGAAGTCGACTGGAGAAGCTTTGGCATGCCGTAGCTTGCCTTGCCCCCTGCGCATCCCACCCCACGCACCTCAGCGGACAGCTTGCCCTTCTCCTGGTCCAGCCGAGCCACCACCTCCACTAGCCGCCGGTGCTCGGACTGGCAGAAATGGCAGGAACGGAGAGAGGAGGGGAAGAACGAGGGTTAAGACGCGTGTTTGGGCGCAGGCACGGGGCATGGCACGCTGGGAAAGCGCACCAGCTAGGGTGTGCTGTTTGTCGCGCGGCCTTGGCCAGAGGCAGATGCAAGGGCGGTGTGCCTTCACCACCCACCACAGGTATACGGTAGGCCATAACCTACACAGCCCATTGCCTACTCTCGACCATGCGGCGCACCTGCAACACGCTCAGCTCGTTCTGTGCGGCGGCTAGCAGCGACTCCTGCTGCCGGCACGTGTCTTGCAGCTGCGGTGGGGCATGCAAGAGTGGGACATTGTGAGGGACGCAGGGGCGGAAACCACGGGCGGGAAAAGCCAAGACGCCAAGGATAGCAGCAGCTACGTTTGAAATACACGTGCCCAGTAGAGTCAGTAATATGACCTAGTCACCCTTGCAGCCCGCGGTTTCCTTGATGTCGCATGCGCAACAACGAAGCATTCAACCGGCGCACCTTGCCCCAACCACACAACGGCCTTACGCAATTCCATTTATGCCATCCACGAGCCCTTCCCAACTCGCCACCTCCCTCACCGTCCTCAGCTCCTGCAGCAGCTCGCTGTTCCGTCGCTCCAGGTCCGCCGCCCGGCCGCGCAGCATCCCCACGCTCGCAGCCGAGGCGTTCGACGCTCCCATCCCCATGCCTGGCCCTGCTCCTGCTGCTCCGCCCGGCTTGCCCTCCGCCGCCATCAGAGCTCCCCGCAGACGCGCCGCCTCCTCAAGTGCCGCATCACGCTCCGCCGAGAGCCGAGACAGTGCCGCAGCCTGCATCATGCATGCATGCCAAGGTGTTACCAGAGCGTTTTTTTGCCAAGGTACCCAGGAGAAAAGATGCAGGGAGTGAGGAAACGAAGGAGCCGGGGCGCAAACAAAGCCCCAAAGCCTCATCGCAGTGCCCGCCAAGATGCAAGCTGTCGCACTCGCGTTCCTGGCACTTACCCTGTCCGGTTGCATACGGTATAGCAGGCATGCAACAACTCTTCCTGTCCTCCACCATCGCCATCAACGCCCCCTCCCTACCTGGTCCTTAACCGCGCTTGCAGCGCTGCTGGACGGGCCCGGCAGCGCCACCGCGCCCTGCGCCGGGCGGTGTTCCAGCGCTCCGGTGGACGCCGCCAGCGCCAGCGCCTCCGTACGCAGCCGCGCCAGCTCGCGATCCTGCGCCTCGCGACTGGCCTGCAGCGAGCCCATCTGGTGCTGCAGGGAGGCCACCTGGGGGGGGCAAGGAACATGGTCACGCGGAGTCGGGATTCCTGGGATTTGCAGAGGTTCGGTGACTCCCAACTCGGAAGCGTGACGTGAGGCTCACATGCCTGGAAAGGATCCTCGCCTTGTAGCCAACCTTCCGCTCCTTCTTGTAATACAATGTGACTCGTCCCCGTCACCCCCATGTGGGTTGTCGCGGCCTCGGCCCCGGCGGCCCCGGCAGCAGCCCCGCACCTGCTCCTCCAGCGCTCGGTTCCGCTCCACCAGCACCGACAGCTGCGTGCCGCTGCGGTCGCTGGCCAGCTCGGTGCGGAACTCCCGCGCCCGCATGCCCGCCAGCAGCCCCTCCAGCTCAGCAACCCTGCGCATGCCAGCACCACCCGGGGCCGCACACGGGGGGGGGGGTAGCAGCACAGAGTAGCGTACGACGTTAGGTACGGCAACCATAAGGAGTGCAGCCGTGAAGGATGGAGTAGAGAACAAGCGAGCGACGGGGCCAACCGAATGGCGGCTCGGCAGCATCCGATGTGAGGCCGGTCCGTACAGGAACAACCTCCCCTAGGCTGTCCTACCCTGCCGTACTACCCTACCTTCCCTCCTCAAGGCCCCGCAGTTCCTACCACGCTGCCTCCCACGCCCGCTCCCACCTGGTTCGCTCCATAGTGAGGCGCTGGTTGAGGTTGGCCGCCTCAGCTGCCGCGTCGTCCAGCCGCGCCCGCCCGATAGCCACCTGCGATTCCAGTGCCGCCACCTGCCGCTGCAGCTCCTCGCGGTGCCGGTCCAGACCCAGACGAACCTACCGACGGGAGACCGGCAAGGGGCGGACGCGGTTTAGCGCATGAATCCATGCGGTGTAACACGGCAGTAAAAGTGGGCCGTCCTCCAAACCGCCCTTAGTTGGTGGCAGGCCAAGGGAAAAGCAATCATAGCGTACACACCCACCCGACCTCTCATGCATGGTATGTATGGTACTGGTAAGCAGACCCTGCCGTACGAACCGGAGTCCGCAAAGAGCAGCGGGCACCCACCTGCTGCGCCGCGCGGATCTCCTCCAGCAGCGCCTCCCGCTGCCGTACCAGCTCCTCCGCGTCCGCCTCGGTCTGGGACAGCTGCCGACTCAGGCTGTCAACCTGGCGCTCGAAAGCCTGCGGGGCGCGAAAGGGAAGCGACCGTGCGCCAAGCAGATGGGTGGTTGGGGGCGAGCAGAGGCGTGGGCCATGACGCGACGCGGCGGGTCATGACGCGACGCGGCGGTTAGCGCTAGCTGCTTTTTGGCGTAGGTACTGCACAGCGTTTCAGTTCGCTCCTCGATCTGGTTGCCGTGGCATGGTTGTGTACCAAGCGGGTCGCACGCCTACCGGCATATGGCTTGCAAGGTGAAACCACGGTCTCATGAATCCGATCACCGCTCCGCAATAGAGTCCTGGTCAGCTCCACGCAAACCCGCAACCCAGATCCCCAAAGCACCCAAGCCACCCCCTTGCACGCGTCAGCTCACCTGCAGGTCCATGACGTACTGGTTGATGGTGGCCTGCGCGCCCCGCTGCGCCTCCGTCAGGCTCGCAACCTCGGAGGCCTTGGCCTGTGGGGGGGAGCGGGGGAGAAGGGCGAGCGGGAGGAAGCACAGAAAGAAGCGGCGGGTTAAGTGAATCAGTGCACATTGCTCAGGTATGGTACTGTGGATTGAAGGCAGGGAGCCTTAAAGCGGAGGAAGCGGCCAACGTTTTATGGGCGTCAACTGGGAAACCTTCCATTTTCCACAACCCCCCCCCGCCGCTGCGCACCTGCAGCATCGTCTCCCGCATGGCGCCCTCCCGCTCTAACGCGCTGTAGCCGCTCTGAAGCCTGCATGTGGCGGCAGCGGGGCGAAGCATACTCAACACAAACACGCACATCAACCATCCAATGGGCATTGACTGACAAGTGTCAACCACGGCTGCACCTCGCATCCTGGCCTGCCTCCAACCCCTCCCCTGCAGGCCATCGCCCCATCGACTCCCATGCTGCCGTACACGTCCCACCGCCCACCTCTTGTGCTCCGCCGCCAGCGCTTCGTACACGCGGCGGAGGTCCTCCGCCTCCGCCTCCTTGGCGCGCAGCAGCTGCTCAGCCGCCAGCGCGCGGGAGCCCTGACGCCGGGACTCCTCCGCAGCCGAGTCCCGCTGCGCCGCCACGGTGGCCAGCTCGTTGCTGACCACCTGCAGGCAGTGAGGGTGAGGGGAGTGCGAAGGCTAAGGAGGCATGCCATGCCGCCATGCAAGTGTCCCGTTCCTCAGCCGCCGGGTGCCCTTATCCTTACCCCGCGGAACCCTGCACCCTACCTGGTTCTCACGCACAAGCGCCTCCAAGTCCTCGTTCACGGCGCGCAGCTCCTCCCGCAACGCATCCCCCTCACCGCTCAGCCCGCGCACGCTCTCCATCGCCGCCGCCAGCTGCTGCCGCAGACTCTCCACCTCCGCCTCGCCATCGCGCGCGCGGCTGTCAATGTGCGCCAGACGCCCCTCCGCAAGCGCCAAGAGCCTGCGACAGGATTGCGGTGAAGGACAAGGAACAAACATGGCCACATGGCGACAAGACAACGCTGCGACAGGGCTATAGAGGCATCGCCCCCGTATCCTCATGGCTCCCATGTGGACCCGCACCTGCCGGACTCTTCCGCCTGCCGCTGCGCTGCCTCCAGCTGCTGCTGCATGGCGTCCAGCCGCTCAGCCTTGGCGTCCAGCTCCGCCTACGGCAAGGTTGACAAGGGCGTTCCACTTCATTAAGAGATACAATACAACTCCTCTCCAGCACTGTCTAGCGTGCATACCGTTCCCAGACGCTTTCTCGGGTGGCCTCATGGATTGCGTCCTCCTCATCCACAATCACCAGATCCTGTACATTGCAGCATCCTTTCTTCCCACAACAAGCCGCCCTTCCCTAGCAGACCCCGCGCGCACCTGCATGCCATCCCGCTCTCCATCCATGGACCGCAGCAGCCCACGCAGCTGCTCCACCTCCGCACGCCATGCCGCCGCCTCGTCCTGCCGCGCCGCCAGCTCGCCAGCCAGGTCCGAGGCACGCATCTCGGCAGCCCGAAGATCAGCCGACAAGGCCTGCAGCATGCGGAAACATGCAACCGGCGGGAGCCTCAACCACCGCGCCGCAGCCCACGCTGCCCAAAAGCGTACGAACTTAGCTTAGGCTTGGTTTGAACTGCAGGTTTGCGGGCTTTACAGGGCCCAAGCAGACGCCGGTCTCAACCGCAACCTCGCCCTACGTACAAAACCACCAAGCTCCTACCTTCAAGGCGGCCATGTACTCTTGCACGGTAGCGTCGCCACGCAAGCTGAGCGTTGTGAGCTGCTCGACCTCGGCGCGCCGCGCGTCGCAGTCCCGCCGCGCCGCCGCCAGCGCCTCCTCTAACGAGCGCAGCGCAGCGGAGTCCGACTCGCGGGCGGACCGCAGCTGAGGACCGGGGAAAATGGGTTGGTTTGGGTGGTAGGGATTGCGTGGTAGGTGTAAGGCTACATCAGCGATACTGGAGGATGGCTGGGTCGCGGGCAAGCCAGGTAATCGGTTGGCCTGCATGATCGGCATGGGTACCCTTTCGCATTCAAGCATGCACGCATTGCCGGTACTAAGCAGAGGCTCGCATTGCTCTTTTCCGTGCTGAACCCGAGCCGCACCTGCGCCACATCCGCCTCATACTCCGCCAACATCGCCTCCGCCCGCCGGGCCCGCTCCGCCCACTCGCGCCCCTGCGCGCGCGCCTCCTCCTCCCGGTCCCTTGCCGCCGCCGCGGCCGCCTCGGCCTGCTGCACCACTGCCGCCGCCCGCTCGCACTCCTCTTGGCGCGCCGCTGCCTCCCGCTCCGCCGCCGCCAGACGCACCGCCAGCTGCCGCGCTGAGGAGCCGGCCTCCATTGCCGAGCTGGACTCCGCCGCCAGCTGGGAATGCAGGGAGTCTAGCTCGCCGGCGGTCAAGCGGGCATCCATCAGGGCGCGGTCGCGATCAGCCTGCAGGAGCAAGGGTCCAAAAGAGAGCCCAAAGCAGGAAAGGGTGGACACTGTAAGATGAGAGCTGACGAGACGCGGCACCTGACTGGCACAGTGGGATTTGGGTCCACGCGTAGGCCTGCAGTACCTATGTCATTTTCCCTTACCAGCCGTAAAATCCCACGTACCTCAGCCGTCCTCAACGCCTTGCTAGCCGCCTCCGCAGCTGCCTCCGCCTCCCGCAGCTGCCCCCGCAGCACCGTCTCCGCCTCCCGAGACGCCTCCACCTCGCGCTGCGCCTCCCGCGCCGCCCGCTCGCTGCGGCCCTGTGCCTCAACCGCAGAAGCCATCTGCGCCCGCAGACGCGCAGCTTCAGCCTCCGCCTCAGCCGATGTCGCTACCGCGCGCCGTGCCTGCTCCGCCAGCTCATTATACCGCTGCTGCAGCGCGCCTAGCCCGGAAAGGTCGCGTGCGGCGCCGCTTGCTCGCGCCTCTGCGGCTGCCAGCTGCTGTCGTGTCACGGCCAGCTGGTCTGCCAGCAGCGCGGCTTCCTGCTGCTGCAGCGACGCCTGGCCGCTGAGCCGCTCCAGCTCCAACTACACAAACAAACAAACAGGTTGGGTGCGCAAGGGTCATGCACTCGGGGACGTGGCATGGCGGCATAACATCCATGCAAGCCGGTTCTAACTCCCAAAGCACCGCCAAACATGCAGGTGGGGGCGCATGGCAGCTCACCCTGCCACGCCGTCAAGCCCTTACCTGCAAGTTGTCCCTGGCCGTCCGCAGCTCCTCGCATGCGCGCCTCTCCTGGGTCAGCTCACGCGTGAGGGCGTCCACCTGCTGACGCGCGCGGGTGGCCTCGTCCTCCGTGCTGCTCAGCGCGCTGGCGGCCCGCACCTTGCCGGCAGCCACGTCCTGAGAGGCGGGAACGGAGAAACCGTACGACAATAAGGACGAGGACGATGTGTTGTTACGATGACAGAGGCTGCGTCCTTCACAGCATCATGGACCGGAATACACCAAAGGGACGCGCCCTTCGCGACCTGGAGCATCCTCCTCACCTGCAGCTGCTGTCGGAGTGCTGCTGCCTCCTGCTCCAGTGCGGTATGTCCTGACCGAGCCACCCGCAGCTCTGACTCCAGCCGTGACAGCGCGGACTGTGAGGACACCGAGGCGGATCGCTCAGCTGCGGCCGCCCGCTCGGCAGCCTCCAGCCGCCGCTGCAGCTCCTCGCACCTTGGCGTGAGGAGAGACGGTGGGGTTGCAAGCAGGGAGGGTGAGGGCATATGTTGGAGTGTTTGACATGTTGTGGTTATAGTTCAAATCGTACTTCAAACTAAAGTACAGGAGTCTTGCAACGGTGTAGGCGCTCAGGATAGCCGCACGGCCCTGTTAACGAGTAAGGGTCAACCCCAAGCGGCACGCGCGCCTAGGTGCTGGTCCAACTGGCAGCGTACCTCGCGTTGGACGCTGCCCGCTCCTGCTCGATCGCTGCGTAACCCGCATGTCGAGACTCCATATCCGCAAGAACCTGCAATATGCGGCGGAACAATGGACATCCATGGGCGCATGCAAGCAGAGTTCACTGCAATTTGACTTTTGGCTAAGGGCATGCGGATGCCCCCGTGGTTAACATACTCCACCCGGAATTGGCGATACTGCTGCATCCTCTCCATGCCCAAGGAAGAAGCAATGCATGCCGCATGTAGGACACAAACTCAAATCCCCACCTTTGCCAGCCGCTCCTCCGCACTTCGCAGCTGCTCATTCCGCGCCGCCAGCTCGCTCGCCAGTCGCTGCGCCTCGTTGGACGCGGCGGCATGCTTCGAGGCCGCATCAGAATAGCGCGCCTGCGCCTCTGTTTGCAGGAACTGCGAGTCCTCGAGCTCGGAGCGCAGAGAAGCAACCTATCACACGCAGCGGGAACCATGCATCAGTCAGAAGCACCAGGTGATGAAAGCGCCGGATGAGGTTTTATCAGCCATGACGCCAACATGGGTTTGAACGACCCCCATAGACCATCGATCGCACCACCGGTAACGTATCCTTAATCAATGGCCCGCCTTGCAGGACTTGCCTGCTGCGCTAAGCTCCTGCGCTCGGCGTCATTCGCAGCCAGCTGGAGCGCCAGCTGCTCCTTCTCCGTGCGTGCCTCAGCCAGGCGCTGACGGAGCGCAGGGACCTGCATGCACGTGCGTGAGGACGGATCAGGGTGCCAGTAAGGGCTACATGCTACATGCAACCCCAGCCAGCACATGGACAGCACCAAAGACACAGTATCCAATCTAGTCTTAAGCGATTGGATGGCGTCATAGCTGGGTGGCGGCACGAGGCCCAGCATGACAACACGAAACACACAACTGCATGATTACAACGCAACCCGCGGGCTAATAACCACACACTTCCATCCCTCCACTCCTTGAGCAACTGGTTCGGCTGCTCCTGTACCCGACTGCCGCCGCATACCGCTCCGCCTACCAAGCCCCTGCGGACAAGCCTCCTTCCTGATGTGCTGTAACTACTGCACTCACGCTGGCATCTCCGTCCAGCCCCGCCGCTGCCATCAGCTCCGCCGCCTTGCCGCTGGTGTCATGCAGCGCCGCCAGGTCGCGCTGCAGGACCGCAACCTCGCGAGACAGCGCCTCGTGATCGCGAGCGGACCTGCGCAGGGACAGACCAGCGGGCATGCAAGACGTCATAGACCCACATCATGGGGACCGCCAAGACCGAGGTGTCGCCGTCTCCATCGTCCCTCCCTCGCCGCGCTCGCAGCCCACCCCACGCAGCAGGATTCTATCCATGCTACATGCCGCCGCAAGGACGGCATCTGGCCCAATGCTAACCTCACCTACGCTGCCGCTCTTCCGCTTCCGCCCGAGCCGCCTCCGCACGCTTCAGCGCCTCCTCCAGCTGCGAGCACTGCACCTCGACACCCTCCAGCTGTCGTACACGCTCTGCCAGCGAGTCAACCTGCAGCGGCGGAGTCCGTAAAGACAGCTGCTGTCGGCATCCAGGGGCAGCTCCAGGTATCCAAGGGGCATCCGTCCCTTGCACATGCAGCCGCAGACACATGCATGGTTGACCCACATGAACCCGTTGCTTCCCGAGAAAACCCTGGCAAGGGCCCCTGACAGCAGGGGCAGCTCTCACCGTGCCATTCAGCTGCAGGATCATGTTCTCATTGGCCTCGTTGCGTGAACGCAGCGCCAACATGTCCATGTCCGCACCGGCGCGGCTGCCCAGGCGGTTGATCTCCACGTCGCGACGGCGGATTTGGTCCTGTGTTAAGAAAAGGTGGATATGGGTTCACGCAAACCCGAGTGGTGGGAGCTCCGCATTGTCTATCCTAGCCCCCTAGCGCAGCACGCAGCTACCCGCACCTCATCGTCGGCCACTCGCTGCCGCAGCGCTTCTAGCTCCGAAGTGGTGTCCGCGAGCTGCCGCTGCAGCGAAAGTATCCTGGTATGCACAACAGGGACACGAAGAACACGGGATGGTGGCTCCGTAGCGCAGGGGACCTGAGGTGCGGCACATGTTCACACCCTAGGCGGCAAGGACGGGCAGACAAGAGCAAGACGCGGCAGTTCTCGCTTGTAGCTGAGGGCGAGCAGGATCCAAACATCACAGCCATAGGCGCGTCGCACCTGCTGTTTGCTGCTTGGAGCACGTCGACGGTGGCCTGCCTTGGCCGGAGCGGTGACCCCGGCGGCGTGGCCCCTGCAGGCAGCCGAAAAACGATTTAGCGAGTGCTGAGCGTGTACTCATTGGCGGATAGGATAGACCTATTGCTAGTAAAGCCATAATGGGACCATCAGACAACGCTAAACGGCCACCCCAGGTGGAGGAGTGTCACGTGTGCATGGCGGTTGTAGTCGGTCCCTCGTCGCGTGGCACCAACTTACGGATGGGGCCGGGAGAGACAATCTTGGGTGTGGCCGATTGCGGCGTAGCTGCACCTGCAAGAAGGATTGGGTGCGGATTGTTGGCACGGCCTCCTGCCATGCACCCATTAAGGTTGACATGTACGCAACCTTCAGTTCTTGGTATAGCGCAAACCCAAAACATAGACACGTGCAACACCCTGCCAATACAATACTATTACGTGTTGCGCACGGATAACACGGGCGCCCCAACCTATTCTAGAGCCCCCGGACAACTCCTATGTCCACAACCCTGAGCATATGGGTTAGTGCAGCTCAACCGCACCCGAGGCAAGTCGGTCAGTTAGCTTCGTAAGCTCCTCGCAGTGCTTGCGCAGACCGTTGTTTTCGCGCTCAGCCGCCTGCAGCTTCTCCAACGCGTGGTGTTTCCAGTACGACAGTTCCGCAATTGTATCCTCCAGGCGTTTGCAAGCCTGGTAATGTTCCTTGGCCTGCTTGTCGTGGCGTTCTGCGTGCTGCATGACCAGCACGTGGAGCTGGCTGTTCTCCGACTGCAGGCGGACGGATTCCTGCCGAACGGCCTCCAGCTGCGCATGCGGCAGTTAACCTTAGACGGTCCTCGTCTAGTATCCTGCTTACTAATACCGCATAGCTTACCCTCGTATCGAAAGCCGCGATCTCCTGTGCCTGCTTGGCGCATTGTTGCTTAATTACTCGGTAGCTGTCGGTGGTGTGAACCAGGTCCTCAACCAACTTCTGTACAAGTGGAGCGCTGGTAGCGTCCAGCGGGTCCGAGTAGCTAAGCGCCTCTAGCTTCCGACGAAGGACGGCAAGCTGTCTGTCGTCCATGGCTGGCCCTAGTCAAAATGTTCCTAAACACGTATGATTCCAGCCGCGTCTATTTATATTGGTCTACGTGAAACAGGTCTTAATAGATATCATAAATTACAGCTGGTCATGTTTTGCGGAAGAAAGTGGTCAATTGTTAGGGTAAACTGTCTGGTAGGACTCCGAGAGGAGTAGGTTCATGTTAAGTGTGAAGTTATGTCAAACGCTTTACTAGGGACGTATTCCTTGCTCCTGGATAAGCCACAATGCGATTTTTGGCAGTTGGGGTCATCCAGCACGATGACTATAAGTAACGCTGTTGACGCTATGTAGAAGCTTTCATTTTTGTTATTTTCCCGACGTAGATGCAAACAGTCTTGGTTGGACGACAATTGAGCCCGTGCCCCAATCCTAAAAATCCGTTTGGGTACCGCAGTTCATGCGTCCTATTCAAGAATTCTGTGCATGTACATTCATTCTTTCACATGAACACTCGTACTGTCCAAGCTCTTAAGCCGGAGGGCACTCCCAACGCTGGTCCATGGGTCAGGACACAGGGCATCACGAAGACATCAGGTTGCCGACGCCTACCGTAGAAAGCTGAGAACACAAGGTGTCTGTTAGTAGACGAGCCTGGTTCTGACATGTGACTCCTTCGCATTTGTTTGCGGTCCGTGTGGCATGCTCTTGCGTCTCCGCAACGCCGGGTGAACTATCCATGAAGCCCGTTTGCAGTGAAGGGCCGTCGACCGGGCCCACTCGGCATGCTGCACGGCACACGGTTCCAATCAGCACCTGCCGGCGGTCCCAGTTGTATTCTTGTTCGGCCCCGCCCTGCACGTAGAGCCACGTACCCTCAAGAGTCCAGCAAGCATGTCCTATAACGGCTATCCGTACTCCGCCTGGCAACTTATCCAGTCACCCAAAACAAAGACATCATTACACTGCCTCTAATAACATACCAAGTTCAGAAGTAGGCAACAGAAAGGCGTTAGGACAACAGCACGTGTATGTGGTGAACTAGATGACACGCAGTAACACACTACACATCTTTATTCGCGCCTGCAAAAGAATAACATAAGAAAGTCTCCGGCCCGGCCTAGTCCGAGTGGGCGAGCACTGCAGCTGTGAGCAGTATGGACGTACCAGCAGTGGCTGCTGCCATAGCCGGCCATACAGGAGCAACAAACCACAGTGTCGGTTGGGTGTCGTACAGAAATGGCACGCATGGCTCCTACGGCATGTAAAACTGCCGCACCACAGCTCAAGGTTTCTGGGTTCGCCTCTCTTCCTCTCTACTTGGTCAGTGAACTCTTGATGGCAGCCGCAGTCAAGGACACTTCTCGCTTAACCAATCTTGACCACACCACTCGCAATCATAATAACACGCAGTCAAGGCGGGGAAGGAGCACAAGTGCTCAGGGTGACTGGAACAAGCCCAGGTGCAACTGATAGAAACCCTAGAAGGTGATACGCAGTTGAGCAATGAACACTCACTCGCACATAATGACCGAAGATACCGGTTCTGGATTCAAGACGCCAGGACACAACGCTGCCCTCCGAACCGCACACCCCCAACAGCATTCCAGTACGGCAACCGCGGTATCAACCGCAGCATACCTATCAACACTGCCTGTTGTCCGTAACCAGAAGTCCGTAACCACATCTTGCTTGCATAGCCCTCATGTCAGCCGCCAGCTAGTACCGCGACTGGGCAGCCAAACAATAACCGGATCCGATAATATAGAAACCCAGATCACAGAGCCTCGCTTAAGGCAAGCCCGCTGATTCCCTCCACTGCACGCTTTCGGGGCCAGTAATGACACGTGAATAGGCACCAACTAGAATCTTTCGGCACCCTACGCAGTCTCTCTAATGTTCGGCACCACAGGCTCATCATGCTTAGCATGCAAAGTCACCGTGCTGCTGCCACCGCGTCTGCACCAGCCGCTGCAGCCGCCGCGGCAGCACCCCCAGCCCGCTGTCCCAGCGCCGCAAGCAGCGGCCGAAGCACCACGGCAAGAGCGGGGAAGTTGTCAGCGAGCGACTTGGCCATGAGCATACTGCCCCGGACACCGATGTACACAGCACCTGAGGTCGGATGGCGGGGTCACGGGCAAAAGGTGTAACTTTGCAGTTGGAGAGATGCAGTGGAGTGGAGAGATGGGGGGCAGAGGTAGAGTTATGCGAGGGTGGGTGCGGTCGTGGCTTTGTGGGCGTGGTACGGTCGTGGCGGCGGGACGGGTGCGGCAGTGGGCAGAGCTGATATCACGCTCTGGTTGCATCAGGCGATGGTGACACGGGGGTATGTTTGTCAATGGCATTCAAGGAGGCACACGCTGGTAGGAAAACCATTAAGGGCTTACCAATGGGCAGGCTGAGGATGGTCGTCAACAGGATGGCGACGAGCACAACAGCCAGCACCTGTGATGGGTAAAGCCAAAGCCTGTCTGTCATGGAGATGTGAGGTAGGCGCTATACACAAGGCATGAAAACGTTTCAAACCAGTTCGTAGGGCCAGGAAAGCGACTTCTAGTGACTAATAAGCTTGCATTCAGCGCCTGACCCGAGGGTAAGCTAAATGGCAATCAGAACCTCGATCAAAGTAGTTGAGCTTGAATTGTTCTAGGGAGCCGTCCGCGGCTTCCGCGCTCACCGTGTCGACCGTCGTAAAAATGATGCGCCGGCCGGTCTTGGACATCAAAATCAGCGTCAGCTGTGCCACAAGGATGGCTCCAATCGCTGTGTACAGTACTGACTGGGGCACGGAATCCAGGGGCGGCATGGCCTTGTCTTCCCATGCTTGCTGCGCAATCATGCTGAGGGCACTCAAGTCAGCAAAGCGCTGGAGCTGAAACTCTTTCAATGCTTCCAACATTGTACAGCTCCTAACACAAGCCGTGGGTAACGTGGGCACTTGCTCTACAGGTAAAACTACAAGGCGTTGACGAGCTCGTTATGTAGGACGCTTCCCCTTTAAGATATGGGACCTAATGAAGATTTAAGTCAGTGCAGAGTCCGAGCAAGACCCGCGAAGACGATGGACAAATTGGAGGCAAGCGCCAGTGAAGATGGGTCGCTGGGTCAGTGCAACGAAGAAGTCAGGAGCTTAGCACGGTTGCCAATGTGCTCCTTTTATCTTTAGCTGGTCTGGCTGTCGTTCATGACAGCCCTGGCCAGTCGCAGGCATAATACGGCAACCACCACGGACAGTTTGCCAACATGCGCGGCATAACTGGCGCAATTCCTCAAGCGGCAATTTATAGCAATTGCGTATTTTACAGCGGTACCAGGCCTTATGGAGTCAGGTGACCGCCCTTCTGTCGTTCCCCTTCCTAACTTGAGCCGCGAGGACAAGGCGTGGCTAAGCAGGAAGTACCACAAGCGCGTCAGGACTGCTACCAATGCAGTACTTGGCATAACGTTTGTTAGCTGCTTACTGTTCGATTGGGATACCTACCTGGGCACCGACAAACACGTCTTTAGCAGCATCCGTCCTACTGTCCGGCGAGCGCTAGACCATCTCTACGGTGTTTCTGACGATTCAGCAGAAAAGCGACGGGGTGCTTGAATCGACTGTTGCTGGCGGCGGCGGCGGAGCCTGAGACAACCCGGTATGGCTTCAATTTAGTCTCCTATTTGTTGGCGCTTTAGATTGATAGGGATTGGCTGCTGCTCGGGCGCGATTGTCGATGTGTAATGTCGCTCGTCTGGGTGTGTTCTGCAGATCCATCCATCGCAACAACTTGCCACATCGTCTTTCCGCTTTGCAGCAGATCCGTTCCTTCAAGCAAGATAGCAACAATGCTTGACGTGTCAGCAAAGGAGTTTGTGCCAGCGGCCGTTTGCCGCGTGGTGTCGTCAGCATGCGCCGGAGTTGAACCATCCATCGCAACCCCCAAGGACACTAGCGGCACAAGCGCCACCACAGCAGCTAAACCCAATAGCAATAACAAGGGTACCAGCAACCAGAGTGGCTCCGGCTGCGGTGCCAAGCCGCAGCTAAGCATTACAGCACCGGCGTTTGTTCCACAAGGGGTCCCCGTCCCTGTTCCCTGCCCTGATGCCTCGGATCCCCTACCTCGCACCCTGCCACCGCCCAGCAACAACAGGACGGCGGCCCCTAGCACCAGTCCCGACAGCAGCAGCAAAGACGCGACCTCACGCGCTGCTGCGCAAGGCAAGGCGGCAGAGAAGTCCGCAGCGGCTGCTACCGATGAGACTGATGGATGGGAGGCCGGCTGCCAGTGGGGAGGTTTTGGGACGGCTGTCGCAGAGGGAGGCGAACTAAGCCCTGCAATCGATTCCAACGCGTACGACGGTTACGAGTACGCATACGGCGCGTACGACGAGTACGGCATGCCGTACACTGGCGCTTACGTGGGCAGCGACGGCATGTACTACACGGATGGTTGCAGCTATGACCCTTCTGCTTACGATGGAAGCTGTAATGTACCGTACGACGCCTACCAGCAGCCCATTTATTACTGGGATGATGCGTCATCATCGTACATGTACGGCAGCAGCACTGAGGGAGCGTACGGCAATGCCGATGGAAGCTACCTGCCCGCAACCCTGATGCCCCTCCAAGGCTACGACTATCCCCAGCAAGCTTCCTCCCAGCCTCCCAGGGATGCACCACCGCACCCCTCCTCACGTCGCCCGCAGCAACGAGGCACTGCCACCTCCGGCCGCGGTAACAGCCGCATCCGCGACACGACCCACATCACTACCGCCAACGGTAGCAGCAGCAGCCACCAGCCTTCTGCCGGTGCTGCCCCTGCCCCTGCCCCTGCTACTCCCGAGGAGGCGGAGGCTCTGCTGGCAGCGGCGGAGGCAGCAGCGGAGGCGGCGGAGGCGGCCGAGGAGGAGGAGCTCCAGGAACTCCTAGGCGGGCTGGACGCCTCCAGCCTGCTTGCCGCCGGGCTACTGCCCCTCAACAAAGGATCAACAGCAGCAGCAGGAGGCAGCACAGCCGAAGGCGCCGGGGGCGCTGCTGGTGCTGCTGCTCCTGCCGCGGCCGCCGCCAGCGCGTCCTCTGCAGCCGCCAGCGTCGCCGCCGAGGATGACGATGATGACGAGGACGCCCCGCACGTGCCGCATGGTACGGCATTGAAGATCCTGGAGCTGTTTTTCCCGCACTACGCCACAGGGGCGTTACGGAAGCTGCTGTACCGACATGCGGGGGATCTGGCGGCGTCGTATGGAGAGCTAGCGGCGCTGGAGCGGCAGCTGGCGGCGGAGGGGGTCATCGTGGGTGGCGGCGGCGGTGGAAACGGGCAGCGGCCTCAGCAGCAGCAGGTTCGATGGATACCCCGTGTGGGCGAGGGTGCGGGTGCGGTGGCCCAGCTTGTCGGCAGCCTCAAGAAGAACTTCCGGTTGGATCCCGAGGTGCGGGGAATTGGGGGTTTCTAACCGCCAAACGGATACGGGGTTACTAACGCCAAACGGACAGGGGGTTACAAACGGACAGGGGGTTTCTAACGACAAACGAACGGCAAACGACGGGCTGCCGCGATTGCCCAAGTGAGGGTTGATACTGATGGGGGCATTGGTATGCTCGCGTGGGGTAAATGTCGTTTCATCTTTGAGCAATTTTGTGTCGTCTGGAGAGTAGGTGTGTGCGAACGGACGTGGTAGCCCTGTGGTATGGTTCCCTGGGGCAGCCCCAGAGTGCGCTAGTAGTAGCCTTACTCGAGGCCAGTGGGTCAGGTCGCGCTTCCCGGTTACGTTAGCTACTCACCCTCTCTCCTCCCGCCCTTGCCTGCTTCAGGCCTTCCCCACACTCTCGCCTTCCAGCAGCCCCCAAGTCGCCCGGGCTCCCAGCCTCCCAGCCGAGAAGACCGCCCAGGACGAATCCGCACCCGATGGCGCCGCCTCCGTCGCCTCCTCCGCCCCAACTGAGGCCTCACAGCCTGCCTCCGCTTCCGCAACCGCCCGCATTCCCGCGCTGCCTTCACCCTCCACCTCGCATCCCGGCAAACTCAACTACGCAGCGCTTCTCCGCACCTCCGCCGCCGCCTCCAGCTCCTCAACTACCCCAGCCCAGCCTCAGCAGCAGCCCCCCGCTACATCCGCCCTCGCGGCTACAACGCGCGCTGCTGTAAACGGAAACACCCGCGGCGGCTCCGGTGGTACGGCAGGGGATGCCGTACCGCGGGTGTCTACAGGCGAGGCGGTTGCGGCGCAGTATGCGGAGGCTCGGCGGGAGGCGGCGATGCTGGCCCGGGCTCGCAACCAGTACTTTCAGCAGGTGGGGAGATGGGGCGTGTTGTGGATGGGAAACTGGGTTAAGGGGAGAAGTTTAGGTAGGGGCCTGCAGGAGCAGGGAGTCGTAGTTTTGGGGCAGGAGGCACTGTCTGTGAGGATTGAGGGAGGGAGGAAGAAGTGGATACGTGCGGGTCTTTTGACGTGCCGGGGCTTACCAGTTACCACTGGTAGCTTAGAAAACGGTGGTTGACTATTACTAGTATAACCTAGCTAAGGATTCGATTTGGGTCAGGGAGTCCTCCAATCTCCTCGATCTTGTCTGCTTCAGGAGCTTCACTGCTTCTTTCTCTCCGCCCACACGCGCATCCCCGCATGCGCTCAACCACTAACCCGCCAACCCTGGGCCTTCCTTCCCTTGCCCGATCAGGCCACACTGGCCTACCTGTCGGGCAACAAGGCGCTAGCCAAGCAGCTAGGTCGCAAAGGCCGGGAGGCGAACGAGGCCATGAAGGCTGCCCACGCCGCAGCCGCCCGCCGCATCTTCGCTGCCAGGAATGGCGGCCGCATGCCGGGGGAGCTAGCGTCGCAGCAGCACTCGCGCAAGGCGGCGGGCGATGGCGCGGCTGCTGCTGCTGCTGCTGGTTCCAAGAGGCGCGGTGCGGGCCCGGCATGTCTGTTTGTGGACCTTCACGGGCTGCATGCAGCGGAGGCGGTGGCGGCACTTGAGGAGCAGATTGCGGCGGCGAGGGCGGCTGGGTGCGCCTTCATGCGTGTCTGCACGGGCACGGGCAGCCACACCAAGGTACGGCATGAGGTGGAGGAGGGGGAGGATGTGGGAAGGGGTTGGGGAGAGGTGTGGTGGGGGGGGGATGGGGAGGGTGCCGCGGGATGAGGGAGACGTTTGGTGGGCCCGTGGGCTGCGGGAAGGGCCGGTGAGTGTCTGCGGTGGAGTGGCGAAGTGGCGGAGTGGCAAAGTGGCGGAGTGGCAACAGTTTGGGTCATACGTTTACCGGAAGAATATAAGTCAACGATTTGGGTCGTGCGTTTATCGGGAAAGTATGGGTCAACGGTCTGGGTCATGCACTTTCCGGGTGACTATGCGGACGTGGATGACATACCGCCCTCCTTCCGCTAAACCTCCGTCTACATCTCCGCCTCTCCTCCAGGGCGCCAAGACCCCTGCCCGGCTGCCCGCTGCTGTCGCCGACACGCTGCTGGCACACCACATCACCTTCAAGACGCTAGAACCCGGGCTGCTAGAGGCTAAGCTGTGAGAGGCATCACTACGAGCGAGGGAAAGAAGCATTGAGGAGGAAGAGGGGTGGGAACCAAGGAGGAGGAGACGTGAAGGCGGAGGCGTCGAAGCGGAGGTTTGGAAGGCGAAGTGATGGGCGCAAGACTTGCTCTGCTTCTGGGGTTTCGCCGCCTCGTATCAATTCCTTAATTTGTTCTGCTGGGTTGCGTTTTGCTCCAACAGCAGCACCTGTAATCTTACCACGGCGGAAGTTAGTCGACAAGATGAGAGACACTTTTCTTAGGCTGCGGCATGGCGTGCGCATAACCGCACTTGCGGGATGTGGGTCGGTGAGCCGGAGGTGTCCATGATGTGAGGAACAAGCTGGCCGCGCATGGAGGCCTGTGAAAGGGGAATGTAGGGCTGCCAGTCATGTACTTTCCGCGCAGCTGGGCTTTTTGCAAGGGCGGATGAGAAGGAGTTGAAGTGTTGTCGATACCATGCGAGTGTTTGCTGGATATGCTAAAGCCTGGATGCACAAGGGGCGACTAGTGCGCGTATGGCGCCGTGGCGGACGTGCGCATGCGCTCTTTGTAGGGTTCTTTCGGTGTTGGGGAGAAGAAAATCATGATTATAGTTGCAGATGCGGTTGCATTCATGTGCGGGGGTGGTTTCTCTGTGTTTTGACCCAGGAGTACTCCCAGATTGCCTGCAGCTGAAGGATGCAATAAGAATGGACTTGGTTTTTACGGGATGGGCGCTATATGTGGGAGGCTGTGGAGGTGGCCGTGTTATACAGAGTACATGCAAAGCAAAGACAAGGGCGTATGTAGCTGCATAGGAGACTTGCGAGGTGGTCTTAGGTAGTACACAAGCTACACAACACTTGTCGGTTCAGCTGAATGGTTTTAAAACTGCAGACGTTCTTAAGTTTCGGGCATTCAAGGGCTTCCCGTAGACCGCAGTGGCACAATGCATGATTTGTAACCGAGCCACCAGGTACGCATCGGAACAGGCAGGCATTCTTGTCCTATTCTGTCGCACTAGGAAGTTGTGGATACACTTGTTGCACATGAAGGACCATGTCATTCGTACCCGTCTGAAAGATAGTGGAGGGGAGACCCTCCCTCGCCACCCCCGTCCATAGCAAGTCCATTCGGTTTAGCATAAGAGGGGGTGGAACCCGTCCAGCTGCCGGTGTGTTGCCCATGGTGTCCTCGTAACGAAGATATGTTGCTTAGATCCGGCATCAAGGCAAGTCCGGCATTGCAGGGAGTTGAAATTGAGGACGGTTTCGCTCGTTTGCAATAGGCCCGGACTACCAAGCGGATTGCGTGTTTTAAGGTTTTGCAATGCTTTGTGTCCTCTAGATCCGTCATACTTACCTGGGAGAACAGTCGAATTTGGCGATATACAGTTAAATTACACGGATATTTGGTGTGAAACAACACACAGAGAACCCGTCTTTGCAGGAAGATTTCACCCGATGTAATAGTTATGAGAAAATCTCCTAAAGGGCCGTAAGAAGTTTGGGGGAAATGAAGAATCACAGGCAAATAATGGGCAGGGGTGACATTACTGTAGCTGTATACCTGTTGTGAATAGTAAAATGCCTCTTGGATTGCGTGAGAAATTACGTATGGAAGGCGGGAAGGGCACCCGGTTTCCGGTAGGGCCTTATGTACAGCAAAAGTTTAGTACTCTCCTTCCATAAAAATTACTCAACACACTCCTTGGTCATACCTCACCTGCATTTTTGACCTCCTACCTCTAAACTTACCGCCATCGACAGAAATGGCTCCCCGTGGCATCCCCGCTGATATTCTGTGCCTGAGCGTCCCTATGATTTTCGCTGGTGGCGCTTTCACCACGATGCTCTACCGCGTCTTCACGTAAGTTTTATAGTTCATCTGCCGGGGCCTATGCGCCAAAGGCTCACTGCTTTCTAGCCTAGAGTTGCTCTTCTCGGAGGAACTCCAAGCCCATCCCTAAGGCGGCGATGCCGTTGCAAATGAAGAGTTACCTGTAACATTATGTCTTGAATTCTTGCCCTGCAGTGTCGACCCGGCGGCGTCCTCCATTCCTGGTGGCATTACGCCCGACACCAAGGAGGAGGCTGACAAGGGTGAGCACTACAACAACTCCATCCGCTTGATGTTCAAGGGCCGCAGCATGGGCGTTTTCAACAACGACGTCAAGGTGGAGTAAGCGCTGGAGCGCACATGATTCGTGATGTCGACATAAACTTGGCTTATTTTCACTCCGCATGGCATGAGGGTAACGTATTGCTCAGGATGTGCAACCCGGCCTTATTATTAGCTGGGCCATCTTTGTGCGAGACGCGTTAGTATTTCGTGACAGTGCCAACATTTAGCACACAAACAGCGGTTCTACGCCCCCAGCGGTGCCGTTTCGCGATTACTTATTGGTACAAATATGCAGACGTGGGTCCTCGGATTGGAGGGATGTTCAGCTTGCCAACGTTTCGCAAGGACCTGTTTGCCCTTCCCGCATAGAGTACGCGATGTCGCACGCTATTATTAACCTCGTTCTACGTTTCGTAGTTACTTGGTTGGGAAGCTTTCGGACGTAATGGCCTCGAGGCCTGGATGGTTACTTACGTTTGTGTAACTGCCTGCTGCTGCGTTGAAGCGAAGGGACGTCTTGTCTATTGCGTCGGAAATGGACGTGGACCTTTCCTTTTTGGGATCAGCTGTGCTTTCGTGGGCGATAAACAGCCAGCCATCTTGCTGCTTGTAATGTTGGTAATACATCTTGTAAAAGTCATTCCAGCGGTAGGTTGGGCTGCATGTATAGGCATGTCTCGGACGTGCTCGGACTGTAACTAACAGCGATTGCGAAGTGCCACCTCCATCTCAGCGAAGTAGGTAGAGAGAATGCTGCTATCATCTTCCAGCTCACTGCAAGGGTTCATCAAAATTACATCCACAGATATGGAAAGCATTAACAGTACAGCAAAGTCAGCTTCACCATCAAAAGTCGAACAGGACAGTCAAGTTAACTATGGAAACCATTGAACCAAGATCCGCACATAGAGCGTATCAGCCTTCAAACCAGGGGCAGCACATGTTCCAAGTGTACCACCTCAGATTATCGAGTGTCGTGGCAACCACGTCCAACCGCCAGCATGCACTTTTAGAAAGCTGGCAAGCACAAAGTCAGGTATGTTCATGCGGACACGCCGTCAGCCGGCACCATAGCCCTGGACGTCCAAGCCCACGTAAGCAAACGTAGTAACAAGGTCCTGGTGAGGGGTCTCACCCTCCGCGACTGAAAAGCAGCACCATGTTATTGACAACGACGCATAAGCTCACGAGTCGTAAACCACCGTATGCTATAAAAATGCGAGCCCTAAAGACAGTCGGCTGCATTCCACCAACGCCGGTAAAGCGTGGGCAACCACAACCTGTGTACTTGGGTTAAATGGACAGCTTTGAGGAGGACTGGGCAAGACAGTGAGCAAGCTCTGTAGAAAACTTGCCCGGCAACCATGCCGCAAATGCATGAGCCATCATCGGCATTACAGCAAGAAGTATACAGCGTCAGGGCCGACGACGACCGAAGGGAGGCCTGAACTTGCGGTCGAGCGCCGTAACCCCGCGACCGCTTTGTCCCACCAAAGCCCGCTAGCAAAACGCCGTACTGCTCACGCTCGTCACTGCTCCAAGAAAAGACCGCTTGGAACTTCCCATCGTGAAAACGCTTACCAACGGACACCAAGCAAAAATCCGTCCAATAACGACGGAGTACTAACACCCCTTTTCCGATGTTTGCCCCGCATCAGCAATGAGCCAGAGCGGCCAGAGCGACACCCTAAAAAACATTCACCAACGCACTGTGCCATTGTGCCTCACCAGCATTGGGGCTGTGGCGCAAGCAGCGGCCAGCCCTCACACCGGAACAGACCATTTGCCGCGTGCCAAAACTTCCCTTGCCCTTAACAACAGCATATACTGTCGACCAGTTCGGCCGGGCACATAGGAAACAGGACAAACCCCAACGGCCTCCAGCTAGGTACGGTACGGACACAACAGGCGGGCCGAGACGCTTCACTCGGCACCGCTCTCGAACAACAATCGTGTGTATTTTGCTCTCCAAGGTAATAATGCACGTGACGTACCACAACAACCGTCACCAACCGTCATCAACTCTCACAATGTCAACGTCCAACTAGGCGAGACTCCTCAACATACTTTGTACTACTGATTTTCGTAATGCACGGCGCAACATGTATTTGTTATCGCTGTTGTTGACCCATGTACGCCGGCATTAGTAGGTGGTGATGCTGGTCAAGCTGGGGCATCTGCGGCACGGACGCGGTTCCGGAGCCTGATCCTGAGCCCGAACCCGGAATAGGAAGCCCCGAAGACGCCGCCAAACCGCCATGCAAGTGGTGCTGCCCCATGGTGGCAGCAGCCGCCACAGCGGTGCTGCCGCCCGCACCGCCACCGCTACCCCCCATCCCCGCATAAGGCCCACCCAGCTCTGCGCCGTGGAAGCCTGCATCCAGATTAGGCAAAGCCAGAAGCTGTGCTACGTCGGAGAAGCAGGTGCTGTCAGCGGGAGTGGCGATGGTTCCCGAATCAGCGGGCTGCGGATGCAGCGGGTGCTGCTGTTGTTGCTGCGCTTGAGTGGGCAAGATAGCCGGCGAGAAGGAGGGCATGGAAACAAGTCCTCCTCCGTGCTGCTCTTGTTCTGGCTGGTGCTGCTGGTGGCTCAGAAGTTGTTGCTGATGGTGATGATGCGGCTCCCCGGCTACTGCTGCAGCCACAGCGGCGTCCGCCATGGGTCCTGTTCCCATACCAGCGGCAAGCCCTGCGTCTTCAGCCGAGCGCTTCCTGCCCTGCTGTGCATGCAAGTGGTGCTGGCCGCTCGAGGGGTCTAGCGCTCCGGCGTCCTCGTCCGAGCCAATGCCGAATGCTGCGATGCCACCGTTGGCCACCGTCGTCGCCGCGTCCCCTAGCCCCGGTGGCGCGCTTGCAGGTCGACACTGCACGGGAGGAAGGAGTAAGAGAAGGGAGATTGTGGAAGATGTGCCGCAACGGCTTTCAGGCAGCAAGATTTTTCTTACTCATTTTCCTAGTATTACTTCGGCATCATCGCCTCCATAAACAGCATCTTCCCGTGAAAACCCGCATGCGACGTGCTCAATTAATAACTGCTACACACCACATGCATTTATGGGGGAGGTTGTACCCTCGTCCTCCAAGGCAGAGACCCTCCTCACCTCCGTATCATCCAGGCCGCCCTGTTGCTGCTGCGGCGGCGCGGCTTGCCGCATCGCCGCAAAGTGCGCTGCAAAGGAGCTCGGATCGAAGGCGCCAGCAACGCTGCCCAGCTGCTGCTGCTGCTGCGGGGCCTGCTGCGCCACCCCCACCCCGCCTGCTGCTCCGCCCGTCGAGGTGCCCAGCAGGCGATTCAGCAGCGCAGCCACCTGCTGCTGCGAGGCGAGCAGGTCGCGCTTGAGCTGCTTGTTTTCCTCGTCAGCGGACTTCTTGGCGCCGCTCAGGCCGTGCATCTCGCTGCGCAGCGAGGAGAGCTCAGCCTGCAGCGGGATACCGGTAGCGGGGCACGATGGTAGCGGGTAAGGAGGAGCGATTAGGCGGGAAACCTGACGGCGGGAAACTGCCAAGCGGTCCATGTCAGGGACGTAGGAGCAATGAGGCTTTGCCACATGTCAACTCATGGGCCGGCCCTCGGTCAGAAGCAACGCCCCCTCACCTCAAGCTTTCGCAGCCGTGCTGATTCGCTGTTGTCCGGCTGTTGGGCGGCTGGCAGACCGCCGCCACCGCTGCCGCCATTCGACCCGCCAGTGTTGGCGCGTTGCAGCTGCTGCCGCAGACTCCGGTTCTCTTGCCTGCAGCCGCAGCGAGACACAAGACGCAGCTCAGGGCCCACATGTCATTACGACATCAAGACCGGCTTGACCAACACAAGCTAGCGTTTGGCTCTTCACCTGCACCCTGTTCCCCAAACGTCTCACCTCATGACCTCCAGCTCGTTCGCTATCCGCCGCAGCTGCTCGCCCGCGATGGCAGCAGACGCCGAGCCGCCCAACCCACCCGGCCCCAGCAGCGCCGGCAGCCCCAGCCCGCCCGCACCCCCCGCGTGTCCGCCCCCGCCTCCGGTGCTGTTGGCCACCCGCGGCCCCAGGTTGGCGACGGAGGATTGCCGTGGCACGTGACGCACGTGGTGCCGCAGCGGGCTCTGCGTGAGGGGGGAAGAGAGGAGGGGGTCCGAGAGATACAGGTATTGAGGACTTGTGAGCGGCGTTGTGAGTATGAAATGTTAAGGCACAGCGGCTGGACAAGGCAAGCCGGGGCAGCAGTAATGTAATAAGCGGTAGCACTCGTTGTGCGAAGAAACACACTAGGCAGGTCGTACGCATGTGGCTTTCTTAAGAAACCAGTGGGGCGCTACCCCAGCCCTGCCTTCCCACCGCCTACCCGCCCTCCGCCGCCTCCCCGCGCCAACGTGCCACTGGCAGTCGGCCCCACGCCGCCGCCACGCCGCCCTCCTCCCATGCCGCACCCCTCCTCCAGCCCCTCATCCTCCTCAAGCTCCTCGCCGCCCGCCTCGCCCTCTCCCTCCGCACATAGCTCCTCCGCCGCCTTGGCCCTCGCTGCCGCATCATCCGCCTCCGCCTCTCCGTCGTTGTCGTCCTCCCCAGACGCCAGACTGCTGACCTGAGTGGCTCCTGGCGGCAGCACCCCCAGCGGCAAACCCCCATGGTGATGATGGTGGTGGTGGAAGCCACCGCCCATGGGTCCCAAGCCGCTGCCGCTGAGGCCCATGCCACCACCCAACGCGGCGCCCAGCTCCGCATCAGTCGCCAGTTTCAGGTTGTCATCCGATTTTTCCTGTGGGGGATTCATGGAGGAGAAGGGAGACGAGGACAGCGTCATTGAGAGGTTGAGAGCAGCAAAGTGAAAAACGTACTAAGTGCTAACAACGAGGACCACAGCACGCACACCACCCACCCCAAACCGCCCAAACACACCCTTAGCAGTGCCGTACATCCACCAACATCCACCAACATGCCCCAACTCCCCCACCCTTCTAGCGCACCCACCCGCAGGTTTAGCCCCAGCCGGGCTCCCAGCGGCGCCACCCCTCCGCTGCTGGCCGGCCGGCCCAGCACGGAGCTGTTGCGCAGCGGCTTGCGGCGCCGCTGACGCAGCGAGTCGCTCCGCTGCGCGCTGCCGTCGGGGCCGATACCGCCAGCGGAGGCGCCACCAGTGTTGAGGAAGACAGCTGGGTCGCCCGAGGCGATCTCATCCTGCGCGTCGTGATGAGAGCAAAGTTGACACGGCATTGATAAGAGTTTCGACCAAGTTACTAGAAAACAACTAGTAGTCACCCTCTTCGGCACTTCTGAAGGCGCTCTTTGTGCCCCGAGGAAAGACCCAATGGAGTCCATACCCCTCTTGCTCCATGTCCCCTGTTAGCAGCAGCCTCTCCAGGTAAGTTTCCCGTAACGCGTCTCGATAACATGTATACTCGTATACCCAATTTGCTTGTTGCTTTGACACTTCGTGACCGGCGGCGCGGCACATGTCCTCCTAGTGTTACCATGCAAGGCAGCTTCTTCCTCAACTCGTCTCGGTTTGTGGTAAGCAACGATTCGGTAAGTTGAGATGCGTGCTTCTAGAATAGTGTCTCCGAATGCGCTCACTGCATGAGTCGGGATATGGGATTGGGACTCGTTGTTTCACTTATATAATCCCCCCCCACCCAGCACGCACCTGCTCCCTAAACGCATCCAACGCATTCTGCAAGCTGTCCACCTCGCCCCCGAAAGACAGGTTGTTCAGCGACCACAACTTGGACTTGTTGCGACCCGGCGGAGCGTGCTTGCGAGGGCCCGTCGCGCCCCCGCCCCCGCCACCGCCAAAGCTGGGACCACCTGCTCCGCGGTCCGGCCGGTCAGCGTGGGCGGGGCTTGTGACGGGCGGCTCATCGCCCAACCCGTCCGCCACAGCAGCACCTTCCGCACCGCCTGGGAAGCGAGGATAGGGAGGTTACAAAGCGTGTTAGTAGCAGGTCTAGGTCTATTCGATAGCGGCTTTGTATGGTTCTCATCAATTGTACTTCAGTCCAGCAGCGTTCGGATGGTGCGGTCGGGTGGGTCCCGGAAAATATACGAATGACGCTAAATTGGGTTCGTTGGATATCCGGTACCCGGCTTTCACTGTCCTCTTTACGTACGTGTAGCGCCTAGTCTCTGCAAGGCTACCCTCTGTACGTGGAAACCTGGCAGCCCCGGGCCCTCTCACGCACCTGTCGCTGCCATGACAAGCGCGTCAAAGAGCTGGCTGACGCTGGTGCCGCTGCGCTTGGGGCTCTCGCGACCCATGGGTCCGCCAAGTCCTCCGCCGCCCATGCTTCCACGATAACCCCCGCCGCCGTAAATGGACGGCACAGGCCCAATATCTGGGGGCCCACCACTGCCGTACCCGGCAGCAGCGCCCCCGACAGGACCGAGTCCATGCGAGCTACCAGCGTTACCGTATTCCGCCTGCAGCATTATTACAACACAGAAACAGCATTTCAAGCGTGCAATGTCAATGCAGTTTTTATGTACCGATATTGCTCTTGACAGTGCCCTTGACAATGCCCACAACCTTAGCATCCACTTAGCATCCGTCTATCCACGGTGTTATCTCTTCCCTCCCTCAACGCATTGGGTATTCTTCTTTCCTCCCTCACCTTCACCACCGCAGCAGCAGCAGCTGCTCCGCGGCCGCCCATCCCCCCGCCCCCGCTGAGGGTGGGTGCCGCCACCTGGTGCTGATGCTGGTGGTGCTGGTGGGCGGGCAGACCAAGGGGCCCTCCAACGGCCGCCATGGTGCCACCGGCGTGGTGGTGCGGATGCGGGTGCGCGTGCGCATGCTGGTGATGCGGGTGGTGCGCCGGCTGCATGGGGGGCGCTGCCGGCAGGGGCACCGCGACGGCCGGCAGGGGCACCGGCGCCACGGGGCCGTCCGCCTCGGGCGGCGGGCCGCCCTGACAGGTGCACACCTCCGTGCCCGCAGACACGATGATGGAGGAGTTGCCCTGGTTTAGGAGTTGGGAAGGGGTTGCAGGTTGGAGCCAGACAAGACGAGGGTTAGCTACCAGCCAGGTAGGCCTCGTGGGGGCGTTGTGGGTTAGGAAGGAAATCAGGATAATAACTTAATAAGCGAGCGGCCCGTTTCTCGCCCATCGCACCCCTTGCAGGAGCCCACCTCAGGACGCGAACGCAGGCCCTGCCCACCTGCTTTGCGTCGATGATCTCCACGTCCACCATGCACGGACACAACCCCAGGAACTCCAGATCGTACCGGATGACTGCGCACAGGAAACATAGGCGGCAGCCATGAAATGGGCGCGAGTAGGAGCAAATGCAGGGTATATCGTGGTGTGCTCGCGTATTGTGATATGGCGAGTAGCAAAGTGTGGCCAGCTCTACACCGGATAAATGGATGGTCAGGCGAAGCTAGCTGTGTTGGGAAGCGAGGGGCAATCAGCTTGTTGGCCTGTACGACACACATCAAAAAGACAGGACCCCGCAACTTGTCGTACGGAGGCCTGTGGCCCGCCAATTCCCCACCCATCACAGCCAAACGCACCTGTGAAGAGGTAGTTATCGTCGTTGCCATAGCGGTTACGGTCAAGGTTTGTGCTGTACTGCCCTCCTTCACCGTCTGACAGGTAGTGCTTTTTGAGCTCATCGGGGACCCTGAACATGCATTGCAGGCTAGGCCTTAGTTCCAAGCTGCAACGCATGGAGTTACTTGAACCGGTGCATGGGGTCTAACATGAAGCGAAATGCAGGAGCGGCTGGTTGCATGCTTTGTACAGGTTATGTTCACTTCCACGCACGGTACGCGCCCCTCCGGTTGGCGGCCCGGGCCCTTGCAACTGGTGATAATAAACTGAGGGGGTACAGACGTGAACCCATGTTGTGTAGCGGCGCGCTGATGCACATACCTGTGAGTACCGGACGACAGCTCCACCACTTTCGTCCGCCTTGTGTTGCTCGACAATATCTGCAACGAAAGCGTCATGACGTCCGCGTCGTCATCCTCCTGGCTTTTCCTAACCCACACGCAGCAGCTGTGAGCGGGTTTCTAACCTGTAAGACATTTCGTTTATTGCTTCCGTGCCGCAATTGCTCAGCGGTTTGCATGATCTGGAGGACCTGCGGCAAGCGACAAAGCATGAAGAGCTCTTCAGCTGGAGTTACCGACAATAACAACACACCGCGCCATCAAGAACTCAGCACCTGCAGGAAAGCCGCTGTTACGCTAGCGCACGCGTCGGTTTCCACTGGTAGATTTGCATTCTTTAGCTTGTGAGGATAGTGAGCCCAGCGAAAGTAGGCCTTGTACCTGCAGGAGAATAACGTATATCAACTAAAGAGCCACCTTTACAGCCTTTAGGCTCTAAGAGCGCGTGCAGGCATTAACGTTGATACCAAGCGCATGCTTGACCAGCCCTGCAGGCCCCTTCCACGCTTACAGCAGTTGGTTGTTTGTAGGCCGCGATCGAACAGCTTTCCCCGGGCTCGTAGACTGGCCACCCGCGCCGGGAGGGGGCGACTGGGCAGGAGCTGGACGTTTAGGAGCTCCGGGCCGCTCCTTCCCGCCTCCGCCAAAGGCCATGGGCTTTTTGCGAGCCGGCGGCACATAGTCCATGTCATCATCATACATAAAGTCATCATCGGTATAGTAAGTGGCGCGGAAGCCGCCGCTGCCTGTGCTCCGGGCCTTCATTTTCCACCTTTGCTGCGCGTCGCGTGCTGAAACGGTGCCGGCGCTCAGGCGTCTGCACAATTGCACATGCCAGGCTGCTAGTAATAAACACTTTAGTAGGAAGGCCTAAGGCTAGAAGGCTCGGGCCGGCTGTTTGCTGGCCCTGACCATGAGGGGAGCATGAGCACTATGAGCCAGCCTAAGTTCAATCGTCCATTAGAATTCACACAAGCCCATTTATCATTCGCACCTATTGAAATATGGACTTAGCGACTGTTCAGTTGCATAGTGTGGTAACACATGGGGTTCGGTTGGCCGTCGGGCCCTTCCCAGCTGGACCACCTAAAATTGTGATGAACGCATTATGTTGCCTAGAAGTTCAACATTTACTATGTATATCGAAGAAGCATATAGATTCTTGCACGCCCATCTCAATCTTCGCCACGTCGGCGTTTTGCCGTTACTCTACTGTGGATGGGACGCTCGCTAACGTCGGAATGCCCACTGCATGGCTCTTAACAGCATTAACCACATTGGCGCTCACCTCATCAGGGCTTGCCTCGCTTGGCCTTGTTCACTGCGCACAGCTGTAGAAGACCTGCCCTGCAATAGCTCTCCTGGGGAAAGGGGCTTCCATCCCAACATAGCATGCTTGAACAAGCATGTGGGGCGTGCTGGGTTGGATGTGCCTGATCCAGCATTGGGGGTGTGTTCCTGACCTTTGGGAGTGAGTGGGTTGTGCGTGCACGGGGTGTCTGCGTGCACGGGGTGTCTGCGTGCACGGGGTGCCTGCGTGCACGGGGTGTCTGCGTGCACGGGGTGTGGTTGTGGCTTGCGGGTGTGGGTCGTTTCAGTTGGCACTCGGCCGTTCCTGCCAGATATGCTGCTGCTGTAGATCATTAGTGGCATCTGTATGTAAAGAAAACTGGTGTGTGTTTGGCGACCCGCTGAGCCGCCAGTTACGGCAGCCATGCCACCAAACGCCCCGAACCCCTACTCATGACGTGCTCCATGCATCCGGTGCATTTCGCCCGCCGCGCCCCACCACTGCAGGACGCCTGTAGCGCTTAACGTGGAGGACTTTGGGCTGCTGCCGACGCTGCTGGGCTAATGGGCTGGGAAGGGCGTGGGAAGGAGTGAATAACCTTGTTAGCCGGGTGCAGTATGGGAAGGAGAGGAGCGGAATTGTAGTCAAGGGGTGAGGACGAAAAGCGATGGAAAAGCGCGACAGGAGTAGGGTAGGGGCCTGGGGTAGGGTAGGATAGGGTAGGGTAGGGTAGGGTAGGGTAGGGTAGGGTAGGGTAGGGTAGGGTAGGGTAGGAGTAGGGTAGGGTAGAAGTGGAAAAGCGCGACAGGAGTAGGGTAGGGGCCTGGGGTCTGGTTGCCGGAGCTGTATTCGGGGACGGGGTTGAATACAGATCAATATCTTTGGTGACCCGTGGGTCTTTCCTGCATGTGGCGTTGCGCTGGGGTGCTTGCAGAAGCCGGGAGGGGGCAGCCACAGCACTGAGAGTGCAATGCGATGCGACGCACTTCATGCATCATGTGAAGAGGTGGTGTGTACCGGTACTGGAGCGGGAGGTTGAGGCGCAGCAAGGGGCGCACAAGGAGGGTTCCTCCGGGCTGAAGTGCGGGGATATCGTTGCTGCGGTGTGACAGGAAACATACCGGTAGTACCAGCAGTCGGGCAGCCCACATGCGCGCACGCTCTTTGAAGAGTGATGATGATAGGGCAACGCCGCCACTGAATCCTGCTATAAACACCCGAGTGCGGGCACGCGAGATGATCTGTCATTGCCGGGGTTCAAGGTGCGCAAGGCTCCCAGGGACGTCGAGTTCAGTCTGGTCCCACCCAACTCGTAGGGGACCTCGACAGACCTCTAGCTACTGACACCAGCCAACTCGGCGCCCCTTTGAGCCCTGCACAATTGGACTCCAGGTGCAACGGCTCCGCACCCTCGGGAGAGGGAAGCACACAGCTGCCCTAGGAGCAGCCGCTCACTGCTATTGGCCGCCCAGTGCAACCCCGGTGCAGCATGTGAGCTTCAATGCAGCACCGGATCCAGTTATCGTAACCCGCGGCACGCAGCTCAGCATCACTGCCGTGCTGCTCTGGAATAGGTTTACCAGGCAAGCTCCGCCTGTCCGCTTGGTATCCTTCCGCTGACAATCCGCTGTCCGCTGGGGATGTCGCAGGGAAGTGCTCCTCGCTGAATACGGCGGCTTGGCAACTGGTGCTCGGCAACTGGCGCCTGCTGCACGTCAGAACCATAGTACATCCCGTAATGGGGTCACTGTGTAGCGGTTCCACGGCACTCATCACGATCGCATGGAGTGAAAGAGACGACCCCTAGCCAAGTACCCCTCACAAGTAATTATCCGTCAGGAACATATGTCGGCCGTCGGTATCCCCCGGAACGCCGACGAGTACGGCCCGGAGCTCCGACGCCTGTACGTCCGGACGTCGGGGTCGTCAGGGTTCCGGACCTAATATTGTAGGTGAAGACAATGACAGTAACTCTTTTAAACAATCCTCCACCTAGCCCTTTTACAAATATAACCGGGCTGCGTAGGGAACGTTGACTTTGGGGCACTTAAAGCTAACTAACCGCGCGACCGGCACAACTAAAGATCCCCTGATGAGAACAAGGACAGCTGAAGTTGCTGTTTGTATTTTATAGGAATCCACGTGTTTTGGGTAAAATGCGCAGTTCTAGGCCATCTCCTTAGGGCTCCCTCTGTCGGCTTGCATATCTTCAAGCATGGGCTTCCTGCGGAACGCCAGTTTCTTGATATATGGCTCCAAACACTTTGGCAGAAGGGGCTATGAGCGCGCTTCGGCGACTTGGGATAACAGGTAAGCGACTGGTTCGCGTCAACGAGTGGTTGCAAATGCCTTGCCGCTTCCAGCAACTTTGTAGCCCGCGTGGTATGCATTTAGCTGTACGCACACCTTTTATGTCCCATCCTCATTTTCCGCTGTCATCGGCTCGGCTGTACCACTCATCGCTATAGGGTGCCCCCTTCTCTCAACACTTCCCTCCCTCTCAAAATCGACTATTGCCTATCCGTATCTATATCTTCCTACCTACCCCGGCATCTACTGTAAACTTCCACCGCTCATGCTCTTAAACCCGCAGCATCATGGAACGGCGGTTAGATGGTCAGGTGGCAATGGTGACGGGCGCCAACCAAGGACTGGGCTTCCAGGTTTCCCAGGTGCGGTGGAAGGCATGTAATCCAAGCAATATAGATTCCAATACCAGGACCACCGGTGGGCAAGCCAACATAGCTCAATGGGTGCTCACAGCGTGGATGCCATGGGGCGCCCAGACTGCGGTCTACCCACTGCGGTCCCCAGATTGCGACACGAAAGCGGCGTGGTTGGGTCCAGTTGGGCCAGGGAGCAGCACACGTCATGGTTACAGACGGATGATATGGCCCATGTTGCCTTGTACCCGTCACCCACATCCTCCCGCCTTCCTTGCTTGCCCTGACCCACACCGTACACATCCCCTGCGCTGCCCCCGCCCTGCACTGCGCTGCCCCGCAGGAGCTCGCTCGCCGCGGCTGCACCCTGTTCATGGTGTGTCGCAACGCGCAGCGGGGGGAGGAGGCGGTGCAGCATGTACGGCAGGCCTCCGGGAACCAGGACGTACACCTGCAGGTACCGGTATGCATGCGCGGGTGGGGCCCTGCCGGGGGTGGGGGTTCCACCTGGTGCCTGCCCCCCCTCTCTCTCTCCCTTGTGCCGCCTTGTTCTTCTCCGTGCGTGTGCCTGTCACCATCTCTCCCATGCTGCTCCCATTGTTCTCCTCCCACACCATATCCCCACCATATCTGCACCCCATGTTGAGTCCGTGTCGTACAGCTTGTCAGTCCCCCCCCCTCCCCACCATGCGCACCCCGCCCTCTTCCCTCCCTGCACCGCCCTACCCCCGCTCACAGCTGTGTGATGTGTCCAGCCTGGCCTCCATCCACCAGCTGGTGCGGCAGTGGGAGGCGGCGGGGCGCCCGCTGCACCTGCTCGTCAACAACGCGGGCATACTGGTGTGCGGGGTTCGTGTGTACTGGTAGACACCGTACTTCTTGGATATCATCGCGCAAATGAATTAAAGAATTGTTTGGGACAGTGTGCATACATATACTGGTGCGCGGGTTCGGGTACTGGTAAATAGGCAGCCGAGCGATCTGGGTAAACCTGATAACCAACATACCGGTATCGACTGCATTGCACGACATGCGGGGGTTATGACTTGTTCCCCTCGTTCCTGCCCGGCCACCCGGCCCTGTTCCCCCAAAAATGAACAGGTCCATGATTACGCCCCCAGCGCTGACGGCTACGAGAGCTGCTTTGCGACCCACACGCTGGGCGCCTGGGCACTCACCTGGGCGCTGGGACCGCTGCTGCGGGGCAGTGCGCCGGCGCGGGTGGTGTTCGTGTCGAGTGGGGGCATGTACACGGCACCGCTGGAGGTGAGGGGGGGCGAGCAGCGGGGGCGGGGCCGGGGTGTGCTTGTGGTGGAAGAGCTCGAGAGCGGCAGGGTTCAGGGTTCAGATGGCATGACGCATGAGGCGGGGTGGGTGGGGATTTAACAAGGATGTGGGAAGAAGCGGCAGGGGTAAGCGTGTATGTTATAAGAACTGGCCGTGTCCCATGAACGGACGTCGAGTTCCGCTGTGGGTAACAAGCACCCACACGAAGCGCCTTCACTCCTCCGTGCCCCCTTCCCCCTTCCGCTCGGTACTCCTCCTGGGGTGTGGCAGGTGAAGCACCTGGCCAATGACGACATGGCGCCTCCGGCAGCACCCAACGGAGCAGGCGGCGCGGGTCGTGCTACGGCGGCGGGCCGGGGCAAGTACGACGGCATGTTGTGTTACTCGAGGGACAAGCGGCGACAGGTGGCGCTGGCGGAGCGGTTCGCGGAGCTGTGGGGGCCGCAAGGTGGGAGCGGCGAGGGGCGGGAAGGGGCTGGTGGGGGAGGGAGCGGGAGGGTGGGAGGGGAACTTGCCTGGTGGATGGTGGGAGATCATGGGTCCTGGTGTTTCTAGGAGTAGTAAGGAAGGGCGTAGGTGAGGATACAAGGCGGCAGTGCGACATGCTGGGGCAGCAGCAACGGGAATGCGGCTGAGCGGCCCTCTAGGGGTGCTCGGAATGCTGCGTCCAGTTAACCGCCCTGGCTTGCTCTACCTCGCCTGCATCTTAGCCTTCCCAGCACGTTGCCCGTTGTCCTCTGCCGCAACCGCCCCCTGCCCCACATCCCCACGTCCCCAGGCGTGTTGGTGCTGTCCATGCACCCCGGGTGGGCCACCACGGAGGGAGTGAAGCGCTCCATACCCGACTTCTACTCCTTCTTCAGGAACAGCTTCAGGGATGTGGCGCAAGGGGCGGACACCGTTGTGTGGCTGGCGCTGCAGGTGGGGCGGCGGGCTGCGGTGGGGTTTGGGTTAGCCAACATGCATGCACGTCCGCTACATGTGAAGTACCGGTATCATCCCACTCCCTCACCCGCACATCATGGAGGATGGGGCCTCAATCCTGCCCTTTACCGGTATCATCATCCGCTTAACCCAGCAAAACCCTCCTAATTATATACGTTTAGAGCAGCCAGGAGCAGCAGCTTGTTTCCTCTTCGTGCTTGCTACCGGTATCTCCATGGCTTTGGCTCCATCCTGTACCCAAACCGATTCCCCGCAGGACGCCTCCCGCCTGCAGCCGGGCGCCTTCTACCTGGACCGCGCCCCGCAGCCGCTGCACCTGCCGCTGGCGGGCACGCAGTACGGCATGCAGCAGGTGGACGCCATGTGGGCGCAGCTGCAGGGCATGTGCGCGGGCAAGCTACAGCCGGTGCGAGTGGGGCAGGAGGAACAAAGGGAAGGGGAGGGGGCGAAGACGGTAGGGTGACAGAGGCTTGAGGCTGCTGCTGGGGAACCAGTGCCGGGATAAATGGGTGCTGAAGACGGTGGTGAGGCTCTTGCCAGTGGCTGCTGTGTTGGGTCGGGGGTAAAGAAGATTGAGTTGGGGGGGGGGTTGCAGACGCACGAGCTTGATGCCTTGAAAGGCACAGCAGCGTTGTAGCGATGCAGGCGAGTTGTCTGGGGTAAAAGAGTGGGCAATCAGTGCGCGCATGGTGCTCCTCAGTGACGACTGCGGCTTGCTATGGCTGCAAGCACACGTGGCTGCCAGCACACGTACAGCACTCACCCCTAGTGAAGGCCTGCGTGCAGCAAATGGGGGATGTGGACTGCTGAATGAGTTGGCTCCAGTGGCTTTGCAAGTGGGCTGGATAAGTAGAGCAAGAGCCCAGGGCATGGTCGGCAGTTGGGGTTCCCTGGACTTGGGGTTCCCTGACGGGGGCTTACATTGAATACCTGAGGGGCAAGGTATGTAAGAACTTAAGGTGGACCACCAGCTATGGTGGATAAGATGCCGCCGTGGATAGGTTTGCCACGCACGCAGGCACGGCGTGCTGCGGAGCCGAATGCCGCCGTACAAGCAGCTATGGATTTGACATAAAACACCTAAATTAGCTCAGGATTTTTCTACACCTGAGACTTCTACATCTGAGAAACTATTGCTACTTTGCTAGCTTAGCCATAAATGAGGTGCACTAGGAAGCGAGTATTACACTGGAGGACTGGAGGTGCACTAGCGCAGGACGGCACGTTGCACGGCATTCACGGCAGTCCGCATAGGGCCCATCGACATGTTCTACAAAAGATTTAGCAAACTCTTGCTTCTACCTGCTTCGTTTCCCCTTGTCTTCATGGCACCCCTTCTGCCATATGACAACGCCATTCCAACTACAATTCCACGGGAGAAGTGACAGTCATAAGGACATATTCTCCTTAGACCCGGTAGTCATTACATGTAGCCCAGAATTGTAAATTACGCAAACATATTTCTTTGGGGCGTTCGGTATAACAATTACCATGGAAATGTCTCTTGTGAACCAATGTGCGATGGAGGCTCCGTTTGCGAGTACGGCTTTTGCACCTGAGCAGGGCGTACGTGTACGATATCCTCCCCGCACTGGCACGAGGCCACGAGGTGTCACCGGACCAGCCGGCGGGCTGGTTCCACATTACCTTTACAACGGCCGCCTTCCTTTGCCGCCTGTACGGATCCAAGAAGAACGAACGTGAGCATTTGCAGAAGGAAGCAAAGGAGTGCCTGCCAGGCTTTCCAAAGTCGCAGGTGTACCACGCAGTTCCTCGCCCCCAATGCCTGCCGGAGGGAGGCCTTGCGTATGACTGGACTGTAACCCTGGAGCAGTTGGAGCAGCGGCTAGGCCAGCTCGGCCAGGACGATTGGGGAGATGTATTGGTTACGTTCGACAACGGCATGCGCGCTGTTACTGCTCACGGCTTCGAATGGCAAGCGGTCCTCCGTTACTCGCCTGGGAGTGAGGCTGCGCGATTGCACCTGCGTTGCCAGATCCCGGCAGCTTACACGCCGAATGCGACCCTGTACAGCCGCCATGGCCGCATTCCTCCTGTGTCCAGCATTGCAGCAATGCTGGAGGTGGACCTCTGGAGCAACGGTGAGCGCACGGATGAGGTATCTTCTCTCTACACGATGGAGGACCTCCTGACTGTGGGGAAGTACGGTGGCTACGATGAGGAGTTGCCCCTGCAGCGACCGCCACAGCATGGGGCTGCTAGGGCCGGGGGCGACGCCCGCGGCAACGCGAGAGGCGGTCAAGACAGCGCCCTTGCGGCTGCGTGGTCGGAGTACCTGCACGACGGGAGGATTACCGGCAGGGTGGTGCTGCTGCGGCCGGACACGAACTGAAGAGCCAAGGCTGGAGGGCTAGTCGCCGATTTTAGTGACGCTTACCTTGCAGGATGTGCGGCTTTCACACGCTAGCATTGCAGCGGTGTCCTTGAAGAAGTTACACACTGGCGTTCGCTGAGGGCTGCGCTGTGGATTCGGCCTGTTACGAGGCGTTCACTGTGCATTGGATTTCATTAGCTACTAGGGGAGGCCGTGGGGATATTGGTACTGGAAGCGCGAGGTTAAGGTTGTAGAGTGATGAGTACAGGCTGCGCATCGGTGCATAAAGCTATACCGGTACGATGAGCGCACCACAGCGCATGGACTGGACACACCGCAAACGTGTGTAGCCCGACTTGCAAAATTGCCTAAAGATTGTATATATGTTTTGTTTTGATTGACATGTAAGGGTTGGCACCGGTAGCTTGCTTCAAGGCTACCGGTACCAGACCGAAGCGATCTCATGGCCTGCCCATGTGTTGTGTATAGTTGTGTATAGTAGTGTGTGTGGTCGGACTGCAGCGGTTCGGTCATGCTGTTAGGTACAGTTACAGATAGGGCTGCGTTGCATGTGTAATGACGGCGCGCTGAACAGCGGCAGTCGTTTCTCGCTTGTTACCATGACCAATACTGCGGTTGCCCAGCGACACGTTACCAGGTACCACTTGCAAGTCCACCCAGCTGTACCCCAATATTTCTTTCGCCAACGGCGTGTGATGCACCCTCCCAGTACAGGTACAAGTTCGGGCCCTTGCCCCCTTTGTCCTAGCTGTCAGTTGCCCGGTACCCGCAGCACCACCCCCGCCTAGTTGCATGTGCCCAACACCCATTCCATCAGCCGCTCAGGCGGGCCCTAGGATGTTGTGTGCATGCATTTAGGTGCTGTCATCGTCAGTGTCCTCCTCGCCGCCCTCCGAGGCAGTCCATCTTAATCGCTTCTTTGGTGGAAGACTATTGTCGTTGGGAGAAGGGCGCATATACTGCTGCCCAACTTTGTTGCTATGTAGAAAGTTATTGGCAGATCTATAAGTCAAGTCAGTGCAATGTGGGTTACCACGAACTTCGTTCAACAAGACCTTAGCACTGAGTTTACTGCCGCGCGCAAGTATGGCCTCTGCGGCTGTACACAACGACTCTATTTGTTGTGCACTTCTACTCAATCGTCCCATTGTTTGGTATGCTTAAAGCCATAAGTGTCGGCGCAAACAAGTACTTGAAAGGTAAAGGTGCTATGATTACCGGTAAACACCAAGGGAAGGCTAGAAGGCTTTCAAGTTGTTAAGGCACGAAGGTCTTGAACTAATCAAAGCATACACGGCTTCTAGTGCGCTGGTGGCAAGGTACGACATTGGTCTCACTAACTCAATGCTTCTTGCTCTGTGCAAATGCCATATTGACATGTCCATAGTCAGCACTACAAGTATGCGTAAACGTTTGCTTCTGGGCAGGTTACCAAAGTACAGGAGACTTGTTTTGTATTCCATTAGTCTATCCATTTCTCTGTTAGTTTCATAACTTTATGTTATTGAATAGTTTGAAAAGGCACACCTTGAAAGCAACGGATTAGACTTTCGGTGGTTTCGGAGAAAAAATTCCTGAAATCGGCCGGGTTCTTCACTAAGGCTGTTACCTTGCTTCCAAGCCGCGGCCTAGCGGAGCGCCTGGAATCAAGGGCAGGCCAAAAATCGTGTGCGGTTATCGTCCGACCCCGGGGACACTTCCAACGAATAAGATTGGGCCGATCATAGCAACAGCATAAGACATAAGCTAAACTTCCCACAGGAACCAAACCTGTGCAGATAACCGCTCTGCATGGACCGAAATGGCTGCAGCCGGAAACAGTTACCTTACAGCCGCGCTTCCATCGTTGTTTGCAAGCGATCGGAGCTCGGACTGCGTTATTCGCTTTTGTCAGGAAGCAGATGTGGAAGAGCCAGCAGCAAAGCAGCGGCGGCTGGAGCGCGGGACGGCTGCTGCTGGCAGGGCGTACAGTCTTCCTGAAGCCTTAGCTGTCATCGGCGAGCCGCTCCCTGCGCATCAGCTGGTGCTAAGCAATGCATCAGAGTGGCTGGCATCGCAGGTGGGTGCTGCATTTCTTATCTGCCGTAGACGAACGCGACGAAGCAGACTTGTTTTTTCGACTGCTGCTGTCGCCGTTCCTCATGTGGCACATCCGTTCCCAAGACTCATGACAGTTTGGTGCTCTTGTTCGCCACATGACCAAGACGGCATCGGCACCACTTACGAAACTTGTTCGGCTTTGCCTTGCTGCCTCCTTTCCCACCTCCCCGACACGCAGCTAGAGCGGTGCAGCAGCAGCACCGGCGCCTCAGAGCTCGGCTGCGGCGGCTTGCCAGCAGCATCAACCTCCGATCGCCGCCCCGTGCTGCGCATCCCCCTTCCCAGCGAGGCTGAGGTCCCCAGCGCTCGCTCCGCCATCCGCTTCGCCTACACCGGCGATGTAGACGCCGCCAGCATTCGGGAGGCCCTGCAGGTGCGGCGGCAGGCGGTGCGCCTGCAGATCAAGGGCTGCACCGCCGCCTGTGATGACATCATACAGGCAAAGCTAAGCGCCGCCGCCGCTGCTACTGCCGGCGCTGTTTCCGGAGCTAGCAGCAGCCAGCAGGCAGGCGGTAGCAGTAGCAATGCCGCCGCTGGCGGCGGCGGCGCGGGAGGCAATAGCAGCCGCGGGATCTCGGCCCAGCAGCTTCCGGCGGTGCTAGAGCTCTATGCGTGTGAGGCGCTGTGGCCTGATTCCTGCAAGAACAACGGCGGCGGAGCAGACGCTGACGACGGCCCTAGCTTCGCCGCCATTCTAGAGGCCGCCAAGCCGCAGCTTGTGTCGTACTTTGGCGACGCGCTGCGGGTCCTCAACACGCCCCCCCTCCGTCAGCAGCTGCTGGCTCTGCCGGCGGTGGCGGTGGAGGCGCTGCTCGAGTCGGACAGCTTCGGCACCGATAGCGAGTCCAGCGTGCTGCTGCTTCTGGCCGCCTGGATGAAGGTCAACTACGGCAAGACGGACACGGCAACGCGCAAGCGGCTGTGCCGGCAGGTGCGTCTCGTGCAGCTCAGCAGGCCCTACCTGGGCTTCATCCTACCCGCGCTCGCCCGGGACCACGAGCTCAGCCCGCAGCTGCCCGCCGGCTGGTTCCCCATCAGCGTCACCGAAGCCGCCTTCATCGCCCATGTTGCCGGCGCACCTTCGGAGCATGAACGCACGGAGCTCCTGAAGGGAGCTTTTGACTTTTACGACGTCTTCCAACCTTCGTACAATACGACAGCGCGCACGCAGAGCCTGCCGCCCCGCGACCTAACCTGCTGTTGGCATGTTCCCCAACGGCTGCTGGAGCGAGCGTTAGCCGGGCTGCATCCCGGCGGTACCGTGAGCATGCTAGGCCTCTTTGACCAGGGCCTGGAAGCCGTTTCTGCACAAGGGTTTGAGTGGCAACCCAAGATCACGTACAAGTACGGCGCTGCGGCTGCTGGGAGGTTCCTGAACTGTCGGACGCCGAAGGCACTCAAGGTGGATGGGGTGCGACCCGGGGGTCAGGGCTGCATGCCAGCGATGGTGAGTGTAAGGCTGCAGCTGACGATTGACCGTTGGCGTGACGGCGTGGCTGTGGAGCCGTTGGTACGAGTGTACGGCGGGGAGTTGTTCCTGCGGGCGGGCACATCGTGGGGCTCACATGACGCGCTGGCGTTACAGCCGCAACAGCAGCTCGAGGGGGGGCAGCAGCTGCAAGCGCAGGCATCACAGCAGGGCAGGGCAGGAGGTGGCGCTGCCGGCGACGGTAGCGGCGGTGGTGCGGGGCTGGCTGCATGGTCGGAGTACCTGCACGGGGGCCGGATCAGCGGCGCTGTGACGCTGCTCCGGCCGGATGGAGTGGATGATGAAAGGCATCTGGCGGTACGGCATGCGGCCCAGGTGTGGTCCATGTGATGTCGGTCCCAGGGCGAGATATGCGAAGGATGAAGAGGGCGGGCCGCGCATCCTGCGGTGCTGTTTGTCACGGTACTGACTGTGTGCCTCAGAGAGGTGCCGGGGAGATGGGGACGTGCCGGAATCGCTAAGGGGCTGTACGGCTGCGGAGGGAGGGATGGTTGGGTGGGAGGGGAAACGGTAGGGGGTTGTAATGGGCTTCTTTGGCTGACCCGCTTCATTTTGCATCGCACTGGAAACCCCTGCGCCGCACCGCAGCCCCCGCGTTTTGCCATCCACACCACTTACCTTATTCAATACCCCCCACCCCCACCCACTCCCAGGTGTCCCGGTTGGAGGTTCAGGTGGAGGTGTTGGGAGGCGGCAAGCGTGAGGCGGAGGAGCGGGCGAAGCAGCTGGCGGCGGACCTGGGGGCGCTGCGGAAGACGCTGGCGGACAAGGAGGCGCAGGTGGAGTCGCTGCGCTTCTCCAGCGAGGCTGCCCAGGAGGCCGCAGCGCAGGCGGCTCAGCAGCAGCAGCAGGCGGAGCAGGAGCGGCAGGAGGCGCTCAAGGCGTGGGCGGCGGCTGCGGAGAAGCACAAGACGGAGCTCACCCGGGTCCAGGTGGGTGGGTGTGGAGGATGGGTGGCTAGAGAGGGGTGACTGGAGAGCAGACGGGGCCCCAGGCGTAGGGATTGCAGGTGGGTGGGTACCTAGAGCGGGTAAGGAGTTAAGAACGCCTAACAGAGTAAGACCGCTCGGTTACCGGTCGTTGACGATCAGAACGGTCCTTCCATCGCCCTCGTATCCTCCTCACCTCACCTGAAGTGTCACCTCCCTCTGCACTTCTGCTGATTTCCTCCCCTGTCCACCTGTCACTCGCAGTCCGAGTTCGAGCGCCGGGAGAAGGTGGAGGTGGCGGCGCTGCGACGGGAGGTGGAGAGCTTGAGAGAGAAGCTGGCGGATAAGGAGCAGCGGGTAGGGTAGTTACTGGGCAGGCGGGGAAACAGGAGACACGGAGGTGTGGAGGATGGGCGGGGTGCCGCGTGGATTGGAGTTCAATTCCACTCCCCCCTCCCATGTATGCACGGATGTTTCCCCCAGGGCTTGTCGGTTGTTTTACCACTATCTCACCACACATTGGAACTTGTCCCCCCCCATGCATGCAGTTGGCAGTGAAGCCCAAGATGGCTGAGCTGCAGTACCGCCTCAACGAGCTGGCCGCGCAGCTGGCGGACGTCACCAGCGAGCGGGATGCGGCGGTGGCGGAGAGCAACCAGACGGCACAGATGGTAAGGCAGGCAGCGGGCGCCGGCGCGGAGGGGGGTTTGGACGGTCTGGTGGTGTGCGTGCGTGTACGTGCGTTCACACACATGCGCACATGCGGCGTCGTGTTGATGCGGATGCTTCTTTCATAGGGCACGTAACTGAGGACGAGGTTAACGCCTGTGACATCCCGCCCTCGCATCTCAATGCCTCCCATTGCAATGTTATGTTCCCACGCCCGCTTCCTGCCTCCTCCCATTCGTGCTCGCAGTTGCAAGATGAGCAAGAGGCGCACTTTGACACGGACGGTCGCCGCGTACGGCTGGGTGAGGAGGTGGAGAGGCTGCGAGGCATCCTGAAAATGTACCACATACCCTTCTAGTAGGTAGGGCTACTCCCTACGACGGTTTGTGTACACTTTCACCCAGGAGGAGCAATCTCAGGATGCTACTCGTCCTACCTGCTCGCCCGTCTCTGTGACCCTCTTCAAGACCTCATGCCTGGAACCGAAAGGGGCCTCAGGGCATACATCTGTTACCACGCGCAAGTATTGACGACATGCTTCCAAGCGCGAGCCGGGGAATTTGCAGCACAGTAAAGATTCGAACCTGTATGCGTTTGAGGTGCTGCCGATCGCGGTTTCCTTTCCTGACTTGGCTTGGCCCCGGTGCAGGGGCCTGAGTCGCCTGTTTAGGAAGATATTGAATGCTGCTCTGGGTACGAAACGGATGAACCGACTGTCCGCTATGTGTCGTTGGCAGTTGGGAGTTACGTGCAGACGAGTGGGATGCACTGGATAATGTGGTTTGGTATGTTCGTGGTGGTGGGTGGTGCATGCGTGTTTTCTCGAGTGCATTGGGGCGTGCATGCGTCAGTCAGCCGGACGACACCCGTGGTACGGCGTCTGTGGGTTATTAACGTGTCATGCCCTGATGCAGCGTGTGTACTAGTCGATGGAGGGAGATGGGGGTACTGCCGTTGAAAGCGGGGTTTTGTCATTGGGATCCGTTGCACAAGGCTGAGCAAGATGAGCATGCAGAGACGTCCTGCGCGTGCGGATCGCGCTGAAGACTCTCCTTTGGCCTTGGCCAGAGGTTGAACTGACCGATCCTAAAGAGGCAGAAAGGTGGTGTTGTGTACATGCTGTGTTTATGGGAGACCGTTGCGTTCCACCCAACCTTAACGGTCGGCGTACGACAATTGACTCTGTTTGACTACATGCTGAACGACAGAGGACTAACCGTACATGCTGGTGTGCCTCTGTTCGCACCACCTGGCGTTTGCGGGCGTGCATTTGACGTCGGATGCGGTTGTGATTACCCTGATAACCTCCCTCGTTAGTCGGCGCTGCGTTTAAGCGCTGCTGCTGCTGGTTGGAGGGTAGAGAAGGTCGGTTTAGTGGCATGTGTCCACTTCGTATGAACGGGTACGAACCCATGTAAGAAGGCTCTCACAGGTACCTGTATGAGAAGAGGCTTGGGGCAGTAGGCTGGCTGTTGACCCACGTACACCATTACGGACATGACCCACGAGGGTATGTGGAGGTTCGATGCCGTTACAGAGGGAACAACAAACATAACTACAACAATGGGTTATTGGCACATGCACGAGAGCCTATGCCCAGATTTATTAACTCCCTGCTGTGATGTTCCTCTTGACCTGTGTGTATACGAATGCTACCCTCAACGCCACACATTGAGCGATCGAGCCAAGCTGGGACCATTACCGGTATTGTTTACAGCTCCCACCATGTCTTCTAGACGACGATTGCGCCGTAGGCCTCACGTTCCCTCAACAATCCGCACCGCTTTCCTGTCCTCGCTTTCCTCACCAGTCCCCAAGCCAAGTTACAAGTGGTGTCAGCCAGCCTAGCTTCAACCCCACCTCACACAACACCCCACACGTAGCCATGCTCTTTCCGCTCCTCTGGCACCAACACCTATAAAGATGTGCGATGGAGGCTCCGTTTGCGAGTACGGCTTTTGCACCTGAGCAGGGCGTACGTGTACGATATCCTCCCCGCACTGGCACGAGGCCACGAGGTGTCACCGGACCAGCCGGCGGGCTGGTTCCACATTACATTTACAACGGCCGCCTTCCTTTGCCGCCTGCACGGATCCAAGAAGAACGAACGTGAGCATTTGCAGAAGGAAGCAAAGGAGTGCCTGCCAGGCTTTACAAAGTCGCAGGTGTACCACGCAGTTCCTCGTCCCCAATGCCTGCCGGAGGGAGGCCTTCCGTATGATTGGTCTGTAACCCTGGAGCAGTTGGAGCAGCGGCTAGGCCAGCTCGACCAGGACGATTGGGGAGATGTATCGGTTACATTCGACAACGGCATGAACGCTGTTACTGCTCACGGCTTCGAATGGCAGGTGGTCCTCCGTTACTCGCCTGGGAGTGAGGCTGCGCGATTGCACCTGCGTTGCCAGATCCCGGCAGCTTACACGCCGAATGCGACCCTGTACAGCCGCCATGGCCGCATTCCTCCTGTGTCCAGCATTGCAGCAATGCTGGAGGTGGACCTCTGGAGCAACGGTGAGCGCACGGATGAGGTATCTTCTCTCTACACGATGGAGGACCTCCTGACTGTGGGGAAGTACGGTGGCTACGATGAGGAGTTGCCCCTGCAGCGACCGCCACAGCATGGGGCTGCTAGGGCCGGGGGCGACGCCCGCGGCAACGCGAGAGGCGGTCAAGACAGCGCCCTTGCGGCTGCGTGGTCGGAGTACCTGCACGACGGGAGGATTACCGGCAGGGTGGTGCTGCTGCGGCCGGACACGAACTGAAGAGCCTAGGCTGGAGGGCTAGTCGCCGATGTTTGCGACGCTTACCTTGCAGGATGTGCGGCTTTCACACGCTAGCATTGCAGCGGTGTCCTTGAAGAAGTTACACACTGGCGTTCGCTGAGGGCTGCGTGTTACGAAGGCGTTCACTGTGCATTGGATTTCATTAGCTACATTCACAAGCTTCCCATCCGTCGTCCATGACAACGTGCTTCAACCGTACACATGCCACTCCTGTCGCCTGGCTTGCTAACATGGTATCAATGGCGCTTGTCCATGTTACTGACGACTCGCAAGAAACAGCCGCAGTTGGCTACTAAATAATAGCTGTTGAGGCAATCCTTGCAAGCCTAATGTCCCTGCTTGACGGCAGCAAGGATGCCCAGGTCAAAGCATAACGGCTGACGCAGGCGCATGAAGACCCGTAGGTGCAACTGTATGGATGGCGCTGACAAAACCCGACTACATTTAAAAGAGGGCTTCAGTTACAGGTGGGCTTCAGGGCAACACCCAACATGTTGGCATTGAGCATACCCCATGCAAGTACAGGCCAGGTTGACCTATCAAATTAAGTAAGGGGTGGGCGGGACAGCAACAAGTGTGCAACCACGCTGGCACCCGAACGCAACAAAGCAAGGTAGGCAACATGCCAATACCAGGCATATGCAGGACTGAAGTTCAACCACAACTGGGTAATGGTTTCAAAGACTGCAAAGTCCTACTCCTAAGAAGCAGCACTAAATGGTTTGCAAACCTGTCCTGTCGTAATCCCCGCGCATCAAACCTGAAGCGTATTACCTAAAATATCTACGCCTAACACAGGAGACGAGTCTTCTCAGCATGACATTCTCGTAACGGCTACCAAACATCCTATGGACTTTCCAAAATGGGAGACGTGCAGAAGCATGGCCCCTCGCTTTTCAGCGCACCTATCCGAGGAAGAGGTAGGGCCGGGCTGCCAACAACAACACCGCACGCTTGGCGGCAGTGGTTCATGACAACGCAGCCCAACAAACTATGATACCTGACTGCACAAAGACAAACATGCAGCAGCTAGGAAGGATGCGGTCTCCCACCACACACGCCATAACATCTATATTGTCGTCAGGCGTTCTTCCCCTGTCGTGAACACACACCACAAAAGACGAGAAACACTTCTTAATGCTTAAGTTTCTAGGGATCTCACCAAGCCTGCCTGCTCCTGCCGACTTCAACCCACGCCTGCGAACTCCCAGGTGGCCACATGCCACGCGCAGATATGCTCCACGTCTACCATAGTCCTGCCATTCAAGCGTAACCCCTAAGATGCCCCCAGCGCTTGGGGTCATTGGAACATGCTGAAGCAGTAATATCGCGCTATGCATTCAGCGTCGGACAACTGTCCTAATGGGACTAAACTAGAAAAGCAAAGGTGTATGCATGATGTCACAATCAAAGTAGTGCAACACATTTCAAATGTCAAACACAAACCCCGTTGTCGCTCCAGAACAAGGGCGGCAGCGGTGGCCGTCTCCGCACAGTGCAAACTGTTAATGAGCGCTTATTTCTATGAACAAACGACGTAAATGTAAGCCACTCCTCAAACGCCCGCTGTAAAAGGAATAGTGCATGGGACCGTACCGACCAGGCGTCGTACGCTTTCACCTAGCCGGACCACGACTAGTGGCTTACGAGCACAACGGTGGCCATTACTAAACGCATACGCTCAAACAGCCCGCCCGCAACAAAGGATGGTATGTGTTATCCCAGGGCGGCAGCGCCTCTCATGGTTAGGTATGCGCTGGCGCAATGCCGGGCCTCGCAAACAGCGCATGCTCCCGGCAATGTACGCATAATGCTATGTAAAACATTCCAACCGCACCCTCGCCGAATCAGCGCCGAACTCCTCTCGCGCGTGTCACAGCAATATAGACGGTCTCAAGGAGCTTGTGTGTTAGTTGTTGGGGGATATACCAGCAGCAGGAGACTCGTGACCGCCACATGCCGGCTCAGAGTTCTGCCGCATAATGCCTGTCCGCTGGGAGTCCATAAACTGATGAGACGTGTTGGACGCGCTCGCCAACTTGCTATGTCGCGCATTAGGTTCCATCAGGTCCTCAGGTGCCCATTTCTAAACATACGTTGAGCATTGCATGGAGCAAATTGTATTGAATTGATAGAAGCGGCGGCGTACCAAGGATGGGAGACCGCTCAGAAGCCCTGCACCCGTTTTTTAGGCGGCTCAGGCAAGTCCGCAGCGGTTGTCCCTTCGACGGAAGCCACGGGTGCATGCTGCTTGATGTTCGATGTGTAGCCAATAGTTTGTGCCTGAGCAGCAAACAGTAATGCGCGTCTTTGTTTAAGATCTACATCAGATGGCGCCAATCTGGAGGCAAAAGCGTACCTCGTTTAGCCGCGCCTGTCGCGCGAAGTAAGCTGCGCACTGTCGTCGCATCTCCTCAATCTGGTGGGCATAGACGAAGCGGTCTAGAGCTTCACGTTGCGCCTTCAGGAAGGCTTCCCTGTAAGAAAGGCGGGAACATGGCCTTGGGTTACGAGGGTTATAACTACGCGCTAAGCAACATAACTGGATAACGGACATGATGTGGTTGATGGCTGATTGTCCAAGAGCCTAACAAAGGAACATGACCTGCACCTTCCCCCTTTCCAAAGTATCCATCAGTATCTTGCCGCCGTCGCTACCGCACTTCACTATAATCGCTATCGAGAGGAGTTAAATATAAACAACTTACGAGGTGGAGGGAATGGGAACTGGCGCGCTCCCACCCGATGGCAGGAGCTCCTCCTCCTCGGGGACGTCCTCAACAGCCTCACCAACATCCATATCGTCATCATCATCATCGTCGTCAGAGTACACGTCTGAGGTGTCCATAAAAGCTGACGCTGGTGGTGGGCGATCCCCTTTAAGGAGAGCGGAAAGCAGGGATGCTCGCTGCTCAAGCTGCCCTGGGCTCTTCTGTGGTTGACAAACTGTATCAGAAGAAGATTCGAATCCTAGGACCCTTGCGGGCATAGCCGTGTGGAGGCAAGTTTCACCCATTATGACTTTTAAGTCAGGGTTGGCGGCGCGAGCGTCGGCAATTGCTCTGTAACACAGTAACAATGCCCACCTATATGCCCGGCCTCTTGTAAGCGGTATGGAAATGGACCTGCACCTCTGCTGTGTATATAGCAGTACGGACTAGGTAGTACGGCTCGTTCAGCGGCAGGAACGTGACCCAATGTAACCCAGCGATAATCCTCGAGGCGTTTGTGCTCAAGCCACGCCGTGGAATATCTGCAAATGATCGAAGCTGTTAGTACGCGATTTTGTCGGGTCCTCTTTGCGCAATGGGGCGCGGCTACGATGCCCGCCATCCCCTGGCACCGCGCTCCAGCGCTTTTAGCTGGCAGTGGTGTTCAACCATCTTCCTCATTCTGCACGAAGCGCTAGCAACTGCGGTGGAAGTTTTACGACAATGGAAGGAGAATGCGCAGGGCCTGTCGTATGCAAAACTTACCAGCTTGTCGAGGGGTCGCGTGTAATCTACCCTACCCCGGTCGCGTCTTGTTTGCTGCGGAATGAAAGGGAACACATCACACGTAAACCCCTCGTCGCATTACACCCAAGCATGGACTTCTGCACGTTTGCTGCACGAGCTCACGCGGTGTGCTTCACATAAGGCCTGCACCTGGGGGGTACGCGGTTATGGCCGTTCGACGCCAGCGGTACTAATGTACTATGGCTGGAGCAGCTTGACCAACGTTGGGTGCATTCGATATTCGGCAGTGTCTTCGTTGTTCCGCAACCCCCCTGGTGCTGCCATTGCGATGGGGGCGCTACACGAACGGAGCCGCGTACCGGTACTGACCCAAAAATGTTAAACGATCAAAACACTGGCGGCTGCTAGTTTGGCAAGCTAGTGCCGACTGCCGCTGTGCGCAAGGGGGGGAGAAGAATACCCAATGTGTGTTAAGAAAAATGGCCGCGAGTAGGAAGGTGTGTGTAGTTAAGTGTTGGTGGCTGATAATTCAGGTGAACAATGGGGCTGTGCCTTTAGGAATACGCACACACCGGTAGCGTCCCCACCGTACCGTGACATACGCCGGTGCGGACGGTCTTACCCGTATTACTAACTATGCCTGCATGGTTCAGCTATGCCGGCATGATGGCATGAGACGTGCAGCAGGAAGAAGCAGGCGCGCAACAGGGCCATGTGAAGTGGGCCGTTACCCGTGCACATGCCAATAACACAGTACGTTCCGCCTCGCGGCCAGCTATTTCAACATACCGGTAACCTTCAGCCTGCGCACGATGCAAACGAGGTCTATATGAACCTGGGCCTGCGCCTGTAATCCACACATTGTAAGGACACGCTGCATGCTTCACCAACGCTTACAGGGCGCGCGAGCAACAGAGCGCCGTGTGGCGTTCCTTGGCCAACCCTTTAAAACCAGTTGCGCCCTGGAAAAGCAGTTCACGAATTCAGTCCGAACGAGTAGTTGGCAGCTAGTTATGACCAACAAGTGGCCCTCGCAGGTTGCCCAGTTCCACATGCATGTCTGGTATGTACATCGCTCACAGTCATCATGCAGGACTCATTCGTTTAGCCACGCCCTCAAAGCCCCACGGAGGACCTCTTCCTCCTTAGCAACATCCTATCCTATCCCACCTCTGTAACATTCCACATCGGAAAAAAAACTACAAACTGCGAAGCTCAGCAACCACACCCCGGCGGATTCCGCACCCCTCCCACCGCCTCCCCCCACGAGGCATTACTCCTCCATACCGACGGGCTGCGGTTCCCCAGTCACCACCTCTCGCCAGCCCTCCGCAACCGCCGCCTGCTGTACACCCTCCCCTGCACCGCCTGCCGGCAAGCCCAGCGAAGAAAGTAGCTCCCAAACATCCGCCGGCAGCAACCTCACAACCGCGGCCCTCCCAGCGTCACGACCCCCGGCACCCTCCTCTGCAACACGGGCGGCAGGCAGCGCCTCCACCACTGTCCCCTCAACCCCGAGCGACCCATGGGTCAACCAGCTGTACACCCCTTGCAGCACCCGCAACACGCACTCCTGCAATTGCTGCGTTGCCAGAGTCTCCACCACCTCCGTCACACCAGCCGCCGAGCCATCTAAACACTCTCCCACCGCTGCCTCCGCCCCCGCCAAGCACATGCTCGACACCTGGACAGCTGTCACCACCACCCGCGCCGCCAGAGCCTCCAGCCGCCTACGACATAGCCCCTCCCCGTCTCCGCCATCGCCACGTCCGCAGTCCGCTCCACCTAGCGACGACACCGCCGGCAGCCCATCCACATCACCCTGCGGCGGCTGCAGAGGCGTCTCAGTAGCCGCCGGACCCGCCCTCTCCTCCTTCAGCCACAGCAGCGCCGGCAGCAGCCCTGACAGGCTCTCACACAGGCCCGCACAGCCCAGACGCAAAGCCGCTGCCTCAGCCGGTGCAGCCAAACCCCCGCCTAAACCCGGCGGTTCTCCAGCAGGAGCAGCGGCGGTGCTGCCCAAGGCCTGACAGGCAACGTCATGGATCAGCTCCAGCAGCAGCCGTACGGCGGTGATGGTGCTTGCCATGCTATTGGTCCCCGCAGCGGTCCCCGCTTCCAAACCATTAGGCTGGGGCTCAGTCGCCGGCAGGTCCGTTGCAGGGTCCCGGGAACCGCCGCCAGGGCTTGGGACTGCAGGGAGGGCGTGGGAAGGAGCAAGGGGCGGTGCCGCCGCCGGCCCCGCAAAAGCGCTCCCCTGGCCCACAGGCGATCCCGCAGCGGAGGCTGCAGCGTCACCAAGGGGCGCCACGGTTCCTGTGGGAAGGCCCTCTGCACCCAGCAATGCGGCTGCCACCGCCTCGGCCGACGCCGTACCAGACCGCCCCTGCCCGCCACCTGCCGCTGTTGATCCGCCGGCAATCAGGACCCCAATCACTGCAACTGCTTCTCGGAGCACCCTGTCGTACACCTCACCGTACGGCAAGAAATGACACGTCAGCAGCAGCGCCTGGCGGAGCGAGTCGATGTAGGCGACGGTGACCCGCGGGTCGGAGCTGGGCCGGCCTTGGCCGGCCGCCCCGGCTCCCGCGTCCACCGCAGCAGCAGCAACGCCGCCGTGCTCGTGTCGTGACTGCTCGGTTACGGCCACTAACATCAGCCCCATGAGCCGCGCCGCGAGCTCAGACAGGGCGGACCGGGCTTGCTGCAGCGCCGACGCGAGCAGCGCATCCAATGGCCCACAGCCAACCAGCCCGCGCTCTCCCTGCCCTGCTCGCCCCGCAGCATCCTCAGCCTTCCCGTCCGCCAGCGCCGTACCTGCTGCCTCCGCGACAGGCTTGCACCTGACGGCGCCTGTTGCCGCCAACACCTCAAGGACGCCGGGCAACAGGTGTGGTGGCGGCGGCTGCGGCGGCCTCACCGCTGCGGCAGCCTTGCCCTGACCGCCTCCCAGTGCTCCGCTGTGCTCTGCAAGCGCCCGCAGCAGCCCCGCCGCCGCCACCGCTTCTGCATGGACGTCCAGCCCGGCTAGCAACTGCAACACCCCTGCCGTACTTGGTGCTGCCGGAGCCGCTGCCGCTGCCTCTTTTGCTGCTAGCGGCGGTGCTAGTGGTGCAGGAAAGGATGGCGCATGGGGACCTGCGGTTACCTCCGGACAGCAACTGGACGCCGCTGCTGCCAGTTGTTCGAGCGCTAGTAGCTGTACGGCAATCAGCATGGCCACCTGCAGCGGCTGAGTCACCAGTTGGGCCTCCTGCAACCAACTCCAGCTGCTGCCGGAGTCACCACTCCGAATGCCGTCTCCGCCGGGCAAGAAACCAGGACCCACCGCACCTGCACCCGCCGCGGGGTGCCCCTCCGCCGCCGCGGCTTCCTCCTTCCGAGCCGCAAGGGCCTCTGTCCCAGTGCCGTAAAGTGATGCGTCTCCTCCTGCTGCTGCTACCGCTGCTGCGGCCGCGGATCCCGCAGTCTCCGCCGCCGTCGTTGCGTCCACTGCCGTTGTCGCCAGCAGCGCTGCCGAATCCCTGCGGTCCAGCGGGCCAGTAGTAGCTGCTGCTCCTGGCGCCGCTGCCGCGGTAGCAGTGCCCACAGCAGCTGTGGGTGTGGGGAGGGCGGCTGCGGGCCAGCCAACAAGTAGACAGCTCAGCGGAATGAGGGAGCCGCCCGTGGCCGACGACACACACGCCAGCGTGTGCTGCTGCGTCTGCTGCACCGGCAGCTGAGCAGCCGAGGCGGCGGTGCCGGTGGCTGCGGTGGCAGCTGCGACGGCGGGGCTGGAGGCGGTAGAGGGGACCCTCGGGCGGTGCAGCGAGTGGTGGGGGCTGGTGGTCGCCGCCTGCTGCAGCTGCCGCTGCGGTGGCCCCTGGTGGGCTTGCCTGCGTGCCTCCGCAGCCGCATGCAGCAGGTCCAGAGCGGTCCCTTGGAAGCCCTGAGGGGAAGAATCGAGGGAGGGATGAGCTAAACTGAGCCGAGGGAGGGAGGGTGAGGGAGGGTGGTGCTGCGTCGCGTCTTCTTTCTAGTCCCAGCTGAGCTCAGCCATGCCCAAGCTCCGGCAGCCATGCGCCCCCGCTCTATCCAGCCGCCAGCGCCCATATGCCCGCAGGCCTTCCCTCCCTGCCCAACCCCCAGACCATATACCGAGTGATGCCCGCGTAACCAAGCCCCTCTCACACCGACCCTGCATATGCCCCGCCCCCTCCCGCCCTCCCGCGGTTCGTTAGTCGGTTCCTCTTTTCTGCCCTGACCCTACCTCCCGGTCGCGATACAACCTCAGCAGCTGCCCTAGCGCCGCCGCCGCCGCACACTGCTCCCCCAGGCTAGCTGGAAGCACCTTGGCCCTCGTCCTCATGCGCCGTGGGGCCGCCAGCGGTGAGGGCGGCAGCGCCCCCTGCGCCGCGCCGCTTGCAGACCCCGCTGCCTCCACCGCACCCTCACCCTCACCCCGCCCGCCCGCCTCCACCTCATCCGCTTCCGCCTCGGCGGCGCCACCCAGCGGGTAGCAAGCAACGGCATTTAACTGTCGCACCAACAACCCACCCAGCAACCGGCAGCCACCACCGCCACCGCCGCCTGTCCCGCCTTGCCCTGTCAGCCGCCGCCCTGCAGCTGACCTGATGCCCTCCCCGTCCGTCTGTCCTCCTGAGGTCACCTGCGGCCCGGCATCCAAGCCGGTGCCGGCACCGCTGCCACCGCCGTGCTCCGTGGCTGCAACTGCCGCCGGAGCTGCCCCAGCTGCAGCGGCGGGGCCTCCGTAGGGCCCACCCAGCAGCATGTCAGCCTCCCGCACGATCTGCAGCAGCCATTTGGGCACCTGCCGCTGCAGCTCAGGCGGCTTGCACCACAGGGAGCTCAACGCGTCTGCAAGCGTCGCGCCGCCGCTGCGACCGCCGCTGCCCCGGCCTGGCGGCAGCAACAGCGACAGGAAGTCACTACCGCCTCCGCCGGTGCCGGTCGTACTCTTTTTGGACGAGCCGGCGGCGCCCCTGGCCGTAGCAATGCCACTTGCAGCAGCAGCAGCAGGCTTCGGCTCCTGTTGAAGCTCCTCAACGCCAGCAGCAGCGGCACCAGCAGAGCCCATGGTCTGCCCTACCCCGCTACAATTCCGTAGCTCAGTGTCAGCATCCGCAGCGGCAATGGCAGCAACGCCGACGCGAGCCTTGCAGCAGCGGAGTACGGCGCTGCAAACCGCCGCCGCCAGCGGCTCAGGATGTACGACACCGTTGCGCACCGCCTCCGCCGCTCGCCGCGCCGCCGCCGAGGCAATCTTGGCGAGGAGGCTTGGCGCCGTGGCTTTCCCATCCAGTAGCGTTGCTAAGAACTCGCCAGGCGAGCGCTCCTTTCGAGGCCGGCCGACTCCGCGACGGCGAAGGGGCTCCGCTGCTGGCGCCTCCACTACCGCCGCTGTGCTTGCATGCTGGGGGTGGTCGGACGCTGAGGGCGGCAGGGCAAAGGGGTTGTACCCTGCCCCTCTACGCGTGGCTGGGGAGGGCGCGGGGGCTTGTGTTGGCGGGTAAGGCACTAGCCCAGCCTCCTGCGGTGGTGGCAAAGCTTGTGGCCCCAGATGCTGCTGTTGCGGCTCCTGCTGACTGGGCATGTCAGCGTCCCATGCGCCCATGGGCTCTTCCAACTCGCCATCACCGGCACCGGGACCAGCTCCATCGGGCCCGACAAGCCTCCTCCGTTTATCGCGGTGGCTAAGAGCCGCAGCCTCCTCCTCCTCCTCCTCCTCACGGCCTCCTAGCTCCACTAACCGTGGCGCAGCCCTGCCCGCTCCCGCCGCGGCTGCGACATCCGCGCGCTGCCCTCCCTGCCCTCCCGGATGTGGTGCCGCCAGCGGCGCCAGCGACGGCCCCAGCTCCAGATCCGCTGCCGCTTCAGGCACCCTGTCCCACTCGCCGCCGCCACCGCCACCGTCCCCGCCAAAAGCAGCTCTCAAGATGCTATGTGTGCGGAACACGCCTGCCAACTGCGTCGTCACGCCGTTTAGTCGCGCGCGCAGCTCAGCGCCGCCCGCCTCTACCGCTCCCACTCGGGCTCCCAGCCGCCGCTCCAACCCCGCCAGCGCCTGAGCCCCGCGGGCCCTGTCATCTGCGCGTGCGGCCGCCAGCTGCTCAATCTGTGTGGTTTGATGCTGTACGGCAGCCGCCTGCTGCGTTAGTTGGGAGTTGTGGCGGTTGAGGGTTTCGTCGTGGCGGTCGAGCGCGACGGAGTGCTGCAGCACCTGAGCCTGCAGGGCTTGTAGAAGAGCCTGCGAGCGGGGTAGCCAAGCCGGGTAGCGAAGAGGGCGAGGCGGAGTAGTTACCGATACAGTTCTTGCCTTCTTGCACGCGGGAGGGGTATCGACGCTGCCCTTGCCCCTACCCCACGCCCCAAGAGTGTATCGATCCTGCCCACAGCTCACCCGTGCCCGCACGACCCTACCAGCCTGCACATGGTTAGACCCGCACCGCATCTTCGCTCTTCGCGGCCCTTCCATTCACCTAACCCCCACCAACCTCAACCCAGCTCACCCGCAACTCCTCCATCTCCTCCCGCTGCTCCGCCTCCCGTCGCCGCAACGCCGCTAGCTCCCGCCGCGCCGCCTCAAGCGCCGCCTCCGCCACCTGCCGTCGACCCTCAGCCGACTCAAGATCCTTCACCAGCCGCCGCGCCTCCTGCTCCCGCTGCTGCTGCTCCCTCCTCCACTGCTCCTCCTCCTTCCGCCGCCTCCCGCGCTCCCTACCGCCGTCCTGCTCCTGAGCTCCGGTGTGCTTAGAACGCTCGAAGGCCGCCACGCGCGCCTTCTCAGCCCGCTGCTGCGTGTCCCGCCCCTCGCCGCCTTGCCCGCCGCCGCCCCCGTCGCTGTCGTAGTCCTCGCCGTCACCGTTACCCACTCCCAGCGTGGCACTGGCGGCAGCAGACTGCGGCGCGCTGTCCGCACCGCCCGGACGCCGCACCACCGCAGCCTCGCCCGCCGCTGTAGCCGCTGTTGCGAGGACAGGCGCTGTGCGTGTCGCCGGCTGCGGACCCGGAGCCTGCCTCTGCCCCTGCTGAAGCTCCTGATCCCTCCCTTGCTGCTCCTGCTCCTGTTGCAGCTGTTCCAATCCTTGTTGTTGCTGAAGGCCTTGCAAGGGTACTTCAAGTTGCGGTTGCTGTTGCTGCCGCTGCTGCTGCTGCGCCAGGCTCAGCTGGGCTTGCAGCTCCTCAATGGTACGCTGCAGCTGCAGGAGCTGTTGCTGCTGGTGGTGTGTATCGTCATCAGCACCGTCGGCAACAACCGCCACCGCCACGCCAGTCCCCTGAACTCCCTCCTCCTGCTCCTGCTTGGTCTGTCTGACCTCTGGCCGCTGCTTCCCCTCCTCCTCTTCCACCTGCTGTTGCTGCCGCCGCTGCTGCTGCTCCCGCTGCTCAAGCAGCAACCGCTTGTTCTCCTGCACCAACCGCTGAGTCTCGCTCCGGAGCCGCTGCAGCTCCTCCCGCGTCCGCTGCTGCTCGCGTTGCAGCTCCGCACACTGCTGCCGGAGCCGCTCCTTCTCCCGCTCCTGCCGCTCCTTCTCCTGCTGGTGATTCCTGTCTTGTTGCGCCTGCCGCAGGGCGGCCTGTGCCGCTGCCTCCCGCCGCAGCCGCTCGTTGTCCTCGCTGGCCCGCTGGTGCTGCTGCCGGAGGTCCCGGAGTTCGGACTGCAGCTGCTGGTGCGCCTGCTGCAGGGCGCTGTGCTCGGTCTGGAGCTGTTGGAACTGGGTGATGACCTGGGTGGTGTTGACGGCTTGCTCGCGGAAGGCCTCCTGCAGGTGGGGAGTTGGGTGTGGGAGGGTGGGGCAGGGCAGGGAGGATGGGAAGGGGGTGGAGTTGGGGGGAGGGCAGGGTGCACGGCGCAGGGGTGAAAAGGTATACGGATACAGCCTGGGCAAGTGAGGCAGGCAGGTACACTTGGCGCAGCACCCAGGGTTTAAGGCTTTACCTAGACGCCGCAGCCAAGCCCTGAAGACACCCTAGCTATTCCCCACCGATGGACGCTTGGAGAAACCCTTATGCGCGGCGCCTACCAAGTACTGTTTAAGCTTAGCTCGGGATGCCTCGGCCTTGGTGAAGGCCGCCTGCGCCGCCTGGAGCTCCGACTCCTTGCTGCTTAGCTTGGCTTCAAGCTCAGCTACCTTAGACTTAGGGGCCATTCCAGGGGAGACTCCAAGCCGACAGAGATGCCTGCACGACGCTTCGGGAGCGCCTTGCGCGGAAACGCGACAAAGGGGATCCGATTGGCATGGCGAGACAGCAAAGACTGCTTAGGAGCAATGATGCGTATAATTCATGTGGGGCAGTCGTCCTAAAAGTCACGCCCGAAAGTTTGCGCAGAGCCAACAAGCTTTCATTAAACCGAAAAAGCAGTCAACGGTCTCAGCCGTATTCATGGCTAAGAATATCATGTTTAAGGGTGTTGCCTGTCGCAGGTGCGTAGGATGGGCCTCGCCTATACCGCGCGGTGACTGGCATAAGGCCCCTCCACCCTCTACAGAATCTTTGCCAAGCCTGGCTTCTACACTCTTGCTTTTATACCATTTAATAGATTAAATACAAAGAAGTGCTTTAGGACCTTTAAACAACAATTTCCTTCGTGCGACACAGGGGCCAATCACCAAGACTTGCACCGCAAAGTACTGTTCATAAGCTCTTTAGACATGTCCGATACTGCACCCTCTTAAGTTAGCTCATCAGCTTTACGTAAAACCAACTCTCATGGCGTGACGTACAGTGTGTACAAAGGCCCGAGAACGTATACACCGCGGCATGCTGATCCGCTATTATTAGCGTTTCCAACTACATGCTCTCGAGTTGCAGAGAACGATCCGAACTGCAATGTGTCTTGGAAGGAGGTGGGGGCTTGGTGATTGGCCCCTGTGTCACAGAAACGAAATTGTTGTTTAAAAGTCCAACAGCACTTCTTTGTCATAAATCTATAAAATGGCATAAAAGTAAGAGTGTAGAAGCCAGGCTTGGCAAAGATTCTGTGGAGGGTGGAGGGGCCTTATGCCAGTCCCCGCGCGATGTAGGCGAGGCCCGTAGGATGAGTGTTCTGTGTACGACGGTCAAGAATACGCGGGCTCTAAGTGGCATTTTCCATTTGGCTTGACTGCAAATAAGTGAGGCGACAGGCGACGAAGTAGTCGCCAGTATTCTGGATGGCTGCCGTCTAGGTTCTGTCAGGACAACTAGCTAGGGCTAGGCCGGCACGCGATAGCCATGGACAAGCCCAACGGCTTCCTACAGCGGTGGGTTGACATGATTAATTCTATAAGTCGAAGTTGTAGTGCTGCTCTTTCAGTTGTCACAGAAGGTTGCCATCCCCAATTCCATGTCCAGGCATCCCGAGAAAGCGGAGCATAACCAGTACTGGTACTCCGCTCATACGATTGGGAAGATCGTTGAGGTGTGTGGTTGTTTGCACAACTTCTACAAAAGCGCAACCCGAGGCGCCGAAACCATACTGCACACGGGGTGTGCGTCGTCGATACCACTTCGCTCCGTCCTTGCAGGAGCTGACCGCTTCAGCTAGCCGGATTGCCTGCCTCTCCACTCCTTCCATTTATTTTTCCCTTCCGGTAGGCATTGCGCCTAGGTAGGGCTGCCTATCAAGGCTTCCCATGAACTCGGGGGTTGTAGTAGGCGGCTGCATCTTTTGGGGTTCTCATGCTTTCTCGGTGTTCATGCCCCTAGTGCCCCTTCAGGCTGCCACAGCCGAGGTTGTTGAACACTAGGGCTTTGAGGTTTGCGACATGGCCCATAAGCCATAACCCTCGTGTATGGTGTGGCCTCGGCCATCATACAAGAAACCTGTCTTGAAAGCCTGGGGGAAGCGAGTGCGCACGATGCTATGTCTGCATCACTTCTCCCATTCTCACCCTGAACCAAGCCATGTTTCCATCCTTCTCATCTCAAACGCGCTATGCTTTCTGCTCCGTCCGCGCCCCTTACGCCGCACCTCCTTCCTCCCTGCCGCCCTAGCCAGCCATCTAACCCCAGCCCTGCACCTCCTCCACCCCTCTCACCCCATCCCCAGCGCGGCTCCCCCCTCCGTGCTGCCGCCTGGCTGCTAGACTACGACGAGCAGTGGGCCGCCGACCCGCACTACGTGCGCTACGACTTCAACGCCCCCGAGCTGCTGCCGCCGCACCTGCACGGCGCGTTCGACTGCGTGGTCATCGACCCGCCCTTCATCACGCGCGAGGTGTGGGACAAGTACGCGCAGGCTGCGCGACTGCTGCTGCAGCCGGGAGGTGAGAGCTAGCAGGGGAGCGAGGGCACCGCCGGCTGGCGCGTCCGGCTGGTTAGCTGGAGGTGTAGGCCAGGGTGGCCCCCCCGGGACAAGCCCAGGGGTTGCTGACCAAACCCATGAGGGGTTGGAACCTTTGGAAGGGGCCTGCATGGGAACAGTGCATGGTTGCGGCGGTGGCATGTGTGCTTGTTTGCCGCACCGGCCCTCTTTCTCGCCTTTCGTGCATGGCTTCGACCGCTCTCTGGTGTACCGTCGTAACTACCGGTATGCCTAGAGCCGCTGCTGCTGCTCCTGCCCATCTGCCCAGCACAGCCCATCTGCCCAGCACAGCTGAGGTACTGGTACCCACACCGCCCCCCACCTACCCCCGCACGCCTCGTCATACATCTCGTCAGTTTCCTTATTCCTACCCCCGCACTATCACCCCACACATTGGAATTTCTTTTTCCCCGCACCCCGCAGGCAAGGTGATCGCCACCACGGTCGCTGAGAACGCTGAGCTGCTTGCAGAGCTGCTGCCGGCGGGCGAGGGCGGCAGCCGGGTGCAGCCGGCGCCCTTCCGGCCCTCCATCCCGCACCTCATCTATCAGTACAACCTCTTCACCAACTTCCATCCCGCCGTACTCTGCCAGACCAACCCGGAGATACCGCCCGACGACTAGCCGGACAGCAGCGGAGCGGAGCGGAGTGCATGCAGGAGACGAGGTGGGCAGGAGACGAGGCGCAGCGGCAGTGGCAGAGGCGCAGAGGTTGCATGCATGTGGCGGATGGCCATACCCTCGAAGGAGCACTCAGTTTAGTTTACGGCATGGCGTGTGCCTGCGGTAGAGTGATGAAGGCATGATGGCATGAATGGCGTACGCGCGCATGGGACGCCGCCTAGGCGTGGAAGAGTGGGCTGGGCTATGGCTGTAGAAGAGTGGGGGATAACATAAACTGAGCCGCGGAAACATGGCCATGATGGGCGGTTTTGCCGGCAGCGTGCACGTGACAAAGCACAATGAGGAATCTGCAGGCGGGCGGGCGGGCCAGCAGACGCATGGGCTCCCAATTGCGGGGAAAAGCCGCGGGGCGCTGGCTGTCGTTTGGTTGCCGAGTAGCGCAGCTTGGGTGCTCCCGCTGGTGGTATGATTGGGCCTGTATGCTGTGTTTTTCGCTGCGAAGAATGACCCATGGTTCGCAGCGAGGTGGTGGACAATGGCCGATGTCTCATCGACAACGGCCTTGTGGGCCAGATGCTGCAATGGAACAATGTGTGCATTTGGAACTGGGTGATGCTTTGGCAACGTTAAGAAAGGACGGGGAAGAGGGCGAAGGCAAAGAGGTTCCGCAATGCGTCCCCTGAATGACCATGAGCGGCGGACCGGTATGTACGACAAATGTAAGTATTTAAGTGTTCATTGTCCTTGATGGCAAATTAGTTCAGTTAGCTGCAGGTACTGGTGCGCATTGGAGCTTAGCCGCTTACTGTATACCCATCTTGGCTAATGAGGACATAACTCGTCACGTTCTCTCTTGGCTGGCACAATAGTTGAGAAGCCGCTCTCGGCAGACCTTGCAGCAACATCAAAAACTACAAAAACTTCTTCAAAGCCAGGAATGGCAACTCCTGAACCAGCACCGACAACTTTATCGGACGTGCTGCGGAAACTCGATACCCCAGCAGCAGACAAGTTCTTCTCTTACTTTGATTGCAACTGCGATGGCAATAACGCAGAACTCAGGAATGCGCGTCTCGCGTGTCGCGCACTTCGCGATATTCTGGATGGTAGCGTGAGTCAACTGCTCCTCAAAATTAGACCTCGAGAGCTGGAGCTCTGGCGCCAAGGGCTGCTGCCCTCCCTGCGGCGCTGGCCCCGCTGCAACGACCTCAAACTGGACTTGAAACCGGATCAGGGCGGTCAGACCAACGGCCTGCCGTTAACGCACCTCATGCTGCTTCCTTTTGACGAGCAGTCGGTGCACGTACAGAAGCGCATAACGCGTTTCAGCGCCTTCGTTTTCTACTGGGAGGATGTGTCAGACCCCCAGGCGGAACTGGCCGTCGCGGCGGTTGTACGGCGGCTCCCCATGCTGCGTGAGCTGGACATTGCAGGACTCCGCGAGGCCATGTCGTACAATGCCATACACCAGCAAATCATGTACGACACGCTAGCCGGCCTGGAGAAGCTGGAGACGCTCAGTACGGGCGGCTACTGCGGCCTGGGGCGTGTGATTGCGCTGAAGGACACACTGAAGCGACTAAACGTGTGCAACTTTCACCTCGACATCGACACCAACAAGCAAGACGTGGTGCTTGGGAAGCCAGCGGTGGCGGCCATTTCTCGACTGCATCGCCTCACGCACCTCAACTTGGGCGCCTTCTACTTCCAGCAACCCGCCGGGCCGGCCGACCCATGGGTCGGCCTTGCCCTACCACGGGTCTACCCTGCCCTGCTGTCTTCCGCGGCTCACCTCCTGGCGCTCCTGGGCCAGCTGCCGCCCTCCCTGGAGGAACTCTACCTGGACCGCTGTGTCGTACACACGCGGGACCCTTTCGGCAGGATCAATCTACAGGGCTGCCGATTCTCCGGTGTACGGCAAACTGGCACCGCTGGCGGCGTGACTGACCCGGCGCCCCGCACCCTGCCGACGGCGTTAAGTAGGACCATGCAGCCGCTGCAGGCCATTCGTCGTCGCTTTGAACGGGTGCAGGTCTCCCATGTGGAGATAGAGGGGGACCTGTTGCAGGCTGCGCTAGCGCTGGTGGGGCTATACGGCAAGCCAAGATCGCTGCGTCTCTCGTACGCGGGCGTTACGTCTGTGGTGCTGAAGTTGCGGGGAGAAGGGGAGGCGCCGGCGCTGGCTGATGCTTTGGAGTCCCCATCCACGGCACCGTCCCTGTCACCGGCGGCTGGCCTTCCTCCTACAGCGTGTGCCGTAGCCGCAGCGATGCTGCGCCGTCTGAGCCCGGCGAGAGCTTCAGAGCGGGACGAGGGGGGCGAGGAGAGCCAGCACGCCACGCGCTTTTTGCTGCTTCAGGGCCCCCTGTTGGGCTTGATGAGCCGCGCCGGTAGTAGGTGCTTGTACGCGTTCATGGACGAGCTGGGGCGGGACGCGAATGCAGTTGCGGCTGCAGCTGCGGGGCCGGCTGGGGGCGGCGGCGCCGCCCCCAGCCGGTGCCTGTTGTCGTACCAGCCTCTGCCGGCCGCTGCCCGCTGCAATGCCGTGCTGCTGGAGTACAGGGAGGAGCAGGCGGGGGTGGTGGAGGCGGTGCATGAGGCGGTGAGGGCGGCGTCGGCGGCTTCTGAGGCGGCGGCTGTGGGCGTGCTGGAGGTACGGCGAGTGTCGGCTGCGGGGGTGTCGGCGAGGAGGAGGAGGAGGCTGGATACCGGTGACCAAGTCCTGTCGGCGGCGTTAGAAGAGGTGAGGGGATGAAGATCTACGGAAGATATGGAAAGCCCGATCCCGACAGTCTGCTTGGTGAAGCGTGGTGGGCGGATGAATGGAGCCCTGCTGCCGTACAAGGAGCGGATGAGGAATGACAAAGTGTCGTACAATACCGGTAGCAGGAGGGGCGCGACGACGGGCAGCGTGACGGCGGCTGCTACCGGTGTTCAACCCTGGTGTGGGTTGCGTTGTGTGCACAATGCGCCTGGAAATTAGGGAATTGAGGCGCGCCGAAGTTTTCCCGTACTGTAGAGCACACCTCGTCCCTTCCCGGGCATACCTGACGTCTGCCTGGATCCTATCTGGCCCTCTATCTGCACCCTCTATCTGGTCAATGCCGCTCCTCGGCCCGTCTCCAGGATCTCGTCGTCTGGTTTGCCATTCCCATTCAACACATTGGGTATCCTTCTTTTCCCCCAGGAGCTTCAGGCGCTGTGGGACGATGAGGCCGCCCGGCGCCGTGTGGGCGAGCGAGAATGGCTGCGGCAGCTGTTGGAGCTGTGGGGGCAGCTGGGCGACATGCCGAGCGGGGTGGTGCTGCACTGAACGCTTTGGCGCGGCTAGCTAGCGCACGCTCAAGACGCAGCCTTGGTTGCAGATGCGTCGTACAAAAGGTTGCAGCTGCGTCGTACAGAGTGCCCGTACGCATTGATTGAACTATCCGTTGAGCGTTGATTACCGGTCCATACAGCCATGCACTTTGGGAGTCTAGGAGTGAGGGCTCAGGGCTGGGACGCAAGACTCTACAGTTGACCGTTGGAAGTTGTCTGATTGTTTGGTTGCAGAGCGCAGTCAAAGTGGAAGAGCAGTGCTCCGAGCAGTGGGAAGCCTTAATTCAAGCTTACGGCTACCGCGGGGAGCCGTACGGGATGTGTACGGCATGTGCTTCTGTACTCACGGAGTACGGCATTTGCATCGCCCCGCATCATGCCGGTTGAAGCACTGTTACTTTGTCGGTATGAGGCAAGTGACGGCCGTTTCGGGGGCCTATCAGGTTGCTGAGGGTGGTCGGGTGACAGGCGCTACGGGATGCTTGTCGTCAGGTGCTTGTCTACCAGAGAGTTCCTGTTGTACGAGCAAGTGTCGTACCTCGTACTGCAGTGTAGTACACCCGGTGCAGGGCTATGGCGCCCGGCTGGAATGGCGGAACGCAAGATCTTCCTGGCGTTCGATGTGACTTGTCAATCGTGACTTGTCACAAACATGCTGTTCCCGTAGTCGCCGTAGGTAGCTTCTTCAGGGGAGTATGCGATTATCGCAGGGGAGTCAGAACGGCTCAAGTGCGACGCACAACCCTATGGGTTGAACCTTGCCGTGTAGGATGACGCTCACGGCCGTGCAACTTGCCGAGCTATTGCACGTACCGGTACTGTGCAGCCTTTTACACCCAGATTGAGTGGGTCATGCAGCCAGTCCTAGATAGCCGCTATGGCTTACGACTCCAGCTTGCTGATTGCCTTAATGGTAGCTGATACTTCAGGCGCCCAATTGCTAAGTACAACCGTGACACTCCCAACGCAAACGGCAACCAATCTGTAAAAATGACAATTCCCCTGGGCGCGACCACGCATCCCCTCCGTCCCCTTGGCGGCTTCTAATGCCAGACCATTTCCATGGCGGGTAGCGGCCATGGGGCATGGGGAATGGACAGGAACGGGTCATACTGGCCAATAACACGCAAAGAACAGTTCAATTGTTATGTGTTATGTTAATTATTAATTAAGTGTGCGCTGTTCCAACAGGGCTGCGGATTTCCTGCGTAAGGCCCGGCTCCAGGGGGGTACCTTGCGCTTCTCTCATTAGTCGCATTCCCAGCCGCGATCCTTCCTTTCCGGGTTGCCTAGGCACCATGTCGCACAGGAAGTTCGAACGTGAGTTATTGTTACCTACTAGCGCCGTCTGCCTATGCTCCAGTTCCTACATGGCCGCCTTTGCCTTACTTAGCGGTCCTAAGCCGCAGCATGTATTTTATTATAAAATACTCTGATTGAGTTGTTACACCTAGTCATGGGTGTCTTTTTATGTGCGCTCGGCGGCGGCGCTCATCCATCGGCGCTTTGGGCCGGCGAGCAACACTGGCAAGTTAAAAGCAGTTGCTGACCTTTATACGTTCTATGTATGTCCTACCCGCAGACCCCAGGAGCGGCTCCCTGGGCTTCAGCCCCAGGAAGCGGTGCCGGCGCGGTAAGGGCAAGGTCAAGTCCTTCCCCCGCGATGACGCCTCCAAGCCGGTGCACCTGACTGCCTTCATGGGCTTCAAGGCCGGTAAGCAATTTTGGCTTGATTTGGGCGGCTGATGCCTGCAGCTGGCATCGATTAGTATAGCTTAGCACGTAATAAGCTATCCTCCAAGTATTGTATCATACTTGTTATAATGCTATTTGTTTGTTAACTGTATTGCAGTACTTGTGGGCATAGTGCTTCCTGTGTTAGAGCAATGCCGCAACATTTGCGGCGCTTTCCCTGCCGGCGCCTTAAAGCAGTTCTTATCCCGTTTTCCTTTGCCTGTTGTCGACTACAGGCATGACGCACATCGTGCGTGAGGTGGAGAAGCCCGGCTCCAAGCTGCACAAGAAGGAGACCTGCGAGCCTGTCACCATCATCGAGTGCCCGCCCATGGTCGTGGTCGGCGTGGTTGGCTACGTCCAGACCCCCCGTGGTCTGCGCACGCTGAACGCCGTGTGGGCAGAGCACCTGAGCGAGGAGGTCAAGCGCAGGTGCGCCTCTCATTTAAAGGACTAAAGGCTTTAAGCCCACATCCGGGTCGTACACGGCAGAGTATACGTGTAGCGCATATTCCCGCCATGCATGCATCGTCTTCTCCGTCACAGCCCCGTACATGGCAGGCTCATTCCGCTCTGCACGCTTGGCTCACCACCGTCGCCCCTGCCCCTCCCGCTCTCCTTTCCCACACCGTCAGGTTCTACAAGAACTGGTACAAGTCCAAGAAGAAGGCGTTCACCAAGTACGCCAAGAAGTACTCGGACGGCAAGAAGGCCATCGACGCCGAGCTGGCCAGCCTGAAGAAGCACTGCTCCGTGATCCGCGTGCTCGCGCACACCCAGGTCAAGAAGCTGAACTTCGGCCAGAAGAAGGCCCAGCTGATGGAGATCCAGGTGGGTGGGCGAAGACAGCTTTGGGCAGCAGCAACAAGAAAGGGGGTGTGTACTTTGTAATCCTTGCGGTTAGCCTTGAGGGGGGCACAAAGACATGGCATGCTGTCTCTTTGACTAACTGCCATCCTCTGCTCCCAACACAACGCCACGCGCAGGTGAACGGCGGCACCGTGGCGCAGAAGGTGGACTTCGCCTACAGCATGTTTGAGAAGCAGGTGTCCGTGGACGCCGTGTTCCAGCCCAACGAGATGATCGACACGATCGCCATCACCAAGGGTCACGGAGTGCAGGGTGTGGTGCAGCGCTGGGGTGTGACCCGCCTGCCCCGCAAGACCCACCGCGGTCTGCGCAAGGTTGCTTGCATTGGCGCGTGGCACCCTGCCCGCGTCAAGTGGACTGTGGCCCGCGCCGGTCAGCAGGGCTTCCACCACCGCACGGAGATCAACAAGAAGGTGCGCGAGGGAGAGAGGAATGGGTCTAGGGCTGGTTGGGTTCCTCTCCTATGTGCAGTGTGGAGTTAGGGACATGTAGCGCGGAGGAAAGGGCATGTAGCATCACTATAATTTGCATGGTCCTGTGTAGGGATGCCCGTACTACCTAGCTCGCTCATGTCAGCCGTGGTTAAATACTTACCTGCTTCCCTGCTTGCTTCTCTCCCACGCACAGGTCTACAAGATCGGCAAGAAGGGCGAGGCCTCGCACCTGGCCACCACCGAGTTCGATGTGACCAAGAAGGAGATCACCCCCATGGGCGGCTTCCCCCACTACGGTGTGGTGGGCGAGGACTACATCATGGTTAAGGTGAGGCGGCGCAGGGGCGGAGAGGGCCGGGAGCAGGCAGCAGCGTGGGAGGGGGTGTAGGGTTGCACCGAACCCTCTTGCGGTCGGGCCTGTTGGTATGTGCCCGAGGACCGCTCATAATGCGGTGCTAGACTGACACACCCAATGCTTCCGACGGCCCGCAGCTGCTTAACAGTGCTGCATGCCGATCCTAAGCATGGGACATGTCGTCGCAGTTATCTAACAACATGCGTGCAGTTAAATCTTCCGCACTCCATTTAGTTCGCCTACCATTCTCACCGAGTTCCCTTCTCTTCCCTCCCCTCGCCTGTCCTCCCCCTCAGGGCGCCGTGCCCGGCACCAAGAAGCGCGCCATCACGCTGCGCCGCTCGCTGCTGCCCCAGACCAGCCGCAACGCCCTGGAGGAGATCAAGCTCAAGTTCATCGACACGGCCTCCAAGTTCGGCCACGGCCGCTTCCAGACCACCGAGGAGAAGCTCAAGACCTTCGGCCGCGTCAAGGCCTAAGCCTTGCGGCGTGCGTTACGGCTTGTTCTCGTGTGATGGGAGCTGTGGGCGGGCGAGGGATGCGCCGGTGGGGCACCAGATTGCACCTGTCAACCCAGCCAAGGTTGCATTGCAGGACATGGGGGGCTTAGGGAATGGAGCAGCTTTGGCTGCTGCCGCCTAGCGGTCCGTTATGCTTGCAATGAAGGCTTTGCGGTTTTGGAGGCTTTGCTTGTTGTCACCTGTTTGCCATCATGGCTTTTCTGAGAGACTATTTGCGCCAGGCAGTGAAGACTTCTTGCCTCGGAAAGCTAATTATGTAAGCAACCCAGACGGGCTAGCGTGAAGGCGTCTCGTTACCGTTAGTCGGCTTGTGTACGTAGCCACTTAATCGCCCTAATCAGACTGACGTCAACCGTCAAGCTTGTCAGTAAGTGGACTTGTGGTGGTACACTTACAGACCGTAGCCGAATACAGAAAAAAAGGTTACAAGTTGTCTCTGCCCCATGTCGCCAAGGGCTTTCCATTTCGATGTGCGGCTGCCACTTCCTCCAAGGTCGGGCTCTGACGAGGGGCGACCACATGACCAGAGTCTGCGTACATGACATAAACAAGGCATGAGGCTGGAAAGCTCAGGTAAGCTTTTCTGCTATCGTTGTCAGCTGTACAGCCTACCGTAAAATACGTGCAAAAACCCTTACGGCGACGCTTACAGCTCACTCCCTTCCCTCCATTCCACATCAGTCTCGCTCTTAGGTTTCGCTCTTACCTGATTGCTCATCCAGTTGCCGTATGGCCTCAAACAGCCCCACCCCGGCCGGGTTGATGGAGCGTACATGGGTGTCCCGGATGGGTATCTTGACCAGCCTGCCACCGGAGGCAAACACTTGGTGGTGGGCCTCAGGGGGCAGCCCGCTGGTTTCGGCGCCGAAGACCAGCCAGTCACCTGGTTGGTATGAGAACTCTGAGAAGTGGGAACGGGCAAGGGGGCGACAGGTGTGGTGGTTCAGTACTAGGTACTACAGAACTAAGCGGCGTCTAAAACGCGGCTGGTTGGTTTTGGCAGAGAGTGTCAGGTCTGGATGCCGTCTAGGTGGATTTGCCGTCGGTTCGGTAACGGTTAGGATTCGTTAGGGCTTCGTCAGATCTCTAGCTATCGTTATGGCTTGGTTATGTTGCGGTTAGCTGCTATAATATTGGTTATCTGGTTGGATGTACCTGAGTGAACGCAGTCAGTTGGTATCTTGGCGCGTATCTGGTGTCATCGGGTGCCATGTGGGCCCTGTACTTACGCTTCCCGCCTTGCTCTTATGCTGAGGAGGTGCGGCGCAGCGCATTTTTTGGCACTACCGTGCGGTTGCGGTTGTGTAGAGGCTCATGATAGATTATCAACAACTCTGACAGGATTCTAACAACGTTATTGCGTGAACGCGCCCAGCAGTGGCCTGCGCATCCATCGGTATACTTGCGTGACGCGCCCAGCAGTGGCCCGCGCTATAGAACGGTAATCGCTAACCCGTTGATATCTTTATTGAGTGTCTGCTATTCCAATCCCGCTGGGAGTGACTTCGTGGCCATCCGTGCCCGATCCAAGAGACGACAGTACATGCCCGCGCTTTGAGGTATGAGCTGATGATTTGTAACACGTAAGGTTGTCTGTTCCGTTGATAGTGGCGCTACAACACTGTGTGGTCTGGGCCACACTAGGGCAATTGCCTTGCTTTGCCTGAGATAGCATTAGGGACATACATCCCGAACATCCCCCAGACTTTTGCCAAAAGGTCTGGGGGATGTTCACAACACTCTTATCCACTCTTAAAAGTGGATAAGAGTGTTGTGAATAAAGCATTAGAGGATGCCACCATAGACGCGCCGGAGAAGTTGTCTGACCTGGTTTACGCGTCAGCCATAGAGTTTGCTAGGAGCACTCGCGAGGAGGTCAGCGCTGCCCATTTCACGGCGGTAATGAGATTGTTAGCAACCACAGCTGCCTACCCCGCCCTCGCCTACTTGGTGGGCGAGGTGAGCACCGACTTCCAGGCGCTGGCCCCACCGCCAGCTACGGCCATAGACGCATGCCTTGCCATACGCCAACTAACGCAGCAGCGCATCACCCCCAGCCAGTACGAACTGGCTCTGAAGATCTTAACTGAGCCCCGACAACACCCCAGCGAGTCCCCCATGAAGTACCTGAACAGGCTCCGCAGTTGGGTGCCTAAGGCCGCCGAAGCTTCACGGCAACCGGCCGCTGACTACTGGCGGGCGCTGCTGCGCGGGATACGGCCGGAGTATGGGGACGGCTACCGCCAGCAGGCCTACGTTCTCGGCGAGACCCTCACTGAGGCCTGGATCGACACCACCTTCAGGGAGCTGCAGAAGATACACGAGCAGCTGGTGCGGGAGGGCAACCTCAGGGAGTCGGCCTTCCCTGGCTCAGTACCCACCATCTCCCACGCCCTGGCGCAGCTATCCCTGCCCTCGTCCGCGGCCTCTCCTCCATTGCCGCCGTCGGTGCCGCCACCCTTGCCGCCGCCTATGCTGCCGCCGGCCGCTTCCGCCGCCGCCACCATCGTGGACCGGTACTTCTGCGATCCCGAGGACACCGCCCAAGGCATGCCGACCGCCCAGCATTTCCGCCTGCGCTGCAAGGGTCAGGACTGGTTCTGCTGCCTCTGCGGCTTCAACATCAACCACTGCACCTCCACCGCCAGCGCGTCAACCCCCTGCCCTAAGCGCCCTGCCTTGTCGGCTGCAATGCCCCCGCCGTATCCCTCGTATCCGCCACCGCAGCACCCGTACCAGGCCTGCGCCAGCGCCGCGCCGCCGCCACAGCAGCACTACAACGCCGCGCCGCCGCCACAGCAGCACTACAACGCCGCGCCGCCGCCACGGCAGTACTACAACGCCGCACCGGCCCCGCCGCGGCACGGCGGCGGCATGGGCAGGTCAAGGTCCTCGTGCCAACGCTGCTTGGGGACCAACCACGCGGCGGATGAGTGCCGGGTGAGGGAGGACGAGCTGGAGGGGGTTCGCCACTACAATGCGGTCATAAGTGACGCTATGGCAAAGAAGGCTCAGTTGCGGCGAGGAAACGCCCAGGCCGCATACCCGCCGCGGCCCCAGGCGCCCCCACCTCAGCAGCAGTACCGGCAGCAGCCTCCGCCACAGCACCAGGCGCCGCCGCCGCCGCAGCCCCAGGCGCAGCCGCCGCCACAACAGCGCCCGCCGGCCCCGGCGGCCGCCAATGCCACGGTCAACCCTACTGCTGAGCAGCGCCTCCCGGGAGGCTGGCCGGAGCCGTTTGAGGCCGACCTGCGCACGCACATTGGCAACGGGTATGGATTGGGGTACGGGGCTTGCGCCACGGAGGTTAACCTGGGACAATGCGAGGGTGCGGGAGCGCAGGGCAGCTCTGGGTCGGTAAAGTCAGGGGGGGCACAGGAGGGATCTAGCGGGCAGGGTGAGGGCTCTTTCTCTTTCCACACCACCGCAGCCAACGCGGCGGCTGGCCCGTTGCCAGCCGCCGCCGCCCCGCACTCCGCCAGCATGCACCCGGCCTCGTGTAGCTCGGCCGCACCCGATCAGGAGCCGCCTGCGGTTAACGATGCGGCCCCTTGCGGGGATGAAACATGTGGGTCAGAGGGTGCCCTTTCCGTAGACGAGTGGCTTTCCGCATTCCCTACCGCAGAAGAAACGTTAGCAGCGATAATTGCGTCGTACCCGAAGCTGTCCTCCGCGTGTACCCCGGCCGTTGCAGCAGCCAGCGAGATGCGCCACAACCAGCAGACGCTGCCTGTCCCCTTTGAGCCCGCCAGGCTCCCTTCAAAGCCCGCAGCCCGTGCGTCTGCGAGCGCCTGTCGACCGCCAGTAGTCGCGAAGGAGGCAGAGGTGTCGTCATCGTCTAGCAGCGGGGTAGGGGTCTCGGTTGTAGTCAGCATTCACTCCCAGATCAACGACCCTGTTCAGCTGACCGAGTGCGTGCGGGGGCTTACCGCAGCTGGGGCGATCGCTAGCGTTCGCGCTGAGAACCCTTCCGCACCTCCTGGGCGTCCTCCTGATCCCACCCCGGTAGCCGCGGCAAGCAGCTGCGCGCACGAGCCTGTCCCTATCTCCAGCATGAGTGCTGCGGATAAGGCAGCCGCACTACGGCGCAACCCCTCCGCCGCCAGCCTGCTGAGGCGCCAGTCACTGTTTTGGTACTTGGCCCCTAACGCCTTCCGGTTTGATGCGTGCGTGCCTACGGGGAGGGGTTTCCTCACCAAGCCGTTGCCCGGGCCCGTGCGCTGCCTTGTGGACAACGCCTCCAACACGGACATGTGCAGCCTTGCCTTCCTCCGCAACTGGGAAGCGCAGCTCGGCTTCACGCTTGAGCTGGAGAGCGCCACCTGCGCCACCTCCGCTGCGGACAGTGTCAGCGTCATAGGTCGTGTGCGAACTGAGGACTTGAAGCTGCTCTCCTTCGTGCTGGGGCCCAGTGAGTGCGGCGGCGTGCCTCTCACGCCCAACAGCCTCCTGGTAGTGCCGAACCCCACAGCGCTGTACGATTACCTGCTAGGCAATGGCACGCTCATGCATGTGTACCCCTCGGTGAACTCGGCGGCCATGAACCTGTCATACTATCCTAACATCCTCACCGCGCCCCAAGTCGTGCGCACTGTGCCCGTTGTGGATCAGTCGGACCGCCCGGCAGCCCTCACGCCACGCAGCTGCGCCGCCGCTGCAGCTGACGCCATGGTGTTGAGCGAGCCCACCGCGCTGTACTCCAGGGCGCCGCAAGTTGCGTTGTGGGGCGGCATCCCAATACAAGTGCCCCCTGCCCCAAACTACGACACGGAGGAGGAGGAGGAGCTCTTCCCCGGGTGGGTTCTCCGGAACCCCGACAGCGGCAGCGATTCAGGGGCCACCAGCGGCTCGGAGTCCGACTCCGGCAGCAGCTCCGCCAGCAGCCCTCCGCCTGCACCCGAGTCTCCTGCTGCTGCTGCGCCCACCAGCGCGTCTCCTCCCAGCACGCCTCGTCCGCCGTGGAAGCCCAAAGTCGCAGCAACAGGCAAGCCGGGTGACGTGCCTAAGATGCTCTGTGGTTGCATCGCGGTTGTCTTGCTGCTGCAGTGCTTCGGGATGTTCGCGGGTGGGGGTACCCAGCCAACGGGCCGCATGCTGGCCCTGCCCCCTGCGGGCGGCAGCGCCGTCACGATGCCGGCACCCGTGCAGGCGTGGCGGCCTGCGGTCCTGCGGGTTTTGGGAGCGTTTGCGGTCTTTTATTGGGCAGCTCACCGGACCACTCGGTGGAAGGGGTTTGTCGATTCAGTTTCCACAAGGGCCACTAACGTTCGGGACTATGCAATCAGCAAACTGCCTTGGGGAGCCTTTGATTACGTCAAAACGATAACGCATGCCCGCCTGAAAGTCCTAGGTTCTATGTTGTCTCTCCTTGCCACCTTAGCTTGTCCTGCACCCAAATTGCGGTACACTCGTGCGGGATGGCGTAGGGAAAAGCGTAAGCGCATGCGTGGCGACTACCGCCCACCCCCGCGTGTGCCACGTTGGCGTTTCCTTGCAGTACTTTTCTTCTTTTTCGTGTCTGCTATCACTGTCGCAACTGCGTCCCCTACGGCATTCATCCCCAAGGAGGAGGTCAGGGGTGCCCAACTGCCTGTCACGCTAACAGGAATTGACGACCCATTAATGCCCGCCCTCTACGCGGCCGCCGCCAAGTCTGTGATGTCACCGCTAACGGCTGTCGTTGCTGGGTCCTCCAGTGACCCAGACCTCTATTTTGCCATCACTAGTGCGTTCGTTCGTGCGTTTACGTGTTTGCGTGTGTCGCCTACGTTCTTCACGAGTGCGCATGAAGGTCGAGTCGCTTGGCTGTCACGGATGCATGATGCTGGTCGGCTTTACGTTCGTTTGGCGCCGTCCGGTGCGTTGTGGGTGTTTCTGTTTCAGTCGCCGGTTATTAAAAGTCGCCTTATGATGGGTAACGTCGTGCCGTCGTACTGGGTCCCGCTTGTGTGATTTTGGAGGAGGGGTCCAGCCGTTTGCTTCGCTGTTTAGATGGGATTTCTTAAGTCGGCTTTGGTTTCTTTGGTGAGATTGGAGTCAGGCGGTTTTATAGCTATCTGAGGGATTCTTTTGGTTGAGGGTTGGTTTCCGCAGGGGGGGAGTGCCCGCGTGTTACGTCCTGAATACGGCTGTTGCCGTTGTGCCTTTGTTTTCCAGCTTTTACAGCAGCAGCGTGAGACATCAGGCCAGCTACAGCCGTTAGTCAGCAGCAGCGCTTCGATTACAGCATCATCACTTCGTTATCAGCGCAGCACAGCTTCATCATGGGTTTACAGCAACAGTTACATGGGTTCATATGGCCATCTCCGCCCACGTGGGAACAGCCACGCCACCTCCGGCGTCTTGGCTGTTGGGGGGGAGATTGTGGGCGGTCTTGCCTGCATTCTTCCTCTCACTTTCGCTCGAGCACCGCCGTCGCCGTCGGCTTGCCCAGCACCGCCGTCGCCGTCGGCTTGCCCCATACCTCCATCTACTCCCTTGGCTATTCTATCATCGCCTTCTGGTACCATAGGCATATTTGGTCGACACATTTGGTTGTTACACGGCGTCTACAACCTCGACCATCGGGCCCGCGCTGCTACTACGCTAGCGCCGCCCCTCTACGCGCATTCCAGGCCTCCTCCATATGGCCTCTCTCCACCACCTCCCAGGACGTGACGTCACCGTCCTGCTGGCTCATAGCCGGCGCCATGGCAACCCGCTAGTTTCATACTGGCGAGCTCCGGAGCTTTCACCTGAGGGGATTAGGGGTTTTTAGGGTTTAGTTAGGGTTAGTAGGATTGCACGAGAGCGCTGGGATCTGGGGGGGAGACACTTGAACAATGAGTGGCCACTAGTTTTGAGCAGTCGGTGAAGGATCTGGGGGGGAGCTGTTTGGGTTGTTTGCTTTGGGTAGCTGCGTGGCTTGTCGCAGCCTGCTGCAATAGGATAAGGTTTGGTCTTGTCGGAAGTGTACTTCGTTTTCTTTTAGCAAATGATGCGCAGCTGGTATGCTGTCACAACATAAGCGTTTCGGGAAGAGCAGGTTGTGAAATGTTGAGAAGGAGGGGAGGTTAGTTTTGCAGGTCGTAGTACGTAGCCAGACAGGTTCTTTAAGCAGGTTTCCTTGCAGGCGCTAGATCCGTTGTCGTGGTTAAAGGAGGAATGATTGGGGTCTGGAGGTGCGACGTTGGCTAGCAGTCGAACAGGATTCAGCTTGGAGGAGGCGGAGATCGCGTTCTCAGCAGGTTGGTTTTAGAGCGTTCGGCTTCTTTGCCGTTCCTTAGCTTAGCACGCAGTTGCAGGGCTATCCTGGCTGGTAGTAGTAGGATTTGGGCGTTAGCGACCCACGGGTCAGTCCTTCGGTTGGCTTTGGCTTAGGCCGCTTGTTCATGTTTTGGCAGTAGGATAGACACAAAAAGAGGTGGAGGCGGAACAGGAGGATTGTTTTCTCTGCGGACGGACGCAGTACACTGGATTCCTGGATTTGCTTAGCAGTTCTTCACGGCAGTGGTCAATAAGTTGTGCTAGGTAAAGCCGTACACTTGCTTTTTCGCCTTGCGTGCCAGTGGTTTTCACCATAGCATGCTTTGCTGGCGTTTTACCAAGTTCAGTCGCTAGGGCTGTTCTTGTCGCTCCGGTTGTCTTTGCCGGTTGCCTAATATCGTAGCACTTGCCTTTGGCTTTTTGGGGTTCTTTTGCAGTAGGTTAATCAGGCTTGGCGCGCTGTTTTCATCTCGCATCCTGCTTCGCGGCTTTGAGCTGGGGGGGGAGTGAGGCGCCAAGGCCGCACTATTAGGACAGCGACAGCCATTGGCCCTGACAAGAGCGCCATGCGTTACACAATCAAAGCACGAGTTCCTTCGGCTAAAGCATTGAGGTTACCGGTACTGGCATGCATGTTTCAACGGACATCGCAGCATTATTTACCGCGGCCCTTGCATTGTAAGACGTATGTTGCCCCACCCACCTGGCGCCGCATAGTACGAACCTCCGTACACCGTGAAAGCCACCAGCCGCTTGGGCGGCGGCAGCTGCTGGAAGAAGGCGAAGAAGTCCTCCCAGCGCGGGTGCACACTGACCGCCACAGCGTCCCAGTAGTCCAGACCCGCGCGCTTCAGCCTGGCAGGAGCGCAGGAGGCAGGCAATACCTAGGCAAGGCGCTTGCCGTTCCCCGTTTGCGTGGCACCTAGAGCAGAACGCCCTCACCAAGACCTTTCCTGAGCCGCACGCCTTTCCTCTTATCCAAGTCCAGATCCAGGCCTGTCACGTTTCCATTCCTAAAGCACACAACCCTTCCCCTTACACTTCCCGCTGTGTTTCCGCGGCTCAGTTTATCTAATCCCCGCTGCCCTAGCCGCACGGCACCCAGCTTATCGCATTTGTCCCATACTCCCACTACCGGTGCCCCTCCTCACTTCTTATCATCCAGTTGGAAGCCCAGCGGCCCCACCAGGTGCAGCGGAGTGGCGATGGCGGCGCAGCTGCGAGCCACGTTGCCAGTGTTGCCCGGGATCTGGGGGGACACCAGCACCACGGCCAAGTCCGAGCGGTGCCAGGAGTGCCTGATGACCCACGGGTCGGCGCGCCTGTAGGAGAAGGACATGGGTGTGTCACGGGGCACGGTCAGTGTGCATGGTAACGGGGCGAGCATGCGGGCGTCAGCGGCAACAGCATGGCGTTTGTCTTCATGGGACAATTACCGTTTACAGGAGGATCCAGGATCCAGACAGGGTAAAGGTAGACGAGCACGGCGATGACGTGCGCCCATGCTGCCGTGCAGGTATCGAGGTATGGTTGTTTGTATACGGCTTCGGTACACCGAACAGCTACAGAGGTGCAGCTAAAGACACGTTATCGAGCTGTTGACACGAGGATTGTGCTCACCTGACCCTCTGGCCTACCTTACGCCATCCACAGCAGCGATTTGGGCATTATGGTTATCGGAGCTGCTGCCACCGCTGCAGGCGACGGGTTGTCTGGTGCCACTGCTGTCGCCACTATTGCTGCTGCTAGGGCTGCCGCTACCAGCCATGGCACCGCTTGTGCTGTGGGAGCCGCTCATGCAGGACCGCGCGCTCAATCTACCCTGGAAGCGCCCGCTGCTGCTAGCACCACTGCTGCTTGAATGCCGTGCAGCAGCCATGTCTGATCGCCCAGTAGGCCTCCTGCTCACGGTTGAGAAGCTGCTGCATGTGATGGCTCCTTTCGCACATGGAGCCCTAGTGCTGGTGCGAGTGCAGGTGCTGTGTACGAACCGGCTGTGTACGAACCGGCAGTGAATGTCGTGCCCGGACCGGCATCTCCCTCGCGCCATTAGGTAGCCGGCGTGTACTCCCTGTGAGATGGCAGATGGGTCTGCGTCGAAGGCGGCAATGGTACCAGACGTGTCAGGAACGGCGGTATTGCCGGAATGGACAAAAAGCCGTATTTGGGGATGTCCTGGGGCGGCTGTTGGAGGTAGGGGTTGTCCAGTGGACACTACAGCCCAATGGAATGGAGCCGTACGGGTACCGAAGCCGTGCCTTGCTTGCAATCCAACCGTAAAGGGTCGTGAATAGGTCGATTCCTTTTTACTAATGTCCTGTACGCCGTGCCCCCTGAAGCGCCTGCACTCACCTTCGTGCGGCATTGGAGGCGACTCGCAGCGATGGCTTGTCAGCACCCACCCCTAGCTTACAGCTGCAATTCATAATACAGTAGTTCGTAGGATATCCGAAAATGTGAATACGTTTTATATTTCACTCCTGGCTAGGCTTGTATACGAAGTCACGAGTGATGCAAGGCCGAACCGTTGGATAAAAGAATTCTGCCGTTGCACTACTGCAATTCAACAAAAGCATACCGATATATCCAACTTTGCTTTTCAATTTGCTGGATGCGTCAAGACGAGTGCGTCGGCGAACGTACGGCGCCAATACATTGCGCGGCTTGCGACCATTTCACCCTTTAACAGGCTAATAGTGCTGTAATTCATCGCTTAATTGAGGTTACGCAACTACAACAACGGTCATAATGAATAGTCTGGGCCGTTGCCGTCGGCTACAGTCCATCCGTCGGCAGTATCCATGCAGCAGCTGCAAGGTGGGAATATGACAAACAACCGAGGTGCACCTGCAAAGGTAAATGCTATATGACTGCTGTTAAGTATACCTTATCGGTGTGCATGCAGGTACTCCGATCCCGTTGGTGCGTGGGTACCGGTACACAAGCAACTCCGTTTCCAACTGAGGACCACTTGCCCAGGAGAAGTCAAGGGTATATTTAAAGGGTATACCTGACCCCCCCTCTTACCCCCCCTCGGCACAACATGTCCGCACCAGCCTACCAAACATTGTACACCGCACCTCCAAGATGTCATATCAGAAGCAAGCGGGTCGACAAATCGAACGCCGTCTGCTCTTGCTCCTAACTCTCCTCTCACCTGCCTCCTCCACTAAGTGCACGAAATCCCTGCTTCTTGGCTTGTCTTCAGAAAAAAGAAATGATCCGGCAGCACCTAGGGCAATTACACAACCCCAATACCCTGGAAAGATGCTTCCGGCTTCCTCCTTTCCCTTTTGCGTAATACGGTTGGGGTCGGCTGCGGTCATGCCATGACTCCTATGAGCCAGAGGATTCAACCTGCAGCTCTTGCGGCTCACCCATAAATCACTACCCATAAATCCATACCACATGGCCCCTTCGCCGGCCTTCCGTACACATCACTCGTGCAACTGTTGTACGGAAGTGCGTCATTCGTACAGGTCATCATCGTGTGCAGCTCCTCCCCCCTGTAAGGCACATGCACGAAAGGTATAACACAGCAGGCTCGTACTGCTGTTTTTTCGATGTAAAATGTAACAGAGATTTGACGGGAAGACAAGAACCAGCGGCACGTCGGTTGTGTACGATGATAGACGAGGAGAGCAGGACGATGCAGGACGTTGTAAGCAACCATCCTACGGGGATAAACCTATGGTAGGCACTAGGTACCACCCGGCACTTGACACACGCCCCACATGCCACACACCTGGCCACCCCCTGATGCTGCTCCTCCCCACTCGTACGGAACCCCGGGCCGCCCCGCCTGCTGCTGCTGCTGCCGCCGCCGCTCCTGCTGCTCATGCAATCGCCGGAGGTTAGCCACCTGGATGGGAGGGAGCGCAACCAGGTGAGATCAGGAAGCAGAACGGTAGCGAATTGCGAACGTTTCCCAGCCCGCACTTCACCACACTGCCGGGGCCACATGCACCTCCGACCCCCCCGTTGATGCATTTATCTACATTTTCCCCCCCCAACGCGACCCAGCGCCCAACCCCGCTCCCCACCATCTCCCTCAGTGCTGCCTCCCCTGACACCGCCGGAGGAGCCTCCTCGTCCCGCTCGGCCAGATCCAGCAACTGCAAGGGCGGGGTTGGGGAGCAGCACAAGGTGAGCCGCGCAGCGAGAGAGAGAGGGCAAGGTAACACATGTGGGGGACCCGGATGCGGTTCCACCCTACCCGACATATGGGGGAAAGAAGAACACATGACACGTGGGGGCGGGGATGACGTGAGGGTGTACGGCGGTACGGCAGTACGAGCCGCATCGAGTTACGTTACACGGTAGTCCGTACCGTACGTCCCCCACCGCCTTAGTCCCCCCCCTGTCATGCACCCACACACCCCAGTACTGTCCCTCGCACCGCCACCTCCCACCTGCCGCCGTAGTGCCGTTACGTCCGCTCCCACCGTCCGCAGCAGCAACGGCAGCACTCCACTCACGCTGCTGCTGCCGCTGCTGCTGCCCGTGACCGCCTTCCCGCCGCCTGCGCTTCTCCCTACTCCCGGTACTCCGCCTCCGCCGTGCCCGCCTCCGCTGACATCAGCACCCCCACTGCCGCGCCCCTCTCCTTCCCTCTCCGCATGCTGCCCCTCTCCCTGCTGCTCCTCTGCCTGACTTGCTGCTGCCGCATGCGTATCCGCTACGGCAGCGGTGCTTTCCGAACTGACTTCTTCCGCCTGCCGCTGCTCCCCCCAGCCCTCGCCATGCTGTTGCTGCTGCCGCTGCTGCAGCCCCTGCCACTCCCCCTGCCCCTCCTGCCGCTCCCGCCCCTGCTCTAGCAGCACCAGTAGCAGGTGGTAGGTACCCACGCTGCGGCTGCCTGGCGGTGGGTGTGCAGGGCGGGATGTATAGCAAGGGAGTGGAGGTGTGCAGCAAGTGAAGTGAGAAGTGAGTAGTGAGTAGCGAGGAGAGGAGGAGGGGGCATGGAAGGGGGCACAGCAGGGCAATGCGCCACCAGATGACGGGGCGTGTCGGCCAGCCTCCTCCGGGCAGCACACTTACGTCTGCAGGGACGCAGGCTGCAGGCAGCAGGCGTGCCTCGAAATGCTCGCCTGCTCCTTCCCTTCCGTCCCTTCAGTAACCCCTTCGGTCCCAACGATAACCACCCGCCCCACATCCTGCTCAACTCTCTCCTCCGTCCGACTCTGCTTGTCCTCGGCCTCTAGACGATTGGGGCTTTTTTGTCTTCTATTGATAGGACAATGCCTCCCTCACGCACCCCGCTACCCAACCCCCAACCTTCCGCCCCCAACATCCCTCCCCGCCCCTCACCCATCTCCTGGGCTCCCTCCTGCGCCCGCCGCAGCACCTCCCGACCCGCCCACGTGAACTCCACGTCAGACGCCAGCAACGTGCCACTACTGACATGGAATCCACCGCCGCCGCTGCTACTGCTACCGCTGCTACTGCCGGTAGGTCGGTTGCTGCTACTGCCACCGCCGTACGTTAGTGGGGCCAGCAGTCCCGTCTGCTCGTTAATCCACTCCCGTACGGAATCCACATCACCGCCATTTAGTGCTGTCTCCAGTAACCCCGCAGCTGTCATGAAGTTATTGTTACCGCTGCTGCTGCTGCTGTTTGAGCTGTTGTTTTCGTCGTTGTTTTGGCCACTGCGGTTGCGGTTGCGGTTGCCGCTGCCCGCTGCCAGCACGCCGAGCAAGATCTGGTCGGGTCCGGCAAACATGCAACCCTGCCGTACAGCTTGCTCCTTCGCAGCTCGTACTGCCCGAGCGGCTTCGGAGCTGTACGGCAAGGTTCCAGGAGAAGGCACTGACGAGGGGATGGCCGCGCGTTTTGTCAAAGTGCCAAGACGATGCGCGGTTCCGAGTTGCGGATTGTGAGGAGAGCGCCTTGGCCGTGGCAGTGCAGCCTGAGGCCAACTGTCCAATAATCTCGTCATGCAGCTACGATTATGTGCTGTTATGCAACGGAAACCAGTCATTCTAGTGGGAACTGCGTAGGATATCGAGTTAATTGCCCGCAGCTGTCCATTGCCACGATAGCAAGTGCTTCCAAAGCTACTACCGCCCAACGCATTGTGAACGCAATTTGATTGCATAGTTTGTCAGGATTGGATACGTGGTTTCCCTCGAAGAATGGCGCGGTGGTATGCCCCTCGTCAGGAACAAGCAAGCTTAGGCATCCGGCGTGATGTTGCTGATCTACCTATAGCATAGTTCACTCCTCTATAAGCGCTACCAAGGAAACTCTACTACGACAAAAGGCATTTCCCAGCGACTTCCGTCGTCAATCACCCTCGTACGTACAAGCTCGCCCGAAAGTTCAGCTTCACCAACTCAGCATTTCAATTACAATTTGCGTATTTGGCTTCAATTGCATGCAATGAACATGTTGAACGCAAGCCGCACCGCGTCGTCGCAATTTGCGTCTAGCTCCAATTCACGCCCAGCGCGCTATCTTAGCGTCCGCAGCCGGCGAACCGCTGTGAGGACCCAGGCGCTGCTGAAAGAGGTGATGTTTACACCTTAGCTATACTTCCTACAATAGCAGCTCCTCTTGTCTCTGGAAGTTTCGTCACGCCACCGCTTGCTTTGTTTGCGACGAGCTTCTTAAACACACTCTGCATGCCACTACTTCAAAACACTCGTCGCATGATTCAGGTTTAAACCAAAAAAATGCTTTTCATCATGACCTCTATCACTCATTGCACTGCTCGGTGCAATGACCAACGCCACCTCCGTTCCCCAACCCTTCTCCTTTGCAACCCCACACAGGCAGAAAGCGTTGCCAGGCGTGTAAAGTGGAGCCAAACCGCCGATGAGGTGTCCGTTGTGGTTCCTGTTCCGGCGGACGTGCGGGGTCGGGATGTGAAGCTGGAGGTGCACCCCAAGCGGCTGCGGTTGGCGGTTTCGGGGCAGGCGGTGCTGGAGGGCAGCCTGGAGGACGCGGGGGAGGTGCGGGTGGACGGTGAGAGGGGGGAGGGAGAGGGAGGGAGGGAGGGGGGTTTGAGGAGCACGAGAATGCGACCGCCTTGCTTCCTAACCCCGGTGAGCCCAGTGAGCCATCCGCCTTGCTTCCCGGCCCGCACCTGCTTTCACCTGCCATCACGTGCCCAGCCCTCTCCTGCCCTCGCGTCTGCTGCCCTCTCTCTCCCTCTTCAGACTGCTTCTGGACGCTGGAGGCCGAAGACCCCTCCTCCTCCGCCTCCTCCGCTGCCTCCCCCGCTGCCACCAGCGGTCCGCAGCGCTTCATCGTGGTGACGCTGTCCAAGGCTGCTATGGGCTACATGAGCTGGGAGGCGCTGCTGGAGAGCGACCGACCCGACCTCACCGTCACTCACAGGGTGGGGGTGGGGGTGGGGGGTCAAAGACCATAGGAAGCCACAGTGGGCGGGGGTGGGGGGGGGGTAGGTAAAGAGGGAGAAACGAACGAGGGTGGGTGGGTGGGGGCCGGCCACAGATAAGGTGGTGGTCGTGTTGGGCCATGAAACAGGTATGGGGCTGTGCGCGGGTGAAGAGGCGTGTGGAGCAGGGAGCGGAGAGCATGCCCATGTCTACACGAGTACTGCGCCCCCCCCCTTCACAGAAATCCCCGCCGTTCCACGCCCCTACCCTGCCCCCATACCCACGTCGCTCCTGCCCCTCCCCTCCCTTTCATCACGGTACCTTGACTCCTTCCCCCACCTCCCTAACCCTTCCACATTGCATGTCACTACTTCCCCGCCTTTCCCCCTCCCCTCCCTCCAAACCCCCCAGGTGGGCCTCAAGGTCAGCATCGGCGGCCAGCCCGCCGGTACGGTTGTGTGCGGGCTGTGTGGCAACACGGTGCCTCGTACGGCGGAGAACTTCCGCGCACTGGTCACCGGGGAGCGGGGCGTGTCGGAGCTGTCTGGGAAGCCGCTCAGCTACAAGGGGAGCAGGTGGGGGGGGGGCATGATACGCGCCGCACCGCCTTTCCCCGCAGTGCTTTACCAGTTGGTTCACCGAGGGTCCTCGCGCTCCTCCGAGGCGGCCTGACCGCCCCTCCCGCCCCTCTTCACTCGTCCTCCGCACCTCCACCTGCCCGAAACCCCTACCTGCAACCTCCCTCCCTTCTAATGCCTGATCCAACCCCCCTCCCCCTCCCCTCCCCGCCCCCTCTCCTCCCTCCTTGCAGCTTCCATCGAATCATTCCAGGCTTCATGGTGCAGGTGCGGGGGGCGTGTGGGGAGGGGGCTGGGGCTGGGGCCGGGGCTGGGGCGGGGGCGGGGGGGTCAAAGATCATACCAAAGCTCCAGAAACCGCAAGTGGGGTGGGCAGGGGGGCTAGCCATTGGGGGAAAGGAGGCGTGTAGGGGAAGAGGGCGTGAAGATAGAGGTGAAGGGAGTTGGGATGGAAAGGAGTGGGTAAGGGCTCGGCCCGGTGGTTAGGAGGAGCTCTCAGCGCCTGGGTTGCCACTCCCGTCGCCCTCTTGACCCTCTTGGCCCCCCCGCCTCCCTCCCCTCCCCTCCCCTCCCAGGGTGGTGACTTCACGCACGGCGACGGAACGGGTGGAGAGTCCATTTACGGGGAGCGATTCCAGGTGGGTGCCAGGGGGGGGGGGCTGGGGCTGGGGCTGGTGGGATGCCGGGGCGGCATGTTGGGTCGTGTGCCAGGATGACGTAACTACCTGGCTACCTAACCTCCTAACCACCCTACACGGCACGGCACCCGCCGCAATCCCGTACGGCCCCTAACCCCCCACCCCGCACCCCCATTCAACACATTGGGCCCCTTTTACCCCCCACCCCCCAGGATGAGAACTTCCGTCTGCGCCACGAGACCGCCGGGCTGCTGGCGATGGCCAATGCGGGGCCGGACACCAACGGCTCGCAGTTCTACATCACTCTGGCGCCGCAGGTGGGGTGGGTTGGGGAGAAGAAAATCCAATGCAGAACGCGCTGGCCTGTGGCGCCTCCTCCCCTGCTACTCTGGAGGCACCCAGAGCCACTGTGTGTGCGTGTGGGGTATTCCTCTACCTCTCCGTCCCTACTGAACCTAATCCTCACCTGATCACCACCTCCCTCCTCCCTCCCGCCGCCCCTTTCCTTCCGCTCCCTCCCCCCTCCCTGCCCTGCCGCACGCAGCCGCATCTGGACGGAAAGCATGTGGTGTTTGGGATTGTGGAGGCGGGCATGGAGGTGGGTGCGGGCATGGGAGGGGAGGAAAAGGGAAGGGAAAAGAAGGCAAACCAAGGGAAAGGAGAGGAGACTGCAGGACTAATGGAATGGAGGGGTGTGCAGATAAGTTATAGCAGGTCTAGCTGCCTGTGAGCAATGCGTCATTGCTGTCATTCGACAACGCCCACGGTCCCTCCCTCCTGGCCCCTTGTTTGCTGTGCACTTGCGTAACTTACTGCATCTTACCCTCTGTGGCCTCCCCTTGCCTACCCGACCCCACCCCTCCCTTGGTACCATTCTCACACCACACATTGGAATTTCTTTTCTTACCCCACCCCTCCCTTTCTTGCCGCTCCTCCTGCCAGATTGTCCGCTACATGGAGAGCGAGGGCAGCCCCAGCGGCAAGGTGGAGCGACCCGTGACCATCGAGGAGTGCTTCGAGGTGGGGAGGAGGAGGAGGAGGAGGGTGGGGGTGGGGGTTGGCATGGGGCGCAACAGAGCTGCATGCAACCCATGGGTCACCATCTGCTCGCCACCACCTCTTCTCCCGTCGTGTTTTGTGCGCTTATCTCAATATACCGTTATCGTTTCTTGCCCGTCCCTCCAGTTCCCTCCTTACTTACAGCCCTCCTATCCAGCCTACCGGTAATAATAACCGCTGCAACATCCCTCCCTTCCCTTCCTTCGCTCCACCCGGGGCTCCCTCTCCACTACTAACACCCCCCGCCTCCTTCTCCTCCGCCTCCACCTCCACCTCCCCCCCCCTCCCCCCAGCTGCCCCTGGACCCTGAGGAGTTGGAGCGGGTGACGGACGCCAACAAGCTGCTGCGGCTGGAACAAGCGGCCGCGTAGACAGGACAGGACAGGAGGCCCGGGGGGCTTCTATTCCATGTGGCTGGTTGGCGGCCCACGAGATGATGGCGGTAGAAGGTCGTGGTCGATGGGAGGCGCTGTATGTATGTCAGCAGAGGGACGTTACGAAGGAGAGGACGGAATCGGAGGTGGTCGACTGCGGGGATTGGGGTGAAGAGGAAACCCCTGACGGGGATAGGAGGAGGGAACTCAGGAGGTGGCGAGGTGGTGGACGGCGTGGCCTTGGCCATTCAGCGGTGTTCCTTTGTAATCGTGTGTTGAGACTCACTTTGCTTCCGTCAACGGGAGGTGACGAGGGATTTGGGTTGGCGTCCAGGCAATGCTACATGGCAATATACCTTGTATGAAGCTGCAGCTGTGCCCGAACGCCGGTGTCACGATTGTCACAAGCAAGCCGCTTGTCATACGGTAGCTGAGGGTTGTCGAGAACATTGGCCGCGAGTGGGAACGTACTGTGGGTGTATTGTAGGTGGGGTTACAAGGCATGCATGCAGCTAGGAGCTATCATAGCTGCGGGATGCAGGCTGGGAAGGGATAGATAGGGGATGGGGGATGCGGCAGCATGCCGCCCTTCAGTGGCCGCCCGCGGCAATTGCAGTGCATGGGGCGGGGCGCGCTCAGCTGGAAAGATCTGTAGGCGTGGCTAGGGGTGCATAGCGTACCCGTGGGAATCAGGGCGCTACCCATGTCGCCCTGTGACTGGCGACACAGCTGGGGGTGCAAAAGCACGCCGGCGATTTACATAATAGGGACCGGGTTATTATCGGTGCATGTAGAGGCCGGGAGGTTACAGCTGCTTAGAGTTAAAGTTACAGTTTACATCCTGCGCGTGCGTACAGCATATGTCCGTACGAACCGTACTATCCGTACGATAGTACGATGGGTGCTGACACGTAAAAATGAATCCGCTGTAATGCGGTATCCTTCTATTTAAATGCAAGCCTGAAGAGCGTCCATACCCGGCTCGCTCATCGTGCTGCAAATCACTGTGCTGTTGCTGTGTGGGTCGTGCCGTGTCATACCGCGCTGTGTCGGCGGCCAACGCAATGCGTTCCCCTCACTGCGCGCCTTCCTCCTTCCCCCGGTTGATGAGGTAGGCCGCCATTCCGAAGAAGGGGACGAAGCGGTACCTGAGGCGGGTGGGTGGGTGGGGCAGGCGGGTGGGTGGGGGTGCATGAGGAGGTTGAGGTGGGGGGCTGATCCGCAGGTGAGGCAGGGCGGCAGGTGATGGGGTAGGGGCAGGAGCAGAGGGCGGCATGTGATGGGGTAGGGGCAGGAGCAGAGAGCTGCCTGCCTGGATGCGTGCATGTGGAAGGAGGCAGCCGGCCCCTTTCCCCCTCTGTCCCCCTCCCTCCCCCCACCTTCATCGCCACCGTGGGCTCGGTATCGGTAGGGAATGTTCACCACTTTGTTTTATGGCACCCTACTGTTTCCTAATGATTGTTTTGCCCCAAAGTGTGGATTCCCTATGGTTCGGGATAATCTTTGTCCCCCCCCCCCACCTGGCGGGTGCCCCCTGCATCAGGACCGCCTGCCAAACCGCGTACAGGCAGCCGTCCACCACGAACGCGAAGAACGCCTGTTTGGTGGGGGGGGGGTGAAAGACCATATCGAACCATAGGAAACCACAGGTTGGGGCAAGACAATGGGGAGTGGATTGGGAGGAGGGGGGGAGTGGAAGGGGACGGGAGAGTGCGTGGCATGGGAGGGCCAGATGGGGAAAAAAGAAATTCCAAAGTGTGGTGTGATAACGAGACAAGTCGGGCCAGATGGGGAGGGAAGAGGACGGGAGAGCGAGGGAAGCTTTACTTTGCAGAGGAGAGAGGAGGGACGTGTCAGAGGAGGCTGGTCAGCCGGCAAGGGCTAATACCCGTGACAACGCACAGCCGGAAAGCCTTCTGGGTCACATTCCTTAGTTACAGCGCCTCCGCTGTTTCCTCCCTGCCTGCTATCCCTTAACATGCGACGGTAGCCATGCGGGGTGCAAGCGTGCAACTGTCAACTGCTGCTGCCGCTCCAATTCACTCCTCACTCACCCGGTTGGTGTTGAAGGCGGTTGCAAAGTACGACAACCGCTCCTCCAGTCCGCCGTACTCTGGCCGCCCCGCCAGTGCCCACCCCAGCGAGACCAGCCCCACCCCTAGAGCGGTGGCTCCCACGGCAGGGGACCAGGGGGGCAGCGGGGAGCCGGCGGGCGGTGGGGGAGAGGAAGAGGAAGAGGAAGGGGCGGGAGGGGGCTTGGCAGGTGCAGGCGTGGCAGCCGGGGTAGGTGGTGTTGCAGCCGCCTCCGCAGCAACCGTAGCTGTAGCTGTGCCGGCTTCCGGGGGGTGTGCGGTGGTGGTGGTGGTGGCGGAGCCGGGGGTCACATCAGGTGAGGAAGGGGAGAGGGAGGGGGAGGAGGAGGAGGCGGCGGGCTGGGGTGGAGGGGGTTCCGGAGCGGCTCGGAGGGCGAGGTAGGGGATGTAGAAGACGTTGGTCAGAAACTGCGGGGAAGGAGGCAGGTAGCGGTTTGGAGGCGGCAGGGGTTAGCGAGGAGGGGCATGCATGCAGGGTGGAGGAGGGTATGGGCGCCCTTTGGAGGCTTGGTACGTAGGAGGTGGGTGGGTACTGTAGTAGCGGAGTACGCAGCAGCTGGCAGCGTTGGCGCATAAGGCAGGTACGGCAGCATGACTGCATATATGACGTACGGCACCCCCTGGCAGTACTACTGCAGTACAGCCCGGCCGTTAGGGTTATCCTGCATCCCTCCCCATTCGCCATTCCCGCCAACCACACATCCTGCGACGTCCCCTTGACCCATCACCCCACCCATCATCACACATCACGTGCCCACTCGAAGCCAGTTTCCAGAAGACACCCCCCAGGCAGGATTCCCACCCGCCCTCCCATGCATCCTCAGCTCAACAACCCCATCCATGGGTATACACCGTGGCCGTGTATACACGGTGTTTATGTGCATGTGTCACCCGCCCTACCATGATTCCCGCCCACCACGCCGCCAGCCGCCCCCCGCCCCCCAGCTTCCTGCTGCGTCCGTCCGCCAGCATGTACGGCAGGGCGGCCAGCGACCAGGCGGCCATGAAGTTGAAGAGCGCCTCAGACACCGGGGGGGCGGGCACGCAGGGGACTGGGTTGAGGTGGGCGACGGCCAGGGCGATGTTGACGTAGAAGAAGTTGAGAGACTCGTGGAAGACCTCGGATAGGACCTAGAGGGTGAGGGAGGCGGAGGGTGGTGGTGATGAAGCCTATGTTATCCAGCCCCAATAGACAAATTGGAGGTATGTTCTGTCCCATTTGACCTTCTGTTGGCAGATTTTTAGCCCCAATTAACAAACGCGCCAAACACCCCTAAAGCGCCCTGCTGCTGGCCTGGTTCCCGCTCACCTGCGGCGGGGTGGCGTACACGGGGGCTCCGGGGGCCCAGGGACCCAGCATGATGTACCCCGTGTAGCCTGCAGGGGCGGAGATTGGGGGTTTAGGGGGGGGGGTCTGGGTGGGGTGGCATTAGGGTGGGGTGGAGGGGAGGGGAGGTGGAGGCTGGGGGCGTTGCAGGCCGCTGGAGGGGTTGCTGGTTCTGATTCGCTCCTGACTGCCAACCTACCCATTCCGCCCCAAGCCCTAGCTGCCCCTGCCCCCCACATCACCGTGTCGTGTAAGTACGCCCCCCGCCGGGCTGGGTACCGGGTAGGCGGGTACCGTACCTCCCCCCCTCACCAAGCAAGGCACTACCAGGAAGACAAGATTTCCTACGGCTTGGTCGCTCTTTGCCCCTCCCCTAGCCCTCCGTATGCGCTCACTGCATGCGTCACATTATGGGGGTGGGACTCCAGTTGCTGCACTTCTCATTTATTGTTTTCCCGCTCAGCCCTGCCCCCTGCCTCACCTGCGTAGAAGGCCCACCACGCCGCCGCCTCCCAGGGCAGCGACCGCCCCAGCCGGGAGGGGTCGGCTGCTGCCGGGCCCAGCCGCCGCACTAGCGGGGCCACAGCGGCGAGCAGCTGGGGGGGTGGATAGGAGGGAAAGGAAGGGAAGGGAAAGGAAGGGATAAAGGAAAGGGTAAAGGAAGGGAAAGGAGGTTGCAGTGGGGGGTCACGACCGTGGAGTGCTCGGACAGGGGATATAGCATGGAGGTGGTGGGGGCTGGGGGGGAGCCTAGGTACCCGTGGGAATGGAGATGGGAAGGGGAGAGGCGGGGGGGGGTTCAGATTGTGTACGATGGTACGGCAATCGTGTATTTCATACCGCCTCCTGACAACTGGGCTGATCTGCCACTGGGCTGCTCTACCAGGCAGGATTGCCGCCAGCAGGCCAGCAGCTACCTTACATTCCATACCCACACGACAATGACGACATGTCCATAGCTTATTCAGCTAGCCCTGTAGCAGTCCCTCTTACGGCCCCACGACACGCATGTGTGTGTGTTTTGCCCAAAGACGCAAACCCCCCTTCCGTTCCCCATCCGCCCCGCCTACCCTCAGCGCCGCTCCCCCCGGCTTCACTGCACTCTCCACTAGGTCCCGGGCGCTGCTGATCTGCCCCTCCGGCGTGAGTGTGTAGAAGGAACAGCCGCGGGAGAAGGGGAACACCACACCCCCGCTGTCGCCCTCGCCGCCGCCGCACTCCACGTGCCTGCAGGTGCAGTCACGGAATGCGGGGAAAAGAAGAAGTTCCAATGTGTGTGGTGAGATAGTGGTAAAACAACTGACAAGCCCTGGAGGAATGCGGGGAGGGATAAGTATAATGCATGCACGTCTACTTGGACGTGGGGCATGCCGCGTGCATGGGTGTGTGAGGGCATGCATGTGCCCTCAGCAGGGAAGAAAGGCGAAAGCCTGCTGCACTCCCAAACCCCCCGGAGTGCAACACAGCAGGGAGCCTTCTAAGCAGCAACACCAACACCAACACCAACACCAACACCAACAGCCAAAGCAGCACCGACAGCGAAAGCAACACCAACAGCGAAAGCAACACAGCACCGACAGCAGCAGCTGCCAGCTCACCAGCTGACACCCACGGCTCGTGGGTCCCCGTCAGTGATGTCCTCGATGACAAACCGCAGGTCGGACGGCACCGTGCGGCGAACCTGTGAACGTGCGCGTGTGTGAGTAACACAAGCCGTTGTGGCAAATCCGCTCAGGAAGATCAGGAAGATCAGGATCAGAGCGGAAGATGTGGAGCCGCAACCTGGTGATGAGCATCTGAGCAACAACAAGGTGAAAAGAAGGAACCAAGGGGCTGCTGCCGGCGAGAGCGAGGTCCCCTGCGATTGCTCATCACCGCCCCTACATCACGGAAATTCCTTGGACTCTGCGCCTGCTTTGGCTCTACCATATCCCTCGCTCCTGGCTCCTCCCTCCCCATGTCCACACCCTACCTCAGTCCCTCTCACCTTTTCCAGGTAGGTCAGCACCTGCTGCCGCCCCACGAAGGGCTGCGAGTAGATCATGTCGTGGTAGGACACCTGCTCCGCCAGCAGCGGGGAAATGGAGGCCAGGTCGCCTGGTGGGTGGGGAGGAGGGGGGGAGGCGGGGGGACGCACGGGGGGCCGGGGTGGCCACGGGGCTTAGCGTGTTGAGGGGCCATGCAGGGGCCATGCAGAGGGAGCAGAGCAGGACCGCTGCCTATCTACCCGCATTGTAGGCTTGGTAGTAGCGCAGAATGACATCCTTGCCGGTAGTAAGTGTACTGCCGCTGGGGGCGGCTAAGGGTGCGGGTGCGGAGGCTGGTGAGGTGGAGGCGGCTGGGTTAGTGGCGGTGCCGGCTGGTGAGGAGGAGGCCTGCGGAAGGGGGCAGACGGCAGTGTACTGTTTAAATGGCCGGGCGCCGCTGCTGACACAGGCTTGCAAGCGGGGGTGGGGTGGGGTGGGGAGAAAGAGAGGAGGAGGCAAGAGAAGGGAAGAGGGAAGTGCCCAGCGGAATATCCCTAACTAGTTTGTGGTGTGCAGCAGGCGCGTAGTGGCGACCACACAAGTCGAAGCGACGCGACGCTGCCGGGACGCACCTCACCGCTGGCCACAACAGCGCAAAATACTGGTCGCGAAGTGTACTGTTTACTTGTTCTTAACTTCCTAGCTAAGCTGCGAACCCTTTGGTGGGATGCCATGTTCCAAAGGCATCCGGCGCTAAGCAAATCCAGGCCCGCATTGCGAACACCGGTGTATTTAGCAGCGCTTAGTTGATATTGATGTGGCGTATGCGTTTGTAACCGCTTGCAGGCAGTCATTGCGATTTTCCGCGAGCGCCCAGCGCTGCAGCTAGCTAAGTGTTAATTAGCTTTTACTGGAAATTACCCCCTGACGACGCAACGATATGTACTTTTAGTGCAAAGCGATTGTTATCTTCTAGTTATCACTAATTCGCGTTGTGCCTCGTGAAAACCTCCAACCGTCGCTGCAGCCCCTCAACGCCTCACGCACCAGTCATCGTTAATTTCTACTCATAGGCGCCCGAGCAGTTTGCTCAAGACCGAAGTCCAGTAGTTCAAAGCCGACAGCTGGATTTGCCTCGGCGGCTATTCCCGGCCGTTCTCCAAAGGCCGGCGATGGTTTTTTACAACGGCCATCCATTCTGGCGGTTTTTCGGTTCAGTGTTCCATCCTTGCAGCCATGATGTGCTTTGCCGTTTGATGTTGCGAGGGCTGAGTGTGTGTGTGTGTGTACGGCTGGCGTGTCAAACGGTGCTGCCTTGAGCTGTGACTTGTTGCTGCGCTATATTATGTTATGGGGCGTTGTGAATCCCTTAGGGGCTGCCTGATTTGGATTGGGAGTCTGGTAAAATGTGGCGGTCCGGAGATGTGCCACTTGGTTTCAGGGGAATGTACGATTGGGACGTTAGGAAAGGCGAGTAGTACGGCAACTTTGGGACGAAGCCTGGGACTGCTGAAGTGGTTGTCCCGGTACAGACGTATAATGTAAGTTGTCTCAGTAGCTGATTTCTGCCACGAGGCCGCTGAGTTAGGAAATTACTTTGATACAGCACGTGCCATGCAGAGAAGGCGCACGGAAAGTGCCCTCCCCTCCAGCATGGCGTAACAAGGGCAGGCCAAAGCACCCGCTTACGTCGCAGGGCTACAGGAGTTACTGCGGATTGCTGGTAGCGGAAATTACGAATGGAATCCAAGAAGAAGCAACTTAGGCGCTTCTTGTAGAAAGGAGGGCAGAGCTCCAGAGGCCTACTCCTGGGGGTTCTGCGTTACTCCTTAACCTGCCGTACTTGCTGTTACAAGTACGGCACATCTTGATCTACCCCACTCCCTGCTGTCATACGGTACTTCTAGGGATAGCTGCCTGTTTCGATGTGGCGTACGGCACCTACTCGAGCAAATGTGGGCCGTAGCTTTGTTACAAAATTTGGGGAACATACATTTCCCGAGGTGGCTATAAAAGTGTAAAATGTTATAATGTGAGAGCCATGCAACGGCAACACCTGAAAGCTGACGCTGCTGACGGGACAGATACCGCATGCAAACCCCCTGAACACACTCTGCCGCATGCTGTACTACCGATACCAAAGACAGCGCTCAACGACCCATGGGTCACCAACGATTTGCTGCAGCTCACACCATTCCGCATTCTACCTGCGCAAGCCAATAAGCCAAACAGCCAATACCTTCCTTCCAAAGATGTCCACTTTATTATCCTTTCAACCCAGCAGGTCGTGTTGCCAGGTAGGACGCAGCCTTACGAGGCCTGAACCGAAACGCCACGGCAGCAAGAGCTATGCGTTGTCCTGCATACCAATCCCAGCAAGCCAGCTGTTCTTTCAATTCCAGTAAGCAGAGTCGGGGTCCGGCTTGCCGCTCTCCAGCTTGGCTCGCTCAATGGCAATCAGACACTGGCAGCCCTGCGGAGGCACACGCACGTACGGGTGCAAGTAAGTAAAGCACGAAGGACAGACCTTCCCACCGGTAGTCGTTAATCAAACAAGTAGCGCGGCTTCCAAGGTCAGCCGCATACAAAAGGCGAGCTGCATGCATGTTCCGCATGCAGCACATGCGGTAGGAGATATCCGGCATGCAGCACGGAGCGCTACGTAAAGGGGCCCATTGCACGTATGCATGCATCCGCTGGCGTCCCATGACTCCCATTCCCACTACTGCTGTCTCCTTTCCCGACCCCGCTGTCCCCAACCCCGCTGTCCCTAACCCCGCTGTCCCCAACCCCGCTGTCCCCAACCCCCTCACCGGCGGCACATGGTAGTCCGCCATGGTCTTGTCGTTGTCCTCCAGGATCTCCCCAGCGTAGATGAGAGCCTAAACGGTACGGCGGCATGTACGGCAGTATGAAATGTACGGCGCCCGGCACAGCAGTGACCACCGCTCGCAAGTTAGCACACGGCGGGTCTACCTGCTGCTGCTGGTGGACCAACGACTGCCGCCTTGTTGCTACCTCTGCACCGCTTGTTATCCCCCCATGCACCTCCCCCCTCCTCCTCACCAGGTCCTCCCAGCGCTGCAGTCCGGGTGTGGCTCGCTTCTCCGCGGGCTTGTTGGCGCGCTGGATGCCGCCCGCCCACAGCGCCTGCTTGACGCGACCCACACTCCAGTCGGGCAGCGCCGTGACTCGGTAGCGGCAGCCGCCGCAGAAGAACACCTGGCGGCAGCGCAAGTTGGTGTGGAGCAGTGGGGGTTGGTTCGAGCAGTGGAGGAAGTAAGGAAGCCCACGTTCTGTAGGTTCGCAGCCTTCCATGCGCGTCAAACCCAACGGAGAACGCTACATGCATGCCGGCACACATCATCTGCCGAGTTGTGCATGATGGCTGGCGTCATCCCTTATCGGTACGCTCCTCCACGTTCTCAACCTCACCATGTAAACGGCCGCGAGAGTAGGAACCAACCTCACCATGTGTGTGCGGTCCTTGCGCGGAGGCACCGTGGGGATGCCCTCGAAGGGCAGGTCCATGGTGGCGAGCTCCTCAAATACCTCCGCCTATGTGGGTACCGGGGTGTGGGGGTAAAGAGGAAACAACTAACTGACTGAGGGATAAGGCGTTGGTTGGTTGGCTGGTTGAAAAGGGTGTTCAAGCAGCTCAGGGGCGCAGGTTGGAGGTGTCTTCAAAAGGCAAAACGGAGGGGTGTGATGCCTCAGCAGGACTTCTAGCCAGAGGAAAGCTTTCGGACGTGTCCGTACTACTACGAACAGATAAAGCTCTAGACCGCCCCAGCAAGCAGCAGCACCAGGAGCAGCAGCACCAGCACAAGCAGAGGCACAATCCTGTCGTCTAGAGCGGACAATCGACGGCAGCTGAAACGGCTCACATGTCACGGTACATTGCACGGTGCTGCCTGTCCTGTAACCTACCTCCTTATCAGGAGCGATCTCCCGATTGGCATCGCAGTCCCACGCGCCCTTGCCCAGCGACACGCCTTCAGCCATCCTCCTGGTAGACCCGGCGGTGGCTACCGATAGTTCGGTTCGAGCTCAAGGCAGGCCGTGGATGGAGGAACCCGGCTTGCGGCCGTTCCTAGACGCCTTACTGCTGCTGGCTGGCTGGTTGGTTGGCTGCTGACAGCGGCAGGGTGCTGATGTTGCTTGGCCTGGCCTGGCTGGCTCACTGCTGTAATTCAATGCTTTCGGCAGCTACTAGCCTACGTGCCGCAACGCTCGAATGCCCCCAGCAGTAGCAAATTGACTGCCTGGTGCGTGGGAGCCAAACAAACTGCGCCGGGGCGTTCGCGGTGCACCCAAAAACGCTGCTTCGCAGCTGATGCAACGTAATCAAGGTAGCGGTAGCTGCTGTGCGCTGCGTAGCTGTAACCTTTGCGTTTGCGGGGTACAGCAGTGATCCGTCCTAGGCCCAGCATGCGGTGCAGTACAGTGCACACACCGGAGGGTCAAACACAGCTTCTCGGACTGGCCTACTACCTATCGGTACCCCTGCCGCGTTGGAGCCAGGGAGGTGGCGATGCCACCCCTGAGAAGGCACGTTACAAGCGTTGACATTGGTGCTGTAGGCAGCGGTGGCGCCGTAACCTGAATAAAGGGAATGACAACGAGCAAGGATTGTTGAGGTGAGGGGGCTGACAACTAATCGAACATACCGAATACCCACCCGTCAACGCTGTGCGGAAATGTTGACCCCTGACCACAAGGTAAGCAACTTTGAAGCATCTTTACCACATTGGGTTGCACCTACCCGTGTGGTTCTGAAGGCGCTATTGCTGTTGCACGGTCAAGGATGGAGGCCAAAAGGGCAGTGGCGGGTAGTGGGGAGGTGCAGACAGGTGCCCTGGGCGGGGAGGCCAAGGAAAAGACATCAGCTTTCACAGACATTACCCCTCCCATCCCGAGGGAAGCCTCGTCATCCAGTTCATCAGTTTTCTTTTTACACCCCACCTCCGCTTCCCATGACCGCTGGCTGCGATGCAGCTCAGTGGGAGCAGCTTGCCACGACTGAGCAGCAGTACGAACGACTGGGTTTTTCCCGACATACCCTGGTTAGACAGCAGAGCCTGGAAATGGAGGGGTGTTATCCCAGCAACAACTAGTGAATAGATTCCAGGGGTGTTGGCTGTGTGAAGGCGTGCGCGGGTGGTCGGGGGTATCCAACCCTGGCAGTAACCCACCCACCCCCCGCAGGCACACAAGCTGCTGCTTTGGCTGTCATTTCATTCGCAGTGGGCTGCGATGATTCCTAAGCGACTCATGGTTTTCACAGGAATTTATTTGTAACATGCGCTGCAGACGCGACGGGTCGATGGGACGATCTGTGCGGCGGATCGTCCGGAACCCTTCCATGCTCCGCACGCGTAGCGTGCGGGCTTTTAATACCATACTTATAAACAGCGTTAACTTATAGACATTAAGTCGCAGTAGCACGTTGACCGCTCCATGCAGTGCGCAGCCTTGGGAGAAATGACGACTTAGTCCTCGATTTCTAGTCGGGATAGAGATTGACAATGCTATGCTCTAGCTAGTATTTTTCCTAGGCCTTCATCGTCCACGCGTTGGAAATATAATGTCGGAAGTCCGGTGAGAGCTTTGTTTAAACATTTGGGCGCGACCGCTTGCGCTTAGCGCCTTGCTACCCACATGCAGACCGAGGGAAATATTTTGCTCAAAGAGCAGAAATTATCACGATGTTCGGCTGGAGCTTGGCATCCGAAGAGTTTTGGAATTACAATTTTGCAACAACTTAGGATTCGCTGGGAACTGCTGGCGCTGCAATCGCACTTGGACATCTAAATGCGAAACTCCCGTGAGTTAATGGCTAAGGGACGCTTGCGTGGGACGGGCAATTTCCTTAACAGTTGCATGCGCCTGCATAGCACACCGGTGCCCCTAGTGTCCGCGCCCGCGTGGGCCCACTGGTGCCATTTGGTTTAGCGGCAAATTGGAAGGCAGCACGATGACCGGTTTGTCCCTGCCTCGAGGCTCAGACGACTGCCATGCCGTGTCATCCTTTCAGGGTTTATAAACAGCTGTCCGCCGACCCCAAGTTTTTTGCAAGACGCATACCATATGTGCCTTCCTTCTGGCACTATTTACATGCGTTGAAAATTAGTTGCAAAAATATACGCTGCTCACTCGCAAAACATCCTCTCACCATGGCATCCCAGTCTCTTACCCGCGTCATTTCCTCGTATCCCCCTTTCGCCCTGCTACCTGGTAACACCTGCGCTCCCTAACCCGCGCGCCCCAACCCGCACTTTCTGCCTCTCCAGGTTTTCCTCACCGGGCTCGTGGACAGCTCAACCTCCCCTCCCGTCGTCCACCTGCGCCTCGCCCACAACCGAAGCTTCACCTGCGACGCATGCAGGGAGGCCGCGGCCGCAGCAGCTGGTGCTGCTGGCGCTGCTGCTGCACCCCCGGCCGCGGCACCTCACTCCGCTGCAACAGCGCCGGCAGCAGCAGCGGCAGCAACCCACGTCCCTACCGACCCGCGGAGACTGCTCCCAGCAGCAACAGCAGCAGCAGCAGGACCACAGGCGAACGGTGAGGTGGCCCCGCTGTCTGGCTCCCATGCAGACCCTCGCAACGGCAACCATGCACGCACCCCTGCTGCAACGGCAGACGGGGCGGCAGCAGCAGACGGGAAAGCGGCCCACGGCGGGGGCGGGCTGTGGCTGGAGGAGTGGGTGGAGGCGAGGAGCAGCCGGGTGAAGGGCAGTCGGCTGACGGCGGCGCGTATACGTGTGTCGTTCAAAAAGGTAGGACGGCGTGGGGACTGTAGGGTTTTTTCTCTCTAGAGTTAGGGTCATGGGGAGAGGGAGGGTGCCGGCGGGCGCTTCTGTAAGACCGCTTCTTTTGTTTTCCCCCCTTTTGAGTAAGTAATGCCCCCCCTCTCCCACACCTCCTCTCCCTTTCTTCAACCCTTCTCCGCGCCTCCCCCCATCCTCCTCCCCGCACACAGTACTACCTCGCCTCCCTGGCCGCTCCGCCCGCTGCCAACCCCAACCCCAACGCCGCCTCCGCCTCCGCCACTACATCCGCCGCCGTGGCACCCGCAGCGCCCACCGCTCCCACCTCCTCGACCCTACCCGCAACCCCGGGTGCAGCTACCGCACCAGCAGCCTCCGGTGCTGCCCCCACGTACTTAGTTCGGCTGGCCTCCCCCAAGGCGGCGGCCGCATGGGCTGCTCGCCTGGCGGGGCGGCTGGGACCGGGGGAGGCGGCGCGGCTGGGGGGGTTGGAGTGGGAGGTGGCGGGGGTGGAGCGGAGGTGCTTGGCGCACGCAATGGGGGCGGTGGCGGACTGGGTGCTGGCGCCGCAGGTGGGTGGGGGGCGCAGGGTGGGGGTGTGTTCAGAAAACTGGCCGCGAGGTGTGTGGGAGGAGTGGGGAGGAGGGATGTGTGCCGTATGGGGCAGATCTCAGCTAAGGGACACGCATACGTATGGCCAACGTCTCCTCTCGCGCTGCATGTGCCTCATCCGCAAACCTCACCCCACCAGCGCTGCCTTCCTTCACCCCCTGCTCTCCTCCCTCCACCTCCTCCCTCCCTCCCTCCCTAAGCAGGTCCTCACCAGCCCCGACACCTCCCTCACCACCTCCTCCTCCGCCGCCCCGCTCCTCGTCCAGCTGCAACCCTGGGCCTTCGCCGCTCGGGAGTCCCCCAGCGTGCGGACCGCATGCAACGCGGTGCGCCCCAGCCTGTCATGCCTGGGCGGCCCCGGGCTGGGCAAGCCGCCCACCTGCCTCACGGAGGTGCTGACGGCGCCGCCGCTGCGGTTCAGCATCGCGCGGGAGCTGCTGGACCCGGAGGCGGGGGAGCAGGGCGGGGGGGAGCAGGAGGAGGAGGGGCAGGGAGAGGAGGAGGAGGAGGGGAGTGAGGAGGGGGTTGAGGATGGAGAGGGAGGGGGAAGGGGAGGGGGAGGGAGTGAGGTGGATTGGGAGGCGGGGTGGAGGAGGATGCGGGAGGCGGTGGAGGTGAACGGAGGTGCGCCGCTGAGGTGAGGGGGTGGGGGTGGGTGGGTGGGGAGCGGAGAGTAGGAGACGAGGGATAGGGAGGGGCTAGGGGGGTGGCTGTATGGAGTTAACGGTCTTGTTGGGGAGTGGAGTGAGTGGCTGCATGTGTATTGGGGGGAATGCCGGGGCTGCAGGTCAACGTGTGTGACTTACGCTGTGTGTGCCCCGCTCCTCGCCGCATTACTCCCGCCTCGATCGCCGCCTGCCACCTTCTCCCGCCTGCCACCGCTCCTCTCACCCCCACCCGCCCCCCACTGCCTCCTCCTCCCTCCCGCCCCTGCAGGCCCGGCTGGACGCTGCCGCTGCAGCGGCTGTCGGCGCTGCTGAAGCGCCGCAATAAGCGCACGGAGGGGGGGTGGAAGGTGAGGGGCGGAGTGAGGGGACGGGGGAAGGCAGGGCAAAGGGTGAGGCGGGGGACAGGGGGTGTACAGGGCGCGAGCGACTAGGTATGTGACCGGGTGTGCCGCGACACGGGCGTCGACTTGAAGCGTGCGACGAGCAGCTACGTCTTCCTCCGGCCTCCCCTTCACTGTTTCCCAACCCCCTTCCCTCCCTCCTTCTCCCTCTCCCTCTCCCCCACCCCAGTTAAACCCCCGGCAGCTGCAGGTGCGGCTAGAGGAGCTGCTGGAGGGAGATGCGCTGTACGGCATCCCACCCAGCTCGCCCGCAGCGGCGGCACTTGCAGCGGAGGCAGCAGCGGCGGCGGCGGCAGCAGCGGCACTAGCCTCCTCCATGCAACAACAGCAACAGCACCCGCACCACCACCCGCACCCGCAGCAGCTTCCTTCGGGCAGCCGCGCGGGTCGCACCATGCAACACCCCCAGCACCCCCCGCACCTCCCTGCCGGCTCCTCCTCCTCCTCCCTGCTGGTGCAGCAGCAGCGGCTGGCTGCCGGGCAGGGGCTGCCGGGGCTGCTGGGGCTGCTGGGTGGGGGGGGTGCGGGGGGCTCCCCGGTGGATGCGTTCCTGCGGGACCTGGGGGCCACACCTGCGCAGGTGGGGGGGGGAGGGATTGCTACGGAGGGCACTGCCTGCCTGGTGTGGTGTGGTGTGGTATGATGTGGTGTGCGGGTTATGAAAACATGTATTGTCTGGCGTGTGTTGAGAGAACGTTTGCCTGGTGCGCCTCGAGTCGTTTGCCTGGTGCGCCTGGTGCCTGGTGTGTGCGGGTTGGTTGAATCTTAGTCGATTGGATGCCCTGCTGCAGGTGCTGGAGGTGCTGGAGCTGCCGGACATTGACGCCAACATCGGCTTCTGCGCCGAGTGCGGACTCATGGGCGGACTGGTGGCGTGCGACACGTGAGGAGGGTGGGGGGAGGGGGGCGGGGGGTTGTGGGGTTGGCAGAAGGCTGAATCATAGGGAGCCGCACGAGAGTAGGGCAAAGCAATGGAGGGAGGAAAAGAAGAAACTACGAGGCTTGCCGGCTTGCCACCCGCCTGTGTTTATGCCTGTGTACGGATGCGGGTTTGTCCGTACATGTGCTGTATGGCGGTATGCTAGTGCCTGTGCTTTTATCTTATTCCGCGACACCGCTTGCCTTCACTCCGTCGGGAGCAGTATTCCTCGCGGCTCCGTTTACCTAATCCCCTCGACATGCATTTGTCCTACTTGATCTCTCAGTTCCCTACCGGGGTGTGTAGAAGTACCCACGCACACATCTGCGTGCATGCCACCCACCCTTTCCTCCCCCCCTCCCACCCCTGCCAGGTGTGTGGACTCGTTCTGCTGCGGCTGCCTGGGCGGAGTGGACCCTGAGGAGTTGCCGGATAGCTGGAAGTGCAGGTGGGCGGGGGGGTAGGGGGGTAGAAGGAGGAAACTGACGGGCTGTATGACGCGATACCTTCCCTCCCCTTTTCCCACCCCCATCTCCTCCCACTCCCACCTCCACCCACCCAGGTACTGTGAGCAAGTGCGGCTCACGGATGTGCCGCTCCGCACTGCACCCAGCACCATCACCGTGAAAACGGAGAAGAAGAAGCCCGCAGCCGCAACCGGACCTGCTGCTGCTGCTGCCGCTGCTGCTGCCCCCAAGCCCCCCAAGGGGCACAAGTTGCCCCCGCCTGCTGCCGCCGGGCCCAGCAACCGGCGACAGTCGGCTCCCGCTTCCGTTGCTGCTGCTGCGGCGGCGGCGGCGGCGGCGGCTCCCTCGGGTGTTGGAAAGGGCGGCGACGGCGGCAGCGGCGAGTCTCTGGCGGGCGGCAAGCGCATTCGCAAGCAGGAAGTGCCGCTGCGCAATCAGACCAGACGGCTGACGCTGGCGGGTGTGCCGGCGGCTCGCGGAGAGACAGCAGCGGCGGCGGCGGCAGCGGGAACGGCAGCGGGGGCAGGTGGTGAAGTGGATGGTTGGCGCAAGGAAACCAAGGCGGCGCAGGCGTTGAATGCAGAGAGAAAGGGCATGCCGGGGGGTGCAGGCGAGGGTGATGGCGGGGAGGGTGGCCCAGTTGGGCCGGGGGCCAGCGGCGGCGGCGGTGGTAGCCTGCCCGCGGCAAAGCGTCAGCGGCGCAGCGAGCTGCTTTCGCCGCCTGGGGAGGCCGGTGGGGGAGGGGGGCGTGTCAGCCCTGCGGTTGAGGAGGGCAGCATGGGGGCGGAGATTTCGAATGAGGATGGCGAGGAGGGGGGTGAGGGGGGTGGTGATGTGGCTATGCTGGACACTCCTCCCGAGCTACCCCCGCAGCAGCAACAGCAACAGCAACAGCGGGCGGCTACGGGCACGGGTACGGCTGCGGGTACGGGCACGGGTACGGCTGCGGGTACGGGCACGGGGGCAGGTGCAGGTGCAGCGGAAGGAGCCCCAGCTGCTGCCGCTGGTGGTGGCACTGCCGCTGGAAACACTCCCGCCGCCGCCGCCGCCGCCGCCGCGACTACCGCTGCCCCGACGACTGCTGGCAGTGGCCGTGCAAGAGGAGCAGCTCCTGGGGCCCCTGCTGCTGCTGCTGCTGCTGCAGTGGGGGGAGCAGCCGCCGTCGCTCCTTCTCCAAGTCTCCTGAGCGCAGCGGTGCTGACCAGCCAGGTGGCTGCGGTGGCGGCTCAGTTGAAGGCGGTGAGGGCTCAGGGGCGACCCAGCGGGGTAGCGGGTGCTGGTGGGGCTGGTGGCGCTGGTGGCGGTGGTGGCGGCAAGGGTGGTAATGGTGTTGGCGGCAGCGGTGGGGAGGAGGAGGAGACCTTTCAGTCTGCTGACTCGTCGCCCTCACGAGATGATGGCTCGCCGCAGAACCCCCCGGAACCTGCTGCCGCTGCTGCCGCTGCCGCTAGTGGTGCCACTGCCAAGGCGAGTGATGGTCCCGGTGCAGCAGTTGGGGCCGGTGGTGGCCAGGCTGGGGGCGCGGGCGGGCAGGAAGGCAGCAGGGCTGCTGCTGCCGCTGCGGGACCGTCAGCCGGTGGCGGCGCGGAGGAGGGAGCGGGTCGGGAGGAAGAGGATAGCAGTGGGGAGGGTGAAGAGGAGGAGGAGGAGGAGGAGGAGGAGGATGGTGGCAGCGGAGAGGGCGGCGGCAAGGGGCCGGGGAAGCAGGACGGGACATCCAAGCGGAGTGAGGTGAGGAGCAGCAGCGTGGGGAGGAATGGGAGGGGGAGGGAGGGGGGTGCTGGGGGGGGACAGAAATGCGGAGGTTTGGGGGATGGCAGGGGGACCGCCTGCGAAGCTGCGGCTTGATTACACAACGTGCGCTTGCGCAAAATGGCAATGCAGTTTCGCTCCAAGGTCGCCGTTTCCTGTTCTCCCCCTTCTGGTTGCACCTCACCTCTTCACCCCGGGCCCCTTCCACCCCTCTTTTCCTCCCTCCCTACAGTCCGCTAAAAGCGAGGAAGACGAGGACGGTGATGGCGATGTGGTGGAGGTTGAGGAGAGTGATGACGAGGAGGAGGTAGCGGAGGAGGAGGTAGCGGAGGAGGCGCAGCAGCAGCAGATGGAGCAGGGGGTCGGGCAGTCGGGTGGTAAGCAGGCAGCCGCTGCCACTGGGCCGTCACCCCCTCGGAGACGTTTGCGCTCTTACTTGGCAGCGGCTGTAGCAGCAGCAGCAGCAGCGCCTGCGGTCCCCATGCAAGCAGCAGCCACAGCAGGGGGCGGTGCAGGGGTGTCAGGTGCCGGGGTTACATCAGCAGCAGCAGCCGCACCAGCAGCAGCAGGAGAAGGACCTGGATCCGGGCCGGGCGGTAGCATCCCTGACGCTGCTGCCGCCGGAGGTGGGGGGGACGACAGCCAAGACAGCGATGACGTCCTCATCACCGGAACCAAACTCGCGCAGGGAGGAGGATGGGGAGGGGGAGGAGCAGGAGGAGCATGGGGGCCCGAGCGCGCAGCAGCAGCAGCACCTGCTGCCGCCGCAGCGGGACCCGCTGCAGCGGGGCGGGGACAGCGGGGCCGCGGACGCGGCAGGGGCGGTAAGGCGGCCCGAGCCGACCGCGATGCTTTGGCTGCCGACGGGGACGATGCAGGCGATACCGACTATCAGCCGCCGTACAAGGTTGCCGTTGCCACGGGAGCAGCTGGCGGCGGCGGGGGTCGTGGAGGCGGCAGGCGGGGTCGCGGTCGGCCCCCCAAGGGCACCGGAGGGGGCAGGGCCGGCCGTGGTGGCGGTGGCGGTGGGGGCAGCACCGTCAGCGGCGGCAGCATGAATGATGAGCAAGCAGCTGCGGCGCTGATGATGCTGACGGGAGGGAGCGGACCCGTGCATGGGTCCGAATTGGAGCTGCCCCCCTTTGTGGTGCTCGCGGAGTTGCAGCAGAAGCAGCAGCAGCTACAGCAGCTGTTGCAGCAGCAGCAACAGCCGCATGGGGGGGTGCCTTTCCTACAAGCCCTCAATGCTCCCATGCAGGACCCAGCTCAGCAGGCCCTGCAGCAGCAGCTGCTACAGCAACTGCAAGCGCACCTGCAGCAGCAGCACCTGGCAGCAGCAGCTGCTGCGGGATTGCAGCCCGCATCTCAACACGTCTCTCCTCCGCCGCCGCAGCGGCAGCCTCCGCAACCCCTAGCTGCAGCTCACGCGACAACGAGCACCGCCACTGCTGCGGCACCTCCACCTCCACCACCACCACCAGCAGTTGCCGCAGGGGCCCCGCTTCCATCCGTATCACCACCGCAGCAGCAGCCGCAGCAGGCTCCGCAGCCCGTGCCTGCTGCCATGCCTGTAGCACCGCCGCCGCCACCCCCTCCTCCGCAACCCTCTCACCCTGCGCCCACCCCCGCCCTGGCCCCGGGAGCTGCTGCTCCCGCTGCTGCTCTCGCTGTTGTGGGCGGGTCACCTGCAGCCGCCGCCACGGTCCCTTCGCCTCCTCCTCCTCCTCAGCCGCCCACTGCTGCTGCCCCTCCTCCTCCTCAGCTGCCCACTGCTGCTCCTCTCCCTCCCCCTCCTGCTCCTGCTCTATCGCCACCTGCTCCTCCTCCTCCGCCACTACCTGCTCCTCCTCCTCAGCCGCAGCAGCCGAAGCAGCAGCCGCAGGACGGGGGGCTGCTGAGCCTGGGTGAGGCGACTCGGCTGAGTTTCGAGGTGCTGGCCCACGTGGCGTCCTACGTGGACCCGGCAGTGCTGGCGGCGTGGATGGAGACGGCGCAGGAGGCGCTTGAGCGGTACACCAGTGACCCGGTGAGCGGGGACGGCGGGGACGGTGGGGGCTGCTGAGCTGCAGGCGGGGGGCGGGGCTGCGTTGGTTGCGGTGCAGGTTGGGATCCCCTTATAGCGGTAGTCGGAGAGACTGGAAGGAGGTGTGACATGCCAGCAGCTGTGCACCGCAAAGTTAGGAAAGAGGAAGAACCGATGTGATCCAGTCGTCTTGATGTGGCCCCGCCTTGCACCCATGCACCCTCCCCGCCCCACCCCCTCGCCCCTCAGGCTGTCCCCGCCATCCTGACTCCCTGCTTGTGCGGCCTGCTGAAATCCAAGACCGTCCCTCAAAGCATGCTGGGGGCCGCAACCAACATGCTGCGAGGGGCCATGGGGCTCAAGCCTCCACCGCCAGCAGCAGGAGCTGCGGGGGCTGTGCCGCCTGCGTAGCAGCAGCAGCGGCTGCCGCCCCCGCTGGCGCTGCTCCTGCTGCTGGTGGAGGCCCGGCGGCTTTGCCGGGATGGGGCGAAACGGCTGGGCTAGCGGTGCAGTGGTATGGTGAATTGGGGCTGTGGTTCAGTGTTGGGGCAGTGGTGCATGGGGGGAGGGCGCTCCACGTGCGTGGGCTTGGAAGGGATTCATGCTGCACACCCCGAGGCCTGACGTGCGTGTGAGGACAAGACAATTGCGTCTGTGCTGACGCGAGCCGCGAGCCAGATGGAAAGGAGTAGGAGGTTTTCTACGTCTGCATGTTCTCCGATGCCTTTTGTCGCTGCTCCTTGGGCGTAGGGGGGGTCGTCTGGGTGTGCTGTGTGAAGTGGAAGGAGGGGGCGTTTGTGGTGGTGCGTCGCGGCAACTTCTATCGTATACTGGATGCAACTGAGTTGCTCTTTTACTGCTCTACTGGTGTTGCTTGGGCTGTGCCTTTCGACAATTGGCTGCAGGACGCTCGTATTGGTTCTTGTTATCTCACGGCTCACGGTTTCCCTGCTGAGAGTTACGGACGGCAGCTGATGCCCGGGTCGCAGTGATCTGCGGTGTAACAATGCCATCGGGCTTGGCAGGGCGTCCCTGTTTGGCAAAGAAGACGGGAGAACAAAGCGGCAGGCCTGCATGGCTGCTGCTGATGACGTTAAGCAGCTTGAAGCAGAGGTGCCGAAACGTAAACATGCTGAGGGAGTTGGTTGATGATGCGACCGGGTGAAGCCCAAAGCGGGCGGCTTGCTTGTGAGGCATGACAGCACAACGACTTCACGCCATGCGTGTTCACACCTCCAGTTTTCTTATCACACCTCCCTCGCGCGATAAAGGAAACAACCGAAGCAGCAGCAAATACCGCTTCATGTCCTCCTCCCCCTCCTCCTCCTCCCTCTCCTGTGTCGTCCTTTGGCTTGCCTCTGCACCCCCTTAGGAAATGAACTTGCACCTTAACAGGCAATGTACCCCACCAAACCGCCTCACAGTGTTCTGGTGCGTAGCCAGCGCACGCGCCCCCGCCCCTCAGCGGGCCGCCTAGTGGGGCCTCATGGCAGCCCCCAGCCTCGCACCTCCCCCCCCTTCCCCTCACCAGATTCCTTACATGCCGTACATGCCCAATCCGCAGCCTTTCAACCCCATGCATATTAAGAACTCAGCCCTTGTAGCCCATGCTTGGATTGCACAAACCCCCAGCCTGCTCCTTCTGGCATGCCTCACTGCTTCACCACCGCATTGGCTTTGCTAGCTCGGGTTGGGCTCGGGGGGTCCTGCTGAGGTAAAGAGCTTTACCTTAAAGGAGCCGTGTAGCCTCCTCCCTGCCCCACCCCACCTCACCCCGCCCTCTTCCGTAACCCAACTCACACCGCATCCCCTCCCACCAGCACCGCCACCTCCCCTCCCACCCCTCCTCCTCCTTCCTCACCCTTCCCCTCCCCGCCCGCCCCCCCTCTCCGCTTGTGCGCCCGCACAACCGCCACTGCCAGCGGCCGAGGCACCCAGCGCAGCCACCGCCCCGGCGCCGGCGGCCGCGGCAGCACCGCTCCCAGCGCCCTGCCGGTTGCCGCCAGCGCCTCCATGCCGCCGGCCAGACAGGACACCCCCACCAGGATACAGATCCAGCTAGCCAGCCGCACCACCTGGGGGTAGGGTGGGGGGCGGGGTGCAGGGAGCGGGATAGAGCGGGGTGGGTTGGGGAAACCTACGGTATGGTAGGCCGATGTGCTACAAAGGTCAGGGGTACGGAAGGAAGGGAAGGGAGGCCTGGGGAGGCCTCCGCTTAGGCGGGTGTTAGGCAGCTGACAGGAATACACGCGCTGTGCCCGCCCCGCCCCCTTACTTCCCCCTCGCCCCGCCCCCACCACCCCCTACCTTCATGCCATGACCCGAGGGCAGCTTCTCCTGCAGCGCCAGCATGCCCGCCGCCACCCCGGTCACCATGGATGCGGTTGCGGCCGCCACACACACCACCACCGTGTTGCCTCCCTTGAGCCCGCGCGTCTGCAGCAGGAAGCCGGCAGAGCTGAGCCACACGGACACCGCTAGGGCCAGCGGCACGCACAGGAACGACAGCTTGGCGGCCAGGATGAAACCTGTAGGGAATATAACGGTAGCGGTTGTAGGGGGGGTAGGGGAGAAGCCAACCCGTTTACGGTATAGGGGGCTCGAAGGTAGGGGGCCAAACCATAGGATACATAGGTTAGGGCAAAGCATTGGATTAGGGAGGTGGGGAAGGGGGTGGGGGTGGGCGTCGGGTGGTGGTGGTGGGTGGCAAGAGGGTGCGGAAGAATGGATGAGGCTGTGACAGTCCTACCAAGCTGTATGGATGTGTGCTCGTCTGCTGGGGAGGGTCAAAGATCAAACCAACTGCTGGGGAGGGGGGGGTGCTTCCCTGGTTCGCCCCGCCGACCCCTGGACAGACACAGCCCGCGCCCTATCACGCAGCCCGCTCCCCCTGCACCCCCTGCAGCGCCCCCTCCTGCCCACCCACCTGTCCTGCAAGCCGCCGCTGAGAAGCCGAAGCACGCGCCCGCCTCCAACCCGCACAACACCGCATCCGCAGCAGCGGCAGCCGCAGCTACGGAGCCCCCAGCCGCCGCCGCGGGCCCGCCCGCCGAGCCCGCAGCCCCGGCAGCAGCGCCTCCCAGGTGTGAGGAGGAGCGCGGCAGGGAGGGAGCTAGGGACTTGCCGGCGAGGGGGTGGGAGTGGTGGTGGTGGGGGTGGTGGAGGTGGGGGTGGGAGGGTCGTGAGTGGCGCCACCAGCACTCCAGGCCTGCGGGAGGGAAGGGGAGGGAGGTCCGGGAGGGGAGGGGCGGACAGGAAGCAGCGGGAGGGAGAGACGCGGTGAGCGAAAGGGAAGTGAGGGTGCAGAGGGAATGATGGTGGCTACGAACCACCAGGCGAAGGGGCATGTGTGTGGAAGGGACATGGCCCATTCCTTGTGGCCCCAACCACATCACACGCAGCCCCGGACGTCCGAAAGCTCCCCTTCAACCCCCCCCAACTCCCTCATCCCCCAGCACCCCCTTCCGCTCTCCCGCCCCTCCCGCCCCCACCCAGCAGCGCCAGCAGCCCCCCGAACGCCCCCAGCACGCGCCCCGGCCCCGCCTCCGGGTGCTCCGCATGCGCCGGCTCCGCACTCAGGCCCAGCCCCAGCACTCCGCAGAAGGCGACGCAGGCGGCAACCCACTCGGGGGCCCGCAGCCGCTCCTGAGGGAGGGGGGCGGGTGGGAGTGAGGGTGGAAGAGGGAACAGAGCGTGAGGGGGGAGAGTACCGGCAGAGGGAGGAGGAAGCCAGGCATGGGGATAGGGGAAACGGCCATGGGCGGGACAAGGGGCAACGCGAACCGGGTCATTCGTTGCCAGGTACCAGTGCTACCCATTCCCTCCTCCGCCCACTCCTCCGGTCCCCTCCCTGCTGCCCTGCCTTGAGGTAGAAGTGCGAGAAGACCAGCAGCACCACCAGCCCCACCGCCGACACCGGCTGCACCACGGATACCTGGTGGGGTGGGCGGGGCGGAGGAGGGGGGATATACCGGAATGGAACGGAGTGGCTCGTGGGTTGAGGGAGGAGTGTGAGAGAGGTGAGGGCTGATGGAGTGGGTTAAGACTCGAGAGGGAGAGGGGCAAAGAGGGTTTTTGGGGTATGCTCTGCCCTGAGCACAGGGTGGTTTATTCAGGCTGTTTTGCGTGTTGTCAGAGGATGAGGAAGGAGGTTACTGGAGAAGGACAGGCGGCTAGCACGGGGACCGGGGACGGGGGCAGCGGTGCTGGGTAACAAGGGGTGAGGAGGTAGACGTGGCGGGGAGGGCAAGGGCCTGTGGAGGTGAAGGGATCTTTTGGGGTCGTGCAGTGTTGGGGTGGGCCTTATGGGCGGGAGGGGCTGGGACAGGGGGCGTTGGCAAGGGTGACAGGTTGCAGGACAAGGAGTTGTGCGAGGACAGACCTACCGGCGCCTTAGCGAAGGCGACGATCATCAGGAGTGCGCCTCCCAAGTCCGTCAGCATCCCGGCAACCCATAGTCCCGAGCGGAAGTATAGAAGAAGCGTCGCGCGGTTTAGCACAAGCTTTGGTAGAGAACGTGTAGCTTGCTTTTGGAGGACCTTGCCAATATTGTTGCCAGCAGCGGCCAGCACAGTTATTAGGATGGCAAACCACATTCCTTAAAAATATGCGTCCCGTCACAAGGCAACCGCTGAGCGAATTAGCAACTCCGCAGTAGATTCTGTAAAAGCATGATCTAAAGTTGCTCTTGGCCTGTAGGCTTCGTAACAGTGTCAAGTAGAGAAGAAGTTGGACTGCAGGGTGCAAAGTTGCCACAGTCGAGATGCCTATTGCCCATAGCGGTTACACGTTGTCTCTATTGACCAACGTTTTGCATAAGCCACTGGGCTACACCAAGTGTGCCAGCGCAAGCGTTAGGCAACTGTCCTATTCTGACCTACAAACTCCAACGAAATATATGTGCACTCCTTGTTGACAACAACCTATACCTTGAGCCATGTAGGCTATCTACAAATCAAATCATTGTGGCATAAATGGTCCGTGGCCTTTGAAACCGGCACCGAAACACACACCAAGACAGCACGTCAGCACCTAAACCCTCTCACAAACTCCTCAGTCCTCACAGATGGCGCTCCCCGTATTACAAAACAAGAATGCAACAGCACATAACCAGATATTTGAAAGGAACCCCTGCAAAACAATGGCAGCATGTCCTGGATAACCCTTCCACGAAACATAAACACAAAGCAAGTAAAGTACAGGTCTTGGTCTTCTTTATTCACTCTCCCCACTAACTTCTCCTCTCTCTACTACAACCCCCTACGCAGGCATGGCTGCCGAGCGCAGGTATGCTTAATTACTCTTCTCCACCTCCTCGGGGTGCGTTGATGCCCACTGGTTGCAGTAATTCGCGAAGTTCTTGGGCACTAGATAGAATGCTAGGTACCATAGCAGTGCCACGGGGATGCTCGCCACCAACGTCGTCTTCAGCCCTGGGGTGTCCAGCAGGTTTGCCAATACCACGAAGGAAATCCCCGCGGGGACAACGAATGCGCGCTGCTGCCACCAGGGCCAGGAGCGACTGTAGTGCCAGTAATTCGTGTCAAAGGGGCAGGGCGATTGTGAGGAGGGCGTTGAGCTGCTGGGCGCGCCAGAGCTACTTGGTTGCCCATTCTGCTGAGCTTGGGGCTTCGCGGTCGCATAGGCCAGCCCGCGGAATCGCCCAGGAGCATGTAGCATGCAAGGCCAGGGTCTTGATAACGTTGAACCTGACGCTACTAAGCTCCGTTGGGTCCTGCTGACGGTAGCGTTGTGACACTCCATGGCGTCAAGCTGTGCAGGTTCTTATAAGCGGTAAGCCTTTAACTGTATGTTGCGCTCTAAAAAGGTTATTAAGCTACAAAACAACAGGCTGTCGCCCGTGGTAGCAGATAGTGTGGGTTGTGGTGAAACGGCGTGCTTGCGTATACCTGGGATCAACCTGTATGGAACGTTCTAAGGCTATCTATGTGTATGCTTATAAAGAGTACAAATGCATGAATGTGCTGCTCAAGCGTAACAGCATTGGACGGTTGGCGTATAGTCCTTCACGGCAGTCCAACACCAAATGGCGACACGAGGACGGTTAACTTTTCTGTGAGTTGCCCCAGTATGGCATCCTCTGATGAAAACATGCAAGCGGCTGGCCGTGGAAAGCGGTCCAAGCAATATGGAACCCTATCATAGTGCATGCCGGGCACCTCAAAGGGCATTTCTGTAAAGACCACAATGCAATTTGCTTCGTTCAGCGCTTACTGAGCGTAGACTTTGCCCAGCCAGTGATTCCGCCGTTGGCACCAAGGCGCTTCTTTCTTGTGGATGCGATTACGCTGCTAGCAGCAGCAATGCGTTTCACTTACGAGGTAACATTTCACAGAACTGCAGAGGCCATGGCACTTTGCTTGCATCGGTTGGCTGTACACCCGGTACTTCCAGCAAAAGGCCGCACTAGCCCTCTTGGAAAGGCTATTAACTTATTTAAGGGCCCATTGCATACTTTCCTTTCCATTTGTAAACACTGACGGCTTTGACACCGCTCAAGCAAACGTGGGGATTCCGTGAGCAGGGCTTGCAAGGCCAAGCCGTGTCTTCGGCAAACTGCTCTTTGTATGCGCGACGCTGCACACGGTAGGTAGTTTCTCCTTGCCCAGCCTTCGCTCCTGCTCGGCGTCGTAAGTGCTCTTTGCCGCGCGGAAAGTAGAGGAGGCATGCAGGTGTTGCAGCAGTTTATCTTGCATTAAGGCGCTGGAAAGTCTATTAACTAAAGCATGCCTGCTGCTGTGTGCGCGATAAATGATTCTTTATAGCAGCAGCGTCTTCCAGCTTCATGCACCTCCTCCGCATCCACCTCCTTCCATTTCCGTCCCTCATTCCGCACCGCATCACCACCCTCGCGCTCCACCCTACCGCTCCGTTCCCATGTCGCACACCACGTGTGCTGCATGCAACGGAACCCCGTCACGATGACTTCTGCCGGTTTCCTCCACCTTCCCTCGGCCCACCCAGTGCCCAGTGTCCTTCCCACCCTCCCACCCACCCACCTCCAAGCTCGCCTGCTAGGCTGGTCGCTGCTGCTGGGTGTGGCGCTGTGGGGGCTCTACGTGTGCTGCACTGCGGAGTGGGGGGCGCAGTGAGTGGCGGGTGCGGCATGTGGGGCGGGAGGAGGGGCGGGGGAGGGGGAAGGGTGGGAGGGGCGGGGCGGGGAGAAAAGATAGAAAGAGGCGGGGCGGGGGGCGGGGTGGGAGGGGACGAGGAAGAGTGGAGGGAGGAGGGGCGGGAGGCAGGGTGTAGTTGGGGGTGCTGGGGGTGCTAGAGGGGAGGTCTATGCGGTTCAGGTAGACGCGCTACTATTGCAGCTAAGATTCGCCTTCGTGTCTTCTACGCCTCCTGCTCCTCCTCCCCCCGCTCCTTCATGGCACGCATGCCGCCCCCTGCATGCCGCCCCCCTGTATCCCTCTCTTCACATCATACCTGACTCATGACCGTCCCCCACACGCCACACCACCGCCTCCCCCCTCTCCCTCCCCCTCCTCCTTCCTTCCACAGCATTAAGACCCGGCTGCACCGCTACAACGCGCAACAGCAGCAACAGCATCAGGAAGCAAGCATCCGCACTCACAGCAGCAGCAGTGCCAGCCAGCAGCTAGCTGGGGCCCCCTCCGTGTGCGCAGCAGCCATGTCCTCCTCCGCCGCCGACCCCACCACCTCCTCCGCCGGCCTCACCACCTCCTCCGCCGGCCTCAGCGACCTCTACTCGCTGTGGGCCATGCCGCGAGGGGCGCTGGGGGAGCAGCTCCGCGCGGAGATAGCGGGACTGGCAGCCCGGCAGGCGGCGGGTGCGGGAGGTGATGGTGCGGCTCCGCCCGCCTTCCCCCCCCATGTGACGGTGTTGGGGGACATCCCCGGGCCGCGGGAGGAGGTGATGAGGAGGGCGCGGGAGCTGGCGGGGAAGATCAAGGTGGGTTGGGGGTGGGGGGGCAGGGGGGGAAGGAGGACGGAAGAGGAGGGTTGGGAGAGGGAGCGGGGACTTGGGGTGGGAGTGGGAGGGGGGCCGGGGTGTCGGGGATGTGGAGAGAATGGGTTGTATGGTAGGGAGGAGCCATGTGCGACTCTTTGTGTATGCTGCGTCGTTTGTTAAGGATCTTAATCACCCCCACCCCCCCACCCGGCCCCCCACAGAAGTATCGCATCAACTTCACGGGTGTGGCGGCGGGGGCCTCCTACTACCAGGTGGGGCGGGGGGCCGAGACAGAGGACGGGACTTAGGGCGGGGGCGGGGGGGAGTGAGACAGAGGGCGGGGCGTACGACATGGCCCATGGGTGCGAAGGGGCGTCGGAGGGCTGTGGGCTGGGGGGTGTAGGGGGACCGCGATGGGGCTTCCAAAAGCGAAAACACACTGCATGTTGCGTGTGCGTGTGGAGGGAGGGAAGGATATTGTTGAGCTTGAAGCAACGGCCGCAGCGTGACACAACAGCCGCATGCAGGTCCCAACATGATCCCAACCACTGCCCCGAAGGCTCCTCTGCTTCACTATGTATACCCAACCTCAGCCCAAAACCCTTCCAACCCAACCCCTTCACCCGAGCCCCTCCACCCCCCTACAACACATTTTAACACATTGGGTATTCTCCTTTCCAGCACCCCCCCAACTACACCTCCCCCCCCGCCCCCCCCCAGTGTGTCTACCTGCTAGTAGCCAGGGAGGAGGGGCCGCTGGCAGCCGCCGCCGCAGCCCGGCAGCAGTACGGCATGACCACTCCGCCGTACATGCCGCACCTCTCGCTGCTGTACTCGGATGCGGAGCCGGCGGAGAGAGCCAAGGTGGGGGGGAACACCTATCCTCCTATCCTCCTCCCGCTCCCGCTGCCCCGAGTAACCCTACACACACTGTACCCGGCGCCCCCTCCCCCTCTGCCTCCCTGCCCCTAACCCGCGGTTTGGTACCGGTATCTCTTTGGCCTGCGAGCAGGTGGTGGACTCCGAGACCGGCCGGCTGTACGGCGAGGGTTCCGGGTACGACAGCCTGCTGGTGGAAACAGGGTTCGAGGTGGACCGGCTGGCGGTTTGGTACACGCCCACGGAGGACAGGAGCACGGGGGCGTGGAGCTGCGTGGGGGAGGTGGAGCTGGCGGGTGGGGAGTGAGGGGGTGGGGGTGAGGAGGGGGAGTGAGGAGGGGAGGCGGTGGTGAGGTGCGGTGTGAGGGCACGAGGGGGGGCACGACACTCCGTTGAGTTACAGTATGGTTGGAGAGAGAGGTTGGAATTGATGATGGTGTTGGTGAGATGATGGGATGAGATGAGATGCGGCTGTGCAGCACGCAGGGAGGAGAGAGCGGTGTGCAGACAGCCCCTGTAACCCGGTGGAAGCCTTTCGGGGGCCGTACATGGATCGTGCGACCGTGCATGTGTGAGGAGGCGTTGGGTCCGTATACGGCAGGAGGGGTGTGCGTTAGGACGCTTGTGGTGGTGCATGAGAAGGCCCATGAGGGCGCCTTTGTGAGAGCTGCCGCCCTCTGTTTCCTCCTGCTGTGCCAGGTCGCGGACCTGTGCTGGGCTGGGGAGCTTCCTGCCGGCATTGCCGCTGTACAATTCCTACACATTCCGTGCGCAAGGTTTGGATCAACGTACCGAACTCTCGTAGGTTACAATCCAGGATAGGATTGCAAAGTAGGTTGGTTCCTGCGGCCCCACATGGGGACACGGGTGCTCCCGAGCCCAAGTGCTCTCAGCGGCTCACCAACACCAACACCAGCAGCAGCAGCAGCAGCTCCCCACATACTTCAGACCTCACCGCAACACACAGCACAGCCGTACATGCGCACATGCCAGCATGTGTGAGTGTTCTTAACACATGTCAGCTGCAACATGTGAGCACCTGGACGCTATAGCCCCTACCACCACCACCCCATTGCTTTACCCTAACTACACCTATGCCCAGGGATTGCCTATCTGGTCGTAGGGTATGAGCGCCCGCCCCTTCATCAGTGACAGCACCACCTGCGGGTTGGAGCGAAGCAGTGCCAACACCTGCGGTGTGGGGGAACACGGGGGGGTTGTTGCAATACCTGAGCCGCATGTGATTGAATGAATGACCGTTACAATGGTTCGACACACATCCGCATATCCATGCATGTAACGCCAGCAACTAACGGTAACAAAACTATGCCCGCAACTTTCCGCGACTAGCACAATCCTCCCATTCTCTGAACCCCAAGGCCCCCCACCCCTCTTGACTCACATCCACCCCCGGCATGATGCGTTCCGCGTCCCCCAGTGCCGCCTCCAGGCACCCAACATCCAGCACCTCGGGGTAGGCGGCCACGAAGCTGTGTGGGGAGCGAGTGCGTGGGGTGGTGGTGGGAAAGGCGGAGATTGGAAAGGGGAACTAAGTACCCCGTTATTGAAGTTATTGAATGGAGCTGTAGCGTAGTACAGGTTTATTAAATTTGGTGTGTATGACCAGGTATGACGGTCACATGGTGTCCCGTCGGTACCCTCACGCCACTACCACACCCTCCCCCCCAAGCTTCCAGCCCCACTCCTGCTCCCCCCCATCTTCCTCTCCTCCCTGCTTCGCCGGTCCCCACCCCTTCCCCCACCTGCTTTTCCTTTTTTTGTTTCTATATGGTTTTAATTGGTCCAAGATTGTCCCCCCACCTGTCCACATGCACGCCCCCGGGCTCCAACAGCTCCCGCAACCGCACCGCAACCGCCCGCAGCCAGGCAGCAGCAGCGGTGTCACACCCGCCCTGCCCCTGCCCCTGCCCCTGCCCCTGCCCCTGCCCCTGCCCCTGCCCCTGCTCCTGCTCCCTCCTTTCCCCTTCCTGCCCCTGCTCTTGCTCCGGCTCCCTCCTCTCCCCTTCCTGCCCCATCCCCTCCACCAGCAGCTGCAGCCGGTTGCTAACCAGCTGCGAGATATCGGCCTGCAGTGCGACAGGGGGGGGGAGGCGCAAGGGGGAGTGGAGGGAGGAGTCGAGGGTGGCAGGGAGACCAAGGGGAGGGAAAGGGGGGATTAAAGACCACACCAAACCATAGGAAACGACATGTAGGAGGGAAAGGGGGGGAGGGACCCAACCCAACCCCCGGCTCCCACCTCTGGAAACGCCTCCCGCAGTGCCAGCAGCCGCTGCGCCACCCGGCCCGTGTCGGTCAGCAGTCGGACCAGCAGCGGGGCGGGGGCCTGCGGGCGAAGAAGCAGACCCAATGTGTTGAATGATAATTAGGAAACTAGGTGACGAGCCCCAAGCTAGAAGAGCTGACCATCCATAGCAGCTCATCACGGATCGGGTTCCGGACCCCCTCCCTCGCACCCCCCACCACCACCCCGCCCCCCCCCCAGCCCGCTCCCACCCGCGCCAGCCGCTCCCGCAGCCCCGGCAGCAGCACCGCCAGCTGCCCCAGCCGCTCCGCCACCTCGGACTCACTCAGCCCCAGCTCGCCCGCTGCAACGCGCTGAGGGAGGCGGGGCAGGGGCAGGGAGTGGATCAGGGAAGGAGGGATGGGCAGGGGGGGGCAGGGAAGGGGAGGAGTGACGGGCGGGGGGGCGGGCAGGGAAGGATGTTATCGTAGCAGCACAGCTGGAGGTGCGATGAGGGAGGCGGTGAGATGGAAGCGGAATGTGGAGATGAGGTGGGGAAGACGCGGTGCAGGAGGTGAGGGATACCTCTCCGCCCAATATGCGTCTTCTACCGTACAACCCGGCTACCTTGCCTCCCTGCCAACTCCGGTGCCTATTCCCCCCCCCACACACACTTTGGAATTTCTATTTCCCCCCCCCCCAACAGGCTGTTGCCGCCTTAGCCCTCACCCCCCTATAGTGTCTCCGAATGCGCTCACTGCATGAGTCGGGATATGGGATTGGGACTTAGTTGTTTGCATTTCTTATATAATTTTCCCCCCCTGCCCCTCCCCTCCCATAGTCGGGCTATGGGATTGGGACTCTAGTTGTTTGCATTTATCACATAATTCTTCCCCCCTGCCCCTCCCCTCCTCCCTCACCGTCACCAGCCGCCAGCGCAGGTCGTCACTCCATGTCACGTTGCGCTCGCTGACCTGCCAACCCAGCTGGGGGCAGGGTGGGAGCCAGCAGGGAGGGTGGTACAACACCGAGGAGTGAAGGGAGAGGGGTGGACGAGGGGGAAGCTGTGTAAACACTCCTAGGCCGGACATGTACTCGCCGTTACGATGTTACCTGCACCCTTCGTTCCTCACAGTGTCCTTGCCCCCCCTGGCTCGTACGGACACACTGTACACGTGTACAGACTGTAACTGTAACTGTTACCGTAACTATAACCCGCAGAGGAAGCTCTCCAGGAGAGGGCGGCATCCACCTCACACCGCATGTACGGCAGTGCGACTTATCCACACACCTATGACATGGGGCATGTGAAGCCCCTGCCATAGCAGTGTGGGGAGTGCGTGAAAGATATACTACGCCCCACGAAACAGGCGCCCGCCCCTACCTGCCAGGGAGCCTGGGAGGAGGGGCTGGAAGCCACCCCGGGTGGCTGCTGCTGCTGCTGCTGCTCTTCAGGTGGCTGCTGCTGCTGCTGCTGTAATTGGGTCAAGGGCTGTTGCGGGTCAAGGGCCGCTGGGAAGATGTGTTCCAGCGTAGCCTACGGAGGTGAGGAGGTCAAAGGGAAGGATGGGATATAAAGTTCGGGCTGCGTATCGTTGTGGTCAGGCCGTGAAATGGAGTCGCTACAACTGCGGAAATGTCGAGGGACTTGGATTCCAAGCGGCCAGGATGCGCTAAAGGACCGCCGACAGGTATCTGTCAGTAGTATTGCAGAAACGTACTACAGCTTTGCTGCAATTGGCAGTCGCCTGATTCGCATGCGTTCGACCCAACTTCCTGTTTCTGACCTTTTGCCCTTTCCCGTCGCCATCATTGTAAGGATAAGCAATATCGGTTGGAGTGCTTGAGCATCCATGTCCGATGGTGCTGCTATGGTCCCTCCGCCTTGCTCGTGAGCATGGAGCCAGAGATGGAAGTCTGTGACTGTATCGGGGCCGCCCTCTTCTTGTGAGGACGTAATTAGGGCATGCTAGCGGTGCTATTACTTGCGGCGCCTTCTTGCAAGCCTTCCAGCAGGATAAACCGTGTTTGGGTTCTGCTGAAAGCAGAGCGCTGGCTTGCATTGTAATGCGATGTGAACTTTTAGAAGCACGTAAACCAACAGGTGCATTGCTTCGAGCCGTCGCTTGCTGCTTTGAGTTTCGCTTGCAGGTGTCGTATGATCTGCGGTTGCAACCGCTTCAAACTACCGGCAACTAGCCCCATGGATAAGCTGCCCCAGCTCTCGTCCGCGCAGGCAGCAGATCGGACCGTTTTGTAGGGCAAGTAATATGCTGCGGGTATGGCATCCTGGAATTCTAATAAATTGTTAACGGCTGTCTGAGCAGTGCACGACGCTGCGGTGTAGAAATCTGACGTGCCTGCAGCGTAGCCCCAGCCCATGAGCCGGCCAGCTGAAGTAGCGTAACAGCTGAAGCAGCGTGTGCTCGACAGGTCCTCTTATTAAGCCAACGGGGTACCACATCGCTGGCTGTCAGGCCACCCCAGAACCTACCGTACGACAGGCTGTCTATGCCGGGCAGGTTTTACGGCGCGGGGGGGACCCTAGGTTGCTCATACACTTGCAGAATTGCATAAACGCATCTATTTCAAATACAAACCATGGCCAAGCGCCCCGTAGTTGTTACTGGTAAGTTGTTGCGCATTCATTAAGCATCCTCAGGAAAAAACACTAAACTGCCGCCGTCTTCCTATTGTACACTACCCAATCCACACTGGGAAATATCGAACCCCACACACGGGTATACAATTGCCGTACACACTACTCCCACCACCACCGGCACCTAAATGACTCTCTATCTCAAATCCTAAAAGCGAAACTATTGGTCCGAGTCAACACAAGAATCAAAATGCGTTCCTCCATGGTTCACGATGAGGGAAATGATGATGCGGAGAGGGCACTAGAAAAGGGCCTGCACGGATTGCGGCCGCACAAATTCCACGAATAGACAGACGTTGCACGCCGCCAGGCCAAGGTTATTTAGTCGACATACCGAAGTTTCTAAGGGACAACGCACCCGGGCAAAGGGTACGTTCAAGAAAGAAGACCAAAAGGACGTTTTCACGCGGCAAGGGCACTCTAAAATGGCCCCAAATCAAACGACGCCGCCTTGCTCACGTACACACACACACACACCAGTGTCACACAACATTACAAGGAACAATACACTTTAGCCAGAAGGTTAATAGGTCGTTCTCATAACCACCATTCCCACAGCCAGCAAGTCAAGCTCGCAACACACGGCAGCAGCACTCGTACCGCGACTCTTTTAGCGGGTAGAAGAAGAGTGACTGCTCGGTGCCGCCCCAGCCGTCCCTCCACACGGCCTCGCAATGTTGGGCAGGTTGCTGCCACCAGTCGCAAACATTACCTTGTGTCACCAGCGCTGTCAAGGCGGCCAAATTCCTTCCACGTTGACAACCCCATGGACAATAACATTTGAATCCAAATATTTGCACAAAACGGGAGGGAACAAATTTACTTTTTTACTTCCTTGAGGGCACACACTGAAGGAAAGCGCGCACGCGAGCGGCCTGCCAGCAACGTACAGACAGCCGCCCGGGCGCAGCTTAAAAAGGTCGCTACAGCGCTTCCCGCAAACGCACATGGAGACGCAGGGCGCACCATCCCACCCCTACCGACAACACACCACATGCGACCAGCACGATCCAAACAACACGGCCGGAACGCCACCGCCCCCTGGCGCTACTCCGGCTCCTCCTCCTCCACCTCCTCTTCACATGACCTCTCCGTTCTTTGTAGTGGACTGCACGTGGGGAGCGGCGGCGGCATGTGAAGCACACCCCCCATCTGAACTGCTCTTTTAGTTAACGTAACAGCCACGGAGCAGCAAAGATGCATGACCTTGGCTGAGGGGGACCCGCACGGCACGGCACGAACGAAGGGGTTCTGCCAAACAGCAAATGAAGTTTTGGACGGAGCCGCTCGCTCATGGCGTCCGCCTACCGGCTTGTAAACACCTAAGGCTACCGGGAAATGTTTACCAAAAATGCCACGGCAAAGGCCGTGCACGTAACGCGTACCTGGAATCTTGAGCTCCAAAATGTAAAGGAACCGGATCAGGAATGAAACAGGAACCGCTTTCTCCCATTCCCGCGATGCGGAATATCAGCAGCCCTCAAAAGACCGCCCATTCATAGCCGGCCGCGGAAGGGTGCGGGCAAGGCATTCCTAACACGACCAAGACACACAGAGAGCGCCACAAGTAAGAAGGCATCAAACCATACCATCATACGAAGCACCCATGCCTTCGCCTCCACAGGTGGCCAAACACGACCGTCCCAGCCCAACAAGAGGAAGCTGCTACCACCTCACAGCATGCTGTACGGCGTATGCCCGCTATCCCGCAATCCTCTTGTTCACCTCCTCAAGCCCACCAGCTGCTTCTCTAATGGTTGCGGGAAGGCATTCCATATCGTAAACGCTGCCGCCGAGCTTCAACATTGAGACCCGCGTCCGAAATTGGGCTAAGTACCATGAACCGCAGACGCAAGCCACCCCTAATCCAACACTTCCTCATCATCATCCATCCTTACGTCCAGAACCATGCCCCTGCCATGGCATTGCCGGCAATTTTGCACCATCAAATGCATCTCACCAGCGGCAGCATGCCGCAGCGTTGCACCAACCAAACAAACCAACCCCACAGCGCAGAAAAGGCAGTTGCCCAGCGAGCTGGCGCGCTAAGAGCAATAACAAACAGCCACACCAACATAACCCCAGCCGTAGGAACACAGCGGCGGCGAAGCAAGAGGCTTACATCGCGCGCTCACCCCAGCTTACCAGTGGCGGCATCCCGGCAGCACCAGCAGCACCTGCGAGCGCGTACAGCCCATTCACGTGCTGCGGCTGCGGTGTTTGCGGCGTGAAGACCCCTTGCGCATTAAGCGGCAGGATGTAGGGTGTGTGGTTGACGGGCTGCGACACGACGAGCGCTGCGGCTGCCGCAGCGGTGGGTGATATCTGCGGCGAGTACTGCAGGTGCTGCGGTTGGGGGGGCTGCTGCGGGGGCTGCATCTGCCGCTGTGGTTGCTGATGGGGCTGCTGCAACGCCGGCGGTAGCTGCTGCGCTACGCCGTACGGGACGTAAGGTGGCGGCGCTGGTGACGGCTGGAACGGCTGCAAAACCCGGTGTGGTAGGGGAGGCTGCTGCGGCGGCTGGGCGCACGGCGCGAGTAAGGGCGAATGAAGCGGCGCGGCTTGCATAGGATGCACGACATGCAAAGGCTGTCTTGCCAAGAGCGGAGGCGGCGGCGGTGGCGGCGCATGTAGCATCTGCGGTACTGTCGGGGGCGCCACTGGGCTGCGAACCGGCGCCTGCTGAGCTGCCGGCCCCGGAGGTGCGATGGGCAGAAGCGGCGGCAGCGGCAAGCGCCACTGCGGCAGCCCCGCAACACCAACACCACCTCCATTCCCGCCGCCAGCATTTGCCGCTACCACACCGTTGGCACCTGGGGCCGTTACCTCGCCAGCCCCACCGCTGCCATCACCCACGTCCGTCGCTCCCACAACCGTTCCCGTACTCTCCAGCAGCGCTGCTGCAGCCGCAGCCGCCGCCGCTGCGGCGCTGATGCTGCTCGCGTTGGACGCCTGGCGCTCCAGCCGCAGGATCTCCTGCAGCTGCATGGCGAGCTCCTGGAAGCTGGGGCGGTTGACGGGGCTGGGGTCCATGCAGGTCTCCACCAGGGAGCGCCACTCGGGCTCGCAGGAGGGCGGGATGGCGAGGTGCAAGTTGCCATGCAGCAGCCCCGACAGGATTTCCTGTGCGGTCAGGTGCGCAAAGGGCGCCTCGCCTGTGAGCATCTCCCACATGACCACACCCATGGAGTACACGTCCACCTTCTCCGAGATGTTGCCGCTGTTGGAGACGAGCTCGTACGCCATGTACGGCAGTGTGCCGCGCAGGTCGCGACAGGACACGTAGTTGCTCAGCTTGTGCTTGCTGAGGCCGAAATCCGCGACCTGCGAAAAGCAAGAGAGCGGGAAGGCGCAAGAGCAATCGCCATCATCAAGTTGGAGTACACGTATGATGTATCATGGCTGCCAACAGGTCATGCACAAGGTGAGTCGCGGACTGCTTCCCCTTAACGCGCCCCAGCTTTCCTCCCGTACGGCACCGGCACACACCTTGATGACCATGCTGTCCCCCTCTCCGTCCACCAGCAGGTTGTCCGGCTTGAGGTCAAAGTGCACCACGGCGGGAGACTGCTCGTGCAGGTAGGCCATGCCCAGAGACGCCTGTGGCGAGAGCGGGATAAAAACAGTAAGGAAGGATGCAAGGAAGCGAGGAGAAAAGCGCGGAAAAGACGCGAGGAAGCGAGTGCACAGGAAGAGGTTATGCGGGCGCAAACTGCCCAAAACCACCGCGTTCCCGTCGCAAACCAGGAGCACAACACGAGGGCTAACAAGGTGCAGTCTACTTCAGCTCCCACATCCCTTGCGCCCACCTGGAGCGCAATCATGGCCCTCTGCCGCAACGACAGCCGCCGGCCGTTGAGCGACCGCAGGTACTGCCCCAAGCTGCCGTTCCTCACAAACTCCGTTATGATGCCGCCAATCAAACCCGTTGGCGAGCCCGCACCGCTAGCCGGTCCGCCGCCATTGCCGCCGCCAGACCCGCCCCCACCACTGCCGCCGCCTCCGCCGGCCCCGCCGCCGAGGCCACCTCCGCCCAGCCCGCCGGGCGTGTCGGGCGAGTCCATGACAAGGCCATACATGCGGATGATGTTGGGGTGGTTGAGCTTGGCAAGTGTCTCCGCCTCCCGCTGGAAGGACTCGGAGTACTTGGCGAAGCGCTCCCGCTGCGGATTTGGCAGGGCGCGAGGGTAAAGACGTTAGGGTGTTGCTGTATGATGGCGACTCATGGATGCATGCGCGGGGCGGGGCTGCGTTGTCTAAGCAAGCAATGTAAGGCACGCCAAAGTTACTTATTAAATGCTATCAACCCAGAGGCTACCCTCATGGAAGCGCAATCCGGATGAACCCAGATGCCGCGCACGGCGCGTGGAGAGGTAAGCCTAGCACATCACATGCATGCGCTACCGCACCTCCATGCACACGGAGCAACAACCTACCTTGAGCCATTTGATCGCCACGATGCCGTACGGAAACACTTGCGCTTGGGACACCTCGCCAAACCTGCATTGCAAAGCGAAAGGGCCAAGAAGCGCATTACAGGAAACCGCTGGTAAAACCAAAGCCTTCCTCTCCCCTTGCCGCCAACACCCGTTTGAACCGTTCATCGTCCCGTCCGCCCCTACTTACGCGCCCTCGCCAATCTTTGCGATGATAGACACCTCCGACTTGCGCTTCTTCACAACCCCCTTGAGCGGGTGGCTGTGGTGTCCCGCGGCCGCGCTCAGGCTGTCCATGCCGTCCAGCCCCAGCAGTCCCAGCCCCGTGCGCAGCAGCGGATCCAGCGGATCCAACGGCGACACCCGGCCGCCGGCCCCACGACCTCCTCGGCCGCCGCCATCGCCGTCATCATCGCCGCTGTCGTGGTTACCGCCCGGATCATGCAAGGAGCTCTGCTGCTGCGTGCCAAACTCCTGGGTGATGCACAACCGGCTGTCGCCGGCGAGCATGTCCTCAGGACCGCCAGCGCCCGGAAAGCCACCACCACCGCCGTGCGCACCGACCCCTGGGCCAGCGTCGGCATGAGCGCCAGGGTGTGGCCAGCGTGCTGGGCCGCCAACGCCGGCTACAAGGCGTCGCAGCCCGACATTGTCAGCCGCGCCGCCGCCTGCCCGCCCGCCGCCGACACTGCAGCCTCCTCCATGCGTGCCGTTCAAGGAGCCGTCATCGCCAAAGATGGTGATGCGCGACGGAAGGAAGGGTCCGGCACCTGCGGCGCCACGGCTCTCATCACGGCTGCTTTCACCAAAGGCGCTGATGTGGCGCGGCAGCAGGTCGACAGCAGCCGGCAGCCGCGTGTGCACGCCGCCGCCGGCAGCCCCACGAGCGCCGCTGGCAGCACCATTAGGGCCTCCGCCATCGGCAGCTGCGAACGCGCCGCCGTACTGCTCGCCCAGCTGGTCGCCGTACGCCGCCAAGTCAGCTGCACGAGGCATTGCGCGGACGGCACCATCGCTAGCGGCGCTGGCAAGGTCGCGACCGCTGCCGTCCGTGATGCGCATACCGCACAGGCCAGTCCCGGCGACGATTGGATCATCGTACTGCTCACTGTACGGGTCTTCAAGTTGCTCGTCACAATAGAACCCCAAATACGAACCTGTTACCCCCCGCTGCTGCTGTCGATTGTCCTGCTCCTGCTGCTGCACTATTTTCTGCTGCTGCTCCTGCTGTGGCTGCACTAACTGCTTCTCCTGCTGTTGTCCTACCCGCTTCTCCCAAACCAGCTCCGGGTGCTGCCGTTCCTCCTGCGCCGAGCGAGGGCGATGTGCGGCCCCGCGTCCTAATCCTTGCCAGCCGTCAGGCAGTTGCCATTGCTGCTGTTCCTGCTCTCGTCCCTGAAAGCCGCCGTCTAGGTTCGCAGCTTCCTCCTCCTCATACAGCTGTTCCTCATACGGCTGCTCCGAATGGGCATAATCATGTTCGTTGCAACCCGTCTGGTTGTAAGCCAGTTCCAGCGCCGCGTCGGCTTCCTCAAACAAGTAAGCGTCCACCTCTGCCCCCTCTGCTTCTGCCTCGGCAGCGCCTCCACGCCGGGCGTTACGCATAATCGTCTCCGCCGCCAACGCCGCTGCCGCCGCCTCCACCCCGCGCCCCTGCCTGGAGCCACCAAACCGCTCGCCATTGCTGCCGCCGCTGCCGGCGGCAGCGGCGTCGACCCCGTCAGCCTGTGCTGCCAGCAAAGCCTCCGCGCGCTGACCAAACGCATGCCCGTGCCAGCCAGCCGACGGTCTTCTACTGCCAAAGCCCGCATTGAACAGCATGTTACTCGGCCCGCCGGCGACTGCTCCAAGAGCAGCTGGCAACATGTGAGCGGTCGTCCTGCCGCTGGCAAAGCTGTTCACGCTCATGCTGACGTTGTGGTATGCTGCTCCTGAGGCAGCAGCCGCCATGGCAGCGCTGTACGTAGCAAGGATAAGGCAGGGGTTAGATGACCACCACGGAAAGAGCTTGCAAGTCCAGGGCCTAGCGCACACCAAGACACCGGTCACCCGAGCGCCCCACCCACCCATTGAGAAGCTCCGCGTCAGAGGACGGCAGAGCTGACGGCACGCTGCTTTCCGTCACCTCCTGCTCGTCCGGATCACCCCAATCGCTCCAGTTTGGTCCACATTCCTCAGGATCGCAGCTGTTGCACAGAGGTCACGGGGAGCGCGATTTTAAAGCCCGGCTGAAGGCTACCGACAAGGACGGCGTGTGCTCATGCTAGAAGAAGCCAGCAAGTGGAACCCCAACCGAGCACACATGCAGTTCCACCCCCTTACATTGGCGAGTGTGGAGTGTGGAGCCGCGTACAAGGTTAAAAATAGCACACACGGAGCCAAAGGCATTCACATGATCGTTGGAGCAGTTCGGACAGGTTGCACAATTGATTGTGCCGGAAGGCCTACCTTGACTGCAGCTCTCCATCGACGCCATCGTCCATCAGCTCATCCTCATCATCCAGCTCCTCCTCCAGGTCCTGAACCTCACGCTCGAAAATGATGGCCCGGAACACGAACACCTTAATGCGCACAGTTTTGACTGGCGTGCTAGGCTTCTGGAGCGCGTTAACGTACTCATCTCGCATTTCCTGCAATTTCCGGGGTACTTTTATAGTTCAGTCTATAGTGAAGGCACGAAGTCAACGTTTGAAGAGCATCCCGAAATGGAAGCGCAACAAGCCAGGCAATTATGAATTTTCGCCAGAAGCGGCCATGCAGAGATAGACATACAGAAGAAGCAAACGCCCTGTGAAGCCTTCAGCAGGTACGCCCTGGCGGCGGCCAATTCTGGCGGGCTGAAAGGGAGCACGCACCAGCAGGTCGTCATCGCCCTGAACTTGCACCAGGTTATCTGGATCAATCTCGTCACCAGGGCACAAGTACTTGAAGCTGACCGTGTCGCCAAACTTGTCGTTTAGGCGCTTGCTGACCTCGGCGTATTTGCTGTCAAAGGGAAAGCTTTCATTGTACACCTCGCCACCAACGTAGCGCCACTGACGTGGTCCATCCTGTGGAAGGAGAACGGAGACACGTAAGCTAGCTGCTGCACAGTTGGTCGAGAATGTTGTTTAAACGCACCTGCGCAAAGGTGCCGCCGAAGTGCAGGCGTACTCTAATGCGCGGCTTGTCCTCCTCAGCTGGAGATGGAACCCCAGGGCCTTCTGATGTGAGCGCGGCCATACTGTTCTTATAAGCGAAGGTTAGGTCGGACCATTCTCTTTGGGAGGGGCGCGGGGCCGCACTAGGCGCGGCCTGCCGACGCCTGGGGCATGGAGGGGTGGGTTGAGGTGTGTTGCCCCATAAAAGGCTCACACAGCCCAACCCTGGGCAGCTGAGGCCCCGCCGGCGCGCAAACTCAGTCTAGGCGTCCTCGAATTTGTGCGTGCAAGATCCGGAAAAAATGTTGGAGTAGGTTAGTTGCAGTTTTATTACTATGACAAGCCGTTGGCTTTCCGCTCCGGCAAAGCCGGGCCAGCGCTCAATAGTACGGCAAACTGTCTCTTGGTGTCATAAGTTCCTAGACGCTGAGCCAGTTTTGGTAAATCATGAAGATAAAGTTATGCATTTGCGCCCTTCCATAGATCCCAGGACTCAGCGGTCGCACACTTGGCTCACTCTGTGGGCAATACCTGGGACTTCCTTACGCTCTGCTTCGTCAGTGTTATACTCGAGAACTCGCTTCCAGAGAAACTGGTTGACATGCTGCGTGTTCAAGGCTTAAGAAGCCCTGTAAAAATGCATAACATGTTGCGCTTGACTCAGCTTGACAACATGAAGGTCATGATGAATGGGTCTTATGGAGGCGATATGCCCCCAATCGGACATATATGTAGACGCCTGACCGCGCGTGGGTTGCTTGCTGGATGCCGTGGTACTGGTCCAAGCCATCAATGCAACAGCCCAACCTGCTTAGCAGGACTTGCAGTTAGCCTGCCGTCGCGTGCCAAATTCTGTGTTACGAATATGCGCTTTATCCAACAAAATTATGCATTGTGACCCTATACTGCAACCCCTAAGGGTAGATACAATCGTCCGTAGGGCTCGCACCCTTAACACCTGCACCTTAACGCCTGGACTTCACGGTAGTCAGATGTCCTTGGCCCCCCTGGCTCGTACGGCACGCTCGACACGCGTACAGACTGTCGCTGTAACTGGTAGTCAACTATAGATTTTACGCAAAGTGATTGCCGCTACGCCTCCGATCCCTAGGCCGGTTTTAGCACCACCTGGCGGCCGTTCATGTGGAGGGGTAAGCCTCATCACCCTGCCATGAGGAGCCCGCACGCCAGCTGGCAAACAAGGGGCGCCCCAGAACAGAGAGATACCGGTAGACGCCCTTTCCAAGACGGCAATGCACGGCTAGTTTCTTGAGTTCCGTGTGCTGCGTCGGCCACCACGGTCCGCGTTGCCCTCGGTCTCGTACGGCATGCGTTCCTCGTTTCCCACACCGCACATCCCCTGTAGCATGGCCACGATGTGTAGTATCACACTTTTCCCCTCTCCAACCCTGTCGTCAAGGAGCTTCAGATGGCTGGTACCGGCCATCTCCGGAACAGCAATTAAAGCCGGCCGACAAGCCATCACCGCTTCAAAACCAGACCACTGCCTAGATGCCGTACACGATGCCTAGTAAAATACCCAGCAACCATGCCTATGTATGCAGGGGCCTGCCAGGTGCAAACCTGCATCGCTGTGCAGCGTGTTTATGTAGTTTTGTAATGCTTAGGTTCGTGTGCCGTTTAGGCCTGGGCCCTTCTGGGGCTGTAGCTGTCATCCGTGTCCTCCGCTTTTTCCACGCTGACCTCTTGGGCTGACTTTTGGCGGGGAGTGGACGCCGCTTGCCTGCTGCTGCAGCAATCTTTACGACAGCCGCTGCTGCCGTACCGACGGGATATACACGTCTCCTCCTACCGGTGCTGCCGAATGGTTTCCTTTTGATGCAAATCTGCCGTACAGCTGAGTCCCACACGTGCACGTGGCTGGTAAGCACAGTCATGCCTCCTTGTGAATGTAGCATTTGTTAGACTAGAAGCTGTAAGGAGCGGCAGAAGCACCGTAAGGCACGACGGGAGGCGGCGGTGGCAGCAGTGGTATCAGGCTGGGCTTCATTCAACTGGATCAGCCCGAGACCTGAGGCATATTTGTACTTGTGCATGTGGACAATTGCTGGGCTAGTGCAGCGGCCACCGTGCTGCATGTGCGTCATGGCAGCACCATGCCACCGTCCTTTGTCCATTGCATATCGTACGCCTCCACAGCTTCCCCTGCCGTACGCTGCCATGTGTACGTACATTCTCGTGTCGCCTTTGGTGCCAATTGCGCTGAACCCACACTCCACACTTCTAGCACTCCTCCCTTTCTAGGCTTCTCCTTGTTGTGTAATTATACCTTCGCAGTTACCGGTATACAACTTGTGGACTTGCGTAAGAACAACGTTTTTGACACCACAAAACTATTTCCTGGCATGTAGATACTGCTGACACAGCCATTTGGCTAAGGTGTAGCCGCCATGTATTCGCGCCCATCGCGGAATTTCCGCAAGCCTAGCATAGTAATTCGCACAAATGAGCCGGACTACATGGTATTTGAGCTTAAGAATACAGATGTCAGTGCTGCAAACGCCTTGCGGCGTGTCATGATAGCTGAAGTGCCGACCATCGCCATCGATCTGGTGGAGATGGAAAACAACACAACTGTACTTAATGACGAGTTCCTGGCGCATCGGCTGGGACTGTTGCCGCTTGTATCCACCGAAGCGGTTGCCTGGAAGCGGCCATTTGAATGGTCGAGCGACGCAGACATGATAGAAACGGCGTTTGCTCTGGACGTCAATTGCACAGTGGACGGTGTCATGGATGTAACCAGCAACGACCTGATTCCCTTGAATCCGGAGCACCGTGTCATCCCCGTCAACTACCAGCTTGACGAGAAGCCCATCGTCATTTGCAAAATGCGCCGCGGGCAGCAGCTGAAGCTTGTGGCACGGGCACGGAAAGGCATTGGCAAGGACCATGCCAAGTTCATCCCCGTCGCTACCGCGGTCTTCCAGTATAAGCCGCAGATTACGCTGTCCCACAGCGCCATGGCGGAGATGACGGACGATGAGAAGCAGGCCTTTGTGAACAGCGACCCCTCGAAGACCTTCAAGTTCAATCCCATCACGCGCATGGTGGGGCAGCCGGGGTGGGGGCAGCCGGGGGGGAGGGAGCATGTTTGCAGCTGTTGGAATTGGGTCTAGCAGGGATCTGGGCTGACGTGTGATGCCAACCAAGCATGCTTGCCAAACGAACACCAAGGGTTTGCGAGGGAGCCGTACTGTTAACGGGTTGTCGCGTCGCAAGGCTGTCCAGGTACGTCATCCTGCTTGGATGGGCACTGTAAGCTTCCCACACCTGGGCCTACCCTGGATCTCAGAGTACCATAGGGGCGCTTTAGGGGAAAGAAGCACACTGACGAGCCCTTGCCGCCCGTGTCTCCCCGCACATCGTTCTCCCCAACCCTTCTCCTTCCCGTCCCTTCCCTCCCTCCCCTCCCTTCCCTCCCCTCCCCTCCCCTCCCTTCCCTTCCCCTCCCTTCCCTTCCCTTCCCTTCCCTCCCCTCCCGCTAACCCAGATCGAGGTGGACAACGAGGAGTCGTACATGTACGACGAGGAGTGCCTGGTGAAGGCGCGGGAGCTGGGCCGACCCGACCTGGTCACTATCACGCAGAAGCAGGTGGGGGGGGGAGGGTGGGGTTAGCGGGGGGTAGGTTAGACTAGGCAAACTGAGCCGCCAGGAAACGCAGAGCGTGACCTTCCTCCATCCGTGCAGCCCTGCCATTCCCACTCACCCCCGCCACCCTCACCCCCCACCTCCTTCGGGACATGGGATTGGGACTCCGGTTGCCCCACTTCTCAACTACCTTGCCCCCTCCCAACAGGACCACTTCATCTTCCGCGTGGAGGGCACTGGGGTGCTGCGTGTGGCGGACGTTGTACGGCAGGTGGGAGTGGAGGAGAAGAATTCCCAATCTGTTTGATGTGCGAGGGGAGGGCGCGAAGGAGGGCGGGGTAAAGCGGAGGGAACTGACGAGCTGTGACAAACTGAGGGGCGGGGAGAAGGGTGGGAGGGCGGGACGTGCACAGGCGGTGTTCCGTGCACAGGGTCAGGACCGGCGGGAGTCGGCCGGGGGGTGAGAGCGAGGTGGTGGGCGGGTCCAGCAGAGCCGGGTCCCACTTGCCTTGCCCTGACTTACGGTTCATGTCGTACGGGTTGGTGTGTTTTGCTCTGCCCGCCCTCCCCCCTTCTTACTATTTTACCCCTTCTTCTCCGACCCCCCTCTTCCTCTTCTTCACCCGCTCAGGGCATTGAGATCCTGCACAAGAAGTGCATGGATCTGGAGGCGGGCGTGCAGGAGGCGCTAGCGGTGGCCAAGGGGCAGCCGCTGCCCGTGTCGGCGGGCGGCGCGGGGGGCATGGGCGGCATGGGCATGATGGGGGAGGGGGACGGCATGATGGGGGGCGGGGGCATGGGGCCAGGAGGGGGGCCGGGCGGGATGGACATGGGGGAGCCGGGAGGAGGCGGAGGGTGGGGCATGGATGGAGGCATGGGCGGCGGGGGTGCGCCGTGGGGGATGTGAGGGTTAGGGTGTGTGCGGGTTGTAGGGGGATGTGGTGTGGGGATGGGAGCGCGCGGGGCGGTGTGTGACCTGCGGGGTTTGGTGGAGAGATAGGAATGAAGAGAACAAAGGACAGCAACACTGCGTGGGAACGCTGTGTTGCTCCGCTCGTTGACGTGATGGTTGGGTAGATCAAGCGGTTGACCCATGGGTCATCTCCGTTAGCACCGTCTGGTATAACAGGTTTTCCAAATGCCGGCGGCGCTTTGTTTGCTGCAGCACGGTTGTTCCCATGGCGGCATCTGGTTAAATGGTAACATAGCAGCCTCCACAGGACCACCAGAGGACTGTGGACGACCATGCACCGTGCACGATGCCACAGCGCTGGTGATTATCTACGTCTCAGATGGTAGGCTCTGGGGACAGGGCATTGGTCGGGTGGCTTCTTTGGCCTCCTCTCGATGTCCTTGTCGGCACAGTCCCAACGGCAACATATGGCACCCCGCCTCCTTCCCGAGGTGTTGTTGGGTTAGGTGGTGGGGTATGTTGGCGGCACCAGGTTGCGGGTGTTGGTCCTCACCGCACCAAGGTCGCCCCAATTGGAACCGGGGCTTATGTGTGGGGGCTGTAATCGGACTCGCTCGCGGTGTGCCAGACGTAGCCTGGACTGAAGAGCATGAGGAGGGCCCCAGCCTTGGAGGCGCTTGGGGCCGGGAGGAATCAGCGAGGCCTTGGCAGCAGTGGTGGCTGTACGGCAGCCTATGAAGCAGAGCCATGCCGCGTTGGTGGTTTTATTAGTTTATTAGTTTATTAGTTTATTAGTATATTGGCTGTGCGAGGTGGCGCGGGTGTGCGCTCTATCGCTGCACTGCATAGCTTGCCTTGCTACCTAACCGACTAACCCCCCCGCAACACCTTCTATCCCTGCTAAATACCTTCGCATCCCCCTTCACATTTCCTACGTGTACCATAAATTAGCATTCTTACCCCTTCAACTTCACACAAGTACAACTTTAGGTACCACAACGTGTTTACCGTGTCATTAGCAACGTGTAAGCTTTACAGACTTGAAATACAGTGCACATAAGTAAATAACGCACAGCTGCTACGGAAGACTGCTTTGACACATCGCGATCTTTATCTGACTCCTCCAAGCTCCGGCTTCTTCCAGTCGCTCGAGTCCAGTCCTGTGGCAGAACTTTTCTACGCTTAGCGGGCCTCGTGTCGCACGCAGGCCTCTTGCGGCAGAGGTGCAAGAAGGTGCGCCAGCGACACCTAGCCTGACTGATATCTTGTTTGAAGCGCTAACAATTTACGTTTTCCTACAGAATATAAGATGGACCCTCAGCAGGTCATCAAGGACGTCGCCGGCCCGCTGAGCATCGTGGGCGCTAGCTTCGTGGTTCGCGATGGCTTCGTAAAAGCTGCGGGTGTGCTGGGCTCGCATATCGAGACCGGTCTGAAGGGCCACATGGCGAGCGAAGGCGCTGGGCAGCACCTACTTGATACCGGTCTGGAGCATTTGAGCAATGCGGTCAAGGATAGAAAGCCGTTCTTCTCGCTACTGTCTTTCGGGCGGTGAGCGGTGTCCGTGCAGCACCTTCAGGTGGCACGCAGTAGCAGGGGCCACGTTTTGTCGGCGGGGTCGGCTTGCAACCTGAAGAGCTTCGAGGGGGTAGCGCAGGCTGTCCAGGCACGGTGGGTTGCCGACACCGGCGACAACAGCAGCGCCGGAGGCGGGAGCGGTGCTGGACGCAGGAAGTGCACCCACTACATCCGCACCGGCGGGGCTGGCCGCGGTGGGAGCGCCGGCGGTTGAGCGCGGCGCCGCTGTCAACGAGAAGGTGTTGGGCAAGCGCAAGGAGCTGCCAGGCCAGGTATGTGCAAGATGGCCGTTACACGGCCCACATTGCGCACCGCTGTCCCGCGTTTTGTACGTTTGCATGTCGTGTCCGTGCGTCTGCATACCAACCGCAAGCTGCCCACTAATAATGCTACAATGTGCCTCGCCTGCAGCCCACCGGCACCTACGGCCAGCCTACGGTGTACGTGTCCGGCGTGGCAGCGGCGGGGCTGCTGAGCTACTACCAGGGGCCGCCGGCGGCGGCGGCCGTCAAGAGGCGGCGCAAGGCGGGCGGCGCGCTGTACAACTTCGACCTGAACGATATGACCGACCAGTCGGAGGTGGACCTGTGGACGGCGGTGGTCACCATCCTGCGGGAGGTGCAGACCAGGCGCGGCAACACGCCGCCTGCCAAGCAGCAGTCGCTGCAACGGCGCATCAGCACTGCCTACCACATCACGCACGCCTACTTCCACAACACGCCCGTGGTGGAGGGCTCGCTGGCGGCGGGCGGCGTGGCGGTGTCAGCGGCGGTTGTGGGCGGGGCGACTTTCGCATTCTCAAGAGTCCCCCTTGTAACTTTCGCATTCTCAAGATTGGGTCTCTTGTACGGCTTTCAGGCTTTCAGGAGCTCCGGTCCCTCTTGTAACTTTCGATACAGATACAGATAGTGTCACTAATTTGCAAGGCTTCGCTCGCTGAAAAGCACCAGTCATAACCTTTACATATACTGATGTTTGTAGGATAAGGAATGGTGCTGTCCTGGCTACTCCCGTCCTGGGTAGCCGTACATTTTCGCTGGCGGTGAACGGGGGGGGATAGCGGCGGTCATGCGGCTGTGGGTCAAGTCAGTCTCGCCTTGACTCTAATGAGTAATTAGCGCTGGGTTGGAACACGCTAAAGGGCATTTGGTGCTAAAGGGCATTTGGTGCTGTTACGTTGTGCGTCTGTAAAGCCTGCACGTTGCTAGTTATGCATGAAGCACGTTGTGGTACCTAAAGCTGTGCTCGTGTGAAGTTGTAGGTGTAGAAAGCGGTGAAAAAGGGATGGTTGGGAATTGTGAAGGGGTATGTGCAGCTATTTTACAGGGTGCGAAGGAGTTGTGACGGGGTTAGCCGGTTATCGATTGTATCGACTAGGGATTCGGGCTTCAGTCAAGCCAGAGCCCGTCTCGACTCTATTGAGTAATTAGCGCTGAGTTGGGACACGCTAAAGGGCCTTTGGTACGTTTACGTTGTCAGTCTGTAAAGCTTACACGTTGCTAATGACACGGTAAACACGTTGTGGTACCTAAAGTTGTACTTGTGTGAAGTTGAAGGGGTAAGAATGCTAATTTATGGTACGCGTAGGAAATGTGAAGGGGGATGCGAAGGTATTTTACAGGGATAGAAGGTGTTGCGGGGGGGTTAGTCGGTTAGGTCTTGCTTGCTGTTGGTTTAACGGTAGCAATCCGTACTGCCTTTTCCGTGTGCTCCGATGCGATGCTAGTGTGCATGTCCGGACAAGGTCCCTATAAACTGCCGGACAAGAGAGGCTTCAGCAGGCATGCATAAGCCCTTACAAGTGCAGGGGGGTTCGTCAGTCCAGAGGCCATGTACCGGCAGCAAGCTTAGTTGGGAAGAAGCGCCAGTGCGCAGAAGAGTCTGACTTGTCAGGGCAACGCAAGATGCCAACAAGCAAGGTTGTCTTGTCCGCGTCTGGACTGGTCTGGGGTCCCGAAACGACGACACAGGGCTCATGCAAGGCGGTTGCAACTTGCAAAGTACCCAAGTCTAGAAAATACGTTTAGCAGGTCACGTTAAATGGCATGTAGTCGCACAACGCGAAGCATAAGTGAACCCAGTTATATTACCGGTACCGGTAACCGCCCAGTGCAACCGAACGGCATCGGAAACCCCCTAAGAAACCAACTCGCCCTGTAGCGACCCCTCACAGCCGTCCAACAAAGCCTCCATCCCTGTAACAGTCAGTCTCCTCAAACTACAAAACCTTGCTCATGGGTACGGTATATCCCATGCAAGCTGTCTTAGACATCATGCCAAGGGGGACGTTCCAGGTTATTCCAAGCGGCATGTCCAGGCCATCCCAAGCGTGTCATGACCAGGTCGTAACCTCCTGCTTCCACTTTCTTATGCGAACACGGCAAGAACAAAAGTTCAAACTGGCCGTGCCCATAGGGCGGGTAGCCTCTCATATACTTGCACATTGCCCGCCTGCCTGCGATCTTAAAAACGATTACACAACGGCGCAGACCCAAGCATATCAACGCCGCAAACCCAATGTACGCGCAGAGCGCAAACAACCAACGCCCATGGATACGGTATTGGTCTTTGTGGGATCGCGTATGGGGCACACTGATACCGGTAGGCTTTCAGGTACCCATGCCGGCTGCTTCATGCTACTACACTATGGTAGGTACGCAACCAAAAGGGCCCCTCAGGCAAGGGGCCCCGGACTTCCAACTTGCCTGGATCCTGCTCTCAGTCACCACTTCTTTCATTCAGCTCCCACCGGCCGACACGCGACGGCAAACCGCCGCTCCTCCTCAAAACCCGCCACACATCCCTCCAACACCCTGGCCACCCCAGCGAGACACTCCTCCTTCACCACGACGTACTTGCTCTAAGTCAAATTCCCTCGACAAGGGGCCGGGATAAGCACCCCGAAACGTCTCCGGAACACCACCCAACGACCCAAGCTTCATACAAAGTACGTCAGGGACCGTGAGCCCGCACCGTGAGCCCCCACCGTGGTCTTGCTATTGTTGTTGTTGGTGCTCTTGTGGGTTGATCATCACCGCTGCTTTTGGAGCTTCTGCGCGTCAAAGGCAATGAGCTGGTCCGCGGCCGTTCGGAGCTGCACGCAGTTGCAGATCTGCGTGCACGTGGATGACAGTGGCGGCAAGGAAAGGGAAAAAGGAGGAAGGAGGACGTTAAATAAATGATAGCGGCGCAACTCGTGCGCAGGGCGTGCGTTGAATTGAAAGGGAGGGATAGAGAGCAGGCCAAGGTATGGAGGCAGGGAACAGGCAGGGAACGGGAATAGGGGGAAGGTAAAGCGCAAAAGGAAAGGAAAGGACATGTAAGAGACGATGTGGTGAGAGGGTGGGAGAGGAAGGCAACAGGTACAGCTCACGCAGGGCTGCCTGGTTACCTGCTTGGTGAGGAAGCCCGGCAGCGCCAGCAGCCCGAACAGCGTCATCAGCGGCAGGCCCCCGCTGGGAGAGGTGAAGCGGAGCAGCACTGCATGAGGCGGAGGGAAGGAGAGAGGGAAAAGGGAATGGGCGTGCGGGTGAACCAGCAGCAGCAGCAGCAGCAGGGTAGCAGTCAGTCAATATGGGCAGCAGCAGCAGCAGAAGCAGTGGTGCTGGCAGTATGGGGGGAGGTTGCTGATCATGGCAAAAGGCACATGCGACCCCCCTACACACATACGTCAGCTGGGAAAGGAGCCGGGACCCTCGGTCCCCCACTACCGGCCCCTACGCATCCGCCACAGCGAACACTCCAACAGCCCCCTTTTCCCCTTATCGCTGACTCCCTATCCTATCCTATCCCGTCAGTTTCTTCCTCTTTAAACCCCCCCTCCGCACCCGCCACCTCCCCCACCTGGCGCGCTAGACGCCAGCTGCTGTGGCAGTGTGAGTGCGGCCCCCCCGGGCAGCGGCAGCACCAACCCCATCAGCTGGGGCCACTTGGAGGCATACACCTGAGGGGGAGGAGGGAGGAGGGAGGGAATTGGGTCGCTGCTGATAACGGTTCCCTGCTACTGAAGACGTGAAGAGGGAAGGAGGAAAGGGAGGGAGGCGTTGGAAGAAAGAGGGAGAGACGTGGAGGTGGGAGGAAGGGGAGGGAGCGAAAGGCAGACGGTATTACACACAGAGCGCCGCATGTGCCGTACACTGCCACCCCGCCGCCCACGTGGTGTGTGAGCTTGTGTGAGCTTCGGCACCAGCTCGCGGCCGCACGTCCGGGCTCACCTCTTCCCTCATCCCTTCTCCTTCATCTCTTGATCCCCCCCTTCCCCCTGGGGATACTATCCAACAATTTGTATTGTGGTAACCTGGTGCCTCCACATACGCTTTGCCCCCCCCGTCTTACTATCCCCTTTACGTTGCCCTAACCTGTGGCTTCCTACAGCCTGATATGGTCTTTGACCCCCCCCCCACCCTTCCCTCTCCCCCCTCCCGCCTCACCACCAGGTAGAGGACCTCGCAGCTGACGCAGCAATAGCCCATGAAGAGGCGGCTGCTGTAGTAGGTGCGCACCAGCCAGCTCTTGCTGCGGACGTCCTGCAGGGGGAAGTGATAAGTGCAGGAGGGGAGGGAGGGGCGGAGAGGGATGAAAAAAATCAAATTAGTAAAACAACGAGTCCCAATCCCAAATCCCGACTCATGCAGTGAGCAGAGAGGGGTGGGGTGGGGTGGAGAGGCGGAGAGCGGGGAGGGGTGCAGAAGCACCGGTTTATGGGCACGTTTTTTAAATGCTGCCCGGGACATGTCGGGCGGTTGCGGTGGTTAGAGTGATGGAGGATGGTGAATGTGGGAGGGGTGAGGGAGAGATGTCAGGGTGGTGGTGTCCCTGTGGGAAGTTGTTAGGGGATTGTTGGCTGGAACAGATTGGAGGGAGAAAGATTGGAGAAGAGGAAGGACTTTAGCATCCCCCGTGCCCTGGGTGTTCCCTCACGCCGACCGCCTGGCCCTGCCTTGTGTGTCGTGGCTCCCACGGCAAGTGAGGCGTACATCTGGAACCAATGGCTGAAGATGTCGAGGAAGATGAGGCTGATGCAGGCAACGTGCAACTGGGGATACATCATGGTGACCACCAAGAGGAGGCCCGTGGTGGCCAACCTGCGTGGAGGGATGGAGCGGAAGGGGACTGGGCTCAGGATAGGCTTGTGTACGACAAGCATGCAGGAGCGAGGCCGAGGGTGAAGCTGCAGAAAGACTGGATTTTCGATACGGGGAAATCCGGATGATCATGATTGATGGTATTGGCCCCTGGTATCCGGTCGGATGCAGGTTTTAGGCGTAATGAGAAAGAAAGCTTACCTGTCTGTGACCATGTCCAGCACCGCGCCCAGCGTCGACGTCTGGTTAAGCATGCGAGCAAATCGGCCATCAAGTTCATCACAGACGAAGCTTAGGAAGTAGGCAGCTACGGTATGGACAGGACTTGTGAAAGCCACGCCAAAGGCGTAAAGGGCTGCTGCAACACGCGCATAGCCTGGGGGATAAAGCCAAAGGAACCATTAGCCGCAAGGACGGAAAACATAGCGGCTGCTGATTTCAAAAGTTATTACCTATTAGGTTGGGCACGTATATGTAAACGTTAGAGTGGCGCGAAAAGAAGCCCATTTCTTGGCAACAAACTCTTCCAAGTGGTAAAGATTAATTAAAGTGAGTGATCGCACAACTCAGAATTGTTTTGGTGGTGCTGCTTAGTTCAATAAGCAGCAAGTTACACAGAAACGGCAGCAGTATCACTTTAGTAATAAACTATGATAGTGAAAGGCTGCATAAGATTAACACAATTCCGTAATACCGCTCACAATCAGAGTACAGGGGCCAGGTACCCTGCTGACATCGCCGTACAGCTGCGGCCCCGCAAGTTACTTGCATAGCCAAGCACCTCTGGACGTCGCCCTGAACTGACATTCTGGATGTTGTTATAGTTAATTATGGTGTAAATTTTACTTGTGGCGCAAGGGTTGTTGCGCAAGCTCCGACTTGCACATCCATGTTACCATTATAACTTTACCTCAGATTCCAGCTGTTCCATATCTTCGACAATGGACAAAGTATTTCTATCTGGCTTAGCCGCAAAAGAATCGCGGAAAGGGGGGTCGTCGTCGCACACGTCAAGGTGCGTGTTCTCGGGTATTTGGCAGGCTGGTAGTGAGCACCTTGACGCAGCAGTCTTGCATTTTCTGTACATCTTTGTCGATGAGTTGGTTGGCGTGTCTTAAGCTTACGGGCATCTCATGCTCTCGTTTTACGTGTTGTGGAGGGGCTTTGACACATCGTAGAAGGGTGTCATAAGCACCTTATGGCCCTATAGACAATAAGTGTTAGTCCTTGCGATACAAAGCGGCTGACAAGTGAAAGCCTTGGCCATGACATGTCCTAGTTAACGGCCCCTGCACGCCAGCAACTGCCAATTCCAACCCCTAGCCACGCAAAGATATAGCACACCGCAGCCGCACAATCACATAACCAACATATCCTTTAACCTTTCACCTGCCCCTCTTTGCCCGTCCTCCCATCCTCATCTCCGTCCTCCATCCTCACCACCACCTCCCTCTCCCGTCTCCCCCTTCCTCCTCCTCCTCCCTCCCCACCACCTCCCAACTCCTCCTCCTCCCAGCTCCCCACGACCCCCTCCTCCCTCCACCTCCACCCCCCTCGGCTACGGCGTCAGCGGCTCCGCGCTCCTCTCCCCGCACCCCTCCTCCTCCTCCTCACCCCTCCTCTACTCCGGCCGCCCGGCCGAGCACCTCCTCTTCGACGCCGCCTCCGCCGACCTCGTCCTGCTGGTCGCTGACGACGGCAACCCGCCCCGCCCCGTGCCCGTACACCGCGACGTGCTGCTGGCACGCAACCCGGGCGGCTACTTCCCGCGCCTGTTGGCCGACCCGCGGGCCTTCCCGGAGTACTGCGGCCCGCTGCCGCCCGGGGTGGCGGGGGCGCTGGAGGGGAAGCCGGTGATACGCAGGTGGGGGGGGGGAGCGGGAGCGCCGTGTGGGGACATGTGGAGGACACGGGCGGGAGGTGGCATGGGAAGGATGTTGCGGGGTAAAAATGAGGAAGCTGATGAAATGAAGCTGACGAGGCGCTGCTGTACTGGGGCGGCTGCAGATAGGGCCCAACAAGGGCCTTGTTTGGCGGGGGGTAGCGAACGAGCAAGGGCAAACACAACACCGCCTCCACCTCGTGGTTAGCCTCTCGCACCTCGTACCCCTCCGCCTCCGGGCGTTCCCCTTTGCCTGCGCCGCCCCCAACTCACCCACCCCCGCTCCGCCCCCCCCACCCCGCCAGGACTCACTGGCCCTGGTCCGTTGCCTCGGTGCTGCTTGCCTTCATGTACCGCGACTGCTGCGAGGTACCGTGGGTGCAGCTGCCGGCGGTGCGGCAGGTGGCGCAGGAGATCGAGCTGCGCAGCCTGGTGGGGGGGAGGCGGGGGGGGGGTGAGCAGGGTGGTTGGCGGAAGGGGAAGTGGGGGTGGTGGAGGTGTCAATGACATGATTTTCAGCAATCCCTTCCCTTTCTTAACGTCTGGTTTTCGCATTCTCATTCAACGCTTTTTGGGGTTCCCTCCCTCCCCCTTTCCCCTCCCCCAGACCGAGGCGATCGACCACCTGCTCGACCCGCAGCACCTGCTTCCCTGGACGGTGGCCGACATGCGGGCGGCGGCCGCAGCGCTGCGCAAGGGCCCCCTGGAGCAGGCGGCGGAGCGCTACCTGGCGGCCATGAGGCTGGCGGGTGGGTAATAACAAGGAAAACGGGCGGGTGGGAGGGGCGGGTGGGAGGGGCGGCAAGGGGGGGGGGCGAAAAACGGGATGGAGTAGGGATCGGGTGGGGTAGAGGCGGTACCACATACGGGCTGCCATGGCTCGCAAGGGTCGCAACCCTTCCGGAGCCCTTCCGGAGTCCTGCTGAGGTGTCAAACCCGTGCAACCCTTGTCGCTTTCGTCGTACCTGTCTTGCTTGCTTTCTTCCTTGCTGGCTCCCTCCTCCACCGCACCTGCACCTCCCTGTGCGTGAATCACCGCTCCCCTCGCACCTCCCTCCTCACGTCCCCTCCATTCCGCACACCCTCCCTTCCGCACACCCACCCACCCACCCACCTCCCAGGAGTGGACGAGAGCACCCGCATGGCCTCCTTCGTCTACCACGCGCGACAGGTGGGAGGGGCGGGGGCGCACGGAAGCATGTCGGCAGGTGTGATGGAGGTTGACGTTTACCCCTGTCAAACCCTTGAGCACCTCTCCGCCGACCCCCCCCCCCTCCTCTTCCCGTTGTTCCTCTTCCCCCCTGCCTTCCCTCCCCTCCACCAGCCACCTCCGCTAATGCCCGATCTGCTGTCCTCTCCACCTGCCTCCCACACCCCCTCCTCCGCTCTGCACCCCACGAACCCACCAGCTGCCCCTCCCCTGCTCCTCCCCCCTCCCACCCCCCGCCTCCCCCACCCCACAGGCACGTCCCACATTCGCTCCCTCCTCCCTTCCCGCCCTACCCTCCGCCACCCCCGCCGACCCCGATAACAACAACAACAACGATAATGACGACGACGGCCCCTGCAGCCACCACCGTCACATGCACCCCTCCACCACCTCCACCACCTCCACCCCCACCACCTCCACCAGCATCAGCGCCGCCGCTCAGCGCGACGGGCGGTTGGGTGTAGATCTGGTTGAGGGCGTGCTGCGCTCCGTGGCACTGGACTCCAAGATGCTGCGGGGGCTGCTGCTGCCGGGGCAGCGCAAGGAGTACGTCACGCTGCTGGCGGGGGGCGGGCTGGCGGGGGGCGGGGGCGGTAGTGGGTCACAACGGCGGTTGTCCAGCCTGACGATTACCAGTGGCAGCTTGTGTGGAAACGGATGCGGGGGTGGAGGTGGAGGGGTTGCGGGTGGCGGAGGCGGGGGTGGAGGGGGTGGTGGGGGTTCGAGTGCAGCGGGACAGCAGGGAGGAGGAGGGGGAGGAGGTGGGGGAGGTGGGGGTTTGTTCGGGGGTTTGCTGTGGAAGTCCACATCCTTCCCTCGGGGATCCCTGGAGCTGCCACTGCTGGGGAACAGGCTGAAGGCGACGCTAGGGCTGGGGGGCGGAGCAGGAGGGGGCGCAGGAGCAGGGGGAGGGGCCGGCAGCAGCAGCAGCGGGGGTGCAGAAGCAGCCGCGGGAGGAGGAGGAGGAGGAGGAGCGGGTGGCAACGGCACGCGTGTGGGCGTACCGGCCGATCAACTAGGTGGGGAGTTTTTTTGGGGGGGGGGAGAAAAGGCGGGACGGGGCTGTACGAGGAGGGCACACCCGTGTACGGCATGCAAATGTGTATTAGTATGTATGTGTGGGCGGAATCACCACAAGCCGTATCCATCCCCACTACGGTATCCCCCCCCTTCACCAAAACCCCTCCTCACCCGCCACGCTCCCTGTCCTCACTCCCCGCCCCCCTTCACCCCCCCACTTCCACATGCACACAGAGCGTCCACGCCCTCTTACTCCCCCTCTCCCCCCCCTTCCCCCCCTCTCCCCCCTTCTCCCCCCAGAGGCCTGGGAGACGCTGGAGCTGATGGTGGTGGTCCCCGCACCGCACCTCATCCCCTCGCTGGCAGCAGTGGTGGCGCGGCCGCTGGACGTGCATGTGGGCGGCTGGGCGCTGGGGCCGCTGCCGCCGCCGGGAGCTGGAGGGGGAGGAGCAGGAGGGGGTGCGGCAGCAGCGGCGGCAGCAGCAGCAGCGGGGAAGAAGGTAAGGGCTATGAGTCCGCCCACAAGGACCCCACTGCGGCATACGGCAGCCCTGCTAAGCGCCCTGCTACCGGTACCTCCCAACATACCCCCTTCCTACATGCCACCCCTTCCCTCCCTTCCTCTCCTCCTTCCCCCCACCCCCCAGTCCTCCGGTCTGCCTGACCCGCCCCCCTCACCCTCCATGCGGAGGGAGAACCCCTTCCCGCGCGCCTCGGGGACCGCCTCCGCCGCCGGCTGCCTCGGCTGGGGCGGGGAGAGGCCGGGGGGCGGCTCCCAATCGGGCACCTCTGCGGCAGCAGCAGCTACCGCAGCCGTGATGGCAGCGGCTGGAGGAGGAGGCGGCATGGGGCTGGTGAGGCGGGGGGGGGTAGGGGTAGGGGTAGGGGTGAGGAGAGCGCATGTGTATGTGGTTGTGTCGGGGGCCGGTGCCACTTGGGCCTTGCGCCCTCTCCTTGCCTGTGTTGTGAAGCATGCAGCCGCCGGGTCGTGGCACACACGGCCCGGACCCCTCCGTGCCAACCTTGGCAGACACCACCGGGACATGATGTGTGCTGCCCGTTTCTCTGAATCTCATCAGCCACTGATCCGCTCCCTTTCGGTCCCAGTCCCTCCTCCTCATCCCCCTTTCTCCTCATCCTCCTCCTGCTCCTCGGCTGCCTCCTGCACCCCCTAACCCCCGCAACCCCGCAGGCCTCATTCCTGCTGCCCATACCCGCCCACACCCCTGCCACCCGCCAGCATCCCCACCCCCACTCCCACACGCCCCTCCCCCTCCCCTGCACACCACCCACCGACACCCCCACGTCCCCCCGCTTCACCCCCACCCACCCCCCACCCTCACCCCTCCCCCCCGCAGCAGCCTCCCCCACCCTCCCCGCTGCTTCCCTCCCAGCTGCCCTCGCCCGCCTCCCTCGGCTCCTACGACCAGCTCTCCCTTGCACTCGCACTTGACTGCAGCGCGGGGGGTGCGGCGGACCCCGCTGCGGCCGCCGCTGCCGCCTCCCGCCTGATGGGCAGCGCGCTGGCGACATTGGGCGCCATGGATCACTCGGCACTCATTGTGAAGCAGGTGGGGTTGGGAAGGGGGGGGTCAAAGCAGGTGGGGGGGTGGGGAGAGGTCAAAGACCAGGTACCCTACCATACCATGGGAGGAGTCACAGGTGGGGGCAAAGCAATGGGGAGGGGAGGGGGGCAGGGGGTGTACACGGGTGATGCGCGCGGAAGCAGCAGGGATAGGGCGCGCGGGATCGGCGGACGTGGCATGCAGGATACAGCCCAAAGTTGCGAAACAAAATGTTACCACCTCCCTCCCTCCCCCCCCCCCGGGGGCCCCCCCAGCCCCCCCATATGGTTTGGTCTAACCTGTCCTTCCCCCCTTCCCCAGGATGCAGTCGCGGCTGCCCAGGCTGTGTCGTACGAGCGGCGGCGGGCCAGTGCGGAGCTGTCGCCGCTGTCGGGGCTAGCGGGGTTGGCGGGGTCGCTGGCGGCTGGGGGGGGAGGAGGAGGAGGAGGGAGTGGGGCGTTACCGGCGTTGGGTGGTGGCAGCAGCAGTGGAGGAGCAGGAGGAGGAGGAGGAGCAGGAGTTGGGAATGTGGCGATGGCGAGGGGCGTCATCGGACCGGCTAATCCCCGTGAGCAGGGGGGAGGGAGGGAGGGAGGGAGGGAGGGAGGGAGGTGCAGGGGGGTGGGAGGGTGGGGACACAGGGGACAGGGAGCGTGTTGCGGGGGGAGAGAAGGGGGTCGGAAGGGATAAGCCGGCGGGGTTACCGGTAGGGCTCCATGGCGGCCGCGGGGCCCTTGCTGCCCGCCACCATCCCTTACACCCCTTGAGCCCCGTTATCCACCTAGGCACCCCTAGGTACCCGTCCAGCCTTCGTCCACCCAAGCTCACCCTCCGCCCTCCCTCAATGATCATGCTGTCCATTGCCCGCTAATCCTGGACACATTATTATTATCGATACTAGCCCCTTACCCGCCACCCACATCCCGCCGCACGCTCCATTTCACTTCCCCACCACCACCACTCCCGCCACTCCCCACCCACCCAGGCGACTACTTCATCCCCCTGCCCGAGAGCCCCTCCGGCGCCCTCTCCATCACCCTGCCGGTGGGGCTGGTGCTCGTGGACCCCGCACTGCTGGAGGCGGCGGGAGGCCTGGGGGCAGCTGCTGCTGCTGCTGCTGCTGCTGCCAACAGCAACAGCAACGGCACCGGCGGAGGCGGCAGTGGCGGCCTCAGCAGCCTGCCACCAACACCGTCTATGGTGGCTGCAGGCGTGTGGGTGGCGAGTGCGGGTAGTGCGACCCACGGGTCATCATCCGATGTGGGGGGAGGAGGAGGAGGAGGAGGTGGAGGTGCCGGAGGTGGGGGTGCTAGCGGTGCGACTGCCGTACGAGTGGCTGCGCTGCTGCCGCACCTGTTGGCCTCCTCCGCTGCGGTGTCGCAGCTGTGCTCGGCCGTGTCAGCGATCACACAGGTGAGGCGAGGGAGGGGGGGAGGAGGGGAGGGGAGTGATGGGGCGAGATGAGTGTGAGGGGTGAGTCATCGTTACTAGGATTGTCAACTTGTCATTGCTTGCTTCCGCTCCCATGCGTGCAAGGCGCGCCCCTCCCTCCCGGGACGGTTTTCCCCTCCTGTGCCTGATTAACTCCCCACGGGTCCCCTTGGTCCTCCTAGAGAGCTTGAAGAGCCTGGCGTCCGTGACATTCTCGCACTTCCCGCCCTCCCTCCCTCCCTCCCTGCCCCCCCTCCCCATGCCGCCTCCTCATCCCATTGCTTTGCCCTAACCTGCGATGGTTTCTTACGGCTTGGTACGATCTTTCCCCCGCCCTCCCCCCCCAGGTGCTGCGGGTGGCTGGGGAGCAGCACGGTGTGTTTGCCGTACCGCCCATGCGCGCCTCCCTGCGTATCTTCAACCCCAGCCAGTCCCTGCTAAACATCTTGTGTCAGGTGGGCGGGCGGGGGGCGGGGGAGCGGGGGCCGGGGGGCGGGGGGCGGGGGGCCCGAAGGGTTCGTCACGGTCAAACGGGCGCCTGGCCCCTAGTGCCCCCAACGGCCCCGGTGTCCCGGATACCCCCCGGGTTATGTCATCTAGCGTGCACTAACTAGTCCCGGTACCGGCGACTCCACCAACTAACACCCTTCCCCCCCTGTTTCTAAACTGCAACCCGACCCCACCAACCCCGTATCCTGCCCACCCTGCCTCCTCCTCCTCCCCCTGCCCTTCTCCCTTCCACCCCCCGGGCCTCTGATGATGCCTTATCACACGGTCACTTAGTTGTTTCCTCCCCCCCTGGCCTCCCCTCCCAGACCAACACCTACTTTGCCGTGGAGCCCCACAACAACACCATCTACATCCGCAAGCCGCCCGCCGACATCCTGCGGCTGCTGCAGGCGCTGCTGACCACCATGCCAGTGCGGGTGAGTGGCGGGGCGGTGGTGGGGCAGGGTGGGGCAGGGGCGGTGGTGGGGCAGGGCGGTGGTGGGGCGGTGGTGGGGCGGTGGTGGGGCAGAATGGATGGTTTGCGAGGAGGGGAGGGGAGCACAAGGGGTGATATTCCAATACGGTCCACCCAACCCTCCAAAGACCCTGCCCCTCCGCTCCTACATCCCCTACATCCCCTATAACGCCCCTCCCCCCTCCCCTCCTCCCCCCTCCCCTCCTCCCCCCTCCCCTCCTCCCCCCTCCCCTCCTCCCCCCCGGCCCCCCCAGAGCCGCACCACCAGCACTGCCACCCTGCCCTCCCCCACCGCCACCGCCACCATCACCACCCCCACCCCCACCTCCCTCAACTTGGGTGCCGACCTGGGGGTGAGCGTGCTGGGTCGCAGCGGATCCCTTCCCCGCCAGCATGCAAGCGGCGGCACACCCGCCTCGACAGGAGCAGCAGCCGCGGCAGCCGCCTTTGCATCAGGAGGAGGAGGAGGAGGAGGTGGTGGGGGGCAGCTGGAGTTTGGGTTTGGGGTCCCGGGCAGCAGCGGTATGCGGGCGGGAACTACCTCCATGCTTCGACCCAAGAGCCTGGACCTGCCCTTGAAAGCCAGCACACCCTCTGCTGCGTTTGGGATGGGGGGTGGAGTGGGAGGAGGAGGTGGTGGAGGAGGGTGGGTGGCGGCAGGGGGAGGGCCGCTCAGGGGCCGGGCTAGCTCGGACCTGCCACGGCTGGGAAGCAGTGGGACGGCGGGGGCTGGGTTTGGCGGTGGTGGGGTGGCGGCGGGGTTTGGGGGCGGTGGTTTCGGGGTGGGGGGAAGCAGCAGTGGAGTGTCGTACACAAACGGTGTGCCGTACAATCAGTTGGAGCGGTTGTTCCCGGGTTGGCACATGCACGTGGTGGAGCTGTCTCCGCCGGGGGTGATGGTGGGGGAGTTTTGAAGAGGATGTGTAGCGCTCCTCTAGAAGGATGATAGGAATATGTATTGCGACTTATATCCATGTTAATTGATACTGGCTGCCTTGATCGCTGCTCGGGGCAGTTTTGCGTGCCTGCGTTCTTCTCTCCCGGTGTATGTCCTCATGTCCACTGCTGAACCCCCTTGTTACCTCTTTGTGTTTTTTGTATTCATCGGGCGGGCTTATTCATGCTGCGACCGAGAGCCGCGACTGCAGCAGCAGCTAAGCAACGTGGCGATTCTGATGTTGACTGTTAGCTGTTGGCTGTTGACTGCTGGATGTTGGCGGTTGGGCGGGGGCACATGCTGGGTGCGCACCTAGGGGGCGGTGTAATGGGCTAGCGTAATACAATACGATTATAAGAGACCTGCTGTTCTTTGCAGGTCTCCTCTGCATAGGGACGACCCGCGGGTCGTTACTTTTCCCGAGACACGGCGTGCTCAATGCGGGTGTGTCCGTCCGTCGTCAGCGGGGGCATCACACTTGATGACTGCATCCCTTTGCTGATTGCTCCTCCGAAACCGTATTCTACGTATGTCGGCACGCTATTTTTAATCCAGCTCTACGGGGGCTGGCCTGCCGCTGGGCAGACTGGGCAGGTCTACCGGTGTGTTGTTGTTTTTGGCAGGTTAGACGCCGTACAGTGGGAATAAAAGCTCCTGTGTTTTGCTTCTGAGGTCCGGAAACGCTATGATTGGGAGCAGTGGGAGGTATACGGTATGTTGCCACGTGTACGAATCCTGTTGCGAAAGCGGTTGCTTGGTTAATGCTCTGTGTGGAATGTGAACCTCACACGCATGTTTCACCACGGCTCTAGGATGGAGGGCCCCTTGCCTGTTGCTGCTGTTGTTGTTACTGTTGCTACCCTTGGTGGTGGTGGTGGTTGCGTTGAGTTTTGGTTGTTTACGCGCGCGCCAAGAGCGATGAAGCACCAGTAGTCGCTACTGGTCTGCTGAACCAGGCTTGGCGAGAAAGAACATGTGCGGCGCACCAGCACTGTTGGCAGGCCACCTGACATGGGCCTTACCTGCTTCCAAGCTGCCGTACCTATTTAGCCTCCTGGTGGTCATGGACCCATGCCGTCCGACGGATGTGTACCGTTTGTCGACGTGTGGCATATACCGGCAACGTGTGCCATTGTAACGGCAACCAACACAACCGATGCAGCAACGGTAAACAGAACGCACGCGGCTTTGTAACTGTTACACCTGGCGACATGCCCATTTGGTGGAACACCGGTATGTATCAAAAGCCCACACAACAAGAGCACCGGTGTTTGTGATGTTTGTTGCAGTCCCTCGCAACTTGCAAACAACTTCCGTCTCCACCCTTTCCAACGGCCGTGCAGCCAACGCCGTGCTCCCTTCAACTCTGTGCAACGACCCTGACTAGGGTTCTTCTTACTGTCATGTGCTCATGTCTTTCTGAAGCGGGGCATGTGGTTCGCCACACGAATTCCACGACTACGTGGATCATACCCTAACACAACTGAGTCCGCTGCGTTGCAGCCGGTTGACACCCCCCGGAACCACCTACCACCCAAGTCCTCTCGTCAACCAACCCACGTTTCCGGGTCCTCCCCGACCCCGTCCAATTGCACCTCTTGTTTCAAGCTGTCTCAACCACACTTAGCCCGCACTGCTAATGGCCCGGCGGCCCTCCCCCGCCTGCCTGCTGCCCGCGTACCGGCACCGGCACCACCCGCACATCCGGCGCCACCCGCACCCGCCCCAGCACCAGCAGCTGACCCAGCAGCCACTCGCTGATGTCGGAGCCGTCGAAGAAGTCGTCCGTGTGGCACATCCACTCGATGTAGTGCTGCGGGAGGTCCTCCAGCAGAGTGCCCTTGTAGCGGCCAAAGGGCATGCGGGCGGGCAGGGCCCGCTCGGGGTACTCAGCAGCAGCAGCAGCGGCGGCGGCGGCGGCGGCACCGTGGGGTGCTGGCGGCGGCGGCGGCGGCGGCGGTGGAATCATGGGCATGTACGGTGGCGGCGGCCCGCCGCCATGTACCTGCGGTGGCGGCGGCGCCGTCGCATGCGCGGTTGGCGGCGGGGGCGGCCGGGGCAGCGCCGGCGCTGGATGCGCGGTTGGTGCTGGTGGCGCGGGTGGCGGAGGCGGCGGCGGCATCGAAAGCATGTGCGGCGCCGGCCAGCCGCCGTGCACCTGCGGCGGTGGCGGTATGGACGTGTGCATGTCTCTCCGTCCCAGCGGCGGCGGAGGCAGGGGCATCACGAACGGCAGGTGAGCAGCCAGGGTGGCGCCGGCAGGCGGCGGAGGCGGCGCCCCCGCCGCATGCGTGCCGGATGCCACCCCCGGCGGCGGCGGCGGCGGCGGCGGCGGAGGCATCATGGGCATTGCTGGCAGCGACGCGGCGACGCCTCTGGGTGTCGGCGGCCCTGCCGGCGGCATCGGCAGCTGCTGCTGCTGCGGCGGCGGCTGCAGTTGCAGCCCCCCTTCCTCCTCCTCCTCCTCCCCCTGCTCCCCCTGCTCCACCAGCTCCAGGGCGTGTCGTACGGCGGCCTGCATGGCGAGCGGCCCCTGGTCGCTGTCGTACAGTCCGTGCAGCGCCTCCGCCAGGGTGGTGTAGCGGGCGAGGCCGCGGCGCAGCAGGGCGGTGACGGAGGTGCGGGAGTAGTCGCGGGCGGAGGGGGAGAAGCCGGCCTGGGAGGTGGGGGAGGGGGAGGGAGGGAGGAGATGAGGAAGGCAGGGTATGGTAGGCTGCTAATGTACAGTTACCGGCAAGAGGGTCGACCCTGCAGGACGTGCACAGTGACAAGCAGCAAGATCACCACCCACATCTACTGCAGGTGCATCGCAACAGCCCCCTGCATGCACCCTGGCAAAAAGGTGCGGTAAAACGACCACTCCATGTTGGGGTGAGATTGCGGATGGAGGCGACTGTCTTCGCGCGTCAGTGTTCACATTCCCTAGCTGCCGACCGTACCTGCAGCATCAGCGGGAAGGCCGCCGTGAGGTAGGCCGCCCTCTTGACGTCCCCTTGTGCGGCCGCGTCCTCGCGCATGGGGGCAGCAGCCTGCAGCACCCAGGGGGCCAGCAGGGGTGGCAAGTGGGCGCCGGCAGTCAAGGTACACGGGTGCGCAGCTGCGGGAATGAAACGCACACAACAACAGGAAACACTGCTGGTGTGGTACATGGGGGCCCTAGGCCAACCAGCTTAACACAAGGCTTACCACCGCACCACTACATCACCGCACAACCTCCCCACCTGCCCACCCCACAGCCCACCTGGATCGTCGCGGCGGCGAGGGGCGGGTCGGGGAAGTAGCGCCCCTCCAGCAGGCGGGACATCTGGCGGGGGCAGGAGGCGGGCATGATGCGGAGGGATACGGCATGCAGTGTTACGGGCTGTGTGTTAAGGAAACTGGCCGCGAGTCGGATAGAAAAACACTGCGGCAGACGGCTAAAGCAAGAGGCTTTTCGACTGCACTGGAAGCGCTGAAGCGCTGGATGCAACAATCGTGGAAACGCCATGTGACGTACCATTAAGACCCGCAATCATCCTCATCCCCACCACCCACCAGCAGGTGCAGTGCGGTGCCCCCTGTTGCGGTCCTCAGCTGCGGGTTGAGTTGCAGGGACATCAGATCCTCCAGATGCAGCCGCCCGACCTGAGGAGCGTCCTCGGCAGCATCGCCCGCGGCAAGCGGCGGCTGCGCATACCTGCGGCGGAGGAACAAATGGACGACCCATGGGTCAGTCAACCAAAGCTGGGTAAATGTAGCTACGAAGCCTTTCCTGCTGGCATCCTTGTATGTGCCTGAAAATATATAGTGTCCGCTTACCTGCAGGGCGGTGGAATCTTCGCGATCAGCCGGTAGTGCAGGTAGCAGGTTGCAGCCACGCCCTGGAGCACAATCGGCGTGTCGGGGTGCAGGCCGTGCCGGAACAGCAGCGCCTCGATGTTGGGCGGCAGGCAGTTGTCGCTGGTAATTGAAAACACGTCTGCCAGCTCGCTGCAGACGCTGCTGACGGGAACGCGGGCATCCAGGGCGGTCTGCGCGGCTGTGAGGAGGTCCTTTGTGGCTTCTGACGCGATGTGGAATTCAAATGTCCCAGCGCCATGATAGATGCGACGCTTTGCGACATCGCAGGCTGTGCGCAGGGAATCCATAGCCGGCGAAACGAAACGAAACGAAACGAAACCAAGCGAAACGAAGTGAAAGGGACTCGGCTCTTTGTACTATGCGTGTTGCTCTTTGCGGTTTTAGGTTGTGTGTCGATACTGAAAGGCTAAATTGCTGTGGACAGCGTGCCGCTAGTCAATATATCCGTTTACATGTGGAACTTGGTTTATCTGCAGTCCTCTTTTAGCGCGATGCGGTGTCCTAGTACTGTACTTGCTTGCGGTTAGTCGTTGCCGGCAACCTTGTTTGCTGCGTCCCACTGCGCGCCTGGTTGGCTTTGGAGAGGGTTTGCTGCACTATGGGGGTTCAATTCGTCTTGGAGAGCACACTGTATGCGTTCAATTTGGCTTTCAGAGGCTGGCTTGCTTGAAATGTTTCCTTTTTCCATCCATGGAGGCCTACAAGCGTGGCATCTTGGCTTGGTCTCAGCGGACGCTCGTCGAAACCTTTCCGCCATATTCCAGATTACATATGTCCTTGTATGCTTCCTGTTCGTTGGATGAAGTGTGGATAAGAGTGCCAGCTGTCACCCGCATTTACGCATTCGATAGGGCAAGTGTTCGGTACGAGTTGTCGGGCAACACAACCCCTTACCTTACAGCGCAACATGATACTTGCAACATGACACAGCAACCAACAGCACCTCCTCGGAGCAGCTGTTGATGGTGGCAACATGGCAACAACCTGCAGGCCCATGCAACGGACACCTAGGTGCTGCATAGCAGATTGAATACCCAGCGACAACATACATCTCCTGACTCCGCCTCTCTCCCGCTGCCTCCCTACCACATGTACCACCGAGCTTCTTAGTTCCGCCCGACACGACCACAACTCCCCTGTCACCGTGACCAACACGTCCCACAGCAACACACCTTTGGACCTCCACCTCCACCACCACTCTCCGCACACACCCTTTCCAGTCGCCCAGCGTTCTTCCCACAACCTTCGTAACATCCAGGCTTCTATCTACCGCGACTCAGTTCAGTATCTCATCCTGGCATCCATCCGCGCACCCTCCTCCGCTCCCGCCCCCCCCCGCCTTCCCTTTCCCAACTCCCGTCCCTTGCACCCCCCCGTCCCTCTTACTCTCCCACATTTCATTCCTTCGCACCCTTGGCACTTCGCATCTCGTTTCCGCCTCGGCCCTCCTTGCCGCTCTTGCTCTTCTAAGCCAATCCGAGGTCCCTTCGCCTCTTGCGCCTCCCCCCCCCCAACCTCCCTCCTAGTAGTAATGCTCCCCCTGCTGATGTGCATTGCCCCAGTAGTGCAGTCCATGCACCGGCGCCACCCGCCCATCCGGCGCCACCCGCACCCGCCCCAGCGCCACCAGCTGAGCCAGCAGCCACTGCTTCTCACCCGAACCGTGGAAGAAGCCGTCCGTCCTGCACATCCAATGGATGTAGTTCTCCGGCAGCTCCGTCAGCAGCGTGCCCATGTACTTGCCGAAGGGCATGAGTGCGGAGAGCGCCTCCAGGTGGTGTTGCGGAGGAGGCGGAGGAGGCGGCGGGTGACCTCCAGGTGCCGGCGGTCCCACGGGTAGTGGCAGCGGCTGCTGCTCCTCCTCCTCCTCCCCATGCCCCCCCTGCTCCACCAGCTCCAGGGCGTGTCGTATGGCGGCCTGCATGGCGAGCGGCCCCCGGTCGCTGTCGTACAGCCCGTGCAGCGCCTCCGCCAGGGTGGAGTAGCGGGCGAGGCCGCGGCGCAGCAGGGCGGTGACGGAGGTGCGGGAGTAGTCGCGGGCGGAGGGGGAGAAGCGGGCCTGCGGGGAGGTCGAGGGAGGGAGGAAGGGGAGGCAGGCTATGGTAGGCTGCATGGGTGGGCTCCACCGGTACTGGGCAGGGCTTACGAGTTACGTTACAAGCGTTGCTGTCGGCCGCTAGGGTGGTTCCCTGGGGCGGGAGAGAAGGGCAGCATGCGTGCAGGGGGTTGCAGCGCTCCTGCTACAACCCCCCATGTTGGCGGCCCCGAGGGCAGCCGATGGGCTGTCAAAAGGGCCCGTGACAGCAGCAAATGGGTGCATGAGAGAGCTGCGAGCGCCGTGATCTCATCACGCCTAGCTGCCGACCGTACCTGAAGCATCAGCGGGAAGGCCGCCGTGAGGTAGGCCGCCCTCTTGACGTCCCCTTGTGCGGCCGCGTCCTCGCGCATGGGGGCAGCACCCTGCAGTGAAGGTACCGAAGCAGGGTGGGCCGGCGGGGCGTCGGCAGTCAAGGCGCACGTGGAATACTCCAATGCAAAGGCTCCAAACACATCGTTATAACGTTGGTCAGCATGCGGTGCTGGATGAACCTTTACACGATTCATGTTTTGAAGTACCGGTACTCGCGTACGGAAGCGTTTCAAGACACGCATGTTGCGAACCCAACCAGCTTCACCTGTCCCCACAGCCCCCACCCACCCACCCACCCACCCGCACACCCACTATCAAGCTGGTACCGGTTTCGGGTAACGTCTCCTCACCCCTTCCCACCCCAACCCCCAACCCACCTGCATGACGGCAGCGAGGGGCGGGTCGGGGAAATAGCGCCCGTCCAGCAGCTTCTCAACCTGGAGGGGGGACGGGGCATGGCGGGGAAGGGGACATGCCTGATTGCATGCATGTAATTGGCGGGTGCATGCAACCAGGTACAAGGGCCGGGGTACCAAGATCCAGGCGCTGGGTTGTCACAACCTCGCTCACGGCGGTAACGGGCAGGCCCCAGCATGCGCCGCCGAGCCTGCTGCTGTGCACGCCCGCATCCCTCCCTGCACTGCTGGAAGCGCTAGGCTTGTTGCCACATTCCCTGTCGTGCTCATACCCTAAACCCTGGGGTTGTTTTCCTCTTTCCTAGTCCTTACCACCCACCAGCAGGTGCAGCGCTGTGCCCCCCGTTGCGGTCCTCAGCTGCGGGTTGGGTCGCAGGGACATCAGATCCTCCAGGCGCAGCCGCCCGACCTGAGGAGCGTCCTCGGCGGCATCGTCCGCGGCAAGCGGCGGCTGCGCATACCTGTGGCGGAGGAACAAAAGGACGACCCACGGGTCAGTGGGTTGAGAATACCGGTCTTGAACACCGCACCGCACCGCAAGGGCCAGCAGAAGCTGCAAATGCGAGAACGTTCTGCTATACAATGTACAGTGCGTAATCGATTTAATAGTACCGAAAGCCGTCTGGCGAAAGGCGTTACACTGCGCGTAAAGTCGCAACCTGCTGACCGGTAACAAGGGAGTGCCGGTACTCGCAAAGTCTAAGAAGCATAAACGTGGGCGGCTTACCTGCAGGGCGGTGGAATCTTCGCGATCAGCCGGTAGTGCAGGTAGCAGGTTGCAGCCACGCCCTGGAGCACAATCGGCGTGTCGGGGTGCAGGCCGTGCCGTAACAGCAGCGCCTCGATGTTGGGCGGCAGGCAGTTGTCGCTGGTTATGCAGAAGACGTCTGCCATCTCGCTGCAGACGCTGCTGACGGGAACGCGGGCATCCAGGGCGGTCTGCGCGGCTGTGAGGAGGTCATGCGAAGCCTCCGGGACGAGGTGGATCTCCAATCTGGCTGGGTCTTGGTATACCCTCTGCTTGACAGCATCGCATGCGCTGCGCAGGGCTTCCAGAGCAGTCATTTCGCAAGCGTTGTTGACGTCGGATGTCGGAAAGATGAGAGCTTGAAGCTTGCTGATGCGCTGCCACAGGTTTGCGTTGCTTTAAAGTTGTCGCGTTGCGTAAATATGTTGTGTTGCGCTACTAGCTCAATTGATATGACCAGCGCGAGATGGCTTGATGTCCTTGTACGCGCAGTTGGTCGTTAGTTCCATCATCCGCGCATGCCACATGCGTCGGGCTTCCTTTGGATGAGCGGCTTAGGTAAGGGCTGGCACGCTTTTACGGGTCATGGAGCCTTGTTTAAAGCATCATTTAGGTTCTCAGAAGCGCGCAAGGTTTTCTGTGCACGCACCCCGAAACCATGATTTGTCAGCTGATCTGGTAATTTGGTCATGCACAGCCTGCAGTTGTGGCCTGGCAGACGTTGAAAGGCAATTGGCCAACTTCTATTGGTATATGGCTTGCAACGGTCCCGTTTCAGTTTCACGACGTACCGGTATCTCGTTTGGCCTTCCGGCATAGTTCAATGAAGACTAGTATTCATTCGACGTTTTTTATTTCAACAGAGGACGTGTTGTGTTAATTGCAATACGACTAAGAAGAGCTGTAGAGGCACGGCGGAATTGACTCTGCATGTGCAAGTGTCTGGCTGGCGGCAACACAGCTTAATACTTACCGCAATTCCACCAGAGCGTATTTTCACAGAAAAGCTTTGCTTGCAGCTCTAACTGGTTGTTAGTATCCCGTGGCGCCGTCAACGTACCATTTCCTTCGGAGCTGCGACGCCCTACAGAATCGGCCAGAAATAACTGCTCTCTCTTCAATTGCGTCAAGTACATATATTGGCTCGGCTGTCGGCATTCGGCGCACCTCTGAACCTGGCTCGCTGGCCCTCGGCTGCCATCCTGTCGGGCTAACTCTGCAGTCTTCTGCAACTGCCATTAAAGTCAAACCGTAATACACGCATATCTGCCAAACATTACTGTCTAGGCAGACAAGGAGTCAAACAACTCCAAATGACGCCGCACCACATCTCGCGGGCCATCCCTCAGCGGACTGCCCGCAACGTCATCGCACCCTCCCCAGCCACCTGCCGACACACAACCAAGCTGCACCTCCCACCCGCTCCGACACCTTCACATCCTAATACCGCCGCTGCTCTGAGCCCTTCCCCAGCACGTCCCAGCGTTGCTGTCACAGCCGCAGCAGCAGCCGCTGCTTCTTCCATCCAGCTTCCCCAAGCAGCTCCCTCCTCCTTCAACACCAGGCCGCCAGTGGCACCATGGGGCTCCTTACCACCACCAGCACCAGCAGCAGCAGCTGCACCTTCCCGCCGTCCCGGCGGCGCCAGCCGCAGCACGACCACACCCTCCGCCTCCACCGCACCCGGAGCAGGCGGCGGCAGCGACCCCTCTTCTTCTTCCGCTGCCGCCGCCGCTGCTGCGGAGGAGCTGTTGGAAGCAATGGACGAGCTGTCCGGTGTGGGCAGCTTTGGGCAGATGGTGGAGTTCCTGGAGCGGCGGGGGCAGGTGTTCAGCGGGCCGGAGGTGGCGGCGGTGGTGCTGCAGGTGGGTGGGGGTTGGGAGGGGGGCAAGGAAGAGGGGGAAGGGGGAGGGAGGCGAGGAGGTGGGCGACATGCCTACCTGGACCTTGATAATCTCACAGCTTCCCCCGGCGCTCTAAGAATCGCCCCGATGCCATGCTGCTCTAAAATGCCTTGGTACGGGTACACCCCGGCGGCACAGGGCTACCACCACCGGGCACTTCGCAGCCCTTCAACGCCCCATGCTCCCCCTCGTCCCCTCCCTTCCCCCGCTCCCCCTCGCACCCCCCCCGCCCCCGCTCCCCCTCGCACCCTCCCTTCCCCCCCACCAGGCTGCCACCGTATCGGAGGCGGCGGCTCAGCGGCGGCTGGAGGCGGCTCTGCGGGTGGCGGAGCGGCGGGCGGAGCAGCTGGAGCGGCAGCAGCAGCAGCAGGCGGCGGGGGCCGGGGCGGTGCGGCCCACGCCGGTAGGTTGGGTTGGGGTGGGTTGCGGGGACGTTTTCAAGCAGGCTAGCTGAGGGGAATGCTGTATACTGGCTGCAACGACCTTGCTTTCAGCAACAGCCTGACTGGCAGTCTGGTGCAAGCATGCGGGTGTCCTCCACACGCTTCTCCACACCCTCACCGGGCATGTCCCGTACCTGCGCATGTTCGCACATGCCCCCAGCATATGGCTCCCGGATATGCCCGCTTCCGCATGTCTGCATGCTCCTAGTCGGCGCTCGTGCGGTTGTAGTGGTTCATACTCTTAGGTTGCCGTATACCCTCAGCTACCGCTGCTCCACTCCTTTGCTCCGCTCCTACCCTCTCCTCCCCACCCCTAGGAGCTGCTGGACGACTTGTTGACCGCCATGGGTCCGCCTGCTGCTGCTGCTGCTGCTGCGGATGGGGAGGGGGATGGGGATGAGGGGGAGGACGAGGAGGGCGGGGATGTGCTTTCCGAGCTGGAGGCGGCGGATATGGTGGCGGGCTGGGCGGCACCGTTGCTTCGTGAACACGTGGAGAGGTGCGGGCGGGAAAGAGGGAAGCAGGAGGGGAAGGAGGGAAGCAGGAGGATGGGGAGACAGAGGGGATTAGGTAAACTGAGCCGCGAGAAGTACTGACCCTGACCATAGGGCTACTGGGGGTAGACAGCCCGGCGGCAGGCCAGGAATCACATGATGACAAAGCCTCCCTAACACGCGCTCTGATGTTCCTATCCACACTCGTGTCTGCGCCCTCCCTTCCCCTTCCCCTCCCGCCCCCGCCCCTTCCCGCCCCCGCCTCCGCAGCTACCCCCCTGACACGCTGCTGGCCCTCGTGTCCTCCCTGGCGCTGCTGGAGTCGTACGATGAGGGCCTGCTGACCTCCGTGGCGGCAGCCTTCAAGCGGGACCCGGGAGCCTGGATTCGCGCGGCAGCGGAGGCGGCAGCGGCGGGAGCAGCAGTCGAGGCGGCGGATGAGGAGGAGAAGGAGGAGGCAGAAGAGGAGGAGGAGCAGGAGGGCGGTGCGGGTGACCCATGGGTCGTGCTGGTGTCGCTGACCCGGTCGTTTGCTTCGCTGGGACACTACGATGCGGAGTTTATGAATGCGGTGGCGGAACAGGTAAGAAGAAATGGGGCGGTTTAGCATTGGCAGTAGCAACGGTAATAGGCTAACAGCGATAGTAACTGAGATGTACGTTCGGAAGTAGCAGATACAATCACACGCATGTTTCTGAATGGGTAGCTCCGTCTTCATGTTACTCCTGACTCTGCTGTGTAGTTGAGCGTGTTGACCACACCCCACTCCACCGGCTCAGCCCGCTTCCTACTCCCCCGTGCTCCTCGCGCTCGCCCCTCCTCTTTGCCGCGGTAGCCCAACCCGCTGCACTCAACACACTCCGCCCCCCACCTCCCTCCCGCCTCCTCCCACCTCCCTTCCTTCCTCCCTCAGGCCGTATCGCTGCTGCCTGCCCTCTCTCAGCGCGCCGAGCTGGAGCAGCAGGCGGCGGACGCAGCAGCAGCAGCAGCAGCAGCAGCAGCAGCAGCTGAGGACCCCGAGGGTGCCGCTGGTGCTGCTGCTGCTGAGTCGCCCTCCTTCAGCGCCACGGAGTCGCTGGTGGTGTTGCTGGGAGCCTTCCACGAGCTGAACCACCTGCACCCGCAATTCATGCAGGTGGGTGGGAAGGGGGGTAAACATAAGGAGAACTGACGGGGGGTGGGGTGGTGAAGGGGGCGGGAGGTAAGTGAGAAGTGAAGCAACTGGAGTCGCAGTCCTGCGGGAGGGAGGGGAGGGGAGCACCCGAGTTGTCCAATTCCCGGCATCTGCAGCGGTGGCGAGGGCGGTGTGGTGGAGGGGTAAAAGCAGGAGCAGTAGGAGGTAAATTCCAGCAATTGCCCTTCATCTTTGACGGCCCGTCCGTGCATTCCGCCACCTCCTCAATCCCTCAGTCTCCTCTCTCTCTCTCCGCCTCCTCCTCTTCTCCCCCGAAACCCCATCCTGCTCCTTCACCCACGATCCCCGCCCGAACAGGCCTCCGCTGAGTTCCTGGTTTCATATCTGCAGCAGCTGGACCCGGCCGCGGCTTGCCAGGTGGGGCGGGAGAAGGAGGAGCAGGATTGGGCGGGAGGGGGTGGGAGGCGAAGAAGAGGAGGTTGATGATGCGTACCTGGGCGGGAATGCGTGGGACGGAGGGAGGTTGCGGGCTTTTTTTACCATGACATGGTTGCAAAAGTGTAAATCGTAACGGTAGAGTAAAAGGAATGAGGGAAATGCAAAAGGGGCTGCAGGGGGAAAGTAGGATGCGGAAAAGTAGGATCCCGAGTGGTTCGAACTGGCGACTTGGACATTGCAGGTGAAAAAGGTCGAGCATGTGGTGAACAGGTAGGCGGAACGCGGGTCATTTGATAAACCTGTTCGTTCGGCTCGATGTCCATTTTTCGGAAGGTTCAATATATGAATTGATGAATGACCGCGGGGCCTATGGCCACGCACCGTAACTCCGAGCCTCCTCATGCGTTATTATGCGCTTACTTCCAAATTAAAAAAAGGTGAAATGGATAGGCAATTAATGTTAATGGTAAAAAACATCTTGTGCAAAAGGTAGAAAATGGATGTAAGTGTTTTTAGTTCATCTCCTTTGTCTTACGCATGGGAGCCAGCTACCTTGCGCCAGCTGCTTTAACATACATGCAGGCCACCTGCTAGCCCTCCTCGCCCCCTCCCCTTAGCTCCCTCAAGTTTACCCCCCCCCCCGCCCAACCCCCGCGGCTTTCAGCAACCTACATGTCACACCACACACACACATCGCTGCGCTTTTCTTTCTTCACCTTAACCCCCTTGCCCTGCCCTGCCTTTTGCTGCCCCTCCCCCCCTAGGTGCTATATGGTTGGTGACTTGGTGTCGCCAATGCTACCTTCTGCTGGACCACCAATCATACATTTTAATATATATATGATACATACACTGCTGTACGTATTTACGTAACAACACCATTGTTACGCAGTTAATGATGATCGTGTAACCCTGCTGCAAATCGCTCCCCCCCCCAGGTGCTCCTGGCGTTTGCTGGCTTCGGCGGCCGCAACGCGCCCTTCTACTCGCTGCTGCTGGCGCGGGTGGCGCTGCAGACGGGCGGCCTGCAGGAGCTGAGTCCCAAGGCGGCCGGCATGCTGTACAGGTGGGGGGGTCAAAGACCATACCAAACCATAGGAGACCACAAGTTAGGCCAAAGCAATGGGGGTAGGAGTTGGCAGGGTGCCACAAGACAGGTACAGGTGGGGGGGAAGGGGGTAAAGTAAACGATGTGCACAGGGTCTCAAGTGCAGCAACGGAGTCCCAATCCCAAATCCGACGCATGCAGTGAGGATGGGGGAGGGGCGGCGTGCATGGGTGCTAGTAGCTAAGGGATGGGTGCAAGTGTGGCGGGAGGTAGGAGGAGGAGGAAAGCATGAAGAGGTACGGTATAGCATTACTGTAGGTGGGGGAGGGGGGCAGCAGCAGCGTAGTAGGAGTAGGTGTAGGTGGAATGCTGCTGATCATGGGTGTTGGACGGTGTGGTGGACGGTGGGGAAGGTGAGAGAGACGGGTGGGGCAAGAAGGAAAGATGAAGAGGGAGAAGAGGGAACGGAAAACGGAAAACCAACACGTATTTGGCCGGTCTGCTGTAGCAGGGGCTCCCTTCCTCCCTTGCCCCCACCGCCACCACCACCACCCCCCTAGTCCCCCATGCATCACCACTGCGGGCCATCACTCCTCAACGCTACCCAACCACCACCCCCAACCCCACCACCCCTCTTCCCACCCCACCCCCTCCTCAGGGCGTGCACCCTGATCACCGCCATGGGTGACGTACCGCCCCTCTCCCCCGCCACAGCAGCCCAGCTAGCAGCAGCTGCCGCTGCCGCCTCCTCCTCCTCCTCTCCTTCCAGCAGCAGCACTGGCGGAGACGCCGGCTCTAACAACACTGCCGCCGCAGCTGGCGGCCCCGCGCAGCAACAGGAGGCCCAGCAAGCCGCTGCAAACATCCTGGCTGTCCTGCGGAAATCCGCGGAGGAGGACCGGCAACAGCAGCTGTCAGGGGAAGCAGCAGCAGCACCGGCAACAGCCGAGAGCGGCAGCATTACCACCACCACCGCTGACATCTCCTCAGCCGCAGCCGAGGTGGTAGAGCAGGCGGCCGCCGTGTCGGCTGCGCTGCGGGCGCTGCTGGGTGCATGTGTGGCGGAGGAGGGCGGCTTCCCGGTTTCGGAGCTGCGTGCCGCGCACCTGGGGGGCCCCTCGCCGGAGCAGCTGGCGGAGGCGGAGGAGGGGCTGCGGCAGGCGTACGGCGCTACGGGGCTACTGACGGTACCGGAGGTGAGGAGGGGGGGAAGGAGAATACCCAGTGTTTCTAGGGGTTGGGGTGAGAAGGATAAAAACAAGGAAACTGACAAAGGAGGGGGTGTTTGGAGAGGTGGGATGTAGTAGTGGAGCGGTGAGGAATTTGAGGATGCGTGACAGCATGAGAGAGGGAGCTGAGAAGCGTGTGCGTGTTATGCGGTGCCCGACGTGGGGAAGAGAGGGTGGTTAGAGGGGATGCGTCTAGTCATATGTGTTGGGTAGTAATTAGTGATGGGGGCAGGGGTTACGTTTGCGCGCTGAGAAGCCATTACGCTTTACGCATCCACGGCCCCCCCGCCTGTGCCGTGTACTCAGGTTCTGCTGGCGCTGGGGTATATCCAAGAACACGGCAGCAGCAGCAGTACGGCAGCGGCATCCGCAACTGGTGAGGGGGAGGATGACCGGGAGGCGGACGGCGTCCCTGCCATAACGTTGCTTCCCCTGGAGGACCTCACGGCCTCACATGAACAGGGGGGCCTGCAGCAGCAGCAGGGGCAGGAGGGCCAGCAGCAGCAGCAGGGGGAGGGCGGCCCAGTTGTGCCCAGTTGCAGCACGTACGGCTTCCCTGACGTGTCCCCCGTCACGGGGGGTGCGGAGGCGCCTCTGTGGGTGCCCGCTGATGCCCTGCTGCTGTACGGCAGCAGCAGCAGCAACACCAGCAGCAGCGGTGGTGGTGATAACGCCTTGACTGCTGCAGCCGAAGAATCACAGCCCGAGCAGCAGCAGCCTCAGCAGCAGCGTATCGCGATCAAGGTGCTCGACGACCGGGTACACTGCTGCGCCAATGCAGAGATCATTGTAGGCCCTGAGGAGGAGGACGAAGAAGACGAAGAAGCGGACGAGGGAGGTGTTGCGGACGAGGAGCAACAGCAGCAGACCGCCAGGTTACGGATGCGGCTGCGGGGTCCGGCGCTGTCAGAGGTACGGTGTCTGGAGTCTTGGGGCTGGCGGGTGCTGGTGGTGCCGGTGGGGGTGTGGGGCAGCCTGGGGGGGCAGCCGGAGGTGCATGTGGGGTGGCTGGTGCGGCGGTTGCGGCAGGTGGCCGAGGGCGGGGAGGGGCTGGTGGGGGCTACGGGGGAGCTGGAGCTGGAGGTGGCGGTGGCGGAGGAAGAGGAGGAGGGAGAGGAGGGGGAGGAGGGGGGAGAGGAGGGGGAGGAGGGGGAGGAGGGGCGTGCGAGGGGGGAGGCTGTGGAGGTGGAGGCGGAGGTGGTGGAGTGAGGGGTGGGGAGGGGGCTGCAGCTGAGGCAGAGGCAGAGGCGGCGGGCGGGGTTGTTAGGATGCGGTGAGGGCTGAGGAGGCTATGTGGTACGGTATGGGTGAGAAGTGGCAGCGAGGCAGCCGTGGAAAGGAGGGTTTCGAAGGTTGCGGGTGTCTGGTGAATGTGTTGATCTGTCCTGGGTTGACTGACTGCATGCATGCATGCGTGCGCGAGTCAGGGGGCTGCTGCCGTAGCTGCCGATGTTATTGGGGCGTGCGAAGGTTTGGGCGTAGATGTGTGAGGGGGCGTGCGAACAGGACTCCCGAGGGTGATGGACGCATGTAAGATGAGACACGTATGCCGCATGCTGTTCGTTGTTTATGCGGGCCCATGGGGGCGCCGCCGATACTGGAGGGCGCGACGTTTCTATCTCGCAGAATGGCTGTTGGGGCCGCCATGAGAAACTAGCAGCAATATGTTGACTGGTGCGGTGCCCACCATTGGCCATTGCTGGCCACTGCTGGGCGTTTTCAGTTCTTGAGGCATGTTGCAACGTTCTGGTGTTTAGGATTAACACCCCCTTAACTTCCTTGAAGACGCTCTTTCTCCTTTGAGAAAGAGGGTTGGGGGTCCGCAGGCCCGTGGGACAAGGACACGCCAGGGAGCATTTTTCCTAGGCTTGGATTGCTTGTCACACCATGTGAGCGAGCTATGCTTTTCCGTGTTGTTGTAACTTCAGCAGGCTTATGCTTCACGTACGGCCGTAGCAGGTCGTAGTCTCGGGCTCTTAAAGCACGCAACAGAAGCTAATGCTACAGCGGATTATAACGTGTATGTTCAAGCGTTTAATTCATGCTATCAGGCCGGGTGTGGTAAGACCTAAGAGATGTTGCTTGTACATGCAGCATACAATACCACACACAGCTCTTTTAATCACCATCGACCAAGTGCATGACGCTTATGGGACATAATGTTCTTCTTTGACAGTTCGCCCGAAATTGATCGATGGTTTCCTCAAGGGCGGGGGTCGGGTCGAGGAAGCGTCTGGACGCTCGGTCGTGCAAGGCCGGCGCCAACCGGCGATCAACAGCTACTTGCAATGTTGAATCTAAGCATAAAACTAAACTGCAATATATTTCCTGATCGTTTGACCAGAGAGACTTACCGCACTAGCTCGAACAGAAACCAGTTCTTCGCCAAGAACCAACCCCGCTTCTGCGCTGACGAGCCCGCTATTTCGCTAATCAATATTGCTGTGTTGGCTAGCGTCTATATTTCGTTGCTTTCTAAGGATTTGGGAGACAGCTTGCCGAGGAGGCTAAACTGCAAGGCTGCACATAAGGAGCTTTGTGTAGAGCCCAAGCCAAAACATGGGAAAGGATTACTATGCAATCCTTGGTGTATCTAAAACGGCGGATGAAAATGAGCTTAAAAAAGGTGTGCATTAGTCGCTGTCGCATCACCTCCCTTGCTCAATGCTAGGCACTGACGTCTTCTTTCACTTTTGCTTGATGTGCAGCATATAGAAAGCTTGCAATGAAATGGCACCCGGTAGGTGATAGCTGGTCGTGATCGGTCCGCCGACCTTGCATCCAGCCGGGTTACTTTATTGGGCAGTTTGCAAAGGCAAACTTTAATGGAACACAGTATAGCTCACTTGCTACTTATAGGGACACGCGTGCTCTCCTTACACCCCGTTGCTCCCTGCCACTTGTAACCCGGGGTGTTGCTTACTGCGGCGCGTCTCCTCGAGTTGTGTCATGAGCTCATGACGCTAAAACGAGTGCCATCACCCCTCCTTTGCTTCGCCCAGGATAAGAACCCGGACAACAAGGAGCAAGCCGCCGCAAAGTTTAAGGAGGTTTCTGAAGCCTATGAGGTGCGCACCATCTCCCTGACTCGTACACCTTGCCAACCCCTTGCGTAGACAGCTTAGCCCAATGCTTTAAAAACCCTTGCCCTTGCCTATACAGCAAACCCCTGTCTGTCACTGTATGAACGTAGTATGACTGTAGGGCCTACCAGCCTTTCCCACATCCTTACATGCAACCTGTCACGCATCACTCCTCGTAACCCACGCCCCTCCCAACCCCCGCCCTAACTCCCCCAACCCTCCCCCCCAGGTCCTCACCGACCCCCAGAAGCGCGAGGTGTACGACAGATACGGCGAGGAGGGCCTAAAGCAGGGCATGGGTGGCGGCGGCGGGCCTGGCGGAGGCGCGGGCTTCCACTTCCGGAGACCCGAGGACATCTTTGCAGAGGTGGGGCGGGGTAGTGGTGGGGTGGGGTGCGGTGGCGGGGTGCGGTGTGGGTCGGGTGGAGCGGGAGAATTGGTGGCGCCTGGTTGGCTTGTCACACAGCAGGGGGCTGGCGCGGCGGGAGTACATGCAGGGAGTGCATGTAGGGAGGACTGCATGGATCCAGGGAAGCGGAGGGGAGGGGTGTCCCGGCGGCCTGGGAGCCATTGCCATACACAGCACGAACGCGTGCCTCGTTCTGGGCATCCTAGCCCGATTTGGGGATCCTAGCCGGGTTTGGAACTTGCCTCACCAGCTGCTCCACTTCCGACACATCCCAGCTAGCCCCGTCTGCGATGTCCTACCCATTGGTCGTACGGTATCCCCTCACCTAGCTGAAACCCTGCCGCTTCCGGTGCGCCCTGTCCTTCCGCCGCCTCGCCCGCCTGCTTCGCCCTCCTCGCCCCCCCACTCAGTTGTTCGGCGGGCGGAGTCCATTTGGTATGGATGAAGACGACATGTTTGGAGGGGGCGGCGGCTTTGGAGGCGGCTTCCCGTTTGGAGGCTTTGGCGGCATGAACGGCTTCCCGGGTGGGTAAGGGTGGGTGCGTGGGTAAGGGCGGGGGGTGCGGCGGAGGGGGGAGCTAGCGGGGTTGCTGTGTATGTGTGGGGTCGGGGGTTCGGGTGAGGTGAGGCCTTGCCGTACGTCGCAGCATGACTGACTGGGCTCCCAACGGGAGGGAAGAAGTGTCCTGAAAGGGACACGAGGAAAGAGAGAGAGCCGCCCTGATAAGCAGAGGGAAACGGCCGATGGTTGATGTTCTTGGTTGGGTGCTCGGTCCTGGCGCTGGCGCCCGTCTGGGAGAGTAAAAGTACATGCGGCCTATCTAACCGCTGTGCACGTGCCTCTGCTCGAACCCCCCCCCGTGCCTCCTTGCGTGTAGGCATGGGCGGTATGGGAGGCGGCATGGGCGGAGGGCGACGACCCACGGGGCCGGTAAAAGCGAAACCCATTGAGCACAAGTTGATGTTCTCTTTAGAGGTAGGGCGGGCAGGTGGAGGGCTGGGGAGGGCTGAGGTGGGGTCATTTGCATGGCGGCGGAGGGGTAGACACCGGCATACCGGGGTAGGTCCTGGTCGTGAGAGGGCAGCAGCCTGCCTGGTTAGTTTGACCTGACCTGACCTGAGAGGTCCGGTGCATGCCGGCAGCAGCAGGCTGTGTGTCCTTGGGGGTTGCTCAGGCCAGGCGCTCCCTTTACTCTCAGTAGTCCTTGTTTGGCCTGTTTCTCGACCCCTCTCTCACATGGGGCCGCGGATAGTCTGATTCGTCCTGCAAATCGGACTATCGGCGGCCCCATGTTGCATCCTGGTGCCTTATCCGTTACATCCCGCCTGCATGCACTTCACCCCCCCGCCCCCCCCCCGGCCCCCCCCGCAGGAGCTGTACACCGGCACCAACAAGAAGATGAAGATCAACCGGCGTGTGAAGGGGCAGCCGATGGAGGAGATCCTGGAGATCGCAGTGAAGCCGGGCTGGAAGAAGGGCACACGCATCACCTTCCAGGAAAAGGGTAAGAGTGGCAGAGAAAGGCGCTGCATGTGGAAATATGGATTAGAAGGGTGTGAGAAATGGGGGGGGGAGAGGTGGTGTTTGCAGCTGGTTCAGGGTGGGTGGGGGCGCACGGGTGGTTCCTTCCGGTCCTGCAAAAGTAGGTGTGTGGAAAGGCCACGTGGCCTCGTGGTCACCGCTCTCCCCCACCCCGCCCTCTGCTCCCCTGTTCCCTGCTGCCGCTGTCGCTGACCCCCCACCCCCTCCTCCTCTTCTCCTCCCCACCCCCCCTCTTCTCCTCCCCCTCCTCCGCCTCCCCCCCTCCCAGGTGACGAGGAGCCGGGTGTCATCCCCGCGGACATTGTGTTTGTGTTGGACGAGAAGCCGCACGCTCGCTTCCGGCGCGAGGGCTCCGACCTGCACTTCACAGCCACCCTGCCGCTGGCGGATGCACTGTGCGGCACCACGGTAAAGGTGGGTAGTGCTGCGGGGAGGGGTGGGGGTGGGGTGGGGTAAAAACAAGAGAACTGACGTGGGGGGTGAGGGTGGGGGGTGGGATGGAGCTAGGCGGGATGAGAGCGAGAGAGTACAGGTGAAGGAAGGTGCAAACGCTGTAGCACAGGTGGAATGGCGCTTTGCTTTGTTCATTGCTTTGCTTCGCTTCGTTGCTTGGTTGAACAACGCCACCGCCCTCCTTCTCTCCCTCCCTCCCTCCCTCCCTCCCTCGTACTGGCTTGGCTAATTCGGGCTGGGCGGGTCGGGCTGGCTCACATGTAGCAAACCATGATGATGCCTTGTCACACGGTCAGTTAGATGTTTCCTCTTAACCTCCCTCGCCCCCCCGCACTCCTGGCTACCCGCCTCCCCCCAGATCCCGCACCTGGACGGCACCACCCTGGACCTAACCATCAGCAACGTCATCCGACCCGGGGACGTCAAGATCATGCGGTGAGCGGATCGCAGCGGCCCGTACCCGCCCGGGGGGGGAGTAGGAGGCGCGTGCAGTGCAATGCGTGGGGGTGATCCGCATGCCTCTGCTGGTGCTGCATCTCTCATTCCTCCCCCCACCCCCTGTATCCCTACTTACCCCCCTCCCCCCCTTCCTTCCTCTTTCTTCCCCTCCCCCCCTCACCCTTTGGGAATTCTCCTCTCCCTCCCCCCTCCCCCCCCCAGCGGCAAGGGCATGCCGGTCACCAAGGAGCCCGGCAGCTTCGGAAACCTGGTGGTCCACTTCGAGGTGCGCTTCCCGCGGGACCTGTCGGACGCGGCGAAGCAGCAGCTCAGAGGCGTGCTGCCAGCAAACTGAGGCATGGAGGCGGGGGGGGAGAAGGGGGCAGCGGTGTGGCAGCTGCCCGTCTTGAAAGGCTTATTTTCGGAGAGGACATTTCGCCGCTCGAGAAGCGGGCTTTGGGGCGGGGGGGTATAGTGTAACTGCATGAGCGAGGCAGGTTATGCTGGGTGGGTTGCCAGGTAGCAGGTGCATGCTGTGTGTTGGGGCGGCTGGTGTGCATGTCAATCGCATGTTGACGAGAGAGTGGTGGGAGGAGGAGAGAAGGGCTGCCGGGGCCGTTGTTCGTTGCATCGATACCGGTGCGTGCAGCGAGACAAGCGCCAGGCGGCTTGGAGTTTTGGTTCGGTTGGTTTGAGCTAAACATACAGTCACGCTTGTGTGTGTGTTCGTAGTTTTGTAGAGAACAATTTTGTCCAAGACAGTAGTGGCAGCAGGATCAGCAGGGCGGGGGGCGGCGGGGTATGTGTGTGTGGTGAGGTGAAGTGAATGGTGGGGTTGGAGCAGTGGGCTGCAGCAGCAAGCACGCACCTGCCGCAGCGTGTACGGTAGAAGGGCAGGGGCGCGCTAGCTGCGCTTGCGTGCAGGCACTCCTGGCTAACCTGAGTGCCGGTAGCTTACCTCGACAGTGTGCCGTGACTTGCCTGTTAGGAGAGTGTGATGGTGGAAGGGTGGTGGAGCAGGTGGAGCAGGTGAAGCAGGTGTCTGGGAAGCAAGTAGCGAGACCTTGGCAAAGGACAGGAAGTTAGGAAGAGTGCTGGCAAGGGGGGCGGGTCCAGGGATGCAGGCGCTTCCTGGCGAGGAGGGAGGGAGGAGGTTTCATCCAGCGAGGCCTTCATGGGGCGCTCAGGGACTGCATCAGATGCATGGAGTCCCGACAGGGCGGAAGCAGCACCGGCACCGGCAGCAGTGACGATATGTAGTTGGGGCGAGGCGGGCTTTCCTGTGGTGGTGGTGGTGTTGTTTACTGTTGCTTGGTTACAAGTGGACGGTAAGGTGTGGGGGTTTTAGTCATGTCGGTGTAACCCTACGCGTACGTGTGGGTTCCAGGGTTGATGTAGGGGGTGCATGTGGTGTTGATGATGATGTGAAGGTCCTGCTGTTACTGCAGCGACGGTTTAGATAGCTGCGCTGCGGAATGACCCGTGGGTCGTGACAATCCTCGTAACCGGGTGTCAGCCGTTTGGTCGTCGTACGAGTTGTGTAGGCTTTGGTTATGATGACTGCAGGTAGGTTTGGGAAGTAACAACCGTTGGATTCACCGCATGTGTTTCAGTTCTGTTTCCCCGTGGCTTGGGAGGCGAGGCGACAGTGGTGTATGCAAGAATGCAAATCCTGGGGCGAGGTCGGGGGCATCAGTGAATGGCTGAATGCGCAGCTTAATGGCACAGCAACTTCACACCCTTATGCTGATGTGGTGAAATAGTGCTTCTGGTGGTTTGAAATGGCAAGTGCCGTGCTGCCGCCGCTGCTGCTGTTGTTGTGTTGGTAGGCTGCGGAACTGCCCAGCATCAGGTTGATGCCCCACAGCACTGGGTTTCGTCTGCTGGTGTGACTGGTGTTCTTTTGGTTGGTGGAATCATGATTCCTTGTGTGGTTTAGGTGGTTTACGGATTTGGCATCCCGCGGATAAGCGTGCTCTGATATAAGCAGTTGTTTTTTCCTGTTTAAAGGACGTGTTTGGCTGTTTGTCAGGCATGTAGGTAGTCGTTGGGGGGGTGTTTTGGGGGAGAGACATCTTCTCAGCCGTGTACAGAGCGCGTGGCCAGCTTTTGTGTTGCTGGTGTCGCACTGCAACGCATTCTCGCGACATGAGTGCGTGAGAACAATTGCATGGGCGTGAGAACAACACCACACGTGTGATTGTTGTTGTCGAATACGGTGAACATATCCATGTTCTGCCACTGCCAGCGGGAAATATACCAAAGTAATCAGGAACGTGCCGTGTTTTGGGAGTCGTCTTGTCAGTCTGGTTCTTCAAGTGAATGCCCCTGACCCCTACCCACTGCTGCTGCGAAGCTGGTCTGGTTAGCAGCATCCCGACCCTTGCCGGCTATCTACTTCCTGGCGCCCTTTTCCCAGAGTACTGGAATCAAAGGGGCCAACCTGCGCTGAAGATGTAAACCATGCACCAATTCACTTCATTTATTTCCGATGTGGAGTGTTACAGAGGTACCGTAGGGCAACAGCACTCGCCGTGTGTTTTAATGACACAGCATGCTTGGGTTTATGATACACGGGTGTTTCCGAGCTCCCTGTACAGCAGGGCCGTCTGCCGTGGTGATGCATGCACTCTTCTGACCCTCCATTTCATCTCTTGGCTCCTGATGTACCGTATGTGTGCAACCTTCGAGGAACCCGATACATAGAGTCCCACTCATGAAGCGGCCCTCCAAAAGGACCAAGCACGCAGCCCATGCAGACCTATCGGGGCAACCGCTTGCCCTCCGCCCTCCGCCCTCCACCTAAAACAGAGGGAGGGCAACACCCTATGACAGCTGGGAGCGGGTAACCCCATAGACCTCGTACTCCCCTCCCCACATTCCATTCGCTGAATGCCAGAACACCATCGCCACTGTCACATCCTTAACCACACGGTTCTACCGTAACTACCACACATGGTTCCTGGTTCCGTTCGCAAACACCCCCACCTTACCCGCCTCTTGCCGGGTGTTGCATGCTTGTATTCGCTGCACCCATGCTACCATGCAGCAGAACATGAGCGCCGCTAGCCCCCTCCTCCAATTACCATATTCGTGGTTTCCTGTGGTTTGGTCTTTCCTGGCCCCCAACCATCCCGCCCCCAACCATCCCGCCCCCAACCATCCCAACCCGTTATGCATGTGTACCCGCCCAGCAACTCAACACCACACCACATCATCATCACCCCCACCACCCTACCACACACCATCCATCCCACCACCATCACAACCCCCGAAGCAGCACCCCACCCCACCCCCACCAATGTCTCTTTGCTTCTCGCCCCTCCCCCACCACTACTTGTGTGCCACCTGCGGCCGCGCCTGCACCACATACAATCTCCCCCCCACCACGCCGCCCTCCACGTCCTGATCACGGCCCCCGAACGCAGCTGCCACTCGCCGCCCCAGCCCGGCCAGACGACCCAGCAGCGCGCCGCGCAGGGCGGGGTCGCTCAGAAGTGGCTCGGACGCGTAGTCGGTGGGGCGGGACAGCAGCGGCTGCAGCGGGACACTGCGGTGAGGGAGGGAAGGGGGAAGGGGAGGGAAGGGGTGAAAAGAAGAATGCGGTACCAAATGTATTGAGTGAGGAAAGTAAACAAGACGACAAGCTCCTGCAGTACCGTACGGTAATGTTTCCTAGGACAAGCAGCAGCAAAATCGTACCTGTCGTACAGTCCGGCAGCTGCGTACTGCTCCAGATCTTCCGCGTTGGCGTCGGAGCGTGCAATCAGAGTGGGCGTGGCTCCGGCCGGCGCGTACAGAGCGATGCGCTTGGATGGAAGCGAGAGGAGCTGCATGCGGTTAACGACCCATGGGTCACAAGGACAGTTTGTGAGAAAATGGTCGGCGTTGGGGCTCGTTGGAAAGGGGGCTAATGAACACCAGTTTACGTATACAGGTCAACCTAGCATTGAAGTAAAACCCTGTCAACACATGATTGTCATTTACGGGCTATTCACGGAGCAAAGCCTTACAACAGACTTTTGTGGCCGCCAGATGCACCACCAGATGCTCCCAAACACACACACGCTTTCGTCCCCCTCACCTCCGGCTCCCCCGCCGCTCCTCCCGCTCCTCCCCCCGCTGCTGCCGCCGTGAATCCCAGCGCCCTGCCCGGGTAGTTGCCCACCAGCGTCTCACCCATACCCAGCACCACCTCACCCAGCAGTTCCCCTGGGGGGGGGGGTAGGCGGAAAGTTGTTCGGGGTGGTGGGAGTATGACAAGGGCAGAAGGGCCCTCAACGCCCCTCCATGTTCCCCCTACCCCCAAACGCACCCCACCGTCCCCCACCGCCCCTCACTCCACGCCTCCAAAGCAGGAGGGTCCTGCCCCCCCTTAGTCTCCCACCTTGCTTGTGCGTCACGGGGTTGGAGGTGTGGAGCACGAAGGCGTACTGGAATGGAACCACCTGCGGGTCAGGACGAGGGAGGAGCGCGGGCTGACACTTGCATGCACACGCCTCCTCCTTCCTCGCCACACTCGGACACTCCACCTTTCTCCCCCCCTCCGCCCACATCGTTTGGTTGCCTCACCTGTTTCCTTATTGTTACCCCCCCCTTCCGCCTGCTGCCCTTTATCCCCATTGCTTTGCCTCTTTTCCGACCCTGTTGCTTGGTTCCTCTCTGACCCCCCCCACCCCCGCGCCTGCTGATCCCTCGGGATTTGGGATTGGGACTCCGTTGCTGCACTTCTCATCTTTATCCCCCCACCCCCACCATTCGGGTGGGGTGGGGTGGACCGGATTCAATTAGCAACCCATGGCGAAGCCTCGTCATGCAATTCGTTACTTCTCCTTACTTTTACCCCCCCCATGCACTTCTCATCTATTCCCCCCTCCCCCCCCACCTCACCTGCTGCAGCAGCACCGACATCACCAGCTGCCCCTCCCGGATGCCCAGCGCCCGCCGACTCAGCCACGCGCGCTCCGTCCACTTGGAGCTCCACACGCGACACACAGCGGACCACACAGCCGGCCAGGACAGGTGCGCGGAGGTGGAGGAGGCGTGCTCGGAACCGGAGGTGGAGAACGCCTCCTCCTGCTCCTCTTCCTCCTCGGCGCCATTCTCGTCCTCGTCCTCATTGTTACCAGAGGCAGCGGCGGCAGCGGCGGCGGCGTCCTCCCAGAGGTCAGCGGAGGGGATCAGCCCCTGCGCCGCTGCCACGGCGGCCAGCTGCCGTACCAGATCCGGCGGCGCCACCAGGTCTGGGTGTACGGCAGGAAGGGTGGGGAAATGGCAGCAATTGTGGGTTAAGGGAGGGAGGCAGGGGGCCAGAGCTGATAAGCGAGCCAACCAACTCCATGTACCTGGAGTCATTGTGGCTAGAGGTATAACGGCATGCTGATACAAGCTCTTGAACACCGGTACGGAAACCCTGTCAGCCATGGCTCCGAATAGCCCGTCACCTTCCTCTTCCAACCGAGCCCCTGCAACCTGAGCGCATCGCCCAACCAACCAACCAGCCAGTCAACCCATCAGCCCGCCCCTCTCCCCCCCGCATCACACCCACCATTCTCCACCACCCGTCGCAGCTCCTCCAGCTCAGCACGAGGCAATCCGCCGCTCTCCGCCGCCGCCGCCGCCGCCGACACCAGTCGCGCCACCTCCGCCGCGGCGGCGGCGTTGCGCGGCTCCTCCGACAGCACTCGCTCGAACGTGCCGTACGGCAGAGCGACCGACGCCGGCACACTGATGACGTCAGCATCACCGCCGCCGCCGTCGGCGGCGGCGGCGGGTGCCTCCGCTAGGCGACGTCGCAGCGTCGCCAGGTTCATCGCCTTGGCTCCCACTAGCCCGGGCTGGAAATCGGACTCGCCCAGGGCCCATGCGGAGGTTTGCTGCGGCGCTTGGAGTGTGATGACGACCCGTGGGTCACTCGACCCAGCGACGGAGGCGGAGGCGGCAGTCGCTCCGTCGGCTGTTACCTGTACGGCAGCGGGTGCCTCCGCGGGCATGATGGCACTCACGGCGGGGTCCACCAGGACAGCTACCCGCTTGGGTGCTGCCCCGGTTGCAGAGCCCTCCTCCTGCTGCTGCTGCTGCTGCCCATTTGCTCCTGGAGATGCTGGTGCTGGTGCCGCCACGGCCTGCCAGGCTTGCCATGCGGCCTCGTCAAAGCAGGTGGCCAGGAGCACGCGCTGGCTGCGGTTGGGAGGGGGAACGGCATGTTTGCGGTGATGTATAACATGAGCGTTTGGTGGGGAGCAAGCGTTGATGAGGTTTGGGGGCTTGGGGGGCTTTAGTTCGGAGGGAGGTGGGCAGCAAAGGGTTCAGGAAGCTTGAAGGGGTTGCATGTTGAGTTACGGTAGGTTGACGAGTTGGGCTGTGTGTGAGAAGGCGCATTGTGTTGCACAGCGACGCCGCAAAAGCGGGCAGGGGGCAAGGGAGGGCGTTAAGGCAGTACGTGCGGGCTCCCCTCCACCTTACCTCCCTCCCTCCTTCCCCCAGGGGCCACTAACCCTCTTCTGGTTCGTGACAAACTGGCTCCCTCTATCCCCATTGATTTGCCCTAACCTGTGGTTTTGGTACACCTCTGATCCCCCTTCCCTCCCTCCTCCCTCCTCCCTCCCTCTCCCTTACCTCCTCGCCCGGATAGCCAGGTGCGACAGCACGTCCGTGCTGCTCCTCGTCAGCACCGCCACCACACCCGCCGGGATGTCCTCCACGCCCGTCAGACTGCCCGCCAACAGAACCGTGGGTCGCTCGAAGACGGTGCCCTGCACCTCCGCCAGTGCCCCCACCGCCACCACCTCGCCCGTGAGGGGAGGGGAGCCGGGAGCGGGCATGCTGACAATCTGGGGGGGGGGAAAGGCGGAGGGGGATGAGGTAGAGTGTGGTAGAGAGGAGTGTGTGGAGGAGGTAGGAGGAAGCAGCAAGAGCTTCCTCCAGGGAAGACGTTCCTGTGTTCCCTGCTGACAAACAATCCGCGTGGCCAACCCCATCCCCTCCAGGGAGCTGCCTGCTGTGTCCCCCAAGCCCTCCTGGCCCCTCACGCATACCCTGCCAGCCCCCCTACCTACCTACCCCCCTACTTACACACTCCATCCTGATGTGTGGCCCCTGCATCCCTGCATCCGTTGCCCCCTGCCCTGCCCTAGTCTCACACCGCCCGCATGTCCTCGGACCACCACAACAGTCCCCTGCACCGCCCCTCCCGCCCCGCCCCCCCCCACCTGCACCGCCCCTCCCGCCCCTCCTTCACCCCCGCCCCCTCCCCCCCTACCTGCCAGTCCGCCCCCCCCGCCGCCTCCCGAATGCCCCGCTCCAGCCGCTGCAGCAGCAGTGCGGCCAGGAACAGCGGCTGCCCGCGCACCACCTCCTCCCCCAGGTTGGCGGTGTGGGCGGGGGACAGGCTGCAGGAGCGGCCGAACGACTCGGCGTGCGGCTGGACCTGTGGGGGGGGGAAGAGGGGTAAAAATAAGGAAAACTGACGAACTGACGAAGAGGGGGGGAAGGGGAGGGGGGGAGGTGGTAGTGAGCCATGCAATTACACAGCCATACACACCAGCTCGCTATCGACACTTTGCGACTCCTTGGAATGAATGATGGTACGTCGGCCCCCCGCCCTGCCTCCTCCCATCCCCATTGCTTTGCCCCAACCTGTGGCTACCAATGGGCCGGCCTATGGTCTTTGCCAGCCCCCTCCCCCCTCCCCCCCCCCTTCCCCCCCCCTCCCCCACCAGTCCATACACCGTGTCCATGTGTGCGGTCAGTCCCAGCCCCAGTCGCTCCGCCGCCGCCCTCGCCCCCAGCGCCCACTCCCGCCCCCACCTCTCCCCGGGTAGGGGGCCGGCGGGGTGGGCGGGGTGGGGCCGCAGCCGCTCCCACAGCAGGGCGCACAGGTGCAGGTCGGGGTCGTCTAGGGTGAGCTGGGGGTGGGGAAGGGGGGGAGGCGAAGAAGGGGGAGAGAGGGGGAGAGGGGGAGAGGGGGGGAGAAGGGGGGAGGGTAAGGTTGGGGAAGGGAGGGAGAACGTCATAGAAGGCTCACATGGCGTGGTGAGGATGCCCGAATGCCCCATGCGTTCGTCTACTTCTTCTTCTTCAACCCCTGGCCACCCTAAACTCGCCACCCACGCATCCCACCCCTCCCTCCCGCTTCCCGTCCCCTCCCCCCCCCTCCCCCCACCCCCACCCCCACCCCCCCCTCCTCACCAGCGCCCCCCGCAGCACCAGCGCCACCACCTCCACCATGTCGTCCCGCCCCATGCCGCCCTCCAGCGACCGCTCCAGGCAGGTGCGCATCCAGCCCTCCAGCGCGATGTCCAGCAGCTGCAGGTCGCGACTGGACCCAGGGGACTTTGGGGGGGGGAGGAGGGGGACGGGAGGGGGGGTGAGAGGGGGACGGGGGGGAGGGGGGCAGGGGCGGGGAGGGAAAGTAAGAATAATACCCGTGTGTGTTGAATGATGGAAGCAAACGTGAGGACAAGGGGCAGGGAGGGGAAGCGACGTGGCGGGGTGGAGCGGTATAACTGCTGCGGGGACAAGTGCTGCAGGATCAGCGGCTGGTGGGGTGAGGTAGCAGTAGAACACAGGGAGGCTACCGACCAGCGCGCGCAACCGACCAGGGACAGCTGCAGCACTGCGCTGCGCTGCGGGCTGGTGCTAGGGGTGATAAGGAACACGGTAACGCTTGCAAACAGGGGGGAGCCCCGGGGAGGCCCCCTTCCCCCTTCCGTCTGGGTTGCCCTTCTCACTCAACACATCGTGAATACTTCTTTGTTCCCCCAATCCAACCCCAATCCAATCCCCCCAACCTCTCCCCCCCCAAACACACACCCACACCCACCTTCCAGTATTGCGCCAGGCGAGTGCGCGCCTCCACAATCTTGCCCGGCACCCACCACTCGTGGCGGTGGGAGAGGATGTCGTAGATCATCCTGAGGAGGGGGGGGGGGTAAGGGGGGGGGGTCGGCAGTGCAGGGGGTGGGGTGGGGTTAAGAAAACAGACCGCCAGGGGGTTGGCGGTGTGGGTATGTACAGCTGTAACCTATGCAGCCTTCACTTTCCTCGTCTCCTGGTCCCGACACCACGCCCCCTACCTCTTCGCCCCCCCCTGCCCCTCACCAGCGGGTGTGGTCGTCCATGTGCCCCTTGGCCATCTCCATGGCGGTATCCAGATCCGCCCCCGAGTGGGTGGTCTGGGGGGGGAGGAGGGGGGAAACATTGTGTGTGATAAGAGCAGCAATGGAGCTCCAATCCCAGACATATGCAGTGAGCGCAGAAGGGAGGGGAAAGAGGAGATGCCGGGGAAGTGAAGCAGGGAGGATCGGAGGTACTGAGGCGTGAAAGAGACAACAACAAAAATAGGGGTGGAGCGCCGCAAGGAGCCCTGTGCCCCCCGTAGCAGATAACTCGAGCAACAAGCAACCCCTAGAGATGCCACATCATCTGCAGTTTGCTCGTCAGGCCGCTCTATCCCTCATCCCCCTCCAGCTGCGGCTACTGCTGCTGCTGCTCCCCCCCCCCCCACCCCAGGGTTGCTCCCCGTGGTGAAGCCTACATGTCACACCGCTCATGAGTTGCCTCGTCAGTTTTTCCAAAAATTACTTACCCCACCGCTCCCCCCCACTGATGCATGAGTCGGGATATGGGATTGGGACTCGTTGTTTCACTTGTATAAATTTTTCTCCCCCCCACTGAGAATTCGTCTTCCCTCCCCCCCACCCCCCACCCCCAACCCACCTTGAGGATCCAGAGGTAGTGCTTGAAGGCGGGAATGAGGTGCGGCATGTGCTGCGGCCAGGCTGCGAGGAGGGGGGGGGAGAGGGGGGGCCGGGGACAGGGGCAAGGCGGAGGAGCGATGGGGGATGTGCTGCAGCTTGCGTACTTGCGGATGACGCATTACTGCATTACGGGAGGTTATACCTCATTACCGCATGAGGCTCAGGTGGTGGTGGTGGTGGCGATGGGGGTGGTCCCCGCTGAGTGGGGGGCGGTGGGGGCGCCGGGGGGGCTCAGGGGTGCCCTTCCTCCTCCTCCCCCATCCTCCTCCTCCTTGCTCATGCCCACCTTCCTTTAACCCTAACCCACCCACCCACCCACCCACCCACCCAACCACCCACCCGCTGTGGCGGCGCCTGGCCACACGGTCCCAGTTAGTCTCTTCCTCTCCCCACCCTGACAACCACCCCATGCCCCCCCCTCCCTGACCCCCACTGACCCCCCCCACTGGACCCGCCCCCCCCGCCCCACCCTTGATGGGTTTGGTCCAGCTCTCCATCATGCCCCGAGTGAGGCGCCCGTTGTCCCACAGCACCCGCCAGTAGTCGTCATGGTTGCCGCTGGGGGGGGGAGGGGGGAGGGTTGGTGGGGGGTATGGGATGAGGGGGGATGAGGGGGAGGGGAAGCAGGAGAGGGAGAGGGAGGGTGGTAGCCGATCGGAGGGGCTGCAGAGGTGCTGTCTGTTCCAGTGGGCCATAAGGGGCGAGGCCGCAGTAGGCAGCCGGGGGCCAGCAGCTAGCCGCGTGCCCTTCCTTCCCTCACCGCCGCCCCCCTCGTCCCTTGCTTCCCGCTCCTCCCTCCCTTTCGGTCCTCCCTCCCTCCCTCCCCATGTGACAAGTTCGGCTCGACTACCGGTAACTCGGTTCCATTCACATGAAGCTGGTTTTAGGGTTTTAGGGTTTTAGGGCTCCATGCGCCATCCGGAGCCCTCCCCCCCTCCATCCGGTTTGTCGGTTTTCCTTATATTTACCCCCCTACTTATATTTACCCCCCCCCCTACCTGTGCAGGAAGGCCAGGTAGGCCTCACAGATCACCACATCATCGGGGCTGGTGTTGGTGTGTAGCTTCTGGTGCCACTGCTCAAGGAAGGGCTCGTCGTGGCCCTGGGGGGGGGGTGGAGGAGGGGGGAGGAGGGGGGTGGGAGGGAGAGGAGGGGGGGTGTTGGGGGGTATAAATAAGGAAGCTGACAAACTGTATGACGAAGCTTCACCATGAGTTTTTGGGAGGGACGCCCTGGGAGGCCCAATCCCATACACCGTGCATGCACCAAGCACGGAACTCCCCCTGCCCCTCAACCCCTCCCCCTGCCCCCCACCCGCTCCCTCCCCCTGGCCCCCCCCCCAGCTCCCTCCCCCCCTCCCCCCCCCTCTCACCGGCCGGTGCCCCTCCCTGATGCCGTGCCCCCGCATGATGTTCAGAATGCCCATGCGGATGTCGTCACCGTTGCCGCCCCCCCGGGGCAAACCCGCCAGCGCCCCCCGCGCGAACAGGCGGGAGAGCGGGTGCGAGGCAGAGCGGGCCTGGGTGGGAGGGTTTGGGGGAAGGGGTGGGAAGGGGTTCAGGGAACAAAAACGAAATCGCAGGTTACCGGTACGGCAAGGCATTGTGGGAGCGTGGGCGCGGGGGCCGGGGGTGTGCAATGTGGCGGTGGTGATGGTTGTGGTGAGGAGGAGTCGAACAAAGGATTGTAGAGAGACTGCAAAGCCGTGCTCATGCACCCCCATGACACTCCTCGCCCCCCTCCCCCCTGCTTCCTCCCTCCCTCACCCACCTACCTTACCCGCTAACGCTAACCGCCTCCTATCCCCATTGTCTTGCCCCAACCTGTGATCTCCTATGGTTTGGTATGGTCTTTGACCCCCCTTTCCCCCCTACCTTTTCCGCGATCCTCTCCCCCGCATGCGCCTGAATGGCCGCCACGTCCTTGGGCTGCAGGTTGGCGCCCCGGTACCAATCCAGCACGCGGGTGCTGCTGAGGCGTAGCCAGGTGAACAGGAAGGCCATGCCGGGGGGCCCTGGGGGGGTTGGGAGGGAGGGAGGGAGGGAGGGAGGGAGGGAGGGAGTGTGTTAAGAAAACTGGCCGCGAGTTGGAATGTACTGTGACTGGAGGGAGTGTGTAGTTTACACACTATAAACGTAGTCCGGTTCTCTTAGGTTAGGGCGTAGCGCCACTTTCTTGCAGCAATGCGTCGTACCTCTGCAGCATTGGATAGATCAACGGTGGGGGGCTCTTTCCTGTACTGAGCTACGCAGTGGGAGATGAGGAACAAGGAGAGGAACAAGAGCCGGAAAAGGTGGGTACTTCGTGCCTCAAAGAGCCAGCGCATGCATTACTTAACGTACTTTCTATTCCGCCGCACTGGTCGCCGCCGCCGCGCCATCCTGCGTGCATAGAAAGTACGTCAAGTAATGCATTCGCAGACTCTGCAAGGAACGAAGTACCCACCTTTTCCGGCTCTTGTTCCTCTCCTTGTTCCTCATCTCCCACTGCGTAGCTCAGTACAGGAAAGAGCCCCCCACCGTTGATCTATCCAATGCTGCAGAGGTACGACGCATTGCTGCAAGAAAGTGGCGCTACGCCCTAACCTAAGAGAACCGGACTACGTTTATAGCCATAACACTGTCTTTGTTTTGGGTGTAAGTAAATGCCTGTTGGGAAGGCAAGGGAGTCTTTTGTGATAGGACCCCAATCGTTCCGGAGCTATTGGCAAGTTTACTGCAGACCGTGCCTGGAGGGAGTGTGTATGAGGGGTCAGCTGCAAAGGACTGCATACGTAGAACAGGGGGGGGGACGCAAAAGAGGAGAGGGGTTTGTTTGTAGGGTGCCGGCAGGACCGCTCCGCACCATCTGTCTCCCCCACCTGCGCCCTCCTGACCCCCAGTTTCCCCATACCCCCGCATGGGGTTTTTCTCCCCGCCCACCCCTCCTCTCCCCTCACCCGCCCCCACCCCCCCTCCCCCCCTCTCCTCCCCCCCACCCAAAACCCCCACCCGCCGCCTCCGCCGCGTCCAGCACCTCCGCCGCCAGCCCCAGCCGCTGCGGCAGCGACCAGTGTGAGTAGCTGCTCTCCGCGGTGAGGACCTGGGATAGGGGGGAGGGAAAATATATAATGAGACACCCTGCCCGAAGTAATCTAGCCGAAAAAACTGGGGGGGAAGGGGGAGGGGAAGGGAGTCCCACGCAGGGGGCGTTTGCGAAGAGACGGGTGGGTGGTGGAGGCACCCCATACCCGCACCAACGGGGCCCTAGAGCCCACTATCCAGCCCACTCCCTGCCCTCCCCAATAGCCCCTGCTGCCCCCCACCCCCACCCCAGCAACGTTGCAGCCACCCCCCCCGCCCCGACTCACCTTGTCCATGAAGGACTGCAGCGGCGGCGACCGCAGCGGTACGACATAGTTGGATCCACCGTTGTTGTACCACACCTCGTCGCCCGCCTGCGACTCCGCTGCTGCGGGCTGCTTGAGCACGAAGATCAGCTGGTAGGGGCACTCGTCCTGGGGGGGGAGAGGGGTAAGGGCCGGAGCAGGAGAAGGGGAAGGGGAAGGAGGGGGGTCGGGAGGTTGTGAGGGACAGGGTAACAGCATTGTCATGGGGGAGAAGCTGCTGCTGATGATGATGATTGACAAGGGTACGAGGGGCGAAGGATGCGTAGGTAGAGAGGTAAATGCAGAAAAGGTAAGTACACAAAGAGAGGTAGGCACCGGTATACAAGTGATCCCAGTATATGTCCACCCCTTTGCTCCCATCTATCCTACAGTTGGTGGCATCTCCCCTTACTGATTACGGTAGCTACCACCATACCCTGAACACCACGGCATTCAGCCCCCATCCCCTCCTCATCCTCCTCATGCTCCCACCCACATGCTACATTTACCATCTGTTCCCCCCCAACCTAACTTGTGGTTTCCTATGGTTTGGTAATGTCTTTGACCCCCCCCACCTGCGCAAAGCTCAGCTGCAGGCGCCCCTCCTGCGTGAAGGACGTCTGGCAGGGGCCGGTGTCGCCCCCCGGCTGCCCGGTGCCGGGCGGGCGGGAGGAGGGCGGCGGTGAGCACCAGTCGTCCACCCCCCAGTGCAGCACCAGGGAGGGGGAAGGCGGCTGCTGGGGGGGACGGGGGTCCAGCTGCAAGTCAACCTGGGGAGGGGGGTGAGGGGGAGGAGTGGGAAAACACGTGTATGGGGTTAACTCCCCTAACGGTGCGCTAGGTGTGTGGGACCCGAGGTGAGGCCCGAAAACTACGGTAGTAAGGGTGCAGGGCGTCGAGCAGGGAGCGACAAAACGGCCTGGTATCGGTAGCAAAGCGAGTACGGCACCTAAGTGGCGTACGGGCCGCAAATGGCTGTACGACACGTGTATCACTGTACGGCAGCTGGCAGGCGGCCCCCACCCCCCACCCCCAAACCCCCCACCCACCAGGAACTGTCCGTCCCGCAGCTCCACTCGCGCAGTGAGGCCCACATCGTCCCACCTGGGGGGGGGGGGGGGTAGGGACAGGTGCCGGTAGGGGAGGCGAGTAGGGGGGTTGGGAGGCATGGAGATGGGGGAGCACCAAAAGCATTCTTACGAATAGGGAACCTGCACCAGTACCGGCTGCGTACCGGTATGCCCAGCGCGCATCCATACATGGGACATGGCGCCTCAGGCAACCCCAGGTGCAGCAGGCAGAGGACAGCAGGAAGCAAGGACAACACAACACCTGCAGCTGCAGCTCACCTGACCTCCCTTAGCACCGTAGGGGCCTTGCTTGCGGCCTTGCCCTTGCCCTTGCTCCTACTGCTCTTGCTCTTGCGCCCGGCACCTGCTGTGGTGAGGCTGCTGCTGCTGCTGGGTGGGGCCTCAGCGGCGGCATCCGCAGCAGCCCGGGGGAGCCCGGGCAGCCGTCCCGGGTACCGCCGTACGTCTGCGTGGGGTTGGAAGTTTGGTGTGGCAAGTGGGGTGGTAGTGCTATGCTTGGATAAGGAACGCTGAAGGGAGAGGCTGGCATGAATGAGCTACCGGTGCGGTATTTGCACGTCCTGGCGAAACAACCCGTTCATTGGCAAGTCCTCATAGGATTAACCGTGTATCCGAGGGTGTTAGCAAGAATGCAGTTATGTTGCTGAAGTGCAACTGGATGCGTCCCGATGGAGGACACGGGTTTCAGGTTTGCTGGACAGACGCGCCCATTTGGGTGGTCTTACCTCGCAATCCACTGGTAAATAAACACTGGACAGATCCTCGGCCAATCGCATGCAACCTACAAACGCGGCTGTGTCAGCCAATGCTAGGAACAAGCATGTCATTTTTCCCAAGCGCACGGTGGCCCAAAGCACGACGGTACCTGCTAGTAGCAAGCAATCGCTTCGTCCTGTGATTAAACGCGGCTAGTGGCGACTGTTGGTCTTTGCTGGAGGTGCTAGGGCCTCCGACGGGTGATCTGACACCCGGCCTAGAGGACAGGCGAGCAATACAGCTTGCCATTCTGCTTAGTTATAGATCCCCCAGTTTGGAATCTCGCCAAACGTTGTTTTCAGGGGTTTGGGACGAGCTAGATACGGTACGGCGCTTGCTGACAAGATGATACGATTCAATAAATATCTCCAGAGCTCTTATAAGTCCCCCTTGTGACCTTTACATTCTATTACAGGAAGTTTCCCTGAAATTTGGGACACTAGCTGAGGCTCTAATCAACGATTATGGGGAACCTAACCGTCACGAAGGATGCAAGAACCTTTTCCTGTTGACGTGCAGTTGCGCCACTGAGCTACCCATTACAGACATTGTCGTTTGTCACTTGGTGATCCCTGAGGTGAAAGTCGCGTTGCGTCGCATCGTATGGGGTGGCGACGATGCGTTATGCCTGACTGGTGGAAGGGTAGCTTCGGCTAAGTAATGCGACGTTAGCTATCATTAAGCGAAATCAAAAGCCACCAACGTACTCGCGTTCATCAAAACTCACTGCGTCCCCCAGGGCCCCTCCCGGCTGCCAAACAAACCGTGCCTTTTACCTGAAATGCTAAACGCTGCCCCGGTTACCTATTTACCCTTACCAATATTTCGAGCAGGAAGGTAGGATCGCTATTGCCACCTAACCCCACCCCGCGATAGGGACATAATTCAGGGCCCTCCCTTTCACCTCTCCTCCAACCGTGAACCCCCAAGCAACCAAAGCCAAGCCACTTCACACGTTGTCCTCGCTGCTGTACTCTCAACCCGACCCACCAACCTTCCCACGATGCGTTTTGCTGAATGCGACACAATGCCTTATGAATGCGTCATGTATGGAACCCTCAAGATGGCGCCGAATGGAATCATGCATCAAGAGGACTCATTGCGTTCCTGCTGATGGCTGGCGTCAACAGGCCCGGGTGTGGCTGCTGCTGCGCCCACCCCGTCCCCGCCACTTCCAGCGCCGCCAGCAGCAGCGTCATTCAATCCCGCTGCTGCTGCTGTTGGTAACGCAACAGCAGGTGCTGCGCCGCCCCTGCCACCTGCCGCAACCCGCTGGAAAGGGCAGCTGCAGGAGATGCTGTCACCACAGCTAGGGCGCGAGCTCAGCGCCCCTGCTGGCCCTGCAGCCTGGGAGGCCTTCAGGAAAGTCTGTTTAGAGGCTCTGCAGGTGAGCGTACGCAAGCTGTGCAAGGTGCATGCGCTTCCGGAGAGAGCTGACTGGCACGGACGAGGGGCAGGGCACACCGTTTTTCTCCCAGTTGGAAAGCATGGCTGCACAGAACCCATCAGCGCTGACACGCCTCAAGAGGCAAGTCAGCTGGTGGTACTGCTGCAGGACGGTCCGGTGCCACCACAGCACGGCGTTGTCGCCGATCCGGCGGCTCACATCCCAGAAGGTGCGGTTGTCTGGCAGGCAGTCAACTACGGTGGGCTGGATGCTGTAGTTTGAGCTGCAGTCCTGGCACCAGAACAGTGGGACCTCCACGCTGATAGCCTGATCCCACATGACGATGGTTACGGGGCACCTTTGGCAGCCTGCTGGGCTGCCTGCTGTTGAGCACCGCGGGCAGGGTGGCGGGGTGTCAACTGCACTGCGGACTGCAGACTCGACCTCGCGGCGCTGTGCTGCCAGCAGCCGCTGCCGCACCCCAAGCGCCAAATGGTGGTGGTTGATGTAGGCTTGTGACAGAGCATCTCCGTAAACCAGCGGCTCCTGCTCGTCGCTGTGGCTGCCAGAGTCGGGGTCGTCATCGTCAGAGTCAACGCCATGCGGCTCGCCAGCGAACGGTGGGAAACAGTTATCACTCACCTAGACTTATCAGGCTCTTTTAAGTGGTCCTCTGGAACATTGCTAGGTATAAGCTCTTGAGTATTGCCAGAGATGGGCCGAGGTAAGAAACGCTATTCAGTTAAGGAGCAGGCCTAGTCAAGCGAAGTCGACTGCCGTTGACGTATGTCGTACAATGTTTCATTACCGTTTCCTGGGTCTCTGCAATTTTTCTACAGTGCAGTTGTGTTATTATACGGGTATAAGCGTGCCCTTGCTATATTGAAGATTCCTAGCTTGGCCTTGCCTTGAGTTTAACGCCACTGTGCGGACATCAACACTGGCAACCACTTTCATTCCTTTGAATTTGCCGCTATTTACTCCTGACTATGTAGGACGGCGTATTCACAATGGTTTTACCTTCCTATCTACGTATTCTTGAAGCATCGGCCACACCTTCCTACCTGTAGGCGAGCCATGAAAGACGGATAAATATACATTATACTTGGGTCACATAAACAATTTCTTAAGGGCTGAATGGCAGCGCTCTATGGCACAACGGGAGGCGACGACGTAAGCTATTCCCGCACTCTAAACAAGCTGCTGAAGGTGGATGTTGAGAAACCTCCTTCGACCGGTCCGGAAGCATCCAAGCAGAAGATTGTTGCTGCACATGGCCGAACGTCATCCCGCCGCGGCATGGAGGCGACAGTTGGAGCGGTCCCGACTGCGGGGTTGCAGGTATGCGGGCACGTCAAGCGAAGACCGCATAAGGCGACAAGGGAAATCGGCCTCCGCCGTCGACCCTTCAGAACGGGTTTGGTGGATATTGATGGTCGTTACATTCATACCGGTAGTAGCAGGGGAGTGCGTCCCGGCTCTACTATCTCCTAGCATGTACAAACCTGTGTCAGAAACGGCACCTAAGTCTATTACGACGTTCCAGAAGCGTCAAAATCACTCCCCGCTCCCAACCTCCCATTCCCTGTGCATCCCTTAGGTACACTGGTGGGAGCCCCAAGGCAGCACCCCCAACCCTCAAAACTGGCAGCAGCGTAACGGTGCCTCAGGCAAGTGCTTCACGAGTGTCTTGGGCAAGATGGCTTGGCATCATGTACTGTCATTACGTTTACCGGGTACCATTGACTGGTTAAATGCTTGGTTACTTGCCTTACCAACCCACACTTCACTGCTTACTATCGTCTACATTGCGTTAACTGGTCAGCCGACCCTCCCATCCAGGAAACGCTTGAAATACCAAACATCTTCTGTCCACGCCTCGTCCCAAACCCCCGAATTCCCCCGCACCGCCGTCCTTCTCCCAGGACCCTCCAACTTTAGACCGCGGACCTCCCCACAAAGCCCCAACAGCCGCCACCGCCACCCCAGTTCCAACCGCTATCTCAATCAGTACCCAGCCTACCTAGAGGACGGCCCGCACGGCCCCGACCCCCCAGCGAGCTTCATGAGGACGCCCTGGACCTCCAGATCCACCACTCGAGCCCGCCGCTCCACTAACCCTCAGCGAAACAGCTCCGAATTCTCTCCGCCGTCGTCGCCGTCACAACGGGGAGCCGACGGCGGCGGCAGTGGCGGCGGCGCCGGAGGCGCCGCCAACGGCGGCAGCAGCGGCGCTGCAACCACCAGCAGCGGGCCGCACCTTCCGGCCAGGTTCTTTCCTAGCGCGGGGCCTCTGGGCCGCCGTCCAGTTCATCCACAGCTAAGGTACCTAAACCAACACCTTCACGGCCAACAGCAGCAGCAGCCACAGCAGGCATTACAGCAGCAACAACAACAGCAGCTTCAGCAGCAACAGTTTGTCGTACATCAGGCGTTGCCGTACTCGGCCCTGCCGTCGACGCCGCTGTCCGACTCGTGTACGACGGGTCTGAACGGTACGGCGACGCCCACGACGGCGGTAGCGGCGACGGCGACGGCGACAGCGGCGGCTGCGGTGGACAGCGGCGTCGGCCTTGGAGTTGCGTTTAGAAGTCGTGGCGGCGGAGGCTGCTTTAGTAATTTTACATACAAACCGGCAACGAACATGGTTGCTGAACCAGCGGCGGCGGTGGTTCAGCGGCGGGAACGTACGACGGCGGCCATTGGAGCCGCGCGAGGTGACGGCGGCGGCGCGGCGCCGCCGGCCGGGGCAGCGACCGCCGCCGCTGCCAATAACACTTCCGGGACCGCTGGCGGCGGCGGCAACTGCGCTGCCTCGCAATCACCGCGGAAGCGTTCAATGGTCGCAAGGTCCGCCTCTCCCGCCTGCAGTAGCCAACCGTACGATAACGGCGGCGGCAAAGGTGTCGTACGAGAGTCCTTTTCGATGGTCGCTGAGGGCGACGGCGCCGACGGCGACGCTGGCAGCAGCGGCGGGCTAGGTGGCTACACCTTGGGGACGCTGACGGAGGGAGGCATGGAAGGTAGTGGGTACGGCGGTGGCGGCGGTTGGCAGTGGCAAATGAATGGGCTGCGGGGCTCGTGGCCGACGGCCGACGGAGGCGAGGGGCTAATGGGCGGTGGCGGCGGCGGCACTGGCGGAACGGGATCGCCGTATGGCGATCGCTCTCGACCCATGACGGCCCCAGAGAATGACGTCACCCAGCGGCGGGGGTCTTCCGGTAGAAGGCGTTCGGGACGTTCCGAAACTGCGTCTCCGTCGCCCTTTGCGCCGCCGCAGCAGCTCTACATGCGGGCGCAAGAAGAGGAGGCGGCGGCGGCCGCCGCCGCCAGGGACGTTGCTGATCTGTACGACACAACCGAAATTCCGGCCCAACGGATATCGTCGCTGTCGCGACTGAGCTTCGCGACGCTTCGTCCCTTGTCGCCGACGGGAGGAGCGGACGACGCGACGGACGATGCCGACGGCACGGCGCCAAAGGTGCCTCGCAACCCATCCATTCGAACTCCTGGCGACGGCGGCGACACTGACGGGCGCGCTCCACCAGCAGTGAGCCGTGCGGGTTCCACCACCGCGGCACCGAAGGGGTCCCGACGGCTAAGAGCATCCAGCGGGGGAGCAGCACCGACGGATGCAGCTGACGCCAGCACTGGCGGCGCCTTTGCCAGCGCGGCGGAGGAGGGTACGGCAGCAGCAGCGGCAGCGGCGGCGGCGGCGACAAGTGCTGGTAGCGGCACTGCAGCAGCCCCCCGGGCCTCGCGCGGGAGCTCAAGTCCGGGCGTTGACCTGCAGACCTCGTCCTCGGGCGCTGTGGCGGTGGCTGGGGACACCAACCGCACCCTGCAGGTGGGCATATCCGTGGCGGCTCTCGCGGAAATTGTAAAGGTGCTCGGTCCCTCGCAGCAGCAAGCCTCCACGGGGGAGGTCCTTTCCCGTTGGCTTCTGCCCGCCACCCAGGCCACAAAATGCCGCTTCCTGGACCTCATCCTTTGGAAGCCCCGAGTGCTGCTTGGGGATCCAAACGACCCCGGGCTGAATGGCAAGCCCCAGCCGTCGCTTCGGCCTGAACGCAGCTGGACGGGGCCGCCCGACTTTTACGTGATCCATGCCTGGGCTGGCAACTTTGCTGCGTTGGTTGCGGCACTGCAGGAGCATTGCGCCAGCGTTAACAAGTGAGCTGTAGCTCCCTGGAGTTGGGTTGGGTCGGGTCAGGTTGTGAAGGAGGGGGGGTTAAGGCCTTCTGGGCGTGTATGCCACCTTACACCATCCTCCTTTCTTTCATCATCCCCCAATCCGGGACGTCATCAACCTGTACGGTATGCTGCGGACCTGCGGTCACGGTCATGGTAGCTCATGATGCGGCTCAGTGGATCTGTGATCTACCGGTAACCCCGATAATCGCCACTGCCGTACAACACGTACCTGCCGCCACACGCAGGAGCCCCGCCACCGTTCGCGTGTGGCTGGACTGCATGGCCGTCAACCACCACCCGGGATCGAGAGACAAGAAGGAGCTGGCGGTGTGCAGGTGTGCGCGGGTTGACAGGGTATTTGGGGGGGGCTTGTTATGTTAAGGGGTATGTTGGGGAAGTTATGTTATGGTGCCGGTATGTTTTCCGGCATCCTAGGGTAGCTTAAGCGTATGTTGGGGGTGTCTGGGACGGGAAGGATCATTCATAAATGCCGTACAAACTACAAAGCCAATGCCAACGCTCTTGTCAGCGTTTGTTTGTTTGCTACGCGGTTCCGCTTGTTGCGGTCCAACAACGCATATCTTCACCCTTTGCACAACTCGCAAGCACCTGCACACCTCCCGCCCTCCCTTTTTTGTGACAAACTTCTGCACCCTATCCCCTGCTATGTTTTGCCCTGACCTGTGGTCCTGGTTTCCCGGTATCTCCCTCCCTGCACATGCAGACACATGCTGGCGTCGGGTCGTCGCGCGCTGCTGGTGATGGATGCGGGTGCAGAGTGTCTCACCCGCCTGTGGTGCCTGTATGAGGTGGGAGGGGATGGGAAAAGGAAATTCCAAAGTGTGGTGTGATAATGATACAAGTTACTGACAATCCCTGGTGGAAACAACCGTGAGTCGAGCCGAAAGCTGGGGGGCTGTGGGTGCGGTGGGATGCGGCCGTGGTTGAGTGAATGACCGTTACAATGGTTCCCTGAAAGGGAACACGGGTTGTCGTTGTTGTTGCTGGTATGAGCGTTGCTGGTATGAGCGTTGCTGCTATGAGGCTCTTCCATCATGAATACCTGACCTTCTTAACCCGTCCAACGGCAACTCTGATTGACATGCAATGCCCGCCCACCCCCCGCAGGTGTGGCTGGTGGCATGCGTGGTGCCGGGCGCCAGTCCCGGCAAGCTGCAGCTGCTGAACGCGGGAGCGGACTGGCGCACCGTGGCAGATGCGTTCCTCAGGTGGTGCGGGATTGGAGGGGAATGGAGTTGAATGGAGTGGGGGCAGGGTGGAGTGGGGGTCGAAATAGACCAAACCTTAGTAGGGGTGGCGATGCGTTGTTCCTTTTGTTGCTTTTGTGTGCTTTATGTCTCGAAGTTCATGCTGCTTTTGATGCAAACCGGATGTTCCTTGAGTGCTTTTGACCACAGTGTGACCAACTGATACCCACTGTGTTATGAGTATCACAATACCTTTCCGACTCGCGGCCGGTTTCCTCCAACAAAGGTGTGGCCTGTGGCGGCATTGGCCCTTGATTGAACCACGTTTAAACACAACGATGCACAATCCCGCAGGATTGACTTGTCTCGAGCGGGCGTCACGCTGCCGGAAGACCGAAGCAAGCTACTCGAGGATTTTCTCCGGGCCACACGCAGTAACGCCGCCGCCGGCGGCAACGGCGGCAGCGGCGGCGGCGCTCCCGGTTCGCCGCCCGTCGTCGGCGGCGGCCCTGGCAGCAACAACCCCGGCGCCGCCTCCGCACTCACATTATACCTAGTAGGCGCGGCGCTGCCGAAACTGAGTGCGGCGGTTCGCGGGGCGATTGTGGACGCGACGGCGGCGGCGCTGGCGACGGCTCGTCGGTCGGCTCGCGGCGCGGCGGGGTTGCTGGCGCTGCTGGATGCTGCTGAGAGGTACGAGCGATGTGTACGGCAAACAATGTTATAGAGGCTTGGGATGCTCCTAGAGCAGGCGGGTTACTTTGCTTTGCTCTTTTCGCTACGCGGCTACATAATTAGGCTAATTAGGTCGCTGCTGTCATTGTAGCTACTTCTGTATCGCTGCTGCTGCTTGAACCGCAGCTGTTGCTATTGCCAGTGGCCCTTGGTTTCCGCCTGTTTTCTCATGCACGTGTGTACCAACCGTCTTGTACCGTTGTTATTCCTCCCTTGTATTTGCGTTATACGCTTATACATGTACCTGCTGTTCTGCCTCGTACAGATACGCCATGATCCGCTGCATCGGCGGGGGTCATGTGGAAGCGGAGGAGCAGCTCACGGAGGTCGTCGCCGCGGTGTTCGAGGCTACCGGAGCAAAACCGTACGCCGGGCCCGCACCGCTTTCTCACACGCAACTAGCGCAGACGGGGCATCATCAACATAGCGGCGGCGGCGGTCCCGGCGGCGGCGGCTCTGCCGTACAAGCCATACAACACGGCGGAGGTGAAGACGCGATCATCGTCAATCTGCCCGCCGGCGGGGACTGGTCGGGAGATCTTGAGGGTTTGGACGCCTTGAGCGAAGGAGGGGGTGGTGACGGAGGCGAGGGGGATGAGTACGGCAGTGGCGGCGGCGGCGGTGACGGCGGCGGCGGAGGAGCAGCTTCAAGGGGTGGTCGGGGGGGTCCTCAAGGACGCCGCTCGTCGTCCGAGACTAGCGGGCCGTACATTGATTACGGCAACGACGCCGTGGCGGCGGCGATGGCTGCCGTACTGGCGCCAGCTGGGAAAATGCCGCACTTGAAGATTAACGCTGGCGGAGCCGGCAGCGGCGGCGGCGGCGGTGGGGGAAACAAAGGCGCGGCGGCGGCCGCCGCCGCCGCCAACGTAGCGAACTTGTGGCGTCGGAGACCGGCGGCGCTAGCCGCACTGGCCATGCTGCAAGTGGAGCATGGTCGTCGCGTGCTTGCGATGACACACGCTTCAAAGGCGCTGTCTTTTGTGCCTGGGCTGACGCTTGTACGGAAGGACAAGGATCCGAACAAGGAAAACGGTCAGGAGGGAGGCGACAACGATAATGACCACAACAAGGCCCGAAGCAGCAACACTCGGACCTCATTGTCCCTGTCAACAACAGCGCCAGTAGCGACTACGCATCAGCACCGTCAGAGCACCTCATTCGCCGCTGCTGCTGCCACAGCTGCTGGCAGCGGTGGTGCAGCAGCAACGCCTGGAGCAGCGCCCGAGGCGCAGGCGAGCAGCTACAGCAGTGGAGGAGGGACCCGTGGGTCACAAGGCGCGCCCGGGTCGCCCACACAGCAATCTCGAGGCGCGCAGGCTGTGGCAGCTGGGCAGGTGGCTTGGAAGGGCGCGTATTGGGAGCTGGCAAATCCTGCGGCGGCGGCGCCTGGTACGTTGTTAGCAACTTAAACATAAGTATTGTAAGGTTCGTGCGGAAGGCACCTGTTGGCACTTGCATGCACAAAATTGTAACATTGTCGTTTTCGGTATCTCCCTACTCATCCCCCCTCTCTCCCTCCTTTCCTCCCTCGCTCTTCCTTCACAGTTGCCGTACGCACCATAGTCATGGTCTCCATCGTGGAATCAGCATGTGGCAGGTACCGTAGCTCGCCAGGGACCCTGCGGTGTTGCCTGTTTAGGATAGCCGAGATGCAGCAGTTATGTCCTCTTTTGGCTCTCCTTTAAGCCGCGTGCATGCCGGCCCGCCAAGCCAGGAAAGGAATATCTGTTCGTTTCTCCCGCACTCTGACCCTGTCCTCGCACGCATGCACCGTCCTGCCGCTGTCCCCAACTCCCCGTTGCTCCCCACATAGGCATGAGGCAGCGGCGCAACTGGCTCTGCAAGCGGGTCTGGCAAGGGCGGCGGCGCTAGGTGCGTCCTTTGAACAACCTCTCTGAGGATCTGAGCGGACGGAGAGGGGACCTGCATCCTCACACAGCACCGCAAGGCCTGACCCATGGGTCACCGAGACCTCTCTCTGTGCACTGTCTCCTCCCTGCCCTCAGGTCCCGCCCATCCCGCCACTCTGGCCATCCGCCGCGCTGCCGTGTCGCACCTGCTGGCAGCGGACCGGCCGGTGGATGCACACCTGCTGGCCTCGGCGCTGCTGAGGGAGGCGGTGGCGGTGCATGGGGAGGTGAGGGGGGGTGCATGGGGAGGTGAGGGGGGGGTGCATGGGGAGGTGAGGGGGGGGGGGGTGCATGGGAGAGAGGGACGCGGCAGTGGATGCAGGTATGCGGGGGATGGAAGGGGTCAGAAAGAAACTAACAAGGGCAGGGGGGTTACTAGGCACGGTAATAGCGCAGAGGGGTGGTAGCAGTAGTGCAGCATTTCCCACGCATTAACCCCCTTTGCCCCTTCCCCTTCCCTCCCTTCCCCTTCCCTCCCTTCCCCTTCCCTCCCTTCCCCTTCCCTCCCTTCCCCTTCCCTCCCTTCCCCTTCCCTCCCTTCCCCTTCCCTCCCTTCCCCTTCCCTCCCTTCCCCTTCCCTCCCTTCCCCTTCCCTCCCTTCCCCTTCCCTCCCTTCCCCTTCCCTCCCTTCCCCTTCCCTCCCTTCCCCTTCCCTCCCTTCCCCTTCCCTCCCTTCCTCCTTGCGTCGCCACAGAGCCACCCGGCGGTGGGGCTGTGTCACGGCGCTGTAGCCCAGGTGCTGGCGGCTCAGAACCGGCCGCAGCAGGCCTTTGTGAGCGCGCAGCGGGGGGCGGAGCTGCTGGCGTCGGTGCTAGGTCGCACGCACCCCGCCACCCTGGACGCGGTACAGATCTGTGTAGACGTGTTGGAGAGCGTGCAGGTGGGGAAACGGAGGCGGCGGGTGGGGTAGAGAGGCGCGTGTTGCTGCTCTCATAACCCCTCCTCTCCTGCCCTACTCCTCTCATGCCTCCCTTACCATGCCCACCCCTCCTCTTCCCATGCCCACCCCTCCTCTTCCCATGCTCCCCTCACCCACCACGCCACACAGGAGTACGGCAAGGCGCTAGCGCTGATGCGTGTCGTGGTGGAGGGCCGCGGGGCAGCCGGGGCCACCCGCGCCTCGCCCGCCTCCCCCGCATTCCTGGCGCCCACAAACCGCCTGCTGCACCTGCGGACGGCGGCAGCGCTGGAGGTAAGACAGGAGGAGAAGAGGGGCGCCAGTGGGGAGGGGCATGGTATGGCATGTGGAGGCGTACGGGGGCACCATGGATAGGGCTAGGGCTAGGGGGAAAGAGGGCGGGAGGTTGGCTGGATGGTACGGGTGTGGTGTACGGCAAGCAACCGTACAGCATACGTGCATGGGACTTTATGGAGGGTATGCTGCGGTGTCTGAGGGCTGGGCCGGGGCTCCGGGCCTTCAGCATGCCTTTTTCGCTTGAATTTTGCGTCCTACGGGGGCATGCGCCGTACGGAATCGCCCACACGGCACCGCATCTCGGGGCTTTCCCAGCTGCCTAGGGTGCTGCATGGACATGAATGCATGAATGGCCGTTACCGTGGCTCCCAAAAATGGAACTCGGGGTGGAAAACCCAACCCTGCACTTCTAAAAAAACGGAACACGCCAACATGGTACTGAGGGGCGCTGTGCCGAGCTCCGTGTAGCTCTGATGTGAACTCCTAGGAGGGTCCTGGGAGGGTCCCAACGTCCCCTCGTACAAAGCCCTTTGCAAAACCCACATGCGCGCCCTCACCTCCGATTATCCCCCCCTCGCCCTCATGTCTCGTGCCCTCTCTGCTGCCTCCCGGCGGTCACAACCCCAGGACAAGGCAGCCGCAGAGAACAACTCCAGGTACCGGAAGCATGCATGCTGCGATGTTGGCCCTTGGTTTTGTGCTCAGCGTGCTGCCGTGTTTATTTTTTTCCTGGGGGCGTGTTTTTGCGCCCATCCCCCCGTTGCTGCGCTTCCACGGCCCCTCTCTGACCCCCCTAACCTTCCTGCCCTGCCCTATCCTACCCTATACCCCGCCTATCTCCACAGCATGGGTCGGCGCAACCTGCTAGGTATTCTGCGCGGTCTAGCCAAGCTGGAAGCGGAGCTGAAGGCAGCTCTCATGGCGGTGGGGGGACGCTCCGTGCAGATACAGGTAGGAGGGAAGAAGGGAAGCGGGAAGCTCGGAGTTTTGGGAGGCTTAACAGTCAGGGATGTAGGGTGGAGTGATGCCGGGTGCGGCAGGGGGGGGCCACCTTGCATACGTTTTGCAGGGTGTTGTTGAGCGGGTCGTCGTCATGAGGGCCGTGGGCCGAAGTCTGACGAGGCGCATGCATTCCTTTGTTGGCGCCTGCATTGCGCAACAACATGTCGAGTTACCTTGCTGACCCATGGGTCATGCTGCACCACACATGCACACGCAGTTATTAAGTATAAAAGCAAGCGGGCGCTGCCGGCTGCTGCTGTATTCCGCATGCAGTTTGTGGTGTTTACTTTTGGCAGACCCATGGGTCGCACCTTGTCCACATTTTTCACCGTTTCCCTTTCCTGTCCCCCTGTTTCCACACACTCTTTTGAAAACGCAGCGAGATTTGGAGCAGGTGTTGCTCGCTCAAAACAAGCGTTACGAGGCAGCACTTCTGCAGAAGGGCGAGCTGCCTCTCACGCGCATGGCGGGGGAGGCGACCGGCGGCGGCGGCAGCAGCGGGGCAGCAGCAGGTGGACCGAGCAACGGCGGGACGGCTGGCGGTGGCGGCGCCGCTGCCGGCGGCGGCGGCGGCGGTGGTGCCATGGGCGGAGGCATGAAGCCGTTGATGGCTTCGGGAGGTGGCGGCCCCTTGCGAGCCACACGGTAGAGGCATGCAAGAGATGTACGTGCGGGGGAATCTGATGCTGCGGCTTGCTTGAAGCGGCACCTAGGGTATGCCAACCATGTGCGTGTGCATACATGCGCACACGTTGCGTGCAATGCGGACGTGTTGTTGTGCCTGCGACTCATCTCCCCTTGTCCTCTTGTCTTGACTTCAACTTGGTGAGTTGGTGTTGAAGGGAGTTGGAACCGGAAAGGGGAAGGGTCTGTGCGTGATGAGCCATCTGTCACGTCCGGGTTTTGGGTGTGATTAACGCATGTAGTTGTTTTCGACGAATGTGCGTATTGTTGAAAGCCACCTGTTGAAATGAGTGAGGGAGATTGACCGAAGTGACCGAAGAAACTTAACGACGACTTTACGAATAGTGCCGACTGCACCCTTCGGAGGGCAGAGCCCCTACAGGCCACGCACGCCGCCAGAAAGCAGACGTTGAGAAGCTTTTTGGAGGGTCGCCTTTGTTGCACATACACTTGGACATAATGCTGGTTGTTTCTGAGCATGGCTTTTGGGACATATCTGGCGTTGGAAGGGAGGGATCGTGACCGGGCGGCTCTAAATCGCGCCCCTAATTATTACCGGCATCCGCTTGCTGACGGCGGGAAACCTGATTGGATCTGCAATCCTGTGTGTTAAGATACCTGGCTACAAGTGGCCCTCTGTGTGTGTCTTTGTTCTCTCTGTCTGCTTCAAATACATGCCTATGCTATAACATACTTGGTCCTTTTCTGTTTGTGCCGGTATCGCGTGCATTGTTACGGGTACGTAGGATCGGCGGCGCTTGGCTGAGAGTCAGCTGCAGTGAGAGAGCTCTTGAGTAAAGCAAGAGGGCTATTAATATGACTGTTGTATCCTGCTGTAAACGCGGGGCGTGCTTGCTGAAACAGCAGCTGCGTTTCTGAGGAGAGGGTTTCAAAATCTCAATTGGGTCCGCAATACGAACGGCCGATCCTATTGTCTTATGGATTGGCGTTCGTTAGTTTGGAAGTTGCATTGTTGTATGTATGTTGTTTCGTTTTGCGCCTCCATATGTAAGGTATGTTCACGATGAATGGGTCTTTTAAACAAAGGTTTGGGTGACATTGAGGTGGCATTCTGCAAGTTGCATTGGCTGCTTTTGGCACTACGAGTTGTTGTCGTTGCCGTTGCGACGCCCATTGGGGGGATCAGGTTGTTCTTCCGAAGGGACGGAAGAACAACCGTGGGTGGGGGTATCCACCTCATGTTGGCTGATAGTTGATGGCCAAGGCGAGTTTGTTGGGGATTATTTGCCCTGGTAAGTCTGAAACTCGGGGTTTAACGGGCGTGAACGCGGGGCCTCGTCTGTGCGAGTAAACTGAAACCTGTTTGGCTTTTAATGACGGTACATGCCGCGGGCTTGCATGCAGTGCGTGCTGTGTGAAGTATTGTTACCGGAATGTTTCGGGCTGAGACTCATCAAGCTACGTGCTACAATAATGTACCGAACTGGGGTGCTTGGGGTAGCTAACAAGGGAAGATGGGTAGCAAAGTATAACCGGTTATTTATGCGTCCTCCTTGTGTTACGCTGAGTGGTACATGAACAGTGCGTGAGGCTTCAGACGAGTTGATTGCTTCAGAACACGGTTGTTCGGTATCAGGGGGCAGAGCCTTGGGGGCACGACTGCGTTGGATGTGACCAAACGCTCCTGCCTGGTCAGATCTGATTTGCAGTGCATCTCCTGCGCCGTTCTGTTTCCCGCTGCCTTCCCCGCGGAAAGGGCCAAGCAAACATGACATGCCAGCACTCATACTGTCGCCGCTTACAACGAGAGATGCTTACATGTTGCACCCTAACGTAAGCCCCATGCATCACAACCCCCTTTACAGGTGCCTGCAAAACCACTGTATCGGTACTCAACAACGCAGATCCTTAGGGGGCCTCCAAAAGAGCATCATGTGACCCAGGGTTCACGTAAAAGCACCAGCCTAGGCACTGCTAAATCTTTGCCGCATTAGATCACCAAAAAGCGGACTTTCAGGCACGATTCGCAAAATGGCACGATTCAATGCATGGACACTGACGCCTGTTCACCCTTAAGCTCGCTAACACATTGCACACCAAGAATGCAAAACTGGGGCCAAATATTTAGCTTACTGGCAGTTACTGGGGCGCACGAATGCGCGCTCGTGGGTTATAAGCAAAGTCGGCTGCTAGTGCATGTGTAGCATTACCGCCGCGTGATATCCCTAATGACTGAGGCGGACGCATACATGGCAGCAAACGCTTCCCTACCCCCGAAAAAAACTGGAAAGCCTGCATAATTGCAAAATCCACGCCGTAATCATGATAAAACGAGCGAGTGGGATTTCCGAGAGACACCTCCCATTCCTCGTCCCATGCTGAGACTAACTTCATACGATGACACCTGCTTTCCAGTGCGAAACCAAACCAACATTATATCAAGTATAAACCATAAGTCCAGGGCAAGCGATCTACCCAAACGGCAAGCAAGCCCCGTACAGTAACGCTCGCGGAAAGGTTACCATGCACTGTTGTGACTACGGTACCCGGCAGTTTATGGCAAATGGCAAAAACCGTAAATGCACATTACGGGCAAGGGCCGTTTTTTTTAGTTTAGCAATTCATAAGTGCTTAGACTTCACAGCTAGCTGCCAGGGCCTTTGCAACAGGCAGCGTAGCTGCGAAACACACGGTCTTCATTTCTTTCTTGTCCCAGCTGTCATCCCAGCTATCGCAACCGCATTGGACAGAAGAAAGCAACAGCAAACAAGAGCAAAAGCGTGACATTCCAAGTCACGTGCACAGCAAGCAATACGAGAGACTGCCGAAATGCCATGCCAAATACACTTAAGTACTGCACGCACGCAAGCACAAACGCATGCATGCAGTACATAACACAACGAGGGATTAAGGAGCGACATCCTCCTCTCCACAAAGCATGAATGGCAAGTGCCGAGCAGCGTCATCCTCCATTCCGAAGGAGCAAAACCCCTCGGAACATTAAAAAAGCGAGCGTGCGCAACCGTCCACAAGGGAAATTACAAACCATAGCCTTTTACTAGATCTACCGGTATACTGTTCACTGGTCTAGGAAAACGAGTCGCCCGTAGCCTAACCGCAATGCTCCAAGGCCATTTCAGCAAACAGGTCACCCCATACAATCACGTCCCGCAAACCTAGCCCACTGCACGTGTACACACTTGGAGGCGTGTGACCAGCCCAGCACAGCACGAGTCAAGGCAACAGGGCATGCAGGGACAACAATGTGCGTGGTCTCATGGATGGACAAGAAAAGGAACGTCGTCCCGCAAGCGGTTGTGTCCTATTTTCCAGGAATATGGTACTGCCCCACCTACTGCACCTTCCTTGTAGGTCCGCTACCTCCCAAGCATTTACAGGAAATGCGCCTTTGGACGCCACCCAAAGACAAATAAATGAATCGTCAAGACCTAGCGAACATGACCATCACATCAGGGGAGCTAAGCGGAGTAAGCAGCAGCAATGGCAGCAGCAGCCTGCCATCCTCCTTCCAAGGTCTCACGGTTTCCATGCAACCACACACCGCAATTGCTAGAGCAGCCAAAGGAGGCCTCAAACCTTTCGCGCCTCTTTCCCGCCATTCGAGGTACTACCGCTGCCTTTACTTATCACCTCGGGGACCCCGCCGCCGCCGCCGCCGGTGCTGCCGTACACGTACTCCGTCCGCCGCCGCCACCGCCGTACACCATCCTGCCGCCGCGATTGGCGCGCATGACCTGATCGTGCAATGGATTGCTTGCCGCGGCCGCCGCGGCCCCAGCGGCGGCGGCAGCCGTGGTGCCATCGACCGGAACCGCTGCCGCCGACGCCGCCGCCTTTGCTGTTACCGCCGCTCGTGCCGTTGCCGACGTCGGAGCTGATGAAGCCGTCAGCGGCGGTGCTTTCCCGCCTGCTCGAGTTGTCCTCGACGTCAGATTTGCTAGGGAAGCAGAAGCTGAAGAGGCAGGACAAGAAGGAGAGGAAGTGGAAGGACGAGAGACGGGGCGTGTTGTTGTCGTACCGCCGTTGGCGTCAGCAGCAGCGCCGCCGCCGCCGTCTCTGCTGACGGGTGAAACCCCCGAAGGTGTTGCCGCTGCCGCTGCCGTCGCCACCCCTGCAGCCGCTGTCTTGTCCCTAGAGGCCCTGGGAGTTAGGGGTTGCTGCTGCTGCTGCTGTGACACCGAATCGCCGCCGATGGTACTCATACTGGCGTATTGTCCGCGGGAGGGCGGCGGCGCCGTCCCCGCCGACGGTTCGGAAGAAGTCGACGACGCACGCGTGCCGTACAAGTCGGTCGTACGACGCGGCAGGCTGGGCGTCCGCGGCGGCACTAGCAGTGGTGGCGGAGGCGGATGCGGCAAAGATCCAGAGAGACTGGTGGACAGGACGGAGGAGGGCTGCGATGGCGTCGACGGGGCGAGGGTTCTTGGGGTTGGAGCTGTTTGGGTTCGTTGCAGCAGTGGCTTTGGTCGCGACGGCAAGGGCTGGGCAGGCCGCAGTTCGGATGGGCCACTACCGCTGTTGCTGCTGCCATCAGTGCAACTGACGCTGGCGCTAACGCTGCCACTGCTGTTGCTTTTGTTGCCGACAGTGCGAAGGGTGGCACCGGTAGCGGAGGCAGTGGCGGTGCTAGATGGCTGGTCGCCTCCTTCCGCCAGACCTAAGGCGGCTGCGTTGTTGTTGCCTCTGCTTCCTGGCCTATCAGGTTTGTGAGAGGTCTTACTGGGCGCGTTACTGGGTGTGCCAGGCTTGGATGGCTGGAGGGATGTCACTTTTGCTGCTGCTGCTGCTACTGCCGGTGTAACCGCCGTAGCAGGGGCCTTGTTAACATAACGTACGGCAGGTGATGCCGGTCGGCTGTTGCTGCAGCCACTCAGGTTGCCGGCGTTGCTAGTTGTACGGCATCTACTGCTACTGCTGGGACGTCCCGTACGGGCAACGCCAGCGTCGGTGTTTGGGCTAGCAAGCGCGCGTGGAGGTGCTGTAACGATGGTTGCAGTCGCAGCCTGCTGGCTGGGCGTTGAGAGGGAAGCAGGTGCCGCCGCCGCCGCCGCTGTCGCCGCCGCAGCAGTCTGTCGTGGGGTGCGTAACGGACCTGGAGGAGGTCTGGGATGCAGGGCTGTGGGTGTTGCCGGGGAGGCAGGCGCTGAAGAGGGTGAGGGAGGTGCTCGCAACGGCCCTGGGGCAGCCACGCTGGCCTTTGTTGAGCGAGTGTGAAGCGGTGTGGGACGTGGGGAAATAGCGGACAACGAGGCGGGGGTTGAGGGTTTTGATGGGGGCGGCGGCGTGGGCGGCGCCCGGGGTTGACCCATGGGTCTGAGGGGCCCTGGCGGTGTCGAGGGTGATGTTGGAGGCGGCGTCGGAGTCGTTGCGCCCGGGTTGGTAAGAGCAGCGAGGGTGGCGGGGGAGGAGACGGCGGCGGTGTCGGTAACTGTGGTGCTGTCATTGTTGCTGCTGCAGGTGCCCTGTGGGGGGCTGCCGCTGCTGCTGCTTGTGCTACTGCTACAGCTGGGGATGGTGGTTGTGGAAGTGCTGCAGCAGCTGCTGTCATCGCTAGTTTTACGCTTGGCTTGGGTGAAGTTGTCGCCGCCAGAAAGAATAACAGCCGGCTGATTGGCTGGTGATCTAACTGTCGTGACGACTTGCAGCGTTGTAGTGACGATCACCCTTCCAGTGGCAGCAGCTGCGGCGCTGCTACTGCCCATGCCGCGACTCGGCGGCACGGCGGTTCTAAGCGACGAAGCAACCGGACTGACCCGTGGGTCACTCCGCTGCGTTTTGCTACTACTGCTGCTGCTACTGCAGCGCGGATTCGGGGCAACAGCTGACGCCGTAGGTGCTTGTACGACAGGCTTTCGACCTTCCTCTGGGGCGTTAGCTCTGCCATGAGGGGTAGCACTCGCTACCGCCGCGGCCGCCGCAACACCTTTCATTCCTCCTGCCTTGGCCGCCACACCATTAGCACGCGGCTGTTGGACATGTTTAGCCCCCCCAACACCGCCAACAGCCGCCAACATCTTCACCGCCGCCCGTTGCTGCTGCTGAGGCTGCTGGTGCTGTGTTACTGCTGGCGGCGGCGACGGCAGTGGTGGTGGCACAGGATGGCCCAGCGGCACGCGACATTCGTACGCCAACCCCTCATCTCCCTCTTCCGTACCGTTGCCATAATCGCCGTACGGCAATAGAATGGCGGCTTGGGTGTCGCCCGCAATGCCGGGCGCTGCAACCACCCCTCCTGCCAGACAGCCGGGGGTTAGGGGACTGCCGCTGCTGCTGCTGCCGCCGCCGCTGTCACCGCTGCTGGCGGTTGCTGCTAGCGATCGCACACGAGCCACTGCTCGGCGCACGTACCAGCCGCGGTAGTGGGCTTGAATAACCTGAGGGGTTAGGTAGGTGGAGATGTGACCGCCTGAGGTGCAGCGCGATTGGGCGACGCAGCATGAGGATGGAGGCAGGCCCGTTACTGGAATACCCTGGTTACCGACGTGATCGCTTCCCCAGCTACAGCATAAGACCACGCCCCGGCCCCGAAATTGATACGGGTTGGTCCGGGGTGACCCGGCCCTTCCCGTGGTTAATTCGGGGCGTGACCGGGCCCTTTCCCCCACACCTTGGCTGCTGCCACCCTTCGCTCGTAGCGGCGGCGCTTGATTGCCTCTCGCTGCAGCCACGCACGTCGTTTGCGAGCCTGGTAGCCCCGCCAGTGAGCCTGTGGGGGAGGAGGGAAAGCGGCGGGTCGGGTTGGGGGTGGGTGAGTGAGGGGAAGAGGAAGAGAGGGTGGTGAGACGCTGCAGACCCAGCTGCAGACCCTTGTTGCTACTGCTGCCCTCCCATACCGGTATTGCTATTTGCTACTGCTGCTAGCGTTCCATGCTGCTACTGCTGCTAGCGTTCCATGTTTCTGCTGCTGCCATACCTGTATCCGAGCCGCTGCCGCATGCCGCCGAGATTCCGCATCCGAAGCCGCCGCTAACGCCACAGCCGCGGCCGCCGCGGCAGCAGTCGCCTCGTTCATCCGCTTCACCTTCAATCGGGCAAGGTGACCCCTGCGCCGGCAAAGCAGGGACGGGGACGGGGGCCGAGGGGCGTCGTTTGACGAGACACATGGGCCGGTGTACGGTAACTGGGGCCCGTCCCAAGCGCCTGCTGGGCGGGTACGGAAGGGCCAGAGGTCCCTGCGAGGAAGCCTCCTCGCCCGCATTCGTACACCCACCTGACCCATCTCTGGATGTCAGTCGCGTAGTGATTTTGCGCCCGCCACCGCAGCCGCAGCCGAGGCCACTCCTTCCGCGCACGGCAGCCCTGTATGCGGTGGGATGAAAGGATGGGTTTTGGTTTCGGGAGAGGCAGGACGATGGTCGGTCTGTCTAGAACTCTAGATAGGGAACGCTGCCTTAGGCCAGATCCATGCCCGCCATGCCTTTTTCGTCCCAGCCGCCCTTCCTTGCCCTCCCATGTGGCTTGGTTTTCCCTCTCTAGCTTACCCTCCCCCAACCACCACCAACACCACCACAGCCTACCTTCCACCAGCGCTGGATGTCGATTGCCGCCTTGCGCCGCTCCTGCGCCCTCAAGCGGCCCAGGAAGCCCCTCCAGTGGCGCTGGATTACCACAGCGGCGGTCTCCTCCGCTTGGGAGCGGATAGCGGTCCTGTACGGCAGGGAAAAGAAGGATTGAGCGGCAGGGAGATCGGGAGGAGGAGGCAGCGGCAGGGAAATGGTAATGGGGTTGTTGGGCGTGAGGGGAAAAAAAGAAATTCCAAAGTGTGTTGGGCGTGAGGGGGGGGGCGTTGGGGGTTTGTGTTTGTACGGTGAGGGCACAGGGATGCTCAGCCGAGATGCGACTAGAAGAGTAATGGTACTCTTGTGAGGTGCTCCTGAAGCTAGTTGCATGGGGAGGTGCGGGATGGCATCTGCGGGGTCCAGGCGGCTCAGTTGGGAAGCCCCGGCCGTGTGTTGGCCTTCTGTTTATCTATGCCAGCCCTTCAACAAACCAGCGAACCGCTGACTTTAGGACGCGCTGTGGCGCTGGCTTCGCATGGTTGCTCACCTGAGCAAGCGACCATGCTTCAACGCCCTGACGAAACGACGCGCAAGGTGGCCCCTGCAGAGGTCGGATAGGTAACCATTTCACGACTGTCCCAGCAACTAGCTAGTCGAGGCGAGCGCTTCCAAGGTGGTGCGTAATGCATATCCCCACCTCCACCAGCGTTGTATTGTCTCAGCTGCTGGGCCCTCCCAGCGGGCATAGAAGCCTCGCCATACTGCTTGCACCTGCCGTCGATGGCCAACATGGAAGGCGTGTATTGGATCTTTAGAACTAACTAACATGCACTGCCGAACGCCTATAAACTTAAAGCAAATTGAAGAGACAGCACGCCCGAAGCTTGTCTAGCTGCATGGGCCAGTCATCTTGTGGGTGCCACTGTCCCAGCTAAACGCCGAAAGCCAGGCACGTACCGACTGTTTTCGCTTTTCCGCCGTGCTGAGGTCGGCAGTCTTTCCGGCGGACGGCACTGGCGTAAAAGCAACGAAAGGATTTGAGACCATGTCCCAGTGCAACAACAGTAGGATGCTAAGAGTAGTCTTCAAATAGCCTCATATTGCAGCTACCCAGAAATGGTTATGCGTCAAGCGTCATCCTGGTCGAAGCGCTTGTTCGGGCAAGCTCGTTTACGCAGCACAGTCGAGTGTGCGTATGGTTATGAACAGTGACCGGTAGCAATGACTATACAACGTCGACATAATAGTTTGCTGCGCTGCAACATGCTGTGTTGCTCGTACTGCAATCCGCCAGCGCAAGGCAACCCACGCTTCTCGCCCCTGCCCCCTTCCCCGCATGGCTGGGGGTCACATTGTGGGGAGTGTCATGCATACGCACCATCGTCCATCGACGGAGCTCAGCCACGCCATCACGAACGCCTTGCCGTATCGAGCAGTCCAGCCTCCCTGCCAGCTACCGGGTCCGTACGTCCGTAGGCGGGTAGGGAACCAGCGCAGGGGATTGTACCTCCTGCACGTGGACTTGCCCCCATGAAAGTACCATCAAGAGATTTACAGCCAATCATGCTTGCAGCCTCCGCTCAGCGGTAGTGGCCTGACATGTCTCATAATCTTCTCGCCATTGCAGGGGCCCCATGCAAAGGGTCTTCTTTAGGTCGACAATCCATACGATACGCAACAGGCGACCTATCCTACACAACCTGGCCCAACTTGTACAGCAACACACACTTTCAACTCGCGGTGTGCCCCTAGGCGCAATCTTGGTGCAACACCCCGCAGGACCTGCAAAATTGTTGTTGCCAACCTCTTTTTTTGCTAAACCCTACACCCAGGGTCAAGCCACAATACAACCCCCATCCAACCGCCTACCAACGCAACTGTTGACTACCCTCCACGAAATAGATCATGCATGCCGAATACGCACTTGCCAATGTGTAAGGTTTGGCAACGTAGCTGAGCGCCATATATAACGACCTGCCTGCCTGCTTTGCCTGCATGCGCAAATGCAAGCAAGGCGTCTTCCCGCCCTAAGGCACCGCAAAACCTCTAATCCAGACATCGCAGGCCCCACTACCTCGGCTTCTGCTTATGTCAACTCGCACTTCCAATCCCTACCCGGCAACAACTCCAAGGAATGTACAAGCACACTGCCGCCGCGTCACTCCACGCAGCAACCTATCCCATTTCCTTACTGTCACCCGCTATTGCCTAACCGTCCCAAAGCGGTTCGGTACATACAAGGGTCCCCTCTTCTCCGCATATAAACACCTGCATGGCCTTCCGACGCAACCTACTTACGCCGAAGACACGTTACCTCCTGGGGTTGCTCATAGCTGCCTTCTCCTTATGCGGCATGCGTGGTAACTTCACTCGGCGCCGTTGCCGCCGTTGGAGCTTGTTCGGCCGCCGCCGCCATCCGTTCCGCCTCTTGCTTGACCCATTTGGGACTGTACTCGACTTCAATAGTGTCTAGCAGCGCGGCCATTGCCAGATCAGGCATCGTGAGACCGCCCACGGCGTGCGTGCACAGGTTTACCTCCACCTGTCGGGGGAAAGAGGACGCATGGGAGGGCACGGAGGGGAGGGAGGTGAGGTCAGGGTTTGTGGAGGAAAAGGTCGTAGCATGGGAAAGCGTCCAGGACGAGGGCCTGGGCAGCGCAGGGCCGTCTGAGAGGCCCTGAGCCGGCTTGGGTGGCTACATGTGCAGGGCATGTTGCGGTTTACAGTGATGTGGGTCGGCCGTAGTTGGCAAGCAGCAGCAGCCACACGGACGGCCAGGGGCTGGATCGCTTGCTTGCTGCAATGCGAAACAATCCGCAACCGGAGGAGGAAGACCGCCGCAGGACAGCTGAACAAAGCCTCATACACGCCGCCCTTTACCATGCGTAGCCTCATGCAGGCCTCCATGGGAACAGCTCAACCGCCATGTGCGGATGCCCTACGCATCTGTCGTACGTACGGCACCTAAGCTGGCTGTACAGCTCTCACCTCTCGGAAATTGCGCAGGTGCAGGTCTGGATGGTGTCCCTCCGCCTCTGCCACCTCCGCGACCTTGTTGAAGAAGCGGATGGCTGTATGGGAAGGGGTATAAGGTACGCCATGTGGGTCGGGCGGGACAGCGTCTGAGACGGATAAACAGGACAAGCGCCTTGTTACGGATCCATTCGATCCAACAGCAAGGCGGCCCACATTGAAATTGTGCGAGCGCGGTGTCCTGCGTGTCATTGGCACCGAATAGGCACATGCCAAAGCCTAACATAGATTGGTCTACACCAGCAACCCACAATGGTGTAGCGCCGTAGACGCGTCGTATGCAGTGACCCGGGGGTCGCTGCAAACCCAGGGCAATAGAGCATCATAAGGTTATGTGACTAGGCCTAAGCTTGACACGTCCCTTGTGAAGCAAAGAAAGCCCAAAGTCGAATGGAAGATTTCTAAAGAGTTATTAACTTGTAGCTCCATGTCTGACGTCTTGACAACGACGAAATGCATGGAAAAGCCAACGCGTTGAATAAAATTTGTGAGAAGGGAGGTAAACGCATGCCTCGTCGCGATACCCACCAGCCATGAAGTTCTTGGCGGTAAAGGTGCGCGTTATCATTGTCCTGTCCGCGTTCAGATGCCAAGCGGGCAGCGCACGCATGTACTCCTGCAGCTCAGCTTGATCTACCTTGGGTGTCTCCCTGCGATAGAGGAAGGTTTGCCCCCAAAACGATCTATGCATGCCTAGTAAATTGGTGTGAGGTTGGCTTCAGGAGCGTGTCCGTGTCATAGGCTCATAGCTAACCGCTTGCACAGAGCTTCAGTTCTGATGCAGGTTTCGCCATCCAAAGCATAGATCCTATCTGAGGAATACCGTGAGCACGTAACTCCACATCCGGCCGCGCGGAGCTTATCAGCTCCGGGTCCCTGGATGTTTAGGGTTGCCGACGTCGACATCGCGTAAGCACAGACAGCTGGACGGCTCCTACACAACCTAGCGTTTGATGGTACACACGATGTCAGAAAGTTTGCACAACGCTTTTGCTGGAGGAAGGCTTGACGAAACATAGCACTGACGAAAATGCTATACAGTAATAAATATTTAAAGATAGAGGACAGGAACCCCGTTTGCTTGTTGGCACACGCATGTTGCATGACAAAGTCACGGGGGAATTGTTAATCGCCTAGGTGTACGACAAACGTAACTGCCACCCATAAAGTCTATCGCGCTCCTTTTGGTGCCCCCCTCGCCTTTTATAAGTACATATCTCACGGTTAGCATACCTAAGATAAGTAAGCACCAATTATCTGATTGCTCTAGCCAAAGTCGAACAAAGTCTCTTTCTTAGGCAAAGAAACTTGTGCCTCCTTTCATAGCATTAGGGCGAGTACTAGACGAAGAAGCGCAGGATGGCGACGACTGCTGAGGACTGGAAGACACGGCTGGCCCTGCCACCAAAGGATGCCCGCGTCCGGACGGAGGTGTGCACGCTGACCGCCCAAGCTTCTGCGGCGCTCTCTGTCTTAGCAACAATCCCGTCAACCTCTGTCTCGGCACATTGCCTGCAGGATGTGACGGCCACTAAAGGCAATGAGTTCGAGGACTATTTCCTAAAGCGGGAGCTGCTTATGGGCATTTTCGAGAAGGGGTTTGAGAAGCCCTCGCCCATCCAAGAAGGTAGGCCTGCATGCAGGCCCAGGCTGACTCCTCGGGCTTTTATGACCGGAACTCAGGGGATGATCTCGCTTTGGCCCCACCTCCCCCTCAGAGTCCATCCCAATCGCGCTGGCTGGTCGCGATATCCTGGCTCGCGCTAAGAACGGGACTGGCAAGACCGCAGGTTGGTTCTGCAGAGTATTGCGGCAAAAAGAAGGGCTCTTTCGGGCCGCAGCTTGACCGATAGAACCGCTTTGCATGTGCAGCTTTCTGCATCCCCGTATTGGAAAGGGTGGACCCGACAAGGCCAGTTATTCAAGGTGAGCGCGTTACGTTATCTATGGGATGCAGTCTGGGGTCGGATCGCTTTGGGCACTCACGTTTTTATGACATTATCGTGCAGCCCTCCTCCTGGTACCTACACGCGAGCTCGCGCTTCAAACGGCGCAAGTATGCAAGGAGGTGAGCTCTCTTCGCGGTCGCGTTCCCAATGAAGTCTTGTTTTTTGGTGGTCTTCCTTGCATGACAAGACATACGTATAGGACCGTGAGGATTAGTTCGGATCCATTTAAAGGCGTTTCCGACCAAGCTTCTTGCAACATGCGCCCCCATTCATACCACCATGCTCACCCACTACGCACCCACAGCTGGCGAAGTACCTCAACGTGGAGGTCATGGTGACGACGGGAGGCACAAGCCTGAAAGACGATATCATGCGGCTCTACCAAACCACCCACATAGTCGTGGCGACACCGGGTCGTGTTGTGGACCTGGCGGGCAAGTCCGTGGCCAAGCTCAATGAGTGCAGGATGCTGGTTATGGATGAGGTGAGGCATGCTTGCTACGCTACGTTTCCACCTGCCTTCTCCTCTTCTGATTGTTTCCTTGTGATAGGGGCTATGGTTTGGTTCGGCAGAAAGCTTCATGCGCCATACGTCGACGTCTCACAAATCCCGTTTAAATGCCCTTGTGCAGGCGGACAAGCTGCTGTCGCCGGAGTTCCAGCCGGTTGTCGAGCAGCTCATCGGGTTCCTGCCGGAGGACAGGTGTGTACGGCAGCCCATAACCTACAGGACGTCTTACTCTGCTGCGCATGGACTGTAACAGTAACGCGCCGCGCCAGCAGTCAGCTTCACACCCTGTTCTGCTGTTACTCTCTCCTTGCAGGCAAATCATGCTGTACTCAGCGACGTTCCCGGTCACCGTGAAGGCGTTCAAGGAGAAGTTCCTCCGGTGGGTTAGGCAGCTGCCTAACGTGCATGATAGGGTTGATGTTTTGCCTACAGGCCCGTAGGCGTGTGCCATGCATCAAGATCCCGCTCACCTTCATTCCCGGCACTCGACCTCAAACCTGACGAGAGACACACGGCAATGTACTTTGTTACTACAGGAAGCCGTACATCATCAACCTGATGGAGGAGCTCACCCTGAAGGGCGTGACGCAGTACTATGCCTTCGTCGAGGAGAAGCAGAAGGTGCGACACGTTTGCCTATCAATACCGCGCTTGCACAGCTTAATGATTTCACATGCAACAGTTGCCTTTCTCCCTTGGCTCTGCCGTACTCCACCCTTAACCTCCCTTCACCCTCTCCTCCGTCGCTTTACGTCACGTCTCCAGGTGCACTGCCTCAACACGCTCTTCTCCAAGCTGCGCATCAACCAGTCCATCATCTTCTGCAACTCCGTTAACCGTGTGGAGCTGCTGGCCAAGAAGATCACCGAGCTGGGCTACAGCTGCTACTACATCCACGCGAAGATGCTGCAAAGCCACCGCAACCGGGTCTTCCACGACTTCCGGAACGGCCACTGCCGGAACCTGGTGTCGTCGGGTAGGTTGGGACCAAGGGAGCGGTTCGCGGTGACATTGTATAACGGGCCTGACGCCTTTCCTTAACAGCGTCAACAGCATAACGGATAAGAATAAAGAATAGCTTAAAAGCAGGGCGTGTGTTTTACTGCGCATTCGTCAAGAGCGCATGCTAGCATAACCGCTCCGCCTCACAAACCGCAATGCCTTGCAGACCTCTTCACGCGCGGCATTGACATCCAGTCGGTCAACGTGGTCATCAACTTTGACTTCCCCAAGAACGCGGAAACGTACCTGCACCGCGTGGGGCGGTCCGGCCGCTTCGGCCACCTGGGCCTGGCCGTGAACCTCATCACGTACGAGGATCGCATTAACCTGTGAGTACGGGTCCGTACGGGTCTGCCGCATCCACGAAAAAGCTGAATACATAGGCTTAGGTCAAGATGCCTAGATGCGCCTAGATATGTCTCCCTGATCAGCAGGTGTTTTGTATACTTATTGGCATGATTATTATGTTACTGCCTAAAGCTCACATACGTATGGTAACGGGCGCGTGTTCTGAAGTTTTTTTGTGTTCCCCCTCGAGCGCAGGTTCAAGATTGAGCAGGAGCTCGGTACGGAGATTAAGCCCATCCCGGCGCAGATCGAGGAGAAGCTCTACTGCATCTAAGTTGCGTGCTGTGAGTACGCTTGCATACGGTCACTGACTAGCCTCTCTTGCTCAAAACGTCGCAATACAATGGCCCTAATAGGCTTTTGTTCTAGTTGTAATGTGCGGGCCTCCGCTTGCCGGGAGCCGTTCTCAAGTACTGGTGGTGGTGTATGGTGGGTGCTGGGCCCGCGCCGTTGCTTATCAGAACTGCAATTGCAGCACGCCCCTTTGCACAATATCAAGGGCGTGTTTCGGTGAAGGCCTGGGGTTGGGGTCAGGGTGTTTCAAAAGATGTTTGATACATGCGGAGTGACACATTGCAGCATTGGCTAGGTTGTTGGCTTGGCTGGGTTTGGTGCAGGCCTGCGCTGACTTGGCTGGCCGTCATTCGAATCGCTTTACAGCACTTTTCAAGCTGCGGCGGGCCCAGCCATGTATGGTCATTGTGCCAACGTCCCATACCAAACTTCGGCTGTGGCTATGTACCGCTCGATTGCTTGCTGCCAACCTTCTGTCTAATGGAATGTGCTTGCATGGGTTGGGCTGTACAGGGCACGCTGTTTGGCTGGCTGCATCAGTTCTTTGGCGCGGGCTTTACTCTTTCTGTTTACCCGTTGCCTGTTAAGGAGCGCAACTTCCTGCAGCGCGTGCATACGCCGGTCTGGCGCGTTATCGCGTATGTGTCTGTGTGTGTGTTTCTGTTTAGTACATCAGTGTTAGGTAGGCGCTGCTCGAGAGCGGGCTTGTACCATGGAGGCGGGGGCTATAGCTTGTTGCAGTAGGCACGTAACCGCTAACCTGATGCACAGCCGGTGGGTTTTCACTAAAGAGATAGAGATCTCCCTTGTCCTTTCATGATTTTGGTCGTTGTGGCTTTGCCCGCCCACGACCGCCTTAGGCGGGAGGAATCCTCTGGCTGTGCTGCTGCGTGCGCTGCGCTTGCTTTGCCGCGCCCACTTTGCTCCGCCTCGCCTTGCGGGCACATGACATCCCGAGCAGTGGGCGCTGCATGGATGCTAACGAATGAACTTATGCAAGCATCGCAATGATGTACGTGAGTGATTTATGCACTTAAACTGTGTGTTTCGCTTGCTATGACAAGTGCCCTACGACGTACCGTGCCCTGCTAAGTAGTGAAACAGCATTGTTTGCTGCTATTTAGCTGTGGTCTAGCGTTAGACATGACGGGACGGTCGCCCCCTCCATCACCTCCCCTCTGTCGCCGTTTGACCCCTATCATACCTTTGTCTTTCGCTGGCGCCTTGGGGAGAGCAAGGCGGGTCGGCCGACTGACTAACTGCCTGACGACCGAGATGTAGGGATTTAGTCAGGATCTGGGCAGGCTGAGGGCGCTGTTGTGTTCGAGATTTTCCTGTTTCCTCATTGGTTGTGATACTAGGGTACATTGCACAGGCTTCGTGCATGCTGCTCATGGCTGTCTGTGCAATGGCCACCTTTTGGCCGGCGCTATGTTGGGGTGTCCTTGAAAACTCAGCACCAGGCGCATGGGCAAGTAGCGCTCTTGACGCGGGCGCCCATACTACGATGGAGCGCATGTCATTCTGTTGCGGCGGTGGCGATTTGATGGGTGGCGCAACGCCTGGTTTGCACACTCCCAGCGGTTGTGTACCGGCCGGGCACGTCGCGGGCTCTTTAGCGTCTGTGCCTAATTGCCGATAGAGGAGCAGCATACAGTCCAGGACGCAGTGTGTGCTTATCGTGCGTGCATGTGGCCCAGGGCGTTTTGTGGAGAGCGCAAGTTGGATGAGGGGCGGTAAATGGCATCGGAGTTGTGGTAAGGGGCGTGTGGTCGTACAGCTGGCGTTGCTGATGTTGGTTACCCGCCGGAATGGGGCTAAGGCTGCTAGCTGTCGACCCATGGGTGTTAGGGGCGCTGCTCGGAGGCACTGGCGTTTGGGCGTCATGTCCGCTGATTAGCGATTGTATAAATGTGTGTGCGGTCGCGAGCCCACGCCTTGTTTCTTCGGATCCATTCCAGTTGTGGTATGCGCCTGTGGGTGTGGTACATTGTGCAAGAGTGCGTTTCTTTGCGTGCTTGTTGTGTGTCTCGTCCGAAAGGTACACATATTGTCGTTGCCTGTAGCAGCTGTTGGGCTGGTTTGTTCGCTCGGGCTGCTGGTGGTTTCGGATGATCGGTGTGCATTCTCTGCTTACGCGGTCGCTTGTGTGTCCTTGGTAGACGCGAAACCCCCAAAGTACACACCCAGACTGTTTCTCTGAGGGTACAGTGCGGTGTTGCGTTTCCACTGGTGGAAATGGGGATGGTTGGGCCTTGGCAAAGGCCTGTGGACCGCACCGATTTGTCGCCTGGTGCTAAATACGCTCTTTGACCTTTGTTCTTTTTGGATCGGAATGATGAGGCGGTTACGGTGGAGCTGCTTATGTTGGCAAGGCACGTTTGTGAAGGCCGTGCTTGACAGCCATTGGCACGGACATTGCCTTCACACGGACTCGCCTTCGTCGTTAGGGTGGCAACGTAATGGTTCGATGGCCTTTGCCCGGCGTCGTAACTGCACAAGCTGCGCCCTGTTAGGACGGAAATTAATTTTGAATCCAGTATACAGTTTTCACATGGTATTGTGACGATTGGTTGTGGAGCGGATGATGAGGAGTGGCAATATGGGCGGTTGAGCTTTGTTGGGTAGTCATCATGAGGGACGTACGGTACTATCATTGTGGCGAGTTTACCGTTTGTTCGGTTGCAAGTTACACGTGCCGATGCACAATGTTGTCTTGTGCCCGCAGGCGTCTGGAGAGACAGGATGGGGTGGTTCGCGCTGCGAACGCTGGTGCCGTTAGTAGAGAGTAGAGCTCTGTAAAGGCTGCGTGGGGGCGTTGTAGCATTCCTGCGCACGCATTTGTGGCTGCGCCCTACGCTCTTTTGGCGGGCCAGTGTCAAAAGTTGTGACCTGCTGATCCAGTATTTCATTAGCGCTGGCGTTTACGCTCCATTGCGGTTGTGGAGGCAAAGGGTTTGGAATGGAATTTACGCGGGCCTGGGGTCCTGTGTGACCGTTTTAGCGATCACTGGATGCTCGGGTGGGTGGCTCGCCGGCGTGTTGGGTCGGCATGGATGCACCGTTTTGCCCCTGTGGAAGCCAAGACAGAGGCACAGTTCGCAAATCAGGGCTTTTCCTGGTTTCACTGTTTTGTGTTGAATGATGTTTTGGCTGCGAGAAGCAGCAGTCGGATGTGCATGCATCGTCTATATGCACCGCCTTGTTCCACGCGGCAAGCATTACACGACGATGCTGCATTGCCCTGTTATCGTTGCGTTTTTGGGGGTTTCGATGTTATTGTTCTGCGGGGAGGAGGACGGCAAGATGGTCTATCTAGGATAGTCGTTTGGGTTTGTGTGTATCGTTGCTGGAGGTTGGTATAGGTGTCTACTTCCTTTTGACCATTTACTCATGCGACCTGAACTTAAGCGGCACATGTGGGCTTAGGGGCTTGCAGTAGCTAACGGCACTTGCATGGATGTAGTGTTTGCTCACGCATCCTGGGTACCTGTGTTTGCCATTCTCAAGCTCTGCGGCCTTGATGCACTCAATGCTGTTGTCTAAGGAAAGGGAGTATGGAGGGTCAATACCATCTGATGATGTGTTTGTATTGCGTGTTTGGTTCCACCTCCAAAAGTAAAAGTTGTAACGACCATAGCCGTTGTACCGGTAAACGAAACACATCAAGAGGGTTTAAGGGATGGGTAACACAGAACCATGGGTGGAAACAGCCTGCGGTGCACGTTTCATTCCAACATTTCAAGTCAGCTCCACAGCTTGAAGCGTACATACGGCACTAAGCACTCCGTACGTACAGCTGCATGTGGTGCAACACTGCGATGCCGACCCCGGGGTCATCTGAGGTGCAACCAGCAGCTGCAAGCCCTAACTTTGTCACCGGCGCTCATTTGTGATAGTACTACCGTACGAAACAGATTAAACAGCGTAAAGGGCTATGCAGAGGAAATGGCCGGAATGCAATGCGGGATGTACTAATCATGTCCAAGGCAAAGGTCACAGGACAGTTCTCGTCCAAGGCACGAGCACGGTGGAGCCTGGTCACATGGGTCCATATGGACCGTTCAAGCAGCCCATGACATGATGCACCTTGTTCCTTACAGGATTGCCACCTTTGCCAGTGTTGCAAGCTCTGCTGTTAAGCCAAGCCGAGTCCTAGTGCGGAAAAGCCGTATCCTAGGCTGTAAAGCGAAGAGGCGCGCAGGTTTGGGGAAACCCTAATTAAGTTCGCAGGTGAGCGCGAGCGCGGGTATAGTGCCCACCACAGACGCATATCTTTATGATCGCAATTGCTCCCTTACGAGTTACATTGTCTTGGGTGCATGGCTTTTGCAATCTCCGTTGTGGTGCCGGCGGCCTTTGCCCCGTCCCTTTGTCTTTAGCTATTTGGTCCGACACCACCTGACTTTCGGGTCAAAGAAGCCACATTCAAGGACATTGTCTAGTCCCAAACACCTGTCGAAAAACCATGGAGTTGCGTGAACCGTGCATGACTGCGTTTCACACTCTCTCTTAGTTTGTTTGGACGTATTGCTTCAGGATCCTCCTCGAATCCTCCTCGAATACAACTTACGCCAAATCCTGGCAGCACCATCTGGCTTAATGACCCACGGGTCATCCTAGTTCAACCTCCTTTGCAAATGCTGCTTACTGCTCCCCGTTCAACAGGGTTTTCCTCGGCGGTTGCGACTGGCCGCTTCGTCGCGTCACGCCCCCAGTAGGAGTGCCGACGGCCTGCGGCTCTCACAGCGCAGCAACAGCCCAACACGCAGAGGCAGCATCAGCCTCCCCGGGACTTCTGTAGCCTCCCACAGCCGCTTCACACATCGTCGACGGCGGCACCGTCTGAAGCCCGCAATCACCAAACCGATCGCCCCTTCATCCTACATCAGCAGCCATGGCTGTCGACTTGTCTTCCTGCGTTGCAGCCATCTCCCAGGCAATGGGTGGCGCTGGGGCTCAGGCACAGGTACGAGACCTACCTCCCCTGCACACTCGTACATCTCTGTATGCCTTCTCCCATGCACCTCCCTGCTGTTTTTCGCCTTTTGTCCTCCAGCTTTTACCTTTTCCTTTCCACGCTATATTCGCCCATCTCCACTCCCCATGCACGCACCCACAAGCACGCTGCCTGTCGCAGGCCATGCCTCGTACATACCACCATGCCGCATGCTCCGCATTCTGTACCATATGTCATGCTAATGCCATGCCGTGCTGTGTGCCCACCCCTACCATGTGCCTTGCTCGTACACACACCGCAAACACACGCTCGTACACACCTGCACACAGGCTCAGGCGCTGTGTTCCCAGTTCGCAAGCGACTCCCGGCTGCAATCCACCATCGTGGGGCTCAACACGCTGTACCTGCTGCTGTGCGGGGCGCTGGTATTCGTGATGCATGCGGGGTTCGCAATGGTGGGCGGTTGGGGCGGTTGGGATGGTTGGGGTGGTTGGGAAAGTGTGTTTCGGGAGGGGACTACGGTAGCTACGTACGGTGGGTGGGCGCTCTGTCGTTACCGCGACTGGAACCACATCAAACTGCTGTACATTGTGGCATATGCACGTTTTTTATTTGTCGCTGCTGCCTAAACCCAACACCCTATTACACTCCGCAGTTATGCGCGGGAGCTATTCGTTCAAAGAACACAAGTGAGTCTTGCACGTGTCTTTTGTAAGCCGCCAAGTGACCCGTCGTGCTGGAATGCTTGGTGACCCATGGGTCTGTCAAAGGTGTCAATTCAGCTGTGTCTTGCAAGAATCCATTTGAAGGCCTTCCTAGGGACTTCTAATTCCCTCGCCCCCATTCTCTGCCGCCCTTTTTCCGCGCCCCCTCCCTCACATTGGAATTTCTTTTTTCCCTCCCCAGTGAACATCCTGCTCCAGACCGTCATGGTGCGTGGGTGGGTGGGCGGGTGGGTAAAGAGGAAACATCTAACTGACCGTGTGAGAAGGCATCATCATGGTTTGCGACATGTGGCGGGTGGGTGTTGGGTGGGTTGCTTGCCGGTACGTACGGTGCTGCTTCGACCCTGGCGGCGTACACACCCGTGACTCCATGTTCATCACCTCCATGTTGACACAGGCCTGCAGTGGCCCCTTTGCATTCGCCTACGGCATCGACCGGGCCGATGATGTATGTCCAGCACCGTTGCACATGATTAGTATACATGTGCTGGTTTTTGGTAGCACATAACTTCCGCTGCTGCATACCGTAACAAACGCAAGTGCTGCATTCAAGTCCAAGAACCCGATCCAAGCGACTCTTATCGGTTTCGTTGTCTGCTGCGTTACAGGACGCCGCAGTATCCGCAGTTGCCTTCTATCTGCTAGGGTGGGTAATCGGGGGAAGGTACTTGGTACTTGGTAATGCCTTGGAAGTCCGTAAAGCCACGAACGTCTTGGAAATCAATGCTAGGCGTTTACAAGGTGTTCAGGGCGTCCTCTGCCGCGACGTACCCCTGCTCTGCCCGCCCTCCCCCAATGCCAACAAGCCTTCGCAACTCCGCATTTCGTAATGTCCGCCATGTGCAGGTATGGCTTTGCTTATGGCGTCGGAGCTAACCCCAACGGCTTTGTGAGTCGTGTTGAGAGGGGTTCAGGGGTTGCGGCGTGCCACGGGGAAGGTCGGCAAAAGGGTGCCTCCCATCTGAGCTGGTCCCGCAACCTCACAGTTGCCAAATCACCAATCCCACGAACAATAATCATCAATCACGCATTTACGTGGCGTAACTCAGCAGTCACATATACACCTCGGTTACCTCGGTTAAGAGTGTTGGAACACGGGTTCGGATGCTGCAAGTGCCGCACACAACCCCCTCCCTCCCTCCCTTCTTCGCGCATGCCCACGCGCTGCAGATCGGCAACGCGCTGTACGGCATGTCGCGCTGGACCTCCCACAACTACGACCCGGCGGCTAGCTTGGGCGTGGATAGCGGCCAGGTGGGGGTCTGAGAGGGTGTGAGAGGGTGTGAGAGGGAAGTAAAGGGTTAAAGAGGGAGAATCTAACAAGCCGTGGGGAAGGGCGGGATGAGCGGGTAGCCGGGCAGTGTAGCCATCACACGTTGACACCCCATCCACGCGCCCATCAGTACGCACATCATACACACACGCACCCCCCACGCGTCGTCTTGTTTGCCCCCATTCAACACATTGGGTGTTCTTCTCTTCATTACCCCCAGGGATGGCAGACCTGGTTCTTCCAATGGGCTTTCGCCGCCACCGCCACCACCATTCCCGCCGGCGCAGTGGCGGAGCGACTCAACTTTAACGCCTACCTCAGTGAGTCGCCATGAGGGTCGCTCATCGCTCGCCGTCGCTCGTCGCTCGTCGCGAGTCATTGCTCCGCGACGCGTTGGTTGCCGTCTTCAGCCTTTTTGCGTCGCCCCGAGTTACGTGTCGTGACCTACCTCTCATATCATTTTGTATACCTATCGCTTTCTGGCATCTCCCATATAGGCGCGTACCGCCATCCTTGCCCCCCGTCTTGAACCAGCGTGAACGGGAGCATCCTGCTGCATGACCCATGGGACGGTTGCAAGAGGATTGCGAGGAGCAAAGACCCTCTACACCCAACCCCCATTTGGGATTGGGACTCCATTGCTGCACTTTTCATTTAAGGTTTGCTCGCAGCCCCCCTCCACCCATGGGACCCATGGGACACATGCTTTCCCGCCCACCGGTCATTGTCCCACCTTACCCCTACGCAGTCTACTCCGCCTTCATCTCTGCCTTCGTGTACCCGGTTGTGGCGCACTGGGTGTGGTCGGCGGAGGGCTGGCTGGGGTACGCGCGCAACCCGGTTTACACGCGACTGTTCGGATCCGGCATGATTGACTTTGCGGGCAGCGGCGTCGTCCACATGACGGGAGGGCTGGCGGGTGAGTTCCGGAGCGGCGGGGAGTCAATAGCGGGGGTTCGATAATAAATTTTAAACATAGGCATGTGAAGCCACAAGTTAGGGCAGAGCAAGCGGAAGTAAGGGGAGGGATGAGTTGCCGTACATGGTCATTGTCATGCTGTGTTTACGAAGACCTGGCTCAGACCGAGGTCGTACTTTCACGAGAAAAAGACAAGATGGATGAACGTGACGGGCGCGTGCTGGTAAATAGCTAGCTGGCAGGATAGGTACGAGCTGCAAGGGCAACGTGGAATTTGGTTCTCACTCAAAGCCGATAAGGGCGATAACACCACCACCATTCCCTGCATAGCTCTTCTCAGCTCGCCTCACTCCCTGCCTGCCTGCCTGCCTGCCTCCCTGCCTCCCCAGGTCTGGCCGGCTGTGTGCTTCTGGGCCCTCGCATGGGTCGGTTTGACAGCACGGGCCGCCCCATCGAGATGCCCGGTCACTCCGCGGTGCTGGTGGTGCTGGGGACTGTGCTGCTTTGGTTCGGATGGTGAGGAGGAGAGGGGGGGAGGGGGGGAGGGAAGGAGGAGGGGGGAGGGAAAGAGAAGGGAGGGAGGGAAAGAGAAGGGAGGGAAGGAGAAGGGATGGAGGGAAAGGAAGGAAGGAGAAGTGAGGCAAGGTCAAAAGAGAAACCAAACCATACGAAACTAGCATATTGGGCAAAGCGGTGGGGGGAAGAGTGACGTACCTTTCTTTGTCGTACCTGCGCACCTGCGTACACACTTACACACGTCGTACGTACGTTCCGCCTCGCGGCCAGTTTTCTCAACACACAATACACACACACGCAGGTACGGCTTCAACCCCGGGTCCCAGCTGATTATCAACTACGTGCCCAGTGCTGCGGTGGTGGGGCGCGCGGCGGTGACGACCACTCTGGCGGGGGCGGCGGGCTGCTTGTCGTGTCTGGGTCTGGCATTCATGAGGCACAAGGTGCGTGTGTTAAAATAACTGGCCGCAAGGCGAAACGATGTGTGTGGGGGGGGGGGCGGGGGGCAGGGAATGATGGGTCGGTGCGGAGAAGCAAAACGATGGTGTTTTGCCGTGTAAGCTTACCGGCTTACCTCTCACCTCCCAGCTTCCCTTCCCGCCGCTCCTGTTCCCCGCTTCATTGCCCAGCGCGGCCCATCTTCCCCCCCCCCAATGCCCACATCCACTGATACTGCCACCGCCTTCCCTGCCCGCCTCTTCACTGCCTGCCACCCCACCTCCCCCCCTGCCTGCTCCTCCCCTCCCCGGCCCCCCCCCCCAGGCCTGGGACCTGGTTGCCGGCTGCAACGGCGCATTGGTGGGGTTCGTGTGTGTGACGGCGGGGGCGCACGTGCTGGAGCCGTGGGCGGCGCTGCTGGCGGGGCTGACTGGGGCAGCGGTTTTTGAGGCGGTGTGAGTCATGGGGGGGAGGGGCCGGGGGCGGGGCGGGGGAGGCGTGGGAAATTAAGGAAAATGAAGAGGCAACCAACGAGCTGTGTAACAAGGCTTCGCCAAGGGGGGGAGGGGCGGGGGGTCAAAGACCGTACCAGAACATAGGAAAGCACAGGTTAGGGGGCGGGGGGTGGGGGGTGGGGGGTGGGGGTGGGGGGGGGGGAAGAGGAAGAGGCTACCGGAGGCTCCACTTGTGCTACCGGAGGCTCCGCAAGGTGGACATGCATCATGGATGTTTAGCTGTGGGGAGGGAAGAACATGCCAGGCCGTAAATAATAGTGGCTGCCCTGGGGGTTTGAGATGGCGAGGGGGAACGGTGTTGGGGGCGGTGTGTGCCCCTTCCCTTCCCGCAGCCCTCCTCCTCCTCCAACATGCTCGCTCCAGTTCAACACGCCCCGACCCCTCTCCACCGCCCCCAAGCACGCCCTCTCCTTCCCTTCCCTCTCTCAGTGTCCCCTCTATCCATCCCTCTCTCCCTCGTCCCACCTCCCCACCCTTCTCCTCCTCCCTCTGGCCAGTTGCGCGCTCTTCCTGCGTCTGCGCATCGACGACCCCCTCTCCGCCGCCCCCATGCACGCATTCGGCGGCGCCTGGGGCGTCCTCTTCGTTGGTCTGCTTGCCAAGCGGTCGTACATCTGCGAGTCGTACGGCAAGGACTGCTCGGTTCCGGGTCCAGGGGCGGTGCCGTACGGCCTGTTCTACGGCGGTGGCGGTAGGCTGCTTGCCTCACAGGTAAACAGTAGTGGGGGTAAAAAGAGTAAACTAACGAGCTGCATGACGAGGGGGCTTTACCATGGGTTGCTAGTTGAACCCGGCCCATCCCACCCCACCAGAAAACAGTGTGTGTGTGTGGGGGGGTAAACATTGTACCGCTACGCTACAACTGAGCCCGCGCTGACGTAGCGGGTGCTGCATGTCGCGCTGTCGCCCAAGAACCCCGGCGCTTTCCAGCCCGCAATCTCTCGCCTTCCCGCCCACTCCCGCAAACCTCCCCTTTGGCGCCCAGAGAAGACCGTCCCCCCATCCTGTTCCCACACCAGACACCACCACTAACCCCCTGCTGCGTCCAAGCTTCTTATAATGTTACCACACACGCCGACCACACCTGTCGCCCAACCTGCATGTGTGTTTCGCGTGTGCTGGCCCTCCTCCTCCGCCCTCCCCCGCCCCCGCCCCCGCCCCCGCCTTCCCGAGCAGGTGGTTGGCATCCTGGTCATCTTCGGTTGGGTGTACGGCCTGATGACGTTGCTGTTCGCGGGACTGAGGGGCGTGGGGCTGCTGCGGATCAGCGCGGAGGAGGAGCAGGCGGGGCTGGTGGGTCGTGGGTTGGGGGTGGGGGTGGGCCGGTGGTGCGTGGGGGAGGAGGAGCGGGCTGGTCGGAGCCAGCGAGGAAACACGGACCATGACCGTAGTGCCGTAGTTGTCTACCCTTTATGCCCTCCTTGGAAAATGGGATACGGATGGCTCATTGCTTTTTTCTTCCATATCCGTTTACCGCTCCTATCCCCAGTGTCTTGCCCCAACCTGTGGTTTTCTATGGTTCGGTATGGTCTTTGACCCCCCCACACACACACACCTCGCGGCCAGTTATTTTAACACACACACCTCTCCTCGATACTGTCAGCTACTACATACATATCAACTTACTACTACGGGCCTTAGGTCCGGTCGTTTTACGAGAGTGCTTCTTACGTCCTACTTATTCTCAGCACCAGTACTTGACTTCCATATCTACATACGCTACAATGTTCCTCGGCTCCTGCGGCGGTTCTGTGGGGACTTCATCTTCCGACAATCACAGTATGTTCCTACTCGCGGCCAGTTTTCTTAACACACCTGCCCACCTCTCCCCAAACCCCACCCACCCACCCACCCACCCAGGACGTATCCAAGCACGGCGGTTGCGCCTACTACTACGATCACGAGCTGGGCAAGCCCGAAAAGGCGCCCACCGCCCTGCCCGAGGGAGGCGGCGCAGCGGTGCCGCACCCCTCGGGGCCTACCACCACCTCCTCCTCCTACACCTCCACCTCGCCCCCCTCGGGAACGACGGCCAAGACATCTGCCTGAAGACACAAGACCCATCTACCCGCTATGTCCCGGTGGTGCATGTGTCGTGCGTGTGCGGGTGGTGGTCCGGGCTGGGCATGCATGCGCGCAAAGCGGGTGCATGCTTGCGTGGCGGCGGGTGCATGTAGCTTAAGACAGTGGCGCACCTGATAAGAGGTGCCGACAAGACACATGCACCTGCTGCTGCAGCTCGTGGGCGTGCGTGGCGTGTGCATTGCCCTCACTTGCGTGTCTTGTTTTGCATGTTTAACCAGCTGAAAGCCGCGCTTCGAGCGTTGTTTGTTTGAAGCAAACCGTGTGGACGGAGAGGGGATGCATGCATGCATGCATGCATGCATGCACTGAAGCGCGTCGTTGTAATTCCTATAGCGTGTGTGTGCACTGCAAGGATGCATGTAGAGGTGTAGCAGGATGTGTAGCATGGGATTAACAAACGTTTGGCTGATTAGTCAGCCTGATAACTGAAAACCAACTCGTCGGCTTTGCCCTGGTGCGGGCATGCTGCTGAAGAGCCCTCCAAATAGTTGTCGTAATCTTATGTGTCGTAATCCTTGGCGCCGGTGTTGTGTGGTACAAGTCGTACAGGGTTGTTCCAAATGTATATTTTAGGGGGGTACGTGTTGGCGCTGTGTGTCGCTCGTGCATATGCACATGCAAGCGTTCCCCATTTCTGCTGCTGCTATATGTACAATATTGGAACCATAGGAATAGCAGTACTGCAGTGGTTAGGACTTGGTGCCTATGTTTGGTCGGCTCCTTTCGTTGTGTTTGGAGTCTGCACGTATTCTGGCTGCCTAAGTCGCTCCTAAGCTCCGCAGAACTGCGACACTTCATGCTATTTTCTTTGTCCTGTTGAGAATACACTGGTAATAAACAAGACTTCACCTGTCTGTTTCAACTTTCTAGACGGGCATTACTTGCCAGAATGGCATGGGCCAGAACGCATGGTTCGAGGGATGCAGACGGGTGCATATGTAAGGCATGTGCAGCTGTGCGCAGACGATGTGTGCTTTTCTCCAGATGGGTACGAAGGGCTTGCGAAACCCATGATCGGCGATCGGCGCTTGCACGGCAACATGGACACATGCGTCACTATCCGCTTATGGCGGCGGAGCCTTATGACGGGTGCTCCACCCGGGCCTATAGTTGGCATGCCCATGGGCTTATGCCGCAACAAAGAGCTTGTAGCGTTTCCCGCTGGGCCACGTACAGCGGTGGCGTACGGCTAATCAACCGCCTCGCCCCGGTTAGACGTCACTGCGGCAAACGAAGCCGGTAGAATAATTTATTTATTTATGCTGTCGTTATCTTCACGTTGGGCAGCTGGCATACAATAGCCTAGCCCTGACAGTGTCTGTCCAAGCCTTGGGCTAAAGCCTTGGACGTGAGCTGTCGGGCTTGAAACCCAATGCCATGACATAGCATAGCACAAACCTAAGTCAGACAAGAGACCGTCACCTACGCCAACGATTCCTCAATAAAATGAACTTTCTGAAGTCGTTAGACCAGGCACTCGACTTCGAGCGCTTGGAAAAGACGGTTACAGAGAAAGTCCAGCAGGCGGCTCTCAGCGTAGTTGATGAATTTCCGGACCGCAACAGGGCTGCCCCAACGACGCTTTCGATCACCCCGGCAGGTAATCGGAAAAGTCAAAATGCTATCCGTCTCCAGGGCCCAATCAACTCTGGAACATCGCAGTTCTGGTAGAAGCTCGCGAGCTTGCTGAGGTCTGGCAGGGCTTTGAGTTAGAGGTAAGCATATGCTTTGGTGGTATGTTGTATCCGTGCACGCATGCACCTGTCATCAATGGCAGTCGAGATATATAGCTTTTGGGAGACCTAAGGAAATTTGCTTTCTGACATGTTGCTCATCTTTGCTTGCAGCGGCGGAAGGATGAGTGGGAAATTGCATGTGGCGAACTTAAGACTCTTCGCGGCACGGAGGCTCCGTCCCACACCGCACTGCAGACCTGGCAGCGCCGGGCCCAGGACTCGGAGTTCAAGCTGTACCAGCTGTACAGCTGCCTGCTGTCGCTACCGGACCCCACACCGTTCCTGACGCTGTTATCTTCCCTAGCTGCCCGCGTACAAGGTAGCCCCTGCACCGCTAGGCGCGCGTCATGCTGCATCTCGACCCAAACATCGTCCATCCCGTTCAACATTAAGCCCTACCCTCTCCGCCCTTTCCGCTGTCCTTGTCCGTCTACTGCATGTCTTCCCATTATCACGCTATTCTGCTTCCTATCTCCTCCGTATAACCCGCGCACCAAAGAGTAACAGTACCCTCTCTGTCTCCTTCCCCTTCTCCCCTCTCTCCCTCTCCTCCTTCGCCCCCCCTCTAAGACCTTGAGGACGCCAACCGCAAGCTGCAGTCCGCAGCCGAGCACGCGGCTCGGGACGATGCGGAGGTGAGCGGCCTCATCGAGAAGCACCAGCGCCTGCTGGAGGGGGCAAAGGAGCTTCAAGAGGAGCTGGCGCGGCGGGATGCGCGCATAGCGGAGATGTCGGCGGCGGCGGCGGAGGCCGCGGCGGCGCGGCAGGAGATGAGCCAGCAGGCGGCGGAGATGGCGCGGCTGCAGGTGGGCTGTGCTGGCCCTACAGTGTGTTGTGGGATGTGTGGGGTGGGGTCCTTCTCTCGCTACAACCCTCCCTAACGCGGTCGTACCAGTCGGTTTCTCCCCTCCTCATCCTCTTCCCTCCTCATCCTCTTTCCCTCCCCTGCAGCGCTCCCTGCGTTCCGTCCGTGACGAGTACGAGTCCACGCAGCAGAGCCTGTTTGAGCTGCAGAGCCGGCTGGAGTCGCTGGCGGGCAGCAGGCAGCAGGAGGCGGAGCTGGCGACGGAGGAGCTGGAGAGGGTGAGGAGGAGGGGGAGGGGGAGGGGGGAGGAGAGAAGGTATAGGTGGGCTTTGGGGAGGGAGAAGGCAGCAGGAGGCGGAGGAGCGGAAGAGGGTGAGGGAGTTTGAGGTGGGGAGGAAGGAGGAGGAGCGTGTGAGCAATCGACACGCCTTGCCCATGCAATGCTTCCTTGGCGCCTGTTTTCACGGCTCCCTCCCCCGCTTCGCGCCCTCCGCCACCTGCCTCATCACCACTCCCACCACCGTGCACCCACCCACCAGGTTGTGAAGCGCGCTGCGGAGCTGGAGCTGGAGCGGCAGCAGCTGCTGAGCCGCCTGGAGAGCGCGCACCAGCAGCACCAGCAGCAGCAGGGGGCGGCAGGAGGAGGAGCTGGGGAAGAGGGGGGAGCGGGAGATGAGGGAGGTGAGACGGGCGGAGGGTGGCCGGGTTGAAAGACTCGGGGCTGAAGGCCGAACGACGTCGGCTGCGCGTCGGCTGCATCCTGTCTCCGTCCTTCACTTCTCTCGCTGAATCTCCCGACCGGCCCTCCACCTCTCCCCGCAACCTTGCTGCCCCCGACCCCGCCTCCTCACGTCCCTCCCCACTCCCCACCCGAAGGCTCCTCCGCGTCCGCTGTCCCCCTGCGCGGCGCCCCTCCGCTGCTGCTGCCCCCGGGCGGCGGCCTGGGGGGCGACTACTCGCTGCTGGAGCGGCAGCTGGCGGCGCGGGAGGAGCAGGTGGGCGGCGCGGGAGGAGAGGGAGGTGAACTTAGAGGGTGCAATAGCCATGTGGCAAGGTGGCCATGTGGGTTGCACCAAGGGCGGGGGAGGAGGGGCAGCGGGGTAACAGCCCCTTCCAAGACGTCGACGGCCCACGCATTTCCCTAACCCCTCTGCCCCCCTCCTGGGCCGCCCCCGCCTCGCCGCCCCCGCCAGGTCACGGCTCTGAGTGCCTCCCTGGAGGCGTTGCAGCGCTCAGCTGCGGAGGCGGCATCACGGCATGCGCGGGAGGCGGCCACGTTGAAGGACCAGGTGGGGTGGTGGTGGGGCGGGGCTGCTGCGGGTTTGGACAGTGTTGTGGGATAGGAGACGCGAGGGCATTTGGGTCACAAAGCTTCCAAGGGACCCGACATGCTGGGGGAAGCTTCAAGGACCCCTTCCTGCTCTCCGTCGTGCCCCATGCACGTGCCAGTAGCCCCACTTCGCAGCCCCTAACGAGCCTTTCTGCTCCCCCCCCCCACTGCCCTTCATCCGCCCCCTTATTATCCAATACATGCTTCTTCGTCTTCTTCTTTTCCCTCCCTCCCTCCCACCTCCCCTCACATTGGGTATCCTTCTTCCCCCACCTGCCCCAGGTGTCTACCACCAAGCTGGCCCTAGACCGGCTGGAGCGGGAGGTGTCTCGCCGACCCGACCCCCAGGAATTCCAGGTGAGACAGGAGGGGGGCGTGGGGGGCTGCAGCCTAGCCTGTCATGACTCCCAGCAGCCGCCAACAGACCTCAGCGCGCGCTTCTTAGCTTCGAAACCCCCTCCCATTGTTTCCAGGAGCTCCGACGGCGGGTGGAGGCGCTGCAGTCGCTGGTGGACGTGCAGATGCAGGCGGAGGGGTGGAGCGGGGAGCAGGTGGGTGGTGCGACTAATGGGCGCAGGTGCGGGAATGGGTTGTGGGAGTGCTGGCTCCAATGCATGGTCCCTCGCTCCAGAATGCCGCCCGTCTTACCTCCTTTGCCACCGTACCTCACAACCCCCCGAGCCTCATCGCCCCCATTCCCCCAAACGCTCCCACACACATACATGATCGTCAGGTTGACAACCACCCCCCCCCCTACCCCGGGGTGGCTGGCTCGCAGGTGGAGACGGCGCTGCGCGACCCCAGCACGCAGACCGTGACGCATGTGCTGCAGGTGGGTGGAGTGGCTACCCGGATGGGGCTGTGGGGGAACGTTCCGGGAGGTGGGGGTGTGCGTTGACGCTTCGACGGCCATTTCCTTCAGGCTGCCTTCGGTTTGCCTCGCTGCCCGTCGCTCCGTGCCCCACCTCCCGCCTGTGGTACCCTGCCGGCCCCTTCCCCTACTGTTTTGCCCTTACTCGTGCCCTTATCCGTGCCCTATCCTATGGTTTGGTCTATCTTTGACCACCCTCCCTCCTCAGGAGCGCTCCCGCAAGCTGTCCTCGGAGGTCAATTCCCTGCGGCGGCAGCTGGGGGAGCGGGACACGCAGGTGCGGAGGCGGCCGCGGGGCAAGGCGCAGGGGGCCGGGTGGGGGAAAAGGCGGGGTATGGTGCGTATCGGTACACGGGAGACGAGCTTGAGGACAGGGGTTGCAGTACACCTCAGGAGCTAAGAGGCTGAGGTGGGGTGTGTCTTTTGTTACTTTTTAAATAAATATACCCGTGGGACCAGGTATGGCACAAGGGAGGTGTGCGGATTGCGGGCGCCATGCCATGCGTGGCTCGTTTAGGTACCGGCATTGACAGTGGAATACGGTAGCCATGCTCAGCCGGACATGCCAACCCTACAGTGCTTTTTCCCAACTTGTACCTTCCCGTTCCCTTTCCCTCCAGATCCACGACCTGGAGGCCCAGATCCGCTTCCTGGAATCGGATCTGCAGCGTAGGGCCCAACTAGTGGCCCAGCTAGAAGAGCACTTGGCGGCGGCAGCAGGCGCAGCAGCACACAACGCGGCTACTGCTGCTGCCACCACATCAGCATTGCCGCCACCGCCATCATCGTCAGCCTCTACCGGGGCTCTTGCTGCTCGCATTGCCACCGCATCAGCAGTTGACAGCGCTGCCACCACCGCCACCACCACCACCACGTCAACCCCCGTCCTGCTTCCTCAGCTCTCCGGCTCCCTAGGCGTGGCGCTGCCTGTTGAAAGCCTGGAGCAGGCCTCCACGGCGCAAAGTACTGCTATTGCTCCTGCGGCGGCTTCCGCTGCTGCTGGTGGCGATAGCGAAGCTACAGCAGCGGCAGGGGGGCATGCAGGTGGCGGGGGCGGGGGTAGTGGCGGTGCTGCTGACGGCGGCTCGTTATTGGATATCTTGGTCAGTCAACGGGATCGCTTCCGGCAGCGGATGGTGCAGCTGGAGGAGGAGAAGAGTGAGTGGAGGGGGCGCCAGGGGCGGGGGGCTTGGACGCCTTGGAGGGCGCTGCAGCTGTGGGTACTACATTCCGTGTAGCCGGTGCCGTGCTAGAGGGCTCACATGTCAAAAAGACCTGTGAACAAGGTTGCTTGGAGCGCGGTCCTTGCTTGTGAGGGTTGGCGTGAAGGGGCTGCTGGTCTTGCGAAGGCTAGCCTGATCAGCACCATTTGCGTGGTGATGCCGCATGCTAGCATGCAGCGCTGTACATCCTCGCCCGATGTCCGCACGGTTGAGGCCTCGTTCAGCAAACCATCTGTGGTAGAAAGCAAAAGCAATACCGCATACCATGACACTGCATCACAAGGCCTCTCCTCCCTTCTCCGCCACACAGACCAACTGTCCGACGAGCTCAACAAGACCCGACAGCAGCTAGAAGCCACGCGCAACGACAACGTCACGCTCTTCGAAAAGGTCCGCTACTTGGAACGCTACAACCAAAAGGCCGCGGCAGCGGCGGCTGCTGGCGGCGCCGGCCGTACGACTGTCGTACGAGTGGATGCCGCTGGCGTGGCACAGCCCTCCCCTGAGGAGGCGGCGGCGGCCCGGGGCAGCCGGTATCAGTGCGGCCCCTTTGCGTTGGAGCTTGGAGGCGGACGTCAGGGAGGTGACGCGGCAGGCGGCGGCGGGAAGCTGGGTGCAACAGGTGGTGCAGTGCGGTTTGGTGGCAGCGGGGGAGGTGGAGGAGGAGGTGGTGGTGGGATACGCAGCCGTGGCGCGCGGCGCGGGATGGGGTGCTTTGGCGGCGACGGGTAAGTTGGGCAACGGGTAAAGGAAATGGGAATTCGGAAAGGGCTTCTGGATGGGGTTGAGGGCTCAGCCGTTAGAACGGTAGACCTGTTTTCCGGTGGGCTTCGAAAGCATGTGGGCAGGGCCTTCAGGAGCCGCGTGATGCTTTCTTGAGCTCGTGATCAGCACAATTCAGCCAGTCCGTGATCAGTTGCCACCGACGTGTGACCCCGTGATCACCTGGAAGCACCGCGCCGTGACCCCATATGGCATTCCTAATCGTGATCTGGCACTAGTATCCCATCCCTCCACCGCCCATTGTCGTGATCCAATCCAAGTCGTTCCTCTGCCGCCTTCAATCGTGATCCCAAACGTGATGTACGGTCCTCCGCATCCCAACCTGTGATCCCACAACCTCTGGTCCTAAACCTCCACTGCTTCCCCGCCGTGATACTATTCACTGGGATCATGTTTCATATTCGTGACTTTCCATCGGTGATCCATCGACTCTTTCGCGACCCCTCGACCTTGCCGTGACCGCCCAAGTCCGCTCGCGGCCCCTTTTGCGCGACGCCTCGTGATCCCTTGGCCTGTGACCCCTCAACCGTGATCCGTTGGCTTGTGTCCCTGTGACCTACTACACCGACCCTGCTGATCTGCACAGCTGTGTTGCATGCCATGGCCGTTGCTCTATGCTGCGTAGCGCTCCACGGACCGCCCCGGTAAGCCCCGCGCGTGTTTGCCCCTGGGCGTCAATCTCGGCGACTTTGCAGGTCCAACCATGATCCCTCTCCATACGTCCATAGCGACCTGTCACTCCCCTTCACGACCCGCCCCCTTCCTCTCCAACCTTCAAATCCATGGATGCCTCCCTACCACGACCCGCCAAACCCCCAACACGCACGAAACCCCAACCCGACGCCCCGCCACCGCTCTCCCTCTCCTCTCCCTTTCCTAACTCTCCCATTGGTGTGCTAAATGTTATCCCTCGCCGCGCACAATGTCAAACTGTTTGCGCCCGCAGCGGCGATGACGTGGAGGCAGCGGCCCCCACCGCTGAGGCCCGCGCCGCCCGAGCCTACGAGGCGCGTGTGAACCCCTTTGCGGAGTTCCAACAGAGCGAGGCGGAGCTGAGGGTGCGTAACCTGCAGGTGAGCGGGACCGGGTCGTTGGGAGGAGGGGCCAGGGCTGGTGAATGGGGGACAGACGCTGTGGGTGGGGGAGTGAAAGGGGAGGAAAGGAGGTGGCGGCAGAGGACAGGGCTGAAAAGCGGAAAAGCCGAAAGAGGGAGGGGGTCAAGGGATTCGTTGGGTTGGACTTCGTTGGGTTCGGTCTTGTACGGTATGTTGGAAAACAGGTGTCGGTCTGGTGACGTGTAGTTGACTGGCGGGCTGCTGTACTTTGTGCAGGTGCACGACCGTGCCGTACTGGCGGGCAGCCGGCTGCTGCTGGGCAGCCGCGTGGCGCGCATGTTCTTCGCGCTCTACACCGTCATGCTACATTTTATCATCTTGCTGCTCTTCTTCTACGCTACTACGCCGTGTCCTGCGGCGACGTTGTTAGGTGCGGAGGGTGTGGCTGACACCGCCATGGAGGCGGCTGCTGCGGCAGCAGCAACAGCGGCGGGGGCGGGAGTGATGGCGGGGGCAGGCGGTGGGGCGGGAGCGAGGGGAGTGGCCGCGGCGAGGGTAGCAGTGACTGGAGGGGTTGGGAGAGCGCTGCGGGCGGTGGCAGGCACGGTGGTTCGATGGAGGGGAGCTATGCAAGGGTAGAGTATGGTGAAGTTTTGGAGTGCGTGGGCGTACGCGAGAGGCCACCGGGGTTCCAATGGAGGGAGGATGGGAGACAGGAGCAGGAGTTTTTATTATGAATCCCAGATGTGGATGGAAATGTAGAACGCGTGGGTGTTGCGAATGAAAGGTATGTCTAAGCGAGCGTAACCAATTATCCGTGTGATCCGATACCGTGGTCACAAATGAACGAACGGGGCAATGTAATCAGATAACATTTTGGTGGAGTTAGTGAATTCTCTGTGAAAAATTGTCGTGTACATCCGCTGGACATTGACATATTCAAGGAGAAAGGTAGGGGTGACGTAAAAAAATCTGCCACCGGAGATGATGTGAGAATTTGCTCCTACGCCGTATGGACCGCAAGGAAACCGAATACAACCAAATTAGTTTTCAGGGTTGGAGTGGCTGAAGACATAACTAACGGGATATTAAGCTAATCTGACGGTTTGTAAAGGGTTGCGGGATACGAGCTGTTTTATCCACTCATTGGACCCATTCACCCATACGACAACATGGATCAAACACACTTTACGTGATACCTTAAATGGAAGGTACACTCCTAGCCCTACAGGCTAACGGTGGGGTTTCCCACAGGGAGCACGATCGGGAATGACGGTCAAGGGGCGGGTGAACATCAGGACTGTCACAGATGCTCCTGTCGCCCAAGCCGTTGGCCTTTTGCGCCTGCTGCACGCCGTAGACTGCGTTCCAAGAGGTAACAAATTGTGTTCCCTGCTTTAGTTCTGTGGTTGCTGCTAAAGAGCGATTTCAAACTTGCACACTGTCGCTGGCCTCGCTGCACAGGTGGTCTCTATGAAGGTTATTACGCGGTGACTGCCGCATTGCGTTATGAGAAATACTGGGTACAGGTCCTCCAGAAAACGCACAGTAACTTGGCAGGAAGCCAGGTGCCCCCTCTCGATGTTGCCTTTGCCTGGTAAGCATGTGTTGACTGGGAGATAATTTTACTCAACTTTGCTTATATATACGAATATATGGAAGGTTTTCTCCCACCTTGAATCGCGGATAACGGTTTTCACACAGAGCCTACCTTCAATGCCATTCTTCAACTACAAGGATCGTAAGGTTTACCAGTTGTATAGTCTACTTGTCAAACACATACTTAAAGTTTAATAACGCATCATTCGCTTTGAGAAGTAGCCTTTCGACCGCTGAATGCTGCTATCCCGTGCGCAGGTTCGTCCATCGCCAGGACCCCGGGCACTACCGAAGCTGCATGACCGCCAGCGGCCTTTCGGACGCGCATCCGTCCCCAAGCCAAGCTTTCTCCTTTGGCGGTGCACAGAAGGACCGCATTACCTGGATGGTCGTGACGGACAAGGAGCCCAGGTGGCCTCCTCCGGCTCCTGGCTCTAAGCACGACGTCACCGCCAGCTTGACCAATTCAACACCTGCCTTCGCTCTGCGGGTGGTACGTCTCATGCCTTCTTGGTGACAGCGGCATATGGGATCCATGTGATTTTGAATCCTCCTGTACTCTCATGGGCACGCGCTTGTGTGTGTGCCAACGGCTTTATTGTTGCATGCAGGCCGCCTCCATGTCCCGGTTCTCTTGGCTGCTGCGCTCCTGGCTGCGACCACACTTCATGGACGTGGCCTTTCACGAGTTCGCGCAGACCAGGTGGGTCCAACACAGGCCGCGGTTTGGTTGGGTGGCTTGTATGGGCTCATCCCCACGGTTCATCCCCCATGCGCATGTCCCGTCCTAACATCACTACCCTACCATTCTCCCGCAGGTACGGCCGCTTCCTGGAGCTTCACGCGGATCACCCCAGCGTCACGCTGGTCCCCACGGCCGACATTGCGCTGATGTGGCACACCCGCCTGGGCCTTTCGGTGGGAGGACTCCATCTTTCGGCAATCACAGTACGTTTCGCCTCGCGGCCAGTTATTTTAACACACCCGCCTGGGCCTCAGCGGCCAGTACGCGGCGGCCTGCGAGCAGCTCTTTCCGGCGGCCCCGGAGCCCTGGCGCCCGGACTACCTGGAGCTGCACCCGGAGCAGATGGCGACGGCCTATGCGGAGACCGCAAGGCTGTACCAGGAGAAGTACGGTAAGGCGTTGTAACACGGACACGGCGTGGCTTTGCATGCAATGCGTCAGTGTCCTGCTGGTAGTTTTTTTCCACTTTACATTGTTAACATTGTTACATTGTTTACAGGCGAGCCGTACGACAGCCCTGATACGGCGTGGCAGCCTCAAACGACGCCGTACCCTCTTGCGGCACCCAACAGCCCTCTGGCCTTTGCGCTTCGGGCTTTTGATGAGAACCCGGACCAGGACGAGCAGGCCCTGGCGTTGAACGCGGCCGCCGTTTCTTCCCAGATGGCGTTTCCGCCGCCCGGTGCGCCGGTGCCCCGCAGCGGTGCGCATGCACTGTTTGCGGCGTGGCTTGCGGGTCGACGTTCGGAGGAGGCGTTTGAGGACTTGACGTGTGGCCGTTGCTGCTTCACGGGCAAGCACACGGTTAGGCTCGAGACCCTGAAGTGAGTGCAGCAGGATTGCCACGCTGGCGATGTCGTTTATGTGGAGGTAGTGATATCACACATCGGATAAGGGAACATGTGCCACATGATTTCAATCCATTGACCAGTCCGCTAAGATGTACCGTCGCTTGCTGCTTTGACCCCGCAGGCATACCGTGTCGTCTCTTGTTTCTGTGGCGTACTTCTTGATTATTCCGGCGGAAGACAAGGTCAGTGACCTGCTCTCTTAATGGTAATGGTCTCACTGCCTTGGAAAACCACTGTAGCTGCTCTGATTTCTACTTCCAGCACATACTGAAGTACATTCCGCGCCCGTGTTCCTTACTGTGCAGCACCCGTACCTGAAGGCGCTGGTGGCGCGGAGGGGGTTGTGGACGCCTCAGATGTCGGCAGTCGGTAAGCATGTCGCGTTCTCAAGGCTGATACCTTCCCGTCGCTGTGCTAGGCTCCCTACCTCCTATCCTCCTATCTGCGAGTGTTCACATACCACTCTTGATTCACACTCAAATGCATCCGACCCTCCATTCTCTGCACCACAGCCGCTCCAGCCACTGCCCTGGGCTTCTCTCCCCAAGACCCCTACCGCCTGCTCCACAGCTGGGATGCCCGCCGACTAGCCGGGCTAGACCGGCTGCTAGCTGAGGCGGCCGGGGCCAAGGTGCCGCCTGCCCCGCAGGGGGCCGAGCTCGCGGCCCTGTGGATGATCCTGGCGGCGCCTGGTTACCCGGCGCACATGCAGGCCCTGTTTGCGGAGCAGTGGGCCTTCGCACGCGTGTACGGCGTGGGCCGCATGCAGCACAAGTACCAATCCTGCCGCAACACCAACGACTGCTACGTGTACGGTTCCAGCGACTACTACACCTCCACGCAGCTCTACATGACGGGCGTGTACTACTCCGACACATACGCTGATAACCGTGGCGGCGGTGGGGGCGGGTGTGGGGGTGGGGGTGGGGGTGGGGGTGGCGGCGGGTGGGGGCACGGAGGTGGAGATGCCGGTGGGGGAGGGGGAGGGGATGGCGGCGGAGGTGGAGGTGGGGATGGTGGAGGAGGGGGCGGGTGTGGGGGTGGGTGTGGGGGTGGGGGTGGGTGTGGAGGTGGGTGTGGCGGCGGATGCGGTTAAGCAGGCAAGGCATGTTCGCTGAAGTATCATGTTAAGCCCCGCACGTCTTACACTGCTTTGTTCATCGTCGTTGTTTTCTCGCTTGTTTCGTTTAGGCCTCTCGTTTTGTACGAGACAGTACGTGAATACTTAAAGTTGCCCCCAGCAAGCAAAATGCAATTGTTGGGTATTGATGTACTGACCCATTCTTAATAGTAATTGCGCCCACCTCTTGCTGAACTCGGTAATCATTTTGCCCAGTGCGTCGGCTGTACCTCTGTTGGAAATGTACTCTTGTTGTAGGGGAGGGGGAGGACTGCTTGCTGGTTGCCTGGCGACCGTTGCAGTTGTAGCGCCGTTGATATGTACATGTTTCTGTGCCATGCCTCGCGATTCAAGATATTAATACTTATTTGCCCATCATGGCGATCTCGACTGAACCATGAAGGATTTCCAGCACTCACCTGGTGCGGTTACTTATATCCTGCTGGCTTGAAGGGCAGCCAGGGTTTCGAAGGACAAATCTTATATGGGGCTGCTGCCCCTTACCGGTAGGAGTGCTACTCGTGATTACGTTGTCGTCCGGTGAAAATACCCCGGAACCCCGGTTAAGGATGTTGGTATGCTATATGGTAAAGGAAAGACCCTGCAAATGGCAGAGCACGGTGCAGACGGGCACGCGGTCTGTACGACTGATACAAAGTCGCACACCAGCCTCTGCAGAAAATGGAGGATCAAACTGTAACGCCCTCTCGCATGCTCCATTCCCAATACATGTTTACGCGCTCTTGTTTCCAGTTGCTTTTACGGACCGCTTGCAAATCTCTTGCCTCATTTGAACCGATGTCATGTTTAGGACTTCGAGGTGGGCCGCATGCAGCGCCAAAACGATGATGAGTATTACGTAGTGTACGGTTCCAGCGATGACTACGTGCTCGCAGTCTATGTCTCTTCTATCTATCTGCTATGGGTCACTAGAGAGTGTGACCCATGGGTCATAGGTAGGCAACGTAGAGGCACCCGGGCCCGAACGGTGCCCGTGTGAATATCTAAGGCACCTTCCTCAATGCTCCCGACTGGCTTGTAACGTAGCAAAATACTGCGAGATATCCTGCTTACATACATGGCTGCCTAACTCTTTTCGCCTGGGTTATCGTTTGCACTAGCCAAGGTCGTCCAAGCGTCCCAGCCTAGGACACACAGACCACGCTAGCCACAACCACTCACACCCCTCCATCCGCATCACAGCCCAATGCCCAGCCGCAAAACCTAACAGCAGGACTTCCGGCAATCACAGTACGTTCCGACTCGCGGCCAGTTTTGTTAATACACACCCTTCACAGCGATCACAGGCCATGCCCCTAGCCACGGCCAAGGGCTTCACGTGCAGCGTTCCACATGTGATGCCCGAGTCCCACAGCCGTGGCTCCGCCCCCCTCCGCACATGCAAACCTAAGGAGCAGCGGGCCCGGGGCCTACGATACACACACATGCGCAGGCCCCTGCCGCTGCTGCTAGGCAATCGATGTAGCTACCGGTATGCATACATGACCGGGAGGCAACCTTCCGTTCGATTGCCGTAGTAAGTATACAAACACTTCAGAAGTATGCAAATTCATCTATGATGTACGGCAACAGGTGCATGCGTTGAAGGACACGGTTAGCGTTTGCACAGATAGCCACCGTTGTACCGCTTAGCGCTATAGCACCCCGCATCATGAGACATATGGCAGGGCTACGCGTGAAATATGCGCCGTACATGCATCAATTTTGTGTACGACCACCTTCTGATCACCTAGAAACGACCGTCAAGACAGGTAACCTCACTGACATTCAAGAGAATATCACAGCCACCACGCTAAGCAACGGAAACGCTAGTCGAAATGTGTTATTCTGTCAGCTTCACCAACCAATCAATCAACCCCTATAAGACCTCTCCTTGCCCAATATCTCGTCATGCAGCATTTACAAGGGCGACCAACCAAGTCTCTTCGGTTTTCAGACTCGCGCTACCTCATATCTCAATGACGCGCACGGCAACATAACGCCAACACTACAAATACGGTCATGCGCATGCTGTGTGCACGTTACGTTTGGTCTCAACTCTCGGAATAGGCAGGATCCTCACATTAGTCTGCCATGGTAGCCCACAACTGCACTCCCTGGTAAGAGTTTATCAACGGATGCGTCCAAAACGTGATCACGGTTAAACAAACATTAATGGCCGCTTCTTTTCGGAACAGTGCCTCCTGTAACCTGCAGTACTTGCGCTGCTGACATCTGCAGTTATGCCGCTCAGAAGCTCACACCTCCCACCTCAGCCATCATCCTCCCACCATTCCAGCGGATGTGAAACCATATGGGCTTTACTTTTCATATTCGCGCCAGGACGCAGCACCTGATGACCCATGGGACACTCCAAACTCTTATTAGCCTCCGCCGCTTTTGTAACCCATGCCTCATAAATTGGACCGTCGCTGCCATATTCGACTTTGTCAGTGCCGTACGGAATGGTTTCTGTACCCCCTTCCAAACCACCTCTACTGCCGCTGCCATAGCTACAGCCTCCGCCGCTTCCGCAGGAGGTGCCGTAACACATAACGCTGCCGTACCCGACGCCGCCGGCCGGCATGTCGTACAACATCGACGCCGGCGGCATCGGAGCCGCCGCCGCTGCTGCCGTGACTGTCGCCCAAGGGTTAGGGTTTTGCGTCACCACGCCTGCCTCCGAGGGTTGGGATCCCGACAAGAGCATCGTTCCTTGCTCCGTGTCCACTAGAACAGTTGGGTTTGCGGTTGAGGCGTGAGGGCTTTTGCTTTGGCTGACATTCCTTTTCAGGCTCCGTCGCAGCTGCAATGCCGACGGTGGTTGTGCGGATTGTTTCATGCTAAGTACGGCAGATGTGTACGGCAGCATTGGTGAGGCTCCCAACTGATTGTCGCCGTTGTCCTTCACACCGCTACTGTTCATTTGAAACAGCAATGATTCAAACGAGCCTGGTAAACTAGTACCTAAACCGCCAGAGGCAAGGTTGTACGGCAGAGGGGGCGAATACGGTAGGCAAGGTACGGCAGCTTGCTCCGAGAGCTGCGGCGGAAGCGAAGGCAGGGGTAGCGGCTGCCATGCGGTGAGGTCCGGCATGGGGACGTCCAGCACTTCAGCTTCACCCCATGCGTTTGCGGACGCAGCCACCAGAGGCGATGACGGCTGCTGCTGCTGCTGGTGGTGGTGCTGCTGCTGCTGTTGCTGGTGTTGCTGTTGGTAGTACTGCTGCTGCTGCTGCTCGAGCCAAGCCTGTTGCCGCTCGTGCCGGACATCGTCGTATCCTGGCAGCGGAAGTTGCTCTTCATGTCCTGACGGAAAACCATACGACAGCTGTTGCGGCGGTTGCTGCTGCTGCGGTTGCTGCAGTTGTGGCAGTTGCGGTTGCGGCGGTTGCTGCTGCGGCGGTTGCGGCAGTTGCGGTTGCGGCAGTTGCGGTTGCGGCGGTTGCTGCTGCTGCGGTTGCGGCAGTTGCTGGGCATGAGGCTGCTGCGATGACTGCCGCTGCAGCTCTGCCAGCTGGGCCTCCAGGAGCGCTAACTGCCGCATCTGCTCGGTCTCGCCCGACTCGTGAGCATTAGTTATCGATGTACCTGGGCGGTACGACAACGGTTGGACGGTTAACATGATGTCTGAAGGACTGGAAGCGGGAACATCAGCGTGATTGACGGCGGCGCCGCTGCTTTGGCTCGCCGCCGCGGCTACAGAGATCGGCAACACCGCCGATGCTGCATGTGGAACCTGGCATTCCGTTTCCCTGGGCGTTGCGAAAATTCGCGACAGGTTGTACGACGGGTGCGGCGGTGACGGCGGCGGCGTCATGTGTGATGATGTACGGAAAGCGGCAGCGAGCGCTGCCATGGTCGACGGGATTGCGGCGATGGCGTCAGCGGAAACTTCCGGGAATATGACGGAGGTGGCGAGGACGCCTGGACTGCCCACTATGAGAGGGCTTGCGGCGCCGCTGCTGGCGGCTGGGATGGCGGCGGCGCCGCCGTAAGAAGGTACGGCAATCTTGCCGCCGGCTGCGGCGCCGGACCAAGTAGCCGACTTGGCGGCGCCGGCGGCTGATGCGGCGCCGGCGGCTGCGAGGAGGCTGTACGTTCCGGCAGTTGACGTCATTCCGCGCATTGTGAACGGCTGGAGAGGTGACGCTCCAGCGGCGGCGGGACCGGGGGAGGCTGCTACGTAAGCAACGGCTGATGCCGAACGTGTCGCCGCCAGCGGAAAGCCGTCGCTGACGCCAGCGGCGACGGCAGCTCTGACGTCAACGACCCCTGAGGTTTCGGCCGCTAGCTTCTCCGACAAACCGTCCACACCGTTCCCCTGCCCCATCACCCCACCCCCGTTGACATTCCCGCGGCCGACGGTGACGTCTGTACCACACAACCCACGAGGCGAAGACGGCGCCGCCAGACTTGACGGCGTTGCCGGAACCGACGGCACCGTCAGACCACCATGCGTCTGCCGCCGCTGCCCTTCCCCAATCCACCTTCCTGCATGGCTGCTGCAGCCGACGCCGCCTTCATCCAACAAGTCGTCACTGCTGCTGCTAGGGGACATTGGCAGGGGATGTGACGACAGGGCTGAGAGACGAGCTGCAGTACTACTAGCAGAACCATTAGCAGCAGCGGCAGCAGCGGCTGTGACGGTGTCAGCAGCGGCGGCGGCGGCTGTGCTCTGCGGCGGCGGCGATGAGGCCAGCGTCAGCAGCTGCCGTACATCCGGCATGGTGCTTAGCTGTGTCACGATCTCCGCTCGTAATCCTGGCGGCAAGGCATTCAGCTTTTGCAGCAACACCTGCACTGTACGGCTGACGCCGCCGCCGCCGCCGTTAGCTCCGTCAGCGTCCCCGCTGGCAGCAACGCCGCCGTCAGAGCCAGCCGTCCCATTTGGTCTTGCCCCTTCTTGTGCCTGTCCTTGCTGCTGCGGTAGCTGTTGTTGCTGTACAGGTTTCTCGTGACAGGCTTGAATCGGCTGTTGCTGCCGTGATGTCGGTTGCTGCTGCAGTCGCTGTGAAGTGGTGTTAGGCACAATCGGCGCCCGGATCCCTCCCGCCGCCGTTGAATCCGCTGCTGGAGTTGTCTCCGCCGCCGTCCTCCGCGCCGTCGTTCCCGCTTCAATATCAGCGCGGTCGCTAGGCTGTGATAGCTCCCAGGTAGTGGTCTGCCGCTGCAGAAGCGCGTGGGCGGTGACGGCCGATGGAGCAGGGAAAGGTACATCTTGTTGCTGCTGCTGTTGGAGTTGCTGCCGTTGTGGCTGCTGCTGTTGATGCGGCTGGTGTTGCAAATGAGTATCAGTATTGCTGTTCCTGGCCGTTGTCGGTCGGGCGTTGGGGTTCTCCAAAGGGCAGATTGGATCCGAGGTCTGCAAGGTTGGAGAGGGCAAGGGGTACAGATTTGCTACCTCGGCCTGGTTTGGCAGCTTGCAAGACGTGCACTGGCCCTCAGCGCTGGCAAGTCAAACGAGATCCCTTATGTGCGCTTCCTGGACCTTTTGCACGCATATGCGTATCTCAGCAGGTCGTAAATATATAGCAACAATGTCCCAGGGACTTACCCTGGATTCAAATCCCAACTGTAAACGAAGGCGGCTCGAGGAGTTTGAAAAGTCTTCACCCGACCTGTTCACGTACACGGTGAAGGTGGGAGCATTTGATAGCATTTGTTAGTCGCAAGTAAGTTATCAGGCGATCCTGGCTTTTTACAAAGCAACAAAAGGCAAAAGGGCGCTATATACCGGTCGCTGTCATTCGGTAAAATGCGCGGTCGCTACTCATGCAAAGCCCATCATAAGGCAACCAGGCAGCCACTTTGCCCGAGAAAACTACCGGTAGTTTGATTACGGTAGTCGTAAAGGACTACATGCAGGCAGACACGTAATCCATCTTTGCTGTACGGAATTTGGTACTAATCGAAGCTTGCAAGTACCAACCTCCCCGCTTCCCAGGAGCCCAGCAACAAGCATGGTGATTGCTTCAAGCAAGTGCTAGAAAACATGGAAGCATGCCTTACCGCAGCGCAGCTACCGAGATGCCGCCGCTGGCACCGCCACTATCGCGGCCGCCACTGTCGCGACCGCCCCCGGCGGTGCCGCCTCCTGCCGCTGCTGCAGCCCCGCTGCTGCTACCACTCCTGGCAGTTGAACCAAACCGACACTTAGCAGCAGCGGCAGCGGCGGCGAGACGGGCGGAGTGTGCTGCTGCCGACACCGCAGGGGCTTCCAAGAAAGCGCTGCTGTTGCCGCGACTGATGACCTGCGTCATAAGTCGTGTGATGGAAGGGAATGCCTTACATCATGATGAAACGTAAAAGTGTTGGTAAAAATGGTGCTTGGGCCCCCCATCCCCTGCGCTAAGTGGTGCTGTTCTTCATTTTAACGTACTCGGAAGGCCTTGACGCTTTGCACATAGCATGCATACAGAGGGAACAAGGAACCTTGTGCCTACACGTCGTTGCTGCATACCGTACCGGTATACGTACCGGTATACGGCAGTAGTAAGCAGCAGATTGAGACATGGCACCGCTGGCCACTGTTGTGCCCTAGTTGTACGGCCGTACGAACACACTGGCATCATACCTGCATGACCTCTTCAAGGTCCGCGTCGCTGGTGAGCGGCTGCGTGAGGTCCACCTCAAACGATACTTGAGGCTCGCTGACCTGTGTGTGTCCATCACGAATTCAAAATTTGTTACGCGCACATGTCGAAGAAAAGTGTGGTTAATGTGCATGTGGTAAAGTAATGTGGGATTAAGGCCGTTAACGTACGTATTTGCCAGGCGGTGGTGTTGACGTCGTTTTAATGAGCATGGAAGCCAGCGTGCAGCCTAGCCTAGCAGTCACGCTTTTAAAGTTCGTTTACAGTTCCAGTAGTTTGTAGCCAGTTGTTAAGTGTTGCAACCGACCGTGGGCCAGGCATGGGTAAATTTAATCCCATCATGCGTGAAACGTCCACGCTCGCGCTCCTGGCTCTCAGCGCTAAACAAGAGGCTAACCGACCCATGGGTCGCTCACCCACCCGCGCTAGGCTGCCATGTCCCAGGAGTCCCCTTTGCTGCCCGGGCCGCCCGCTACTCCCCAGAGCTCTCCTGGGTTGTGTTGAGCGGGGAAGGATGGACATGAAACGTGAGGAAGGTCTGTCAGGAAAAGGCAAAGCAGTAAAGCAGCAAGGAAGATGAAGCCAGAGTCCCGGAGGGCAAGCCGGCACCAACGACCGGTCCACACATTACCAGGTTGCCAAACAACGTTCAATGCCCTGCCCCTCGTAATGCCTTGCCCTGAAAGGTGTTCCGCCTGAAATCCCGCTAGTTTCCCCGCAAACTGAACTGTGCTAGCGTATCCTGGTCAGGATACAGGTAGCTCGCTGCACCAACCGCCAGCCCCACCCAGTGTGTTTTGCGGCCAGCTGCAAAACACATGCAGCGGCCGGCAACCAGGACAGGGTTCATATGCGTGCATGATGCCGTATGAGGGGCAAGCAGACTCACCTGGTCATTGACTGCGATAACTCTTTAGAGAGCTCCGATTGCCCTGCCTCCGCCGCTACCCGCGACGTCACCGGCGGAGGCGGCGGCGGAGGCGGCAGAACAACCTTGGTGGCCAAAGAGACCGTCGTCGCTGCTGACGTCGGCGGCACCGGAGGCGGCGGCGGCGTTGACGTCAGCACTGATGGTGCCGCAGGCGTCAAGGAAGCAGCGGCGGAGCTGCCTCCGCCACTAGGAGATATGGACCGAGGCGAAGAGCCTCCTTTGGGCCCGAAACGGGAGGGCTGGTGGCCGTGGGGGAGGGAAAGCGCTGACGGCAGCGTCGGCGGCGTCGGCGGCGGCGAAGGTTTGGGTTGCGTTGGTGGGAACGACGGCGGCGGCGGCGGCGGTGGCGGAGCTAGAGCCGTCGTGGTGACGGCGGCGGCGACAGCGCCGCTTCGGTCGCTTCCGCTACCGCTTCCGCCACCGCCGCCGCCGCCACCACTACTGCGGTCACCGCAACCGCCGCCATTGTTGCTACTGCCGCTGCCGCTCCCGCCGCCGCCATTCACACTCCTCTGCGAAGGACCTGCGGCGGCGCCGCCGCTAGTACTACTGCCGTTGACCAAAGGTTGACCGGCTAGCTGCTGCTGTTGCTGCTGCTGTGTTATATCCATCTTTGCTTCGAAGGAGCTCGCTCGGCTGCTTTGGGCGCTCCAGGGCAATTGCCCGGGCTGCACACGAAACAGGGCGGAAACGAGGTGTGATGAAACATTACGAAACAGGGCGGAAACGAGGTGTGATGAAACAATACAATACAACACAATGACTAACAAGGTGCCCAACAAGACTCGAATGCACTGCTCGCAAGGATGCATAACTTCTAATCCTGCTCTCAACAAATATTGCGTAAAGAGTCGACGTCTCCGCATAAGACTCGAGCATTCCCCACCCGAACACAAGCAGGACGAGTGAAACCCGCGCGTCTCAATCCATTCAAACCCCACAGCCCCCCGTCCTGCTGCTGCAGCCAGCTGCTCAGGATGACTCTACCGGTATCCCTACTGGATCACCGTATCTCCTAGTGTTGTACTCCACACATTCGCACCCATGTACTACATACGGTGACGCAATAAAACCGTTGTACCGTTGTACGACGTCGTACTTACTTGCTGCTGATACTCAATGAGGTATTCGAAGGAGGCTCGCGGCCGAGGTGGCACTGAAGGCTCCAGGCCCGGATGAGGCTCCGACTTGGGCGGTACGAGTCCCACCGCATCCTCCTCGTCGCTGTCTGCCGCAAGGAGACGCCTGAAAGGTAGCGGCAAGATTAAACGGCAATTTAAAACGGCAAACGGGAAGCAACTTGAGTTCAGAGCCTTGTTCATATCTTCAGGAGTGCATTTTCATGTCTACATGACACACCAGCAAGCCCTCCATCGCCACTTTCCTAAGCCCGGAGGCCCATCCCCAGCCGCAGCCGCACCCAACCGAGTCCCACTACCTTCTGCCCCCTTCCCTCCTTCCCTCACCGGCCGTGCTCCTGCGTCTTCTCCTGCTCGCGGTCTAGGCTGCGACGCTGCGCCCCCCCCTTCACCACGAAGCTTCGAGCCATGAAGCTGCGGAAACCGTCGATGGAGGACCGGCGCACGCGGCCTCGCTGCAAAAGGAGAAGAAGGAGGAAGGGGAGAGGGACACGAAGAGGGACATGGCTGAAAAGGGCCACCTCAGAGCGCCGCCGCCGTGGGTAATGAAACCTTCCATCACCTTGTTAATGTTGTTTTGTAAGTTATACGACAAAACTCCACGCACTGTAGCGGTATATGCAGACATAGCCATTAGCCATTAGCAGCTTTGATTATTTGGGTTACCGTTCGTGCCGTACCTTGCCGCGCTGGGGGCTGAGATCCATGCCGGATAGCTCGGGAAGCGACCCAGCGGTACCTGACACGATGCCATTGGCCCCCCCGGCGCCGTCCTCCCCCGCCTCCAATCCCCCAGCCCCCATTCTCCTCTTCGCTCGCAACCTCTCCGCTGCATGCCTGCGGCGGGCACCGGCAAGTGCGCGACGTACACACATGTTACTACGTACGTTCCTACTCGCGGCCAGTTTTCTTAACACACGTTACTGTGGATGTTTCAATCCCACGTAGCGTACCTCTCTTTTCACTTTCCACTACAATACCGGTAGCCGTTAAGGAGACACAGTAGCGCGCTAAGGGGGTGTCGCTGGCATCGCTGGCGAAGAGGCGGGCGTGCAATGGGTACCTTTGCGGAAGGCAGGGCCCGCTGCCAAGTGGGCGATGCTCTCACAGCTACTACTTCTCACGTCACTTGGCCAGTTGCACATGCACCAGGTCAGCAGAGTCAGGTATGCAGCAGTCCAGGTGACGTGCTGCAAACACCCAAGGTACCGGTACGGCATGAGGCTTACTTGAGCATCATGGCGATCCGGATGATTTCCACTGATCGCCTCAACTTGCGCAGCGCATTGGAGGGCCCTGCCACACCGCCGCTGCCGCTGCCGCCAACGGGGTCGACACCTGCGGCGGCGGCTGCAGCTTCCCCATTGCTCGTACGGGCCTGCATTACGGGTCGGTTAGCGGCCGAGGGATTGGATTTGGTAGTCTAGCGGTGTTCCATGTCTTTTACGGTCGAAGGGCATGTCAGCAGGCTTCTACGCGCCACGGCGCCAGAAGGCAGGGGTTCAAATGTAGGGGCCTAGGCAGGGCGGTGACAGGGCACGCACCAACTGCTCCTTTCCCCCTTCTCCTTCCCTTTCATAGACCCCTTTACACCGGTACACTCCTTGATAACACTCTTACCGCAGCTGCTGCTGCTGCTGCTCCGGTAACTGACACAATGCGAACCCTGCCGGGCCCGGAATGCGGTTGCCCCTCGCGCCCAGCTCCCCCCGGCACCCCGGCAGAAGATCTTGAGGTGAAGCTGAACCCCGCCAGGCCCCGAAACCCTCGCTCCGAGCCCCTACGGCTGCCGCCGCCAGCGGACATACCACTCGCACTGCCGCGCTGACCGCCCCCCTCTCCACCCCCGGGTGCAGGCGGCTGCTGCTGCTGCTGCCGATGCAGGAAGCGCAGGGAATCCGAGGACCTCAACAGGCGGCTAACAAAGCCGGAAGTCTTGGGGCTTCCGCCGTCAATGCCGCCGCCGCCGCCGCTGGTGGTTGCAGCGGCGCCGACTCGTCTCAGTGACGGCGAACGACGGCGTGACGTCAGCGCGTCGGCATCGCCGTCGTCGCCGCGAGCACTGGCGCCGGAGCCCGGCCTTCCGCCGGCGCCGTCGGAAAGTCGCTTCACGGAAACGCTGCCAAAGGCGCTGAGCAGCGCGGAATGCAAGCGCGAGGTCGTACGGTGGCTCAGACGGGAGGGGCTAGGCGAGGTTATGGAGTTGGTGGGCGATGCGAGACTGCTCGCCCCAGGGCTGATGCTTATCGGGTGTGCTCCGAAGAAACCGCCGCCGCTGCTGCTGCCGCCGCCGCCGCTGACGCTCAGGGTTCGCATGCTGCCGCCGCCGCCGCTGGCGCTCTTTGTGCGCATGCTGCCGCCGCCGCCGCTGGCACTCTTAGCACGCATGCTGCAGCCGTGTCCGAAAACAGCGCCCGTCCATTCGTCAGATAACATGCTGTATGGTTTCGCCGTCGCCACGAGAGCGTTGGCGCCGTTACTACCACCGCCGTCGCCGCCGCCGCTGATAATAGTGCCTTCAGAGCCCTTGCTAGCACCCCATGTCACCAACTTGAAGCGACTTGTCGACGTCCTGGGTGATCGCAACTGCTGCGGACTTGTTCCCCGGGTGTTGTTGTTGTTGTTGCTGCTGCTGTTGTTGTACGGCGGAAGTGACGGCGGCGGCGGCGGCTGTTGGATCGCCGATTGCATTTGCTGATTCCTTCCCGGCCATTTCTGCTGCTGCTGCTGCTGTGGTTGCGAGGGATACGGTGGCTGCTGTGGTTGCTTTGTTGTAACTGGGGTCCCCTCTGGCGCGCCAGGGGTCGGGACGCGGGCGCCAGGGCCCGTCGTCGCCGCCGGGGGTGGCCATGGAATCGAGGGCGGCTGTAGCTGCCGGCTGTCGTACGTGTGGCCTTGCCCAGTCGGTTGGGCCCGCGCGAGGCCTGCTGCAGCGGAAACGACAGAGGAGACATTGTCACTACCAGGGGGCGGCGGCGGCGGTGATGGGGGCGACGCTGGTGGCGCTTCTGATGCCTGGTACCGACCGGACGCCAAGCAGCGCAAGTCCTCCAGTTGTTGCTGCAGTTGGGCGAGCGTCGTTGCCTGTGTAGTTGAGCGGAAACAAAAGCAAGCAGTTGGGATAGGTTCGCATGTGAACCGCGAGCACAGGCAAAACAGAGGTAACCAAACCTGAACCGTAACTCAAAAACTAACAGAAACAAGAGCAGAAACAAGAGCTGTGTGTGTACGGCGGTGGGGTGTTTACGACAGCTGTTATTGCAAAGTGACGGGCATGGTCGGGAAAGAAAGGTTCAACCGGCAACGCAGTGCATGGGAGCTGATATGTTGGCAAGGGGCCTCACTTGCGGGTGAGCCCAGCACCCGACTTTAGTAACCAGTCAGGAATCAGCATAACTCAGGTTTGCCTACACCATGCTTGTACGTTTCAAGTGCTAAAGCAAAGCAACGCTCATACAACTTTCAAGCTCAAAGAAACCGTTAGGGTAAAGCGCACAAATACCGTTCCGCGATGTCCCGAGTTCCTTCACCCATAACGGCTTTAAAGCCTATAACGGCTCTAAAGCCTATAATGGCTCTAAAGCCTATAACGGCTCTAAAGCCTAACGGCCGCAACGGAACCGTCTTACCGCGCCTATTGGTTCCGCCCCAGCTCCAGCCATCACATCGTCTGCTCCTGCCGCATCTGCCCCACTGCGACTGGCTTCATACGACTGCTGCTGATGCTGATGCTGTTGCGGCGGCGACGGCGACGGCGGCACCCACTGCTGCTGCAGTACCTGCGGCACCCAATGCTGTTGCGCCGGCTGCTTGTCGGCAGACCCGTAAGTGTCTTCGGCGTACAGAGCGTTCCACCAAGTGCGCGGAGTCGCTGGCGACGGCACCTGAGGCGGGGGCAGCGGCAGCGAAGGCGACGAGGGCGGAGAGCCAACCAGGTTCCATGCAGCCTGATTAGGCCCCGGCAATGGCATGTCGGGAAACCAGTCGCCGACGCCGCCGACACCAGCCCCGACGTCACCGCCGCCATTGCTGCCGCCGGTGGCGAGATAATGCCGGAGGCTGGCATTGCGGTAATGGTTGCCGCCGCGGCCGCTGCCGCCGATGCTGCCAATGCTGCTGACGTGCAGCACGCCGCTTCCGCTTCCAATGCGACTCCCGCCGACGCGGCCACTGCCGATTCGTCCGCCGCCGCCGCCGCCACTGCCGCCGCTGCCTACGTCAGCTGGTCCTATAAACGCGGGTGACACCGGCACCGGACTCATGGGCGTCGCCGTCGCAGCCGCCGTCGCGGCTTCCTGTAAAAGCCGTTGCCGTACCTCTAACGGTATTAACATGTCGGTTGGCGGTATGACAGTTAGCTCGCTACTAACACGCGCCCCGCAAGCCCCATAGTCACAGGGATGATGTGCCGGCTGGTGGTAATTATATGGATCCATGTCCGCAAAGTGTTGTCGCTGTTGCTGCTGCTGGTAGGTCTGGCCCTGCTGCTGCTGCTGCTGTTGAGCTCTCCCGCCAAGCCGAGACGTGGGAGAGCTCAGAAAGCTCTTGCTACGCTGCTGCGGCTGCGAATCGATTGCATGTCCGCTGTTGGGACGCGGGGTTACGGCAGCAGCATCTCCAAACCGTCGTCGGATACTGCTGCTAGCAGAACCCCCACCGCCGCCGCCACCGCCGCCGCCGCCGCCAGGCGAGTCTGCCCCTGAATGCGATGCCGCAGCGCTCGAATGGCGACTGAATAGGCTGACGATGGTTCTTAAAGTACGACTGCCCGGCGTATTATGCTGGCCGGATCCAAACCCAGACCCATCCTCGGCACCCCCCGCCGCTAACACCGTGCCGCCATGCGACGCGCTGCGTCTGCGGCCTCGTTCTGTCGTCCTGTTGGCTGCTCCGGCCACTTCGTCGCCGCCGCCGCCGCCACGGCTGCTGACGTCATCGCCGCTGATCCTGTTCCAGTCCGATTCGCTGTCCTCTCCCTCGGTGTGTCCAGTCGTGGAGGAGTTCAGGGGAGAGCCGCCGCTGCCGCCAGTTGCCGCGGCTGTCGCCGCTGCTGGCGCCGCCGCCGCCGCCGCTGCATAACCCTGGCTGGAGCCTCGGGGTGTGGTGCTGTGCATCGTGAGCAGCTTTCCAGCCAGACGTCTGCAGTGGGAGATGGATAGGGGTTGCATGGAAATTGGGATTGGGTAGGGGCTTGCAGCCTACCGTATGCCTGGGGAGTCCTGACGAGCGGTTGGCGGTTTGGTGGTTTGGCAGGTAGCAGAGCTGTGAAACACGACAGTTGTGTGACAATTGATTGATGTTCACTAGCTGCTCCACCTCGTTTTTCTCCTCAGCCACCCGGTCATCATTTGGTAGATGGGATCCCATTGATGGTGCCGTGCCGCTGCCGTACGTTGTGTCGCAGTAATGCAGCAACAACGAAGTACTACAGGCTCTTACCTGCCCACTTCAACGCTTGTCCTGCGGAGCCTATTTTTCCTGTGGCCCGGCTGCTGCTCGGCATCGCTGTCATCAGAGATGTCGCCAGCACGTGGCAAGCTGTCGTATAGGGTCAGAAAGCAAACATGGATCCAGCATTTGGGTGCTACTGGAACTTTGGGTATTACTTCGCGCGAAGCAGTCAAAAAGGCGTTTGCCATGTGCTTGAAGTATGCATGGTAGGCAGGGTCCATAGACAGGTGCGAAGCCTCGAGCTAGAAAGATATACCAGCAAGAGTCGTATCGTTCGTGTAGCTCGAAGCCACAGCACTGTACCTGGTGCGCTGAAGCGTTCGGCCAGTCTCCGGCTGATAGTACTCGATGTCCCTGTCGCGATGGACAGTTGAAACCGCGCAACTCCTAAGTGCCAGGGTATTCAGAGTTGTGACCAAATATAAGGATTACTACAAGTAACGTTACGCCGGGTAGGGAGCACTAATGGAAACGGCGTTCGCCCGACGACGGCCCATGGGTAACGCCGTCGTCCTATCGCGCCGAAGCACTTACTCATCAAGATTCTCGCGGCTGCGCCCAAAGTTAAAGCGACCCATCAAGCCACTCGCCCGACGTGAAGAAGACTTGCTTCACCGCTCGTAAGCAAGCAGTTACGACTGTTGTGAGCCACCAACCTAGAGCTGCTGCTGTTTATGAAACTGTTAAGGAAAAGGCCAGACTGATAATGGGACAAATGCCGTTGGCACCAGGTAGAAGCAAGGTAAACATGCTTCATGAGGGCCAGAGCCCATTAAAGATTTGGGTCAAATATATCCTTGCGGCAGGGAGAACAAAACTGGCGCGATCCTCGACGAGCAGCGATTTGGCAGAAACAGAAGGCCAAAAGTACGGCATTACCGTGGAAGAGCATTCACGCCTCAAGCAGGCTATCCAATTGGGCTACAATTTGCTTCGTAGGGAAGAAGAGTCTGCTTACTTGCAAAGGCGCTGTGGCCGATGGCATCACTCCGCACAGCTGCACCGTGCACAAGCACCAACACGCGTTGCAGCTCGGGTCGCGCAGCCTCAGTCTCATGTAGGATTCCATCTTTAACATATCTTCCTGGACGGAGAGCTGCTCCTAGACTAGTCAAATACGATTGCACCTCCGAGCGACCATTCGTTGCGGTTCGGTCGTTATTTGACAATGACAAGGACGGCAACGACTATGGCGACAGGATATTTGCAGCGCTTCCCTTTCTACTGCCACTGCTGGATGGGCTGCCTTACGGTATGCCAACCGTGCGTGTTTACCGCATTATCAGCCACACGCTCTAGTTGCCCTCGTTGCATGCCAAACGTCACCTACATGTCCGCAAACGTCATGCGGCTACGTGCTGCCAATTTAGGCCGTGCACAAATTGCCGCGGGGAAGCCGTGGTAATCAAATTCGTAATGTTTAACACCGGGGTTCGCCGGTTCGCCTCGGACAGTAGTTTTACGTGACCCCCGCTTCTCCTTGTCTCTTTGCAGCCAAGTTCATCATGCTGCAGTACCCATTTGTGGCTCGCGCCTTTGCTCCTGTGGCTCCGCTGATGTACCTCTACCATTCCTTCCCGTTTGCACCGTAAGTCGAGCGAGAGCACTAGCTGGCCACGGTGGCACTAGTAAGAGGTTCAGAAGGCTTCGGCTTCGTGTTGGTGATAGAGACATGCCTCGCTGCAGTGACGGAACGCAAGGGTGACTGAAGGGGATGTATGGCCACCAAGTCCTACAATCTCATGTTCGGCGCAGTCGGTGGCTATCCTGTCCGCTGCCAGCATCCTGCTTCTTGCCCTTTCCGCCCTCACCACTCCCTCCTCTCCCGCCCCGCCGCCGCCTACGCTCCTGGAAACCTAGCCCTCCTCCATTGCCCGCCCGCCCTACCTCTGTTACCATGAGCTGTTGCAGCCGCCCACCTTTACCGTCCCATGGGTCTCTCTTCCCTCCGCTCTCTTTTACTGTACCTTTCTCCACCGGCCTACCTCCTGTCCTTTAAGCCCTCTATACTTCCCTATCACCTCCAATCCTCTCTCCCTCCCGCACTACCAATACCTTTGAAAGTATGAATCCCCGTGTCCTCCTCACCTGCCTGCTGTGTGCACCGGTAACATCCCTACCTGCTGCTCCCATGCCGCTTGTTGCCCCTCCCCCCCACCGTTATCTCCAACCTCTATTACCCCTCCCCCCGCCGCCAGTTGCTTCACTTCTCATTCCTGTCTCCCCCCCGCCCCGCCACATGTGGTTTCCTACGGTTTGGTATGGTCTCATGCCACCCCCCGCCACCTACATGCCTCCTCCCCCCCCCCCCAGGTTCCTGGTGTTCCTGGCCATCTACAATGGCATCGTGAACAACACCTCGCTGCCGCGCTTCGTGCGCTACCACGCCATGCAAGCGGTGCTGCTGGACGTGTTGCTCATGTGGGGCCGGAGGGGGGGGGGGGGGCGCTCATGTATGCGGGGGGTGTAGGAGGGGCGGCGGTGTGGGAGAGGCAGGGGTGCTCATGTAGGAGGGCAGGGGCGTTCATTTAGGGGAGGCGGGGGTGCTCATGTAGGAGGGCAGGGGCGTTCATTTAGGGGAGGCGGGGTTGCTCATGTAGGAGGGCAGGGGCGTTCATTTAGGGGAGGCGGGGGTGCTCATGTAGGAGGGCAGGGGCGTTCATTTAGGGGAGGCGGGGGTGCTCATGTAGGAGGGCAGGGGCGTTCATTTAGGGGAGGCGGGGGTGCTCATGTAGGAGGGCAGGGGTGTTCATGTAGGCGTGGGGTGTAGGCGGTGGTGGCGCTCATATGTAAGCGTGGGGTGCAAGAGGGGCGCTCATGTAAGAGGGCAGGGGCGCTGGTGTGGCAGGGGTGTGAGGACCTGGTGCTACCTGCCGAGCTACATAACCCCTTTGCCTTCCTCCCGACTACCTACCCCCCTCCCCCTCCTTCTCCCTCCGCCACCTCCCTCCTCGCAGCATCCCCCAGGTCATTCTGAACGACGTGTGGAAGGCGCCTGGTGACGAGGTGGGGCTGCAGGCCTACATCCTCGCCTACAACACCCTCTTCCTCTTCACGGCGGTGTGCTCGGCGTACGGCATGGTGAGGAAGGGGGCCCGCCGTACATACACCCTGCTGATAACGGGGTGTGGGGGCAATCTGGACCGTACATAACCACTGCTGCTGAATTGGAACCGACTTTTTGTGTTTTATTCCCTGAGATTGCGCCGTTTGCAAACAACGAACACACGCGCCGGGCCCACTTCTAACCCACTCCCAGGCCTATTCCTAAACCCACTCCCCCGCCCTCTTCTGAGCCCGGGCCACCCACTTCTGAACCCGCGCACCCCGCCCCCGCCCCCTCACCTGCTGCCGCCAGGGCTCCTCCCTGGTGGGTCTCACAGCGCGGTTGCCGCTGGTGGCGGAGGCTGCAGATGCGCAGGTGCGCGACTTGTGAGGTTGCTTGAGGAACCGACACAGAGGACACGTCAGCAGCCTCAGCGGCCTCGGTTGGGACCTGAAGAGGTTGCAGAACTGCGGAAGGGGGGGGGGGAGGGTTCGGGGAGGCCGGGTAGGTTGGGGGTGAAGCGTTTAGCGCACGATTGTAAAGGGTTGGCATTGCACGAGGGTGAGAGATGTGGTTCAATACAGATATGTGCGTGTGGAAGCTCGAGATATACTTCTGTGTGTGTTAGGAAAGAGGGAGAGGCTGCAAGGCATGAGAGAGGGTGGGAGGGAGAGGAGAAGAGCGCGTGTGCGGTGGTGACGGCGTTGGTGTTGGCTGGGAGATGATTGGGTTTGGGACTGAAGGATATGACTCGGGGGGGACCGTTGGGCGGCAGAAGGCGGCTTTAAGGGCTTAGGAGGGTTCTCACGGACGTACCGGTACAAAGTACGGCTCTCTGACTCAAAAGAGGCCTGTGAGGTCCCAATGACTCCGGACTAGAGAGGCCAGTTTGACGCCGCTGAGTGAGGTATTGGCGGTATTGGCTGCATGGTGTACCGCTGCGGTTGGTGTTCCCAGTACGGGGGGCATGATGATGTCGTTGGGAGAAAAGCAGAAGAGTTGGTCTAGCCTCTGGTTTGGCACGCGAAACACACACCCGCAACATAGCTGCGTAGGACTGGACTCCTGACCTACATCCGGTACTTGCAGGCATGCAAGGCGATAAAAATGTACTGGAGAAGATATGTGCTTATTTACACCTGTAAAGCCTTCCTGGCTATCGGACGGGTCTTCCTGCATGCGGTATCACGTGTTGGGGCGCATGACTACCCTTTCGTAGCCTCCTGGGCTCCTGGGGATCTGCCAAAGGGTCCCAGCATGTTCTGCCATATTTTAAATGACAGTCATGTCGCGTGGTCCTGTCGCTGAGGTCGTGGGGAAGTGTTGGGGCCGAGCAGGAAATGCTGCGGCTCCCCTAACCTGCGTGCTGCCCGCTTCCATGTCTGGGCTCTGGGAACAGTCCATCTCCCCGAATTGTCGAGGTTTCACTTATATTCTACAGCCCAGCCCGTGAAGCTGACTTAGGAAACCACGACTGCTTGAGCATGCCTTGCACATGCAGCACATGGGATTACCGGGCGGGGCATGAACCAAGTGTAGGCTTGGCAAGGACTGAATTGCGTATAAGCATGACATGATGTGTCCCGTGAAACGTCATAGGGGGACAGGATATGCCACATGCGCATGTGACAGTTCCGCCAAAACGTACGGCAATCCTGTGTGAGAATGTTCTTCAGAACCATAGCTGCAAGCTGTTTCAGCTAACCTTCACCGCACTTGCAAGTAACAATAGTCCCTGTGATCCGCCCTCAACGCCGTTCCACTAGCTTCCAGTAGTTGACCGCTTTGTTGTTTCTTTGGCTCCTAGCTTTCCTTCTGTAACTATACTATTACGTGCTGCAGAGCGAGGTACAGTAAACATTTTACGCGCGCCAATAAGCTCTTGCTGGTTAGGATAATCCTTTTCTCGGGCGAGACCACCTCGGCCAATAGGCTGTAGGCAGCGGCAGCCACAGCCGCGGCAGGTTCAGGATGCCGCTTATCTACAGCAGTGTGTCTCAGAGCTCGGTCACGGTTGCGGAGTATGCTGCATTCTCGGGCAACTTTGGAGCTGTCGCTAAGGACTACTTGGAAAAGGCCGGCAAAAATGAGGGAAAGTTTACCTTCAACGTTGATGGCCACACCTTCAACTTCTTGAACAGGGGCGGCTTCAGTAAGTCTCGCGGCATTACAACGGATGCCCACTTGCAGTTCAGCTTATGCGCCGCGCGCGCAATCCGTGCAGCAATTATGTATATTGGAAATGCTTCTCACCACGTCCGTGGGTGTACCTTGCAGCGTACCTTGTGGTGGCGGATGAGGCGTATGGCCGAGCAATCCCTTCGGCCTTCTTGGATAAGATGGCCAGCGAGTTCGGCATGAAGTACGCTGACAAGGCTCAGGGGGCAAAGGAGGGGTCCCTCAACTCATCCTTTGGGTGAGCTTTTCACAGCCTGTGTGCTTGGTTCCCCACCCAATATCCCTTTAAGTGACGGTTAATATGCCCTTTGCAGAAAGCAACTAAAGCAGATGATGGAGCATGCAACGCAGTACCCAGAGGAATACTCCAAGGTGGCATCTGTGCAGAAAAAGGTACGACACTTACGTCCATGTCCCCAAACAGCCTGGTCGTACCTGTTTTCCTGTGATGTGGGTCACGGGTTGCCGCGATGCTGTCTAGCCTTTTCCGCTCCCTATCTCCTATGCCAGCCCGTGTCATCAGCATATGTTCATCCAACCTGCATATATGCGTGCTCACGTGGGCTCGTGGTTGCCATTGTATCCATTGTAAGCTTTGTAACCCTGGCATGCCACGCACGACTTGGGAGACCAAGGCGTCATTCAAGATGTTCATCATGCGCGCAGCATGGAGAGGACTCCTCGGGATGTCCAGCATCTCATTGGGTTTGGTCGGTGGTGATGCCCCACACACAGGTTGACGAGGTGAAGGGCATCATGACGGAGAACATTGAGAAGGTGTTGGCGCGCGGAGAGAAGCTGGAGCTGCTCACGGACAAGACGGAGAACCTGATGAATGAGGTATGTTGTCCCGTGCCCTAAGAATATGGCTCTACCTACCAGTACCTGCCTCATGGCGGAGAACGCATGCTGGGTTGTCGCACGGTGCATTGCCACCATGAGTGCAGAGATGCCATACCCTCATGCACGCCGTGTTCTCACAAGTCAGTGTGCAGTTGTTACCGCACAGTAGCTTCCTATGAGCATGACCCCTTGTCTTCATGTCCTCTCAGGCTGACCGTTTCCAGCGGCAAGGGCGGCAGCTGCGCCGCAAGATGTGGTGGCAGAACTGCAAGATGAAGATCGTGGTGGCCTTCGCCGTCATCCTGCTGGCGCTCGTCATCTTCCTGCTCGTCTGCTTCTCGGGAGGAAACTGCCTCAAGCACTAGAAGCAAAGCTGGAATGGCCGCGCTATGTGTCGTCTGGTTACATGTCTGGATTAAGAAGGGCATCTCGAACTGCTCTTAATGTCGTTGCTTGACGCGGTGGGGAACAGGGCGTATATAATAGTGTTTGACGGGGCTTAAGGGTGGGGAGAGGGTTGGAGGGGCCTGGGCCTGACCTGTCTTTGGTTAGAAGACGGGTTGTCCCTTACAGGGAAGCGGTTGAAGTGCAGTGTCATGAGTAACGTTCAGGACTAGCTTGTGTCTGGCTGGCGTGGGTTTCGCTTAAACTGTTCGTCGTTATCCAGGACTGGTCAGCCATATGGGGACAGTGCCAGGCCTACAGGTGCTTATGTGGCACGTCTGTCAGGTGGTCCGGGGGCATGGCAGCGGTGAGCTGTGATTACTGCCAGCGAGCGACGTTTTCTTTCTAATATGGGTCTGCCATAGAGCACTTTGGCTACGGGGTCCAGAGTCGTGCTCATGGCCGTCGTCAAAGTCGAGACGAGGTGACCGTTCTCAACCGCGTCTTATATGCAGCGCAGGTGCATGCTAATTACAAATGCTTAGAGAAAGGTTAGCTCAGCGCCGGAGTCGCTTGCTTTCCTTTTTGGCGAGTACTGTTGTCGTACGTTCTGCCCCTATGCATTTCCCTGTCTCTTTGGGCCGGTTACATCACACTGCCATCTGGGCATACGGTGATCCTTTAGGGCTGAAAACAATCTACGACTAACTGATATGCAACTCTGTAAAAGTGTGGTGGCACCAAGTCCTTGGCCATGAACTTAGATCCTGCTAGGTGATGCCCTTCTAGGACCTAAGGAAAAGAATTTTCTAACGCCTAGGAAGTAATGGCGCCTAGACGTCCGCAACAAGACGAGGCGCTTCCCTTGCTGGAGCCTCCGCCTCCGCCAGCACGTACTAAGAAATCTACTTTGTTGACTGTATGCCCTTTCATTTTAGGTGGGTGAGGGCCTATTGCTCCACAGGTCTACGAGCTGTCACATCAGCACGTGCATTTCGCGCAAGCCTTCACATTGCCGTGCGAACGTGTCGCCCTGCAGGAAATGAGTTCTGTGAACGTCTGGCATACTACGGGTAGGTGATATTGCTGATCTAAGGATTCCTTTGCAGCAGTCACGCCGCCGAGAACCCCAGATTTGCTGGTCCAGTTGCTGATCACCGCTATCTCCTTTAAATGCATTTTCCCGTTGCTTTGGTGTCGACGCCTGCTCGTCGCTTTCCAGGCTGGCCACCAACCTTGTTATGTACATTACCAATGTGATGGGAGGGGACCCTGCGGACGCCGCAATCCAGGTGAGCAAGCATTCAAAACCAGTCCGATATTCATCAGGTATTGCCATTTCTGCTGTTCCTTTATGACGGCGGCGTCCCCGGGCGACGAGCGTTGGTTAGGGTTTTCTTGCCCATTGACCGAACCCATTTCACGTACAAGCTCGCTCTCTGTAAGCCGATCTTGGCCCTTGTGTCCACCAGCCCCATGAACACCTATCCTCCACCTCCACACTCTCCGCTCCCCTCTCTGCCCCTTTCCGCACTATCAACCCGTTACCCCGCCTACCTCTCCCTCCCGTCACCAGCACCCAAGCAAACCTGTTCTACCCACAAAGCAAACCAACACGCACGTGCCTCTCGTACCCCTCCCACCCGCCCACCCCTACCCAGGTCAGCGTGTTCGAGGGTACCTGCTACCTGACGCCTCTCATCGGAGCCTACCTGGCCGACTCCAAGTGGGGCCGCTACAAAACCATCCTGGTGTTCTCAACCATCTACCTTGTGGTGAGCCGGGAGGGTGGGATGTGCCAGGAGCGTGGGATAAGGAAGATTCAAGCACGGTGCTCCTCCCCCTCGCCCCTCCTTCCTCCCGCCCCTCCTTCCCCCTCAGGGCATGGTCATGCTGGCCCTCACCTCGTACCTTCCCGGCCTCACGCCCCCCGCCGGCGACGAGGCCAGCTGGCCGCAGCTGGGTGCGCTGATCGCCTCGCTGTCAGTGGTGGCGCTGGGAACCGGCGGCATCAAACCCAACGTGTCAGCCTTCGGAGCCGACCAGTTCAATGAGGCAGACCCGCAGGTGGGGGTGGGGGTAGGGTGGGGGTAGGGAATTAAGAAAGTAAATGAGAAGTGAGCGAAGAGACTGTAGGCCCAATCCCATGTCCCGACTCGTGCAGTACAGGAGTGAGGTGGCGTGAGGGGTGGGGCGTGGGGTGCCGTATGTGGTAGCCGTACCCCGTACGGAGAGGAGGAGGAAGGCAGTTTTGCAAGATGTACCGTGTTGTAGTAGTACGGTAGCTATTGATTTATCCATACGTTGCATTCGCTTCTCGCCCTTCTCTCCCCTTCCCCCCCCTCCTCTGTGGTTTCCTGTGGTTCGATGTGGTCTTAAACACTCCCGCCCCACCTTCGCATTGCACACATTGGGTACCGTATCCTTGTCTCCCCCCCCTCCCCTCCGCCTTGCAGGACCGGCGCGAGAAGGAGAGCTTCTTTAACTGGTTCTACCTGGCCATCAACGTGGGCTCGCTCATCGCATGCACCGTCATCGTGTTCATCCAGGACCAGGTGTCGTGGACGCTGGGGTTCGCCATTCCGGGTGAGAGCTGCATGGAGGGGTGGGTGGTTCTCGAGGGAGGGCGGGGTCTCGAGGGAGGAGGGGAATGGGTAGCAGAGGGGAATAATGAACTGAGCCGAGAGGAGACACTGGTACTGGTACTAGGGGTTGGTACCGGTGTAGGTTACGGAGGGGCTGATTCTTAAAGCAGTCTGGTAGCGGAGAGGAATCACAGGCCTCCCACGTCCCACCCATCGCGACCCACATCGCATCTCTCTCACAGTCTCACCGCCAACGTCTCTTCGTGTCGCGCTTGTATTCTTGACCCCAGTGTTTTCGACCATTCATGCAACCCCATTCCTCCCTGCCGTCTGCCTCCCTCCCGCTTCTGCCCGCTTCCCTGTCCCCGTCCCCTCCTCCTGCCAGCTGCTGTGATGGCGGTTGCCGTACTGTTGTTCGTTGGCGGGCGGCGAGTGTACCGCCACGTGGCACCAACCGAGTCCCCCATGGAGCGTGTCGTACGGGTGGTTGGGGCGGCGCTGCACAACAGGTGAGTGGAGTGAGGAGGAGGGACGGCGATGAGGGGTTTCCGCGGAGTGGAGGGATGAGGCGGGATGGCGGGTGGCGCCTTCCTGTCTACCCTCTATCACCATTGCCTCGCCTTAACCTGTGGTTGTGTTCTGGCTCGCAGCCAGTTTTCTTAACATACGCTGGGTAGCATGCCGGCCGCATACTCGCTTTCCTCATCCATACAGCTTCATGCAAGTAGTGAAAGAAGCACCGAGACGTTTCTCCGAGTAGTCATTCTCTCTCGTCCCACGCTGCCCTAGGTGGATCAAGAAGAAGGGTGTGGAGCCGCGAGCCGCACCTGACGTCAGCACCCTGCATGGCGGCTCAATGTACACATCCGGCGGCGGCGGCGCCATTGGCGACGGCGTCAGCCAGAACGGTCGTACACGCATGAAGGGCGGCAACGGCGCCGTTGGCAGCATGACCCCCACTGGCATGCTCACGCCCAGTCACGTGCCCAGCTACCTGGATCTGAATGACGCGGCGAACGGCGGCGCAATGGGCGGAGCTGGCGGCGGCGGCGGCGACAGTGACCCGGCGGGTCGGCGCTACCGGCGTAACATGGCGGTTCCCATGAGCCCCTCCATGAGCCATCGCTGGCTGGAGGTACGGCGTGTACGGCGTATGGCAGATGAGCAAATATACATGAAGGCCTGTTTTCTTCTTAACACAAATGATGACACTACACACCAGTAGTACTTCTACGTACGGCAAGTAGGGTATACAGATGGAAGGCCACCACCGCCTTTTCTTGTCCTGCATGGCTAATTCCTCTCTTTACCCCTCTGCTTCCTCCTTCCTTCCTCCTCGCCTTCCCCCAGGTGCTTTCCTCTGTCCCCATCGCTTCGCCCTCACCTGTGGTTTTGGCATATCTCTAACCCCTCTGGTATATTTCTGACCCCCCCTCCCCCCCCTCCGCCTCCACCCCAAAACAGGACGCCATCACCGACTGGCAGACCAGTCAGGGCACAGTTCTGCACCTGGACGGCCTGGCGGGGCACTACACGCCGCAGCAGGTGGAGGAGGTCAAGATGGTGCTGCGACTCATGCCCGTGTTCTTCACGACCATGCTCTACTGGTATGAGGGGAGGGGAGGGGAGGGGTAAAAGTACTGGGTAAGCTACTCGTAAACTGAGCCGCAAGGAAACACTGACCGTGACCATAGGAGAGGAGGGGAGGGGAGGGAGTTGGTAGAGAGGTTGGTAATACCGCATTTGGCTGGATGAGGTGAGGGGTGGGGTGGGGTGGGGAGAAAGGACGAGAGCAACATACGGAAGGTAGGGGCATCTGCAGCTTATTCGTCTTCTCCATACTGTGCTCGACTGGGTCGAGCGTAGTTCTCCTGACTAACCCTCTTTCGTTTCGTGAAAAACAACTTCCCTCTATCCCCATTGCTTTGCCCTAAACTGTGGTTTGGGTATGTCTCTAATCTCCCCCTCCTCCCCCCTCCTGCTCCCCCCAGGACCATTTACACCCAAATGGGTAGCTTCTTCGTGCAACAAGGTAACCTCATGGCGCGAGAAATCAGCATCCCCAACTTCTTCCAGCTCTTCAACGGAGGCGGCGGCGGAGGAGTTGGAGCAGGAGATGGTGGTTTCGGAGCGGATCTAGGATCCAGCAACAGCGGCGGCAGCAGCCATTACTTCACCTTTACCGTGCCCTCGGCCTCCATGTCGCTCTTCAACACGCTGTCCATCATCGCACTCATACCGGTGTACGACAAGCTGCTGGTAAGGCAGCCCCGTACGGACATGCAGTATGTGATGTCCGTACTGCATGCAAAATGAATAGTTTTGAGTAGTTAAGTGTGGTGCATGGACGCTACATAGACTAGTCCGTAGTAAACAGCGTGCATGCCCGGGTCCCGTCGGTGAGTCTATTATTACAGGTTTACAGCCTTGGATTCCGCACTTCCTCCCTCTCCCTTCTCTCCCCGTAACCCCCGCTCGATGGGCCTTGCGGGTTGGGTTCGCCTAGTCAGCATGGTGCGTTTTCCCCTTAGTATATCGTACCCCTGCCCGCTAACACCCTGCGCCCTACACCCACCCCACCCCACCCCAGGAGCCCGCCATCGCACGCTGCCGCGGCAAGATCACCCTGCTTCAGCGCATCGGTAAGTGTGTGTCATGCAAGCAGGGGTCATGCATGAGGGAAGCCGCTACGTTAAATACCCTCTGGCGGCCGCAGCTGGTTGGGAGCGAGGCCGGGGGAAGGGTGGGAGCTGCCACAGGCACAGTATTGTCTGTGGTGGTGATACGCATGCTCATGCCGGCCGCTGATGGTGTTTCCTCGCCACTCAAACCGCACAATCCTCCCGCGGCGTTGTCATCCCGCGTTGTCATCCATCTTTCCTATCCTCTTACCTGGTCTTTGTGCTTTTCCCCCCCCTTCCTCCTTCCCCGCTTCCCCCCTTACCTCCTCCCCCCTTTCCTCCTCCTCCCCCCCCCCTCCCGCCAGGCTGGGGCATGGTGTTGGCGATTGCGTCCATGCTGGTGGCTGCGGCGGTGGAGTGGTACCGCCTGCAGCACCTGCACACCTGCGGGGCGGGGGTGGAGCTGTCGGGGGAAGGTAGGGGCGGGAGGGAGGCAGGGAGGGGGTGGAGGTGTCGGGGGAAGGTAGGG